GATAAGTAGTTATAGTTATAGTATAGTAGTTATTTAAAGAAGCTACAGCTTATATTTTATTTCCTTAGAGTATTATCACTATATATTTATAATACGCTTTAAAGTGTTATTTTTATTTTCCTTTATTATTAATTTTTTTTTATTTATTCCTTAAGGATAAGGAATATCTTAAGAGAGACTATTATTATAGTTATAGCACTAGTACAGTATTATACTAGCACCTTCCCTATTAGGTAGCGACTACCTTAAGTAGTACGCTTATTCTATAGGAATAATATATCCTTTTATAACCTTATTTACCGTACCATAACATAGGCTTATAAACGTATTAATAGCTCTAAGGTCTTTACTTTTCCAGGTCTTTAAGAGCTGTTTCTTAAGATATTCGCAGTTAGTAGAGTTACTTATAATTAGTATATTATTAACAAAGACTAATACGTACGCTTTATTCTTAAAGATAAAGAGATTAGAGTTAGCCTCTAACGTTTCTAGACTTAGCTTTTCTATCTTATCTTTAATAAGGAGCTACTATTCCCTAAGTGCTTATTTTAAGCTATAAAGAGAGCGTAAGAGCTTCAGATATATATCTTTCCTTCTATTTAGCTCTAAGTAAAGCTTATTCTATATCTCCGGCGTCTTATTATTCGGAATTATTATATATATATCTTCTTTTAGATATATATTTAAGAAGGTAGTATTAATATTAATATACTCGATCTCCAGGTCTCTTTTAGCTGTAATAGTAAGTAGTACTTATAAGGTAAAATAGTATATAACACTTGCGAAGGTATCGAAGTAGTTAAGGCCGTGTTTTTACTTAAAGCCTCTTACTATAAGCTTAGCTTTTCGCTGTACTATAGAGCTATTAGAGTTGATTTTATTATATAAAACTAGTCTTAAAGATATCAGTTTTAAGCTAGAGGAAGGCTTACTAAAGTATACTCTATAGGTTCTAGCGCTTTATATAGCTTGTAATTCCTTGAGAATAGCGGCCTTCTATTCCATTAGATTCTCTTTTAGAGCCTCTATAATAGTTATAACCTTAAGAGGTCGTATAAGTTCTCCTTTAAGCGTAATTAGCGCTATTTAACAGGTTAGTGCCTTATTAAGGATTTACTAAAAGTATAGCTTCGTAGCTATTACTTAAGTAGCTTACTCGAAGTGTTATTTTCTATACTATTTCCTATTATATCTTAATAGTAAAGTATTATTAGACGTATTTACTAGTTAAGTCTATTTAAGGAGATATTAATTAAACGCTCCCTTAGTATCTCCTACTATGTTTTCTATAGCTAACCTCCCCCTTAAAGGATTTTTAGCTTCTATAGCTAGCCTCTCTTTTAGAGGTCTTTTAGCTTCTATAGCTAGCCTTGTTCCTAGAGGTCTTTCTAAGCTTTTAGTACTCTTAGCTAGCCTTTTAGTAAGTACTAGACTAGTAGCCGGTAGTAGAAGTCTTTCTACTACTTTATTACTATCTTTTAGTATAGTTTATTTACTACTAATATATATAGAGTATATTATATATTTATTAAAACTATAATTAGCTGTTTCTAGTTCCTTAAAAGTCTCTATATTTAAGAGCCTATAAGTTAAGGTATTAGCTATACCTACTAATACGAAATACCCCGGAATTATTCTTTACTTTATTTTACTTTAATATAGCTCCGGTAGATATAAAAAATATACTATAGAGCTAAATACTCTTATTTTTAAGAGGTCTATAAGCTATCCTCTATACGCTTCAATTAGAGTAAGTCTAGTAACTATTTTATATAGTAAAGTAGTAGTTAGGCGTCTATTCTTTAGCTTAGCTACCTACTTAATAGCGTAGTACTATATATTCTTAGGTATCTTTATATTATAGAGGATTAAGCGTATAATCTTAGCTAGTTTATATATCTATCACTTTACAACTCTATTTAGAGAGTATTTATATAGAGGGGAGGGCTTAGGAATAATTCTACTCTCTTATAGCTAGTTAATAAACTTAGGACTAAACTCTCCCTTACTATTATTAGTCCTCTAGTAGATAATTATACAGAATTTACTTTACCCTTAAGTTTCAAGCTATAGCTTTAATTTCCGAATAACTAGTTAAATAGTTAATATAGACTTATTAACTAAGAGATCTACTTAATATATCCTTATAGTATTATCTACTACTAAAAGGAAGTATTTATAACTATGAATTAAGCGTAATAAGATACTAGAGATATTAGCGTGTAGTTAGCGAATAAGTACGTTAGTTCTACTATCTGACTTCTTATTAAAGTGCTCTTTTATATAGCTTATAAAGTAAGCCTTATAACACCTCACTCTCTTTAGCTCTAGAACAGAAATTAGTCTTATTTTATAACTGCTATAAGTAACTAGTTTCTTTAAATAAGCGTAATTTATATAGCTTAAGCGCCTATAGAGTAGATCTGCCTTTATTTCCTTTGTACTAAGCTAACTCTCTATTTATTCCTTTAGTAGCTTTAAGTCTAATAGAATTATATTATACGTAACTTAATATTAAGGATTTATATCTAGAATATATAAACCTCTGTTTCTTATACTTATAAAAGCTAGTTTACTATTCCGGTATTTATTTACTAATATCTTAGTTAGTTCTATATTAATTTTTTTATCTAAGAGTTAATATATTAATACTAGCTTTATAGCTTCGAAGTTAGATATATATTATATATCTTTAAGAGTTAACTTATTAATAATAATATCTTTATAACTTTTAGCTATTAAGTATAAATTAGTCGCTGTTTTAATATATTTAGTATTATACTAGCGCTTAAGTTACTTAAACTTAGCTAGAACTCTATTAAAGTAGTAAGTAGCGCTAGAGTCGATTTTCTAGATAGATTCTATAATAGAGATTATTAATAAAGTATATTCTATATCTTTAGTATAGTAACTCTCTTTCGAAAAGAATACAAGATAAGTATTATTATCTTTAATTTCCTCTACTTTATTAGCGCTATCTCTCGCGTAAGTATTCTTAGCTTCCGTATGATCTATATACTAATAGCTATAGCTTTTACACTAAATATACTAATTTCAGCTTAATTTAGAGCGATTTCCTCTCTTTTCTACGTGCTCTCTATATCTCTATTAGCTACTACTTTTACTATTATTATTCCGTCTTTCTTATCCTCTTCTATTCTTATATATATTACCTCTTCTATATAAGTAGCCTCTACCTCTCCGGCTTCTACTATCTCTATTACCTCTCCCTCTATTATAGCCTCTATTCGCGTAGTTTATAGCGTTACTAGTAGCTATAAGTTAAAGCTATTCTCTCTATTAAATTTAATATTTATTAAGCTTTTATATAGTACCTCTAAGATCTAAGTCTTACGATTCTAAGGTAAGTACTATAGTAATCTAAGCTCCGGACGCTAGTAATAACTATAATAGCTTAAGATATATATTTTTATTAGTAAGAGGTTTACTATTACTACTAAGCTTCACTTTAAAGAGTAAGAGCCTTATAATATAGTTCTAAAGTATTTCCTTCCTTAAGATAAACTTTATTTTAAAGAAATCGTCTCTTATATTAATAAAAGTAAGACTCCCTTAAACTACTTTACTTTTATTAGTATAAATAGCTTCCTAGAGAAACTTAGCGTTATTTAATTTAATAATATCTCTATACTTAGGAAAGAGGAGCTTAGAGATTAAGTTAATAACTATTTTAAAGGCTTCCTTCTTTTCCTTAGTATAAGTATTCTACTAATTAATACTATTTAGCACGCTAACTATAGTAAGAACGTAATAAAGAACTCTAGCTCTAGCTAGCTCTTATTTAGTCTTAAGCTCCTATTTAAAGAAGTTATTAAACTCTAGTAGAGTTTTACCTTTTAAGGCTCTAGTGATAATAGGAATTAGTGCTTTTAATTAGGATAATATTATAGTGTAGTAGTAGATATACTAAGAGTTAATAAAGTAGAGATCTTAATAAAAATAAAGTTTTAAGGTCTTTTATAATCGATTCGAATTACTACTATAACAGAATTATAGTTGTATAAGGAGCTACTACAGAGAAAGAGAATCTCCTATATAAAAGGGTAGCGTACTTAGTAGTACGGCCTACAGTACTGAGTCTACGCCTACAATCCCTATATTTCTAACAGTATTTGCCTCAGAATCACCGGGCAAACATGACTATGGGTCTTCCACTTGACTCATCCTCCCCCAATAGAAGGCGATTCCTTTCTTGTTGCCTTGATGGCAATCGTTTTTGCCAAAAATTCATTAATTAAATTCGGTCGTTCTCAGAAGTGCCCAGCAATCGAAGCAGGAATGAGGAGCCAGTATGAGACGAACGAACTTGCATCGATTGCAGAAACAACGGGTCTGACGCCCCCACATTCTCAACCGCATTCAACCCAGTCGGGCTACCGCTAGAAAATAGTGGATGCCGGGGGATAAGACAGTTACATCCGCAGAGAAATTCTTGGAATCATCCTCAAAGAGTGCGTAATGTACCTGTGCATCGGAGAGGCCCCGAATGCGGTATGCATCCCACTGGATCAAACTCCTCGATTTTCCTCGGGCCAAATATATTGTTCTCTGATTGGCTTCTATGGCGAATTATGCGGCGAATTATGATTAATTCCGCCAAAGGCTAACGAAGGCGCTTAGCAGAGAGAGGTCTTGTGCCACGACCAGTCACAAATACAACAAAAACATCCCCATCGTGTCGCGACTAACCAAATTCCGAATCGATTGACTGAGTTTTAAATATGCAGTACCCTGCCCAAAATCCACTTCGGATGATTTCCGCAATCAGCAGCAGTCACAAGCGAAAATCCTCAACATCTCACGGACGCAACAGCAAAGCCAAAACCGTACTACCGTTACTTCCACAGCGATGCGGATGGAAACATTATCTGGGCGGAAGATGAGAGGCAGTCATCCTCAGCGCAGTACGGAGGGTAATAGCGAAGGGTGACTACGTGGCAATCCATCTCCCCTTACAACATCGTGGGGTCATGCGTCCTGCACGAGAAGTGGTCAGCAAATCATCGACTTCCTGGCACTTCAAGTGTACAAGGGACTGCTGAATCCAGTTACAATCATGAAGACGGAGAGGACCCAACCAATCAATCACCCGCGGAGTGCTGGGCTCAGAGCCAGTATGACCCTCCTATGCAAATTCCCGCTGTGGACAATGTATACGCTCCGCTCAGTTACTAGGACACCCATCGGTGTGACTCCTCTGTCCAGATCTCCGCTGAGGACAGTGTGTATGATCCCACGATTTCTAATGTGAATGCAAGCAATGGATCATGACTCCGCCGCAATCGTCGAAAGACACGTCGGTTTCACTTGAGTCGAGTGAAGATACCGATTAGTCTAATATACGTGGTCATAGGAGGACTCGCCGGACCCAACCGCCAGTCATTATTGCCGATACACGAAAGACCCACAGGAAACGTTAGGTAAAAGCTCTTTGCCTGCCGTTCATGATTTGGCAAATTTTGCTGAGTATCAGCTTGCCACCGCCCATTCGTCAGTTGACGAGAGAGGGGAATGGTTATGATATTGTACGTGTCAGCCAGCAGCAGCACGCCCTTAAGGCAGAGTTGGCTTCACAATGGAACAACAGTTCTCCCTCCTTTTCTCTCAGTGCACCATTCCTGCCTTGCAATTTCTGATTCTAAATCTTTCGTTCTGCATCTAGAAGCTACGGTTCGACGAAAAGCTGGAGACGGAGATTATTTCAATTCAAGATACTTCCTTTAATAGCCTCGTCGTTACGTTTAGTCATTTTGACATCCGTTTTAGCATCAATTTGGGGCAGAATTGACTTCAGTGCACTATGTCGTTTATGGTTGCCTTGGAGGACTCTCTTGTATTGATGGCCAACGGGTAGACTGGAAACTAGGCATGGGTTCTGAATTTGAACCTGCCCCTCTGAACACACATGGTTGGGAGCCGAATTTGGATCCCTCAATCCTAAGAATAGACTTCTTGCTGCCAGACTTCCCCCTCATGAGGTGAGTTTCCAGTATCTCTCGTTTTGCACCGTTCGTTCTTTCGATTTATGACTGGGGCCACTGAGGATAGAACGAAAAATGAACATGCTATCGATGATCCGAACTACAACAAGCAACACACTCGATGCAGTTTGCGACTGGTCGGCCATCTATCGGTGCTCTGATAGCAGAAGAGATCACAAAAGGCAAGAATTTGTGTTTGGATGTGGATCGCCAGGTATGAGATAAGACATAGCGAATGCGTGTTCCAAGGCTCAGAAGAAGGTGATGAGATCTAGAGGAGAGATTCAGGAGGTTGCTTTGCACCTTGAAGCTTTTGGGTATTGAGTTGTGATATGTCTCTTTTCATTTATTGTCTCGTATAAGAGTGCAATACGATACGTGGATGACCTTTCAATACGAGCGTGTGCTTCTCAATGTTGACTTTCGTCTGCAGATGGTAGTATCAAAATAAAGGCGCAGCATTAAGCGAGGTGGGTCCAATTAATCACGTCGCGTCTCCCGTACCTGAGCGCGTCAACCTCAAACTTTACAACTTTACATCTTCACTTCACTTACCGAATACCTCACAATTATACCACAACAACACCTCAAAAATGGCAGACTCCCAAATGGAAGATGATATCACGCTGGAGACGCCCGCAGCAGAAGTATTCATCGCTCCATCCATAAATCCATCCCTCCTCTTCGACGGCGCATCCTACACACACTTCTCACCCGTTCCACCGTCTCTCCTCCCACCACCCTCATCCCCCTCAGAACCCACATCAGAAAAAGCAGAGCCCGGCCCTCCCTGCGCTCTCGGCGTCGACGAAGCTGGCCGCGGTCCAGTCCTGGGTCCTATGGTCTATGGACTCTTCTACCTACCCCTCCCACTGTCCGACCCCCTCCTACGCAACACCCACCACTTCGACGACAGCAAAGTTCTCACCCCCAACGTGCGCTCCTCCCTCATGGAGAAACTCTGCACTCCAGACACAGACCTCCACACACAATGCGGCTGGGCCGTCGAAGTCATGTCCGCGCGCGACATCGGCGCAAACATGATGAAGCCCTCGGCGACCTACAATCTCAACGCACAAGCAATGGATGCGACGATTTCATTAATCAAAGGAGTGTATGAGCGTGGCGTTAACGTGAAGGAGATTTATATCGATACGATTGGACAGCCTGCACCGTATCAGAAGAGGTTGGAGAGGGTGTTTCCCACCGCGAAGGTTACGGTTGCGAAGAAGGCGGATAGCTTGTACCCGTGTGTGAGCGCGGCGAGTGTTTGTGCGAAGGTCACGAGGGATGCGTGTTTGGAGGTCTTGTATGAGAGCTATGCTGAGAATGAGGAGGAGGGCGGTGAAGATGAGGAGATGTCGGGGACGAAGTCGGCGAAAGCTGCAGAAGAAGCTTCATGGGGTTCTGGATATCCTTCAGATGCACGCTGTACGTCCTGGCTGAAACGGAATATGGATCCTGTATTTGGGTGGGGCCCAGAGTGTCGATTTAGTTGGGGGACGGCGAAAGATATGTTAGATGCTAAAGGTGCGGCGGCCAAGGTGGATTGGCCGGTTGATGAGGATGATGAGACGAGTCGTTTGACGGATTATTTTAGTGCAGGGAAGGAGAAAGAAGGGGGTGATGAGCTGGGGCATTGGTTTGGAGGGCCGGTCGGAGCGGAAGTCTTCTAAGTGGTTTGCTATGGAAGGGAATAATGCATTGGAACGGAGTATTTGGGTTGGATATGGTTTCAGGATGGCTTTGCACCCACATGTATAGATATGATGATTTCCTCGCGCTATTATAGTCGCTGTACAGGAAGTGTGGATGAACTGGTTATATTTCATCGTTCATAGATCATTACACCGCCAATCGCCCCTACCCTACCCTAAATTACACGCCTGGCTGTGGCCGTTTGGAGAGAGGCCATGCCATCTTATCCCCACTAAGGAACCTATGCCTTCCCGAATCTAAATCTACAGCAAGAAATCCAGAAAGTCAAGTGAGTCCTCGTGACCTAGATGTCATCATCATCGTCCTCGTCGTCGACGGAAGCCTTCTTCTTGCCCCGGCTATCCAGAGTGTTGAGACTGATGGCATCATCGTCGTCATATCTGCCCTTCATAGCTAGCGCCTGACGGCCGGTATCCGAGCTTTCCAAGAACTCGCGGAGTTTCTCCTTACCGATCTCGACTGCTTGGGCGGATGCTGCGTTCGCCATGCGGAGCATGGGACCCCAAAGGTTGAGAGTGTAGGTTACGTAGGCGGCAACACCGAGAAGGATGAGGAAGATAAAGTAGACTGGATTGCGAAGGACTAGGACTTGTTAGTGTGATAGAGCGATGGCATTCCGGGCCATGACTTACCAGCCACGATTTCGTTCCACCCTAGTGCCAAAAGTAGGCCATAGAAATAGAGTGGAACTTGAGCAACGCCACCAATGGCACTGCGCTTGGCTTCCACGTAAACGCCATCGGCAGTCTTTTTGAATCTCACGACGAGATCTTGACGTTTGGCTTCACCAAGTATTGTCATCTCCTCTTCAAGGCTCTTGCCCTCCTCTTCATCCACTCCGCCAATTGGGGTGAGATCTTCTTCATCCTTGGGATCGACGCTCGTGGGTGCATTGCCGATCCACTCTGGGAGATCTGGGGGTCCATACGTCTCCGCTAGTCTAAATCTAGACAACAATGGGATGAGAGTAAGTGTGGACTCCTTTGCTTTCGTGTACATTCCCTCAATATCGTCGGTTGGCCTCCAAATTCTGGGCACGCCAGCCTCGTCATATCGGAACTTGTCTTCGAAATTCTCACGAAGTTTGAGCAAGATATTCCCTTCCATAACTTCTTCGTCGATCCTGGCCCTCAGAACGCCCCAACTCTTACGTCTCAGGCGCCATAACCCAATATCGATCTCATCTTGGTCGGCATCAAAACTCTTGGCTCTTTCTACAAAGCGTGTTTCTGCTTCCCGAACCGTGGCGACAAAGAGGTTCCATATCCGATCCCATAAGTCTTTCTCAGTTGCGGGTTTCTCGCCTGTTTCGGGTGCACCACTCCCGCCACGGCCCGAGCCCAACTTATTGAATTCAAGTCCAACTGAGTCGCCGAGCCTAGAACGGACCCATCTTTCGACTCGCGTTGCAAGCCTTCGCATCTCCTCTTTTCGTAACCGGGAGCTGACTTCGTTCAAGTCTTTTTCATACAAAACATATTGCTGCTTGAAGTTGGTCCACGGCACTCCTTCTATGGCAAGACTTCGTGCCTCAGCTTCAAATTGTGCCAGTGCAACCTTCTTCTCTCGCTCCACAATCTCGGCAAACTCGTAAGATGCTCCTTTCTTCTGGCCAGCCTTGACCGCAGCAGAGACAGCGTCACTGAACGATGCAACACCGGCCTTATTAGCTGCCGAGAGTTGTCCATTATACAGTGCCTTCAGCCTAGTATCAATCTTTCCCTCGAGCTCGACCCGTTTCCTGGCGTACACGCCTTTGTGATATCTGCTCGCCTCCACTTCAAAAGCCTTGATGCTCTTTAGACGGGCCCCGGCTCCAGATGCTCCCAATGCCTTCAGCACAGCCGGCTTCCCAAGTCTAACGCCCTCGGCTTGTTTCTCCTCGAGTGGCTGTATCGCAACGTCGAAAGCCTCCAAGACTTCTCTTGAAATCTCATCGCATCGAAATTGCGCCAGAAGCTCTTGTTGAGTCGGTAAATCCAGGTCCTTGTTGCTAACAATCTGATCCCAAACACCTTGCGCATACACGGAGAACCCATCCGCAGGAATTCGACGGTGATACTCGGGTAAGAAAATACCACCCTCCAGCTCGTGGTTGGCATCAAATCCATGTTCCTTCGACGTTCGGTGGCCTGCTCTAAACCTAGTTCCCAAATTCCCGACCTCAGTCAAGAACTTGTCTGGTTGCAGTATTTTATGTGGTAATGCTGCGAAACCAAAATCAAAGTAGTCTTCTATCCGGGAGTTTTCTAGTCCCTTTGGTTTCGAAAGACTGGTCCAGATGTTTGTCAAATCGGCGATCAGAGTATTGCGAAGGTTTGCAAGAGGGGTCGTGCCAAGATGGTCGCGAATGACGAAGAATAGGAGCGATCGTGGATTGGACCTGCGAGATGTTAGAGCTTGTCGCACACTGAAGGGTAGTCCGCATACTTCTTGTCCTTCAAAAACAGTTGCAAGTTGACTTCAAAGACTGTTTTCAAAAGTCCCATATTGGCACCTTGGTATAGACCAACTTGATGCTCCCAGATATTGACAATGAGAACCTCACTGGTAGCCAGGGCGAACAGGGCGCTCTTCCTTTCGAAATCTTGATCCTCTCCTCGCTCGCGACCATCAGTCCCCTCCACATCCATGACTAGGATATTCTCGGCCATCTTCTTAGAATCCGGACCTTCTGCATGCTCGCGTTTGTTTTTTGACATCCATATCCCTTTAGTGGTCTGCCGCCGCTCAGTCTCAGACATAACCCCGAAATCTGTCCCGAATAAATGGTTGAGTAAAGTCGACTTCCCTGTGGACTGCGAGCCAAAAACGGATATCAGGTGGTAGTTGAAGCCAGATTGTGCAATCTTGGTGAGTTGGAGATACATGTTGAGATGAGGACTAAAGCACCATTAGCATGGAATGACAAGCTGGCAGACAGTCGCATACTTGAACTCCTTTTCTTCATCAATAACCTGGATGCCATGTTCGTACTGCTCCTTTGTCGGCGCATCACCAACTCCTGCAAAATGGCCGTTCATCGTCATGACTGAAGGGGCAGTTGGAAATCTCGCAGCTGCAGATGGCCGTCGTTCACGGCCGTCGGTCTGGGAAGCCATGAGAAATGGCTTTGCACAACGGCGGGCGGGTGTACAAGACAATTCAGGAAGTTAGGCCTTGTGACGTTGGGAAACCAAGGCCAGGCGGTGCAGGTGGTGTGCTTCCCCTTGTCCAAATCCTCGATCGATGGGATACATTTTGGGCACGGGCACTTGGGACCAGGATGACGACGGTCTACCTAAGCCGAGAACAGCTAGAGCCAACGTTAAAATCACATGACTGCACGCAACCAAAGCAATTGTGCCCCTTTTTGGAATTTTGTTTCTTTTCGTTGTTTGTTCTTTACCGAGAAACTCAAGAACAATCCTGGTACTTGTTTACTTCGGGATAGATGGTACGGAGATAACAGTTGCCATTCTTCTAGTCGGGACAACCTGGCCCAGTACAGTTTCCCTCGGCAAGCTGCCTTCTTTGGCCTGACTCAGGAACACATATTTGTTCAGGGGATAGTGGAGCTGTGTTGCGAATTGAGGTAACCGTTGTGGGCTTTATCAAGATTCCGTGCCGTCAAAAGTGCACATTGAGCGCCTCTTACACCACATTATTTGGATTCTGCAAGACTTCCTATCCTCCGTTATCTGAATGCTGCCCTCGGCTGTTCTCCTCTCATTGGTCTCTCGGTCAAGCCGTTGACATATCGGCTTCATGGCGGGCCCAGGCGTGCCAAGTGAAATCGAAGCTTATTACGTAGTAGTCGCATTGGGAATCGCATGGTAACCGCACCCTCTTTTTCGTGAGATCACTTCCCTGAATATTTGACAGGTTGAAGTGACAGCGGACGATTACCTTGCCTTACCTCTTTATCTTAATCTAGATCCCCGAGCCCCTCTCCTGTCCCCCGCGCCGCTGTACTTGCCGATATTTACACGTTACGCGTTATCTCTACTCGGGATTCGAGACCGTTCGGAGCAACCTACTCTCTTAATGTGCCTTGCCCGTATATAACAATCGCCCCATCTCTCAGATAGTCTGGATCTCACTTTTGCTTTGCTCTCGTGCCATCCTGCCCCTTCTGTGTTTTCGGGTACCGAAGGAAACAGGCCAACAACTTCAAAATGCCGGGCTCAATCGCCCGCAATGATGGCTCTATTGCCAATGCCGATACGGCACTGGAGAATATGGGCTACAAGGCCGAACTACCGCGGTATTTGAGCATGATGTCTATCCTTGGACTGTATGTCCCCCTTTCTCACGTGGTCGCTATTCTCTAACTGAATACAGGTCCTTTGCCATTATGGCTGTTCCCTTTGGTCTCAGCACTACCATGGCAATTTCCTTGACTGATGGCCAGTCTGTGACTGTTTTGTACGGGTGGATCTTTGTGTCTATTATCTCTCTTAGTATTGCCGCCTCTCTAGCCGAAATCTGCGCCGTCTATCCTACATCCGGAGGTGTCTATTACTGGTCTGCTATGCTTTCAACGAAGAAATATGCCCCGCTGGTTTCGTGGACCACTGGCTGGTTCACACTCGTCGGAAATTGGACAGTCACACTGAGTATCAACTTCTCAGGCGCTCAACTGATTCTCTCCGCAATCACCATCTTCAATCCGGACTTCGTGGCTACTCAATGGCAGACTGTTCTCATGTTCTGGGGAGTCATGTTGATCGCCTTCCTCGTCAATGTCTTCCTAGCCAAATATCTCGACTTGATCAACAAGATTTGCATTTATTGGACCGCAGCTTCGGTCATTATCATCATTGTCACAGTTCTCGTGATGTCAGATGACCGCCGAAGTGCTGAGTTTGTTTTCTCTCATTTCGATGCTTCCGCGTCTGGCTGGCCATCTGGATGGGCTTGGTTTGTCGGTCTTCTTCAAGCTGCATGTTAGTATTCCGACTATTTATAAACTTAGCTTCGTCATTAACATATGTTTCAGATACCCTCACAGGATACGGTATGGTAGCATCTATGTGCGAAGAAGTCCAGAATCCGCAGCGCGAAGTCCCAAAAGCCATGGTCCTTTCCGTCGCAGCCGCCGGTCTCACCGGTCTCATCTACCTGATCCCAATTCTTTTCATCCTGCCCGACATCCCTCTTCTTCTATCCGTAGCCAACGGACAACCCATTGGTCTAGTTTTCAAAATCGCAACTGGTTCTGCAGGTGGTGGTTTCGCGCTCCGTAAGTAATTCCTTCGTTTCCAATCTTCACGCTTCACGCTTCACTCTTCTATTTCCCGTCTCCACATGTAGCCACTAGAAAAAGAGGAATAAAATTAACATTGCCAGTCTTCCTCATCCTCGGCATCCTCTTCTTCGCTGGAGTAGGTGCCTTGACCGCCGCCTCCCGCTGTACCTACGCCTTCGCTCGAGATGGCGCCATCCCTGGTAGCAGACTCTGGAAGCAAGTCTCTCCACGCTTCGACATTCCCCTTCTCGGCCTCGTCCTCTCCACAATAGTCGACTGCATCCTCGGCTGCATCTACTTCGGTTCCACCTCCGCATTCGGCGCCTTCACTGGCGTCGCCACAATCTGCTTATCTGTCTCGTACGGAATCCCCATCCTGGTCTCCCTCATCCGCGGCCGTCGTGCCGTTCGCCACTCCACTTTCTCGCTGGGCAAGTTCGGATTCTTCATTAATGCTGCGACGATAGCGTGGATTATGCTGGCTATTGTGCTGTTCTGTATGCCGACTGCTATTCCGGTTACGCCTGTGACCATGAACTACGCGAGTGTGGTGTTCAGCGGCTTTGCGTTGATTAGTGTGATTTGGTATATTATTCGCGGGAGAAAAGAATTCACAGGTCCACCTGTGCCGGTTGATGTTGAGCCGGAGCATGATGGGGAGGTAGTTGGGGGGTTAGGTAGAGTTATGACTGAGGGGGATGATACCTTGAATGGGAGTGCTGGCGGTAAGAAGACTAATGAGAAGCGGTAGGTTGATGGAATGTTTACTGCATGGGAGAAAGGTGAGGGTAATGTTTCGATGCTTGTGCAGCAAAGGAGTTGGAGAGGGAAAAAAGAGAGGTCCTGTGTAGACTTTCATCAGTCGAGATATAATTACCCAATGTATTAGATTCTGGATTCAAGGGAAGAGCTTGGGATATTTCCCATCTGTGATCCGAGTCCTGTGCAAAACATGAAGGTTCATAGAGTTGGACCTCTTGCGAAGCTGCAATCTATCAATCTCATCAAATCAGAGGAAAAATCAGGGTGGGTCATGCCATAGGGAGAAGACCCAATGGAATGTATCTGCCTATCGTACACATTAACTCAAGCTTACAAGATAAACTTCAAACCTCTCTGTAAGACATCTTGCAAAAGCATTCTGAAGTCAAGCAAGGAGTGCAAAGAGACCAGACAAGCGAAGCCGATAATAAAGACAAAGAGTAACGACAAATCAAATCAATTTCAAGGAATGCTTGCTATGTATGCGACAGAGAATGCAACCACCACCACTACCTAACCACAAAACCAAGTCATTAAACTATGCACATCTTGAGAGTCTCCTCAACCTCATTACATCAAATCTCATCGTAGATACCACCACCAATCAAGACTGACTGGCAAGGTAATTCGCAGCCTGTTGCAAGCACATGTCAGAGAGTTAGAGTCAATGATTAGCAGGTTCACAACTCACCCTTTCTAAATTGTAGTCGTACTTCTCCAGTGCGGCGAGGGCGTCGTTTCTGGGGTATCCCATTCCAGTCAGGTTCTTCAGGATTGGGTCGTCGTGCACGCCAGCTTCTGTGAGCGCTCTACCGATTTGGGGACGCTCGGGTGGAGGGCTAGTAGAGGTGCCATTACCGAGAGGTTTGACGGTCTCTGCGGATTTGGGAGCTTCAGTGGCTGTCGGAGGAGCATCATCGAGACCAGCAAAAATGGCATCCCAGTCTTGATTGTCATTGACAGGAGCGGCTGTGGTCGAGGTCTGGGTAGTGATTGGAGATTGAGTGAAATCTCCGAAGGCATTGTTACTTCCTCCGAAACCATTACCTTGTTGACTGGAATGTTCTTGGCCCTTTGATTGTGGAGGGCTATCGAACATAGGATTGAAATCATCCAGACCAGATCGATCATGGGCAGAGACATTAGCAAATTCATCATCGGCATCGCCTTCTTTAGCATCTTCAAGGCCATCAAAATCATCGAAGTCGTCGTCAAACGGTATCTTCGGCGGAGCGACTGGTTGAGCGGAAGTGGACGGGGCACCAAACGGTGTCTGTCCGCTTGAAAAAGGCCCTGATATCTGCTCGGGAGAGGCAGAAGTTGGAGTTGGGACATCACGGGAAGGAAGAAGTCCAATGTACTGCTGAGCTTCCGCATGAGCTTGATCAGTCGACGTAACAGACTTATCATATGCGGGAGGTGACGATTGGGCGCCAGGAGTCGGTGGACTGGTTCCAACACTCAATGCAGACGATTGCTGGACAGCGGTTGGTCTTGCAGCGAGCAGATCATTTCCATCGCTTAACGCGGGTGCTTGTGAGCCACTGATCTTTCTCGCATGGCCAGGAGAGGCTGGAGCAAAATCATCATCAAACCCGCCGCCCTCGCTGTTACTGTCGCTGTCTTCGTCATCTGCTAGTTCTGCAATGGGTGGAAACTCCTTGTTAAACCCAGTGGCAGCAGCGGATCCTGACGCTGAAGAGTTCCCCGTGTTCGAGCGTTCTTGCTTTTTGGCAGCGCCCCCGAAGCCTGCAAAGGCAGAATCGAAGTCGTCCTTGGCTGTTCCGGTTCGCTCTGGTGCCTTGACCATTGCGAAGGGATCGGTTGTGGCATCACTCAAAGTACTCCCGCCAGTAGGAGTTGCGGTGATGGTCGAGTTAGAGTCGCCTGGGAAAGCTCCTGGAATGGAGTCTTTATGATCTGGTGCGTTAGGGGAGGCATTAGAATTTCGGTCGATACCTGGGGACACGGCTCTAGCAGTTTCTGTTGGGCCTGCAGCTGACGAGCCTGTCGGTGTCGTTCCCATATAATTCGTAGGTGTATCAGCCCCGGTAGAGCCTTCTCCAGATCGACTATTAGGAGCGGATACCTGTCGGGAGGAGGTTACAGAGTCATCGTGAGAGGGAAAGGGCAGAAAGCTGGAGCTGATCTGCCTAGACTCTGGAGGTGGGGGTGGAATAGTGGTGGTAGGAGGAAGCTCTCGGTTAGCCGTTGGCGGAGGTGACGACGATTGGGATCCAAAACCGCTTCCACCTGTCGTCTGTGACCGAACTGGAAGTGCAGATGCAGACCCAACTGACGGAGAACGGTTGCTCTCCTGCCTAAAGCTTGTTGTTGGAGCATCACTGCCAGCTGCCCCAGCGCCAAAAGATGGACCAAAGACATTCTCAAAAGAACGGTCATTTTGTTGGTTTGCACCAGGCGAAGTCGCGAATGGTGAGTTGGAGATATCCGTTGAGCTACCCTGGCGACGGAAGAACGGGTTGTTGGCACTCATGGTAGAAAGTGCAGGGCTTGCAACTGGAGCGGGACTCTGCACTTGACTTTGAGCCTTGGAAGCAATAGCGAGTGCTTTGGTGTCCTCTTCAATACTCTTGTTCAGCTCCTCTGCTTCGGACTTTAGTTTTTCTCTTTCTCCTTCATTCGTTGCAAGCTGCTTCTTGTTAATTGCTACCAATCCCTTCTGCTGACGAGCATCTGACCTAAGCTTGTCCAAAACAGGCTTCAGCTGGGCGATCTCGGCATTGATAACTCTCATGCGTTCCTTCAAGTTGGCATTCTCTTGTTGATCTGCTTGCAAGGCAGTAACAATTTGTCGATGTTGGTTCTGGAGATCCGCATGAGTCCCTTCAATCATGGCGATCTCAGTTTGCAGCTTCTTGGTCTCATTGCGGGATGCTGTAAGTCGCTCTTCCAGACTTCTGACGTCCTTAACTTCTTGTTCGTACAGAGCGCGAAGTTGTGAGAGGCGTGTTTCAAACTCGCGCTTTTGAGTGTTGGCTTGATTCAGCTCATTTTGAGACGTTGCCCGTTGACCTTGAACATCCTGCATTTGCTTCGATAAAGAGCCAACTTGATTAGACAAATTTGCGAGCTCACTCGTCTCATTCGTGAGTCTCTTGCTGATCTCTGGGTCGTTATCGCCAAGTAAGTCTTCAGCTGCAGAATGCTGCGGCTGGAAGGACCTTGGCTGCGCAGGGCCCGAATTGTTTGAACCTCCAGTGCCTTGATAGTTCAAACTTTGGCCAAAGGAGGACGAAGGTGCAAAAGGCTTGAAAACAGTTTGGTGTTGAGGGGAATTGGCGGTCGGTGAAGTTGGTGTCATGGGTCCGCGTGAGCCAAATGGATCATTGTCTGTTTGACGACTCGCGCCGAATGAGCCTGAGCCACCAGTGGATTGAGGAGCCTGCGTCGGGGCAGGGCCGGGTGATGATAGAGCGTCAAGACCAAACAAGTCTTCCGCAGCTGATTTGGGCATTGACGGGGCCGCATCGAAGGCAGGTGCTGTTGGAAGAGATGCAGGATGAATCTGATTGCGCATCGATGGTGGAATGAGGTTCGGCGGTAGAACATTGGGCAAAGAATCTCTGCCATCCCGCTTCCCTCTCTGTTGCCGTATAAGGTACATCGCTACTGCAAACTCATCCCGGGTCAAGTGACCAGCAGAATTGATATCTGCAAGATCCCAAATTTGAGCCAAAACTTCTTCGGGGAGTTTGGATTCGCTGAAAAAGGGTACTGCCTCATCACCAGTAATGTAGCCCTTGTTAGCTCTGTCGAGATTGTTGTAAATGCCGTCAAACTTCTGTTTATCTGATGGAGTGATGGCCCAGTCTCCAACAGGACCAGAGTTCTGAGGGAATTGTTGGGGTGGTGCAGTGTAAGAAGGTCGACTTAGCGGACTACCGGTTCGGGCTGTTCCAGCACCACTGAATTGCCTAGGGATCGCGGACATAGCTCCAGCACCAGAAGACTGTCTACTGGGTGGTCGACGAGCCGCCGCTTCGTAGAGGCCAGCAGGAAGAAGATTCGGCAGCGCCCGAAGTGCACCAGATTTGAAGGATGCCAATAAATGCATAGCGATCACAAACTCAGTCACCTGGAGTGATCCCTTCTGTTCTGTATCGGCCAGGTTCCATATTCTCCCGAGAACATCATTTGGTAATCCTGCACGTTCAAATATTGACTTCGCCAGCTCTCCAGGAAGCACTCCGTTTTGAGCTCCTGACCTCTCGAATAGCCCAGCATATTGCGCTGCCTTTTCTGGTGTAAGAGGAGGTACTCGAATAGGCCCGGAGCCGCTGCCTTGAGGTTGCAATGCACTTGGCGGGGGCCCAGGAGGTGGTTGTACAACAGGACTTATGCCCGGAGCAGATCCGCCATCGAACTTGGGGAGAGGTCCAGGACGAAGGGCCAGATCGGGTGTTGGGTCTCGTCCTGCTTGATAATGACCGATCAACCTCAGCACGATTCCAAAGCCCGCAGGCGTAAGCAGGCCTCTATTCTCTTTATCCGCTATTTGCCATATCTAAGAACGAGGTGGTAAGTCAGTCTTGCTCGTATTGTGAATGGCCTGGAGGACGGGTAGCTGCTGGACGACAGGAAACATACCTCTCCCAATATGCGTGGTTCGAGCCTAGTCTTTTCGAAGAACTTGACTGCAACCTCTCCTGTGACAACCCCAATATTCTCTGAATCTGCCTCTCGAAACAGTTGGCCAAACACGCGCTTCTCCTCTGGCGTCAGGTTCAGGCTCGGCGCCGCTGTAAAGTCGTCAGCAAATAATACGTTGGATTGAGCTGTCCCTATTCAGTGCAGGTGTCTGCCTTCCAAGGCCGCCCATGACTTTCAATCCTCGGCCTTTCACCATTGGTGGGCTGGTCATCCAAAGCTCGAAAGTAAATAAACTCTTACTTGGATCTTCCGCCATAGCGCCTCCACTTCCGGATCTTGTGGAGTAGGTCCGTCGGCACAGCAGATAAACCGAACTAACTCTTGAACTGAAGCTGCAGATTTAAGCTGCGATAATGATGCGAGGTTCGTAGCAATCAACAAGAGCTTGGGTGACAGGAGCTTGGAGTTGCAAGAGATGGAGACGAGGTTGAAGCTGGCTGGGTCAACCTCCCGAACCTAGCGGGATGCCGCCTAGCGTACCAATTCCCGCCCGTCTCACGATTTACTGGCTCCGAGGATAGCGAATGGTTGGAAAGCAACGCAATTTCTCATCACTTTCACCGCAGCCTGCATTTACATCTGCATATTCTTGCAGGTCACAAGGTTCCTTTGCAGTGTCGGAAATCATCCATTGGCATTTGCATGCATATTAAAAAGTAACCAGTATGAAGTGCAGGCAGAGCTGTGCTTATCGACAGTTTATTTGCCTACTGACTACGGTGTGAATTACAAAGAGGGTTGGTGATCATTCTGGTTGAAGGAAATCCTTCGCAAAGTCCGCAGTAAAAAGAAAAACGTTGGTCCAACAACCCCATACTGAACATGACGAAGCTCCAAACACTCCAAACGAAGCATCATGTTGCTGAATCAAGTTCCAGATCTAAGTCCCAAGTATGATGCGATCCCACAGGAGATAAACATATCACTCAGCAAAGCAATCCGCTTAGTACTCAGCTTCAGCTCCTTCATCACCTTCAAGAGAATCCGTCGCAACCTCCTCGTAATCACGCTCCAGCGCAGCAAGATCTTCACGGGCCTCGGAGAATTCACCCTCCTCCATACCCTCACCGACGTACCAGTGGACGAAAGCACGCTTGGAATACATGAGATCGAACTTGTGAGAGAGAGCGGACCATGCCTCGGCAATGGCGGTAGTGTTGGAAAGCATGCAGCTGTTTGATATTAGCAAAAAGGTTGTAAAGCAAATTCCATGAGTACTTACACAGCACGGTTGACCTTGGCCAAGTCGCCGTTGGGAACCATTTGAGGTGGCTGGTAGCAGATACCGATCTTGAAGCCAGTTGGGCACCAGTCAACGAATTGGATAGTTCGCTTGGTCTTAAGAGTTGCGACGGCGCCGTGAACATCCTTTGTCACAACATCACCACGATACAACAGGCAGGTAGCCATGTACTTTCCGTTGCGGGGATCGCACTTCACCATCTGGTTGTTCGGCTCGAAGCAGGACATGGAGATCTCCTGGACCGAGTTGGCCTCGTGGGAAGCCTTAGCAGCAGAGACGACTGGTGCGTAGGCGACGAGAGGGAAGTGAATACGTGGGTAAGGAACCAAGTTGGTCTGGAACTCGTTCAGATCAACGTTAAGGGATCCATCGAAACGGAGGGAGGCGGTAATGGAAGAGACAACTGATATTATGTTAACACTATTCAAACACCATCCGACAAGCACACGTACCTTGAGCAATGAGGCGGTTCAAGTTCTCGTAGTTAGGACGCTCAAGACCAAGGTTTCTTCGGCAGATGTCGTAGATAGCCTCGTTGTCAACCATGAACGAGCAATCGGAGTGTTCGAGGGTTGTGTGGGTGGTGAGAATGGAGTTGTATGGCTCAACAACGGAAGTGGCGGTTTGTGGAGCTGGGTAGACGCAGAACTCCAGCTTGACCTTCTTGCCGAAGTCGACGGAGAGACGCTCCATGAGTAGAGCGCCGAAACCAGAACCAGTTCCACCACCGAAGGAGTGGAAAACAAGGAAACCCTGAAGACCAGAGCAGTTGTCGGCAACGTGGCGAACCTTGTCCAAAACCTGGTCGATCAGCTCCTTTCCGACAGTGTAGTGACCACGGGCGTAGTTGTTTGAGGCATCCTCCTTTCCAGTGATCATTTGCTCAGGGTGGAACAAGGTGCGGTAGGTACCGGTTCGGACCTCATCAACGACGTTGGGCTCGAGATCGCAGTAGATGGTTCTTGGTACGTATTTTCCTTGACCTGCCGGGCGGAAACGCGTTAGATACGTGCATCAAGGAGGCGTTCATGTTGTGTTTACCAGTTTCAGAGAAGAAGGTGCTGAAACCCTGATCAGGCTCAGCGGCCTTGCGCTCCTCGGTCAAATATCCATCAGGCTGTGGTAGAACGCGTTAGATAAAGCTCCAAGTCTGTAGAATATATCTGCGGGAGAGTGGTGGTTGAGAATATGCTTACCTGGATACCGTGCTCAAGGCAGTAGAGCTATCGTGGAAAAAATCGCGCGTTAGCGACCGCAGATAGGGGCGATGGAGGCTTGGAGGAGCTGAGCACCAATCTTTATAGTGAACTTACCTCCCAGCAAGAGTTTGCGATTTGGCAACCGGCTTGACCGACTATATAGCAGACGTGTCAGTACAAAGGAGGTCTGGACGTTGGGGACGCGGGTAGGTGAGCAGTAGGAGCGGTGTGCAGGCGCGTCGAGGGTCTCCTTACCGTTGATGCTAATAACTTCTCTCATATTTGCGGTTGTGATGAGATTGGGCTGGATGAACGGCGGAAGATGTAGAAGAAATCACAGCAAAAATGCTGGGGAGGTCTTCGAAGTGGTCTGTGAAGAAGATGGATAGTGGGGAAGGAAGAGAAGCGTCAAGGGGTTATTGATTTGAGGTTTGGTGGGTCGTGCTTGCCCATAAACAAAAGAGACGCTAGCCAGAAGAGACATCGCGACTAGACTGTATTTAGAGTAGTGGCCCAAGCTCCTTCCCCGCCAGAAGTCTTCAAGAGCATCGGCAGCCTTCCAATCTGCAGCGTTCCAGTGAGGACATCAGACGACGAAGACGACACAGAAAGCATTCTGCTTCTGAAAAAACAGTCAAATCTAGAATCAGAGCCATTCTTCAAGGAGTATACTCGAGCTGTTACTCTGAAGATAATTTTCCATTCGGAGCCCGGCATCAACGCAGTTTTCAAGGGATTGAGTTATTTATTGTCTGTACAAACAGAATCAATTCCCAATTAGCAGCCATGTTCCTCTTCAGCTCGTTATTGTTGCTGCAAGTTTGTCATGTTCTCGCAAACACCGAGAAAGTTATATTCCTTGGCCCCAGCAGTCTGCAGGTACCAGCAGCCCATCCGACACTCGAAGACCTGCAACTAGACTCCATATCTCCAAAGCGTTGGGCTCTGCGAACGCATATTCCAGCTGAGTTTCCAACCAATGCTTCTCAGTACGGACAAGTATCATGGTATCTGTTGGACAGGTTGCAGGAAGGCCAAAGATATGAAGTTAGGATATGCTGGGCTGCCACAGTAAGGTCCTTGTAAACATCGTCTGGCAACGGCTCACACTAGTTCAGCAACCAACATCTTTCCGTCTTGATACTTTTGATTTGCCTACTATTTTCGAAACTCCTGAGTTGATAACATCACTTGCACAGTATTCAGAAACTCGACAAACAGAGGTTATGGAAGACTTGCAACCTGTAGAGTCGCAAGTGGAGAAGAAATCGAAAGCTCATGACGAAGTCTCCTCGACTCTGTTCCTGAGAGTATACGCAGCAGCAGACTACTATACCACAAACAAGACATTGATGGTGCAAGTTCCTCCAGTATATGTCGACCTTATTTTGGACCCGTTCATATTCAACGTCTTTCCACGATCACTGGTTCCAACAGCAGCATATATCACCCTAATTGCAATTGGAAGCTGGTTCTTGGCAAAGTACATAAGCGGCTGGATAAGTGCCTTGCCGAATGAGCAGAGTTCGCAAAAGAAAACCCTATGATCAAGACACCAGGTACGACCACGCCAAGCTAGCTCAGGGTACACCCTTCCCTTCCCTTGTGGCTTTAGCAAGCTCACTCTGCGCGCTATCGTCTGCATATCGCTTGTATATCGGCACATAGTGCTCTCTCTCACTCGTTGTAGTGATTACACTTTGTCTCTTCTCGACAGCACTCAACCACTTCCCCCATCTGTCCCAAACCTTGTCTTGTGGGATTTGCAAGCCACCCTTGAAATGCTCGAACACCCAATGTCTGACGGCCCATGGTGCGAGGACCAAATCGACCATGCTGACTTGACTCCCAAGAAAATACGGGCCAATTGGATCCATAGCTTCCGTGAACTGCTTGAGGTTGCCCAGAAAATCAGCACGTACTTCGTCGATGCTAGACTTTGAAGATGGCTGATGTTGTAAGAACCGATGAAAAGCTGGAATAATGCGTGAAGTCACAAAGTCTGTCCAAATACGCGTTCGGGCCTTAGTATAAGGATCTGAGGGCATCAGACGCGGCGTTGCAGACGGGTAAGCCTCTTCGAGAAATTCACAGATCACTGTGCTTTCATAGAGTGGCTTTTGTTCATATTCGAGGGTTGGGACCAGTCCTCGAGGGTTGAGTTTGAGAAGAGACTCTGGCTTGTGGTACGGATTGACCTAGTGATATCAGAAGTGTAGTCTTTGAAGCAGCTGTGGAGACAGACTTCGATGTATTGAAAGGGGATATTTTTCTCTAAGAGGACCAATAGAACTCTTTGCACGAAGGGGCAAAACTAGACAAATCAATCACTGCTGTCAATCGGGCTCTTGATAGATTACCCATCCCGAATACAATTTCAAAGACTCCTCCTTCTTCATGCTCCTTTACCATCGTAGCGGCCGCCCCAGTGGCATGCGGGAATAGCTTTGAATCAGGGTGTTCTTTGCCCATATTTGCCGTGTTGCTTGAAGATTACTGTCCTAGAATGTTTTCTTGACGAAGCAACAAAGTATGGAAAAGGGATTTCCTAAAATATATTGAGGGGTCGAAAGATATCACAGAGCATGACGCCATCATACCGAGCGATCTGCGTGGCAACTCAGACTGGTCCATTCAGTCAAACTACAGCCGTAGTCTTCTTGGGAAACTTCAAAATGTCCTTTCCCTGTTCACTCTATTCCACTAGTCAACCTTCTTCAAACTAATCACTTTCGGGGGACCGAACACAAGAGGTGGTAATACATCGGGCTATTAATAGCACATAGCATCAACATTCTGTTCTACAACCCATTAACCTTAACAATAACGCGCAAGACAAAACTACGGAAAAGGCACATAGAAGTAGTAGCCCCGTATTCAAATTTCCATATTGAGAGATTTACTAGTAGTCAGAGTTCAGCTGGACAGAGGAGGCGTAAGTTGTGGCGTTAAGGTTGATTTGCTGTGAATGCGCTGTGTAGCGGGGGCTGTGCTGAAATTCATTCCTGGCCAGCTCGCAACCGCTTCGAGCTTCCCTCCTTCACAGTGCAACAACACCACAAAACCCCTTTGTTTCTGCCACCCCTCCTTTCTTCTTCCTAATCCCCTTTCTCGAATTACACATCTTAAGTATTTGCACACAGGGAAAGATACCATAGCCTGTGGAATATGACAAGCCCTGCTACGTATGTACCCCCGCCGTATCGACCTTGCGCCATTCGCGATGAGACACTCAGCTGACCGTATGTAGTCCTGGGCAGGAAGGCCCCTCGTATGCTCCCCCTTCTCTCCCCGAAGGCTGGATTCCGCAATGGGATGCCAACTCTAAGAAATATTACTTCGTTCAGATCTCAACTGGCGCTTCTCAGTATGTCGAACACTTCTTCATCCGCCGCCCCATGTCCAAGGCTGCATTGTTCCAGGTCCCTTACAGCAAACGGGAACATTGTGGAATTACTTCATAATTGCTTTAATGGTTGGAAACTGTACTAACTTTCTTCGCAGATGGGAAGTCCCCACGCACGCAGCCCCAACGGGTCCTACACCTCAAGCAACGCCCCAAGGGACGGAACACCCATACGGTCAACCAGGTCAGCAACAGGACTTGGACATCGTCACAAACCAAGATGGGAGCCAGTCTATCAGACACCGCGATGGAACTCTCGAGCCATACTCCGGCGATAGAAGCTTGACTGGAAACATTGGAAACTTCGCTATGAATCAGCTTATGGGCGGCAAGAAGAAGCAGAGCGGAGGAAGCAGTGGTCTTGCTGGAATGGCGAGCTCTTTTCTTGGAGGCGGATCCAGCCATGGCGGGCATGGCAGCTCGAGCAGTGGTGCTGGTGGCATTGTGGGCGCTCTTGCAGGAAGCTTGTTGAGTGGAGGAAAGAAGACCCATAACAGCAGCCAGAACACCAACTATTCGGGCTCGAGTGGTCAGCAACATGGCTCTGGCGGTGGATTGATGGGACAAATCGGAGGCATGTTTGGTGGAGGTGGACATCAGGCTTCGGTGTGTTTCCATGATCTTGTGTTTTGATCAAGTAACTAACAGTTGTCTTAGCAGGGAACCAACTACGGATACAGCAATAACAGCTCATCTCAAGGAGGATATAGTGGTCAAGCACCACCAACATCCTACCAGCCAGGTGGTACATCTGGTTCTACCCCCAGCTACGGCCAAAATCAGCCTCAGCATCAGCCTCAGCATCAACAACAAAGCCACGATCAATACGGTCAAAGCCAACCTCAACATCAGTCCCAGCCTCCCCAATCTTATAACTCTCCACAGCCATCCTACGGCCAAGCTCCACCACCCGCTCACCAGCAGTACGGTTCTCCCAACCCACAACAGAACCAACAGCCACCATATGGCGGTCTTCAACACCAAAACTCCTATGGTCAAGGCCACCCTCCACCACAACAACCACCACCACAGCAACAACAACAACAGTATCCTCCCCCACCTCCAGGAGCTTACCCAGGACCCCCATCTTACGGAGGACCTCCCCCACAACAACACACTGGAAATCTCCCTCAACCAGAAGGACACCATCATTTTGGTGGCTCTCACACAGGTGGGCTCTACGGCAACTCAGGCGGCAGCGCTCCCCCTCCACCCATGGGAACACACCCCAATCAAGGCGGCTATGGCGGTGGATATAACGCCAACCCGCGATACTAAGGCATGGAATGGTATTTCTTAATGTGGCGAGGGGAAAACAGGTGGATGGTTTACTTGGAAGCTTTTGCGAGGGATTTCGATATAGGTTGCATGGACTTCTCGCTCGCTTAGATCAGTTCGATATCCGCATTGTGGTTCAGGATAGGCACTGTTTGCTGTAATTCTTATAGAGAATATCTCAAGATATAATTCGTAGGATTTTAGGATGTCCTTTTACTTTCGTGGACGCCATTGTGACAGGTGGCTTCTAACTTGTAATTCGAAAGATGAATATCCCATCCCAACTCAGAGGCATTACTTTGTCTTTACACCCGTCCACTCATATACCGCATCATACAAGTCATTAACCACAGGCCGCGCTCAACTCATCCACCACTACTCCATTAATTCGAGCCTTATTCACTGCTTCTCATCCCTCTCGATGAACCAATTCGCACCCACAACTTGCAAATCTTCCCTCTGAGCCCAATCTCTAACACCGTGCCTCACCTTGCCCGTGCCCCAATGCTGGCGCTCGTCCGGTGCTGTCAGGTTCGTGGTGTCCCCTTCGAGAATCACAAAGACGTAACGATGGTATCCTGTTTTCGGTGGTGGGCCGGGAGGTTTATCTGTTTAGCGTTAGAGGGACGAAGAATTGGAAGTGGATGTGAGGGAGGAAAAGGGAGGGTAAATCACATTCAACCAGGTCCAAATCTGGATCGTCAGAGCTGAGGATAGAGAATTCGAGGGGTTTATGAATTGTGCTGGTGAAACGAGTGGGGATTATGTATATCCACTGATTTGAATTAGTCTAGACATTTCAGAGTAGATATGGCTACAGTCCACAAGATATTGTATAAGTTCACATATGGGTCTGACCATAAGAGAAGGTACTCACATGGCACATCTCAGACCACTTCGGATCTTCTCTACTCTTCGCATCTGGATCGGTGAGTGCCGCCACCAAACCAGGCGTCTCCAGTGTGTCGGGACAATAGATCGACAAGCCTGGTGGTTTCTTTGTCTGCTTCGGCTTGAACTTGTTACCCAGATCGACGGCACCTTTGTGGGTCTTGCCGGAGTTCTTGCTGTAGTAAGCTGTAATGAAACATTTGGGCTTGAAATCATCCAGGACTTCGGGAATGATGGAGGATTTGTTGAGGCTGCATTGTGTAAGCTCAGAGGTAGAGAGTATGGGAGAAATGGGATACGCTTTTCGGACTGTTCCTGTATAGTCCTTTCTGTGGGTTTGGATGAGGGGATTTTGGGAATTTGTTTTGATTAGGCTTGCACTTGTAGCTCCCGATAGGAGTGTAAAAAGCAAGGAAAGATTGAATAGCATTATGATAATCTATTCGGAAACACGATCTTATTTGTCTCTCTTGCTTTTGGAACAGGCCCAATTTCAATTGCTCAAGAAGATCTGAATGAGAGAAAATACGAATTGTACTCGTAGCTTTCGAGGATGTCCACCCCGCGTAAGAAGTGCTTCCATCCAATCAGGAGCTCTGATGTCATACATTTCATCAGTTGATGCCTTCTAGGTGAGGCAACAAATCAACAATTGAGAGAAAAGGAGAATTCCGAGTGAGAGAGAACTACCGCGCGTGGTTGGGTGATAGGGTTACAGAAACTAACGACGAAAATATGAAGGAATAGAAAGTGGATACTGGCCTTTTACATTCCATATGTTCAATCAGGCGTGATGGATGCATTGTACGTATCCTGCAGAAGTAAACTCTTAGAGATCAAGGCAAATGCATGATGGTACTGGCCAAGAAATAGGGAGATGTTCCACTGTCTGGAGGCCAGAAAGGAGAGCTGTAACAGGTGCTAATGCAGAGAAGCAGAACCGCAGAAACTCAAAAACTCGGAAGTGGCGAAATGCATGAAGAAAGGATACAAGGAGCAGAAGTTAGTTGGATATTTCATGAAAGGTAAAGAAAATGACCCGATGGGAAGTCGCTGGAAGAGAAGGGGGTTCGCATGATCTATATTTACTTGTGATACCTAGCAAGGAAGACCTCGTGCACATGCTGTCATCTGCAGAAGTTCAGATTCCCTTGTATTCCTCCAATAGTAAAGAGATATGGGGAATAGTTCGCCTGTAGCTCATAAATAAACTATTCACAGCGTGATAATAAATTATAAACTGAAAGAAGAATGTCTGGAGAGAAGATATTACAAAGAAGTGTTGAGTAGGAGCCAGAGCCAGAATCTAGTCCAGTGACAGGGATGATGAGGCCTTGGCGGACTCTGCACCCGACGCATAACCTTGGAATTTTAGAAGTAAATACACTCTCAAAGGGATCAACAAGTACCCACGACTGTCGCTCTTCACCGGACCAACGATAAAGATTCCCCTCTTAACGGAGCCTCGATATCAACCATCGTGCGCGGCCTTCAATTTCTGAGTAGAGGGCGACTGGGCTCTGACGCGACGCAGCAACGGTGTTTGAGCTCTACCTCTTGCTCCCCATCGTCCTTTTCAACTCGACAAGATGGCATCACTGGGTGAGGACTTGCTTGGGATAGTCAACAAGCTCCAAGATCTTGTTTTCAACACTATCGGCAATGACAGCCTGGATCTCCCACAAATTGTACGAACGCCCCTCGTTCTGTTTTGCCTGGAGTCTGGCTAACTCCCTTTAGGTCGTTGTTGGCTCGCAATCATCTGGCAAATCCTCCGTCCTCGAGAACATAGTCGGCAGAGACTTTCTACCTAGAGGCAGCGGTATTGTGACTCGCAGGCCGCTCATTCTCCAGCTCATCAACATTCCCAGCGATGACGACGCCCCCGAAGCACACACAGCCGCGGCTGTAGCACAACAACCAGAATGGGCAGAGTTTCACCATATCCCCAATAGAAGGTTTACAGAGTTCCAGGACGTCAAGCGGGAAATCGAGAACGAGACTGCGAGGATTGCAGGGAGTAACAAGGGCATCAACAGGTCACCAATAAATCTCAAAATATATTCGCCTCATGTGCTCAGCTTGACCTTGGTGGATTTGCCAGGTCTGACGAAGGTAATTTGTGTATATCGAAGAATCAAAGAATGGGAGTACTAATACAATTCGCAGGTCCCTATTGGAGACCAGCCTACCGATATCGAGAAACAGACTCGAAACCTCATTTCGGAATATATCGCGAAGCCCAACAGCATTATCTTAGCAGTATCTCCGGCGAACGTGGATATTGTGAATTCAGAGGCTCTCAAACTCGCACGTCATGTTGATCCCCTTGGAAGACGGACAATAGGTGTTCTCACCAAGGTGGATCTTATGGACCATGGAACAAATGCTCTCGATATTCTTTCGGGACGGGTATACCCCTTGAAGCTTGGTTTCATCGGTGTTGTGAACCGGTCACAGCAGGACATTCAAGGAAACAAGTCTCTTGCAGAAGCATTGAAATCAGAATCGGACTTCTTCAAGCACCACCCTGCGTACCGGAACATGGCCACAAGATGCGGCACGCAGTTCCTGGCGAAGAGTCTCAATACTACCCTGATGGCACATATCAGAGAGCGACTTCCAGATATCAAGGCTCGCCTGAACACTTTGATGGGACAAACACAGCAAGAGCTTGCGAGCTACGGTGACATGCATTTCAGTGGCAAAGAGCATAGAGGATCTCTGGTTCTTCAACTGATGACTCGATTCGCTTCTTCATTCATATCTTCAATCGACGGTACCTCGACAGAAATATCTACCAAAGAGCTTTGCGGAGGTGCCAGGATATACTACATATTTAACTCAGTATTCGGAAACTCATTGGAGACTATTGACCCCACAACCAACCTCTCTGCTCTGGACATTCGGACAGCAATTCGAAATTCCACTGGACCGCGACCAAGTTTGTTTGTTCCAGAACTTGCATTCGATCTTTTAGTCAAACCTCAAATCAAGCTGCTAGAAATCCCCAGTCAACGGTGTGTTGAGCTTGTGTACGAAGAGCTTATCAAGATATGTCATACCTGTGGGTCCACGGAACTTACGAGATTCCCTCGACTTCAAGCAAAACTCATCGAAGTCGTCTCAGATCTCCTTCGTGAGAGACTTGGGCCGGCATCCAACTATGTGGAGTCACTCATCTCTATCCAAAGAGCATATATCAACACTAACCACCCCAACTTCCTTGGCGCGGCAGCTGCCATGAGCAATGTGGTCACCAACAAACAAGAAAAGGAGAGGAAAAGGCTTCTGCAAGAAGAACGAGAGAGACGAGAAAGAAGGCGCCAAAAGGAGTTGGGTACCAATGGTGCTGACACGCCAGAAGATGATGAAGAAGCTGGGGAGAAAATTGAGAACCTCCCTCAAAGAAAAGCTCTTCAGAAAGGTGCTCGAAGCATGTCACCAGCGATTCGGGAAAATGGTACGAGTGGTATTGCAGCTACAATGAACGGAATGAGAGCTGGTTCACCACCTAGATTCAACGGCCAAGGTGCAGGGGGTGCTCGGGACTCATTCCTGAACTACTTCTTTGGCAAGGACGGGGGAATGCCAGCAGGTGGAGCAGGTGTTGGACAAGTCCCTTCGTCCAATCCAAATCTCGGTCGTCACGTCAGCCAAAGCACGGAACCAAGTTTCAGCCAGAGCATTCGCAGGCAGGAAGAGCGCCAGATCCACAGAACGCCTGCGCAACAATCACGAGAAGATGACTACGAACTGGGCAGAGCACAGAGAGATTATGATTACAATTCGCCTTTTGTAAGCTCACCGAATTCCTTCTCGCTTACAATGTGATAGCTAACCGAGTGATTCAGGGAAACAACAATGAGCCAGCGCTTACAGATCGCGAAGCAATGGAGACCGAGCTCATTCGAGCATTAATCTCTTCCTATTTCAATATTGTACGAGAGTCGATAGCAGATCAGGTTCCCAAAGCAGTCATGCATCTCTTGGTCAACCACTCAAAGGATGCTGTACAAAATCGACTGGTCAGCGAGCTCTACCGAGAGGACATGTTTGAGGAGCTTTTGTACGAGGACGACGCGGTCAAGAAAGAGCGCGAGAAGTGCGAGAAACTGCTCAAGACCTACAGAGAAGCAGCCAAGATCGTTGGTGAGGTTGGAATATAGGGATTCAGGGGCATGGCATTGTTCAATTAAGCTTTCGTGGGAGCGCGCATGATGGTAGGATGAGATGAGATGCGATGAGATGAGCATGAAGGGCAACGACTTTGTAGAATACTGTATTTGTGTTTACCCGTTCTCTTTTGCTGCTGGGATGAAGCCGCCTTGTACTTTTCCCAACTCTTCTACCATGGTCTTGGATTCAACCAGGCCCTGTTCATACAGAATAGAGTTCCACTAACCATCTATCAAAAAGCATTCAGTTTCATTGCTTTGCGCCAAGTGAAGCCGTGGATATTCTCTGAGCTTGAACTTCACAAGCCTTGCGCTACAAGGCTTGGACAAATCACAGTACTATCTCGGCAGGGTAAAAGCCGTGCTGACTTTCACAAGCTTTGGGAATTCAGAACGATCCTCAATCAGTCATCACTTCAACCTCCTCACCATTTGGCATGCTTCAAAATAATCAGGCCCAAAGCATTATTCTGAACCCTAAAAACTCCTCTCGGATTTAAACCAGCAACCTGCATTTTACACGATGCTATTCGCTGCAAGTCAACTTCTATCTCCGCCAGAACGGGTCGATCAATGTGCACGCCAACAAACGCGCCGTCTCGTCCTCTCAACCCCTAGACATTCAGCCACGGCACATGTCGCCTATCAGATCCAAGACCTTCCAAGAATCCATGTAAGCACTATGCATAAGGTTAGTTAACGTCAAATCTAACTCGCAATCGCAGCTTAGGGGCACGGATAGTGAACGCTTTGGGCTAGCTATCTTTGAATTCCTTATGAAGAGCACGGCATCCCTAGCATGGCCAACTCGTACATTTTGGTGTGAACGATACTCGACGTGCTCTTCTTCACGCAGTTTGAGTAGTCAGTCGTGTTTTCTGAATCGCGATATCAGCTGACAGATTCCTCACATTCTCTCATCAAAGACCTACTAGCTAGGTATTGTTCATATCGACTGGCTAGAATATCTAGATATCTTACTTGTAACACGGTCTAAGATGTCTACAACCCCCACCACAACCCTTTCATCAGGAAGCCATGAACATCACCACCACCACCGCGCACGACGGCTCCGCAACTTCGTCCTGCCTGATGGCCGCGAAGTCCACATCGCTCTCTCCCCAGAAGACGCAGAAGTCCTCCGGCAACGCCTCAACGCAATCCGCAAGCCAGACGAGCCGTTCGACCTCGTGATCAACGGCTCGCCAGAACATCTCGACCATCTACGCACTGCTCACACACACCACGAGAGCCGTCGAGAAGCTCTCAAGCAGAAGCATGGTGAGGCTTTCGATGAGTTTGAGAATGTGAGGGCGGAGTTGGAAGCGTTGGGGAGTGATCTGCATATATTGACTGATCATGCGGTTTCGCTGGATGCCAATTTTAACAAGTATGGGTATAGTGCTCATTTGAGGACTTTTGATCACTCAGAGCCCGGGAGTAGTGCGAGTAGTATTAGTGGATTTCATGATCCTGATCATGGGAAGAAGGACTGGGATGCTGAGAAGAGAAATGGGAGGATCATGAAGGTCTATAAGAAGGTGTGTAATCCATATATTTCATGTCATTTGAACTTTGTAAGCGATGGATGAAGTTTGATGGATGGAAGCTAACAAGTCCCATAGCCCACTGTCCGACAGTACTTCCATAAAGGCCTTCTCTGGAGAGCATCTGAGACTACCGAGGTAGCATCGTTTGAACTCTTCGTCGACCTTTTATATGTCGGAATTCTGGCTATCAACGGTGACCACGTAGGAGAAGATCCCACTGGTCATGAACTGCTTCGGTTCAGCATTACTTTCATCATGAGTTGGAAGATCTGGAGCGATTTGGCTCTTGTAATTTCATGGTTCGAGACGGATGATATCCTCCAGCGAATTTCCGTGATCATAATCATGGTTTGTCTCTTTGGGTAAATAATCATTCTTTGGATATTTGATGTCAATGCTGACGAGTATAGACTCACAACGAACATGATAGAAGGCCTGCATGATACCTACACTATGCTAGTATCTTTCTATCTTGCCTCCCGCTTCTTCATGGGCTCCTACTACGTCATGCTCGCAGGTACCGTTCCTATGGTTCGGGGCGTAATGCTCTCTCAAGCCCTCCTAACCCTCATCCCTGGGGTAATCTGGATTGCAAGCATCCACGTCGAATACCCTCAGCGTCTCGGCTTGATCTGGACAGCAATATTCATCGAACTCACAGCAGGCATGTTTCTTGTAATCATTATCCGAGGAGGCAAGTTCGTTTCCAAACGTCTTGGAGAGTGGTCAGATCGTATCTTTGAGTTCTATCCTGCTGTTAATATCGAGCACAAGACCGAACGCACGAATGCTTTCGTGGCGCTCGTATTTGGGTATTCCGTCGTGGCTATCATCTTCCAGAATGCAGCTCATTTCGGAATGAACGCTTTCTTTGGCAAAGCAGCGCTAGGACTTGTGCAGGCATTTTGCTTCAATTGGATTTATTTCGAGTTGGATGGAGCAGATCTGTTCCAGCATGCTATTCGAAGGAACGTTGCTTCCGGTAAGTGGATTACGGTCATGTTGACTTCCGGCTCGCTAATTTGGTTCACAGCTATGCTTTGGGGAGCTGTCCATCTACCATTTATCATGGGTTTCATTCTCGCGGCAGGCTCACTTTCGAAACTGGTTGTTGCTACAGACTGCCATGATGCAGAGCTAGAAGACTTGACAGAATTCTACCAGGAGAAGTCTGAGCATGAGCTTCCAATCGGTCTGCGGTGGTTCTACTGTGCCGGATTAGGAATCGCATTGTTTTGCATGGGTATGTTCTCCTCTTTTACCAAAATTTGTCAATTTCGAAATGTTCAGTCTCACTTCCATGCTAATCCGTTGCACACAGGCCTAATCTCAATCTCCCACGTCCACAAAGACGCCGAAGGGACTCGCATCCCCAAACGCTTCCGGCTCCTCAACCGCTTCGCCGTCTGCATAATCCTCCTCTGTCTTCCCACCGCCCACGCCCTCAATTCCCTCCAACTGATCGCCACAACGACTGGTCTCACGATCTGGGTCCTGATGCTGGAATTATGGGGTATGAGTTGTTGGGGCGAGAGTTTCTTCGGCGAGAAGAGAGCTTGTAAGTATACGGCCCGATGCAAGATCTCGAAGAAAGATTTAGAGAGTGCGGTGAAGGGCGGGCATGTTATCAAGGTGGAGGAGCTGAAGGACAGAGGGGAAAAGGGGATGTATGTTGGTGCTTGAGGTGGAGTTGGCACTGAAGTAGATGGGATCATGGAATCATTTTCGGCCTTGTTAATACTTTGAGCATTGGAGTGTTAGGCGAAAAAAAAAACATAATACAAACGTAGGTGCTCTACCTGCTTGGCCCTGTCTCCTCTAAAGCTTGTCCTCATGGCACTATCCTAGAGCCGCCGCTTTCCTAGACTTGTCTACCAAGTAGCCAGGTTGCTCGTGGAGAAATCTCTTGCAAGGATTGGGGGCCAACGCGTGACCATAAGCACGTACCGACACCACAGGTTCTGCAGCGCATCCATTGATATGGTTGTTATGCCGTCTCCAATCACGACTCTACGAAGTTGTGCAACCTTGGAGTCTTAGCCCGGCCTAATCGGCCATCGGTGCCGAAGACAGACAGATGCATTCAAGAAGCTGATGCGATAGCGCTTATTATATTGATGGCAAGCGCATTTTAATTGTTACCACAGGCCTTCGTTCCACGTTCACAACCCGGATCTTCAGCTATCGGCTCGCGACTTCTTCCAGCAATTTCGTTGATGTGACTTGACTTGACTTGCGTCGACCATCTTGCTCAAGAGCCAAAGCCCAAGCTTGTCAACGTTCAGACACCGCATGCAGCCTCGTTCAGTCGGCAGTCTAAGCACGCAATCCTGCTTCCTAGAGCTGTGTGGGAAAGAGCTCATGCCAATACAAGCGGGATAATATAACATATTATTCATGCTCAGATCGCCATGCTCTGCCAAATCTGCCAGGAGCGCATCTTCCACAATGGATCTCCGACATGGACACAGAATATGGATGAGGATGAGGATGGGGATGAGGATAAGGATGAGGATGGGGATGAGGATGAGGATGAAACAGAGTGGGCACTGCACCACAAAGATTTCGAAACTTTCGACGCTTCTATCAAAGAAGGGTGCTTCATATGCAATCGTGTTTGGGCCTCTCTGCAACCATCAGAACAGCTTTCCATTTCTGACCGCGAAGAAGCTAAGAACGACAACAGCAAGTCAAGTGATACACAGCATCGAATTTCTCCTGACCCGGAACTCAGCACACTTGGAACGAGAGATTGCCTTCTTGAATATCAAATTCTTGAGGACGTAGACCTAGACCAGTCTCCCAACTGGTATCGGTTAAGATTCCGTAGTTCGTTGATTACTTTCACAGAGGCCCCCAAATTGGTTATAAACAAAATTGATGGTAATCATAATTGCACCTCCGTTACAGAAGTATATACTAAGATCTAATTTTTCTTCGATGCAGCGTCTATCATTCTCGAAATCAGCGAAATACCAGCCAATTCCAAATCAGCAGAGTCGTTCTCGCTTGCTAGAGATTGGATTACAGAATGCGACAAGCTTCACAAGTCTTGCCAAGCAGCTGCAGCTGGAACGTATTATCCCACTCGGCTTCTCGACTGTGGCTTGCCAGGAAGTCCTGAAAGCTGCCGTGTCATTGAATCGAAATCTGCTTCTATCACTGGACCGTATGTGAGTAGGATTTGTTCTTCCTTCCTTCCAATTACACAAAAGCTTGGTTATCATATCTGCTTGTGGATCTTATGCTTACTTTTGGTGGACTTGAATTTCTTAATCTAATGGAATAGGCTGATACAGTATAGTTAACTCTGAGCCATTGCTGGGGACACACCGAATGCTTGAAAATCACGACTACCAACTACAACGAGTTGCTGACCGACATTCCGGTATCCTCACTTCCCCTACTGTACCAGGATGCAGTACATGCTACCCGTCAGCTGCAGCACAGATACATGTATGCTACTACCTAATCCTCTCCTATTAGTCCTGCGTCTCCCTGTGAAAGAAATGTCAGCTGCATAGCTCGCACTCTTTCAAACATTTCACCCCCCTCTTTCCCCATTCTTGTCTTTCTTGGGTGCAGAAAGCGTTGGCTTATCTTCTCGTACAGTTGGATCGATTCCCTTTGCATAATTCAAGAAGGTGACAATCACAGAGATTGGCAGCAACAAGTGACCTTGATGAGCGAAGTTTACTCCCATGCGGCTTGCAATATCTCCGCGGCGACCTCGCCAAATGCTGAGCACTCGATGTTCAACTCGCGTGACTCAACGCAAGTCATTATAGAGACATTAGATCTTTCTATCAACAGTCAAGACGTTTCAAAATATGTTATCAGAGATGAGAATATCTGGTCCCATAACCCTTGGCTCTGGATAAACGAAGTTCGAGAGGCTTGTGTGAACGGCCGTGGTTGGGTCCTACAAGAACGCGTACTATCCGTCCGTAATTTGTACTTTGGAAAAAGTCAGTTATACTGGGAGTGCCATGAGAAGGACGCCATGGAGGTTTGGCCCGCTGGTCTACCAAGCTATTTTTATAATTCAAAACCACGGATCAAATCGCTGCTTCAGCACGGTCTTGAAAGCGTAAGTACGATTAACAATGACTTGGAATGGCTGAAAGCATGGAATTGGATTGTGCGGACTTACTCTTTTTGTGGCTTGACTAAGTCTTCGGACAAGTTACCCGCTATCTCATCACTTGTGAAAAGACTTCGTTCCAGCACGAATGACGAATATGTCGTGGGGCTGTGGCGCAGTGTTCTGCCCCAACAGTTGTTTTGGGAAACTTTGTATCAACCGCCTCCGCTGAAAGATTACCGTGCTCCATCTGTATGTCTAGAATACATGCCTTCCCCATCTTGATACCACAAGTAGTACTGTTGTTAGGCACATGAACGAAGCACACTAACTCTCTATTTATAGTGGTCATGGGCAGCAGTTGACGGACTGGTAACATATGATTTGAAGCTAAGCAGGCCACTGGAGGCTCTGGTGACTGTTGAAGGCTTAGAGATAGATTATTTGACGGACGACGATACACAGCAGGTCAATGGCGGATGGTTGGGGCTGCGGGGTAAGTTGAGGACGATCACACTCACTCGCAGCGATAAGTCTATGTGGATAAACAGTCATGAGTGGTATGGAGCAAATATTTGGTTCGACACTATTGGTGAACCTTTTGATGGAGACACTACGGAGCGGAGCGTGTATGGCCTGCCGGTATGTCTGTATACAGCGGATCAGAACGGAGATGAAGGGGAGAAGCCAAAAGACTTGTACGCTTTAATTCTGCATGTCGTTGACAAAGGCAAAGGGATATATCGTCGAATTGGCTACTGGTATGCGTCAATTTCCCAAGAGCACCTTGACGAAATTCTGGGCTTCACAGACGGAGAGGAGGAATTTCCCTGCGAGAAATACGAAGACGGATACCACTACATCCGTATCATCTAGCATCAAAAATCATACTTGCTTTACCTCCAAATCTTCCTACAGATCATCAATGTGAAGAAGTCGGCGACCCTTGTTTCAAGGGCGGGACGAACTCTACTGTAATCTTGTACTGAGGAAGTTAAGCGAAGGTCATATCAACAACAAACGGCTCCAAGCCAATCTCAGATTGACGTCCCAACTGACAGATTATTCCAACAAGAATCCTCCAATTTGTCTCGAGCTTGTCCCGCATCTGTAATGGAGCACTAGCTCTAAGTCTTCACGAAGAATATATCAGACCATTCTTACAAACAGCATTAACAAGATTCGCAACGCACCCGTTCAAATTACACGAAGTACATACACTTTCGACTCGACTGCTGTTCTTTAACAGTGCGCCTTTAAAGTATACCTTGAATAGTATCGTCAAAACACTGGTTTCATATTCAGGACGATTTCATCATTCAATAATCCCGCTCGATCGTCCAACTCAACATATCCTCAGCAAAAACAACCTCACCCTCCACCCCAGTCCTTCATCCCGTTCGCTCTTCCTTTCCTCGTCACCAAGACCCTTCTCTTCCTTCTCCTTCTCTTCTTTCTTCTTCTCCAAGTGTTCTTCTCCAAGTGATTCCAACAAGTCGAATCCCCAGTCGTTGCCCAATTTCCATCCTTACATACTCCCTCACCTTCCCATTAGCTTCAAAACACCAGGAAACGTGGACGGGAGCCAGAGTCGTGTTCTGTATAATTTCAAGTTCATTGATTCGTATGTGTCTCATCTTATGCATCGTAGTCTACATCAAGAAAGGTCGTCTAGTTTTCTATCTCATCGGAGAAAAGCGTGACAAAGAAAGGACGACATGTTGCAACAGGGTAGAACGCTACGCCCTCCTACAAATCAACCCGTCTCGCAAGTTTCCCGTTAGTTCAAGTTCGTCCCTTAATTTCATTCTCAATCCCCGGGATCCCTCAACTTGAAGTATGGTCAGGTCAAAGAAAAAGACTCAATACTGCTCATCCCTTCCTCCCGCCTCCTCCATCTCCCCATCACTATCCTGTTCCTGCTCCCTATCATCATCATCCTCCTCTTCCCTCTCCTCCTCCACCGCCCCATCCAGCCTCCTCACACCCTTCTCTCCCTTCTTGGAGGTCCCCACACTATGTACATCGTCCGTCTCAATCATACTACTCTTGCGTACCAGACTATCTCTCCTCTGCGTGCGGCTCACCACGCCAGGGAAGATGCGGGGCTCGCTAGCTGAGAGGTGTAAGTCGCTGAAGGCTTCGACCGGCCAGGAGGCTTCGCGCGTGAGGGATGACATGTGTGGGGATGTGAGGTTGGAGTTGGGACGGGTAGTGGTGGGGTGTTGGAGTGGACTGCCGTTGGCTTGCGTTTGGTTTTGTTGGAGGAGGTCGAGTTGGGCTTGAGAGTGGGATGTAGGGATGCGGGCTGCTTGGGCGGGAAATTGTTGGTACGATTGGGTGGAGGGGTCTTGTTGCATTGTGGTGGAGGAGAGATTGGTTTTCATGGAGGAGGTTGGGGAGGGTGGTGCTTGTTGCGGAACGTAGGGGATTGACTCGGCTTTGCTTGATACTGCAGTGGTTGGAGTGGCTAGAGATGTGTATCGTGCGATCCTACAATGTATTAGCTATGTTATCTTTTTGAGTCAGAAGCACTTACATGGCTAGCTCCTGCTGCAAAGTCTCGTGTCTGAAGCCTTCACGAATATTCGGCACGTTACTCTTCGCCATAGTATTACCCTTAACCCCAGGCAAGTGGTAGTCTTGACCCAGCCATCTCTGCTTAACGGCATGCTCAAACCCACTCTGCTTGACAGAGTTCTTTGCCAGTTCGCACATATCCACAGCACTAAGCTTGTAGATCTGAGCGGCTACAGAGTATTCCTCAATCAGAGGCTCTTTTGTGAAAGCGAATTGAAGTGGATCGTCGGTAGATAGCGAGACGTTCAGACCTCGCTTGAAGTAACTCAAGAACGGGTTCCGTTCATACGCCAGGAACAAAGCATTATTACTGAGCGGTGACATCGCAACTCCTATCTGCTCGAGATAGAAGATGTATTGCAGGAGAGGTACTTTTCGCAACAGTAAACCATGACTGATACTGTGACAGCAGAGAACAGCGGCCGCCAGGTGATCAGTGTCACCAGCTTCACCGGCATGAGGTCTCAAAACAAAGATATTGAAACCTCGCTGCTTTCGCCACACGTTCAACGAAGCCATATTGGAAAACAGGTAGTAGATCCAGTAGCTGTACGGGGGATTTTGCTTCGAGTCCCAAATCTTCGGCACAGGGAACTTTTTGTATAGACGACGCTCAGGCTTGCTCTCATCATCGACACAGTCGAAGCCAATAACTCTCTGCAAGAAGATGTGAAGCTTTGGATGACTTGAAGGATCCTTCGTGACTTCAAATAGAGGTTGGAAGAGATTCACAATGACTTGTTCGAAATTTTCCATCAAGCCAGTGGACTTGTAAACGTCGAAGAGGCGAGGCACCTGGATCAACCAGCGGACATTATGAGAGAAGAGCTTGTTGTCAATGACCCAAGCCGCGAGCTTATCCCACTCGTCGATTGTTCGACCATAGATAGAGATACGCCATTCCGCCATTTGGTATTTACTGGACTCGAGATCAGAAATAACTTCCTTGGTAATCTCAGCCAAATATCTGCCATTGATGAAGTTGTCGGTCTTCAGGAAAATCGTTCTCAGTCTAGACTCGCCAATTGGGTTGTACTTGAGATTGAACTTGTCAAATCGATGGAAGGAGTCCGTGTGAGCCTACAATGATTAGTGGTGCACAAGCCTTGCTAACCTCATTACTTACATGCATATCAAGCGTATCGATACTCAAATCATACGCTGTCAGGTTGATAGACTGGAAGACTTCCTCCAACGTAAGATGCTTGCCATCTCTGAACATAACAACCTCATCGGGGCACTTCTTCATTTTGCTTTTGATAAAGCGTAGCAAATGCTTCTGATTCATACAAGCCGAATGGTGAACGTGAGTATCGACCTTACGGACATTGTAGAAATCTCTATGAGGTACCCGCTTGCTGTCTGCCATCTCCTGGTACTCGTTGAGTAGGACATACAAGTTAAATTTGCCTTCCAGATACTGTAAACGACGGAACGCGAAACTCTTGCTTGGTCCGTCGGACGAGATGTTAAGGATATCTTCGAGATCCATGTAGTATTCTCGGATATTGGGGATATTGATGACAGGTGTGTCGAGCTCGAGAGCTTCAGAGTTCTCATAGACTTGATAGACACCATTCTCGTCCATGCGGAAAGACATTTCGTCGGATCCTGGGACAGGGAGAACATCTTCCAAATAGAAATCTTCACCAATATCCTGGCCAGGCTTCCGCTTTTTTCGTGGTGTTTTTGGTTGAGACGCAGTGCTAATATTTCTGGAATGGTCGCCAGTTTTGGGTCGATCCTGAGGTGGGAGAACCATGCTATTTGACATGCTGCCACTCTGACTGTTCATGCCATTGGTAGTGGCGTTACCGCGATCTCTATCATCAAAGCCAGCCTCGTACCAAGCGGGCTCTGGTGGAGGTGGATAAATCTTCCAATTGGGCTCGTCCCGAGGGTTACTTCCATCCTGCTGTAATGACAACCGGATGTATTTGTGCCGAATATCCAGGATCTTCTGAATATTGGTGTAGATGGTGCTCAGCTCAGAGGTGATATTATCGTCACTGTTGGCGAAACCACCAACTCCAGTCCCCATACCCACTCCAGCCCCTGCTCCATGCAACCCCTCTGTCTCCAGCAATGGCTTCGGCTCATGTGGTATGTTTGGGTGTACGGAGTGGTCCCTCGCAGCCAGATCTGCGCGCAACAGAGAATCCATTCTGTGAATGCCCACAGGACTCTGAGTAAATGCCGACGAATTCGGTTCTTGTATGATGTTTGCCTCTGGGGATTTGCCCATATCCGCAAGCCCACTGGGAGCAGTGGCTCTGTATTTGCCAGAACTGTGTTTGTCAGTACAAGCTTGCTCCTTGAATACAAGAAGGATTGGCCACAAACCCTTGTGAAACATTGTACCAGCTCTTCATTGAATTCACGCTTCCTGATCTGCGCATGCTCGCCTGCTCAGCTTCGAAGACATTAGAGAAGGACCTCGGCATCAGAACCGGACTGCCTTGAGGTGAATGCTGCGAATTGCCCCAATTGCTTCCTCCGGTCTTCTGTGCCTCCAATTGGCTTCGCTGGTAGAACAATTTCGCATCTGCTTGGCTCATTGACTTCTCTGCTGCATAGTCGTAGTATGCCGTTTTACGCTGAATATCTCGTGGCAGCATACCCTCACCCACATCTGAGGGTGTACTTGTCTCTGGAGTTCCATCTGGTAATAACGCAGCACTGGGCAGTAGTGCGCTCTCTTTGTCTTGTTCCTCGTCCCAGGATCTCTCTGATCCCGCAGTCGCAGATTCTTGTTCCATGTTATGATGCTCAACTTCGTCCTCCGAGAAGTCGTCAGATTGGATTCGTCTCGCTGGGCCAAGCTTAGGGGAATTTGCACCGGAATCGTGGCCTGTGAAGATTCCTGTAGGAGGAATATCAGCTCCGCCTTTGCATTTGCTTTGTTAAAGAGCTATATATCAACAATGCCCAGCTTACCGTGAGTCATACTGGAATCAGTTAGATCTCGATTTGCAGATACATGGATCTACTTTCAATTGGTCTACGCGTTGTATTTAACAGCCGGTGCAGAGGTGAAGACAATGGAACACGGTGTGACGATGTTATTGTCTTTCTCAGCAGCAATGGAATTCGACGAGGCTGTACATTGGCGGTGGAGACAAGCTTCCCGCCGCTCTTGCACAGGCGAATCCCTCGCCTTGCAGATGGGGCTCGCCTATTGTTGCTTCCCCTCAACTTCACATGAAAGTAGCATTTGTAAGTAAACAAGCATAAGGTCTTCCAAGTCCTTGTCACTAAATAATCTATGTAATACGGGATCAGCATCTATCCTACTTTGCCATTCCCGATGCTGGCTCTATGTCTCGCTCTGCCAGACTTGGATCCTTCCAATCCGTACATGCCTCCAGCGAAAAATACAATAAAAGCCCCTATCAAAGTCCCTGGTGATAGTCTATTCCCAAATAGCCAAATACTCAACAGAAGACTAACAAGCTTTCGGACGTTCAGCACAATTGTGACTGTGAGCGCTGACGCTGCTGAAGCGAGGAGATTTACTCCGCGGATGCAAGCGTATTGTGTGAGGACGTTCATGACGAGGTATGCAAGTTGACTTGGAATGTGAATGGTTTTAAGGCCCTTTTGCAAGTCCACGGGAAGGTTCGTGATCTGGTCATAGGCCGGCAGCCCTAAAGGTGGTGATGCCGCAAGTTTCAAGAACTGTCTCCTCATTGAAGGGAGGAAGGGCATGAATAGAGGTAGCGCTAGGAGATGAGAATAGAACAAGTTCTCCTTCCAATGTGGTCCGTACTGTTTGTATGTTTCCTCGGTATACAAGCCCATGATTGCGGACAGAACCTGGGCAAAGAAAAGGATGGCGAGCCCTTTGCTGAACGGAGGAAGGGTTTGCGACTCCACCACTTCTTGCTAAAATCTTGTGAATATAGATCCAATTCCTCAATTCCGTCTTGCATACCTTTGATTGTTGGTCGGACCAAGCGGCAATGACCACACCAACTGTCAAAAGGGTGACTGCAAAGACCTGCATCCTGGAGAACCTTTTGCCCCAGAGATATCCCGCGGCAATAGTTGTAATGCTTCCTCCCGATCGAAGGATGATATGTATAGGCACAGAAATGTTATAACTGAACGCATGGTTGTTCAATACGTTGATCGTGAAGAATAGAAGGATATTTATCAACCAGCGTTTTATGGGAACATGATTCGGCTTGAGGAAGAAGGGAGGTCGGCTTCGGTCGAACTGCGAGAAGTATCCTGTCGTAGCCACGAAGAGGAATTGTACGAATGTCAAGAGGGTTCCTTTTGTACGATCAGCAAGAACTCGGGAGATTATTCAGGGACGAAAAAATACCGCTAGCAGGTTCGACTCTACATGTATAATTAGCAGCTGCGTGATTATATAACGAGCAGGTATAACTCACTTGACAATAGCTTCTAATGCAAATACCTAGCACATATCATAAGCGTCCCGTTCCAAGAGCCTCTACAACCTCCGCTACTTCCGGAATAACTCACATTCGAGCAGCAACCCCCAAAGATCAAGCCTAGCATAGCTCCCACGGCCAGCCATTGTGGAATAGTCTCAATAAAAATGCGCCCAATCAAAGCCATAATCCTCGACGAGGTCGGACGCGGGTCGTCTATGCCATACATCTCCGCCTTCTCCAGGGAAGGGCGCGCGTCAATGATTTTGGGGGTTATGATGTCGCCATCGGCATTCGTTGTGGAAGCTTGGAGGTCTCGTAGAGTCGAACGTCGACGAGGGGTGCTCATGGGCTGCGTACTACTGGAATCAGCCCTTCTTCTTCTCGCCATCTGGTCTCTCTGTCTCTCTGTCTGCTTCAATAGAGCAGCGCGGGTTTCGTCTGGAAATGGCAGAAGGGCAACAAGAGAGAGAAATTTGCTTGTGGAAGAAGTCGCGCGGTTCTGACACGTAGTAGTTGTATCCCAGGGCCCATGCTTACATAGAACAGACGGTAAGGCATGTGGATGTGAATGTGGATTGGCCTACTTACAATACTCTATTCGAGAACAGATGACGCTAGATAAACCTCGAACCAGGGCCAGGAGAGGAGGAGACGAGAGATCCGGAGGGGTGCAAGGAAGAGGGAAGTGCCGAGCAAGGCAGGCAGGCAGGCAGGCAGGCAGGCAGGCAGGCAGGCAAGCAGGGAGTGCAGGCAGGTAAGTCAGACAGAACTGACGCAGTGTTGCGCTGGTGGGCTAAGAGATGGAGATGCCGTCGATGCGTGTCGATGTTTGTGGGCATGCAAGGCCAGCTGGGTAGAGAATGCTAGGCAGGGCAGGGCAGGGCAGGGCAGGGCAGGGCAGGGCAGGGCAGGGCAGGGCAGGGCAGGGCAGGGCAGGGCAAGGCAAGGCAAGAGGCACATGGGACAAATGATCAACAAGCCTGCGGCGAATGAGGGGATTGCGAGCCCTGGTTAAAGCGAAGTTAAAAGGCTTGCCCTGGTGTTGTCGGTCCGTCGTGCTTAACGGTTAGGCCCGAAAAAAGGAGTGCCGGTAATGACACACAGCACAGTCCCGGGTGGCTTTCAGCGCAAGGGGCACAGGAGGCTACTGTATTGTAAAATTCACACCTTCCTCGACTTACCTTATGCTTATGGACAAGCACAAGCAAATTCTCCAAAGATCCCAAATGTTTGATCTTCCGCTCACAACAAATACCTACCTTAAGCATGCCAAGCTCAGAGTCCTGCTTTGTTTCGAAATATGCTTAATCCTTTCAGGCTTCTTCCCTCCTGCCAGGCTGCCAGGCTGCCACTTCACTTCTCACGGCTTCCGGCACTAGACAGCGTGCCGCCATGCCATGCCATGCCATGCCCTGCAAATGCAATGATGCAGCCTGCCTGCAGGAGGAGGGGGTGCTGTACTGTATTAGCCTAATTAGGGGTCGTAATTAGGTGTGGCATCTATCACGATTTCATCAGATCTTCCCGTCTGCATGTGAGGCGGGGTGGGGTGGTTACTTGCTGCATTAGGAAGGACTTGGATGAGCACGAGAACAAGACGAGACGATTGTTTATATCTCGGTAAAGTTCAAAGCTTCTTCGGATTTATTATGACCATTTTGAATTAAGCTAGCCAGGTACGTTACGGTAGCTACGGTAGGTAAAGCCACAAGGAGTCTTCAGTTCCACCACCATCGTCAATTCGCGTTGCTCAAAGCTGTCAAGGTGTCTGTCAATTAAGACATGAGAGCTGTCCAAGTGCGGGGTATGTCCCTCCGTGCTACCCATCACGTTACTGCATACCTATGAACCACGAGCAGGACGTACCGGAAGAAATACATCAGTTCAATTTACTACTCTTATATGCAGTTTTGTTATTTCTCATACGGATAAGACAGCAATGGAGGCTTCAGTAATAAGCAAATCCACCGATCTACCTACCAAAGTTTAAATAAGTTCACTTCTGTACTGAAGTGGATCGTTTTAGTAAGAGGTGGGTATTCTCACTGGAACACGAACTCTCCGCTGTTCATAGTTATGTAAGGAATAGACCGATACGTCCGATTGGACAGCGAGATATTGCTGGCCGTTTTGAGGGAGCTCTACGGTCTCATAGGCGAAAGCTATGTATGCGGCTGCATTTCTGGAGCAGTTTTCAAGATGGAAAATGCCTTGGAAAGGTTCTGGAAGCGATACTCAGACACTCTACACACATCATATCGTGGAAACTCCTACTCGGTCTGGCACTTAGCCATCAGCGAGTCATATGAAAAGTGGACAGAGAATTCTTCCTCAACTCTGAACACTTCATTGACCGCCACGCGACACCACTCTAGCACTCACGCAAAGCCAATTTCTATTTGAAATCTCTTTGCATTATTCATCCGCGAGGTGACTAGCTTTACTTGACTGCTTGAAACGTGCCTCACGTCGGGAAACGTCTGCAAATTCAATCCAGCCCCTAGAAAGACTCCAGGGGCCAGCAAGAAATGCAGTCATGGCCCATTGCCACGACAAGTCAAAACCGCGCTACCACCCCAAGTCATTCATCATAGTCATCCCTCCATATAACCTGTGGCATCTTCTTTACCACTCATGATAAGACGCTCTTTCCTCATGACCATCCGACGACGTCTTGAGAATGAACTGGATTGGGAATTCTGGTGTGGAAAGCTGCTAGTCGTGTACGAACGCCGATAGAATGACCAAGAGACCTCTTCCATGCAGGACAAGTCTACAATGCCGAGAAGACGAAAAGCTGGAATAATGTCAGTGGTGGTCCATAGTTCGCGCTCCATATACTCACGTTATTGGTTGCTGCAATGGCAATGCTATCTTCGAACGGATGCCAACTCATATGCAAGATCTTCTTGTTGAAATCAATTTGATCGGCATCAGTCTCTTTTCTCATTCTACCACCTTGGCCAGTCGCTCCAGCCGCGGGACTGCCAGCTCTTGATCCACCCTTCTTCCCTCCGTTGGTGGCAGTTGGGCTGGTCGAAGAATTGATTGGTGTCGGTACGCCGACCTTCTTCGCCTTGAACGCCGACTTGTCTGCTTGAAGTACTACCTCAACCTCTTTGTCTGGATCCGACGGATAGATCATGAAGTTGTTGTTGTAACTTCCAGTCATTACATTCTTTGCATCTCCGGAGAAGACGACCTCGAACTTGTCGAAAATGCTGTCATTTTCGTAGGTGTCACAAAGTCTCGGTCTGAGGTGCTCGTGAATTGGAATTGTCTTCACTGGCTGCCTCTCCATGTTCACATCCCAGATCTTGACTGTGAGGTAATCACGTGAAAGAATATACCGACCATCGTGTGAGAATCGAACGTCAGAGATGGAGGAAATGATCTCGGAGAAAAACGAGCGAGCTGATGGATCCTCTTCCTGTTCGAACTCTGGAGCAGCGTTAGAGAGAGACGTGAGATCAAGTGAACTAGACGAGACTTACGCTTTGAGTGTTGATCACACAGAGCACTCTCTCTCATATCCGCAAGCTTGATGGTTCCCTTAGAGCTCGCATACATGAACCAGTTACAGCTCTGTGGGTGAAATTCGGCAGCTGTGATCACCTCTGTGAGCTCTTCCATGTTGGCAGGCTTGATATCAACAATGTTGAAGCTCTGGTCTTGAATGTTCAAGTTCCACAAGTTTATCCGCAGATCATCACTGCTGATAAATGTCTCCCCATCACTGTTCACGGAGATGCTATTGATATGATATGCGTGTGCATTGGCGTATGTTCGTCGCGGTACCGCTGCTACCACGGTATCATGATGTGTGAGGCGGGGTAACTTGAGGTCGTGAGAGCTTGTGTAGTGAACATTTGATCGGCGTCGAACAGCACCCCCACCACCAGCTGAATTTCCAGCAGTCAGCTCTTGCGATAAGTTGTTCTCCGCTACGACTTTCAATGACTTCTCGAACACTTTCCATAACTTGATTGTCTTGTCATTTGTGGAGAGTAAGTAGTGAGAAGCATTTTGTCTTTTGCACCACTTGATCTTGTTGATTTTCTCTTCAATTTCGAGGGATTTGAGATAATCGAATTCAGGTTCGTGGGATTGGAATTCTGTGTGAAACTTGTATTCGCAAGTTTTTTTCTGTAGGCCAAAATGTCAGCCTCGCGAGCTAGCATTCCCCATGGCCGCTCCAAATTGACAAGAAGAAAACCTGTACGTACTGTCTCGTTCCTCTCAAATAGTACAACTCGCCCGCCTTTATCTCCTGTGGCAAGGTAATTGCCTGTATGATCAAATTCGACCGTTGATATGATGTCCGCTGGGAGTGTGTATTAGCAAAGTGATCTGGCCATAGACAGGGATGATTCAATGGCAATATCAAATCAATGGTGCTACGATAGGCGCAGTACGAACCTTCTGTAATATCCTCTACATCTCCCTTATCACCGAAGCACCTACACCAGAGTTAGCAGTGAGCTATTTGCAACGCGTATCCGCTGCAAGCGCATCTCTGCCCGGGGATCCAAGATACCAAACACCAAGCAGTGCAGCAAGATTTATGCCTCGCCGGAGGAATATGGGAACACTAACTGGGTGAACTTCCAAGTTGGAGAGTTCGGTTCCCCGTCTACCATCTTTGACAAACTGTTAAGACGAGAAGACTTCCCGCCAACAGGTGTGTGTTCTGATGAGTCCTAGTTGAGGGAGGAGACTGAAGATATGCTCGAGCGCGTCGAGGAGTTGCGAGGCTTGAAGAAGTGTTGATGCACGAGAGGCTGAAGGTGTGGAATACGCAAGGGAAGCGTTTCCGGGAACAGATACTGGAAGGAAGTAACGGTGTGCGCGTCAGTCGGTGGAATTACGAAGCTGGGGATGGATGGCAGATCGAATGAAGTCGCGGAGACGAGGTATTGCCAGGTATAGAGGATTCTGGGAGACGTGCAGTTGTATTGGCGATCAGGTCAAGGCCGGTCGAAGTCGTGGGGTTTGTGGTTCTTGCTTGGCGGGCAGTGACGAGAGCGAGCCTTTTCGCCTCGTCTGCTGACAAAGAAGGGAAGCCGTCAACAAGGAACAACGCCTTTGTTCAGTCGTCCCTATTCACAAAAGTGAACCAGGTTTCTCTTGACTCGCCGCAGAAGTCCACGTAGTCAACAGAAAACATTCTTGTACGTTCAGAATGCCAGGAATCACTCAAAAATAATCTTCTTTCCCATCCCACCAATATTTCTGGCGGATCTATTGAAGTCTTGGCAAGCGCTACCGTAGATACATTGGGAGAGGAGCTGAGCTACCTACCCCTCAATAAAAGACGCGATCTCGTGGCAGGTACATGTTTTTACTGCCTTTCATAGGACTTATTCTCTTACAGAACAGTATTTTTACCAGAAAGTCCTCTTCGTCGTCTGTCTTTAACCTTTAACAACTTTTGAGTGCATATTCAAGTTATCTTGCCAAAGCTGTTGAGCTACTTTCGCCAATTTCTAGAAACCTTGAGAACTCAAGCCGTGGAAGCCCAACAGATACTGCTCTATAGGGCACGCAGAGGAATGATCGATCATGTTATGAAGGTTTTGTCCTTCCCAGCTTGAGGATATGTTTTGGCCAAGCCATCGGGTCCAGTCGAGTCAAGCATGTGTTGAATTAGAGCCTTGTTGGTATGTCTTTGAGGAGCTGGTAGAATTATGAGGCGGCTTACGATACTCACAAGATCGCAATACATAGACCGTATCAGTGTCCGAAAACGTCTTCTTGAAGCAAAAGCTGCTTGTTTTGTTTGGAATGCTTATAATCTGCACCATTTTCCCATAGGTAGGTACACATCACGTGGAGACAAACAAATGGTCTGAGCCTGTCTATCATCACCCACATCTCCATTGGCCAAGTTCATTTCTTATCACAACACTCAACATTAATACCGCACTGTTATCAAATATGTCATCCTCAAAAGGTAAAGGTCGCGCGGAACATTTACAAGACGAACCAGCCCAAGATTCCTCAACGCAAGAATCATCATCTCCATCCCTCCTTTCCCGCGTAGCAGCCTCGGCTACTGGTCTTACACGGGATGCCTTCATAACACCAAATCCAAACGAATTCAACCACCAAGCAGCTTCAGCTCTTTCAAACTCAACCAAATCCCAATCTGTCCCAAACACAGGAGCTTCCAGCAGTACCTGGACAGAAAGCTCCAGAGCATCACAAGTTCCATCAAATACCCAAGCAAGTTCTTCGGGCTTGAGAGCCGGCCACAGTGAACAACATACTCAAATATCAGAAAATGAATTCTCGAACTTCCTCGATGGAATAGATTCATTTGTCCCCTCGGAAGGCTTTGGAGAGATTCCAGAATCGGAAACAAGTAAAGGTTTCGACGAGGCATGGGAGCTATCTCATCACAAGCCAATCAGCAGGACAGTAACAGAGCAAGAACAACGAGATGGCTCCGATGTCCTAGCCATCCTTTCCGATCCCATTGCCTTAGACTCTCAAATGGATGAACCGCCACCTCTGTATGAAGATGACGAAAATTATGACTGGGGACTCACATCTGCTCAAATCACAAAGCTCAGAGAGATCACAAAAGACATCCTGTCAGCTCCTCCACAACACACAAGCCCCTCCGTTGATAACCCACTCAACCTTCTTCCGGATTTCCAAGGCCAGCAAGGTGCAAGAGAGCAATATATCGAAGAATGGGAAGGCGTTCTGAATCGGTACGCAGATGAGGTTTGGGGCGGTCTGGCACCGCTTGTGAGAGAGGCCAGGAAAGAGGTTGAGGAGGCGAAATCAAATCCAGCGGGAAATGAAGAGAAAAGGGAGATGAAAGCGGTCAGGAGACTAGGTGTTATATTGGGACACTTGGCACAAGGTTGAGCAGAAGTATCTGCCTGAACTGATCCATGAGTTGGTTGTGGCGTTGCTGAGGAGCTGAAAGACAATAAATACATTTTGCATGTCCGTTTTTGCCTGTTTCGCACGAGGTGTCAACATAGCTTGGTGCAGATGCTAGTAGAGTCTCACGAGCATGTCTTGAAGACGCATGATATTGGTTCTAGGAAGCCTGTTGGACTTAGTTTGAGACTACCACAGCCATGATTGGGAACTCCTCGCATGAAGAGGCCAAGGAGATCTGTCACTGAGACGCTTAGCAGCAGATACATTGCTTTCACTGTTCAATAATATGCAAACCCGACTGCTCGTGTCTTTCTCTCATCCACAGCGTTGAACATTGTTTTGGACGTCAGTCGGTCTGACAGCATTAAATAGTATTGTCTATCAACGAATGTGGCTGTATTTATTTAATGTTCCTATCATCTAATCCTCCTCCTCATCCTCCTCATCATCACCTGCATCAGGTGTTGCAGCTGGTGTGGCTTTTGGTGCTGGCGTTGGCTTGGGCTGAAGACATGGATGTCAGTATCTGTTCTTGCGGCTTGAAAAGAAACCACATAAATATACTGGGATTCACGGGTTACTAACCTTGGCTCCAGATGCTGCGGCCGCTCCGGCGGCTCCACTATACAATGTCAGCATGGAACTCAGTCTCCACTGTTCCGTTAATGTGAACCATATCTCTTGAAAAAGACTGCTACACTTACGCTGGCTTAGGCTTTGCTCCACTGGCTGCTGCAGCGCCAGCCCTGCATTGCTGTCAGTATAGCTTTTATGTGAGACGTGTTTATACTAACGCTGTAGGCTTTGGTTTTGGCTTTGCTCCACTAGCTGCTGCACCGCCAGCTCTGTATATATGTTAGCATTTGCTTAGCACAAGAGATGGTCTACACGAACGGCCTTGGTTTCGCTCCACTTGCTGCAGCTACGCCGGCACTATAGTATTGTTATTATGTAGTTACTGCGAGGGGTGATTTAAACAAACGGTGTGGGCTTTGGCTTCGCTCCACTTGCTGCTGCACCGCCAGCTCTGTATTTATGTTAGTACTTGCTTAGAATAAGAGATGGGCTATACGAACGGTCTTGGTTTAGCTCCACTTGCTGCTGCACCACCGGCACTATACTTCTGTCAGTATATAGTCGCTGCGAGGATGAATTGAACGAACGCTGTGGGCTTTGGTCTCGCTCCACTTGCTGCCGCTGCACCACCAGGCCTGTATTTGTGTCAATAAATTTTCAACCATGAATTCAGCTGTACGAACGCTGTTGGCTTGGGCTTTGCTCCGCTAGCCGCCGCCGCTCCTCCTCTATACCAATTCGTAAGCACAATTCGACCTCACTTCCAGATCCTCGATCAAACTTACGCTCCAGCAGCTGGTTTCGTGGGCTTGGCTGCACCACCGGCTCCAGAAGCCTTACTGTCTCTTTGTCAGTATCAATCCATGGTATAAGATATGAGGTGTAGTGAACATACGCCTGTCTTCTCTCAAGAAAGTCCCTCTCCTTATCCACAGTGCCGACCTTGGCAGCGAATGCTAAACCAGGGATCTGATATGCCTCTCTCTCCTCAATAGAGTCAATAGCAGCAGGGTGAGCGAGAACGGTAGTGGCGAAAGCGACCAGCGCGTAAGAAAAGACTGTTTGTCCACGCATCTTGAATGTATGGATATGAATAGGCGAAATACTAGAAAGACACTGAAGTTCTAATATTGCTCTTTTGAAGGGAGTGTGTTGATTCAGTTGATGGCTTGACGTCAAGTCTGGTATATTGAATAACGGAATAGAGAGGAAAGGAAAATATCCATGCGTTGCTATGGGGGAGGGTCCTTATACAGGCTAAGAAATGGGAGCGGATCATCGCATGTTGCAAATCTGGATACTGGCCGACTCAAACATTGCCTGTAAGGGTAGAGCGTCTGCAGATCAAATCTTCGCCGAGCCCAGTGACATGCTCGTCCGCGCATCCGCTACCCGTCCAGCATTTTGTCAGTGTTCTCTATGGGAGATAAAAATAGTAATCATGTTTGCAAAGCAGGATAGTCGATGTTTGGGAACTGGCGAATCAGAATGCTGGAAGATGATGTTGGTAGCATAGATTGTAGCAGGCTCCAACAAGTCGCGATTGAGGCTCTCTCGGTGGCATTGAATCCCGAATCAGAGTTCAGCGATTTGTTTCCATGTTTGGGCTTCTAGATCGAACGAATGTTATTGCAAAACGATGGTGAGCCACAGCCGGCGCTAGATAGAGGGTAAAGTGGAAGGAGCTGCAGTATCTGTAAAGGAGATGCCTGTCAAGGTCTGTGCTGGAACAGTCGTTTGTTTAGGGTTACGATCTACCCGGGTGTTTGGAACCTTAAGCGAGTTAAAACATCGTCAATGCACCGATGCTGGGGAAGAAACAAGCTTCGCAAAGTATCAAGGCACTGTCATGATACTGCACATGCAATGAAATCTGAATTTTCAGATCCCACCAGTTGGAAATGAGCCGAGATATTCCCAACAACGACTGCGGCTAAAGTTGCGCAGCGTACAACTCAGAGTTCACGTAAAAAGTGCATCCAAATATATATGCTTCGAGTGTCAATGCCGACAGATCGAACCTTAAAAATGATGTGCTTAAAAAGATTGGATAACACTTAGTCACTTGGTGAAAGGCGTGCTGTGGGTTCGTGAAAGGGTACAAGGTATTAACTTCTCGATAACTTCCGCCGGCCTACTCTACAAAATGAAGTAAACGCTTGTCTGATGCATCCACAAAGTCACCAGCTTAGAATCCAAATGGGTTCTGCGGAGCTGTTCGAAGATTAGTCGATGGTCAATTGAAAAGCCGAAAATTTACTTACTAGCCTGCGACAAGTTGGCTCTGCGCCCCGTCGCTTGGGGCATGAGTTTCTTAGCATCACCCGTGACACCAAATCTGACTGGTGGGGGCGGGCCAGTTTTTTGAGGCACGAGAGGGGCGATGGTATTTTGCTGAGGAATTGGAGGAATTGGAGGAGCGTTGAAAGAATTGAAACCGTTCTGCTGTTGCTGCTGTGGCATGCCAGTTGATTGAGGCTGTAAAGGCGGAGGTAGGAAGGAGTTAATGCCAGTGGGTTGGGGAAATTGTTGCTGAGGAGGGCCAAAGGAGCTCTGGAAGCCTGTCGGTTGCTGCTGAATCGGAGAAAATTGTTGTGGTCGAGGATCAGCGAACGGTCCGCCTCCATTGTTCATGAAATTCTGCTGCTGAGGTATTCCTGGTTGCATCCCGGTCTGCATTGGATACTGGAAACCATTTGGCATACCATTGTTGAATTGGCCAAAGTTTTGAGGCTGGTTCATCATCCCCATATTTGGGTTGGGATTTTGAGGTCCATTGAATCCAGTGTATTGTTGCTGCATTCTGATATCGTTCAGACTTTGGCCAGGAGGAGCGATCTGGTTTTGGAATCCCGACGAGTTCTGTATTCCAGTATTTTGAGCTTGTAGCGGGGGAAGTGAGAAAGCACTTTGCTGGTTTGCCTGTGGCGCCGACAAAGGCCGATTGGGAGGAGCAGGTATCATCAGAGATCCCTGACTTTGGAATTGGGGCGGTGGAGCAGGCCGTTGACGAGCAATGTTCAGCTGATTCATTTGTGGGTTGAATTGCGCGCCTGTCTGCTGTTGTGGGAGCCCAGTCTGCTGTTGTCCAATTCCAGCAAAGAATGACGGTGTAGCTCCCTGGGGTTGGGGTTGGGGTTGGGACTGTTGCTGAGGAGGCTGTTGAGGAGGTTGGGCTATCTGTGGTGGTTGAGCAGGGGGTTGTGCTCTCGTGGGTTCCAGAGGTGCAGAAAGCAGAGATAACTCTTGCATAGATCCAGTCAACGTGGGCTGTGCTGGAGGAGGGGTAGCGACTGGCGCCGGTGAAGGTGTAGTAGCCTGAGCCTGCGTTGTTTGGGGTTGCTGCTTCGATGGCTTCACATCCCAGGCGTCGTCATCGAAGCCAGAGCGTACCTCATCCTTCTTCGTGGGGGTTGGCATCGAGGCGAGGGGTGTTGCAACCCCTTCCTGACGGACAGTCTTCTCATTAGATCCTTGCTTGAATGCATCTGCATCCACAACATCATTCGTCTGCACAGCAGGGGCTGGGCGTCCCTTTCGGGTATTGTTCTTGAGTGTCCCTCCTGGACCGGAGAAAAGCCCTCCCGATTCACCATCAATGACTTCCTCCCCACCAAAGCTGACATTTCGTTTTCCCCCAATACGATTGTATTTCTTGTCCAAATATCTCATAATCTTGATGATATCTCCCTCACGGATACCCAAAGTGCGCAGAACGGTAGCATCGATATCAGGCAAGACACTCTCATCCATAGAATCTCTGTTAAAAGCTTGCCCATACCTCTCGCAAAGCCCAACGGCAACATCGCAAGAGAGGAAAAACTGGAACCAATCATACTCCGGCTTCGTAGACTTGGGCACAACACTGGCGCCGGCAGGGCTAACATTGTTGGCAGCTCGAGCCTTTTGCTGTTTCTTGATATCTGATAATGGCTTGTCTTCGTCAAGGGAGACGCCCGTCATGCGTTCAACATATTCGAGATCTTCAATTGACATCTTGACGACTGGTACTGCGATCTTGACACCATTCATCTTGTGGAGATTTATCTTGCCATCTTTCAAAGCTAAGAATTGAGCTTCAACGCTAAATGATTTCGATCGGTCGGTCCACGTTCGTACTTTAGCAGGATCGGGTTCTACGAGGGTTAGAGAGGTACCCAGAATATTCAGTGTTATGACTTACTTGATTTTGAAGATCTTGATTGCCCATCTCGTCCGGTTTCATGTCTGCTTCTCTGTTTCCCATCATGGTTACTACTGTCTCGTGCCGATAGACTGCTGCCCCTTTCAGGTATTACCTGTGACCCTTTTGATTCTTCTTCCATGCGCGCAGCTCTTAGCGACTCTTTGGCTAGCCGTTCTTCTTCCAGTCTGTTCTGATCGATGGTTGACTTGCCCGCATTTAGCCCAGAACTGCTTGGTGCAGCGACTGTGCCGGTTACTTCCACATAGGAACTTGGTACTACACCCTCCTTTCCGTTTCTCAGCCTTTTAACTTGCCACCACTCTTCGCTCTTCGTGTCGTCCACAATAATAACTTCGTCTCCGACGGCAACGGTCACTTCATCATCACCTTGGGCCATAAAGTCGTATAGAATCTGGCCCTTCTTTTGACTTTGGCCGGTTCCAGCCAAAATTACCTCTCGAAGTCCTTCAGCTCGAACGGCTCCAGCCAGTTCTCCCAAAGCGCTGACGATTTCTAAAGCAGTATCTTTTGCTCCGGCATGAAAATCCACACTTTTGCTCGGTCTGACCAGTTCCAGAAAAACATGTTTTCCTTCAATCGAGTAATGGGTCATCTTTTCAGCGGTCCAAGTCTGCTCTGGGCTATATGAAAAGTTAGCGTATTCTTCTTTGGACAGTATATCTCTCAGAACAACTGAGGACGTTTAAAAATCCACTAACCCATCTCGAGACTTTTCTGGGGCAATCAGAATAACTCCAGTGGCAATATTGACACCTAGAGTGGTTGGCATTTTCTTCCGCTTGCCCATAATCGATACCATCTCGTTGATATTGTACATATGAAATCCACCAGGCGCATGGGAAGCAACCTCGTCATCAATGTTTCGGTTGAAGCTGGCTCTGTTGTAGGGTGGTGACATTCTAGGACCTGGAGACGGCGGCGAGGCTTCTCGTGCATGCACAGGCTCAGGAGCTCTTGATTGAGAGACTGGCCGGGCTGGCATCGAAGGCGGTGGGCCCTCGTCTTCATCAGAAGCCTCTGGGGTATATTGGGCTGGTGGAGCTCGAGTTGCTGGCGTGGAAGCCTTTCGCTGGTTGATGATGCCTGCTAAAGCTGCCGCCGGACTCTGAACTGGACTCTGGGGAGACCCAGGAGATCCAAGGGAGTCGTCATCCTCAACAGCCGCAGGTGGTCTTCTTGGAAGGCTCGGCGGGGGTGCTTGTGCAGTACTTGATAAAGCCTTGCCCTCCTGGATTTCTATGTAGTTGGCGGGGGCAAAACCGTACTCGCCATCAAGTCCAACTAATATCCAATCCGGATCTGATGTATCGAATACTTCAAGTGTCGCATCCTCTGTAAAAGACAGCTCCTCGTCCGTCTGCCTGGTATAATCGTAGAGAGCGCGAGCTTGGTTCGTAGGTTGCGCCTTGGAGATTGTCAGCCAGCTATCCGCCGTTACAGTCCATAGAGGCGCATGAGAACAAGAGATCCCCGGCAATTCCCCAGATACCGTAGCTGGTCTGCAAAGCGCTCGAAAGAACACATTGTTGATAGGGTCAAAGTGCCACATACCTCTTCCACGTAATTGCTAGGGACTAAGCCAGTAGGCTCATCATCATCCTCCCCAGATGCCTTCTTCTTTGCCTTCCACCAGTCGTCCTCTCCACTCTTCTCCAGCACATACAATATGTCCCCTTCGCTGATCGCAAGCTCTGAAGCACCGTTGGGTACGTAGTCGTATATTGCTTTGTAGACACCAAGGAAGCCCATCTTCGCTGCAGCTGCAAGTAGCAGCGGGCAAAGACTCTCCGCGATCGATGTTCGTTTTATTTATTGTCCTGCGAACTGGTCTGAGGTCTGCCCCATGCGACTTCGGTCCGTTCCAAGCTTGAGGCCGCGATTCCGGATTACTACAGACTGACAGCTGTTGGTGGCCGCGGTCGAGAACAAGGGTGGCGTCAGAGGATAACAGGAGTTTGGGTCATCGACGGGACAGTTTGGCAGACACAGCGAGAGGGTAGAGTAAGTCGGACGAGATCGTAGATGGCCGTGAGTAGATTTGTTTAATACTATTGAGTTGTCTCGAAGCGGAAAGGTTGTCAGTTGTCTACCCGTCCACCGTAGAACCTCACGAGCGAGGCTAGCTCGCTTCCTTTTAAATTGCCCCAGGCACAGACGTCACTCATGGGCCAGAGAGGAGTCAACGATGTCTTTCTTGCACCTCTCTGACACCTATCAGATCTCTAAGATTATTGTCGTGCAGTGCAAACGTCAAACGTCCAACTGAGGTGCATTTATTGAACTCGTCGGGTTATCAACAATTTCTCACGACATCGTACTGCATGAAGTTGACATTGTGACAAGTCACTGTTCTGCCCCATTTTGCCTGAACGAGGATCATGCATAAAGTGTATCGAGTTTATCTTGAAGCAACTTCCCTGCAAGTATCCTCGACCTCGGTGTCAAAAAGTATATCTAAAGCCGATCGTCTCCTCCAGTAACTTTCTCCCCTCTCTTTGCTTCCTATTTACATACCAGAAATATATTGAGAACAACGCAACAATGCCAATGATCAGTATATGAGATCCAATACTGATCCATATCGCTGTCATATAACGAGGCGCCTCAGGCTGTCTGACGATAAAACTTCCCGCTATCCCTCCCAGCCCATTGCAAGCTGTAATGGATGCTGCAAAAGTAGCTCTTTTCCACTGCCCTGAAGGATGGGTCAGTACTATCTGCCATATGGAAATCCCAAACAGGTGAGACTTACCAACAATGTTCGAAGCTTGGTAGGCGTTCATAGCCGCCCAATTGCTTACATATGCTCCCGTGGCAAGATAGGTGCCAACATATCTCACAGTAACCTGGTTTGCAAAGCCTAGCATGCTGAACCCCACCACAGTACAAATGCAGTTGAAAGTTATCACCAGACCTCTCAACTGATATCTGTCTCCCACGATCGATGAAATGATCACTGGAATGACAGCATAGAAGTACGGTGGAGCCGACAGCAGGATAGCCTGGTCTGTTGAAAATCCCATTCCGGACTGTAATATAATAGGCAAGAAATACGAGAGAGAAGTCGAGACCAAGTTGAGAAGGAAGAACATCATGCAGAATCCATACAACTTTGGATCAAGGAAGTGAACAAGGCAGCGGCGCCAGGAGAAAGTTTCGGGCTTCACATCTCCTCTGTCCTCCGAAATCCTCGTCTCTGCTAGAAGTTGCTCATTGCGAGTAAGGAAGCGGAAGCTCTTGTGGGAGTTCTCGGGGAAGTCAACGATCCAGAGATAAGTTACGAAACCGATCACTTCTCGGGGTCAGCATTTAATTGTGATTTGAGCTTTAATTCCGACTCACCGATGGCAATCAATCCTTGGACTAGAAACATCCACCTCCAACCGGCAAGACCTCCTTTACCATTGAGATGGTTGAGTCCGAAGTTCAGGAAGCCTCCTAGCCCAACCACAGTGACCTCACCAGACTGCAGAAACGCAAATCGTAGTTGCTGTTCCTTCCTCGTGTACCACGTGCTAATGAGGTAACTGCATTTGTCTCAGTGCTCAGTGTTCGAAAGTCGAGACACATTGGGATAATCAAAGACTCGGATGCTTGGGGGAAGAACTTGAGTCAACTCACCTGAGACCTGGAAAGATAGCACTTTGCATGATACCCAGCAGAATCCTCACCCCAATCATCTGTCGCCATGTTGTAATGAAGGCAGTGCACTGAAATCATCAGCATACTTTCAAATTGGTCTTCCCAGAGCAACCACTGACCAAAGTCACAATCCCAAATCCTACGGTGATGCCAGAGAACACAATTCTCGGACCCAAAAACCTCACAAGAAGCGTAGCAGGCAATTGAAAAGTCACACTAGCAACCGTATACACCAAAATTGATACAGACTATCCATATCGTCAGCTATGTTTCCCTGATAAGTCTATTTAGACATCCACAACAAGAGCAACCTACATATCTATTCCCAACACCCAATCCCAAGTCCTCAAAAATAGTCGTCACGCTCGCGCTACTAATAATCCCCGAATCCAGAAGATTCAACGAGCACAGGATCCCCGCAATAGTGCAAAGTCTCAAATCAACTTTCCTCACCAGCCGCCTCTCAATTTCCCTCTCGCTCTCAGTCGGTTCAACGTCTCCTTGGCGCGTAATCCTGACATCGTCGTCCTCATCAAGACCTGCATCACTGTATCGACTAACTGGGTCAGAGGCGCTGGAATTCTTGGGCTGATTGGTTTCCTGATTCTTCACGACTATTGATTTCGCGGAGCGCGAGGTTGAATCATCTGTGCGAGTGTTGACATCGTGCCCCGCTTCGGGACAAGGAACGGATGACCCCTCCATATCTCTCAAACTTTTTGAAAGGGGAGAATTGTCCAATTCCGTCTCTGATCAGCCATTGGTGACAATACTGGAAATTGTCAAGAAGGAGAAGAGGTAGGTGGAAATTATGTAGTTAGTCTGGCGGAAAAATCTTTAATAAGCAATCACGTCTTATGCTGTTGAGTCATTATCCAACCATGTCGGCTTCTCCAGTAGTTCCGACGATCCTCGGCAGGACCCAATAAATACGCGATTGACAAGCAACTTCTCATCACAACATGTGGATTGCTAAGCTATTCCAATCATTTTTGTTCTTGCTTATCACACTCAATTCTGTGGAACTCTTTTGATGTCATGGGTACATCTATTCATATGTTGTGCGATATACGCAGGACTTCTTCTCGCTACACTACATACTTAAAAAGTGGGAGTGGGGGTTCGTCATGTGTGAAATAGGAAGTTTTAGATCATGATTCCCTCTGCATAAAATGCTAAAGGTGTGATATTTACTTTAAAATACTCGATTTGCTTTCTACCAACAGAACAGAATGCAGGTTCTGCATAGCAGTAAATCAAATTTCTTAATCCAACAGCTACTCATTAATGTTCCACTTGATAATGGGACCTCGAATCGTGGCAGCTGTCAACAGGTCTCCGCACATACTCCACCCTCCCTCTACTTGCTGCATTCCTCAAGCTCTCAATACAAATCACATCGCTCTATTTCTCTTTCCAACAGATTCTACTGTGTGGCAACAAGAAATAGCTCCATATGTAATTGCAGTGGTAGGCGGAGAGATCTGACGATTCTTGCTATGGACGGTGGTATGCAGACATTCGTCTTACTAGGCATTACTCTATGGTCGACATTTTCTGGGACCTATGAATTTACCATTTTGAATACGCCGAGTCGGCGGTTTTTTTATGTATGCTTGAGAGACGATGAAGAATGTTCCTAACGGTATTTTTTACCTTAGAATTCGATTTCATAAACAAAGGCGATTCTCATTAGCAAAATCAATACAGAGATTGAAAGGAGACGCACTGACTAGGGCGATAAAGAAGCGCTGAATTGGCACAAGGCATTGGCTGGGCCTAAGCTATATTTACATTTGACGCAGTTCTGACAATGCTACTTCACTTGCCGAGCAGGAAATTAGAAGAAATGAATTTATAAACAAGACCTCGGCTCAAGGCTACTCGCTACACGCGCGATCACATGTAACCGCATAATAGACTACGCCAAGTAATGTGGGAGAGTAATTAGGAGTTCATCGTGCAATACAGTCAAACCGCCACCACCCACACTTTACGCCTTTGCGCCATGGAACCCCGTGCTATCAACACCCGAGCTATTCAAACGAACCCATTTCCAATTGCATCGATCATGAAATAGCATCGATTGGCTCATCATCAACCACATTTCTTCTTCGCACTTCGGTCTCATCGACATCGATTCTCGACTTCCCATTCGCACCAGTGCTTCTCGTAGCAACAGCCTTCTCCTTACGCTTGGTTTCCTTTGGCGGCTGGAAGCGCTTACGGACTGTCTCGATCATCTTGCCAAACCAGTAGAAGTTCAGAGTGTTAAGAATGACGTTGCTGCCTAGGTATGTAAAGGCAAGCCATAATGGGACAAACTCTTCTCCTGCGAAGCGCATGATACCATCATGGACAGGAGCGGCGCTCTTTCCAGTCGCAGCGGCAGTGCCGTTCAAGGCATCGATGTCAATGCTGGTAGTAGCTGGTTGGTGGTGGAGCGCTTTCCAGACGTCTTGGTAGACGCGGACGGATTGGTAGGTTCCCCACACCAGGCGGCAACTGAAGAATGTGAAAAGGAGCATGATGCCGTTGTATAATTGTGCCTTGGAGCCAGTCATATCCAGTTTGTCGAAGAACCAGTGGAAGTTTAAGAATGGAGATGATAGCTCGTAGAGGATGAAAGTACATCCATAGAAATTAACAAATGGTCTCTGTTGAGAGTCATTAGTCCTGGGACGTGTAAAATGGAGGTAGAGAAACCTACGAATCCAAAAGAGAAGACAATGAGAGCACTGAGAGCATGCGCGAGCATGCCGAGTCCAAAAACCCTAACATTCTGGAGCGTAACCATCAAGTCCCAGAGGAAATATCCAGTCGCCATGCCCTGAATCATTCCCGCGGCACCTGTGTAGCCCCAGATTCTCTGCTGCCAGTCCATGTTCTTGCGCTCCTCATCGTTGAACATCACCCATAGCGCAAGAAAGTTGATAGTTGTGCTCTGAACCAGGGACACCACATGGACATCCCAGTTGATTTTCCGTTCTGGGGAGAGCTTCGCATATTTGACGGGGAATATGCGCTTCGAGAGCTGAGGCGCGAGGACATTATTGATAAATGTGTATCCCAGGAAGGAGATAAGCACCTCATGAACATGCAAAGGGAGTGTTGTGAGGTGGAAATAGTCGGCGAAAGGCTGCACGGCTTTACTGAGCCATGGCAGTGGTGGGATAGGAAACGGGTCGTGCATTGTGACAATTCTGGAGGAGGAAAAGAGCGAAGGGAGGAGGGTCTAGGAAGGGCGAATAATTTATTCCGGTCGGTGATACCGGCGAGGCCCAGGAGAGGCGTCGAAGATCGACTCGTGAGTGAGTCGTGTGGTGGTTTCAAGGAACGATGTGGATGCCCGCCCGAGGTTGGTGATGAGGTCCCCCAACAAATGGAGCGGCCGGCTAAATTCAGGGCTTAAATCAAGGACTCAGAGATCCCTGCGATTCACTGGTAACAGTTGATATTCAGGGTCTCAAAACTTCAGAAAATGGGACAAGTATATGTGGGTGATGAACCCTTTTAACTGGGTTTCTTATTTTGTTTTATACACTAGGAGACTGCTCTCATTACTTATACGTATGCTTCGTAACATCTGAGGCGCATCAAGCCAAGCAACCAGGCAGGCTGACCGCAGCGGTGCCTAGGCCCCCAGGATTCCATTTCTTTGACTGACAAGCACACGTGAGACATTACAATTAATATCTCGTGCCAGCTCGAGACTCCGCCTTTGACGCCACGCCCTCTCTATCTGCTGACTACTTCCCCTTTGAAGACAGTAATTCTGTTTGAAGAGGGATCGTTGACTAAGTCCGAGACCGTTTTCCTCGCCCTGAATGCGCCAGACCTGCTAGCGGATTGATTGCCAAAGACCACGAAGTCAGCTGGGTCTCCGACATCAATGTCAATTTCGCACGAAACCGGCAGATCGATGCCCATAGCCAGCTTTGCCCGATTTGATACACATTGCTGTTTGAGACAGTCAGCAATAAGGATCATGACGAAGTTGGTCTACTCACAAATAGCAGATCGGTGTCCTTCTTAGTAGCGGCCTGGTAAACTCCAACACCAAGACTTGCAAGACTCAACGGATCACAGCTACCATGAGGAGTGAAAGCGTTCCCGACATTGTTGATGCCCAATGACGCGTTCATGCCGTACTTTTTGATGATATCGAGGACTTGCAATGTACCTCTTACTCGTTGACCTCCAGCATCCTCTTTAGTCGGTCTGCCCATCATGAAAAGATCGGACGTAGGAAGTCCTACAAATGCAACAGGAAGTCCTCTAATTTTCTCCCGAAGGTTCAACCAATCTTGTTCACTAAACAGCGTGAGGCGAGTGCAATGTCCAAAAGAGATGCTCCGATGGCTATGGTGGTTCCAGTTTGACGGCCATTTCAAGGCATGGAGTAGCTCTAGGGCATCTGCCATCATGCTTGGAGTATTTGGATCCAGGTTGTAGTCGATGTGGAAATCCAGGTGAAGTCCATACCGGATCGCCGTCCTGATCGCAAATCCCATGTTTGCAATCTGCTTTTCACGATTTCCGTCTTGCTCTACATAAGGAGTGCTCCCAAATGCCTCAACGCCAGGTTTGTTCGCGGCAACATCAAGTAGCTTCATCATTGCTTTTCCCTTGTCTCGATAGCTGACAATTGGATCTTGAGCAAAGACACAAATCTGGACGTAACATCTGTCCTTGAATTCTTGCTTAAGTGCCAGACCGGCTTCGAGACATTTGAACCTGACCGTAAGATCGACTTCGACAAAGGCTCTGAGATGGGTAACTCCAAAGTTGATGCTTTCTTCGATCAGAGCCCGGCCGCGCTCCATCAGATCATTGCGTTCAAATCGGGACTTTGCTTCACCTGAGAAAGCATAAGAGATGGGGACTGGAGTACAAGTAATGAAAAGCACCTACTAGTCAACTTCATCGCCTCAGCAAAGTCACCCTTCTCGATCTCCAAGTCCGCATACTTCGGGTGTGAAAGGAGAAAGCACTTGTCCAGATGGATGTGCGGGTGACAGAGACTTGGGCAGAGGAATTGTACATCATTGCTCGAACCGGAGCTGTCAGGCACATGCTCATCTAGTGATTCGATGATACCCTTCTTGCAGCAGATATCCCAACGGGTATATTCCGGCTTTCCAGCTACATAGACACCTTTGAATGCCAGTTCGGATCCGGCGCCGTTGGAACAGCCGTTAGCTGCGTTGTTGGTTGACATGGTGGGATAGCGTGATACCGAAGCTCGAAGTACGGGTATTAGGTGAAGCAAAGAGCGTCCTACTAACACAGTAGAAATTACAATTATGAAGAGAAGTGAAGGGAAAGTGAAGTGAAGAGAAGAGGGAAAAGGTGGTTGAAGAAGTCGAGAACGATTGTTACGTGGCCATGATTCAGGGGACCAAGAAGTGGTTGAGGAGGGATGACGCGCCTGGGAACTAGAATGAGGGGGAGGGGCGACGAGGGGCGAGCAGGCTCAGGCTCATGCTCAGGCTGGGTAAAATAAACTTTCCGGGACGCTAACCCGCGTCTTCCCGTCGAGCTTCAGCCTTGGCTTAGGTTGGCTTGAGCTTCTTCGGTTCATGAACACCTGTCCCACATCACCACGTTGAATCCTCAGGTCACAAGCATAGGTATCGCAGCAATGGCAGACCCATTGTACGAACTGCTGGTTCCATACTTCAATACGCCCTCCCCACGGCCGGCACCTTCTTCCAAAGACCCGACCACCAATGCATATCTGAGTCGACTTACAACCCTACCCCTCTCGTCCCTCACCAGCAGCGAGCCCCAGTCCCTCTCCCAAACCACCCACTCTCTCCTCCTTTCTCTTCAAGGCCTCTCGAAACGCTCCCACAAATCTATAATTGACTCCTCCACACACCTCTCAACTCTCAGCACGACTCTGCCCTCCCTCGCCCAGTCTACAGCCTCCCTCCGAGACGCCCTCCCGAAACTCGACGATGCAGCTATCCACTTCAGCGAAACCTACAACACACGCTCAGAAAATGCTCTCCTTGATCGCAGGCGTAAAGCCCTCCTCCTCTCCCGCAATATTGACCGTCTCTCCGACATTCTGGACCTCCCAACCCTCCTCTCATCTGCGATATCCACCTCAAATACAGCTTCCACATCTGCAACTACCTCTGCAAATGCTACCCTAAACTACGCCTCAGCTCTCGATTTAAACTCGCATATAAGACGTCTGCATGGCTTGTACCCAGATTCAGCGCTCATTTCGAGCGTGGAAAAGCAGGCAGAGGAAGCTATGCAGGAAATGGCCACGAATCTAATAGCCAGTCTCAAGACCAGCTCCCTGAAGCTCGCCAGCGCAATGCGGACTATCTCATGGCTACGGCGTGTAGCTCCTGAATTGGACCCTGCACCTGTATCCTCAGTCCCAGCGCAGTCAATGCATCATACCAGTGGAGCAGGAGGAGCGTCAAGTCGAGAAGGCAGTCTCGGCTCCCTCTTCCTCGTCTGCCGTCTTGCCAATCTCCAGCAAACCCTCTCAGCCTTGGAACCTCTCCGAGAACTCGCAGACCAGGAAACGCTGCGTCTGCAAGAAACCAAGAGCAACGAGAATGGAGCTGTGAAAGAACGTAGTAAATGGGAAGGTGGACAGCAAACGGAGCGCTACTTAAAACGCTACATAGAGATTTTTCGTGAGCAGAGTTTCGCTATAATCTCTATGTACAGAAGTATATTCCCGGCTGGGAGCTCGGCACACGAAGAAGCCGTATTAAAGGGACTCGGGAGGGAGGTGGATGGCGCGAAGAAGGACGAGGATCCTTTGCAGCCGTTACCGAGTTCGCTAGACACGTTCCCATTGCAGCTTGTGGGTATGCTGGAAGACACGTTGAGGAGGTATCTTCCGAATGTCAGAGACAGGAGTAGTAGGGACAGTCTGTTGACGCAGGTGTTGTATTGTGCCGGGAGTCTGGGTAGATTAGGCGGGGATTTTAGTCTGTTGCTTGCATTTTTGGGAGAGAATGGGAAAAATAATAGTGAAGATGCAGAGGAGGAAAGTGATGAGGACGATGAGTGGGTAGAAGTCATTAGAAAGCATAGAGTGCTAGCTGGCAGGTTAGAATTGATGGTTGGAGCTAGAGATGGATAGACGGTTAAAAACATACATAGATGTCTAGCATCTATATATCTACATTCATCATGCAGATCACGTTGTACTTGAAGAGGCATACCAAATGGAATAGTAGTTGGAAAAATACGAAATCTCGTGATCTCACGGACTCTATATTGCTGGGCTACTCTCCTACTCAAGCATTTGTTGACTCTAGATTAGAACCAAAGTCAACAACAGGTCAACATGATTGCCTCTCCCCAGCCCAAATATGGAACACTCCCCATCACGCACTACAAAATACCAGCCCGACTTTAAAACAGACGTCAGCCCATCTCATCCATAACCCAACAGCATAAATTCTAGGCATCTCGATCGGGAATTCAGGAACCAAATCTCTTTGCGTGCGGCACCAACCCGATCACCAAACTCGCCTCCATCCAGCCAATCAAAACCCACTGATTACCAAACGTCATCTCTCAAACCCTCTCGTTTCAACACAAACTGGACAAAAAAAACTATATAGCAACACAAGATCCCCTTCTATTCATTTTTCCTTTCTCATATCCTGTGATGGCTATGCATTTTACGGGAAAAAAGAGTTTTTCTTCTCTTGGGTCGCAGTATCGCTCGCTGTTCTTCTCTTCCACCAGCCTGGCCTGCTTTTCTCACCAGCCGTTTTCGATGGCGTACGAGCGCTTACCTTGGGAGTTTCTTGGAGTACAGAGCTCCGGGGGTGATGCATAGATAGTGGGCTGATTGCCTGGCTGGCTATCTGGGGAGAGATAGAGTTCACTTGTCTACTTTGCGGTGTCACTTGCGAGCTTGGAGGCCGTTTCGATATCTGTTCTGTTTATTGGTTTTCTCCCAATTCTTTCCTTTCAGTCTATCATCTGGTGTCACATATAATCTTTTTGATGAAGCCATCAAACTTGAGATGAGCGGCCAAGCACACTCACAACAGTTGTCATTACACATACTTCCCCTGCCAAAAAGACCCCGAGGACGTTCAGGTTATCTTTTCCTCTCTTTCAGCACTCCTACTTTCCTTTCCCTACTCAGAGACCGTCCGAGGTACACTCTGTACAGCCGGTGCCGTTTTCTTATCATCAGAGTGGCGTTCACTGCTCATTGGACTCTCGGATCCGCTGCCAATTCTCCCGTCTCTTGGGTGTGCCTTAGCTTTGCCGAATGGAAGATGGCCTTTGACTTCCTTGTAACGCATTAACAAGAAGCCAATGATGACAACGATCCAGTAGACGTTGTATGAGATGACGGAGCCATATGTTGCTGAGTTTTGCCAGCCGAAGATCGCGTTAAAGATACCCCATCCGCCGCCGCCGTTGAGTTCTGGGTTTCCGTACTGGGGGTGGTTAGTCTTGCTGTTGATTAGAAGTTCCAAGTGAACTTACGTTGACGTGCCAGACACTCTGATCAATATCATAGGATCCTGGGCCTGAACCGACTTCTGCTGCATCACCACCCACCGCATCGTTCCACTTCTGAGCTTGGAAGAACCAAACCGCCTTGGAAAATAGACCAGCGGCCACAAGGTAGAGGAAGCAGGTGGAGACGATCAGGAAGAATTGAAGTTTGGAAGTGGCACCACCCCTGGATATATGTCAGAATGATGTTGGGTATGGAAGTCCAGGTACTTACTTATAGATGAGATACCCTACTGCCGCTCCAGCCAAAAGACCCATAACAACTGGGAGAGGTACTGCTTTCGCAGGAGAGGAGAAAGATACGCCAGCAATGAAGATGACCGCCTCCAGACCTTCTCGCAGGACGGTGATGAATGGCAGGATGAACATGGCATACTTCTCGCACCATCGCTTGAGGGACCCCCTTTTGCCATCAGCAGTAATTGGGTTATCTTCCAGAGCTTTCGCAAGCTTGACGCGCCACTTTTCTTGCATCTTGGCGACACGAAGAAGAGCTGCGCCCATGATGGTTATGACAACGGAAGCGATTATGCCAAAAGAACCTTCCCAATAGTACTCGTTCTTCGACCATGCGTTCTTGCCAGCACCATAGAAGGCTCCGATCAAGCCGGCACCAATGATCAGACAGATCAGAACTCCAGCGCCAGTTCCGTACCAGACCTACAACTTGTCAGAATGTCTTCTGGACTTGGATCTTTCGAATTTCTTACCTGCTTCACGAGCTTCTTGTACACCCCAACATCTCGACTCGGGCCATCGAGTGTCTGCTTCAAGAAAGCAAGAAGGACGGAGACAATGATTGCCGTTTCAAGCGTCTCTCGAAAAACGATGAAGAAGACAGGTACAGCGAAAACATTGACCGTCATGGTTGCAAATGTGGGCAATCGAAAGAGGACGATATTGACACGAAAGTCGAGTATTCCGGCCCCAAGGCGACGAAAGCTCTTAAGTCGCAGGGTGCGGTTGTGACTTTGTTGAGGGCCGGCAGTCTGTTCTTCCTGGGAAGATTAGATTATGCAACGGGATCTGATTAGATGGAAGCGGTTCGAGGACTAGGTGTGGAACGATTTCTGGGGATCGTGTCAGATTAGAGTTTGATCCCAGCAAGGGCGCCAGGATCTATGGGAAATGTCTCTCGTTGGCCGAAGATCGGAAGGGAGAGGAGCAGAAGGATTTGGCTCCTGCGCGAGGCGTGAGATATGTGTCGACTGTCGAGGATCAACTGGTCACCCATTCGAAGTTAAATGCCGCAAGTCGGGCTGGAGCTATCAAGTCAAGCTACCGAAGTTTGATTGAGCCGAGGAGGACGGATGCAGATGCCAGTCAATCAATCAGTCGACCTGATCCAGTCGAGCGAGCGGCCAAAGAGTTTGAAAGAAAAGAAAACTGTCTCTCGTGAGGGTGGGGTAACAATCTGTTTCTGAGACTATTATTCGTGAGTCCCAGGAAAAGACTTCCACTAACAGGTGGGCTGCAACACGAGGGACGCAGAGGCTGGATGCAGCGAACCCTGAACTTGCCCGGCAAGAGAAACTAGTGGTCCTTAGCCGTCTCGCTAGGGGTCTTCCTGCCAATGGGGCCCGTGAGGTGACATTCCTCCCCTCGAAGCCACGCCAGAATTTATCAGACAATCTGATTGCCTTTTTACCCGATATCAACTCACATCTGATTAGATCCTCGCCCCTGTTTCTGCGAAGTCACACAGACTACACAACTTCAACGGAAACCTTCTACCAGAAGATCAATAATATCCACCGCATCTTCGACATCTGGGAATTCCCAGACGCAGCGTCCTCTCCGCTTGCCAAGTCAAGTAAGCATTTTAGGTCAATTGCTTGTTCCCGCTTTGCTCCAGCGATCGACTTGGCGGGCTGGCCGGCCAGGATATTAGCTCTCCGCACTCCTGTGCTCTCACTTGCATGCAGCTGAGCATCGACGCATATTTGTGGAGCGCAAATTCCCGCACTGCATTTAACAAGCTCATCAACGTGGACCGTGGACTGACTCGAGCCGTGGAAGCCACACGAAGACATTTCTGTAAGTTGTGTGACCCAGTGTTGACCCCCCATGGAAGAGCAAAAGCAAAAAAAAAAAAAGAACCCCGCAGTCATACTCCAGCAGCCAGACTCCTCAGGAGGACTTGACAACACCCGAACTGTTCGCTGCTCGGTATCCCACTAGCAAAAGGAGATCGGGTGATTTCCTTGAAACACATTCTTCCGCTACTGGCAAACCAACTTCTGGTCTCACGCCATAGAATTTTGCAATGAAGCTGATCTCATTTCAAATCTGATCACAGCTTGTCAACACCATCCAATACGAGGTAGGAAAAGGATTGGTTTTCTCACAACGGCTGCAACTGACTTTAAAAGCCTTCACAAGCAAAGCCAAACCGACGCCTTCAAACTCAAAAAGCAACGTCCGGCCTATCTAATCTGCATCTTCTCCACCACATTGGTTGGGCCATCACTAGATTACAGGGCTACAACTTGTAAAGGCTGCCACCAATCTCCAATCACGCCATAAAAACTCGGATTCTAAGCCACCCATTATCCAGCTCTTCCCGGCCTTCAATCTGATAAGCTTGCTCGTTTCGCAGCACCATTATCAGATCATCTTATCAGTTCTCATCTCAAACGGACTGTAATCCTAGCAAGGGTGCTTGCGTTCTGAAGGGTCACACACCTTGTACACTTCCCGCCTCTGATCCGGCCTCGGCCGTTGCCAGCCCAGCATTGTGGTCCCCTCGATAAGTCGACGACATCTTCGAAGTAATTCTCCAGAAGAGCGCAGGACGACTCCCTGTCAACCTCCTCAAAGTCGCTCAGGACATTGCCACGAGGCACAACGACCAAAAGAGATCCAAAGTCTCCAACAGTCAAAGATGGCGATTTCGTTGTCTTTCTTCCCTATATTATCTCTTCTGTTTGTTATTGTACCAGAGATCGTTCATGCGAAAACTGTCACCTACGATTTCAACATCACATGGGTTACTGCGAATCCAGATGGCATCTTTTCGAGACCCGTCATCGGGATCAACAATGCCTGGCCTCTCCCGGTAATGACGGCTACACTTGGTGACCAAGTTGTCGTCAATGTCAACAACCAGCTCGGAAATCAAAGCACATCTTTGCATTTCCATGGCCTCTTTCAGAATGGAACAAACGCTATGGATGGACCATCTTTTGTGACGCAGTGTCCTATTCCAGCAGGATCTTCCTTTACATACAACTTCACGGTATGTGTGTAAGTACATGTTGACATGGACATCTCTGATCGTCAATAGGCAGCTCAATCTGGTACTTACTGGTATCATTCCCACAACATGGGGCAATATCCCGACGGTCTTCGCGCTCCCTTCATCATCCACGATCCCGAGTTTCCATATCAAGATCGAGTTGATGAGGAAATTGTACTGTCCGTTTCAGATTGGTACCATGAGCAGATGGCGACGTTGAAACCGAAATTCCTCAACAAAGCGAATCCTACTGGCGCAGAACCAGTTCCACAGAATGCCCTCCTGAACGACACGCAGAATCTCACTGTTTCGATCCAGCCTGGAAAGACATACCTATTCCACGTTGTCAACGTCGGTGCATTTGCTGGGCAGTATCTATGGTTCGAAGGTCATAATATCACAATAGTTGAGGTTGACGGGGTTTTCACGGATCCAGCTGAGGCATCTATGATTTATATTTCAGCGGCGCAACGATACAGTTTCTTGCTTACCACCAAGAATGATACCTCCACTAATTATGCCTTCGTTGGCAGCATGGACACCGTAAGTAACTGTAGCTGTACCAATGACTTGCACTGAACATGGCAGGACCTCTTTGACACTCTACCCGAGGATCTTAACTGGAATGCAACGGGATGGTTGGTTTATGATGACTCCAAGCCCATGCCGGAACCTGCAGCCGTAGATTCCCTCGATCCTTTCGACGATTTTGCACTGGTACCAGTCGACAAGAAGCCGCTTCTACGCGATGCTGACCAAACAATCACTTTCGTATGTATACTCTGACGTCTCTGTTACCCATTGAGATAACATTCGGGGAACTTGAGCCGTTCTTTTTCCCGAGATAATCTCAGAACCTTGAATTCAGAACACTAACTTCAGACAGGATGTTATCATGGACAACTTGGGCGATGGGCGGCCATAGTAGGAATATGCTTCCCAGTCTTGTGCTTGGTACTAATAACAAAACAGTGCCTTCTTCAACAACATTACTTGGGTCAAGCCAAAGGTCCCTACACTATACACAGTCATGAGCACTGGCGAAGCAGCTACCAACCCCTTGGTATACGGAGAATTCTCGCACTCTTTTGTGCTTGACAGACATCAAATAGTGGAGATCGTGGTGAATAATCTCGGTCAGCACAACAAAGTCGCGCATCCTAGCAGCAACAGCTAATCATCAGTAGATTCGGGAAAGCATCCATTCCATCTTCACGGGCATAACTTCCAGACGATTGTCCGTTCAGAAGACGGAGCTGGATCATTCGATGCATCCAACTCAAGCCAGACCAACTACCCTGCGATTCCAATGCGAAGAGACGTTGTAGTTCTGCGTCCCGAGGGCCACATGGTTCTTAGATTCGAGGCGAACAATCCTGGAGTTTGGCTATTCCACTGTCACATCGAGTGGCATATGGACCAAGGACTGATTGCAACTATGATTGAAGCTCCTTTGGATATACAAAAATCCCAGAGCATTCCACAAAACCACTTCGACGCATGCACAGCTGGCAAGATTCCTTCTGTTGGCAACGCCGCTGCTAATACGGAAGACTTCCTTGATCTGAAAGGTGCCAGCAGAGCCCCGAACCCCTTGCCATCTGGTTTCACAGCTCGTGGCATTATCGCTATGACTTTCAGCGTTCTGGCAGCTGTTATTGGATGTGCTGTTATTGCATGGTAGGTCATAATCCTAAGCCGACAAGTTTACCTTGCTAATTGATCCAGGTATGGTATGGCGGACATGGGAGCTGCATCGATGGCCAGTGAGGAACGGCGTATCGCAGACATGCACGCGGCAGGTCAAGCGTCTGTCATATCGGACACTCCTGCAAAGTAGAAAGATCTTAGCTTGTATGTTCTGGACTGAATTTCGGGCTTTCAGGCTCCTGGCGTTCTGCATTTTTGAAGAAGATACCACGATAGCACGATGGATCTTGCTGCACCTGTATTGAAATTATTAATTGTGGTATGCATAAAAGTAGAGCTATGCAAATATGATAATGGCTTCTGTAGTAGATGGTCAATTTTTGAGCTGTCCCTTCTGTGGCTGCTATCCAGTGTCGTGCTATTGCTGTTTTAAGTAATGTCGGATCCTAGAATTTGGAAATGGTCACTATTTTGAAATATCTGTGCGATTTTTGAGTAAGCTTTTCAGTCACTGTAGTGATCTGAAATGACCGTTTGAACTGCCTACTATCATTGAGGACCAAGGTTGGCAGACGAATAAATGAAGTTGTTTTGACCATGGTCCTTGTCAAGGCTCGGCCCTGCTTTGCCGAAGTGGAGAACAGAGTCCGCAACCTCAGCGAGGGGTTCATCCATGGAGACTCCAGCAACTCATGATACTTCAAGTACAGTTTCTCCTCGAACACCGTACGCTCTGGATCCTTGCGTTCCATCATCAATTGGATACACGTATCGCCTCAAAGCACCGATTACGTTCCAATATTCACACCTATCTTCTGATCTATCCTTACACCCGGATCTACTCTACGTGCATCACCAGACCGGATTGTTGGGTACAACCTTAACGGACGCGTTACATCAGATGGCACGAAAACCCCTCTATCTGGGAATACTCACTGGCAGCGAGCCATTGAAGTTTATGAAGCAGACGGTGCCAGTTCAGGCTCCACACCTCTGAAATGGCGGGAACGAAAGTTGGACGACGGCCGTGGTCTTTGGGAGACACATATGGTAAGGTCTTCTCTTCCTCAAGAGAGTGCGTCTTGCTAACAACCTTCGCAGATTTCATTGCGACCTATATCCACAAACCTGATGTCCGACCCATCTACCCTTCAGCATCATCTGGATCTAAACGTCAGTATACGACTGCAAATGGCCGGACTGCACACATGAACCGAATCAGCGCACATAGACCTCATATACCAGTATATAGAACTAGACATAACCATTCTACACTGCGAAGAGCACCAGGAACGCGCTACTTCCACGATTATTTTGTCACGAATCTCCCATCCTCTTCTCTTCACCCAGACTCAAAGTCCTCTACTGGACCACACCACAAGTTGCCCCGAGCAGCTTCAACACCACATACACCGGGCAATGGGCCATCTCCGGCCGCAGCACCGCCTATGGTGGGCATTTCCCGAGAGATGACGGTGGTGCGGATCCCGCTGCGCAGTGCAAAGCATCACTTCGGCGTCTCAGTGTCCCGGGGAACCCGACCATACAACGAGGACACATACCAAGCTGGTACATTGGAGATACCCGCTTTTGCAAAAAGAGCGCCCATTAGTCTGAGCAGGGCAGGGAAGACCGCAAGTGCCACATCTGCGGACAGTGCTAGTGGTGACCCTCAAGTATTTTACTTCGGCGTCTTTGATGGGCATGGCGGGAATGTTTGTAGTGATTTCTTGAGAGAGGAACTGCACGGATATCTGGAGAGGACAGCGAATACTTTCGAGCTAGCTTCTAGTTTGAAGACGGGAAAGAAGAAAGAAAGGGATGTGGGAGGGCCCAGTGCTGAGAAAGCAGGGGATAGTGAGCTGGCTTCAAAGGGAAGAGAGAGTTTACAAAAAGTACAGACGAAGAGCGGAAAGGATGTTGAGCAAGAATCGAACATTCCAACGAGAGATAAGAATGGGAAGATTGAGCAGCCGCCAGCCAGCCCTGCTATTGAGAGCGAGAAACCGGTCTCGATTGAGTCGAACAAGCCTAAAGCGATAGACCTGGAGCGATCACTGGTTGCACAATGGAAGGAGACTGTGGGTGGATATTTCAGACGTTTCAGGCCGGAATACTTCAACCTTCAGTCCTCGTCTGGTGAAGAACCAGCAGTTGAGACACCTGTGTCAATCGAGACAGTCCTCATATATGCCTTCCTCAAAGCAGACTTGGACTTCGTTACAGCACAAGCTCAGAAGCCAGACCCAGAGAACAACCACAGCGACAAGCCCCTAAACGCAGACGACATTCTCGGCCGACCAGCCCATCTCTCCTCACAGCACCGCCTTGGTGGACCAACCCGCTTCGTCGGCGGCTCGACAGCATCCATAGTCCTCATCTCTACCCCGACACCCACTCCATTTTGGCACCCTGCCTCCCCATCAACCATCGTCGTCGCCCACGTAGGAGACACACGCATTCTCCTCTGCAACACGGCCACCGGCCTCGCTATTCCCCTCACCACAAACCACCATCCCAGCTCTCCAGTTGAAGGTGCACGTCTACGTCGCTACGCCGCAACATTCGTCACAGACTCCTTCGGCGAGGAGCGCATGTCCGGACTAGCAAACACGCGTGCATTCGGCGACATGCGCTCTAAACGCATCGGCGTGTCGGCCGAGCCTGAAGTCCGACGTGTGGAACTCGCGCCCGCCGAATACAGTTTCCTTGTTCTGGTCAGTGATGGTGTTAGTGGGACGTTGACCGATCAGGAGATCGTGGATGTGGTCAAGGAAGCGAAGACGCCGGAGCAGGGGGCGAGGGATGTGGTGGGGTTTGCGACAGAGGTCAGCAGGGAGGGGGATAATGCTACTTGTCTTGTTGTTAGACTGGGGGGTTGGGAGAGGAGGATTGAAGGCGGGATGGGGAGTATGGGGACTAAGGAGGTGCGGGATTTTAGGAAGGGCGATGCGTTGGATCCGAGGAGGGGGAGGACGTGAGGTGGAAGTTTGGGGTGAGATGGGGAGGGAAGAGCAGGGGTTGAGTTAACGTAGATATTTGCGTTAGGTATTATTTACTTGCTTGCATAGTTGCATAAGCGAGCGAGTGCATTTAGTTGCTGTACATACGATGTATATCAAAATATTTCCTGGGCCTCTGACTTGACAGATACTCGTGACTTGTGCTTCGATATCTTTGTTGATGTCTGGTAGTGGAGTTTAGCGAGATGTCAAAAACTCGCCGATCTACTATTTCTAGCACAGTGAGACGCCGTACCTACCTACTTTGTAGTACCTCACGTCAGCTATGATGATTCTTCGCCTAGTTCTCAAGCTATCACTAACCGGGAAGTAGTCAATGATAATAGTCAATAGTATATGTAAATCATGGGCATAGGGACATCCTTCTTGCCCTCTTAGAACTGCTAAGTGTGATTTCTGAGAATGAGGCTGTAGCTTCCCAGTTGGATTTGGTCAGGCTGGTAGAATGCGAGCACATGAGGTGCTAATGGCGCGATTAAATATTGCGATTGACTCAATTTGGTTCGTAGTCCAGCCCAAGGAAGTAAAATACAATAGAATGTTTAAAACCCCTATTCTTGGAATTGGAGATATGCGCTTCTTAATTTCTTGAATCTCTGATCAACGACGTGGGTATCTATTTCTCTAGTACTCTTGTTTCAGACACAGCGTCAGAGATCTTGGTATATGATCATTCGAAGCATTTACTCCCTAAGAAGTTGTTTTTCAAGCTGTCACTTGTAGCTGAGAGATTGAAATCTACATGGTGTTAAAGGTAGAACCAGACAATGAAGTATCCTAGTACCAATGTGGCGGATTCGACATAGGTTTGCAGTGAAAGCATTTCTGTCCTCGTGCCATGCACTTGAATCAGTGAGGGAACATGCCCGAAGCCCCTGTCTTCCAAAGACAGACTCTATCTTAGGGCATTCTCACGTGCTGCGCAGAACTCAAGCTGAATTGTCAAAGAGAATGCAAGCACTCCTCAACGAGAGGCAAACACTGCGTTTTGTCTTCGAGGTCACAGAATGAAAATTCTTTCGAAGGCTATGTCCTGGCTCTACTGTAGTTAGCTAGGGCTGCTCCTCTTTGAAGTCTTCTACAAGAAGAAGCATGCTTTTCGAAGTTACATCCAGCGATATCTAGCATTCTAGTCTCATCTGATAGAAAACACGACCCGTGAGTCGCTCCCGAATCCTAGGAAGTTCTTGCAATGATTTCCTTGGTCTTTGGTCACTGTACTCAAATCAAAGGACATTCGAATGGCAGATTCCTCAGAGGCTTGTCCCACCTGGAGCTGGCAAGAGCCACCTTTTCCTTTCTCCTTTCTGCCGTTGCGTCAGTGGCAATGTTGGTGGGCTTTCTTTCTGCATCTGGCTATTACTGCCATGCTGTTAACTTCCATTTGTCACTTGGTCAGCAGACTTTCGAGCAGCATCATCAACACGGATGTCCACTAGGCCGCGTGAGCAACATATCAGGTTAGGTCTTTCTAGCGGTGCTTCCTCGGTGCTCCTTCCTCCATCTTCCTCTTTCGCTGCCCGGACTTGCGCTATCAGATACTTTAAAGACTTCGTCAATGCTAGGTTGGACATTCCAATCTTCACTCTTGCTCAGCCCCGCGTTGGAGTAATTCGAAGTCCAACCTGGCTTGGCTTAGCCATCTCTGCGAAAGAAAGCGCTCCTAGAAACATCGTTCTTCATCAGCATATGTAGTGAAGACGCCTTCCTTGGAGCGCTGACCACCATTGAACAGAATGTCCCAAACAGCTGACGATACCCTGACAGACAAAGCCGACAAACACTCCCAAAAAAGGAATGCAAGCAGAAACAGAACCAGTACTCGACAGACATTACAATCATCTCTGGATATTGGCATCGTAGAGGAGCTTCTAGATCTTCACACATTTGAGAAGAGTGCTCTATGTCTGCCCACCCGAGACTGCCTACTATCAAAGACTCCTTTATGGTGACTGTTCTCAATAATGCCGAAGGTAAATCACAGACACCGCTTCAAGCAACGCATTCAACAGACCGAGCCAGCGGCAGTGTTACCAGAGATAGTTCCAATGCCGATGGAGATGGAAAGATAACTCGAACTTTCTATGCCGATTTTGGATCTCCGAAACGCCACCTGGTCCTTTTAAGCAGATATTCCATACAGCCGGTGATCATGGCTTGAGTCGCTGACTAACACCTGGTCCTTTCGAGCAGGTGTCCCATAGATGGCTCACCATAATCGCAGGTAGTACAGCCGATGATCATGGCTTGAGACGCTGACTAATAGTAGCAGGTCACAGCAGAATCTCTAGCTGCTCTTCTACAGACAGCCTGAGGATCCGATGTAACAATGGTGCTAGGATTTCTAGTACAACAACTAATGTACGACAAACCTCCCAAGATCACCAAGTCCCATTGCGACGAAGTATCCACATGACTTGGTGACTCTGGATACCCATCTGCTACATGCAACACAACTTACACAAGTCATTGCGAGCAAGTTTCAGTGGTGGAGAGCTGTCACAGCTTGGCTGAGAACCACAAGGAGCAAACGGAATACAAGGAGCTGAGCCAAGCCAAACACAAGTACAATGGCAAGCAAGACGTGTTCAGAGACATTAAGCTCAATACCCAGGGAGCATACTTGATATCTCGCATGCTACATGTGTCCGGCAGTCGAGCAGATCATCTTGGCTTGCTCGCACGTCCTTATGCCTAAACAGTTGAACAGACTTCCGCTAGGATGTTTGCCAAGGTACGTCTCTTCTATTTTGGCTTTCGTCTGATCGCTGGAGTAGAGTTCAATTGGAGCTTGCACCAAACGATACAGTTTTGTTTCAATATCTGATACATCCAATTAGACCCCGGGTGGGGGTTACTTGGTGGGGGCACAAGACTACCCCAAACAGTTGTGGAATGCTGAATGGAAATTGCATTGTCAAGTAGGGAGAAAGAAAGACAGGAAACAGTAAGTGGATATACATGGTTTTAATATCAACTCTTTGCTATAGAGTATCAAAATGAAAGCAAGGATATATTATATACCGTTCGGCCTTGTCAAGCGACAAAATTCCCCGAGCCAGATGTACAGTTTCCTATGGACAACAGCCTCGTCATTTGCTAAGGTTCAGGGCCAGAGAGATCATGCAAGGCTATTCACATCTGTCCAATCGAGACTTCTGCCAAGAGCCATTTGTGCTTCATGCTTTCTTATCTCTCAACATTTTGGTCCTGCAAGGGCTTTGCGAGTGGCCAGGCCGAGCGGGCGCCCGAGGCCAGTGGCCAAGGGAAGACAAGAATGGATGCTTATCTGAGAATCTTGACTGTGCTTTGTTGCTTGCTGATACTGGCGGTAGTCGTAGCTGTGCAGCTGGCCTGTAAACGGAGTCCTTTTGCCCACGCTGTCGTGTCACTACCCAATAGCAGTGACTGTTCTCACTTCAGGCTGCACTCAACCCTGTGGCGTCTCGGATTCAGCAGGCTTGTATCACTGACGACGACGACGAGGCTCTGGTTGATAGGCGTAAGAGAGACTCGAAATAGAAGACGTGCCAGCCTGGCATATCTGAAAGGACCTCTCTTTATCGCTATCCACTTCCAACTTCACTCTGCTGCGCCTATTCTCGTCGTTCACCAAACAAAGCATCGTCTGAAGTACAGATTCGGGGACAAGCTGTTGCAGCCGGTGATCGAGCCAAGCAGTAACATTATCACAACTGTGTTAGTCAACTTCCAGGCTATTATTGTTATTGTTGGCTACGATGGAACGAGGTCTCTGACCAGTTGCTCATGCTCATGCTCTTTCGTTACAGCTGTGCTGAAGAGTTCGTCTCTGGTTCCTTGGCCCAGCTAGCCTTGTTTGGGGCGAGCCAGCTATCACATTTACACGCAAGTAAGCTCGCTTCCAGAATATTTCCTTCTTGGGACCCCCGGCGTCTCTCGAACATTACAATTCAGACTGAGGACGACATATATCGACCGCATCTTCGCCCCTTGGGGACCACTGCATCAGTGGAAGTTCAATTCATCGCCTCCTCGTCTGAAGTCCTCCGTCTCTTCGGGGTTGACATTCTTTGTGCAACGCCTGGAAAGACGCCGTTGCCACGCTCCAATCTTTCGGTCGGTCACCGACTCACCGTCAAAGCCGACATTTTTAAGAGTCACAACCAATCACTCCGAGGCCCTGTCGATCTCAAGCAGGAATGCCTTCAGCCGTGCTCCAAAACCAAGAGCGCGAAGCTGGTGCTGCCCACAATTCTCCCAGTAAGTTACCCACAAAAGACCCAGAAGTATTTCACCTCGTTGCAGACAAAACCCATCAAAAGATCCACTGTTAACTTACTCATGCGCAGCTAAAACGGCCCAGCACTCAGAAGTTGCAAGGCTTGTCATGGTCAATCGCGTCGCAAGTATGGCGGCGAATCCTCCCCTCGAGAATATAACCAACAACATCACCCTTCCGAGACCAGCTCATACTCCAGAATCCCTCCTCGCTCCTCCTCCAGCCATCACTGCCTTGGGACGCGCACTACAGAATCTCAACATGCAAAGCCCTACTTCGCAGAATGGATCCTCCCCCTCTTTCAATACCCCAGATGGCAGTAACCCCTCCACGGCTCCCGGAAGCCCCAGATTGTAAGTAATCAATTGTTTTGTCCTCATGTAGTTTGACTGCAATCTGCAGGCCTTGTTATGGCTGTACTATAGAGATGTTGGGTTTCGCCTCCAATTCAGCAGCCCACTCTCGAAAGTATCGCGCCAGATATTGCAGTAAAAGTTTAATTGAAGAAAGAGCCTTGCTAATGTATCAACAGACCTCCAGTTCGACAAAACTCGGGCACAGCTACACCAAGAATCAGACCGCCAGCGACAACCTTGAACATTCCTGGCATGACCCGTTCTCGAGTCTCCCCAGATGGAAAGATCGCACAACGAGACGTGGGCGCAAAGCTGGTGGTAGTGATGGTGGGATTGCCTGCCAGAGGAAAATCTTACATTACGAAGAAGATCCAACGGTATCTATCCTGGCAACAACACGAATGCAGGATTTTCAATGTTGGTTCTAGAAGACGAACTGCCGCCGGTAACGGCCCTCAATCACCCCCTCAATCACCTCCTCGTTCACCCAAGGTTACAAGAACTCTACAAACAGGATCTCTTACTGGCATGGTTGATGCTCCAACACAAGCTGCTCACATACTCTTGAATGGTGTCTACTCAAAGGAAGAAGATCAAAACGAATTGGCTAGGCTCCCCAGCGCCGATACAATGGAACAGTCCGCACAATTCTTCGATCCCAAGAATGAGAAGGCATCTCAAATCAGAGAACAAGTCGCTCTGTCAACATTAGATGAGCTACTTGACTTCCTGCTCAATCAGGGCGGGTCCGTTGGCATATTGGATGCCACAAACAGCACCATTGAACGCAGACAAGTCATATTCAAGACTATCAAGGAGAGAGAGCCTAAATTGGGCATTCTTTTCATTGAAAGTGTCTGCGAAGATGAAAAGGTAAGCTTTTGAATATCATCGATCATGATCACAAAGCTAAAGTCTCGCAGCTGCTTGAGGCAAACATGCACCTGAAGCTCAAGGGACCAGACTATAAAGACAAGGATCCAGAAAGCTCACTTGCTGATTTCAGAAAGCGCGTTGCGGCCTACGAGAGCGCGTATGTCCCCCTTGGAAAGTACGAAGAGGACAACAATATGCAGTACATCAAGATGATTGATGTCGGTCGTAAAGTGGTTCATTACCGTCTTCAAGGCTTCCTCGCTGGTGGGATTGCATCCTACCTTTCCACTTTCAATCTTTCACCCAGACAGATCTGGATTACCCGCCACGGTCAGTCTCAAGATAATCTTGCTGGAAAGATCGGTGGAGATTCAGAACTCACCGAAGCCGGTCATAACTACGCCACAGTTCTGTACAACTTCGTTTCAAATAAACGTGCCGAATGGGAGATTGACCAGAAGCAGAGAGCCCTTACTGAAGCTGCTCTTCCAATGCAGGCTGGTGATCAGACACCTCCGTATCCTGATATCTTGGGAGAACTTGACGAGAAGAACTTCTGTGTATGGACTTCCATGCTTCAGCGAAGTATTCAGACGGCAGAGTGCTTCCAAGATGATGACAATTACGATGTCAAGAACTGGGAGATGCTCAAAGAACTCGATGCAGGAACCTTCGAAGGCATGACTTACGAAGATATTGAGAAGAAATTCCCCGAACAGTACGCGAAGCGAAGAGCAGACAAGCTGAGCTACATCTACCCAGGTGTCGGCGGAGAAGGATATCTCCAGGTCATCAGCAGACTTCGGGACATGGTGCGTGAGATTGAGCGGATCAAAGATCACGTCCTCATTATTGGACATCGCTCCGTCTGTAGAGTCCTGATGGCATACTTCATGGACCTTACACGAGATGACATTGCCGACCTGGACGTGCCACTTGGAATGCTGTTCGCCATTGAACCAAAGCCATACGGCATTGAGTTTCACGCGTACAAATACAATTCCGACGAGTACACCTTTGACGAAATTCCCGACTACAAGCCACAAAAGGCTATTGGTCACACGAACTGAACCCTTTTGCTATTTTTCTTTTTCTTTCTTTCTCATCTTCGGTTTTTGGAGTATATTGTTCCTCGGCGTCGAGGATCGGATTGTACGGTCTATATGGCACTGAAGGCGGGAGTTTCGGATATTATTTGCTTCGCACGGCGTCATTACTTACGGAAACATACGAGGAGTCAGGTATGGCAGTTGCACGAGATACGATATGTAAGATTACTGTGAGATGTGGGTCGGGGGATTTGATGGCTTCAAGGACGAACGAAAAGACAGGGTGGGATGGCATAGCTTCGGAGTCGGATTGCTAGATGGAATTGCTTCGATTGTTCGCTTGCGCTTATACCCAGGGCGTGGCGAGCGATCTACTTGCTACTTAGAAAATAGTTGCTGTATATGAACATGGCTGTACTTAATAATCTGGCTGTAGGAGGCCGACATCTCCAATGACAATAAAATAGCTTCAAAATCAGATTAATTGCCTTTATTGACATGTGCCCTGGTCTTCTGGCAGCACTGCATGGCATAGCTGTTCAACACTGCTTCTCTATGGCCATAAGCTTAATGTTACCAAGTTTTGTAGTATTCAGAAATTGTAATGTTTGTTGTGTTTTTGGTGCAAACTATTGATCGATGGACGCCTCTAATGTTCGATCAGCCCTGCACTCGGCGCTTTCGCTTCCCATCCCTGAGCAACGACATCCGAACCTCCATGGATTAAGGTACAACTGGACGAGAACCCCTCTTCAACTTTCAACTTAGTCTGAACAATTCACGTCCCATTCTCAGCCGATGGACCTGCTCGCCAGATCCTTGGGCTCTTTTTCCCAATCAACCTGACTCTCACGACAGTACCCACGTCAATGCCTCGTATTTTCCTTCAGCCTCGTAAGTTTCAGCCCTGCCCACTCGCAGCGTACCAGACGTCTTTACAGTTTTGATTCCAACCCGGCGATCAATTTGCCTAATTTCCTTGATCGCAGCTCGACACAGCTAATTCGTGCCTGCCTCCTCAAAGACTCATTCACCTGGACCCAGTTTCCATAAAGGTTCTTTCTGCGGAGCTTTTCGGCCTCAGCCTCGCAGCCTCTGCACAACCCCCCTCATCCTTGGGACCCCTCTCTACGAATACCGAAAGTACAATAAATTACAAGAGTACGGACTGGAAATTATGTCTTCTGCATCGAAGAAACGTAAGCACGGCGAGGACGTGACCAAGTTCTACGCGGTTCGGACTGGTAGGACGCCAGGTGTGTACATGTCATGGAAAGAATGCCAGGCACACACTACTGGATTTGGAGGCGCTGTTTGTATGCTCACTCCTGGCTATATCTTCTTGGTTGGCTTATTGTGTGCTGATTTTACTGCGAACAGACAAATCGTTCTTTTCGAAGCAAGAAGCCGATGAGTTCGTCGCGGGGAAGAGCAAATCAAAACCTGGACAGGAGAAATTCTATGCCGTCGCCGTGGGTCACAAGCCTGGTGTCTATACAGAATGGTCTGAAGCACAGAAACAGACCCTGGGTGCGGAGAAGCCGAAGTACAAGAAGTTCGAGTCGAGGAAAGAGGCCGAGGAGTTTGTGAAGAGTGGCGGGAAGACTGCTGTTAAGGCGGAAGCTGCGAATGGTACAAAGACTACTAGGGAGAAGAAGACTGAAGATTCCGAGGAGGAGGATGAGCAAGAGGAAGAAGAGGTTGAACCCACTGCGAAGAGATCTAAGACGAGTGCTAGTGCAGCATCGAAGTCTAAGTGGCTGCGGATCTATACAGATGGAAGTGCTTTGGGTAATGGGAAGAAGGGTGCGGTGGCAGGTGTTGGAGTTTTCTTTGCAGCTGGTGACAAACGGTAGGTTTACTTGTATATTCTTTATAACTGCTCCATTTACTGACAATCTCCCAGTAACGTCTCCGAACCTCTCGAAGGTCCAGTACAAACCAATAACCGTGCCGAACTTACCGGCATTCAGCGCGCCCTCGAAATTGCCCCGAGGGAGAGAGCTGTTGAGATCATCACAGACAGCAATTATTCCATTAATTGTGTATCTGTCTGGTTCGCGAACTGGGAGAAGAAGAACTGGGTCACGTCAACAGGCAAGGGAGTTGAAAATCAGGATCTGATCAAGGGCATCAGAGCTCTGATCGAGGAACGAGAAGCGTTAGGGGTTGAGACTAAGTTTACTTGGATCAAGGGCCATAACGACGATCCTGGAAATACCGCAGCTGATAGACTTGCTGTTGCGGGTGCGCAGTCGAGTCGTTAGCTCACCACTTACTAAGTTTCTCAAGGACGGGGCTTGAATCCCTCGTCTCGATTGGATGGTTATGGATGGGATGAGATGTGTTTCTCTACTTCGGCTATTGGACCCAGGGTATGCTATGGGATACTATCATGGTATGGGTCGGTCATGAATGCATGGTACGGAATTGAGCGAAGACTTGTACGAGTAATGTGGAATTTTTGTGGTATGGGATTCTTGCATATGTTTGAGAGGCTTTTAATACCCAGCGTCAGAAGGACGAGTTCTTTTATGCTTTCTCTTCTCATCGCTACACTTACAGCAGGTAGATCTAGATCGAGTCTTGCTGCTTGTTGCTTGTTGCTATGAATTGATGGATTGTATCTCCACTTTGTGTGCTTGATATTACGGAGGGCTAATCGTGGCAGAGAGCCTTGTTTGGCATTGACTTCATATGTACTCATTCTGCACGGCTCCATATCATTACTGTATCAAACCTTTATGTCTATCTAACTTGTACTGTTTACTGCTCGCTTATTACATGGTCAAAATACGGTAGGCAGGCAGCTTCCAACTTGATGTTGATTCCAACATCGAAACTTGAAAGAATATCACTGTCATGATTTTTGAAGCTATGAATATGATATAATAGTAAATAATAATATTTCATTGCTGGATCAAGAACTCGATGGTGTCCTCTGAAGAAGAGCCAGCAGCTTACATGTGAATATGGTTCCAGGATGACGTCCACGCTTTGCACGCGGAAAGTGGGGCACAAGATAACAACCACACCAGGGGCATGATTTCCATTGCTGCACCTCATTCTCATTCTGGACTCGTGCGACATACAAACGGTCACTGTACTCGACCCCTCTTAGCTACACAGCACAGCGTATTGGTATCTATATACCTCCACACCTTCTCCAACCAACAACAGAACACAAAGTGGCGGTTTCCACTTCGCCGAACGACTCAACCTCACCGATTCCCAATGATTCAATAACACTCGTGGAATACCCCCCGTACGCAGATCCGCTGCTAGATCTCAAGAGCAGCGAAGACGATTCGGGAGTTAGTTGACGGAATAAGATCGAGCGAGAAATCAATACACTGGAGTTAGAGACTGAGCTGGACACCGTTGGACCCCAAGGCCTCGGCGAGCGTTGGCATAAATTGGCACCGAAGCTTGAGTTTCCTGGGCATCAATTTAGATTGATAATATTAATTGGAGGAAACATGCCGACTCTTGCGATCACGAACTTCAATGTCGTTTGTTCGGTACTTGGAGGGTTTATCACGCTGTTTGGGCTGGTGAGCTATTTGTTCAAGGAAAAGTTTTACCTTTCCGAGGCATGTAGGTGCTCCTTTTTTCTTAGCATATGGATGAATGGACATTGGATTTTCTTGTCATTGGAAGTGAAATCTGACATTCAAGTGGCATCTACTGGTAGTCAGAATGGAAGTGATAATATGCTAATGCTGTATGAACAGTGATCTCCCTCCTGGCGGGCGTTACATTCTCTCCCCACGCCACGAACTTCGTCAAACCACTCGAGTACGCCGGGTCCGAAGCAAACCTCAATGCTATAACACTGTATTTTAGCCGTTTAGTCCTCGGCGTACAGTTGGTTCTCGCAGGCGTCCAACTTCCCAGCCGCTATCTGCAGAAAGAATGGAAAGCTCTCGCTCTCCTCCTCGGGCCAATCATGACCTGCATGTGGGTTGCCAGCAGCCTTATCATCTGGGCTATGGTTCCTCATCTACCATATGTCCATGCCCTGGCTGTCGCGGCATGTGTAACGCCCACCGACCCAGTGCTGTCGAACTCCATTGTCAAGGGCAAGTTCGCGGACAAGAACATTCCGAAAGATTTGCAGAAAATCATTGTGGCTGAATCAGGCGCCAATGACGGGTTGGGATATCCCTTTTTGTTTGTGGCGCTGTATTTTGTCAAATACACGGGTCATGGGGGAGCAGGACAGGTTTGGTCCCCTGTTTCTGATCAATCTGAGACACTCTGCTGACATTGTAAAGGAAGGGGGAGCTGGCAAGGCTTTGGGAATGTGGTTTGGAGAGACGTGGGGGTACACGATCATTTTGTCTCTGGTGTATGGCGCTACTGTTGGCTGGATCGCTAAAGAACTTTTGCATTGGGCGGAGGAGAAGAAATTCGTGGATCGAGAGAGTTTCTTGGTTTTTGCAATTACCCTTGCTTTGTTCATTGTTGGAACATGTGGTAAGTCAAATTCTGAGAGCGGAATCATCTTTCAAACCCCGAAATTTGCACATTGGGAAATTAACTCCAAATAGGTATGATAGGTTCTGATGATGTTCTGGCATGCTTCATTGCGGGTAACACGTTTACTTGGGACGATTGGTTTCGTCTCGAGACATTGGATGATTCCCTGCAGCCAACTATCGACATGCTGCTCAACTTGTCTATCTTCATATGGTTCGGAGCTATTTGTCCGTGGCATTCATTTGTCAGTAATGATATCATTCCTGTCTATCGATTGATCTTCCTTGGTGTCTTAATCTTGCTTTTACGGTCAGTCCCTGTACCCCACTCGCATGTTGATCTTCGCTTACTCCTAGGGTCTAGACGCCTCCCAATTGTCTTCGCAATGCATAAATTTATCCACCAGATTGAGGAAAAGAGACAAGCGATTTTTGTCGGTTTCTTCGGTCCTATCGGTGTATCCGCTATCTTTTACCTGTATATCAGTCTCGAGTTTCTCGAAACCATCACTGTGGATGGTGAACAAAGGGAAGATGCTAAGCGACTGGGTGATACGATCATGATCGTCGTCTGGTTTCTTACCATCTGCAGTATTGTAAGTTGCCATTTCCTGAAACATGAATGCCTAGATAGGAATGTCAGTATGTCGGAATGATGCTGAGAATCACTCCCAGGTCGTCCACGGTCTATCCATTCCTCTCGGAAAGCTCGGCTTTTTCCTCCCACGCACGCTCTCGCGAGCTTTTTCCACAAACAATGACGAGCCTGGCTCCTTTGCTATAAGCAACTATAGCAGGTCGTCTTCTATAGCTGGTGTCTTGAGACAGCGTCGTAAAAAGCCTTCGGGGGACTCTACACCGAATGAACTCGCTTCGGCGTCGGCTTCGACGCCGACAAGACCAATTTATAAGATCGGTGGAAGCGTCATTGCCCAGAGAGGTGGTGAGATTGGAGGTGGTAACTCTGGGCCATCTGGTAGTGGTGGTTCTGGAGACCCTGAGACGAGGCCTAGTACGCCGCCTGCCATTGCATTGGGGAGGACTATTCGGTTTCCGGATGATGAGGATCAGATTCAGGTTGCAAAGTGAAAGAGTTAAGAGATGGAGAAGGAAATGAGGAAAGGGGATATTTCGGTTCCCAGGTTTTTGCTTCCTATTGTCATGATGTGCCGAAGTGTGGAAGGATCTCGGTGCCATACGGAAATAGCTCCCTCTCGATCAGAGTTCAGAGGGGATGGCTCGAAGCAGGGAGGTACATAGGTACATATATATATACATAGATCTCCTATCACTGTCAGTCTCCGAACTCGCCAAAGTGACGTGACAGGCCCTCTTGTCTGGACAAGTTAGGAAAAAGTCCAACAGAAAGCCCGTATAATCCCTCCTCTTGCATCCCCAACATACGCATCTACCCTGCCATTTCTGCATGCAACTGCATGTAGTAAGTAGCAGTAGCAGTAGCAGTAGCAGTAGCTCGGCCAGGGCAGGGGAGCCAGGGGAGGTAAAGATACCTCCCGTTGTCAGTGAACTTATCGGTGCAGCCTCTGCCATGCCATGACTGCATATGTACTTTACTGTATGTACATCTACGGAGATATGTACGCAGCGTAGTATGCATGCATGGCAGCCGTTGGTTAGCGACAGTGTGTGTGGTGGTATCCCATCTATCTATTTGATCTCATTGGTATATAAATTTACATGACTCTTGGGGTTGACGCCATATTTTGAGTAATACCTGGTCTGCTGTTGCTGCGATTGCTGCGATTGCGGAGGTTTCCGCCTTTCTTTTCTTGAAGGCTGGCTGGGCTGGGCTAGGGTGGGCTGGGGCTGGACGGGGAGGGAGGCAGGCAAGGTAGGTAGGTAGGTAATTTAGGTAGGGACGCTCGCCACACTTGCCTAATGCGGGATAAAACTGATGGATGTTGAGGCGAATTCTTGCCTATTCTTGGTCTTTTGGCTTTCGGATGTGATGGAGTTGGGGCCGGGAGGATGGAGGGGAGGGGAGGGGACGGGACGGGTGAGAGGAGGGCGGGATATTTGTTTTCTTATTACGACGTTGTTTGATGATGACTTGCATGATTGGCGTGGAGGGTGAGAAAGGGAGTCAGTTTTGGGGTTATGGATGTTGATAGCTGATTCAGTAGTTGTTATTGAGGAGACCTCAACATGATAGAATGAAAGGGGTTATTCTCCTATTTGAAACTGTGTACCAGTACGGAGTATTATATTCAATTGATGCTTTTTGCCGTCTGTAGTAACTTCGTCGATTAAGTGTTAGAGGCAGTGGGGCTATGTAACCAGTCTCGGTAAAGTCATTTCCCGAGATGTTGATATGCGCTTGTCAACGGTTACAACTTTCAATAGCCGTTTGAACCTCATACTGAAGTCTGGCAAAGAACCAGATCTAGGCTCCGTCAAACGCCTGCAGGCCACGTGATTAAAATGTAGATAGGATGTGACGAGGAAATTGACAGACTGGCCGGTTCTTCCTCCGTTCAAGATGGCATCAGGAGAAGTAGCCGAACATAAATCCCTAAAGTCTAAATAGAATTTTCATAGATACTCTAGCCACATATCGAGGCTTTTGTTTGTTGCGAAGTTGCGTGCTTTGGCTTCCAGGAGTTTGATCCGCACCTCTCAGGACAGGCTGATACGTAATTAGCTGGTGGTATTGCATGAGGATGGCATGGCGATCCAGCCCTTTTCGTTGAAAATTCTCCGTTTGGTAAGCCTAGCCGTTGCGACCAAGATCTTGTATGCATGTCAGTGTTGGTAGGGCTCTTGAAGGACCGAATGAGAAGGCGAGAATGATATGGACAGATAAGAAATTGAGGACGAGGGGGGATGATGCGGGTTGAGACGGATACGGGGACTCCAAAAACTTTGTAAGGAGGAGGCATGGTGTTGTCAGCTATCTATTGATAATTCAATCGAGTACTGCAACGCAGCTGGACCCATTTACCTATGAAGCGATAGTTGATACGGAGAACTGACGTCTTGAGGAGGACTTCGGAAGAGTTTCTGGAGATAGGTGCATGCAGTAAGTTAGCGGCTCCTCTATCTGCACGTTTGGGGAGCGACGAGGCCACTTCGTAATCCGTGTGGTGGCCACCAAGCCTGCTGTGGCTTGGGTGCAGGCACCTGGTGGGTTCGAGTGTGCTTCGAGGGTGCAAACTACTGCCAGGCAAGAGAAAAGTCAGACGTGAGCCGTCTCTGGAACCGTTCAAGGGGGGTCTGTCTGTCCCTGTGTTGTCCTCGCTTCGCTTGTGGTGTTGCCTGGAGGTGGGCAAAACGGCGAGGATTCCCGCGTGGCTGGATGCTAAGATCTTGAGGGTTCTCGGGCGTGGCCAACCATCTCGATGTCTTGGCGCACAACCACCAGGAACTGGCCAATGTGGAGGGCTATGAGGAGGAGGGGGGGTGAGTGATCGGCACATTCAGGGACGCTGGTGCAGAAATGATATCGATGTCGGAGTTGGAAACGTCAGAAAGTACGGGTAACAGGGAAATCCCATATCAATCTCGATCTGGACGAATAATGCTCGCAGTAATACAGATTGGTGACAGAGCGATGAAGAATGAGAATTAATGACTTGAGGTCTGTGCTTCGGTACTTTTCGTGAAAGTAATGGATATGGAAATACGAGTAGAAGGGTTTGGATAGGCTGATGAGAAGGGGATATCCTTTCTCTGGTCCTGCGTCAATGCTGGCGCGGTGGGAAGAGGCAGCCAGGAGACCTCGATATCCATGTAATCCCCACCCATGCGTCTGCATTACGGCGAGCGAGCGAGGGGGCAGCAGGGGCGGGAATAGAAGGAGAGGAGAGGGGTGGCATCTCATATCGCCCTTCTCATTGACAAGAAGGGTGGGATAGTTGAGGAATTGCAAGCTTCCATTGGTAGGGCGAGTGTGGGTGCACCCAAAAAATCTAGCATAGCTAGACCTACCTATACAGCTCGATGCATATCGCAACCGCAACGTAGAATCATAGAACCTTCTTATATTGTATTTTATTGTTTTGTTTACTCCCCCGCAATAGAGATACTCTAGAACATACGGACGGAAAAGTCGATCATTACATTTCCCCTGTGTCTCAGACAATTTGGACCCCTTCTCATTCCCTCCCTCACTGCCACGACTAATCCCGTCCGCACACTGGAACCAGCCTTGAACCCGCCACCGCGACTAAGCCAATCACAGCCTCGACATTGGAGCACTGGATCCACAACAAATTGCTGGACTCGCACTGTTCTTCCACTGCGCTTGCACCCTCTCAGTCGGGCGACGAGGTGCGAACTCCACACTTCGTGACAGACAAACTTGACCTCGTGAGTACCAGTTGAAGTGCAGCCTCAGGGTCAAGCAGGCCATTGCTGGCAAACACCATCGACAGCAGAGCTATCCTCAACAACTCGACAGGCCAGATCTCTCTCACTTAGTCCTTGTCATCTCGATACCGCATTTTGCGAGACAGCGGTGACGCCTGGAATCCGCGTCCAAACCTTATACCTCCTCGACAGATAGATCAGAGATCCCCAGCATGCGTTCGTGAAGGGAGGAGCACGTACAAGACAAGTGATTACCTGTATATCGCGTCGTTCGATTCAGAAATCCGAGAAGGGGAATCAATTCGGGAATCCAACAAAGGCTACTAGCTTCTGCGGTGTATCTGGAAGGCGAATTCTCCCAGACCTGCCAGGACGACCTCGACCTGCGCATTCAGAAAGGGTCATGCCGACGACGACAGAGCCTGTCTACTCTGCGAGTTCGCCGCCCTTTATTTTCGACTCGGACATGTCTGGACGACTCGAGTCGGACCCCGACTTTGAGTTCTTCGATACCAGCCCCGAGAGTGTTAGCAGTCCTGGCTTTTTCCTAGCGGAGGACGTAGCGACAGACGGTTCACACTTCCTCACGAATTTCGGTACTCCCAATCCTGCGAACCAGAAAAGCCCTCTCCCAAATCACAGCTCTCTGCTGGATACGAGGGTGCAGCAGACGCTCTCTGCGCCTTCGACTGTGTCTCCAGCCGGATCATATCGAGATTCGTCCTCGGAATCATCTGGATACAAGCGCAAATCTAGCTCTGACTCTTCGCGGTCCGCGCTGACTTCAGCCGACATCATGATGGCGGATGCAGATATGGGGGACTGGAAGGTGGAAGACTCTATCCTTGGAAATGATGCATCAAATTATGGCGGATTTGAAGGGACCATCAACCCTGCAGATATGACGAACTTCGAATTCAGCGACAAGACTATGGAGAACGATTTTGATTTTGAGAGTGCTGCGAGCAACCCCAGTCCGTTTGGAATAGGACCGGTAGACTCTCCAGAAATGCCAATTATAAAGCAGGATACGCCGAGGAGACATTCTCCATTGATCAAATCAAAATTTATGCATCATGACAAGAGGAACTCTGTAAGTTTTGGCTGTCATAGACTCAATTGGCATTGCTAATAATTATATAGCAACATTCGGTTACCCAGTCCATGAACGGCCTGACAACTGCAGGCTCCAGGGAAGCTTCCCCGCTTTCAGCGATGGTTACGAGCCAGGAGTCTTCGCCCTCGGCCTTCTTCAACAACTCCCCTTCTCCAGGCAATAATGTGGATTTCATGAATACACAAATGCATGGAGGACCGGTGCAGAATCCGGGCTGGGCACCAGGCTTCGGAGGGTACCAGAATAATGGTCTACCCGCGATACAACAAGGGCTCAATCCACAACCATTGCCAGCACGAATGGCTCCGCAACAACCTTTCGCCCATATGGGCCCCCCATTCAAGCCTGTCATGACCCTTCATCCCACGCCTCTAAAATCTCGCGTAGAGACGCAAATCCCTATAAAGATGACACTGTTTCCAATGCCACCTGGCATCACTAAACTGCATCTACCGACGCACACGATCTCTAAGCCGAAGCTACTTGCGAAACCTACTCCTGCTAGGTCGCCGGATACGCTGGAACTGTACACATCTCTGGTCTGTACTAGTGCAATGCAGAATCCAGAGGCCAGACGGCGCGCATTCGAGCGAGCAGCATCTGGAGAGCTTCCTTCGACGGAGGAAGCTTCTCCAGGCGAGAGCGGATCCGACGAGGATGACGAAAACAAGCCTTTGAATGGCGGAGACGTCAAAATCTGCGTTGGATGTATCACAAGAGAACGGAAGCGTGCTGCACGAAAGAAGGTCAAGAAGGTAGAAGAAGAAGAATCCTGGCACAAAGATGAGGCAAAGCGAGTCATTGTCTTCAACACCCACGAGGTCAAGGAATGGCAAGCACCAACGAGCCAGCCTCCTTCAGAAGCCACTGGCGATCGACCAGAGCCTTTTGTTCCGGATGGTGCCATGCAAGTAGACGCCCCCATGCGCATTGCGTGCTATTGTCGGCATCAGAACGAAAAGCTTGGGTTCCAAGTTATCTTCACCATCAAAGATTACCAAGATCGTCTAATTGCCCAAGAGATGACTTCTTCAATCATGATCACGGACGACCACAAGACACATAACATGCCGGCACTCACTACGCAGACCTCGAATGGCTCTGATGGCCAGCTGTTCTCAGGATCTGGAGCTTTCCAACCCGACCCTACCTTCGACATGGCTTCGGTCCCCCCTGCCAACCTTGGAGCCTTCCGTGTATCTCACTCAACGTCAGATTTACAAGGAATGCAGAATCAAGGCATGCCAAATTTCAATATGCAGTTTTCTCAGCCACCTAGCGCCACCGCATCTACCCTTGTTTCTCAAGCTACCTCCACAACTGCCACGCCCCGTAACATGTCTCGACAGACATCTCCATCAGCTTCTTCAGGGCCAACGTCCAAAAAGAGAAAGGCTAGTGGTTCAAGCAAGGTACCTAGTGGGTTGGCTATGACGAGACTTGAAACTGGAGACATGGCTGTCTCACAAGGACCCCCAACTGGCTCGTTAAGTGCAAACCATTCAACAGCCCCTTCGCCCTTTACACCAAATCTGACTGCCTTCTCTATTCCCGACCCACAATATAACCCGGCAGTCTCGACTGTCCCAAACATTCCCCAGCAATATAACACTGGCCCTCCCACTCCGAACAGCAATGACCAGGTCTTCTTCTCAAATAACAACAGATCTCAATCTATGGAGAACCTGGCCATGCACCAGCTGTATTCCGCTCCTGCTTCAGCGCATCCTAGCAGAGTTCCTAGTCCAAACGGCATGAGAAATAATGTGCAAGCCTACCAGCAACAAGCTCAGATTGCTCAGGCTGTTGCTAACGGTCTTTATGGTCTCCCATTAAACCTCAATCCACACAGACAGCCGACTATTCACAAGATGATTCCCAATGAAGGCCCAAAAGCTGGAGGTATTGAAGTCACCTGTCTGGGTAGCGGCTTTTGTCAAGGTCTGGAAGTGATGTTCGGAGATTCTAAGGCTACTACGACAACGTACTGGGGAGAGACATCTTTGGTTTGCCTGCTTCCACCTTCAGCTTTTGCCGGAACGGTTGCTGTCACATTCAAGCATCAACATCAGCAACAGCAGATGCAATCATATCCTTCGCCTCCAGTACCTAAGAGTCAGACGTTCTTCAAGTACGTGGACGACGACGAGCAACAAATCATTAGGACTGCGCTGTCGGTTCTTGGACACAAAATGACTGGTAAGATGGAAGATGTCCGTGATCTTGCGAGAAGAATCGTGGGAGATGGACCTTCATCATGGGGAGGTTCAGCAGGACCATCGCCAACTGGTGGAAACCACAATCCGAATGTCAATGGTTTCAACATGGCTGCATTCGGTGTTGATGTTGAAGCCACACTCCTAAAGTGCCTGGATCTGATCGATCTCGATGATAGTCCAAGACAAGCCCGTTTGAACATGAGAAGAGCTTCTGGACAGACCATGCTTCACTTGGCTTGCTCCATGGGCTTGCATCGATTTGTTGCGGCTCTACTGGCTCGTGGCGCTAACCCTGAACCACGAGACAAGGGCGGCTTTACCCCAATGCATTTCGCTGCTCTTCACAATTACCCACAAATTGTGAGGAGGTTGATGTTGAGCGGTGCTGATCCTACTATCCGAAGTCTCCAAGGCTACACCCCGTCAGACATGGCAACATCTGAGGAGGTTCTCCGTGCTGCTCGTCGTATTGAGCATCACACAAGAACTCGCAGTGGCTCTTCTTTGAGAAGCAGGACCAGCAGCGCGACATCGCTTCGATCTGTTTGGGAACCTGCATCACCACCTGCACCCGTGGACTTGGGTGAGGATAGCGATGATGATGACAATGAGTATGAGGATGAGGATGCAGATGCGGCGCACGATGGAGCATTCTGGATGAAGTCACGACGTCCAAGTGCCCCACTCACTGCTTTGCACGAAGTACCAACAGTCAACGATCCAGTCATGGAATTACCGGGAGTCATACCAGGAGGACTTGCATCACCTGCCGCAGCAATGTCCGCATTCCGCGATCACATTGCAGCTCAAGTCCAGCAATTCCAACAAACGATGCATCTTAACCTTCCAAACCTGCCTCAGATGCCCCGATTCGACATGATGAATCTTCCTGGTAATGCGTACCTCCAGACCACTCCTATGGTTCGCAGGATAAGCAATCTGGTAGGCACCAACACGAATCGTCCAGACAGTGCGGATGGTCCAAAAGAACAAGATTACCGTTGGTGGGATCTGTTCTCCGGTACTGTTCCAGCTGCGCCGCCTGCTTATGAGGATATCTTCCCTCAAGAAGAGGTTGACAAGAAACATGCGTTGGCGATCCAAGCAGCAGCTGATACAGTAGCCGACAACAAATGCACTGAGATATTCGACCAAGCTGAGAGCTCGACTATGGCACAGAGCCGAAGTGAGAAGCTCGAAATAGTCCGCATTGGCCAGAAGAATGTTGTCACCCGGGAACAACAAGATCAACTACGCGCTAAGCATGCAGAAAAGGTCAAGAGACTTAGCCGGGACAGGAATCTCTTTTTTATCTGGGTAAGTTGCCCTGTTCTATTTTCTTATGAAACAAATATTCTGACACGACACAGATACCAACTCTCGTTCTCATTGTCCTCGCTATGCTTTACAACCGGGTTCCTCAAGCCTGGAGCGGCGCTTCGCAATTCATTGAGTCAATTCGCAACCGTCAGAACGTACCTCGCGGACGAATCGTCGAGGAATTATAATGACATCTGACTTTCACATGCTTTTGTCGTTTTCCGGTGCATGAGCGGAGTTACCTTTTCACAAGAGGTATCCTACTACTACGTACCATACCTACACATTTTAGTGCGCGGAAAAATTTGACGCCTGGTTCTCAGTTGGATAGAGACAGGCAGGAGCTTAATGACGGACCGACCCGGACCTACATCACGAATTTCATTACCTTTGTCTACCTACCTAGCATTGCTTATATTCGCTTCTTCTCTGGCACTCGCTTGCTTGCCCGTCTGCTTGCAAATCATTCCCCATTGCGAGAATGGATACTACTCGGTTGCTCGCCTGCCTCTCGCTTATGTCGCGCTGGTTTTTCATCTACTTGCTTGGGATGGCTTATCTATCTATTTTGCTGGGATTTTGTCTGGAGGGATGGCTGGATGGCTGGCTGGGTGGATCGAGCGAGCACTGCTGGGAACTGACGGAAATTTGTTCGGGATGGACGAAACTTGGGAGGCGCGTGCGGAGCGATAAGAATGGCTTTTTGTTTGCCTGCTTACTGACTGATTTTTACTTCTGTTTTCGAGGTGATGTTTTGATTCGGCGGTGTTTATTTGAGCGTGCTTGTGAGTGAGGAGATTGATTGATGATGGATGATGATGCAGATGGAGATGGAGATTTCGAGATGAAGTTCGATTTCTCGTGTACGGAGAGTTATTATTATAGGGTGGTATATAGCTGAAATGCTAGCTACAGATGAATGATTGGCCTAGATTAAGCAATTTGACTAAAACTGATTGACTGGTTGATATATGTTAAAAGTGCTGTGCTTGTTTATGTAGAATATATCACATCACAGCGCATCACATCCTATTAGACAAGGCTCCCTAGGGACTGTAGGTGAGGTTATAAACGCAACCTCATTATCATTTTCAAATTCAAGTTCAAGTCCATTATCTAGAATCATTCGCTCGCTCGCTCGCTAAAGGTCAAACAAACAAACAAAATGCCGAAATCAAAACAACCAACCACCCACCCAAGCAAGCATCTGACCGTCAGTTATAACCAGATGCCAATCGCAGATGCCAATCGCGGCGTGAATAAGAAGTGAGGAGCGAGAAGTGAAGTATGTACGCGAAAAAGAAGAAGGAAGAAAGAAGAGAGGAAAATCAAATTCTTAAGGAACCATCAGTGCTAGTACTGTATCTTCGTATGGCACTTGGTGTCAATTCTCCAATTCTTCCATTCTTCCATTCTTCCATTCTTCGATTTTGATGGCTGGGCTTTGTGGCTTGTGATAGATAGTCTCTTCCACCTTTCGCTGGAATATAACAGTATACCTTCTTGAAGTATGAAAGTCGCCCATATTCTCGATCCTAAGTTCTCGTGTTCATTTCAGTTGATTCCCATCATGCCTTTGCTTTGTTGACATATCGGGAGATAGCCGAAAATGGGGAAAGTGAGAACCCAGATCGATACCCAACCCGCAATTCGGCTTCCAAAGCAGAGATGATGGAAATAGAGGGGGAGTTGACGAGATGTGATGTTTAATTTTCCATTGTGATGTAGGTGCTAGGCCGTAAAAGGTCGTTTCCATTTTTCGTTCGTTTGGGGTTTAGTTCGTTAATCGTTACATTATCCAATACATTGATACTTGCCTGAGCAAGTATGTATTTCATTTGGCAATTTCGTGTTCATAGGTTCATATGTTCATCTTTCCGTAATATGCCTCCGTGATTCCAATCAATCGAGATTGAGTTGTTCACAGTGCTCAGAAGACATCATCAGGCCACTCAAACGACTGCTTACTACTTGAAGCCGTCATCCCAGCGGCGCGCTCTCTTGTCTCTCTATTCACGACACCACCGTTCGACGAAGCTGTTCCCGAGACATTCTTCACCATACCAGCAGTGCTGACAACCTCTCCACTAGCAAGCCGCACAGCTTTCGGCATGGGTGGCAAGGGAGGAATAGAAGGCGATAGAGCTGGGTCGGCGATGTACGCATCATCTTCTTCATCATCGTCATCATTGTGGCGAGAAGTGGAAGGAGCTTTGGACGGAATGCGGGATTGTCTCTGACTTGGCTTTTTGTAGTTCAGTCCTGGACCGGTGAAAGTCGCTGATGATGGGGGTGGAGAAGCGGATTGTTGGCGGTTGGTTGGTAGGAGGGTAGCTTTGTTCATCTTCATTAAGCGGGCGGAAGGTGGGGGGCTGGTGATGTGGTTGTTCTGGAACTTCTTTTGGCTTGGTGGTGGTGGAGGAGGTGCGGCACGAGTTGGTGGTGGGATTGATGGGCGGTAAGATGATACAGAATTCGGAATCTTTGAAGGAGGAGAGGTCTTGGATACAGTTGTCTTGGCTGTGGCCTTAGGTCCTGGTACAGTCTTTTGCAGCTTGCGAGGGTGTTGGAGGGTGATTGTTGGGCCTTTGCCTCGAGTGGTGGAAGTCTTGGAGGCTTTGGTGGATGTGGAGGTTGACTTGTGCTTTGGCTTGCTGATGGATGAGACGTCAGAGACAACGTCGTCCGCCAGATCGTCACCATCGTCTTCATCTCTAGAAGGAGTATAGTCACCTCCATCATCAGGGACACGCTCGAAGATGCTCTTGCGCTTCTTGGTGTGTTCAGCTGGCTTGGATTGAGACTTGGGCTTTGGTGTGACTTCCTCGTCTTCATCCTTGGCCATCTCGGTATCCTTTGGCTTGGTTGGTGTCACTTCCGCATCTTGTAAATTGTCTTCAATGCTTGCAGGGTTAGGCTCCAAAAGAGCTGGCGAGCCATCCTCCACGCTTTGTATGACAGTATCATCCTGTTGGGCTTCCGGAGTAAACAAAGATCCGGCAATTTGCTCAACCGCCTTCGTCTGCTCACGACCTAAACCTCCAGACATGAAATGAGTATTGCTCATAACATGATCCGTAGACACAGCCTGACCAATTCCATTGCGCATCTCATCATCACTGAATCCCGCCTCAGAACTAACATACCCACTGAGCAAACGCTCAGACGGCAAAGAAGACAGCGCACCCGGAACGAATCTAGATCTGGAAACTCGAGAAGGAACTTGTGAGACGGGCGAGGCAGAAGGAAGTGGTTCATTCAGAGCCTCCGCGAGCTGTTGGCGAGCTTGCTTGAGTCTCTCCTCGAGGTTGCTAACCCGCTTAACAAGCTTCTGCTGCTTCTGTAGATCCTTTCGGGAAGGAATTCTACGTGCTTGATGGTCGTTGACGCTGAGACTGCTATCTCCCGCGAACGCACTCTTGATGTTCGACAATGAAGCCTTCTTCAAATTCGCAAGAGATGGTTTCTTGAAATTGAACTTTGGCTTGTTGGGCGTAGATGTATTGGATTGCGCGACAGAAGCCGAGTAATTCGATCCAGGGCTCTCACCACGCTGCTGCGAGACCTTCGGTAGCTCCAAGAATATGCGTCCCTTTCTCTTCTCCTCAATAGATGTGCTACCTCTTGTACTCGCACCCGACATATCCAGATCACCAAACTCAATGCCAGAATCATGCTTCCCAACCTTTCTCTCCGAAATAGGAGGTGGAGGAGGAAACAATCGAGGCGTAACAGCCGAGTCTCTGAAATGACCAGACTCCTTCAATTCCTGGTAGATCTTCTCCGCCTTCGCCTGTCTCTCATGCAATATCCTAAGCTGAGCCGCCTCCTCATCCTCTTCTTCCTCCTCCTGCTGCTCTTTTGACCAGAATTTCCAATTGGTTGGATTGAACGAAGCTGCGATCGACTTGCCGAAGCGGAAGATACTCGAGGACCGCGAGGCGTCGGACTGGTTTGCTGAGGACTCGGCGACAGACACATTAGGATGGTGCGTGAACATCCGCGAGCGTGTCAACTTCCTACCACGCGCTCCCTCGCCGCATCCAGCAGTGTTGTATTCGGACAAGAACTCATCTTCGGGCTCAAGATATGGAACTGGTGGAACCTGGCTGACGCGATCGTTCATGCTTCCCTCCACGAACTTCGACGGACGGATCAAAGAGCGTGCTCGAGAGCGGTGGCTAGATGAGGGGGAGTTTGGGGTCTTGCGGTTGTGGAGAGGTCGGCGGGCGGCGGAGGAGGAGATGCTGTTGGGACTTGGGTTGGAGAGAGGCCAGTCGCTGCTGCGATGGCGTTTGTCTGAGTGTCGACCTTCTCCTCCTCCTCCTCCATCTGCGGTATCAGGCGTGACTTTGTCGTTGGTCTGTGAGCCGTTGAGTTGTCTGGACTCGCGATTGCTAAACAATCTCTTCGAGCCGGCTTTGGGTGTTGATTCGAGGGACCGGTCGGTGTGTTCGGAGGAACGTCCGCCAGAGCGGTTTCGAGATCTGCCTCGAGGCTGTGAAGAAAGAAGAGGATGATTAGCAACGATCTGCCATGTGGATGTGACGGGGAATTGCATGCGAGTCCACGGTACAATCCTGAATGCAAAGTGGAGAGAGCAATGAGAACCAATCTCAACTTACCTGATGTGAAGAAGCCATGCTGCAAATAGCCTTATAACCCTCCGCTATTCATCTGCAAATCTATGTATCTGGAGGATATGAAGCTGTATGTTTCAAAGCGAGGCCTGATCGCGGCTGGGAGAAGTCGTGGTTGTGGTGTTTTTGTTTGCTGGCTGACAGCCTTTTCCCGGGGTATGTTTGTTTACTTTTCTACGAGTAGCCTTGTCGAAAAATATGACGCTCGTCCCGCACTCCGATCCGATGCTGATCCCTGCTTGTTCGTCTGATCTCTCCCTCAACCTCAAAAAGCAAAAGCAGGCAAGAATGAGAAAATTAAAGAAAGGAAAGAAGATGAAGAGTACAAGAAGATGAATTCAGGTCGAGGCAAATTAGACCTGTGTGTGTGTGGCTTGCCTTTTCATGATATGTTTCGGCGTCCTGTCCTCCTTTTCTTGTGCATGCAGGTGCAGCAGAGAGTAAGACACCGTGACGAATAGGCGTGCAGGTCCCGCGTTGTTTTGACACAACGAACTCGTGGAGTTTGGATGGCTACGGGACGCTAAACTTTATCTGCGCTATTTTTGGCTGGAGGATGGACTTTTGAAGTGATAGAGAAGGCATTCAATTGTTGAATTACTTCAATTATGTATAAGAATGAAGAGTTGTTTATCCATACAAACAGGTTTTTAACTCATTTGAGTGTGTATATTCAATAGTGTCTGATTGCTTTTCGGAGTTCTGATAGTATGTATGCATGGGAAATTGGTTCATGCAGCTCTTCAGCTCTGCATCTTCAACACGAAGAACAAGTGAGCAGTGAACTCTTCATTGGCTACAGAACGGATATTGAAAAGGAAGTTATCAGTAGGGGCAAGCACTTTCTGACATTTGGTACGCATCCGCCATACCGACTTTCAACCTGGTATCTCCATTCCCTTTAGATATCTTCCGCTCACCCTCTATCTTCTCACATCATCACCACCCATCAACACACTCACCTCCATCGAATCTCCTTTTATTCCCTGGCTCTTCCCTCTTCCACCTCTACCACTAAAGTCAATCCTCTAAAAGCCTTTACATTCATCAATTCGAAAGTCAAGACAGGAATAGGAGTGAGCCAACCATCCCCTCATCCTCCTATCCAAAACAGGAAGTACAGCCGCAAGTGTACAGTCAGACTTGCAGCTGACGATCCCCAGGGCCATGTCGTATTATCTCATCTCATCTCACTACTGTACACCGCACAAACAAACGCACAAGCGCGCGAATATGTTAGGTTAAGCTGTGCGTGCATCTCAGGGGTACATGAACGAGAGGAGAAGTGCGTGTTTGGTGGTGTTCCGTCCTTCCGAGGTTGGTAAGACCAAATACCAAACTCTGTCAAAGTTCGACATTTAGGAATGACATACAACATTTCACAAACAAGATTTCGCGGATTTACAAAGGGCCTCAATAGTCACGAATGGAGAGTTGGGTTTTTGTCAAGTTGTCATGTTTCAATTCCAATTCCAAAAGCTGTTCCCATACATCCCATTCATATTCCATCAAACAAACCAAGCTAAACAACAACAATAACAACAGTAACACACGACCTTCCAGACGGTGGATTTGGCTTTTCCCTAGGTGTTTCTCTCCATTCAAGAAAGTCATCCTCCTAAATTACAGAATGGTTAACCCAGCCTAGTCCCACACCCTAGAGTCGAGTCGAACTCCCAACGTCTCCAGTAGATTCGTTCTTGAATCTAACGTGCAAGTGCACAGCCAACTAAGAAACCCCAAGGCAGTAACATAAGAAACGTGCGCGAATAAGTGTGTGGTGAATCAATAAGGTGGAGCGCTATCCACCCGTGTCTAAGTGAATCTTCGAAGGAAAAGAAAAATTCGGTCGTTGATGAGATGATGCGTATGCTTTTACGAAAGAAGTCTGGGCCCGCCGGGTTGCTGATTCGGCCTCCATTCTGACAGGGCGAGTAGGTAAAAAAGAAAGTTGAATGTCATGGTTGTATAGTGTCGTGGCTCAAAGACCTGAGTAATCAGGGGTAATTTCGTGAACATATGCTGGTGCCGCTGGATATTGAGAATGAAAGGCCCGTGAGGGCGCTGAGAGGTGATGGAACTCCGCCCGTAAAACGCCGTTAAGTATAACACAAGTCGCCTGAACCCAAACGCCAGGAAATTTAGCAACGGGCAGGTATTTGCCATGGCGGATGCCTAGTTCATTTGGGGCAGGTGTCTTTGGTTGTCGGTTCCGTCAGCACGTTTGTAGACCATGCCGCCGATAAGCTCTATATCATCCTCGTCCTCATCAATCTTTGTCTTATCACCTTGCGAGCTACCAGGACGCATGCCATTGTGAAGAGGCTCTTCAGTTGCGGATGAACTGAAGACACTGCCGTAAGGTCTCTTGATGCCATTCCTCATGGGCTCTGTTGGGGTTGCTGGAGTGAGCGGTGCCGGTGCAGGTGCAAGTGGTGTTCCAGCATATTGTAGTGGGGCAGGAATAGGACGCTCGTTTCTCTCGTAAGTCGGACTGCGTATCGGAGCAAGGCTACTTGGTTCAATTGCTCCTGGACGAGGAGCAATGCTGTGACGCTTCTCGAGATTCTCTTGCCTCAACGGCGGTAGCTGTGCGGGTATCACTGGGCTTGGAGCATAGCTCTGGTAGGGTTGACGGCCGTAGCTTGAATCTACCGGAGGAGCAGGAACATGCTGATAAGGATGAGGTGGCTGATAGCTGGCAGCAGAAGCTCTTCGGACCTCTGGATGCTCATACATGTCTCGGTCGCGGCGCATTTCCACTGCAGACGAGGGGTAGATCTTCTCTCCATACCCTGGATGTGTTGGCGGAGGCTGCTGTCCATATCCAGAATGCTGAGGCGGTGCTTGTTGATAGTGACTATGAGGAGCGGGAGGATGATATTGCTGCGGAGCAGGTGCTGCAAAATTGCCTGGTACGGCAAATTGAGGCGCATTTTGTTGTCGTTGTGCGTCTACCCAGCCCAGATTGCCTCCCGGTGGAGCGCCAGGAACGGCAGGAGCAATTGGAGAATGGGCTCCAGAACGATATCCCTCTGCACTGTTCGACCTGGAGCGTGCCTGATAAGAATCCTGCTCAATCGGACGACTGGCGCGGTACTCCTCTTCTTGAGCTTCCATCTCTCCATTACTTTTACCTTCTCTACGTCTCATACGGACATCACGTCGAATGCGCACCCGGCATCCTTGCTCAGCAACAGTTCGGCTAAGGCTGGTACTTTCAGCCAAACCAGGGAACTTCTTAGCACTAAAGACAGTGAACAGCTCCGACTTGATCTCCAATCGCCAATCAAATGAAGCATCCGGAGACATTACACCACCCATAGACTTGGAGTCTTTGATGTCCTGCTCGGAATCCGGTCTAGTCTCTTCGTAGAGGTTGAAGCTAAGAATATACATCCCCTCGTGGCGAACAGAAAGATCCGGGAAAATGAAGTAACCTGCTTCCGCTGGACGGTCCAAGTAGGCCATTCCGGACACCGGCATTCCTGTCAAGACGGGAACCTGAGAAGCAGCGGGTTGCTGGACTCTCCCATGAGCCATAGGACGAGCCACTTCCAGAGTAGCAAAGAGAAAGAAGTTGGCACCATATGCAAATGTGATATCATCCCATTTCTCGGCCAGCTTTTCAAAGATGCGAAGCTCAACGACCGGTGGAGGATCAACAGGGCGACGATCCGCAGAAGCTGCAGAAGATTAGTTAGTGCCGCCAGCGATGCATTGGATTTTCACTCACATTTGGCTCCCGAACCACATGCTCTTGCTCGTTCTGGCTGCTGGATTACGGTCAAATCATATCTAATTGTCCTTCCAGTCTTCGTCACTCTCGTCGTCGTCGAGACGGTCAAAGGAGTCGACGGTTTCCTCAATGGTACGGATGCCATCTTGTCTATCGGAATTGATCAATGGATGGAAAAGGATTATAGAACTGTCGATGCCGTTCTGGTGGTCTAAATATTGCGAGGTTGACTGTAATTCCCAATCAGCCCTTGTTCCCAGGCAAATTCCGCGACGGCGGGAAGTCAAAATGAATATTCCCGACAGCCAGAGTGATGGGTTTGCGGAAGCGACGACCAAGCGTCAATGGGTTATGCTCAGGTCAACTAACCTCCACGTTTCGCAATAATGCAACCAGGTCGACTTCAGATAATGACGAGGCAGATGATGTCCCGGAAGTTTGGAGTGCTTGAAGATAATCGTTGTCGACGTCGGGAGGTCGTGTCAATTCTTGGGCTGGGAGCGGCTGCGTCGTTCGGTTGCCAGTGCTCTGGGTTTGGGTCGAGTCGGGGGAAGACGAGTCGGTGGATCGTGTCGAAAGATCAGCAGCAATCCCAGGTCCAGTTATTCCTTCCCGCGGTCTTCGCACAAGTTCACAGCTGAGCTGACGAAGTGTGATGTCGCTGTCGATGTCGATGTCGAGCGTCGACGTCTCGAGTCGGATTGAGATGTTGGAGAGACGACAAGAAAAGAGGGTTTCGGTCGAGTGATACCTGGGAGCGGAGGGGAGGTGAAGGGAAGTGTCACAGGAAGAGGAGAAGGGAAGGGAAGGGAGCTGAGTGGCCTGAGGAGGAATAATGACGGGGGACTGGGACTGGGACTGGGACTGGGACTCTGGAGAGGACCTGGCTGGCCTGGGGAGGACCACAGACGGTTGGGTGGCCAGTGAGAGGCGGGCTGGTGGAGCGGATTCTCGGTGATTGGAAGGACTAGCGGGCTTGGGGCTTGGGCGTTGCTGATGGGATCGCTGACTGGTCGGGTATGTGTGGATACTGTGGATACTGGACGTGCCCAGAACCTAAGCCAGGCTGCACCGGGTGCTGCTGGTCTGGTCTGGCGGGCCCTAAACCCAGGGAAGAAGCAGCGTGCAAGCGAGGTGAACCCTTGACCCTCCGCCCTTCACCCTTGACCCTTCACCCTTGACCCTTCACCCTTGACCCTTCACCCTTGACCCTTCACCCTTGACCCTTCACCCTTGACCCTTTGCTCGCCCGCGCCCGCGCCCGCGCCCGCTCCCAGTCCCAATCCCAGTCCAGTACTGTACGGAGGTAGTGTCCCACCAACCTCAGCCCTCCCAGCTTTGGCTCTGCTTGATCCTTAATCCGCGCGCTTTCCCCATTTCATCCAAGCGCCACTTAGCCAGAGGGCCGATTGCTGGAGGTGAGATTTAAGGTGGATGCTCGGCAGCATTGGAGCCAATAGCCAATCACCGTCTCAGGCCGGAGCCTTCGAGCCCGTCACGTCCGTCTGGTCCGTGGAACCGTGGAACGGTGGAGGCCTCTGGCTGGGTTCAGGTTCAGGTTGACTTCAACCTTCAACAACCCAGCGAGCCCAGGTGTGTGCGGAGTGGAAGAGTACAGTAAATTTACAGTAGGGGGCCTGGGCTTCCTTGCACTACAGTACTTCTCGGCCACATCTCAGAGCAGGGGGCGGCTTAAAGGTCGCAGGGTAACCTTGGGACATCACAGCCTTTGGTGGCAGTCATCTTCCGTCTTAGCCCGCCCAACTTCCAATGACATGACATGCAATATTGTTACCGAGATCCACCTTCTTACTCGATGAAGGAGAAATAAGCGAGTTTTGATACTGACCATTTGATGCCTGTGACCGGTCTCTGTACGGAGTACCGTAGTGCACAGCTTCAATATCAAAATAGATGTCTGTTCAGATGCTCACATCGGGCAGCCTATCAGTGGTATGATTTCGAGTGCTCCAGCTACTCAAAGGCCTCACTTTTGACCGCTCAGTCTGTGATGACAGAGAAACACCATCCTTACCTTGACCGTCCTGCCGTGTTTCTATGAAAAAGACACCATGACCATAGTGAACATTGCAAAGATAGGACGAGGATGAAGAGGACGATGACACCGTGCGATACCACTTTCCTACCGGTACGCTTGGTGTGACGGCTTGTCTCACGCAAATTACCACATTGGGCACGATTCCAGCACCTTATGAGCCGATTAATCGTTTTCGATCACTTCCTGTCCCAGCTGCTCGCAAAATGCGATCAACAGATCCTCAAACCAAGGGAAAGAGGCGCAATCAGGGCCCGTGACGCCCTGATAAATAATACCGACTGAGCTCTGCCGACACGGAGGGATGCAAGCAGACTTTCATGCCGATTTCCAGCGCCCGGGAAAGAAGCTCAGCCCGAAGCATGGGATTTTGTCTCAACGCTGCGAGAGGATGCAACCTCGCGTAGCATTCAGTAAATTGTTTTGCCCTTCTTTGGGCATCCCCATCCGAGCTGCGAGTGGGGTGGCTTGCGCTACATGCTTTTCCCCTGGAAATTTCGATTTTATCAAAGAAGCAGATGGCTCGGATGATGGGCCAGCTTTGGCTGGTACCGAGAGACATCAGAAGAGGAGATCAGACTCCCGAGTGCGCAATGCTGCTACCGGTGCGGAGCCAGGAGGGGAGAATATGAGATCCATATCCTGGTATGATCGGACGACGCTCCACATCCAGCTTCGTGGTCTACCAGGGTCATCTTCTCCTGAGTCTTGATGAGACCAGTTCGCAACACCGGAACAGATGAAAACGTTTCCTTTCCAACATCAAGATCCCAATTTGGGATGATAGAATGCTGAAATACAGCGTCGTGTCCCACAATAGCTTTCATTGTACGCAGTGTACAGATGCAAGAGCCTTACCTACATGCTGCAAGCTGCAGTCATTCAGCACTCTGTACCAAAGCCCGAAGGATCCTTCATGTTGGAAGTCGACTGCACTGCACGACACCCATTCACTGGACACGCCTGGTTCAGAGGTTGAATCCGCATGCGGATGCCGCACCCTCACTTCAAGCCCTGCTGTGTGGGTCAGAACCCTTGCGGTAACAAGAGGGTATCCATGATCACCACGGAGGAGATGTCGAGTTGAGACGAGACGATGCAAGAGGGGCGGTAGGCTATTTTACGATTGCCGTGCAATACGGCGTCGCTGTGCAGTACCATCAGATAAGACGCTGTCCGTTACGGGGAAATTCGTGTACTGTACAGTATATCAGAATGTAAGGGAGACATGTTCAAGAGCTTTCTGCCTCACCGTCATTTCATTCACAGGGACACAATGAGCACATTCTGGCTGGAGTGACACGAAGCCACCAAGCCCCAAACACCAACAAATCTCCAGGAGAAAGGGCGAGAAGGGCGAGAAGGGCGAAGTTTTGTCAGTCAGTTGACGATCCTGTCACTTCTAGCACGTTGTTCCACGAGGCCAAGCGGGAATAACAAACCTCGCGTGGGAGGTCAGCCATTTTGCAAGACACTGATCTTCACCCAAACCTCCACCTCATCGGGAATTGAACTCTATCGTATTCACGATTGCACCTGATAGGCCAACGGCACTCGTTCGAATTTTCTTCTTTTCATAGAATTTCTCAAGCGCTAACCTTTCGCGGCCATGGTGACCACATGCACGTTCTATCAGATCTCGCATGACAAGTCTCTTCTCCTGCTGCAAGTCTGCTCGGCAGCCTGGGGGTTCCCAATCAGCAGCTTTGCGGAACGTTGTTACCAAATCTAGATCTCATTCGTCTCCTATCTTCTCCCACCCTCACCCTCCTTCCACTTCAGTACAGTAAGTAGTCTTCTCCTGACTATGAACAATAATACATCGAGGTTCAGGCTATGTAACTTAACCTAACGATACGGCACTCACTACTGTGAATCAATCCCGCTGAAGAACAGCTCACCAAGGCGATCATCAACACCAACCAGCCGCCCGTCAAGCGGCCATGACAAGCCTGGGTTTCCCAGCAAGCAGTGCTGAAACAGAGGATTCCAACAGACGGGCTTCCTTCAACATGGTTCACGGAGGCCTGGGACGCCTGGGACTGGGGAGTTGCACGCTGGGACGCTCATCACTCGTTACCAGCTCTTCAGGGCAGCAGCACACCACAGGAGCGAGACCAGTCACAGACAGAGAGACATGCGGGCAGCGCTCAGCACTCTGCATTTTGCAGGCCTGACCTGAGCAAGAAAAGTGGGTGTTGGTGTTGGTGTTGGTGTGTGTGTCTCGGGTAAATCTGATGTCCCCTGCCCTGCTCTCACCTTTCCCTACTGCATGCATGCAGCCATCGAAAAAAAAAAGCCGACAGCCAACAGAGCCAAACGGATCAGGGGTTCGAAGGTTCCGCTCTACATATCTCCCGGGGGCTGGGGAATGGTGTGGCTCCATTTTCGAGCAGGGTTAGATGACTTCATGTGTCTGTGCAGGGGCGGGGTTGGATGGAATGTAAAAAGTTACTTGAATCAGCAGTGCTGGGAGCGAAACACCCTCACGAGTCGCGAGGCGGAAATGGAGAGACTTTAGGTTCTGGTAATTGTTGGTGTGGGTCAGCCCCTTCGTACCGCGTATAACGCATTTCCATCTCGCTACCATGGCTCTCTCGCATTGGACAGGATCAAAGTGCCACCTAATAAATGCCGGAGCGCCTTCGGCATGACTCCGAATTGGTGGAAAGGAGATCCTTGGAGTTGGATATTCCCCTGCACCTCACATACAGTTACAAATATCCTCAATCTTATGATATAGACGCGGTGCGGTTGATATGAACCGAAATGAAGCAGGATTCCGTGAGGCAGACTGCCCTTCCATCCATCCATCAATATTCGATAATGGTTCCTGGGACATGGACCCTGTGTGTCAACCCTCGTAGGTGATATAGAGTTTTGCCGGCATTCCAGCATTTCAAGAGATCCAACATCAAGGTCGGCGGGTAGAGTCTAATCAATCGTTTCATTTACCATGATATTATGGTCGTCTCGGAGGCCCTCTCAAATTCTCCGCTACGGGACGGACAGTTTGAAACATTCTTAACAATCGTCGCCTGGTCGATATTAGGAGACTGTAACCTTAGCGAGCGATCCCAAGTCTGGAGTTTGTTGTTCACACCCTCTTGCTCGCTTAGTGCTCCTCTCACTCCCTAGGGTCCCCAATGTTTATCGGTCAGACGACAACCTCTCAGAGTCCCAGGCTGGTTCACTTCAAGGAATGGATCGTACTTGTGACATTTCCATTTGCAGTGGGAATTCTGAAGATCACTCCTGTTACCAGTCTCCCACTCTACTCCCATCTATCCGATCAATCCCATTCCAGCCCCTTTCACCCTATCTGCTACTTCCCACAAACCCACACCCACACCACCACCAAGATCATCCTCGTTGGCTCTCCTTTCCTTCCCCTTCCCTTCCCACCTCGGATTCAAGCGCGGTACTCGCAAGGCGAGCCAAGGCAAGGAAGGAACACGGCATAGGTATACATGCAGCCCAGTCTAGCCGCCCATCCCAACCCAGCCCAGCCCAACTCAACACAGCACCAGACTTACCTACCTACCTACCTACCTGCCTGCCTGCTGTGTGTATGAAGGAGTATGTATGTATGGACGAGTGTCTGTACAACTACAGTACTGTACGGTAACCAACTCTGCCTTACTTCGCTTTGGTACATATACACATCCATAGCTGTAGAGTGACGGTCTTTCTTCTGGTATCACCTGTCAGGAGCTTGGAGTAGGAGGGTGGTTGGTTCGTTCGTTAGTTGTTGGCTGGTTGGTTGGTTGAGCTTGTTTGCTTGCTTGTTTGTTATGTGTCGCGTCTGGTCTTGTTTGGCGGCTGGGACTTGATGAGGTGTTGTGAGGGTTTGGTTTTGCCTTCACTTGTCTTGTGGCACGGATGTTGTGGTGGTTGGAGGAAAGTTTAGGTGGGGGGAGATTGTGCGATGTGTGTTCGTTTGAGCTATACGGTCTACTTTTGATCGGAGCTTGGTTGAGCTTCGATTATTCATGGGCTTTCTTGAGCTGTCACGTCGGAATAGGGCTGAAGGGGTATCTCGGATGTCCTATCAGAATGCTCAGGTGAATATTTGTCGATAGGCTAGTACTTCTTTGCCATTTACGGGATGGCCAAGTCCATATAATCAGTCGGACGAGAATGTCAGTTGCCATACGTCGCAGTCGATTCAAGTCTCTAGACTACTCCCAAGCCCATGATTTGAGGACAACGAATCAGAATCATCAGTAAAGACTTACTCTGTGCATCTTTCTTATTTCCTTCCCTGCTGGCCAGGCTGTCGAGATGCCATCTGTAATTTTTGAGAAACTTTAAGACTGTAGGGTGCGAAGATCTACTTCGTGCAGTTTTTTTTTTTTTCAAATCACGGCATTCTTGTATCGTACTCAACATATCATGTATAGAACTGGATATATTACACTCGGTCTAATATACACAAACCACAAAACCCCAAAATCCGCCAGCACCACATTCCCTTCCACCACATCCCCTCTCAAGCAGCTCAGCCCTGCTGTACCTACCCACTCTCCCCTCGCAGCACAAAATTCTCACAGACAGATAGACAGAGTGTCGATCATGAACAAGCTTTTTTCGCCTGTTGGCTTGCTGTGCTGTCCAACCTGACGATGCAAGAGTGGAGTGATGTTCGTGGCGTGTGTTGCGTGTCGTGTGGATGGGTGGTACTGCATTGCATTGCAATTTTTGTACGTGCGTTCGTGACGTGACGTGACGTACGTGTAGGGAAGTTTACTTAGGTGGAAGAGGGTTGTGTGTGTGTCATGGCAGTGTTTTTGTTACTATGGAGAGTCCTTAGGGGATCGTCTCTTTACGTTTCATTACACATGCTTCTCCCCTCCAAAGGCACAACCTCTCTCACTCTCCAGAGTCCACGTCACTAAGCTATCACGTTATACAAGCATTGACGAGAATGGCATTGTGCTTTTGATAGGGAAGAGGTAAGCTCACCAGGGAGGAGTAAGCTCCAGCCTCCCGTGACAGCCTCCGCGACACAACGTATGCATGTATCCGTCTGTCGGGTTTCTGCGGAGAAGGGGAGGAGGGAAGAGCTTGTTTGCAAGGAGGTGAAGAGAAGATACTGTACCCTAGATTTCGAATTATGCGTGGATATTCAGATGTGTACAGGTGTAAGCAGGAAGTTGTGGGTGCACATCTCGAGGATCAAAGATTCTAGGCTGAGGTGAAGAGAAAGGAACCTGGTTCAAGGCAGATGTGGCTTATATGTTACGCTTTGTATCTCTGGAAGGAGTTTTAGATGTCGGTGGGCTGACTGGGGGTGTACTGGATCAGGTTTGAGGTGAACGTGAACCTGGCTGTTGGGTTTGTGGCTGAAGTCTAGTTTTATTGGGAATTTCGTTCTTCACGAGGCTACTATATAGATAGGCCTACTTCGGAATCAATTTTCTTTACGTGGTTCTATGTGAGGCCTGTTCGTACGACCAGTTGAATCGCTTTTCCTTCGTGGCAAATTCTGACTTGGGCCATTCACTTGACTTCCTGGTAGTTCAGCTGTTAGTTTATTGACTTGATTACCCAGCTAAGCATTCCTTTTCACAACTTCGTCAGACAAAGATACTGACCATCGTTATACTGTATAATATTTCCACATTATGAAATTCTAGACTTTTCACTCTGGTTAGGTTCGCGTAACACCAACAAAAGGGCAAAAAGTCACCCCCAAGAACCCGAAAATTCACGTCTGCTCCGTAGCAAGCACAGCTTCTCGGTAATCCCCCTACACTCGCCCATAAAGATCCATGATTTAAGCAATGTAGCGCGGAGATTCAGATGCCCGATCTTCATTCCATCTTCTCCGCTCCATCGAAAGGGATTTCAGCGACCTCAGACTCCGGAACGAACAATTCCGCCTCGAAAATCAGCTCACTCTTCTCGAGGTCAGCCCATTTCTGTCCTACCTTCTCTCCATATCTCCTCGGCCTCGTCCCTCACGATCGCCACAGCTTTAACAGTGCTTCTCATCTTCAGCCGCATCCCATATGGAACTCCGATACCAGGGCGGTATTGTCTTGTATCGATGTGTCTTGTCGTGTTGTGTCCTGTCTCAACTCTCAAACATGCGGGTTCCTACATGCTGTCTGTTTCAAACTGGACCTGGTCGACGAGGGCAGCACGACATAGCACAGCCGGGCCGTAGCCGTCTCCGAGCATCCCTTCAATTGTCTTTCTCACTCCCGCTCCCGCTCTCGTTTCCGTCATCTTGAATTCTTGTGGGGTTAAAACTCGGAAGGGTACGTGGAGAGATGTCGGTGCCCGCTTGACACTTGGAGGTCTGAGGAAGGACCTTGTCTTTCGGGGTTCTCGTTGTTCGGCGTCCTTCCCTTCTCCTTTATATCAATATTGAGTCGCCGATCTAGAATCGGCTTTTAGAATGCTGTTGCTTTGGAGTACCTACTGGACGAAGTCATCTTGCGATCACTGTCATAGGGTAATGAGTTGCTTTTTTTCTCTCATCACTAAATCTACAAAATTGAATGATTGGATGCTGATCTCAAATTTTGCACATTGGCTCAATTGCATGCTCCGTTTCTGCTTAAAATTCGGATATCGATGTTAAGCAATCAGTGGATGATGAACAAGAGGAGGGAGGGTGGCTGCAGATATTTTCCGTATGAATATAGATGCCGAGCCCGACGGAAGGGAGCGGGAAGCTCTGGCACTTCCACGCGTTGTTGATTTAGCTTGACGTATGCAAACGGGATACAGGAATCAGTTACAGATTTTCGTTATTTGGGATGGTAGAGTCACATAGTTGAGGTAGAAAAATGGGTGAGATGTGATGCACTCAGGAGGATAAAGGTATTCGGTATTGGCAGAAGGTTCTATGTTAGGTGCGGCAGCGTGGCCTTTTTTCCTTGCGCTTCCAATTTTCCGACTTAATCTTGCCTATAATCATTGAGTCGAGGGTAATACATCGAGCCTCAGTGTCGCTGCAAGTATTTATGCAGCATTTGGATTCTTGCCTCCTCGTAAAGTCCCTCTTTCGTTATCTGGATTGTCTACGAGACAATTGATAGGAGAAGGAGGACGGTTCCCACAACAAAATCTCGACCCTTTCCGTAGAGACTTGTCACATTCCCCAAATCTCAGAGTTGTTGAATGTGACAGATTACTGAATACAATTGTAGGAATTCGTTGATATTAAGCGATTGTTTGTTGTTACCCCTGAGAATTCTCGTTTAAGCATCCTGCAACTCCTGGACATGCTTAGCCGGGTTTCATTTCCGGCCTGAATCCACTACAACATAATAACACACAGTTATGTCTGGGGGCAAACCTAGGGTAAAGCTAGATGGACAGTATATCTTTGTACCAGCCGCGGAAATTCACAAAGTGAAAGGGGATTGAAAGCGGGGCTTTCTGGGCTGTGTACTCGTCAATGACTTCTCAACTGGCTACTCATACCTGTCTCAGCATAGGCACATAAGGTCAAGAATATATGCGAGGTATAACCGCAAATCCATGCATCTCCAACATGTTTGTGAGGCTGCTCATCGCACGTTGGCTGCAGGCACGGGTCAAGCAGCACAGGCTCCCTGATTGCAAACCAATTTGGTCGAAACCTCAAAGTCAGCAAGGACATGCATAACTTCCAAAACTTCACCACTACTTTAGAAAGCTTTCGGATTCCAGTATAAAGCCAAATGACAAAAGAAGTAGTCTATGAAATCCTGGCAACAGGGAGACTTGCGAAGCTAATGGATCTTGGGATGTTGACTTGGAACTTGATATCAATTGGAGAACTCGGCCTAGACATATTTACCATATAACTTGTGCTCACCCTTGTCTCTTCCGAATGGTTTCTGTGTACTAGCTAGCTGGCGTTTGTAGCTCTGGGTCCTCATCCTTTTGTGTAAATTGTTTTGTTTCATTTCGTTAGAGATTCTCATTTTTGACAAGCCTTCTTTCATGTAAATTGGCTTATTTGCTATATCCATTTTTGATGGGATCAAAAAGAGAAGATATTGACAGCCGTGATAATGTAAGGCACTGCTAAAGGACGGTTCATTCATAGAAAGATTGGTTTTGGCGATGAGAAACAAAACACGGTTGATGTTAGTGTTGGTGACTGTTTCTGACTGTCGATGGGCATGCTCCTTTGTAACTCAAGCTGATCACAGGTTTTCAAACCAGTATTGCAGTGACTCATGAAGTCAATGAAAAGATGCCGAGTTCGTGCAAACATGAAGTTCGTCATTGCCGGAGCTGAGCCACGAACGATAGCTTGTGGTGGAAGCAGAGCCACGATGGCTTCAACGCTATGATCATTGCGCAATTGTAATCTTGACTTCAGGTTGATGATGAACCAGTCCATTTCTGAACTTGGATTGGATCCCCCAAAAGGAGAGAGCGAATCTTCATGCACTAGCTTAATGTAGGATCCGAGGAGTCCGGGTACGAGCTCAATCCGAGGTATGCGAAGCCAACTATCCAAAACAACTTGGGCGCCTAACCCTGCAAATGGCTTCCATTCACATGTGTATAAAATTGCTTGCCATCTTTTTTCGTGCTTGATTGAAGATGGAATATCTTGAAAAAGGTTGATGCATGTTCTTTGTTCAGAGGTGGTGTTGGAAATGAAAGTCAACAACCCCGTCTCGCTAGCGAATCACTCCGAAGGTACGATTCTAGAAGATTGATTTAGGTTCGGAAAATCATGGCCCCTCTCGCACAATGACTGATTATCCGAGCTCCATTTAGCTCAATTAGACAAATCGCCGTGATCTTCAGGAAATCATAAAGATTGCCTTGTAGTGAAGCCTTTTGCCGTGAGTGGACCCCCACTCTTCGATTCCTGCTCCACTTTGAGGTTTAAAGCTGAATTGAAATATGTGGCTGATGAGGCTGCGTACGTACCACAATAGAGTTCTGTGGCGAAGTTATATGCATACCCACGGAGGATACGAAGCTCGGATTATGAGGCATGTCCATAAGCTAGAAGACATTGTTTTGTTCTTGCAATAACCAGAGTTCGAGAGTGGGTCGGTACGGCAGGCCGTCCTCTCGGCAACAGTGCAACTCTCACCAATTATTGCACGTTTTTGAACCAAGGTTCAAAATAGGTCCTCGGACTGCCCTGGGCATCCATGTCTATCTACTGGACGCAAAACTTTATAGTATTGTAGGTGCTAAACACCCACTATCTCGCCCCTCGAGAGCAGGGTGATAGCAAATTGTCCGCGGCAAGTTGAGTGTCCGCAACCACATCACACTAAAAGCTATGCTTTTCGAAAACAATGATCCACCTTTAAGCATTAATAACTCAACAAAGAATTATTAAACAGTAATAAAAACATATACAAATAATAGTAGGGTGCTTCATAAATCGAAATGTGTGAATTTTTAACGCAAGTCGAGTCACTTTTTCAAGATCGGATCTTTCGGTGATGTATACGAGCACGGACAATTTGCCTTCCGCGGATAATTTACTTTTCCCTACAATTAAACAATCCGTGCCAAGGCCTTCCGCCGCTGTCATGCCTCCTCAGTACAACGAGAGAATCCGATTTAGATCGTCTTTGCGGACGGCAGTTCCATGTCTATATAAAGATGGTATCTCCCCCAGCAAATGAGAGGGATTTCGTCCTTTTAATTCCTGATTCGGACCTATTAGTTCTAATCGGTTCAGAATGTTGTTACTCAAGCTCACTTTCGCCGGCCTCACTACCTCTGTTGTGGCCCAGACGTATCCCACCACAAACTCCAGCACTCCGAACCCAATCACCATTGCTGACCTGGCAACTGGTGCTAATTGTGCTTGTACTCAGCTTGCAGCTAACTTTGGTGATTCCGTGCTCACGGCAAACTCGACGAACTATACCGCCGAGGTTACTGAATATTGGGATGTGAGGTCAGATCTCTTGCCAAAGTGTGTGTTCTTCCCGGCAGTTGCAGACGATGTCGCCACAGCCGTTTCAACATTTACATCCTGTGGGGCTCAATTTGCGATCAGGGGAGGAGGCCACATGAACGTACGTAGTGATCTTCTGTTCCTAGACTAGGATAATTATGTCCTGATATCTGATATAGTTTCCCGGATCTAACAATATCGACGGTGGTGTTCTGCTCGCTCTAAACCACCTCACAGATACCGTCGTTGCAAGTGACAACTCGTCTATTGCAGTTGGGCCTGGAAACAGATGGGTTGATGTTTACGCAGCACTTGCTCCTTATGGATTGTATGCTATTGGTGGTCGTCTGAAGACCATTGGTGTTGCCGGTCTTGAGCTGATCGGTGGTTTCCACTACCTCAGTAACAAATACGGATTTGCTATGGACAATGTCCTCAGCTACGATGTCGTTCTCGGCAACGGTACACAAGTTGTTGCCAATTCAACGACTAACACTGATCTCTTCTGGGCTTTGAAGGGCGGTGCCAATAACTTCGGTATCGTCACCAAATTCGTTATAAAGGCGCTGCCTATCCCTTTGATCAGTGCCACCATTCAGGCATTCGGTGAGTCTTACGTAGAGGATTTCATCGCGGCCACTGTTGATATGACTCAAAACAATGATGCGGAAATCGGAGCAGGGTCAGTAATCACCATCGGGTACAACATTACCACAAAAGTCGTTACTCCGTCGCTTTTGGGCGTTCAAGAGGGAACCGAATCCCCGCCATCTCGATTCGCAGCATACTCGAAGATCCCATCTTTACAAACAATCAATAATGTTTTGCCCCCGATTGAGTGGCACAAAACTCTTGATACACCTAACCAAATGTTCAGAGTACAATTTGCGCATAAGACCATCCTCCCAGACACGGATCAGATAGTCAAGATTTACAGAGCTTGGAAGGATGCAGTGGATACCATTAGCGATGTCGAGGGTCTCTCTCCAACATTTGTCCTGAATATGATCCCGAAGAGTACCATGACCGTGGCTAAGGACAATGGAATTGGTAATACCTGGGGACTGGACGATGACCAAGGTCTCATTGGTAGGCCTTTCAGATTTCTCACTATCTGGTTGAGTTTGATACTAACATAAACCACTAGTCTGGCAACTCTCTACCGGCTGGGCCAACGCAATTGATGACCTCCGCATGACTAACTGGGCTCATGGATTCATCGACTACTGGCACGCAGAGAACCAGGCGGCTGGTCTTGCTTCAGAGTTCCTCTACATGGGTGATGCCGGAGAGTTCCAAAACCCCTTCCTCGGCTTTCCATCGGAAAACGTGCAGAGACTGAGACAAATTCGTGATGATGTGGACCCATTGGGAGTCTTCAGTCGACTAAATTGGGGCGGCTTCAAGCTTGGTGACTGAGTGATGTTATTGGGAGAAAACCGAATAGCTGGAACATAATGTACAGGTCTGGCCTAGAATTCTCTGTATATAGCTCCAATGTCATGTGCTTCCTAACTTTACTGGTTTTGGTTATTTTGCTTGCAAATACATCGTTTTTTCCAAGGTGACTTGAGCTAAGAACGTTCTAGAAACTTAAGTGCCAACTTCGGGGACGCGGCTTGATACTTTTATGCTGCGTCTTCACAAGTGGATGATTGACTGGGCTCTGTAGACATGTACGGCATTGTTTATTTGTGGATGTGGATGCTCATTGTTTGGAACCGAATCGTGCTAAGAAGTTAAGCGAGATTCCTAGGTTGCTCCTTCCCTTTCCCAACCCACCACTAGCGCGGGGCTGCAATACTTCTTTCCCACTACCTTTTTCCAATCTCGCACTCTGACTTGAATTCATCACCTCATTCACGTCGTCGTCCCTTCAACCTCGACACTCTCTCCTCCTCAAACGAGATTCTCTCTCACGGTCCTGGAAGCTTGCTCCAACACCGAACGCGTCTCTTTGTCCTGACCTCGATTCCTATCCCTCCCAATCTTTTCCACAGTTCTTGTACTAGATTGAGCATCAAAATATCCTGTTCCCTGGAGCTTAGAGCTCTCTAACCGCGCAACATGGCGGACACAAACGGTGCAACAGGTACGCACAACAACATCAATTCGTCCGACAACCCAAATCACTTGAACACCACTATCGAGTCCGGCACCTTCGACGAGAAGACCAACCATTCTGACGACCCTACACCTGCAAAGAAGCCAAATGAGGATGAAGAGGAGGATGAGGATATGGATGCTCTGATCGACGAGCTCGAATCACAAGACGGTCATGCCGAGGACGACGAGGAAGAGAACCAGGCCAGCGCTGCTACTGGACGTGTCGTTTCTGAGGACCAACTCCAAACCGACCCTAGTATTGGTCTTACAGAGGCTGAGGTTCAGCACCGCCGCAAGAAATATGGCATGAACCAGATGAAGGAGGAAAAGGAGAACTTGATCCTCAAGTTTCTCGGATACTTCGTCGGCCCTATTCAATTCGTCATGGAGGTATGTTGAGAGTTCATTTCTGAATTTCCGATTGTGATGCCTTTCCTGTGTTGTCTGTTGGTCGCCGGGGCATTTCTCCTCATATCTTACCCCACACGCCGCACACCTGCCTGTTTTGCGAGGTGCAGAGTAGCTTTCTTTGGCGTGTACCGTGCTAACAACATTATGTATGATAGGCTGCTGCTGTACTCGCTGCAGGTCTCGAAGACTGGGTCGATTTTGGAGTCATCTGTGCCCTGCTTCTCCTCAATGCCTCAGTTGGATTCATCCAGGAATTCCAAGCTGGTTCAATTGTCGACGAACTGAAGAAGACCCTCGCTTTAAAGGCTGTTGTTCTGCGTGATGGCCGTCTCTTCGAAATTGAGGCTCCAGAAGTCGTCCCTGGTGACATACTCCAAATTGAAGAAGTAAGCCGACCTCTTATCCATGGGGCAACTTGATACTGACAGAACTTCCAATAGGGCACCATTATCCCTGCAGATGGCCGTATCGTTACACAAGACGCTTTCCTCCAAGTTGACCAATCTGCCATTACTGGTGAATCTCTTGCAGTCGATAAGCACATGAATGATCAATGCTACGCTAGCTCTGGCGTCAAGCGTGGTGAGGCCTTCATGGTGATCACTGCCACTGGTGACAATACTTTCGTCGGTCGTGCTGCTGCTCTAGTCGGTCAAGCTTCTGGTGCAACTGGCCACTTTACTGAGGTCTTGAATGGTATCGGTACGGTTCTCTTAATCCTTGTCATTTTCACCAACTTGATCGTTTGGATTTCATCCTTCTATCGATCCAACCCTATTGTCCTCATTCTTGAGTACACTCTCGCAATCACGATCATCGGTGTCCCAGTTGGTCTTCCAGCTGTTGTTACAACTACCATGGCCGTTGGTGCTGCTTACCTGGCGAAGAAGAAGGCTATTGTACAAAAGCTCTCTGCTATCGAATCCTTGGCTGGTGTGGAGATCCTCTGCTCTGACAAGACCGGCACATTGACGAAGAATAAGCTGTCTCTTGCCGAGCCATTCACAGTTTCTGGTGTCGAGCCTGATGATCTCATGCTTACTGCTTGTCTTGCTGCCTCTCGCAAGAAGAAGGGAATCGATGCCATCGACAAGGCTTTCTTGAAGGCTCTTCGTTACTATCCCCGCGCCAAGTCTGTTCTATCCAAGTACAAGGTCATTGAGTTCCATCCATTTGACCCCGTTTCCAAGAAGGTCACGGCAGTTGTCGAGTCTCCCCAAGGCGAGAGAATTATCTGCGTCAAAGGTGCACCACTTTTCGTGCTCAAGACGGTCGAGGAAGACCATCCCATTCCAGCGGAAATTGACCAAGCCTACAAGAACAAGGTCGCTGAATTTGCTACTCGTGGTTTTCGCTCTTTGGGAGTTGCACGCAAGCGTGGTCAGGGCTCCTGGGAAATCCTTGGAATTATGCCTTGCTCTGATCCTCCTCGCCACGACACAGCCCGCACTATCAATGAAGCCAAAACCCTTGGTCTCTCAATCAAGATGTTGACTGGAGATGCTGTCGGTATTGCTCGTGAAACTTCCCGTCAACTCGGTCTTGGAACAAACATTTACAATGCAGAGCGTCTCGGTCTCGGCGGTGGTGGAGATATGCCGGGCTCTGAGGTCTACGACTTCGTTGAGGCTGCTGATGGATTTGCTGAAGTCTTCCCTCAACACAAGTACAATGTGGTCGAGATTCTCCAACAGCGTGGTTACCTCGTTGCTATGACCGGCGACGGTGTCAATGATGCACCATCTCTGAAGAAGGCTGATACAGGAATTGCCGTCGAAGGTGCTTCCGATGCTGCTCGCTCAGCTGCCGACATCGTCTTCTTGGCTCCAGGTCTCGGTGCTATCATTGATGCTCTCAAGACCTCCCGACAAATCTTTCACCGCATGTACGCTTACGTTGTGTACCGTATCGCCTTGTCCATCCACCTGGAAATTTTCCTCGGTCTCTGGATTGCCATTTTGAACAGATCTCTCAATATCGAGTTGATTGTCTTCATTGCCATCTTCGCTGATGTCGCAACCTTGGCGATTGCATACGATAATGCCCCATTCTCGAAGGTTCCAGTCAAATGGAACTTGCCTAAGCTATGGGGTATGTCGGTACTGCTCGGTGTCGTTCTTGCTGTTGGCACCTGGATCACTCTCACTACCATGATTGCGCGCGGAGAGAATGGAGGCATTGTTCAGAATTTCGGCAATCTCGATGCAGTTGTCTTCCTTGAGATCTCCCTCACTGAGAATTGGCTGATCTTCATCACTCGTGCCAATGGTCCTTTCTGGTCATCGCTCCCTTCATGGCAATTGGCAGGTGCCATCTTTTTAGTTGACATCCTTGCTACGTTGTTCACGCTCTTCGGCTGGTTCCTTGACAGTAATACTTCCATCGTAGCCGTTGTCCGTGTTTGGGTATTTTCTTTCGGCGTCTTCTGCATCCTGGGAGGCGTTTATTATCTCCTCCAAGATAGCACTGGCTTCGACAGCCTCATGCACGGAAAGTCTCCAAAGAAAACCCCCAAGCAGCGCTCACTTGAGGATTTCGGTAAGTTCTTCTCATTCCTCTTCCTTCACTCGTAGCTGACTGTTTAATAGTCGTCTCACTTCAACGTGTATCGACGCAACACGCGCAACATGAGAAGTCCGCCTAGATATGGACAAATCACGAGCTGACGCATAGCGAATTTGATGGTTGGTGTCTGGTAAATGGTGTTTCTTCAATTTTTGTGGTTTGCACACCCTTTCCAGTTCTTGCACTGTGCAGCCTTGGACGGGGCGTCTGGTTTGTGTGACGCTTTTACTACTCCTACTCCCTATGAATGCCTTTGTACTCTTCACTCTAAGGATGAAAGAGGTAGCTGAAGTGTATTACTTGGGGAGGAGTAAGAAGCGGTGGCGGTCATTTTTGTTGTCCGCTTGCATCATACCCGAACTTGCATGTTTCCCTCCCAAAAGTAGATAGAAAATCCAACTCAAGTTAATAAAATGATAATGTGCTTCGCGGATGTAATGTGAGGCGGACTGTTGTGGGGGCGACGAATGAGAAAGTGAAGAGAATCTGGATGAAGTGGAGATGCAGAATCGAACCTAGCCTGGGTTTGGTATTAGCTAATTGCAGCAACAGGAGACGGCTCGGCAATTGGGGATTTATGTCACGTTGGATGCAGAGGGACGTTAGAACGAAATTTGCAGGGGGAATAAGGTGTATTGGTTTTTAAGCGCCTTTTATTTAGCTAGGTCCCACAGAGAGAGAGATGTGATTCTTTCATTCTTTCGTTCGTTCTTGCTGTCCTTGTTACAATTTACACAACATTTCTACCTCCGTCGCAGCACCCACGTATCTCCCTGCCAGGATGAGTCGCAATAGCGAGAATGAATCAATTGTTATATCATGTCAAGTCAAGTCAAGTCATGCCACTTTCTCTTTCCCTCCCTACCTAGTACACATTTTGCGTACTCTCGTACTCTCGATCTCTCCCCTTCTCATGCATCAAAAAGTCACATGTTCGAAGCGGGATACAAGCCAATTCGCATATCAGAACATATTTTTCTATTTGTTTTCTCCTTATCTTATCTTATCTACAACTTGGCTCTGGGCGTCTCCTCAGCCAGAGCTTCCTCGTACATGGAGTCGATTTGTGGGCGGAACTTCTTGGCTGATTGTGGGCGTTTGAGCTTTAATCTGTTGGAGTAACTCATCAGTCAATGTTTCTCAAATTCTCTGTTTTAAATAAGGAGGACAAGGGTAAGTGGGCAGGAGGGAGGGAGGGAGGCAGGATTTCAACTTACGTCGGAGTCAACAACTCATTCTCAATGGTAAACGGCTCAATCTCCAAATGCACAGCCCGCACCTTCTCATAGCTATTAAACTTATTCTTCTTCCCAATCTTATCCAGCTCCTTCACCACCGCCTTGCGAACCTTGTTATCCTTCGCCGCAGCCTTAATCGCATCCAGATCATCCGGCTTGATAGTCTTCTTCAAAATAGCACTAGCGAACGGCGCAAACGCCACGGGGTCAACACCGAATACAGCAACGAGGAACGCTTGCGTCGAGTCGCCGTGCACGAACGCTTGCGCGAGGATGTTGGTGTTGGCGAGGTAGACGTTCTCGATTCGTTCGGGGGATACGTACTCGCCCTGCGCGAGCTTGAGGACGTTCTTCACCCGGTCCACGATCTTGACTCGGCCCATGGAATCGATCTCCGCGATATCGCCTGTGCGGAACCAGCCGTCGTCGATGATGGCCTTGGCAGTCTCCTCGGGATTGCGGTAGTATTCCCTGAATCGGGCGTTGCCTCGCAGAAGGAGCTCTCCGCGGGGATTGGGAGAGTCGGTTACCATGTACTCCATGTCTGGCACGGATTGTAGACAGATTTCCATTCCGACACCGACGGCGCCGCAATTTCCCGCGGAAAAATCTCCTTCCAGTTGGGCGAGGCCGACTGCGTAGGATTCAGTTAGGCCGTAACCTTGGATGAAGTCGTTGCCGAATGCTGCGCGGAGGAACTGATGAAGCGAGGGGTCGATTGGAGCAGATCCAGTGACCATACCGCGGCAGCGCTGGAAACCGAAGACGCTGGCTACCTTTGGAGTGAAGACTCGGTCCCAGAACATATGCTTGTTCGTTGCCTGTCCTGGAGGGAGTTTCATGGAGGCGAGCTTGGTGTTGATGACATGGCGGCCCATCGCACCCTTGAGACCTGGTGCCTCGAGAGTTGCGGCTCGTAGAGCAGCACCAAATCTGTTGTACAGACGTGGAACGGAGTTGAAGCCTGTGGGACGGAGAATCTTCATGTCGTCTACTAGACCAAGAATGTCACCACGGAAATATCCAATGGCGCAGCCGGCGGAGAGGGCGCCATGTTCTGCAACTCGCTGGTAGATGTGTGCTAGAGGTAGGTAAGAGATCAACACATCCCAGTTTTGCGTATCGCTGGTGACTCGAGCAATTGCAGTTGCTGCCGTGGCATTTGCATGTGTGAGAACTACTCCCTTAGGGTTTCCTGTTGTTCCAGATGTGTAGTTGATGGTAATAATATCGTCTGGCCGGGGTGGCTTCATTGGCAGACCAGAAGCAGCTCCCAGAGCCTCAACATCCTTGATATAGTGGATTGAGATTCCTGAATCTGCTGCAAGAGAATTCAAGATGGCGGCTTTTGAGTTCCCTGGCTGTTCTCCTGCATCTAGGGGGTCCAAACAGATAATGAGCTTCAGAGTTGGTATCCGGGGAGCAAGCTTCAATAGCGTTGGGATATGTGGGAGCGTTGTAATAACACACTTGAGTGTTGCGTGGTTGATGATATATTCGGTTGTTTCTGGACCAAGAGTCTCGTAGATAGAAACCGTAAAAAGCGATTGAGACATACATCCCAAATCTGCCATTGTTAGCCCAGAAACATTATTCCTAGCGGAATGTCTGCTCACCAGAAACCTGCCATTCGGGGCGATTCTGACACCAAAGCCCAACACCATACTTCTCCTCCGTAACGCCCGCCTTCTTATGCAGCTCAACGACACCAGCGCCGAAGTTTTTCCTCCGCTCCGCCAGCTCAGAGTAAGTAATCCACTCGAACTTGTTGGCGTGCGTCTTCGTTACAGGATCATATGGCCGGCTCCCCAAACATCTAGCATTCGGGCGCTTCTTGACCGTGGACTCGAAGACGTCGTGCGCGGTGAGGGCCTGCGGATCTAGGGACTCGAGCAGAGGCCTGTCGACGAATCGCCAATGCCGGTAGACTGCTGTGCGGTTCTCCTTCTCGCTCCCGGGGATCGGTAGGGAGTATGGTGTTCCTGGAGGTGGGGGGACGCGGAGGGCCTTGATGAGGGCTTCGTCTTGCAATGCTGCTGGAGCCATGATTGCTTGCGAGTGTGGAATGAGAGGGAACCAAATCTATCTGTCTGTCTCTTGCAAATGTCAGTTTCAGTTGAGGAGAGAGAGGCCGAGAGGAAAAAGTAGGTATCCAAGAAATGGGAAATGAAGCTGACATTTTGCAGCTTCAAGCAGCGACGATTGGGGATCCGCACCTGAGACTTGGAGCCTGACTCGGTATCTTTCTAAAACAAGCAGCAAATCCCTCTTTAAAATTTTCTTTCTTTTACCAGAAACTCAGATCGTAGTCACAGAGCAATGGAAAAGCGAAATAAAGCGAGGAAGCTGAGAGAGAAATGAGAGAGAGAAGTGAGGAGCATGTGCGTTTGAGAAAGAAGGGTCACTCGGCCATGCAAGCTTGGTTGGGGTTGTCGATGGATCGATGGATTGGATGGATGCGGATGCGGGCTCCTCTCAGCCCAGCTGCCCCAGGCCGAGGCAGGCTTGCAGGTTCACACGCCTCGCGCTCATACGGCCGCCGCCGTGGATCTGACTAAGGTGGACACCGCAACCTTGGCGCCGTCGCATTCCAGATTGCGGAGCTGCCGAGAGGGATGGGAAAGCTGCTCCGGGTCTAAGACGCAACACTTACTCTTTGCAGTATCTCAAGTCCGCGTTTCTAACTTCACAGAATACAAAATAATGTTCATCTTGAGTTTTGAGATCATAAGTATTACTACAGTATGTATCATCATCCTCTACCTACCATTGAACCTAGGTAAAATAAAAATAAAAAGATTGTCCCGCACGCAGTCTCGTCCTCCCGCCTTCACATGTCAATAATAACGGAACATTCCCATCCTGACGTCCCCTGATTTGATTTGATTTGCCCTGCCCTTCGCCTCGAGTCTTTCGCCGGGAGGGAGGGACGCTCGACTCGCTCGACTCGACTCGCTAGAGCCTTCATCATGCACCGGCGACTACTCACTCCAAACAGCAATTGGTGCCAAGCGCGTCACATGTCCGCTTTTCCAAGCATCGTCGTCGGTCTTGACTTCTAAATGGAGAACACATGTGGGTTGGGTTGGCGACGATGGAATAACGCGGGGAAGGACTGGATGGGGGAGGATAAGGGGTTGATTGGTAGCCTCGGTTTGAATTTGTGTCTTTCGGGTGTTGTTGATTGGGCGTGGCGTTCCCCAGATTTGAGATTTCATCTGGATGTTGATATTGTCTGTCTGATGCTTGGCTTCCATTCTCGTTAAGACTCTGAGGCTATCTTGATTTTGATATCGAGGATGATGCTTGAAGTCGACGGATCAGGACAATTATGCTCTCTCTTAATGTACAGAATTTGCATTCCATGGCTTGCTCTTAGTACAATGCTCAAAACATGCTGCAAATCGCCCTGTATATCTTCAAAGACATTAGACAAAGTACATACTCATACAACTAACTTCTGCGGTGGCCTGATAACACAAATTACTTGCCCGCCTCATCTTCTCAACCAAAATAATTTTATACAGGTGAAGTGTAAACAGCAGCCAACGCCTTTGCCTCAACCATGCCCCCATCGCTAACCCTGGTACCCGTTCTCCCTCTCTCCGGAACAAACACTACTTACATGAGCCTGACCGTACAGTAATCGGGACAGAACGATGCTAAGTAGCAAATAGGAAAAATTGTGCTGAATTTGTCTAATTTTCAAGTATGATTGATCCAGCTGATGAACAACATGTTTGTTGTAGAAGAATTGGCGTAATAGGTTGGTGCAGAGTTGGTGATTGGGAAGGTCGATGGTTGAAACATCGTAAAAGTGTTGTGGTATTACATGGGAAGCCAGCCTATTTCTTCCAGCGGCCATCGTATCCAAAGTCTGTTGATGCATTAGCCAGTCATTTCACGTGTTCCCAACCAGAAGCAGGCAGTGTGTTGGCAGCTTCCCCAAAAGTAGCGCATCATGGCAAATTGAAGAAAGCCGTATCTTACCGATGCTCTTCATCCAACAAATTCCAAATCTTCGAAATAATATGCGTACTCCACCCCTGCATCCACCAATGTGAATCCAGCCTCTTTAGCACCACACAAAAGTACGAGAAAATCGTCAAACTCTCCTGCGTATGCTCCCTCAACAACTGTAGAAACTCCTCCGTCACTTCAAAGATCCAAATAAACACATCACCCGTCTCATACCCCGGCGGTCCAGGCCTATCATAGAACGCGAACGATTTCCGCAGGGTCTCAATGGCTGCGAGATAGATGTGCTTGTTACGCTCGTCGGTACTGTTCTGCGCTATGAGACCGCTGAGCTCGACGAGGGGGTCGTCTTGTTGTGATTTCTCGGCGAGATATTGCGTGCGGAGGGCGGACTGGCGAGTGCCTGAGATGAACATGGGGCCGAGTAGGCCTTGTCGGAGGGATTCCTCGTAGCTGTTGACTATGAAACTGGTGCCTTTGACGAGGAATAGCCAGTCTGCCATTCCGTTGTCTCCTACTAGGAGGAGATCGCCTGGTTTGCGGGGACTGGCTAGGGTGAAGAAGATGGTGAGGGCGGAGAAGGTGTAGACCTGGAATAGTTGAGTGGTTAGGATTTGAAGCGAAGGAGAAAGTTGAAGATATACTCACACCAGTGCAATTCTCTTCTGTAACACTCGCTAAAACTTCGGTCGCTACACGTAGACCTGTCTGATATGCGTATTAGCACTGATATGCTTGCATGCCTCACGAGCTAATCCTCAGACACAACAACCCAGGATCAGGACATTCCGCAACAGACGGGGTAAATACTAACCTGATGCTGAATCATAGCTTGCGCGATGTAGAATTCTCTCTTATCAGGTTTATAATGAGCCATATGTAAAGCCGACAGAGCCAAAATCCCACGCATGGCATAATCATACGCGAATCCTACTTGAGGGACGTTAATCCTCCACGCAATTTTCATTGCGGGATCGGTGTGTATGGTGAAAGCAGTTGAAGTGACATAGTTGTGAAGTAGTTCCAAGTCCAAAAGATTTAGACCACTGGATGGTCCTCTCCCTGGACTTCCGCCGAGGGCATCGTAATGCGTGAGGCTGCCGCCGTGAGGACTCGTATGGGAAGATTGTGCACCGTTCTATGATAGATTAATGAGAAACTTGAATATTTCTGTGGTCTTCAAAGAGGAACAGCAAGTATATGTGTTTCTAATTATGTGAGTTCCTAGGCACACATATTACCGTGTACATGTCATACAGCACCCTCCATCAAGTATGTATCGAGGTTATTGAAAAGATACTTACATGAGGAAGTCCATTTCCTCCGCCAAAATTCTGGGACGCCAAAAAGTCGCATTGGACCGAGTGTTTGATGCAATTATTACATGACGGCTTTTGTTCGTCACACTAGATACGGGTGAGTGATCAGCTGTGGCTTCGCAACGAGATTAAGCAGCGAGCAAAATGAATGCAGTCCATTTGAAAAGACAAGAAAACGTGTACCCCAATAAGCATTTTGGAGAAATGAAGAAGTTGACAAGACAAAAAAGACAAATTCTGATGGCAGCGGCTTTGAAGACTTGAGGCTGTAGCCAAAATTCGTGTAGACGTGGTAAAGTAAAAGAGTGTAAGATGATTGGACTCCAAGCTAATACCCGGAAGCAGACAAGAGATTAAATCTTATCTAGGCTCTCGTAATGCGGGGATTGAGTTCGGATAATAGCGAGATGTGGATGCACAACCCAGTCTGCGTCTGGCATCCTTGACAAAGTCTCCTTCTGACGCAGGCACAACACCTTGGTCAAATGAGAACTCCCATCTTCCAAAAGCTTGCCAGAGTATGACAAGGTCCGCATTTCTCGAGTCCGAATCCCGAGCTCAGCTCATACTATTCAGCCGTAGAACGAGCAACCGCCATGTCCAACCTCATTACCCAGCTACAACCAGGAGGCGAGAATGTAAACATGCAACTGCATTTGTGTGCAACGTGCTGGCATATGATGATCACGTGTAATTATGGTCATGATCTGGTCCTTGCCGAAGATATCCGGCAGATCCATCGACCCCAGGGAAGCAGCAACAAACAAATAAAAATGCGGGATAGGCGCGGGTGGAACACACCTTTATTTTCCTCTGTTTGCATGTCCTGCATCCAGTCCTCGTTTTGCGATGAGTTTTCCGAGCCGACATTTTCAGCGCAGCAGCATTGCTTGATGTGGGTGGTGAGGGCTCCATGATGGATGTGTGCTGTAATGCGGTGCGTTGCGGTTCCATTACTCTCGTTTCTCTCTAAGGTGCGTGACGAGCGGCTGTCAGCGTGCGAGCATCTGAATGATGATCGATCGGTCCCGGCCCAAGAAAACGAGCAGTATATACGACCGTCCGACAGCACGCCGCGTCAGAGGCTGAGGCTGGAGTGGCCGAGCAGGACCAAAAAAATGACGGGCAGGGCTGAAATGGTGAATAACGTCAATGAGTGAGTGAGTGAGTGAGTGAGTGAGTGAGTGTATTCTTGGAGTTGAAGATGCGAACATTTTGCGGAGAAGTACGAGAAATGCGAACGAGCCCTCTCACTTTCGAATACGGGCTCGGATCCGGCAGCAACAGGTCCGACGAGGGCTGCCAAATGGGCACTGGCCAGCCATAGCCGACTGTTTCAGGAGAAAGCTTTATGGCAGATGAGCATCGCTGAAGGGAAAGGGGCCAATCAACAACAGGCGTCTTTTGCGAGGGCGTACGAGGGACCGAGAAGTTACGACGTACGAAGCAATACGGACATTTACGGCGGAAAAATGGACAATAAAATTTCAATTACTACTGACAGATAGTACACGAAGTCGTTTTTTAGGTTCATCCTTGTGAATTGCTTGTTTTTATGGCATTTCTTATCCATGGAGGGATCCACTTCTATCCCGCCTAGAATGTATATAGGTACAGGTTCCCATAAAGTCACCTTTCTTGCAAGTGATCTTGGTTTTACGCATCCCTTTCATCAACATCAAGCAGCACTGCCCAGGCACCTTGCTTTCTTGTCTGTGACTTCTGTTTGTCTAAGCCTTGCTTGGGTGGCTGTTCGATTACGTCTCCTGGTCACAATACTCAACGAAGCTTCCTTGATAGCATAATCAACATGCTTTCAGCTCGGGATCTACTTATTGGCGAGAAGTATATGCTGTTCCAGTATGAGCCTAAGAAAGTCCCAGCCATCATCTTCATCGTCCTTTTCGGCATCTCGTCAATCCTCCATGTGTTCCAGTTGATCAAAAAGCGAACATGGTATTTCGTACCTTTCGTTATCGGTGGGATACGTGAGTCACTTCTGCACGATATCGTTTCTCGACACCAAGCTGATATTCTGTATGAATAGTTGAGGCGATTGGTTATATTGGGAGATTAATAAGTGCTGGACAAGAATATGGGGAATGGACCACGGGACCCTACATCATGCAGACTTTGTCCATCCTCCTCGCACCAGCCTTCTTCGCAGCTTCAATCTATATGATCCTCGGCCGACTTATCGTCCTTGTTGACGGAGAGAGTCACTCACCTATCCGCGTCAAGTGGCTCACCAAGATCTTTGTTGGAGGAGATGTTCTTTCTTTCCTCGCTCAATCAGCTGGTAAGTACAGTTCACTTACTATCTACACGTACCATACCACTCGACTTAATATGAAGTAACACAACGACAGGTGGTGGAATGCTCGGCAAAGCAAAGAAACAATCAGACGTCAACCTCGGCGAGAACATCATCATCGCCGGCCTCGCCATCCAAGTCCTCTTCTTCGGGCTCTTCGTCATCGTCTCCGCCATCTTCCACTTCCGCATCCGCGCCATGCCCAGCATGCGCTCCAAACAAATGCCTATCCCCTGGGAGAGCTACCTCTTTATCCTGTACATCGCCAGCACACTCATCCTTGTCCGCTCGGTCTTCCGTATCGCCGAGTATGTCATGGGCTCGGATGGTGTGCTGTTGAAGCATGAGTACTTCTTGTATATCTTCGATGCGACATTGATGGCACTGGTTATGATTTTATTTAACTTGAGACATCCGGGGAGTATTATTAATGAGGATAATATGAGGATGGCGCATATGCGGGATCCGGAGTCGGGGGAGAGTGCTCATGAGATGACGAGGGAGACTATGAGGATGCATCATAAGTAGGCCTGGGAAAGGAAGGAAGACTGGTTATCGGGAGCTCTGTGCAGATTTACCGGCCCTGCGATGGCGGAAAGGGCTTCATGGGACGCGGGTTTGGAAATGTGCTCACAAATTGAGCATACTCTTAAACATGGAGTAAGGGCGTCTGGATACACTTGATTTGACAACTTACAGGTAATAAATCTTTAATTTATTAGGTGGATTCATGGACAGAAATTTGAAGTGATAGCCTGCATAGCTCTGGAATTAAGAATGTTTCTCTCATTGTCCAAAAAGGTTGCGGGAGTTTCCTGGCACTCTAAGCTTTTATCATGTCGTTTGAACTTAAGCACGAACTTTCACATTGTGTCAATCTCAATGTCATCTGGTAAGTATAACTTTCTATGTCCCTTTTGTAGGTCGACCATTCACTTACAATATCAGCCTCATAAGGCTCCTTCAATTCTCCAATGTCTTCCTTGGCCCCATTTCTCCTCACCATCTTCATAAGCCCAGTCAATCATTTGCCAACACCAAACCCTTCCCATTCCCAAACACCAAACCAAATACCAAACCAAAATGCCCCCATAAATCTCTCCAACCCCTCTACTTCCCCCCAGCATACTCCTTCCTCATCGCCTCCTTCACCATCTCCCCACACAACTTGGCCGTCGGATTCGCCGCCACCGCCAACGCCTTCGCAATCTCATTCCCAAACCTCCCACCAACCATAAAATCCCTCGACGCATTCTCCTCCCACTCCACCGCCTTCCAGTCCTTCTCCCTCCTTCCCTCTTCAATCCTCAGCTCCGCTCCATTGACAGCGAGTGCTTTTGCTGTAAGGTGGTACAGGGCGCCGCGCTGGGTGTACGCTTGCGAAAGAGTTTTGGCGGTTTGGGGTGAGAGTGGTGAGAAGGGGGTGCGTGGTGTGAGGAGGGTGATGGCTGTGCTGAGGTCGGTGAGGATGGTTGTTGAGGCGGAGAGGAGTGTGGGTTGTGAGGGTGAAGGGACAAGAATATTTTCTTGTGGAGAAGGGGATGTGGGATTTGAGACGAGGAGGCTGTCGCCGTATATCCTTCTCAGAGCTTGGGCTCGGTTGTTCCTCGCGCTGGCGTAGTTGGGATACTCTTCTATGAGATCGTCTAACCGTTTGACACATTCTAAATATTGTGATAATGGCGATTCAGAGTCTGGTGATTCGGGTTTCAGACCGGCTATCTGAAGTTCGATCTGTTGGATCGAGGAGATGATGGAGCGCTCGATTTGGCTGACTTTCAGGTATGTGGATTGATCTGTGATATTGGGATCTTTTGGAAGGGTATCGTCGATTAGGAGAGGTGCTGAAGGTCCAGATTCGGGATCTTTGATTTTCTCAAGAATTGAGAGGTCATGTTGGGTGAGCGAGGCCATTGTTGTCATCGTTGAGTGGGACAATAAGATGAGTTGACGGTGACAACTGATTCTGTCTTCTAACAAGACTTGGCAATAACCGAGAGTGTTGACTTCAAACACTTATAGATGAGATGTCTTCAAACCATTCAACGAGAAAAGAAAGTCAAATAAATGATCGTTCTTGCGCTGAAAAGTGGCGAATTAAATAAGCCAAAGCCGGACAAGAAGGATCAGGCAAACTACGGATCTTGTAAAGGAATTTGAGTGAACACTCGGCTTACAATTATCTACAAACAGTCAGAAACCAAGTCACGTTCCATTCATTGCACTGCGATTTCCAGGCCAAAAAATCCGGGCAAAGTGAAACTACCTACTCTTTGTATGGCAAGAGTTTCCCCACAACAATCAGCTTCATTCCGCTGCGATGGCCGACTCCAGCCGCGCTCAGCCGAGCGCTCATGCAACCACATCCTTCATTCCGTCAACACAAGCAAACCCAGAAGTTAAACTCACCAATAGGATACACGACGTTCAGACGTCCGATGCAATCATGGGCTTCTCTGGTCTGCTCTCAAACGGCTTTCGAGTCAAATAAACGGCAGCTTCCTAGTTAGTCGGGAGGCGGAACGCTGTGGTAAGTAGTGCTTAGGCCCGGATACCTAGGGAATTGTGAGGTAAGAAGGTCTGGATTGACAATCAAACTTTGGGAATCTTCTTTGTTATATATCCATTCTATTCCCCTCAGATTGTGAAAAGAAGGAAGTAAGACATTTCTTCAAGTCGAGAAATATCCCTCCAAGATCATTCCTGCGTTTCTGTCTCGTCTTGTGAACTCACATCGTCTATCAACACTATGGCTCCCTCAAGGCTGTCACCGGAACCGTCCGTCTTGACTCCCACCTCTCTCACTTTCCCAACAGCACAAAATACTTCAGGTGCTGTAGATGGTACGCCGAATTTCCACGGGTACGATCATATCACTGTAAGTATCTATCAGCTTTAGTCATTCAACATGTCTTTTCATGCTTTCGCATCTAATTCAAGCTCACTTACTAACTTGTACAGTGGTATGTGGGTAACGCAAAGCAAGCTGCTTCCTTCTACACCACACGTCTCGGATTCTACACGATAGCATACAAAGGTCTCGAAACTGGAAGTCGATACATTGCCTCTCACGTCGTAGCAAACGGCAATATCAGATTCGTCCTCACATCACCCATCAAATCATATTCCTGCCTCGATGGAGATGAGCCAATATCATCCGAGGAGAGAAGCTTGCTGAAGGAGATATACGCACATCTCGAGAAGCATGGTGATGCAGTAAAGGACGTTGCTTTCGAGGTCGACAATGTAGCAGCAGTATACAATCAAGCCGTGGAACAAGATGCTGTCTCCGTCCAAGCACCAAGGAAGGTCTCAGATGAGAACGGTTCCGTCACAACAGCCATCATCCGCACATACGGCGACACAACACACACTCTAATCTCTCGAGACTCATACAGCGGCGTCTTCCTCCCCAGCTACAAGTCCATCCCCTCCTCCAAGCTCGACCCACTACAACGCCTCCTCCCCTCCGTCCAACTCGAAGCCATCGACCACTGCGTCGGCAACCAAGACTGGGGCGCCATGGAAGCCGCCTGCGACTACTACGAGCGCTGCCTCTCCTTCCACCGCTTCTGGTCCGTCGACGACAGCCAGATTTCCACCGAGTTCTCAGCCCTCAACTCCATCGTCATGGCATCCCCCAACAACGTCGTCAAGATGCCCATCAACGAGCCCGCACCTGGCAAGAAGAAGTCCCAGATCGAGGAGTACGTTGATTTCTATGGTGGCGCTGGCGTGCAACACATTGCGTTGAGGACGAACGATATTATTTCTGCTGTGAGCAACATGCGAGCTCGTGGCGTGGAGTTCATCAATGTTCCTGAAACGTACTACACTACTATGCGCATGAGATTGAAGAGCGATAAGCGGAACTGGAAGTTGCAAGAGGACTTTGATACCATTCAGAGACTGAACATCCTGATAGATTTCGACGAGGGCGGATATCTCCTGCAATTGTTCACGAAGCCCTTGATGGATCGTCCGACGGTGTTTATTGAGATTATTCAGAGGAATGAGTTTGATGGGTTCGGAGCTGGTAATTTCAAGAGTTTGTTTGAGGCTATTGAGCGGGAGCAGGCGGAGAGGGGAAATTTGTGAGGGGTGCTCAGTTCTCGCTTAGTTTGCATTGGGAGAGGGGCTCGGTTGAATTGGAAATGTTTGGTTGAGAGCGACTTCGAGAAGATTGAATCTGAAATTGAACAGCATAGCGTCGGTGGAGTACTCATATATTTGTACTCCCAAGCGGAAGATTATCGTACATTGTCCATGACTAATGATTTGGAATTATACACTTAAGAACTTCTTCAAATCGAAAGTGATTGTTGTTCAGCACTTAAAAATAAACTTGAGTTTGTAAGAGTAACACGGGTCTCACATCTGATGAAAAGTTCCAAACTGGCTATTCACTTCATGCTCTTGGGAAGGAACCGAGGCTTCGACTTTCGGAACACTACTTAATCCCTCAGCCTCCAATATCGGTCACCCGAGCAATCCTAAGTCTAAGGATCCCTAGGCCCAAGGGAGGCTCTCCAGCTATTCCGATATATAAAGCAAGCATGGAATCCCGCACAGAGGTTGGAATTCCCCTACAACTTCTGCTGCGGTGCAGAATGTCATCTTGCTATCAAGGAGTTGAGTCATGAAGCATGGTGTCTGTTGACCACGATTGTCGTTGTCGTTGTCGTTGCCAAATCACCGAAGTCTCAAATGCTATTTCGCTGTCATCTATCTGCATTGAATTTGTGACGAGGTACACTACATCAAAGTGATAGGGCCAAAATGATAATTTGAAGAGTATGAACGTAGCATATCTTTTGAGACTCGGCAGAAAGAAAGTGCGTCTTAAACCCTCTCTGAGAGGACTTCCAGGGGATCAGCCCAACATGAATATCCGTTTCGGCTGCTTGTGGTGAGTTGTCCGACCAGATCTCGACTGCAAAGATCTTTTCATAGACGAGAGACGCTTGGCTTCACCTTCACTTACATCTTCGTGATTTGATAAATGACTATTGTAGCTGTTGGTGGTGGTGAGTATTGGCCCCCAAAAGTCAATAATCGAAGGGAAAAGTAATATTCACCTCAGTGGCTCCAACTTCACTTCTCTCGAGAATTTGCTGGCTGTATGTTGATAAGGATATAAAAGAGTGGTATGGACGTATGGACTTGGCTATCAACGAAGCAATTTTAGGCATCAAGTTATTCAATGTCTGTGTGCAGACTCCAGAGCTGGAGAGAGTCTTGCTGTGACGGCGCAGCGACTCTAAACATATTCCGACTGGTCAGAGTACCAAGATGGAAAAGGTTTCGATAAGTTACCTATACAGTACTGGAGATCTCGAGGCACTTCCCTCCGCCGTGAGACGCGAGCAATGTCAATTAGCCGAGTGCTGTCATGTCCTCATTCCACAGTATTCAATCTCGCTTCATCAAGGGAGCTTAGACAAACAAGAGAAACCGACTCCATATTCGGGCAGAATCTAGATCTCCGAAGCTGAATCAAACAGAGTACTCTCCAGAGAAATCTCAAATGGCTTACCACTCGGACTTGCCTCCCTGCACTGCATCCCGTGCCTTTTCCCAAAGAATGAAGTGTGCCTGTCAATCTAGAAAGCGCTTTTATAGTTGACCTTCGTGTTTTACAACACCTCAATAAGCTAGAATATTGAATCTATTCCAAAAAAACCAAAGTTGGTTCACTTTCCTCTTCAATTCTCAGGAAAGAACACAGTGAATCTCCTCCTTCCCCCAACTTCTGAAATCCCCATCCTCCAAGAATAGTTCATCCCAAAAGTGAAAAAAAGTTGCATAAAACGCTCCACAAACAGGTTTCATTCTTTCAAAGTATAAATCCCTGCAACCTCTTCGCCGATAAATTCGAATCCATTCTAGGGTAAAAGGCCTACACCATCCTGTCCATGTCTTCATAGTCTCCGCTTACTCTTTCTGGGATTATCGTCTTCAAGTACAAGTTAGAGATCTAGTGCTGCAGTTAGTTCCAGGTATTCATTATCTGGAAAATACCCAAGCGTGGATGTTGCAATGCCATGCCTTGCCAAACAAGAAATACTGCTGTCAAAGCTCAGGCCGCTGTCACGTACCAACACAAGTTACCACATAGTCTGCTTTTCCGTGCCTTGAATGAAGGAAAGACGGAGGGAATCTGAAGATGGGATGGCAGCTTGGAGGAATGATCGCTTGATAATGAAGGGGTGTCTGGATGGACGAGAAAGGGGCATGAGGTGACTCTGCTTCCGCTCCATTGTTTTATTCCTATAGTATTTCTAGACATAGTTAGTAAGAAGTGCAAATGGGAACAGAGGGTTTTATACCGTCTAGATTTCCTCCTTACTGTGCCTTGCAGACGTGGGACCAAATGAAGAGGATGAAGACTGGTGAATAGTGACATGACTGTATTTCGTTATTCACTCAAGCCTTGCTGATGTAATGGAAAGTAGACAAGTACACTTTTTACCATGTATCAGACCAAACAGAGTACATGGCATGAAAGTCCAGATGTGGTGGCCGAAGAATTACAACTGTTTGCATTTGCATCGCTGCATCCTACAACAACTCGCAGCTTCTCTCCGTAGCAAAGAGAGCTTTCTAAAAATAGGAATAACAGAAAATGGAACAAGTTCTATCTGCTCTCAATAGTACCGTGCATGACCCATGTCTACCAAAAGAAGTTATTCATGCCTTGAGTGCCAAAACCTGAAAAAGACTTTCCCGAGACAATAGTCATATATGTTATGATCCCAATGAACGCCGTCTAATGCTTAGCCGTGACCTTCTCGCCGGTGAGTTGTTCGACGTAAGTCTTTGCCCTGTTTGGAGAATCCGTCAGTAAATGGACCCATAATAAATCCCCATTACCGCTCTCTCCCATGGGGTCGATTCCCCAGACAATGGGGAATCCAGAAATTGGGGGATGGAAAGGGATACTTACATGTCACCCATAGCAACCATGCAGATTGTCTGCCAAACGCCTAATCCAATACGTGGAACAACGCCACGATACAATCCCTTAAGCCCATTATTCTGGTAAATATACCTCGCCGTGTTTCCCACCGTCATCTTTGCAGGGCGGTTAGGGTCAACGGTCTTGCTCTGCATCTCGACTCGGATGACCTCGATAGGTTGATTCCAAGCACTAAGACCACCACCCAGTCCAGACGCCAAGATCTTCTCCCAGGCGCTGAGCTTGCCTCCCTCCTTCTTGCCAGTCACGCTGCGGATTCCCTGCTCTGCGAGACGGGAGAGACCAAAACGGGAACCCCAGTTGGTCATCTGGCGGATGGCAACTGCGTTGACTCCCTTGTTGATGCCCTTGATACCCTCCTTGCGGTAGATATCCATGAAGGTGGCAAAGGTTCCTGGGGGCTTGACACCCGCAGCAGCAAGCTTCGTCTTGGTGATCTCCACTGTCTTCATGCAGGTGCAGAATCCCATTGTAGCGTATGCCTGTGCGACACCTCCCAAGATACCACCACTGATTCCAGCAGTGAAATCGCCGGCGCCAAAGCTACGGGCGTAGTATTCTCCCTCGGACGCGACAAACAGGAGGACTGCGCCCTTGGTGGAGGCTTCAATCCAGGCCCATGGGATGAGACCTTGGTAGACTGTTCGCAGATGAAAACCCAGTCAGTAATTGCTTCTGCAGACTCGAAAAGCTATGGATGAGGGAATTTCGGAGAACTTACAGCCAAGAACACCACCTCTACCCCAAATTCTGGTCAGAGCAGTAGCGAAGGTATCACCTCTGTTGGCTGCCATGGTGGTCTTGGTGACCTCCAGCGGCTGACCCAAAGTGGTGACCTCGAACCTGCGATCGCATTAGAATAGAGCTCTTTGATGGTCGATGATTGAGGAATTGATTATTAAAGACTTACATGTTGAGCCCAGCCCCAAGCAGCAGATTGCTGAACTTGACGGGCTTCTTCTCGAGCGGCTGGTTGCTGGCTGCGACTGACATCGTGGGTGTATATTGTTTGTGTAGGGGCCCTGACCAAGGGATGAGTTTGCTTCGTCGCGAGTTGTGAGTGAGTGTGCTTGTCGAGAGCGCAGGCGGAGTGACCCCGAGAGGTAACGGTTGGTCCCGAAGGTAGGTGGTACTCTAGGGTCTCAGCTCGGTTATTGGAGCTGTGTAATTCGGTGGCCGAAGACGAGTGATAAGGGCTTGCTTCTCCTGCCCTGTATGAGATCGGCCAAAAATTCTTGGATAGTATTCGGCGAGTTTTTTGAGTCTGGAATTTGTTTGAGGTCGTATTGAAGTGAGATTTGGTAGTAGGCAGCGTTCAGTGTGGTTGGCATTGGGCTCGCTCTTCAACGAGGCTTAGGGGATTGGCATTGGCATTGGCAGCACCATCCCAGAAGAGAGCATGGCGGGATGGCTGTTCTCTTGTTGAGTGGATCTGTTGGATCGCTTGGAATTCAACGCCTCGGATTCCCCAGCCAAAACTTTGTTTTGGATCCACGGGTTGTTCAGGGGCAGCATCTATTAGGAATTTTAGCAGATAGGTAAATTACCATGAATATCGTTGTGGCATTCATGGCGACAGAGGCGTATAATGATAATCATGGCGCTCCTTTTACTCTTAGATATTTATAGCTTGTTGGCAGTTTCTGTAATAGTGGATCACTCCTGGGTAATATGAAGGGCATGCGAGGGGAAGAACGACATGTCATGGAAGGTGATTTACTTTCTCGCGAAAACGTTGTTAAGTTACAGTTCAGCGCAGTTAAGGTTGCTGGCTTTCAACGCTCTGAATGGAATTTGTACATCGATGTAAGCGAATTTTGATATCAAGATCCAAAGTCAGGAGGCCAAAATTTGGACGAGACAGCGTCACAACAATTCCAACTTTCATTGGTATCACCTGAACTCGGACAATGGAATTAACAAGTATTAGGAGTTGCGAATAAAGTGGTATTAGTCAGGAACGGCTGCAAAAAAGCACAAGCACGCTGAAGTATAAAGTTACAGTGAAGTGCATTTAGCCCGGTCCCGTCTATAAATCCAATTTTTCGTACAATCTTACCCCAGGTCGCCAAATCAAATTCGCTCGATCATGACTTACAGCTTGGCTCCAACAATCTCGGCCCACTTCTCGGTTGAGAAAGACTTGGGGCGCTCGATAGGGGCACCAACTGCACGATCGATGATAAGTTGAGGAAGAACACCGATGGCTCTTGAGACACCGAAGAGAACAGTGTAGTAGTTGGCCTCGGTCAAGCCGTAGTATTGGAGAAGGACACCAGAGTGGGCATCGACGTTGGGGTAAGGGTTCTAAATGGTCGTTAGTCAACTTTTTGGATAGAGGCGTGAGCGCAAAACTTACCTTGGTCTTTCCGTGCTCAGTCAAAACGCCTGGAGCGATCTTGTAAACTTGAGAAACAAGTTTATACATGGGATCGGATGGAAGGTGCGACTTTTTAAAAAAATTAATATGGATCATAATGAAGTGGTTCGAGATGGGGACTGGTGGATCTCGGGGGTTTATCAATAACCTACCTCGGCAAATGTACGCTGAGCCATGTAGCGAGGATCAGTCTTGCGGAGAACAGCGTGTCCGTATCCGGGAACAACCTGTCCAGCCTTGAGAGTAGTCCAGAGGTAATCAGTGATGGCCTTGTCGCTAAGATCATCTCCGATGGCAGCCTTCATTTTGGTGAGCCAGTTCAGGACCTCCTGGTTGGCAAGACCGTGGAGTGGGCCAGCAAGACCGTTAAGACCAGCAGCAAGGGAGAGCATAGGAGAGCTGAGAGCACTGCCAACTAAGTGGGTAGTGTGGGCACTGACGTTACCACCCTCATGGTCAGTGTGGATGGTAAGGTACAATCTCATCAGCTCAACGAAGTCGTGGTTGTCTGCGAAACCGAGCTGGTTGGCGAAGTTGAAACTGTAATCCTTATCCTTCTGGACAGCAGCGACCTTTCCTCCCTTGAAGACGTTCTGGTAGATGCGAGCAGCAATGGTTGGGAGCTTGGCAATCAAATCCATAGAATCCTCGAAAGTGTGGCCCCAGTACTCGGTCTTCTTCATTCCCTTGGCGTATGCCTTGGAGAACGCAGATTCGTGCTCGAGAGCGTTAACTGCAATGGAGAATTGTGCCATTGGGTGAAGGGTGTTTGGGCATCGGTCGATGAGCTCCTCAACGAACTTTGGGACCTCGGCGCGCGCAGCCCAGTCGGCGGACAGATCGCGAACTTGTTGCTCGGATGGAACCTCACCGGTCAGAAGAAGCCAGAAAAGACCTTTGGATTGGATTAGCACAATTGCCCAGCTTAGAAGATATCACCTATTACCTTCTGGCAGAGGCTCCTTTCCACCGGGTGCCTTGGGGAGGAGTTCCTGGCATTCTGGGATTGTCTTTCCTCTGAATCGGATACCCTCCTCAGAATCGAGAACTGAACCTTCCCAGACCAGCGACTTGATTCCACGAGCACCACCGTAGACTTGGTCAAGAGTGACTTCGCCGACAACCTTGGATCCGTAGTCCCTGATAACCAGTTAATATGCCGATACTTGTCAATTCGCGCGTTCGTCCAATGCCTACTTTCGGAGCTTCTTGATCTGCTCAATCTTCTCTGGTAATTGCTCGGCGAATCGTTCCTTCAAAGTCTGCAAAATAGCTGTCAGTTTGGATATCGGTGCTTGGAGAACAGAACGTCATACCTGGGTTTTTGAGGAAGAGTAGCATCGCATGCCATTGAAGGCAGCGGTTCTAGCATTGAAAGCAGGAGCTGTGAGTGAAGACCGTAAGGCCGATTGACCAAGACGAAGTGCGGAAGCCATTGTGTGAGTGGTTGTGTGGAGAGAAGTGGGAGGAATGAGGTTTGGAGGTTTAATATGATGGAAGAAAGATTCTCGGCCGGCGAACAACAAGAAAAGAGCTTCCAGCGGCCCGCCCAACAACGCCGACCATCCGCATCCTAGCGAGAACAACCCTTGACGTATTTTCAACGGATCAAGTCGGGTCTCACAACAACAATTCAGATTGAAAGGGCGCCGAATAAGGGGCTAAAAAGAGTTCATTCGATGTTACAAGTTGTAGTAAAAATAACTATTCTTTAGAATTTGTATTCACAAAGGCTATCGTCGCATTGTCTACCTTATGAATGTCCTTCGGGCTCCATAAATCCTTGCCAATCAGAGCTGGTCTTGGCAGAGTCACGTGGAAGAACACTCTTCGAGACGCTAAGCAGTTTTAAGTTTTGGCAGGCGACAACATCTCCTCACCTTCGGGAACCAACCTCCAAGTTTCTTCTTCATCCGCAACATCGCGAGAAGAACTCACAAAGTACATCACAACTAATCCAGTATCTCCTCTGCAGTATCTGCTGCTACGTATACCGTCTGTCGACTTCTGGCAACCTAGACTGGAGCTGTGTTGGGGCGTTAGGCCTTTCCTTCTTCCTTTGCACTGTCGCACGTAGTCGCGGTAGAGATTCACTTTTTGCTTCACAGTAGCCTCGTCTAGTTCTTTGGTGGCTTGGGGAGAAATCAGAGCAGAGCATAAAAGTAGACGTTCGAGCTGTGCTCCCTCTTCCTCCCTCCACAACCAACGTCGACCATCTTCGTTCTGAACTGCACAGTCACACAGTGTCGCGTGTTTCTTAGTTCATCAACATGTCTTCCCCAGTAGCAGATCTGGAGGCAAGTTTGCAAGCTATGCTATCCTTGAAACCTCCTGGAGTATCTGGCACTCGAATAAACAGCATCACTGCGCTCTGCACTGCAAATGTTCAGGTAAGCTCCTACAGCCTTCGACCTTCGCATCTTTAAGAGACAGACTACTAACACTTGCCTCCCCCTACAGTCCGAATCTGTCCTCATTCAGAAGCTCTACACTCACTTTAAGAAAGCCCCCGGAACCCACAAACTTGGCGTGCTGTACGTTGTAGATTCCGTAGTCCGCAAGTGGACAGAGCAAGCCAAGAGCGCCGGACAACCTATAAACAGTTCTGCCCAGGATGGAACGTTCGCTGCTGGTGTGCATAGAGTAAAGGAACTTCTGCCTGTCCTCATGAACGACATAATCCTCTCTGCTCCCGATGATCAAAAGGTACGCACATATATTCGAGCTCAGTAGTTCTCAGGGTTTCGGACCCTCGTGAAATCGCCCACCATGTTCCATATCTACAGTGCATAGTCTATTTCAATATGAACCCCCACTTACTCTGCTTTTGTCTGTAGGAAAAAATTAGAAAGTTGCTTGATATTTGGGAGAAAGGTCAGACTTTCCCCTTGCAAATGATCACTTCCTTCAAGGAGAAGCTGAGTGCACAGAGTAAGACATCCTACCTTCTCCCACCTTTCAACCATACTATTCAGATTCCTAATCATAGCTTCCCTTTCTATAGATTCAACTACAACTCCGCCAGGCAGTCCACCAGCAGATCTCCAGAAATCACTCCTAGGTCAGCAAGCAGCACCAGCTACATCCGCTCCTGACACTTCTTCGATCTTGGCGGCTCTCTCGAATTTAGCACGCCAGAACCAAGCAGCTCCTCCTACGAGCTCCTTGCCACAACCTATGGGTAGTTTGTACAATGTATCAAATGCGCAGAATAATCCTGCCCAACAAGTTCCCGCTATGAATCAGCTCCCAATTCCACCGATGCCTATGCCTGTAAATGTGCCAGCCCCAGCGGCCACTTTTGCACCACAGACTCTGGGATCGAATAATGGTGTTCAGAACTATACCAATAATAATCCGTATGCGGGTGCTCCGCCAGTAATGCCGCCAGCTGCCCTCGATCCGGCTGTTCAGCAGCAATTGATATTGATTAAGGCTTTGTCAGACCAGGGCTTCTCGCCCGACAAGATTGCTGGTATCATTGCGGCCATGAGTAGTCAAGCACCTCCTCCTGTTCCAGGTGCGGGCGGAATTCTTCCACCACCGCCATTTGCGGCACAGAATCAAAATGCAATCGCTCATAATGGCTGGTCTGGCCAGCCTGATGAATCACGTGACCGTAATGGTTATGACAATGAGGCTGTGAGATCTCCCCAAGGTCGTTTTCATCGACGTTCCCGATCCCGCTCTCCAAAGCCGGAATGGAATACTCGTGACTCTCCGGCTTCCCGCCGTCGTGAAGAGCAGCAGTTCGGTTATGATAGAGGCTCTCCAGGCGGAAACCGAGGGAATGATGACCGTGGACGAGGTAGGGGTGGTCGTGGAAATGATTACCGTCAGAGAAGCCCTCCACGCCGTGGTCAAAGTCCAAGTCCTCCTGGATCAAGTAATGGTCCCCCGCAAAAATGGGTTGGGCACGATTCCACTATTCCAAGAGGCAGTATTAAAGGTATGCGTGCACCCAAACCCGTCAACTTGCAAGTCACTCTTACTAACCAATCACAGTGTTGAGCCGTACCCTCTTTGTTGGCGGAGTCACGTAAGTCTGAAATAAGAACTCACATATCAAACCTCACTAACTCTTCCTAGGTCGTCCGAGCAAGAGTTGAGAAATCTCTTCTCCCAATTCGGTCGAGTGCAAACGTGCATAGTCAACAAGGACAAGCGTCACGCGTTCGTCAAAATGATCAGTCGACAGGATGCCATTGCCGCTAAAGATGCAATGGAGAAAAATAGAGCTCCAGATTCTCAATTGCGGGTAAGTTCGGTGGATTTTGTCCAATTGTTAATTGCACAGTTTGCTGATTTTTTGATAGACGAGATGGGGTGTTGGATTTGGCCCACGTGAATGCAGCGATTACCAGACCGGTGTCAGCGTCATTCCAATCAGCAAACTCACTGACGCTGACCGAAAGTGGATGGTCAGTGCCGAGTATGGGGGTAGCGGTGGACAGCCCATGGAGTCTGGTATGGTAGTTGAGGAGCCTGACATTGAGATTGGTCAAGGAGTTTCTTCTAAGGCTATCAGCCGCCGCATGGGAACCGACCAAAGTGGTCACGGTGGTTCAAAGTTTAATCGCAGTCGTGATGACGACGATCACCCCCGCCAACGCCGTGGAGGAGACCGAGATGGTCGACACGACGACCGCAAGGAAAAATACTCCAACATCAGTGGACCTACTCCTATGCCTCCTGTTCCTGCTTTCGGCATGCCAGGCGGCTTTCCATTCCCAATGCCCACACTTGCTAACGGTATGCCGATGTTCCCTCCCGGATTTACCTTCCCTGGACAAACAGCTACGCAAACACCATCTCAGCCTCCTCCACCAGGACATCGTACTTGAAGTGCTGTTGTTCCGAAAGGCGGCTCCTCTACATAACGTTCCACCATGGCGGTCATATCGAGATACATCTTCTCAGGTCCAACACGCTATCTACGCCTGCCCCGAGAAATGAATCTTCGACCTTCTTCTTTTCAAACGCAACTGCATTGCTACGGTGTTATGGTGTTCTCGATACCTCTTTTACGGGTATCTCAAAACGGAAGCCCAGGTCCAGGGCGTGTTCATGGCATAATGGTTTGATCAAAGCATCTGCATATTGTCTATTTCATTTTCTACCTCACCATCCTCGAACATCTCTTTGTTCGAAGACCGCTTCTCTTTCCAAATGAACAGACAGAAGTGGATATTTTCCTCCAGTACCTTATAGTGCAGCGGGTTTGTTTTATACTCCACCTTTATGATTTCCAGCTATCTTGTATAGTTCGGGATCTCGCGCTGAGGTTGGACGGTTTGGACTAGGCTGGCATGTATGTAAAACTTGTGACTACCATCAATCAATTGCACTTTATAACATGATCGTTTCTCCTGTTAAGTTGCCCATCTGTGATGTGACCTGTAAACCTATATGTGATACGACTTATCTTTGTAAGATGATATGATTGAAGTATCTCAGCATACAATAAAGACTTGGACTTGACGAGAGTATGAAGGTTTTAGACCTCCCCAACTCTACGACTAAACCTGCTGGATAAATTTTGAATTAAAACAGCAATCATCTAAAATCTAGTTCACGAGATTCGTTCTATTTTGCATAGTCTGGAGAAAACAAGGACGTTTGGCAACCTCCTCAATCAGACTTACCGTCCTAAAGTCAAGGAAGCAAACTGTAAAGATCACAAGACTTAAATTTTCGATCTTCAAAATTAAATATCACTAATTCTGTGATTATTTACGATTTTCAATAGTACTCTGGTGCCCACTGCTCGTTGATTCCCAGCCACACTCTCCTGAGCATTGAATCCCACTACCTCGGTCTCCTTTCAACCTCACAATGCAGCTAGCTAATTCTCCCCAGAAACCCTCCAAGGCAGCAACACCTTCCCTTTACAGCCTATCCTCCCTCCCCATACCCACACCCATTGCCATCGAAAAATCCGGCAAGCAAATCCACCAAGTTTTATTACACGTAAGCCAAGGTGAAGGACATTCTTGTCTAGCATCGCAATCTGAGATCATCGTACAGTCAGTCTTAGAACCTCCGAAACTTTCACCTGTGAAGCCTCCAGACTCTCCAAATCCAAATCCAAGTCCCAATATGACGAAAATAATTAGAGCGGACAGGTAGGAATCTACAGACGGAAATTGCTGAATACTCACAGAATGGAAAAGCACTCCTCTTCTCTTTCTCATGCTCGCCCAGTTCTCTTAGGTGGAAATGGCAAGTTTTGTCGCTGGGCGAGCACTTCCAGAGGCGGTTGGGACAGTCGGCGTCGGTTCTACATGCTGAGAGAAGTTTGTAATGTCAGTTTTCAATCCGAAGTTGAGTTTGAACAGGACTTCGGCGTTCGTGAGTGAACTTGGCGGGAGAACGGACGTACTTTTCAATTCAGAAGTGGATACAGTGTCGACTTGTTGATGTGGTGCAGCAAGGACGAGGGTGAAGGCTGTGATGAGTGTAACTGTGTGTTTTAGGAGATTCATTTTCAGTTCTTGCAGATGGAAATTGTAGTGAGGTGATTGTCATTGAAGTATCCAAGCTCAAGGACGAAGATGCAGGAGTCTTTTGGTGAAGTCTTGGACAAGACAGGGTCAAAGGGATCCAAAGTACTGCTGCGTTATGAGAAACGTTCAAAGATAGTCTGTGGTCGCCGAGTCCTCAAAGATCTGCAGTCGTGTATCGCTTTGCTCAACATTGTGAGATGGTAGTGTTTCACTGGATCTAGAAATATTTAAGTATGACATGACCTGTTCTACATTGTCCAGACCTTTGAGCTGTTGGTTCCAGTCTACTTGCAGTCAGCAAAGACAGGAGGTGAGACAAGGGAGCCCAACGCCATCTCCCTGAAGTCCTCTGGGTGGAATCTAGACGCCCTAGTAGAAGAATTGAATAGACTACTATCTGTTGCCCTGCTTCGCCTCAATAGAGAAGAATGAGTCTCAAGCAACGTAGCTTAGACAGGTGCGGTGCAAGAAATTGACCTTAGAAGGCCATGAGGTTGTAGGCACAAGTCTAGACCAACCGCAATTCGAAAGTCACACCACGTCGAGTCCGTAGGGCCTTTGAGGCTGCAGGAGGCTCAGACTATCTGGATTTTGTTTATTCTCCTCTTCCTACATCTCAAACTAAACTATGGTAAGTATACAAGCTAGGTAGTAGTAGTGTTTGCAAGTTTATCTAAGGAGCAAGAAGCCGAATTGCATGAATGCACGCAACCCAGTCCATATACCTGTACATGTCCCTTCCAATCGCCGTCCCGTGATCGTAGCGCGAGATCTCTCCTGGGTCTTGATAGCCCGAGATCATGAAAATGCAACATCCGCTGCGCTTGAAAATAACCAGAATACATAGCGCCTTGAATCATTCCCTTAACCTTGCAATGCAATGCTGTAAAAGCCCCCCAGACCGGTATATGCTCGCACCAACGCCCGCAATCCCATCCGTCCGTCCATGCTTTCGTTCATCAAGCGTAGCGACGGCGGGTAATCAAATAAGTAGTGTGAAGTTTTTCGGAATCGGTGGACGACCGATGCGTGTGGTCGAATTATGCATTATCGTATGTAATGAAAGAAGTAAAATCCGCTGATTGATCGGGCACGAATGACTCATCATCATCCACCAAACCTTCATCTTCCTCAACATGCGTCAGTCTACTATTCTCATCTTCACCCTCCCGGATCCACTGCGTATACTTCGGCCAAGCCTTGAACATGCCAAATCGTGGAGTAGGCTCAAATGAGTGCTCGTAGACGACGTCTTCCGCAAGTTCAAGCAGTTTCCCGTTGTCGAGTAAATGCCAGAGCTCAGGACTCATTTCGGATGGGTCCCATGCGAAACCGGTCTTCAGATAGAAGTTTCGCTTGTTCTTCTCGAGATTTTTCTGGTGCTGAGTAATATCTGACGAGGACATAGGAATGGGCAGTTCTGTGTGGATTGGCAACTCTCGCTGACTTTTGATGTTACATTGTTGAACGGCCCAAATTTCGTCAAGGAGCCTCTGATTTGGATCACCGTTAACATGGGCCTCGCTATTGTAGCGACACATCTGTGAGTAGAAGGGTCCTTGGTAGACAAAATTGTACGGCTCCTTAATCCGAACAATTTGGCCACTTTCAAGATATTCCTGAGCGATCTCTGGGCCGGTCTTCTCGACATTTTCAACAACGTATCCTGCTGGAGGATCGGGCTCAGCATGTGGAATGACAACCTTTGGTCGCCTGATAGCACGCGACAGTTGACTGCCAATAGCAAGGCGTGGGGCAGTAGAAAGAGCTGTGGGCTTCGAGTCCTCACGAACGTCGCTATCATCAACGCTCAGTAGGTAAATTTTCCCTGTTGCATCTCCGATGAGTAATTTGGAGCAATCTTCGTTGAAGACGCCAGTCGAGATACCACCAGATATCGTCATGACATCGCGCACGAGGGTATTACCATCAACAGCTCGAATGTCCCATGCTTTGATAACACCGTCCGATCCACCAGTGTAGAATCGATCGGCAGATCTTCCCCAGGCTGCAAACTTGACTCCAGAATCGCCAACGTCAAGTGGAACGTCAGGATCCGGATTGTCGAGACTTTCTGATGTTTCGTTAGCATATATAACTGCTGATGTAGTATGAGATTACTCACCACCGTGGTCAAGAACATGATAAGGCTGGTCACTGCGACCAGTATCCCAGACATAAGTTGATCCATTAGTACAGCTAGCGGTCACGAAGCACTCGACCTGGCTATTTGCCCTTGGAAACAATTAGCCTCTAGCCAGAATTACAAGAGGGCCAGGGACTTACTTGACTGTCAACTCGTTGATATCAATACCAGGACAATCCAGAGTTTTCACGTTTGAAAATGTACCGGTTTCTTGTTGATGAAATATTCGAACCTGTGTTTTCGTCTTGGTCAAATCGCACGGGCCGTGAGGGGAGGTTGCTGCAAGGAAAATTGGCTGCGTTGGATGCCAAATGACTTCGAAGACATTCTGAGTCTTCGCTGCAATAATGAGGATCTGTTCTTTATTGCTGGTATTCCATAGGCAAATTTCGCCACTGTTTCTCTTTAGCTCCGGGACATCATTATCGTTCCCGGTGATACTTCGAGGAGAATAGCCGACGAGCAAAAAGTTCACGACCCCAGAGGCCTTGCCCCATTGCATGGTGGCAGGTTGGTACGACCACTTTGCGTGATTTCCCAACTCGTCAGCAGGCTCTCCAGATCTATCACCACAATATTCGTCGTAAGAAGACTGTGAGATCGCACTACTGTCGAAGCTGTAAACTCGAACAGCGTTACCATTACTTGCACAAGCAGTTGCGATTCGTTCGTGATGAGGCGATGCAGCAACAAAATTGACCTTTTCATCATGTTGCCAAGTGCCATGAAGAGACATGCCAGAGCCAGTTTCAGAAACGGACCAGACCTTGACCGTCTTATCAAAGCTCGCCGTAAAAGAGAATCCGTTCTTCTCGCAGTGCGTAGTCGACACGACAGACTCGTACATCCATGGTGATTGGGTGGTTCGCATTGAATCTAGCGCATTTGCATTCTCCTTTTCTTCTTCATTATCAACGATGGGTCGGACAACCCTATGATCGGAGTATAATTTCACAGTATCGTTTGAAATTGAGCCGACCATAAGGTTTCCAGGTTTGTTGTATTGCATGTTGTGAGAGTCCGAATGAGCTAGTGCACCACAAATGAATGAATCCGGACCAGTCCAAGTAATGGATGATATGTCACCAGAGCAGTCAGTCCACTCGCTTTGCCGAACGAGTGCATCTTCCACGTAGCTATTTGCGACTACCTTGAAGGAACTCCGAGCTCGACGAGACCTGTCAGGAGTCATTCCGTACCCTTCGCGAGCCCTCAAAAGTGAAATGAGGTCTTGTGAGGTAACTCTTCGTTCCCTGTTGTTGGCAGGAAACTCAGAAGGTGTCACGACAGCCTGAGCAGAATTATCTGCTAGAAAATTGGAAATTGCTGCAATGCTCCGAGTGTAAAGTAGCCGACTCTTCCTTCGTCCATAATTGGGTTGCTCGAGCCTTTTTAACATCTTTGGAAGCGAAACTTTGTTGCTCTTCATGAATCTAGCGATCTGATCGGCGGGATCAGGGAAGCGGTGACCCGCACTCATCTTATACTCGTCGATGAGGAATTGGCGAAGCTGAAAGAGTTCTTCTGACGAAAATGGGACATGAAAAGAGTCGGAGTTGATCTCGTCCAGCTCGGACAGAACATCCTCACCTGCTTCCAGCTGAGACAGCGCTCGATTTATGTCCTTTCGAGTTGCGTTTCGCACATAGGGCTTCAAGTCGCTACCCATGGTCGAACCACGAATGGGTACCGAGAAGAAGTTTGGCTGGGTCACCGATTGCTGGGTATGTAGTCGAGTGACATTGCTTTGTGCCAAGGCCGCCTGCTCATCTTGGATTCCAGCATGCGAGCTTAATGCTGCATTCTGATAGAGCCCAGCGATTTGGTCTCTTTGCTTCTTGACAGTCCGTTGATGGCCAGATAATTCCGCTTCTTGGCGCCGAGCTTCTTCCATTTCAGCCTTCGTTCTCCTTTTCCGTCTGGGCTTGATCTCTTGGATCCGTTGAACTGGCGCTGATCGGACAGGTTGTGCCATGGTAGAGGACATAGCGGTGCGGCTGTCGCTCTCAGAGACTTGTAGGCTGCTAGCACGGGCAGCCGCCATCTCTTCCTTCGTTCGACGCTTTCGCCTCTTCTGCTCGTACGCTCCTTTGGGTAATTGTGCAGCGGCTCGTCGGGAACGGCCCATATCCGAATCCTGTGCATTCTGCTTACTGGCCTCGGTATCAGTGTGATCGTTGCTGTAAGATGTTGACGACGAAATCGAAATGGCGCGACGCCGTTTTTGGATCAGGGGGGGTTGCTCAAGTTCTTCGCTCTGGGGCGTCGATCCTTCATCAGAGGTCTCGAGATTTGCAGTCCCGAGATTTGCGAGTTTTGCGAGGTTCTCCTCATTATATTGGCGCCGTCTGGAACCTGTAGGATCTAATTCCTTTATTCTTCGATCCACAATCTTTTCGACTCCCTGGTTCACAAAATGATAAGCGTTCAACTTCATTTGGCTCTCAAAAGCAGGTGTCAAGGTTTTCTTGTTCTTCAAATAATGTGCCATAAACCCGGGGACGGTCACTAGTCGTGAGGCTGCCTATAGAATATGTTAGTATATCGTAACAGGGGAAACAGCGGGCACCTTTGGACTCCATGATACTTACAAACTGTCCAATCTCCGTACGTTCGGCATGGGTGAGGGTATCACGATATGGGCGCACTGCTGTATGGACGTGAGGAAGTATCTGGGTCTCCAACACTCTCTTCATTTCTGGCTCCATCGGCGGCGGCATAACACTTGCTTGTGCCCGGTCAATGCCTGTTATGACTGACCTGCCGCCAATGGCTGGAATGACTGGTTGGGCACCGTTGCTCATCCGAGGACTTGGGGATGCTACTTGATGTTGATGACTATTTGCGAAAGTAGGTGGGAGGATTGGCGCAGAAGAAATACGTCCAGTCTGCAGAGCTGGCTGCGGCAATCCGGTTGCCAACTTTCTTCGCTTTTTGCTGGCGTTCATCGCATTTGGCTCGGGACTTCCACTAGACACGCCAGTACCAGCATTTTCATCCCTATAGCCCTGGGAAGGCTGAAATCCTGGAAGCTGGCCCACACCCATACGTTTATTGACTCCATTGACACGTGGAGTTGGATGCACAAATGTTTGTCGAGACGACCCAGGTGGTATAGATCCGTACTGCGGTACTGAAACCATCATCCCAGCTCCGGCAGCCCTGCTCTGCGCGTTGACTCTGCTTGGGAACTCGGTGGGGTCAGGAAGTCCATTGAAGATAGAGGATTGGGTTACCTCTCTCGGAGCAATCGCGATGGGAGGAGGAAGGAAGTTGTTTCGATCGGCTACTGGCACTAGGTGTGAAATGTCTTCATCATCACTGACAAGGTCGATTACATCGTTCCTATATACACATACTCCGGTCAGTCAAGGTTCTCAAGAAGTCGCGTCGCGCGATCTACTCACGGCATCGCGCCCCCTGGACGAGGCATGATGAGAGGTTAAGAGGCCAGGCCGAGTGTAGATACGCCGCACATCACAATGGCAAATACAGAGCAAAGAGGGAAAGTCGACGCCGCAAACAAAGGGCGTTGTTTCGCAAAGCCAGGAGATGTGAGTTGTTGTGATTGTGTGGGGAGAGATCAAAGGAGCCTTGAAGCGGGATGCGGTTGCGCCAAAGACCCTTGTCACGACAAGGCTGAGAGCACCAGAAGTTCACCTTTACAATGCGATTGTCTCTTGCTTATCAGAACAAAGAGGGACTGCAGTCCATCCAAGAATCATTCATATATTGCAAAATTACTCCTTACTTTTGACGCAACATATAATCGAAGATTTATTCAACTATTAGAGTTTTACTTTTCCATGGGCTGGGCTACCACAAGGCTGAGAACCGACCGAGTTAAACCAGGTAGACTTCTATCAGGATATACGGACAGAAAGAGCCGAAGAAGACATCACACTTGTACACGATTTGATATTCGATCTCACCGTAATGAAAGATACTTGAATTAGTAACCTGCATTTTGAGATGAATTTTCTGTTCCGTGTTCAAGGCATCGCCGTCGTAAATTCATCAACCCTTGCCATATGTCTTGCTCTGGGACAACCAAATGAGTCGAAAAGACAAGCTCAAAACATTTGAAATGGCGAATAGCAAGACAATAAGGACGCGTTCAGAGACAATTCCGTAGAGAGCAATTCCCGCTTCGGCCAAATCCTCATCCCTAAGCTGGGACCACAACATCCTTGCTGGTATCCAATTCCTCATGTCTGCGGAGATCCATCTTCTTGTCCAAGAGCGGAACAACATACGGGTCGAATGTTTGCCAGTACGGATTCTCTAAATGGTATTTCTGGCTCTATATAGACGACAAATTAAGCTATGACCTATAGAGTCGTAATAAAGGAGATGAGATACTTACACCCTCGTTTTCGAAACGCTCAACAATTGTAAAGGCCCTTGGATCATGTACATCTTGCATAACAAGCCAATCGACAGTCTCCTTGTCTTTGCGGTAGATCCGTGCAGCTTCAATGAGCTTAGCCTTGATACGCTCAATTGAATCCGGCTTGTCATTTGCATAGAGATGAACAGTGAGTGTGTAGACCATGATTGCGGTTTTCTGACAATACGGATCGGAAATGGGAGTAGATAACAACAAGAGCAGTGACAGTTGTATTTATTAAGAAGGTTTTAAGTAAGAGGGGTAGTGAGAGTTTAAAGCGAGAGAGGGACCGACGAGGGCTCCATAGAGGGGTAGCTGTTACTCTGCCCGCGTTCTAGCTTCGCGTGCCGGTAGCAAAATGTATCGTGAAAATATACTTCATCCTGTGACCTTGTCTCTTCTCGCTTCATCAAAACACGACTTTGGATTCTTATTCATCACAGAGATTTGTATTCATTGCAGGATAATGTTCATCGCAATTTTTGGACTTCAACAACGCGTTGGACGTGCATACATTCAACGGTGACACTTACACAGCACTCAAACATGCCAGGCTACATCGGGGCAATCCCCGGAATGTATTTTGGTAAGCATCCGTCTTCGTTTCTGTAAGCTGATGGCTTCTAACACACTTTCAGACACGAAAAGCAACAAATACTTCACCATCCAAGCAAACCATGCAGCGCCGGCCAGTTCTGCTTACTCCAGCCAGGATGTCAAACGGCGGAAGCTGCGTGACCAGAAAGAGGCTGAAGCTGTCAAATTGAAAGAGCGTCAAGCACGCCAGGTTCGACAAGCAAGAATCCTTAAAGAACCACTGGCAGGTGGAAGTTTGAGGAGGGAGACTGGTCTTGATGGTTTCGACCCTGCTCAGATCTTTGCTGGAGGCCTTGTACGACAAGGGCATCGCACGATCCTGGCTTCAACTGACCGGGAGGCCGGTTCAGGCATGTTCAGCGTCGGCCACAACCCAGAAGTCAGCTCTTCAAACTTCGAATTGAGACATGGTAAGTGAACAATACTTTGTTGCTTTCTTACGCAAAATGGAATGCTGTATATCGAGTTGGTGGACACAGATCTTAATTGACTAAATAAAGCGGCTCTCTAAGCTTGCTCACTGACACAGTACAGCAATTAACGGCTACGTTGAGATGTGTCGATTTGATCTTGAACAAAACGATCTGTCATCTCAAAACACTTTTGGAGTTGACTACCAATGGTTTCGCAATGATAGAATCGCAGGGCGTCCAAGCACAACGGAGATCTCTTCTATTTGCTCACATGAGACGAGTGGAATACTGGCTACAACGTGGCTAATCCTCGCCGCCAATCTTGGAATAATGCTCAGTTCCACCAACATTGAAGATTCAGATGGTAAGTTGGGTAGACGCTCTTACATATCCAAAATATAATGAGACTCGTGATTTCTTCTCTACTTGCTTGAGTCGCTGTGGCAATAGATTCGAGCTCATTGTGTAGCACCTGGTCATAACTTGCATCTACACAATCGTTCGTCCTACTTTGCACTCACCGAGCATTCTCCATTCTCCCCAGTTTTCTGAAGCGTCTCATGTTGATATGGCGACTAGATCACCCTCATTGGAATCAGAGAATAGTCGTGCTTGGTCCCGGTCTCTCTCGAGGCTCGGACGTGTGCATCTTCTCGTCCACGCCAGCACCACCACAATCCAACCTTCTCTTCGCATTCGGTACCAGCGCCGGCGTCCTAGCTACAGTCAAGAACGCAGCACTCGACACCTCCTTCGTCACCCCAGCCCCGGCAAAAGACCAACCAGACGACACCTTCTCTGTTGAATTCCTATCCGATAATCCTTCCATCCTACTCTCAGGTGGCCGAAGAGGAATACTCAGCATCACAGACCTACGAGTCCCAATGGTCTCTCCCAATCCAGACATCATCACACATCCAAGTTCGATAACACACATCCGACAACTCGACCAACATCGCCTCATAGTCAGCGGTCTCAACTCCACCCTCTGCCAATATGATCTCCGATTCCGCAAAACCCGCGACTTGAATCCCACTCCACAACAAAAGGCAAACACAAAATCAAAACTGAACCTCCATCCCACCTCCCCCATCCTAGTCTACCCAGACTACCAAAACACCGCTAGTCACCAAGCAGGTTTCGACATCGACCTCGAAGCAGGAATAGTGGCTGCAGCACAAGAAGCTGATGAATTCACACCTCCTGTTCAGCTGTTCTCGCTTCATGGAGGGCATAAACTAGAATCGCCTCTAGCGAAAAGGTTTCAGGTTAAGAATGATGTGGATTGGTTGGTTAAGTGTTTGAGGTTTGCGAAGGACTCGGATAGTGGCATGAAGAGTCTGTATGTGGGACAGAGGAAGGTTATTCAGAGGTATGCGTGGAGTGATGTGGATGATGGATAGGCTGGTTAGTGAAAAGAGTGCTGGCTTGGACACATAGATGACAGACCGTAAATAAGACGAAACATGATACCCAATTCGCCTCTATCCAGGTGACCGTGGTAGTATTCTGGTCCGAGAGTATCTCGATTCGTCAGGTGTGAAGGCAGCCTACTCCATCTTCAGGTTACCAGACACAAGAAGCAAGTACAGAGGCGAAAGGCACGCATATCAAAGCAAGTAAGAAAACACCTGGTCCCAGAATTGTACATTGAATAACCAGAATGTCTGTTCAGTCCTTCTAAAATACATGCTTCCCTGCATGCTATCTCATCACAACCAGTAAGCTAAGCAGTAGCTCAAATACGCCCTGCAATGCCGAATCTCTATCCCAGCTGTCTATAATTCATGTAATCCAATCCGTCCCAGTCCAATTCGATCTTTTACCAAAGCCAACCACTCACTAACTCACTCCTCACCCTCTTCATCATCATTCAAAGGCTTATACTTCCCACTCTTAACACTACTCCTACTCGAGCCCTCCCCATTCCTCTTCACCATCCGTGAGATCCAACCCCCCACACCCTCATTCGTCGAATCGTCGTCTGCATACTGCGGTTTCCCGTTCTTGATATTGACGTGTGGAGGGTCGATATCAAGACCTGGGATCGCGTTTGACGGGCCAAGACCAGGCGGACCTGAACCTTGGATACCTCTTCTGAGATCCATTGATGGGACGGGCGAGCTGGCTCCCATCAGGGATCCGGCTTCGGCTCGTGTTTGCGGGGTTGGCATGGCGGTCGTGGCGTCGCCGAAGAGGACGTCCATGTCCTCTAGTCGGATGCCGGCTGTTTCTGGGTAGATGAAATATACTAGGGCATTGGTTAGCGAGCAATTCGGAAGGAAGAAAACAATAGGGATTACTCACCGACAACGAAACTCGTGACACAGAAGAAGGCGTGCACGAGGTATAGACGCCATTTAATGGATTCCTGCAACACTGGCGTGAGTTCTCCCACAAGCCAATTGAAAGCCCAATTGGTTGCAGTCGACAAACTAGTACCCTTGGATCTGATGCTAAGGGGTAAAATCTCTGGTGGGTAGAGCCAGGGAATCGGTCCCCAACTAAATCCAAAGGCGGCATTGTATATCATGACAAAGATAACGACGAGGGTCGGCGTCATCAAAATATCCAGGAAGAGGAAGTAAGATATGAGAGATAATGATAGCGCCATAGCAACCGCACCGCTTAGGAGGATAAAGCGGCGACCCCATCGATCCACCAGGTACCACGGTGGTACTGATGACATAAGATATGTGATTGCGTTGATTCCAGTCATCAGAATTGCCTGGCGACCAATCCATCCAGCTGATTCGAAAACCAATGGTGCGTAGTACGAAATGACGTTGATACCATTGAGTTGCGCAAGGGCTTGGGCGGACATTGCAATGAAGACTCGAGTCCGGTAGCGACGGAACATATCAGAATACGACTTCTCTCCTTCCTGTCTTGAAAGCAGGACATCCATCTTAATTTCTCTGTACTCGTCTCTCGCCTTGGCGTTATGTATATCTCCACCTCCATAGAGGTTGGCAATGACAACAATACCCTCTTCATCATGGTCATTGTCCAGGAGCCATCTAGACTAGTTAGTACTGGGAGGTGTAACTTCTGATTACGGTCCTACCTTGGCGATTCGACAATTACCAGACTTCCCAGGCCAAGCAGAGCACCCATAACGCATTGCATCAACAACGGGATTCTCCACGAGTAATTGCTGTTGATGTAACTGCAGAAGTAGTCCACCCAAACGGAGGTCGCGTATCCAGTAATGTTTCCGGAGAATTCGATACATGCAAGCTTGCCTCGGTTGTGTGGAGGTGAGATCTCGGACTGATAGACTGGCACAATTGTTGAGAGCATACCAACACCAACACCAGCAATAATTCGACCCAGCAGCATCATTGGCATTCCATTGGCAAAGGTTTGCAGGGCACCACCAACGAAAAATATCATAGAACCGTATAGAATTGTCTTCCTTCGCCCAATTATGTCTCCTATTCTGCCAACACACAGGGACGAAAAGAATGCTCCTACTTCAAGGATAGCTACCATAGTACCCACCTCGGCCTTTGTGGGTTGGTTAAAATAGTCTTTGAAGAAAGGGCCGCTATGTATGTGTTAACTGAGACCGTTTGACAGTCAACAAAGCATTGCACTTACGTGATAATGCCCGACATCACACCCTGATCATATCCAAAAAGAAATACACCTAGGGATACAAATATACTTGTAAAGTATCTAGACCATTGTCAGCAAGTATATATGGTATCAAATCGATCCTACATACACTAACGCCTTGCCCGTCAGGCCATGCATCTGCCTTTCTCCTCCCGACATGATGGCGGCGAGGATATGTTCTGCCCTAGTGATATACCGGGGGGCCGGACTGGGGATTTCGATCTCCTCCTTAACGAGTCCAGGATGATATTCTTTTGGTTCGAAGTCTTCGTCCTGATCGTGATATCGGACCTTCTTATGCCGAGAAGCCCGTTTTGAAGAAGCTCCAAAGACCTGCTCGTCAAGGGATGCACGCAACTTTATCTGCAATGGGTCCTCAGCATCTGCCAACTGTTCCGCTAGATCACCAGTATCACTCCAGGAAAATTCAGAGCTGGGCGACGGCGATCTCGAGAGGGAAGACCGGCGGCCCTGCTTTTCGTCTGAATTCCTGCCCAGCAGAGCAGCAGAGTGGGAGTCGGAACGCGAGCCTTGGGTAGATAAGGTCCTCAACGGTATATTGGCAGGACGGCGGAGAGGCTGTGGGGAAGGAATCGTGAAGGTTAGGACTGTTTTGCAGCAGTCCTCCGCGTTGGGGATGGGAAAGCAGAGCGTGCAGTCGACTTTGGACACTTCAGTTGTGGAAAGCAAAGCAAGGCAAGGGTCCTATCGGGAGTTTGTCAAGTAGCTAAAGGAGTGTAGCCATGAAAATCTTCAACGTCAAAAGTGGGACAAATGCATGAATGGTAGGCGCGCGTGGAGCGGATGAATTGGCCAGCAGATACGTATCAGATGCACAAAGATACCGTGGAGAACGAATTGGGCGAAGCGATCAAGGTTGAGCTGGAACTGGAGATCCACGATTGTTGGCACAAGACGACGCTGAATGACGCTGAGCTGCCTGTGCTGTGGAGAGGACCCAGATGACCCCTGGTTGGATCATGTGACTGATCCGCTCTGACGGACGTGGCCCCCTTTTGGTGAGCAGGGGCAGCTGGATGGCCTTTCGCAACTCAAGCCACCAGTAGGCATCCACCTTCACGATCCCCCAGCGGAGCATCACACTTCCTCGACTTCGTAATCGATAACATCCACTATCGATAGGCACTTTCACAAGTCAATACTTTAGCGAGAAGTTGTCGATACCGATTTCGTAGGATTTGTTCATTGATACCACGTCCTCCCTTTGTCATCGTCTTCAGGGAATCTTGTAATTTAACTCTTGACTGATCGAAAAGTGTATCTGATCCAAGCTTTGGGTGAGAGCATCTTTGTAAGACACGCCGAACGCATTCATTGGTTACCTAAGGTATCTGCCAGACAACTCTTTCACGTGTTTACTTCCTATCTCAACTGGCTCCTTCGATGAAGTTCATCGTCAAGATTCTCTACTGGCATTGTTTATCTCTTTTCCTAAGTTCGTCTGAGTGTTGTCATTTTATATTCAAGTGGTCCTGGGAAGAACTATTGAATCACAATCGCCGGGCAAATTATGTATCAAAGCCAAAGCCACATTTGATATATCAACTGTGCCATTGGTATATTCCATCTCTCCTCCGCAATTCCTAGGTCGGAGGATTGCATGCGCTTTCTCAGACCAGCTGTCAAAAAGTACACATCATCACGGCACGAACCGGGCAAGTAATTTGTTTCATTTTAGAACAAACAATCGTTCTACCACATCATGTCCAGAGCACTTACAAGTTCCTGCATCTCCAACTTCTATATCGTATTCGAGCAATTTCAGCTGTCGTCGTCGTCCAAGAGGCGAAATTTAGACGATCACGACTATTTTCAGCAAAAGCCACGAATTGAGGGTAATTCGGCTCGTTCTAGAACAGCATCCGTCCTTCTCACAGCCTCTTTGTATCCTTGTCCAGGCCAAACGAACAACAGAGATTGGATGCAACATGATAATAACCAGCCTATGAGCGTGCTTAGAAGCCATATCACTAAGTGCCCTGGCAATCCTAACAAAACATCAACGGGACCAGCAAGCTCTCTGTTCTTCTGATCAGAACATCTTTCTAAGATCTCCCAATGGAACTGTCATCGAGCATCATGCCTGATCTACGTCTTCTGGGTCGAAAGGATAATAAAGAGCCTCACGTTACCCTCCTGCCCAAAGGTGTGCAAGAATAACCAAATCTCGTCATCGTGTATTGTATTAATTGCTTCTCTGGCGTCCCTTTCCGTTTCCGTCAGAGACGACTACGAGTACGTGCTATCCTTGCCACTGCTCTTCCTGGATCTGCCCCGGTCCATACTGTAGCGGCCCAGAGGAGGGATTCGTCTTGGAGATCGCCTGTATGCAGGCTGCTGGCGAATCTGGAGACGCAAATTGGCGGTTGCATAACTTGAAACTGCAGGCCGCCAGGGCTGTGCAAGAATAGCAAAATTGATGACAACAGGGCATTTCCTGGGCCGACCTCGATAGGTTCGAGAATTATACCTCCCGAGCAACGATATAAGAAGGCCTGAAGGCCTCGCCTCGTCGGCATTGAGCGGTTCATCAAACCTGAGCCTTGCAAAATCGCACGAGCAACAGTAAGGTATCCTATCCCAGAACCCAACGCGGGCTCCCGTGTGGCTGGTTGTGCTGGAGATAATCTCGGAGCAGGACAACCCCCTGGCTCCATAACAGCGAAGCGAGGCCCTCGACCAGCGTGGCATGAAATCACCTTTCACTCTAATTACAATCACTTTCACCACCTTCCCCATCGTACCTTAACCTTATGGTCCTGCAGTTTTTTCTCCCTCACTACCTTAATTCGATCCTTCTTGCGCACCTCCCGTCATCCGTCGCAACCACGCCTCACCTCCTCTGTCACCAACCGTCAAATAATACCTAATAATCAACAACCAGCGATCAGTTAATTCGAGACTCGGAAGTTGTTCTGTTCAGTTCAGTTCAGTTCAGTTCAGGTAGCGCGAGGGGCCGGATTTAAGTGGGTTACAGAAGCGTCCCTGGATACGGAAGCTGGAAAAGGGAAAGGGCCATCGCTCGCGAGCTAAAGCAGCCCCAAACGCGAGAAGGAGGCTGGGCTGTCAGAAGTCAGAAGCAGGGAAGGAGAAGAAAAACACTGAGGCCAGGACAACAACATTCGACCCTCGACTCTTCCCAAGGGATAGAATCATCGCCGTCTGCTGCTGTCGCCATCGGATCGTGCTGCGATCAATTACTTGCATCAATTCGAGTTTGCGACAGCGAGGATTCGACCACAGACAATTGATCTACACTGCAGATCAGCCAACCCGTGCAGCCACTGACTGAAGCACATATAAAACGCCTCAACCTTCCCCACGAAATCGAGAAAACCTTGTCGCAATGGGGTCAACACAGTTTGGAAACTTCCATGTAAGCTGTCATCTATCCGATGCGACTCTTTAATGACTCGACAAATATGGAGAGAGCTCTAGCTGACTACGATTGATCCGCAGGACTTCTGTCGCGACTCAACACTGCCCATCTGCAACGTACGAATCCACATTCCTCACGATACACGAGTACCATTGCTAATCGTATCGATAGATATTTCCTGGGTTCACGTACCACGACCAGTCGGGATTTGAAGGAGGGTGTGTTCTTACAGGCATATCCCTCAGTAAGGGACGACATCTGGGAAATCTAGGTTGGTCAATTGGGGAGACAATCGTCAACATGGGACTAACAATGTGCAGGCGTCATCTTGCTCTGTGGAGTTGCGATTGTGGTATCAGCATTTCTGCTATGGCGATCAGAACGGAAACAAGCAGCCGTCGGACGAAGGTAGGACTAAAATACCTTTGCTCATCGCATTGACTAACTCTCTAACCAGGGAAATGCAACTCTTCCTCCTCGGATATATCATCATCGAAATATGTGAAATATTCACAGTTGGAAAGATCCCTGGCCTGAAGGAATCTGTTCGGATAGGGTTTACTGGTATTCACCTCGGCATGATCATTGCAACGCTTTGGATCCTCATGCTCAACGCTGCTGTTGGTTACCAAATACTCGACGACGGCACAGCTCTCTCAGTCGGACTTATGGTCGGTTCTGCTGCTGCGCTCTTCATCGGAACGGGCTACATCACCCTTGACACGGGTTTCTCATGGACAGGCCACTTTGACCGAAGTCTTAGCGGCAACAACAGGCATATTGCCCTTTATGTTCTGTATCAGCTGGCACCCTTGGTCTTCCTATTCATCTTCTTCGTTCTGGAGACGGTATTGGTCATTCGAGTTCTGGGCGAGAGGAAACCCATGATATACTTGTTTGCGGCAGCTCTCCTGTTCGCCATTGGCCAAATCTTCAACTACGTGGTCAGCATCCATATATGCAACGGGACCGATGGCAAAATCGACGGATCGATGTTTGAGACCCTTTTCACGCTTCTCTCTGTTGTTACGATATGGGTCTTCTGGTCCAGCATCACTGAAGACGACTGGCCAATGCCTGTCAATAACACATACTCGTGATGGCAGCCAAAACATAAAAAGAAGAAGAAAAGATCACGGCATGGAAACTCGGAGTTTGGGGCATCTTTTTAAGGAGCGGCACGTCTCTAATGACGATATTGTTTTGAGTCAATACACAATGCATGTTACTGGACGTTTATGAATCAAACGCGGAGTATCAAGCTACGAATTGAAGTAATCCCGGGAGGGGGATAATATGAGGAGAGGAGAATGGGGAAGTAGGCCTCTGGGGAATGGGGGTTGCATCTTGGATGTTACATTCAGGTGCCTGGCGGTTGTGACGGTTCGCTTTGTATATGATTTCGCATGTTACAGTATACCCAATGGAGCGCTTAATGGCAAGCAAGCAAGAAATAAAATAAAGACATATCATAAATAAGAATTGCTTCTTTTGTTTGTGGCGTGTTTGCTTGAGATGACAAGGCTGCACATCTTCGTAGGGTAGCGGCCAGGACTCGGCAATTGTGACAATTTAATTGTGATAGATCTGATACTCGAGCCAATAATCCATGAACCGAGTCAAATATCTCTAGATTGGGTTCAGCACAATACTCTTGGCAATCTTTCTGGTTGCAAGGCTCCAAAAAGGCTATCAACACCCTTACCTAATCAATCTCAGCCTCGCCTTGAACAATCCATTCTTCATCCAAAACCAGAACCACCGTCTCGGAACGAAGCACAGAAAGTATGTCGGACTCGGATGACGACTATATCGCAGACGCTCCCTCTGACGACGAGAGGCCTCACAATGTCTCTGCGCACGGCACACGTTCCACCGGCCCTGTGAGAGGAAATGCAGGAAACAATCGAGGCGAGACCAACACCAGCAACCGGAGGAGAGCTGCATGGGAGGATATCCAGAGGAGTTGGGATACTGTTGTTGAGGGCGCGGATGGGAGTATCAATTCTGCAGTGGAAGGGCTGAGAGATGCTGGGAAGAGGAAAAGGTGAGGTTCTTTGCGCAAGGCAATGTCTTGATACTGATGTATTATCCAGGCTGTTGCGAGACACCACGCCTTTACAAAGAGGTATAATACGACATCTGATACTCATTCTCGATTTCTCTTTTGCAATGGTAGAAAAAGACTTGCGACCTACAAGATATCTCCTCACCCTACGTTTCGCATCCGAGTTCGTCACCGAGTACTTCGAGCAGAACCCCATATCTCAACTTGGAATACTAGGCATGCGCGATGGAATTGCAATCCGAGTCAGCGACATGAGCGGAAACCCCGCAGAACATATTGAAAATCTAAAAAGATTCCGAGAGCAGCAACCACAAGGAAACCCAAGTTTACAAAATGCCCTCGAAATGGCGCGCGCAGGGTTATACCACTCTCCGTCCCACGGAACCCGTGAGGTACTCATCATATACGGCGCGCTGCTGTCTAGTGATCCGGGTGATATCCACGATACGATAGCATCACTCGTTACAGATCGAATACGAGTATCTGTCATAGGGCTAGCGGCCCAAGTCAAGATCTGTGCAGAGCTATGCTCAGTCACTAATGCAGGCGACCAAGGGAACTATAACGTCGCGCTCAATGAGCAGCATTTCCGGGAACTGGTTATGGGATTAACTACACCTCCCGTGACGAGGACAAAGAAGCAGTCACAGTCGAGTCTGCTTATGATGGGCTTCCCATCGCGGACATCTGGGGCGGGGAAAACGATGAGTTTTTGCGCCTGTCATAGCAAGCTAGTTCGAGGTGGATATCTCTGCTCGAGGTGTGACAGTAAAGTTTGTGCCTTGCCGGCAGAATGTCCAGCTTGTGGTTTGACGCTCATTCTTTCCACGCATCTGGCGCGGTCGTATCATCATCTTTTCCCATTGAGAAACTGGGTGGAGGTTCCTTGGTCGCAGGCGGGGAAGTCGAAAGCGTGCTTTTCTTGCTTGACGCCTTTCCCGGCTGTTCCTAAGGGGAAGGCGAATGGTGAGGAGGGGGTTGTTGACGGGGAGGTTTTGGGGAATAGTGAGAGTGGGAGGTATGCGTGTGAGGTGTGCAAGAATCACTTTTGTGTTGATTGTGATGTTCATGCTCATGAAGGTAAGAATGTCTTAGTCCATATTCATTTTCTTATATGCCTCTGAAAAAGTTTCCATTGAATGGTTCTCTAAAATATTGAATAATATGCTAACTCTTTACTTCATAGTTGTCCACAATTGTCCTGGTAAGCTTGCAATTAATCAACATGTTGATTTTATTACTGACCAGTACTCTCTAGGATGTCAAAGCGATACTCGTGATCACAACATAGGCGTGGCACATGAGATCGAGAACGGCGGCGATCCAATGGTGGAATGAAAGAGCCACAGAAGTGCAAATATAGAGGAATGGCCATCGCAGAAATGATAAGCTGTTTTAACAGAGAACATTACAGGCATTGGGATATCGGAGCGGGGTGGTGCGCGTGGTGATAAAATCCCGATTTAACTTCCTGAGTATTGGAGTTCGGTCCCTCACCAGCTCGACTTCGCTGAATAGTTGGGATGAGGATCCGGAAGGAGTACCAAATAAAATGGTATGGAATTTAGCTCGTCGTCTGGGCTATTGTCCCATGAGACTAGCTCATTAAAGACAAGCCTCTTCGATGCCGGGGATGGTAGTTTTGATCCAGAGATGAGAAAGAGGGGAAATTCAGACATAGAACTTGAAATAAGGCAGCTAGTGCAGACTATATAGAATCAGTGGCCACTTGTTTCTAATACCTCAACTTTTCTGGAATATTATTTTAAATGGCTCACCAGTTGAATGTGTATGCTGCTTTATAGCGTATATAACGCGATGCATGCGACGTGATAAGGTAGAATAATAACAGGAGTAGAAATGAAGCTATTCACACAATTGATACTGTGTTCAGGCTGCTCTTTTAGGTGAACTTCCCTTTGAGTATGACTTGATCTAAGTGTGCCTCTACGAGTGTGTCTCTATTCAAGTAGCCTCTATTCAAGTGGCTTTCCTTCGATTGGCTTCTTTTCGGCTGGCTTCTTTTCGGCTGGCTTCCCTTTGAGTATGCCTCTATTTGAGTGTGCACATACCTCCGTTTGAGTATGCCTCTATTCCTTCCCTCTTAATAGCCCTCCCTTCGTGCCTCTGTTTAAGTATACTTTGGTGTGAACAGGTTTAACATATGCTACATAGAGCGGCATACATATTTAGGTGGTGAGCTATGTAAAATAACGTTTTGGAAAAGTCGAGGCATTGGAAACAATCAGCCGAAATCAGTTTTATGTGCGCTAAACTCATTATGTGGAAATCGAATCTTGAACTTCAAGCTAAGCGAGTAAACAAACAATCTCATCAAATCTCGCCCAGCTTCACTTCCCGCTGCCCTCTTCACGGGACCCACACCCCCAGCACCCTCCTCAAAACAGCCACCTTCTTCATCCTCCGTAATTCCCTCCTCTGTATACCCGCCCACCTTTTGTCATCCCACTTCCCCATCTCCACTGCCCTCGCCAAAATCTCCACCAGCCTCTCTTGCACTTCAATTCCCCTCTCCTGGTGCTCCACCTCCCCAGTTGAAAAAAGTGCCCCACTCAGCCCCCTCATATACAACAACGTTTTCCTGTCCTCAGTCCCAAACTCCTTACACATGTCCTCAAGAACAAAAACACCGTACCCAAACGCCTTTCTCCTCACCCCCGTCCCCCATTTCCCATTCAAGATTGCCCTGACCCTTCTCCTCTCTTTGCCACCGACAGAACCAGCGCCACCACCGCCACTACGACTGCTATCCCAGCACCTGTCCCAAAACGACGCCACAAGCCTCACCACCCACCTCGTAATCCTATGCTCATCTCCCAAATTCTCCCTCAGCAACCCCACCACTTTCTCAAACAAATCCCACGCCCTCTTAAATAACCCACAGCCCTCCAACGCAGTAGCCAGATTTATCATCGCGCATTGAGTACGCGTGTGTTTCTCGCCGTAGATTTTGAGACGCCCTTGGAAAACCCGTTCGGCGCTGAGGAGGCTGGCGGTGTGTTGGCCGAGATTGGTGTCTGCGATGCCGAGTATTTCGTAGAGGGAGAGGAGGGTGCAATCATCGTCTTCGTCGCTGGCGTTGGCGTTTGCGGGGCTGTTGGGGCTGTGAGGAATGGCGAATTTGATGGGAAAGACTGGGATGTCGTATCTTTCTGTTGTGGAAGTCATGTCTAAGTACTTGGTATATATGTCTATAGCAAGCTCCGCTGCGGATTTTGCGTCAGTGTATCGTTCTTGAAATATGTAGTTTCCTGCTAGTCGGCTGGAAACAACGATGAAGAGATTTGTGTCTTTGTTTGTTGTGGCTATTTCGAGGAGGGATTCGAGTATAGCGATGGATTCGTTGTTTCGGCCGACCATGTGGAGATGGGATGCGATGTGGAGGTTGAGATTTATTCTGTGTTGGTCGTCGGGGTAGAGGATTGGTTCGATGAGAGTGAGGTTCTTCAGGGCTAGTGCGAGGGTCTGGGTTTGGGAGATTAGGTCAGTATATATTCGTCAGATATGATTTTATGCAGGTATGGTGGGAAAGTCGTCAATGTCTGGGAGGAGTGGTACTTGTACGTCTTACCTTTTCACTCGAGCTCTCGTCATATGCCATCATGAATTTCTCCACGGCAATTGAACGTGGCATGACGCAAACCATATCACCGGGGGCAAACAAATACCCATTATCATGAAGTAGCAAAGCATCGATATGAGGAAGTGCTTTCCTTCTCTGCTGATACTCAACAAAAGTAAGCTCTGTTCGGGTAATCGACGCAGCTAGGGTCATGGCAGCAGTCTCCCACGCTGCCTTCCTTTCATCCTCTGATAAGCGTTCTCGTGACCAATCGTGAACAAGAGGATGTAGAGATATAGAACCAGATTCGTTGACGGATATTAGCGAGAATGCTATAAGGACGCTGATCGCTCGGCCCCAGAGGATCTGGTCCCATCCCGATGGCATGAACTGGACCAATAGACTGGAAGTAAATATACCCTTGTCGAGGACCTCACAACTATCTATGGCCTGCTGGAAAGTACTAGGCTCGATGCCATCGAAGTGCATGAAGGAGAAGAGGCGTAGCAACTCCAACGCAAGAGCTGGGTGCGTTTGTGGCATCTCTTTGATCTTTTGAAGGGAAATCTCCCAGGTTGTAAACACGGAGTACTGGTACTCTTGCATACCTGGTCTCGACCGACCTAGTTCCAATAGATCTTTCTTGCGCTGGGAATAGACCTCACAGAAGTCGTCGAGGGTACAGATCTGTTGTCTGATTACAGCGCCAGCCTGCTTAATAGCTAGAGCTAAGTGTCCAAGGATCTTGACGATCTCGCCCGCCGACTGCCTTGTTTTAGTGGTCTGAATCTCTGGCTGGGATGAAGAGACGTTTTTGAGCAGCAGTAATACGGCATCTTTGTGCTCCATCTCATCCACAATGTACGATCCAGCGGAAGCAACGCTACGGAGCTCTGGGTTTCGGGTGGTAATGATGATCGTCCCAGTATTACCAGAGGGAAAGTAATACCTTAAGTCCAAGGAAGGGTCGTCTGCGTTGTCAATGATAAGCAGCCAGTTCGAATGTGCTGCGATCCAAGATTTGACTGCCTCGATGGACTCTATTTGTTTGCACTTCCGAGCAATAATCAGAAAGCTGGCTTGGGCGGTTTCATTGGTGCTTGCATCTATCCAGAATACACCCCAGAATCTGCTCTTCAGTTAAACAAATATCCTGTTCAATTGGAGATAAGTCGTTTGTACCTTTTACGATGATCTTCTGCAAACTTCAGACATATTTGCGTTTTCCCAGACCCTCCCATACCATGCAATACAAAGCGTTGCTGCAAGTCCGCGTATTCTCTTGTGACAACCAATTCGCTCAATCTCTCGCAGATCTCTGTCCGTCCGGTGAATTGCGGATTTACCGAATTCGGCACTAGGTAAAACTCGGATTTAATATCGGCACCAGAACCTGTCAGATACAATCTCTTGATGCTTCTGACAGCTGCGACATAGGTCTCGTCTTCTCGAGACGAGAAGCGGCAGATTTCTCGATGTGTTGCATCAACAGGAATTTGCTCTTCGTAGGTCGGAGTCTCGTTCGGAGGCGTCAATAGTGCGGATGTCTTTTCAACGACCTTTTACTCTCTGTCAGCACCTCTTGAACAAAAATGCCGTTCAGTGGACTCACCAACGCCTTCCAACCATCCAGGGTCCTGGTCTCGTAGAAGCTCACTACATTGAAAGAGTTTGTATCTAAAAGCCTCTTGAACTTCTCGGTCAAGGATTTAAGTTCTCCGCTCTCTTTTCGCAGAGCTTCCAAGAGCTGTGGCCGTGGTTTATTGGCTAGTATTGAAGGAACGCGGGCGAGTATGGTGGCATAGTTTGCGATACTGCTTCCTTGGTGGGGGGTCCCGAAGAATATTATGCCACGGACACTCGAATAGATTGAGCGATAAAGTGGTTCGTGTTGGGCAATAACGAGAGCCTGTAGGTGACGGTTGATTGATGAGAATACGATATTGTAGACAGTATGAAGCTCTTACCTGTTTGAGAACTAATCCACCGAGGCTGTGTCCCAGCAATATCAATGGTCGTTTAATCGCCTTGGAATATTAGCAAATTGTTTCCGACCCAGGCTGAGAAACGTGATCTGCCCAAGTCGTAGTAACCATGGACATTGGTAGCAGGTACAGATCCTCAACCTCATCAACACTTGCAGTGTAGAGAGCAGTCACTTGAGTGTTTAGTTCTTCGGAGAAGACAAGCTAGCTTATAGCTCTCAAACTTACAGAATCACACTCCCTCTTCTCCATCAGTGAAATAAGCAACTGCCTTGCATGTTCTCTAATTCCTGCCTTAGAATTCTCAAACGCAGCCGCAGCATTATATCCAAAAGTCATAACTCTAGCCCTTGGCAGCTCATCAGGTAGGAAATCACGAAGCCATAGTTTCTCTGCTGTAGGTTCCGTCCATGTCCGGAATTTGTCTCCATTGAGACCATGAATTGCTACTATACTGGGAAATGCATCAAAGACGTGAGAATACTGATATGATACAGCTTGAATCAAGAAAGGAAGTAAGGAAAAGCTCACTCGAGATTCAAACTCAACCCGATGCTATTAATGCCATTCTCGCTTGCTGGACTCAGAACAGAAATGCCCATGATCAACCAGAAATGAATGAGAACCAAAAAGAACAATACAAAGGTGAAAAGAGGCTGCGGGCATCGCTATATTTGTAACATCCACCCTGTTTGTGCAGCCTGGAGGACAGCGTTTAATCATGCTGGGAATCTACCAGGCAGTGTCAGGAGGCTTTTTGGCAGGAACTGCGCCAGCGCGCCCAGCCGGTTGGTATCGAATGAAATTGATGCGGAAGCGAAAATCCCACATGGCACGGGGCGGAAACGTCGCGAAACATGCAGGGGCAGCGGTTAACAGTGCAATTTTGAACACAGCGCTTAGCACATCGGGCAGTGCATTTGATGTCTACAGTGTGTTAGATTTTCGATCGAGAAGAAGAATTACCAGAGTCTAGTAGCCACATGTACGGATCTTCACCAGAATCTGCGTGGACTATTCAGTCGAGACTTGGAAACAACAAGGCTCGTGAATTGCTATTGACTCCCAATACTTTCGAGATTTTTTTTTGTATTATTCGCACAGAGGGTATTATGTGGTGCTCTCGGCAGTTGCGGTAGCTGTTTGTTGGGGGGAAGCTGCGGGAGCAGCCTTTGACACACTGTATGCCTTGAGGAATTCAGGATCGTTGCCCATTTCTTCCTTGACCTGCGGACTTGAGTTAGCAAGAGAAGCAGGAGGTACTAATTGAAAGGCACTTACAATATCCAAGCCGCCAACCAAATCACCATCAACCCATAATTGAGGAAATGTCGGCCAGTCCGCAAATTCCTTTAATCCTTGCCGAACCTCATCATCTGCCAGAATGTTGAAGAATCCGTACTTGACCGAGTTCTCTCGCAGAAGAGCAACCAATTGTCTCGAGAAGCCACACTGAGGAGCACTTGGTGTGCCCTTCATAAACAGCATTACTGGAGCAGCCTTGACGAGTGAAGAAAGTCTTTTATGCAGTGATTCCTTGTCCTCCTTGACCCCAGCAGTCGATAGTTCCGGGGCGGTGGCAGGATCTTGTGGGGTTGGCGCATAATTGCTGAGGTTCTTTGCTGCGGCTCCACTATTTGCTGGGCTGACTGTTGTGCCATTGACGGCAGTACCGGTGGTTGGAGAGTTTGCATGCTTCTCAATAGCAGCACGAACTTTCATGGCATCACTTCCACTAACAGTCTCCAGAACCTGGCCATTTCGTTGTAGGACAAGGAATGGTACGGCGGTAACGTCGAAGGAATCGCTGACATCGGGGACATCCTCCGCATCCAAGGCAACCCATGATGTAGATAGAGGCTCAGTAATAGGGTAGGAATAGGCAAGGGTTTGAAGTACTGTTGTCATTTGCTTGCACTGAAATCAGTTAGCATGTGCTCGTGCACTGTTTGGGGCTTTGCACAACGAGACAGCAACTTGGCAATCTGCACAAGGTTGACTTACTGGTGCAGCCCATTCGGCTTTGAAATAGATGACCTGAAGAGTGGATGATGGGACAGAAGCCGCATGTTGGTTCCACTCCTCCTCCGTCTTCAGCTCTAAGAGGGTTGACATGCCAGGCTAATCTTGTGACGTTGATACTTCCTCAGATGGCGTAGGCTTCGAATAATTGAAATCGAGAGATGCGTGGATTCGAAAGGAAGGCCAGGCTTTTATGCTGTCTTCTTCCGATTACTTATCGGTTTGTTGATGGCGTGGCGGGGTAGTAATTGAGCGGTGGAGTATCGGCGTCTTGGATCCGGGTTTGGAGAGGAATACCGGTCTGTTAAGGAGCAGATACAGATAGTGATCGAGCTTGGGCGGTAGTTGGATAGTTGTTTTACTGAAGGTGGAGTTAATGGGTTGTTGTCGGAGATGTGGAGGTAAATGTTCTTTTTTGAGGGGACACTGCTTATCAGATCCTCAACCGCGCTAACAAAATCGCGTCATGCACAAAGCACGTGAGCGCCGTTGCAAAAGCTCTCTTCACCTCTAGAGAATCCAAGGTAAAGGGCTTGAAGGGGGTAAATGGATGAGGTAAGCAAGATGGGAGATCAATGAAGAGTATAGGCTTATTTCATGGAAGAGGTCGGGGCGGGAGACTTTGTAGGAGAGCCAATAGCAGATTGATACCTACCTAGGTAAGTAGATAGTCTACACCTTGGACGATGACAGTCTGGAAAGTAAACATGGTTTTTGATTGGAAAGGGGCCTCTCGCGAATCCAGACTTCCACCACAAGAAAGATTGTATGGCTTCTTGTAAATTTAAGTCGATGGAGCGTCAACTACCAATTGCTCGACACTGTGATGTTCACATCACGTCCTTAGAATGAATGGTAATCCTGATTGGACGGGTTGAACACAGTTGCGAGCTGCTCTGATCTCAGATCGTTCTACCCGCCATGGCTTGAAGAGCGGGTGAAAAGCATCCCATTGCTCTGATTCAACAACAAGCCAAGACCGTTGACGGTAGGGCCCGGGAAAGACAAGCTTTTTGCTCGAATTCCCGGGATGAAACCAACGACGCGACTGTGGCTGAGGCGGCAGGGTGAGTGTTTGAGCTGCGTCTAGAAGGCTTTGCGACTTACTTGTGTTCCGATTGCAAAGGAGGCGTTGGTAAGGTATTGGACTGTATTCAGTTGGCATGTGGCCATTGGGGAGCAGTTGCAGTTGCAGTCTTGTCTGTCTGCTGAAACCTGGGAGAAGGAGGATGTGTTAAAATACGAATACTTCATAGGTAAGTACGAAATGAAATGCCGAGGAAAGCCAACGAGAGATGCCCACTAGGTCCAGTCCTGCCTTAGCTCCAACATGCCCTGCCCCTCTGTGGCGCTGCAACGAAGTTTCCAATGGTTGGCTGCCGGGCGTCCATGCTCCCTTCCATTTTCCCGCCTACGAGTATATAAGGGTAGGCTTGGCGTGCGTCGCGGATCCTCACTCAACCTTCCATTCTGCACTTCTCCTCTCCGCCTTCTATCTCCAGACTGCTCCGTACCATACCTACTCTCCATCAACAAAATTTCCACGCTTCCACTTCGCGTCCTACCCTCCACAACTTTTCCCATTAGAAGTTGACCTCGGCGTCCCCACTAACAAGTTTCAAGTACGTCAATAGTTGGAATTGAGTCCCATTTCCTCCTCTCGGGATCGAGTGCTGACTGCTGCCTCCAGATCCTTCAACATGTCGAACGAAGGATATTACAACCAAGGTCAGAACCAAGGGTCCAACCAATGGCCCAACCAAGGACCCAACCAAGGGCCACCTCAGCAATGGGGACCACAGCAGCCATACGCACCACAGCAGCAATGGGGACCGCAGCCCCCACAACCTGTATGTTCTCATCGTAACAGCCCAAGTACATCAGTCTCGTTCACTTCCGGCTGACTTTATCAGGCGTATCCACATCCACAACAAGGTTATGGCCAACAATACTCTCAGCAACCAGTACGCTACTCTGTTCGAACAATTTGTCGCGGTCAAGAACTGATTGGCTTTGTAGCAAATGCAGTACCAAGAAGCACGGCCGGCAAAGCAGAAGAACGGCGCCGCTTCAGGATGTCTCGGTGTCTGTCTGGCCACCTTGTGCTGCTGCTGTGTCTGCGAAGAAGGCTGTGAAGCCTGCGCTGATTGTGCTGGTACGTCTACCGTGAAGTCAATTCCTCCAGAAAGGTCAATTGCTAATAACAAAATAGAGTGCTGCGAAGGATGCTGCTAAATACGAAATCAACAATACCACTCCGACGGGGCTGCGAGCTCGTACATATATACAATTGAAATGCGATGGGTCTTTGTAACAGGAGAACAGCGGTATATGAAAAGGCAGGGAATGGGGAAAGTATGGTGCTCTAGGTTGTCCTTTGTTCACGGCCTTACAATTGCGATTACGCTGATTTGATATCTGTTTTGCACACCTTTGCGCTTCTCAACATCTTGGTGGAATAGCATCCAGTCCATAATTCAACCTTTTCCTAGTATTCAACTTGCGACTTAAAATAATGGTAAAGGCAATTGTTCGTCTCATCTCCATGCAGTCGCAAAGTTAGGTATCCATTGCGGGGAATGGAAAAAGTTCTCGGCGATACGGCACAGACTTCCCTTACGACATACCAAGACTATTCAAGGATCTTGGCATCAATGGTGGTGTTTGTCATTTGACAACCGAAAGTTGCTTCATCGCCATGTTTCTTGTAATGAAAACGCGGAAGACTTCTATACCTGGCAACACATCCGAGAAATGACTGCTTATATCAATATCACCTACGTGAAAGACTCCATAATGACGAAAGTCGTTGGTCAAAATGTCACATTTTCTCCATGTCAGGCATATTCAATGATCTCTCGAAGGTTTTCATTTCCACAGTCTCGCAGCCATCACTCGCTCTTTTAAGATATCACTAGGACAGAGCAAGGCCAGCAGGGGTTTAAAGGTGATCCAAAGGTAACTGTTTTTCACTTCCCAGCGCCAGGCCGCTCCTTCCATAAACAAGCATTTCCATTCAAAGCGCCAACAATCTCATGGCTCTTTCCTGTTCAACGCCCTAGAGATCAACTTTCTACTCATAAAACTACCAATCATGAACCTTGTCTTCACAAACAAACATTTTCTACGATCGTGTATCAATACGAATCCCGCTACGTTGCGTTGCTTTTCGTTCTCTGATGGCTCGGATGCTGAATCTGCATTTATTGGGGACTGAATAGGTATGCCAAATTGGTTAAATCAAGTGAGAAGCTTGACTGGCGCCAAAAGCACATGGACCAAGATGCCCTACTTTCCTGCTTTTCACGGACCTGGCCTTTTGGTCGCCAGCCACCTCTGAGCAAGTCGGTGCCGATTCTACACCCGAAGCGCCTTCGCCTGAACTATCTGGACCTAATGTACCGCCTTCTTCCACCACCTCTCAAGCAGATACCGAAATGGTGGAGTACTTTTACTATGATTAGGGACTCCGTCACGAGACGGGACCTTTGAGTTCTCGGAGGAAGGATAACGAGAGTGCAGAGACTACGCTCAGGATTACAATGTGGAATTTGGAAAAGCTGGTAATCGTTCTGAGGATGCCGTGAGAAACCAAGGTCCAACAATTGAACCTTGCAGATCCTGATTCTCCCCTCGTCTGGCTGGATGTCACCATGAACTTAACCCCAGAAGGTGGATACGGAGTTCTGCGGTCTACAAACGATGATAATAGGCACCCACTGACACACAAAGTATCCAAGGTTCAAGTTCAGACACACCAAGGATGGTCGTGAATGATGCGAACTTGATGCTTTCAAATACCGGTGCGACTCCTAGATGCACATACTATGAAGAAGAGCTGTGGAGGAAATTCTATGATAGACCTTAGCTGGGGATGATGACTGTTATGCCGGGCCAATGGGGCAGGTATCAGCTAAACTGCTTGCTCCGAAAATCGCAGCAGGCAACCAGAATGAAAGCAGAAATCGAAAAACTGATATGAATTATCGCAGTAAGTCGGTATAAGAGGCTCGATTTTTGGTTTAGGATGAAGAGATAGTGGTTGGAAAGGGAGGAGGTGGCTTTTTTGTGTTGATTCGCTTAACACAAGTGGGTTAGTGTGGAGGCTTCGTTCATAGTGGAATGCACTGGCCCATTAAGTTATTGATGGGCTCAGTTTTCATTCATAACATCTTCGGTCTTGAGCATGGGGTATATCTACTTAGTCACCAGCAGAATATAAGAGGTCATTGGCTAGATCAAAGCTGAACGTTTCACAGATCAGCAGGTAAATACTTTTGAGTTTTCATGACATCAGATATCATTCATTTCCTCATACTATGAATTTCGCTTTTTAATTTTTCTCGCTCCGCTTGCTTGCTCTCCCTCCCTCTCTACCTACAAAGTTCCTCGCCAAGAAGTGGGAGAAGAAGGTATGTAAGTAAGTAAATAGACGTGACTTCAAGAATTTTTACATGACATATCTTCATCCATCGATCATGCGACCGACTATTCCTCCGAACGATTTCTTCGCAAAGAATGGTGGGCATCTGATCCCGCCACATCTACTCGTCCAATTGTACATAGTTGGCAGGGAAGAGACCTGACTTTCCGCGGAAATGGCCGAACCACCAATCTTCGTCTGGGAATTCCTGAAGGGTTGTGTTAGTTGATTGCTTTGTTTTCAAAGCTTGTGATTATGATTGTTTTTGGAATCAGAGAGAGAGAGAGAGAGAGGGAAGACTTACAAGTCCAGTAATGGTAGCTCCTTCATCGAAGCTCAATTCATTGTCCTCTGCAGCTTCGTAGTCGTAGATAGCAGTAGCCGTTGGACCAGCAGATCCCGAAGAAGCAGCTGCTGGCTCGGGTTCTGCCACTGGCGCTGGTGCTGGTGGGGGAGGAGCTTGAGATTCCTCCTCTCCGTCGTCTTCGACTAGTTCGACGTAGTTGCTTGGGAAGAGACCACTCTCGCCCTTGCCGTTCGTGCCCATCCACCAGTCGTCATCCACCATCTCAATGTTGGTGACGTACTCGCCTTCGACGAGCTCCAGCTCGTTGTCCTCGGCTTTCTCGTAGTCGTATTGGATGAGGGCTCGCTTGCCGCTCGAGGCGGAGTCTTGGTTGACTGCTACGGCGGCTGCTGCTCCGAAGGTGGCTGCTGCGACGGCGACGCCTGCTGTGCGGGCGGTGTCGTGACCGGCGGGCTCTTTACCGTCTTGGATGTCGGTTTTCACGCCGCGCTCTAAGCTGGCGGGAATGGTTGAAGGAGGGTTGCGTTCGGCGGGGGCTTCGAGTTCGGGTTCCTTGGAGCGGGCGACTGGCATGGCGATGCGGACTGGAGAGGAATCGCGTTCGGGTGTTGGTGGGGTAGGGCTGCGTTGGACGCGGGGTGGTGGTGGGATGTTTGGACCGCTTTGATCTTCTTCTTCATCCTCATCAGGTCGTGATCTGTTGGGTAAGCCGGGCATGGGAACGCCGCCTGTTGGTCGAGTCGAGTTGTTGACGGGAGGTGGTGGTGGGGACTGGTCACGATCTCCTTTTGTTGATCTCGGCATGACTGGTGCTCCCATCGGAGCGCCGCCCTTGAATCGGTCTCGAATCGCACTGATACCACCAGCTGGCGATGCGGGAGCTTCTTGCTCGTGTTCATCTTCGCCAGTTCTTTGTTGACCAATGCTACCAGTGCCAGAACGTCCAGTTGGGTTGGTAGCTACTGGAGCCCAGCTCTTGCCGGAGTATCCGCTCTTCCATTCCCCACCTCCACTTGTCTGGCTTGCAATAGGAGAAGTTACACTTGGTGGAGGAGCATCGCCTGCACCACTGAGACCTCTCTGTCTCGCCTTCTTCTCGGCCCAAATCTGTGCTGGGGTCTTTCCACCTTCATCGGCGAAAGTTCTGCTCGCCGCACCGACTGGAGCGGGAGCAGCATTAGCAGGTGCTGACTGCAGACCGAATACCCCAGGCGTAGGAGCTTTCGTTCCCGTAAAATTAGATGCACTCGATCCAAACCTGTTGGCAACTTTGGGCTTGGGCATAGTGGTGAGTCTTTCGGACTGCGAAAATGCGGCGGATCTGTCAGCCAGAGACTTGGGCTCGTCACTTGTATTGCTCGTAGCTGATGCTCCGGTATAAGCGGGTGATAGCTGTCGTGATCCGTCATCTGAAGGCTTCTGTGCGCGTGCTTTGATAGCAGCGATGTCAACTTTTCCAACTGGCTCGTATGCGCCTTTCACTATCGTAGGTCGATCGTCTCCAGTCTTCTGTGCTTGAGCACGAATAGCAGCAATATCGACTTTCCCAATTGGTTGGTACCCTCCTTTGACCACATCTCCCGAATCATCAGCTCGTCCGCTACTGCTTCGGGAAGCATCAGGATTCTGCTTTGTCAATTCCGCCATGTTAACTTTTGTTGGCTTGTATGCTGGCTGAACCTTCTCGAGCTGGGATCTTGTCACAGGAGGCGCATCTGCACCCCATCCATCACTATCAACGTTGGAGTCATTCTGGCCAGGTCTTGACCTCGAGCCAGCCAATGGGTTGAAACCAGATCCTGCGCCAGACCTTGTGGGATTGAAGACAGGCTTGGAAGCCATCGGTGGTGGAGGACCAGAGGATGGAGGAGGGGCGGCGCTGCCAGCAGAGTACTTTGCCCCGGAAGCATCTGACACTTTTTGGACAATGCTTTCTGGGGTGAGGTCGCGATCGGATCGGGCTGTAATTTGGACATGGTAACCCTAGCATTAGTGAGTATGAATGTCAAAGGTTCAGGTTAGTATATGGACAAACATGTAGGATCTTGGAAACTGCAGCAAGATGGCTTGTGAAATATCCTTTCGTCCTCTCAGGTACTCCTTCTCCACACTAATCATGTCAGCCTCGACTCAGCACCGCAACATCTGCCATTGACTAACCCATCCTATTAAGACATATTTTGGTAGTGTAGTGTTTGGGTCCTTGACTTTCACGAATGCGAACTGAACCCGCCCTTCGGAGAAGTCCTCGATCAAGTCAATAAGCTCCCCCTCTATCCCAGTGTCAGCAAAGGCGGAAGCCTAGGATTTACCAACAGAATATGCTTACCTCCTGTACTCTGAACCTTTAGAATGCTCTCCTTTCCACCACTGTCTTGCTGGAAGGCGTTTACGAGAGGGGCAGAAACGGAGAAGACCGCCCAAAGGCCATAGGTTGGAGAGCTTGCCTGCGGGCCTGAAGGAGCTGCGGAATTGATGACGCCTTGGTAGGAGGATTTAATGGATGGCCCGTTGGTAGAGGTATTGAGAGACGCCATGATGGTAGTGATGCAAAGCAACAGACGGGAATGGTAGCTTGCAGAGTGGTTGTAGTCCTGGACTGGTCCTGGTACAAAGTACTTGGATGGATTCGTGTCGCACTGGACTGGACCTGGGTTGAGATCAGCCCGCCGAGCGCGAAACGAACATGACGTCCAATTGCTCGCTAGACTAGAAATGTATTAGCGGCTGTAACCTTATCCTGAGGCTTTGCGAGGCATCAAAGCTAATCCTCCACACGGAATCCAACTGCTGAGAGCCAATGATCTCTTTTCGCCTCACTTTGACATTCCCATTCACGCGCATGCCCGCCCTATCCTTTCCTTTGCCCTTCTTCCTAGACACGCGTGAGCGAGGTCTACATAAGCCCCGTGAGTTCGCCTTCTCTTCTGTACTCGACACATTTTCTCTCTCTCTCCCATCTCGTCGTCTTCTCCATTCTAGGGTGGCAGCAGCAGCAGCGGATTGTCCATTGTCTCTGCTTGCTCTCAGTACTTCTGCGGTCGCGCGCACTACCTGTCGGTAGCTGCACATGTATTTTCGCATGGACATGACGCAGTATCCTTTCTTTCTACAGCTCCTCGAGGCTGCTCTGCCTGTCTAATCATCACACATATCATCGCAATTGATCTGCTGTATTCTGCCACAGTTCTTTCTACAATTGCCTCGCCTTGCTTTTTCGTTTCATTGTATAATTTTCCTTACGGGCCGAGGCGCTCAGTGCCCACTGACCCTCTACAAACAATACGAAGATATCATCCGAAGTCTTTGGAGACCGCAACATGGATTCATCAACCAGTGATGCATCCCAGGATAGCTCGGACTCCTCATCGGCAGACTCGACTTCTGCTGACTCCCCTATGCAGGCCCTTCCGACCATGAGCGAGACACAGGATCCGACAGAGATGGCTAGCACAATCGATAATGATGAATCCGATTCCGATTCGGACATCTCGATGTCTGCCGAGACAGATGACGAGGAAGATAATGACCGCCTGCGATCCATAATAGTGGTGAATCCAGATCCAGCAGTTGCGACACCGGACCATGCTGAGAATACCTCTAAAAAGCGAAAGTTCTCTGAATCCTCTGGCCATTCAAACAAACAACCCAGAAATGGGATGATTGACGAGGTACGGAAACGTCTTAAGCCAGATGACGCGGTACAGAACCATTGGATAGAAGGAAAATTGCGCAAGGACAAGTCTCTTTTACCGGCTGAGATATGGCACCATATATTCACTTTCTGCCCTGCCATCAGTCTGTGCCGCTTGATGCGAGTCAACAGAACTTTCAATATGTACCTTGATCCTGTCCCGTATCCACCTTTGGTACCATTATCCAAATCCGCTTTATGGCTATTGTCTCCAGACAATATATGGCGTTGTTCTAGGCAATTCATAAACATACATGGCCTGCCAACTCCTCTGTTAGGCAAGTCAGAATTGGAAATGTGGAGGATGGCCTGCGGTTCGCTGTGCCAATTCTGTGGAAAAGCCAGGCAACCGAACTTGGTTGTAGACCAATGGCATCCTGGCCCAGGAGAAAAAGGAGTTGTTCCAGTGTGGGCATTTGGCATTCGTACTTGTGGTCCTTGCCTTTTGAAGTACTCGATAAAAGTAAGACCTTTTTTTGGGGATAATACAACTATTGAGTGCAGCTAATCGATTCTAGGAAATTGATCTCCTCCTCTCATCTACGATTCCGTCGCCTTTGATGGCAGCTTTACCATTCATATTTCTTACCAATGAGCTCCACGTACTCTCCTCGGCTGCCCTTCAAACTGGGCAGCATCCGTCATCCTTACAGATAACCAAGCACTTTTACAACTTCCAGGTGGAAGAAATCAAGAAAGAATTTGAAGACGTCAAAGCGATGGGAACCGCTACAGCGGAGGAGTGGCTCAAGGGCTTGGAAGGTCGAGGAAGAGAACGAAGAAATGATGCAACTCGATGGGAAAAATGGGAGTCAAGCGGTGGAGTTGCACGAATGCTTGCCTTAGGGAAACAGACTCCGAAACCTACAAATACTGTCTCTGCACCGCCTACTTCGACTTTGACGAGACCCACAAACGGCACTCTCCCACCTCATCCAGGCAATAACCCTCTTTTTGCATCTAATCAACCATCTCAGCCACCGGTTCCCACTCAAAATGGATTTGGTGAGTTAACACGTTTTCGGCTGGATCGGCATGTTATTCCTAGAAGCGACTTTACTGATCCTCGAGATTTAGCAACAAATCCACCTCCTCGTTTCGATTCACCGGCACAAAATGGGTTTGCGCAATATGCTCCCCGTCCTCTACTTCCAACTAAGCACGAGAGAACCAAAGAAGAAGTGGCTGAACTGAAAGCAGCACGCAGAGCCGAAATCGAAAGACGATGTCTGTTGCTCGACCCTCCCATTACAGCGGGGGTACTGGCACATATGCCATCTTTTCAAGCTGCAATCCAAATTATCCAACCCTTGGTTGATAGTTCCTGGGAAGTATTGAAGCCGAGACTAATATCCCAAAGGGATGACGCCGAGCAGCGCGAGAATGATCGACTCGCTCAGACCCGAGTGGTTCAAGAGCGTTTTGATGAACGGCGTTTCCAGGATGTGCAATCTAGATCGGTCTCTAAGGACCTTGCTGAGCGAGAATGGGATGACATGCAGGCCCCCTTGCGAGCCCGGATTGGTGGTTATGCCGATGAGATTCTCCGTGATGGCTGGAATGGAGGTGACAAAGTATCCTACGAGACAAGCCCCCTTTTCGCTGCAGAAGTTTTAATTTATGTCCGGAAGAGGTTCTATGCAGAGGTTGCCAAGGACGAAGCTGCGATCCGTGCAACTGGAAGAGAACCAGAACTCGATCCACCAAATGGCCCTTTCACACGGAAGCTCATATTGGAAAATATGAAATGGGTATTTGACACCAAGATCAAACCATACACAGAGCCATACCGTAAGGAACTTTTTCTTTGCAGTGCCTGCGAGTATGCCAACAAGTATTATGGCTTTGAAGGTGTTATCCAACACTTCGCAGCCAAGCATACCAGTGCCCTCAGTGTTGGAAGTGTTGTTGTCCATTGGAAGTCTGAATGGCCTGAATACCCTCCTTTCAATCCGGATCCTGACAATACTGTCAAGCCATACTACCCCGCTGCACAAAGCACCACTGTTCCTTACTCGAATAGTGGCCCTACTACACAGCAGAATTATGGATATGGTGGGTACCCTGTTCCAGTCTCTACACCTATTCCGGGCCCAAATCCACATGTCTACCAAGAGAGTCCAGGACCGTACTATGGCCATCCACAATTTGGTGATCAATATTCAGGCCCTCAAAATGGACCATATGCCCCACCACCTCAGCCATATCAGGATCCGTCTCAGGGCTTTCAACCTCAACAATACTCTGTTGCACCGCATGCGCCCACGATCGCCGGGTACAATGATACTCCTCAAGATTATCCCCAGACTGGGTATGGAGCATCAGGACCACCGTATCAGCCCCCTCAAGATGTTTATGCGAATCAAGGACAGCAATATCCCCCACCAGCCTCGGAGATGTCCGCACAGCAAGCTTCTTACCACCCATCAACACAGTATGGATCAGTATACAACCAAGCTCCGTCATTTCCTCCTAGCAATCTTCCTCCACCTCAGAAGACCGAGCAGTACATCGCACAACTCCAGGATCTTGCACGGAACGCTCGTGACATATGGAATTCCATTGGAAGCATCAAAGAGGTCCCAGGAAGTCTTAAGGTGTATACCATCATCTATCATGTCTTAAAGCGCTTCCGGGAAAATTACCAGGAAGACCCTCCGCTTTCGATGATGGTTGAAGGCTTGTCTAGCAATAAAGATATGCGACCAGTCCGCAATGTCAACGGATTGTTGTGCAAAGCATGCACGTTGGGTATGGCTGGATCCCTGTCAGGTCCGCAAAAAAAGCATTATTCTTTTCCTCAACTCGTGAATCACTTCCATACGACTCATGATCTTGGTCTCTCCCAGAATTACAGCTCACCTCTTGATTGGACCAGAGATATGGTTGATCTACCAGACATGGCTAAACTAGCGGCAGTCGTCAACGCACCAGGCATGGATGATCAGAAGCTCACACTCTTCACGGAAGCAGTCCCTGAAATTATTCCGGCTCCTCAATCCTCTTCCAGTGGCTTCCATCATGAGGCACATCAGCAGTATGGACCATATACTCCTCAATTTGACCATCCAAAGCTTGCGCCGTCTCAGGACAATCATGACAAGTACTATGCTGTTATGGACAATGAAAAGCCTTTGGATTCCACAAGTGCCACTTTCGACAGCGAGGAATATGACCCAAGGCGCCCGAGTGATCTACCAGTAGATCCTCGACCGCTTCCCAAGTCCACTCGAAGGGATCGACGTCCTAGAAAGCAAAGTGGTGCCCAAGACGTTCTACCAGGTTACCAATATGACGAGCGTTATGAAGACCGAGCTCCCGAAGAGCCGTACAATGGTCGGCCTGAGCGATTATACTCTGACAGGCGGACATCTCCTTCTCGAATGATCCCGGCTGCCGAGTATGGCCATGTCGTTGTGCGTGAGGAGCAGCAACTATCCGGTCGACGCATCCAGTACCAAGAAATGCCTGCAAATTTCGAGTACCGAGTCCGACGCAATCCTGTACCTGCGTATAACAATACAGAGACTGTACATTCCGAAAGTCAGCACAGAACTGCCAATTCAAGATCCTACCACCTGAACGGACATGCACAGCCACCAGTGGTCATGTATGAGAGTGAGGCGCGAGATCGCCCACGGTCCATTGACGAAGCTACCGCCCAACAAAGTCGAATCTATGAGGTTGTGGCGCAAATCTCACAACAAGCCCAGCAAGCAAGAGATCAACATTCGGCCAAAGAGGACCTTGCTGACGCTGGATCCGAAGATGGCGAGGTGCAGGCTGAACAGGAACTAAAGGCTCCAGCTCCCTCACTTCTCCCTCTTGACGAAGCGAGCAACGCAGCTCAACGCTTTCTGGACAACTTCCGCCCAGGCGAGACGTTATCCGAGGTTTCAGTCACAAAGGCAAGCGAGCATGATAGTGACGCAAGAATGTACCGGGTACCAGTTGAATCCCAACACCGGCCGCGCGCAGAGTATGAGGGAGACGATCGAAGCTTTGTAAGTACCAGGCGTCCTGTCAACCCTGAACTTGACGATACGCCTCCCCATGGATACATCATTCATGATCGTCTCCCTGTGTCACGACCAACACAAGCATATGCATACGAGGAGAGATACGTTGGTTCTGTTTCCGAGCAAGGCGGGCCAAGAGACAGATCACCTGAATTAGTTGATCGCCGGTACAAGTTGAATAATGTTGTCTACCGAGATGAGAGACAAGACAGCCAGGGAAATTATCGAACACCCAGCAGATATGCTAGGTATGAGAGTGTCAGACTCGAAAACGACCGCGCACGTTCGAGGTCGCCAGTATACGTGAAGGTGGGCACACATGCGGGCCATTATCGAGAATTGAGCCCTGGTCCTCATCCTGCTCACTCCTTACGCCAAGAGCCCATCTACCGCTCACGTACCCCACTACAAGGTGTCGACGAACGCGAACTCAAACGGGCCCCTCGCCAGGAGTACTACCGTGTCTACGCAGATGAGCCTCGACCACGCGAGCCTCAATATGCCGAAGCTTTCGAGTATGTCCGTGTTTCTGATCCAGCAGGCGATTATATGATCCGAAGACCTGTCCGCCGGGAACCAGAGCCGATTTATGCCACCTATGAAGACGACGTCTATGCCCGCCAACCGGTGTATGAGAGTCGTGCACCTGCACCTCGAGCTGCAGAGCCTACGTTTTATGAGGAAGAGTACGATCCTCGTCATCCTGCACCTCCGCCGCCTCCTGCCCGCCAAGTTAGGTACCAGTAGATGGAGCTAGGTTGGGGAATTTATCAAAAACAGTTGTTTTTTCCTTTCATTTCTATACAGTACCTTGCGTGATGGAGTTTTGCCATCACACGTCGTCTTGACATTATTCGCCTCCATTACTTGGCTCCTGACCTATCTTTACGAGGACGCACGAATTTTTTCTGTACAACCACCTTGTACACTGTACTCTTTTCGTAGCGGCGTTTTCTGGGAGATTCCTCATGTTTCTTGTAGATACTATTTGCACGGTTCTCAGCCACCGTCTCGCAGTCATGAGAATATGCGAGACCCAAAAAAGCCCTCCGCATTAGGCGTAGGAGTTCAGATTTTAAGTTGTACTATATTAGTAATATCAACTTTCGAGGTTGGCTTCTGAAGGTCTTTGGACGCGAATCCTATTGGGCCTGATTAAGCTGATATGTGCAAACCATCTACTTCCCGCGTAACTGCTCAATGTCATTGTCAAAATCTTGGCACGTCATTTTAGGATCAAACTTACTTGGTGCGAGAGCTCCAGTAATGTTTGCTCGAGACATTTGCCTCTTATTTCTTCTTCCAATGGCTCCTGAGATTTATATACTCCAGTTTGCACTCCTTTATACTACCCTGCACTCATTTATCCTTGTGGGAATGGTCTCATGGTCTCAGCGTCGACCATTCTATTGCCGCTTCATCTCGCGGACCTGGACGGCAACGCGCATGTTGAGACTGTATGACCGCAGTTCGGCTTTTTTAGGATACGAGATATGTTATAAACATTGCATCGTCATTACTCACATCTTTCAGATTAAATTGTTCGAACTGAGATCAAACTGTGGCATCAATATTCCACCATCGTACAAAGACATTCGTCGTGATGAGGTTCCCAGCCCCTCTCCCAGCCATTTTAAAATTGCCCTGCGATTTTCCGGCTGCCCATCAACATACCTATCGTTTCTGGACTATGACAAAACTGTTGACGGTATGTTGATAGCTGGCTTGCGAGACTGTCCGAAACATGCCGTCATCTAGCTCAAATACTGTATTTGTTGATTCCCTACCATCCCCTGGAAATTTTCCTCCTCACACTCACCACTTTCGACCTCACCAACGAGGGCTCTTCAATTCCATCTCTATACATAGACCTAGAAGGCTCCAAACTTTCTCGGTACGGTACAATCTCCCTCCTCACACTCTTCCTCTTCCCAAACAACTCAACATATCTCATCGACATCACAACCCTCGGCACCCTCGCATTTACCACAGCATCACCAACACATCCTGACACAACATTCAAGTTAATCCTCGAAGATGCATCCATCTCAAAAGTCTTCTTCGATGTCCGCAACGACTCCGACGCTCTTTACTCCCACTTCCAAATCTCCCTCGCCGGCATAATCGACCTCCAACTCCTCGAGCTCGGCTCCCGCACCGACGGTCTCGATCACAAACGCACCGTCAGAGGTCTAGCCCGCTGTATCAAGACACACGCTCAACTGACTCCAGCTGAGAAAGAAAAGCTGGGAAGCAGTGAAGGATAAAGGGGCGCTGATGTTTGCGCCTGAGAAAGGGGGACGCTACGAGGTGTTTGACGAGAGGCCGCTGCCGCTGAGCAGAAAGATACTGGAGTATTGTGTGCAGGACGTGAGGTTCTTACCGGGCTTGTGGGATGTGTATATGAAGAGGTTGGGGGGTGATACTTTGCGGAGGGGTTGATTGTAGAGGCTACTGTGGAGAGGATGAGGGAGTCGCAGGGGAGGGATTATGTGCGGGATTCGAAGATGAAGGTTTTCGGGCCGTGGACTCAGGTGGCAGCTCCTCTGAGGGGGTAAGCGATTAACGTAGATATTTGAAATTTAGTGTCATAGGATGAACTAGATATACATACCTCAAGTATGGATGTTTTCGTTTAGCATTTATTGGGTGTTGTCACTTGCTACTGTTCCACCACATAAGCTAATATTTGCAGCGACTACCATCTGGTAAACCAGGAGACTGATCCGTCCAGCTGGGAAATTCTATATCCTATTCAAAAACTTGCTAATAAATGCTTCAGTACGTGAAATTTCTAATTTTGTATTCAACAAGGCGATCGGATCCCTGAAGTCTGGCGAGGTAGGCAAAGTGGGAAAGGCGACTTACCCGAAAACGTCTCTTCAAGCACCCGTATGCGCAGAGAAGCCTCCGATCTATCAATGGGACGTCCTCGTAAATCGGGAATGCCCGCTCTGAAATTGGTCGATGGTTTGAAAGCCAAAGAAAACAAATCGGACCCTTAAATATGCCAACACCAAACATCCTGCAGCACTCGTCAACTTCTCTTGGCACTTCCCAGACTCGGACTCAAGGTCTTGGCCAACATGCATTCTTTCCCTCACCTGTAAATGACGTTGTTTGAATGACTTCCCTACAGCTCTCTCCTTCCAATTCTAGCGTACAACCTCATCGACGTATCTCGCTCGCTTGACAATCTCATGTTTTGTTTTCCATCCTCGCTTATCGTTCGGTATCCTAGTAAACAACCAACACCGAACTCAAACCCCGCCTTGGCAATCCCTCCATCACCGCTTCACAAACCCCTACGTATCCCGCACCAACACCGCACGACCTCTACTGGCTACCAAAAGCCACACTAATTACATGCAATAGAAATAGAGTAGAATACCAGTTTTAGCTCAAAAGCCACTTCGCTATCCTTCCTTCGGTGACTTTTTGGGCTGTAAACAGCCTCCGTCCGACCAATCCCATAATCTCCACCTTGCAGGAATGAGAACGAAGCCGGGAGGGAAATAAAAAAGGCTGATATAGCAATCACAAACTCGCTTGCCTCTGCATATGCATATGTAGACTTTCCTTCTGGTACCTTGGCAAGACAAGCTTAGCCTCCCTCCTCCTCTCATCCCAGCCCAACTTAACCTATCTCATCTCATCCCATACGTACTATCCCACCAATCATGTAGTAATCTACGAGGAATATCCAATAAGCCTCCATTCAAGTCTTCTCCCATCCCTCTCGCTTCAATTCTGCCCCGAAACCAGTCCGGACCACCTGCACACGCAGCCCCAGATGCAGATACATGCAGCTGCTTCGATCAAGCACTTCGCTTACATGCCTGTATGCATCCATCCCATATCAAAATGCAAAATTCCATTCAGGTAGGCATGTGTGGTTTGGTACCCCTCAACTGGTACCCGAAGTCAAGCCACAACCACTCATTCCACCCATTAATACCTGCTCATGCATACACACACACCCCTACACACCAAAGCCAATTCAAGGCTCAAGAATCAAGCCCAATATGCAATCACATCCCACAAGTCCACTACAGAGGCAAAAATAAAGCCATATCCCACAAACCCACCCACCAACTCACACACAGGCACACAAACATAAGCCACAGTTCCAGTTCTCCCACACACACAAGCCAAGAGTAGATAAGCCTCCCGACAATAGGTAACAAATACGAGTTCCCCCATCAGGAAAATGAGATATCCCCAATCCGTCCGTCCATTTGTCTCCCTCACCCTCACCCTCACCCTCCCCTTAATCTTACCCTCAACCCCGCCACTCAACCCCCCCTTTTCTACGCCCACTACGCCTCACTACGCCTCAAACATGGCTTTTCCTGGTATTTTAGCATGGCAAGTACCGGTTAAAAAGAGAAGATAAAGATTAGATTACCTAGCAGATGGGCTGATGTGTGTGTTGGTGTATGGGAAGGAATGGAAGTAGGGAATCAGAGGAACTACGAATTGCAAAGTCACGAGCACGCATTCGATTAAAAATGAATTGAAATTAGATGAGTTTTCCTTTTCGAGTAATTTATCTGGTATTGTACTTATAAATAAAAGATGTGGAGAGTTTTTGCCCTTGGTAATTTTCCTGTCCCGTCCCATCCTAGACCACTGCATTCCATTCCAGTGCGTTCCCAACCAAACAATGAATCTGTCTGTCCGCCCGCCTGCTTTGCTTTGCATTTCTTTGAATTCCATCATCCCTGACAAGCCATATACATCTCAAGCGAATGCAAACAGCCTACCTATATATCAAAGCTAGATTGAATCAAATCAAGCTAAACCAAGTCACCCATGGTATATATCTTAGAATCTCCTCTTTATTCTCGCATCCGATGACCTGAGTCCCAAACATGTCCCAGAATCGACGAGATACGATTCGTCGATATGTATCCCGTCGACCCAATGGCCTTCAATCGCCTACAACTCACAGACCACTAGAGAGCTCACAAAGGCACTGCAGCCAAGATCTTAACCACAGCACATCTCTCTATCTCTCCCATCGCCTACCGCAATCCCTGCACGCATCACCTACCAGGCGTATTAGCACCCATGAAAATATTGCTGCCGTAACCGGAGGTATCACCGCCCTGGTTCTGTTGCTGCATGTCGGGGTTAAGTGGCTGGTCAAGGTTGGTGGGGTAGAATTGGAAGGACGGGTCGATGGTGCTGCCGTTCTGGATGTAAGAGTCCCATGCATCCTGTCAAACCATTAGCTGCAGTTCCGAATCTACGGCCCGGAACATCTCAAGCCAAGACAAAGTGTACGTACCCAGTCCAAGTTCCCCGGCACGTCCATCATGCCGATACCTGACCCCGTGTTTCCAAAGACGGAGAAGGGTGAGTTGACACTGTTGATGTTGCCGAAAGGATTGGAGGTATCCATCCCATAATTCGGCGTCATACCAGTGCTGTTCGATGAGTCGCCCATGTTAGTATCCATGCCGGAGTACCTCGTACCACCAGGACTCTGAGCCATAGCATTAAACATAGCTGCTGAATTTGGCGTCAAGCCTCCTGAAAGCATACCCAGCGTCATGGCAGCAGAGTGTTCAGGTCTTAGACTGTCCTCGTCGATCTGTGCGAAGACTTCGGAGGTTGTAGGTCTATCCTTCTTCTCTGTCATTCTGAGTTTCTCGAGGATTATACCGAGGATTCCAGAAGCCTTGTAGGCTTCCATTGATGTCTCGGCAGACTCTTTCCAGATACTCTGAGAAGTCTCGAGGGCAGCAAGCATATCCGAGCGCTGAGTGGGAGACCAGAAGTAGGGATCGTAGTTTGGCGGTGGTTCGGGTAATGATTCAGAGATGAAGTCGTAGTTGAGATCCAGGCAAACGATCATCGCTGCGAGAAGGAAGTCGTGTTTGGTAAGCGATGAAATGAACCACTTCATCGTGCGCATCCGACCACCAGGTTGCGATTCTTTGTGCAGCTGTGCTTGGTGCCGTAATATCTCCATTGATGAATCGACACAGGCTCGCCTGGAATGAGCATATCTAGGATTCTGCCTGGCTCGAGCAATGTATTTCCGATGAAGAACACACATTGTTTTTTGCCAGAAGATGTCTAGGTTGAAGCGCTGCATGAGCAGTGTTGCAGGATCATGCGTACACTCCTCAATTGGTCGCAGTTGCAGATGGGCAGCCATGTTCTTCTTCAAGTCTCGCAAGCAGTTGTCCCGCTTCAAGATATCTTCGTAGCTGACATGTTTTCCACTGACTGAGTTCAGCTCTTCCTGAATCTCGCCAAACTCGTAGGATATTTGAGCTTTGGTAATCATGTAGGATATCGGCGTAGGTTCCGACATAGGTCTTGCAGGAGGAAGTATCTTTGAGTCAGGACCAAACTCGTCCTCAAATATGTTTCTGGGTAGAGCTGCGTCGCAGTCTGTGCTTCGAATAATACTAGGGAGCGCCAGTTGGAATGAGAACATAGTATCGATCTGACGAACAAAGCTCCATGCCCGGCGTCTCATCTCTCCCTGGAAAGGTGTGACACCCGAAAACTTGCTCGGGTCTCGATGGTAACCCATTCTCATCGCAAGCCGCACAATCATGCCAATGATGACCCAGATTCCAACCTCAGCATCCCATCGACTGTTGTACTCACCATGTACATAAAGTACGAGTGTCTCGATTGTGTATATTGATGAAACGGTGTAGTCCGAGTTGACAAGGCATTGAACTGTTCGCAATCGATATTCTGCAGCCATTTCGAGTGTACGTCCTTCGTCATGTTAGCATTTTATTCCACGCCCAAGATATCATCAGGCTCTCACCTTTCCACTCTAATGGCTCATCCCCAATCTTGTGATAGGATTGCATCGCAAGACACAGAATCGAATATAAGAGACCCAGCCATACTATAGAAGTTTTCGAAGGATCCTGCCAATGGCTTTGCAGTTGTTTATGGAAGGTAGGTGAATGTAGAATATGAACAGCAGGATCGTATGAATTGAAGTACCGAGTCACGAGCTTATCGACTGCTGACTTGGGTGGAACTTCTGCTCGTAGATCCGAGTCCGAAGCTTCGGTATGGGCGCTGAATAGAAAGGCCGGTCCGTCTCGGGCAGTACTCGGTTTTGATTGTTTGATTCGCTCGTAATTGCTTTCCATTTCCTTCTTGTGAGACGTAAAGTAATTCTTAACTTCGGCAATCTGGCAGGCATGTCAGTATATGTTTCGAGGCAAATCATGCGCTGTAAAGCAATGTGCCAAGAAAACGCATCCAGTTTGATGGAGAATAGAGCAGTTTCAACAATTCCGCAAAAGTCTTGTGCGACCTGCACCTTCGAACTTCGGCTGAAGCCGTGACCGCAGATACGAAGCAACAAAACTATGAGTAATCCCATCTCCTCGGTAAAGGCGAATAGGGGCAAAACAGATGGAATGGACCAAAATATACAGGATATGATGAAATACTCACATCTGCAAGAACCAAATGCCAATGAGAGTCCCCAAAGTACAGAGATTTCCCTTTGTCAGCATCAACCTTCAGCACACCGAGAGAGTTAGTAACGCCATCAACATCACTATCATCACCCTCGTCCTCTTCCTTGATCATGTCGTCGTCGTCGCGATCCAGTTCGGTTGGAAAAGAGGAAGCCGCACTGTCGCTCTGGGAGCGGGAGATGGCGGCAGCAGCCGCTGTCGGCCCAGCAGACTGGGCTCCATTCGTCATCAGAGACAGGACTAGGCCTTCTAAACGGTCAATACGGTTTTGCATATCATCAGGGCTGGTTGCTCCTTGACTTTGGTTCTTCTTGCGAGTTCCCGGCGCTGCATACGAGCACGAGGAGGCGTCACCTCTCCTCACGCAGTTCTCGCATGGGTGCGACCGGTTACATTTCAACCTGCAGTTTTGTCAGTCCTGAAAGCGACCTATAGAGTCCCAGTGACCGGGGAAAATGGAAACGAGGATCTCTAGAATGAGAAGAACACTGACTTCCTATGCCTACACGGCCCGCATGACAGGGGCACTCTGTTTCTCTTCCGTACAACCCGGTATTGGGCGTCGGGAGAGTGACCTCCAGCGCTGGAGGAGGTGGTAGAAGGGGGCGTGGGTGTCATGATGATAAATGATTGCTAAAGGAACGGATTGAAAAGCACGAATAGTAGTTGTAAGGAGGTAAGAATGACCTCAACTACTCAAGGAATGTATCTTTTCAGCGAGCGCCAGGAGTGGGGCGTCTGGCTGAGGGATAGCTATGTCCTTTATCGCTACTTTCACCACTGTTCCAATGAATCTGACAACGGTGTGATCTCCACGTAGCCAATAGTAGACAGCGTAGAGGGGCGAAGCCACTCGTCCTGGAATATCCTCCCGCACACGGCTAGAGGCTTAGGCAGGGTGCTGTCTCGATCAAACAGCCCTACCCTTAGGGTTTAGAATTCACTGGTGGAGATAGGGTCCAATATGCAGATGACTAGCAGCCTTATGTCCACTCAGCAGCTACTAGAAATGCCTAGAGATGTCGTATATAGCCTGCCTGTTCGTCCCCCGAACCCTTCTTTCGCCCCTTCAAGGAGTGCCAATGAAACAGACCGCAATCTTAGGGGACCTTGTCCACGAAAGGGGTTTTTCTACACCGGTGGGTCGACGTCCCCCACAGACGGACTCTCGATGGACCTTGGGGGTGGTTCCAAATCCTTTCCCCGTTGCAGATCAAGCTGCCTGCTAAGTATCTGATTACTCAGATAGCTCTAGGTCGGCACAATGAGAGTGAGACTTGCTTGCTTCCTCGCTCGCTCGCTCTCACACCGACACCACGTTGGGCAGTATCGCCGAAGCACCAATTCGACGATAGCTTCCAGTTCTAGAATGGATCGTGCAGAAGATTGGATGGCCCTCGATGCAGACCAATTCAATTGTATCCTGGTTGCCTGCTGCAGGCCTGGGCTGAGCTGCAGAAACCGAGAAGGAGAGAGGGTGACGTCTGATCAGGAAGGGGATGGTGCGCCACTGGTCTCTCGGTCGAATGCGAGAGGGTCTGCGTCTGGCAGAGGGTGTGACCCGTCACAGGTCGAGGAAGACGATGAGGAGGAGGATATTGACGAGGGGAAAAAATAATACTCGGCGGTCGGTGTAAGAGCGTATGCCCGCGATGCTCCACGGCCTGGTCGTTCGTCGCTCGGCCGATCAATTGATCTGAATACGGTCAGTTCGTGTTCATGCGGCAACTCCCCTCTCATCCTGTCACTATCCGCATTGGGGCATGTAACTTACAGAATTGGGCAGTTTACTCTCGCGTTCCACAACCAAAAGAATGGCTTTCCCAAGCTATCTCCACGATGGGCAGTGTCGTCGGACACCGGGATCTCGACAATGTCCCTCAAATACCGCGGGGCGGAACGAACAAAGACCGGATGGATGGTGTTGATTGAAGCTGGACTGGGCGCAGTCTGCACAGAAGATTCCGGATACCGTCGATATTGGAAATACTGCGAGGCGTTCTGAATGATCACTCATCAAACCTGGGACGGTTCTATTTGGAGAGAGTTGATGCAATCGTCGTCCTTGGGACGGCGGATGAAGTGTGAATTGGGAACTGGAGCTACCTGCCTAGCGGCGCAAGGCTGAAGTGGGGGATGTTATTGGCCAGTCAGTGAGGGGCAAGAGGGCGGGCAGATCATCCATGCCCCAATGCCAGTCAGTGAGTGCCCCAGGCCCAGGCTAGATAGGGTGCAGCGCAGCCTTCTGGACAAAGCCGAAAAGCAACGCACAAGTCTTAGGATGGTCGGTCTCTGAATTAGAAATCCGATTTCTTCGGAAAGCTTGCCAGATGGACAGGACAGGGGATGCGGGATTGATGGATGGAAAGTTGAAGCAACAGCTTGCCAATAATGCACGATGTCGTCTCTACGTCGTAGGGGGGTTTTTGCCACCGATATCAAATCGAATATCCCGCGCGACAGTGGAATTGAAGAGAAAGCGGGCTGCGACGGTGAGTGAGTGAGTGAGCAAGTAGTGATGTCGAGTCGGCGTGGAGGCTGCAGCAGTAATGCGCGTCTTTCCTTTCGTTCGAGCTTGGAGGAAAGCCTGATCTCGATCGACTCTCCAATCTCACTCCCACCAACGCAACCTTAAGGAAATCTGCGTGCTGACAAAGACGGGAACGCCAGCTTGGTGTAGGGTGTGTGTGTCAGCTGCAGAATGACTCAGAGCGTGGGAGTGAGTCTTGGAGGCTTGGAGGTGATTAGATTAATGAGAGAATAATGCGTTCCAAACAGCATCATTTTGGAGAGAGAAGTTCTTGGGCCATGGAGATAATTCCGGTATCTCCGACATCATTATGGAGACTTCGCCGAACTTCTAAAACAAAACTTGGGTTAACTCTGGACTTTCTGAGTGGTGATTCATCTTTGTCTTGGCTTGAAAATAGCTGTTTGTTAAGGATGGTACTGTACGTAGAAGTTGTGCAATTGTACGTACTGTACATTTAATGTAAGCTTTTCTCTTCTTGACTTTGACCTGGTACCTAGCACCTGGCATGCAGTATCAAACCACGGGTGTAGCTTATCTTGTCCTCCGGGGTATTCCCCTGTATACTCTTGATTTGGTTACCTACACTTCTTCTTGCTGGTGTGGAAGCTGCCATTCAATCCATTCATTTTCAAATACAGTATCATAGGTAGGTAAATTACTGTGTGACATTGAGCCTATGCTCCAATAAGCAGTAACAAGAAAGACCCTCCTCCCAAACCCACCATTTCCCTTCCTTAATTCACATCCTAACCCAAACCAAACTTATATCACTACTCTCCCCAGCAGTCTAGCGAGAACAAGAAGTCCATGCGAGGCTACCAGATTGCCTAGCCCTGTCTGCCATACCTGGCCTGGCTCCCCAGCGATCAACTAAAACATGCCGCCAAGAACGTTTGTTACAAATCACCAACCCCAGGCCCCAGGAACGACTTTCTCAACTTTCAAGGTTCCATTAAAAATTCTGTACATATTTCAAGATATCTAACCTCTATGTATTAATCTGGATTAAGTAATACATATTCCATGTGTCCATCTGCCCGAACTACATTGCTACCTATCCATCCATACTGAAACATATCGCCACCACCAAAAAATGTCTCTCTGCATTGAGTGGCTGACTTTGGCTATCCCCCAAGGCTCTGCTGCACAACAATAGCCTATGCACCCTTGTGGCAATGAAGTTTAACTTCTACACATCCCCTGTATGCACGATGCTCACTCGGAGGAATAGATAGACAGGCGCCTCATGTCCAACCCCAAGCCACAACCGGAGGCAAGTTCTCCCTTCCCCATCCATCACATGACTGACTTTGTAGAAAAGCCACCATACACACCTTAGCGATTGCGACTGCATTCGCCACATGTGTGTGGTTCGCTCCTCGGATCAAACAAATGAAGCAGTTGCCTTGGGCCAAAGCTTACCTTCGCTTCGCCCCTCGGCTCCGTTCCGCGTTTTGTGTCCGTTGACAGAAGCATGGGAGTTTTCCATGCACTCGGATCAATCGGTCGAACGATACGAGTAAGCGGACCCGGACTCTCATCATCTGAAATAGTCCGCTTGAAAATTCCCAAATTCGGGCATCCCGAAATATCTTCTCGGAAATTCTCGATTTTTCAACCGCCGATTCCGAAACCAAACCATTTCTCATCTTTGGGCGGTGCACCTTTCTCGAGCTCTTCAATGCTTGCTTCGCACAGCTGACGATTTTCTTCGGGAATCTGCCAGATTGCGAGTTCGTCGACGCGGCTCACGAATTGCATCATCAATCCAGCTTCTGAATGCCATGCCATGTGGCAGTGAAATGCCCATACACCTGGGTTGTCAGTGACGAATCTCAGAGCTAGCCAGCCAAAGCCTTCTGGTGTTGCGACATCTCTGCGGATTATACGATCCAAGGCATTCTCGTGGTTTTCGAGAGTTCCCTTGCCTTCGGGCTTCAATCCGAGACTTTCGTAACCGGGGAACATGCCATGTCCTTGACCGAGAACCCAGAATTTGTGACCATGGAGATGCATAGGGTGACTGCCTTCGTCGAAGTTCTGGATGATCATATCAACCACTTTGATGCCCGAATGCTGAATGGTGAAATCGTTCTTCTTGTCGTAGCATTTGTCGTTGACTCCGTCGATGTTTCGCATGGAGCTGAAAGTCTCATTCTGGCTGGATAATCCCTCGACAGTTCGGCGCAATGTCGGATTCTGAAGATTGGCCCGGAAAGTTGACGTATTGAAGAACCCACGCTGTAATCTCCTGTAAATCATATGGTCAGTAAATGCTGCTTGAAGAATTTAGGACCGATTCAGCTAAATGGTTCACATACCAATCTCCAATTTCCAAATTTGCTCTGATGTAGTACGAATAATCTGCCACTGATGGTGCTGGCTCAAAAGCTGCTGGCTCGTACAAAGTGGTGTTCATATCTCGACACTGCATCTCCATGCCCTGCGTCCAGGTCCTGGATGTCGGCTGAGAAAGTAATCCCTTTTGCGGTTGCTTCGATTTTGTGTATTGGATGATAGCTTTCACCTCATCCGCTCCAGGTCCGGGAAGGTCAGGTTCGGACCAACAATGTGTCACCATCCTTGCCCTCAACCAAAATAAATCAGTATCGGTCTGGTTGGTATTGATGATCATACTGTAACGCTGAGCTGGTGCAATCATCATCCTGCTGTCGTACGTTGGGACAATATCTGTTCCGTCGGCTTCGGTTATGGCGAATTGATGCTCATCAATAGAGACCTGGAACCAAGCGAAAGCTCCGGCATTGATGAATCTCAAGCGATGGTACGCATTTGCAGCCAAGTCGAACGATGGAACCGTTGCTGTTGAGTTATCACACAACCGCTCTGACAGTTGGGAGCAGTCGCGCTTGTTCAAGCCATTGATCAAGGCACCATTGGGTATCGGAGGAGCTTCATTGCCTGGTTCGAGATTCGTTACCAATAGTCCACTGCTAAGATCATGATAGTAGTCTTGTAGCATCACAACTCGGTCAGTTGCGTACGGAATGTGCTGTAACTTTTTCTCGTTCCGAGAGTGTATGACAAGTGGCCCGTAGAGACCATCAGATATTTGGATTGCCTGATGACCATGATAGTAGTAAGTGCCGGATTGTCCAGTGACTGTGAATTTGTACTGGAATTTCCGTCTCGATGCAATGGGACACTGAGTGACACCAGAGGTTCCATCCATATGATTTGTGCCATTCTGATATATTCCATGAAAATGGATTGACGTTGCATTGACGCTCCTATTGTCAACGTCCACAATAATGGTATCCCCTTCATTGCACTCAATCATAGGACCTGGGAATTTCCCGTTGATAGTAATCATTGGCCTGAAGACCCCATCCGGATTCGCAACAATGTCCAACACCGTCCATTTGTACCGCCTGACTGTGGGCGCTGCATTGATGTTCCAAGATGGATCGAGTATGTAGTCGCTGGCTGGTCTTCGGAAGCCTCCAATTCCTACCACTTCCCCTTCCACGTCCAAATCTTCAATAGCCGTCGTCTCTCCCACGATGAAGAGCTTCGTGAACAGGACTAAGCCAACCAAGGCCAATCCTGCTGCGAAAATCGACAGAGCAATGGCCCATCCGGTTCGCAGATGCCATTCCACCTTGTATTCCAGCTCCTCGGCTTCTTGTATGTCTTCGGAGGGAAGTAGCCGGTCCTCTTGCTCGCCCCTTGAGTCGCTCTCCCTTTCCTGCATTTCAACCTCGTCGAGGCTGTCGCTTTCGCGCGGAAACGATTCGTCTTTGTAGGAACTCATTATTGAGGAGAAAGGGGGAGTGGCGACGGCAAGTCGTATGGTTGCGAAGGTTGATCTATTCAGCACCCCATTATTAAATAGGGGTTCGCGACCAGACTGAAAAGTGTCTTGGAACAAGTGACCCTTTTCAGATGACGACAGAGCAAAGAGAGAATCCGAAAGTATCTCTCAGAGCTTGAACGGTGCTGTTGTTGTCGAGAAGTGTACCCAGGTCAGGAGAGCCTGGCGTTGGAAGATGTTCAGAGGTTCGGACCAGCTTGCGCAACTCGGCACAACCGACGCCGAAATAGAACTTTCAAGCCAAGAAGCCTTCTGGAAAGGATTATTTACGCGAAGATCAACCTTCACATCAATGCAACTTTTCTTTTACTCCTGGCGCTATGAAAAGCATCTACTCGACTTGCTCTGCTTAAAATCCAGCCGCGCAGAACTAACTAACGACCCTGATCAACATGTCACTTGCGCCAAAAGCTTCGTATGCTGAACCTTTCAGTAGTAGCTTGAACAGCCACCAATGAGACATTTCTGTTTCCCCACGGGCACCGCATCCTTGGCAGTCCGGCTTGATCTGTCGCTGCCACCTTCCTAGTTGCAGTTACCTAGTTCTGCCGCTCGAGAGCAAAAGCTTCTTTACGCCGCCGCCTGCAGTACGCGAAGCTTGTCTCCTTTACCTCTCACGTCGCCACAATTTGCAGGCATCGCTTATGGGAAGATGCAGGACCAAAGCATTCGGTTGCCAATCAGCAGTTGCACGATGCTAATCAGGCGTGGAAGCCGTCATCCGGTCTTGTAGCCAGCCTAGCAAATCCTAGTATCTGAACCCACAACAGAAGACGGCATGTTGCGCGGGGGACTCAGCAAAATGGGGGGACGGCGATGACCTCGTGCCTCTGTTGTGTGGCCAGGAGCGAAAAGAGAAGGGTAGGGCGGGATGCCAAATGATCAAGAAGAGCAAGTGCTTTTTTATCAACCCCACTTGGAAGCAGGACAATGTTGAATATCATCTTTCATCCACAAATCAAATGACGATCATTACTCTGATTCCGTCTTTTCTACAGCCTTTCCGGCCCTTCCCTTTAAGTTCATGATTTCCATCAGCTAGGGTGGCCAAGTCAAGCCGAGCTGTCATTCTCTTATAGAACTTCAGCTTCTTCTTTCGGACAAGCCCATGCTGGTCCCCTGCCTACTGGCAAGGTACCAGTTTACCGGCACCAGGGTAAAGTACAAGTAGCTTGGCGATCCCCCATCACGAACTTTCCCTTCTTCTTTTTCAGCCTCGCCAAGTCAAGTCAAGCTTTCCCAAGACTTCAATATGCGTTTCTCCTTCTCTTTCACCGCTGCCTCTTTGGCCTCGGTAGCTCTCGCTGCTCCAGCCCCAGCTTCTCCCACTGCTACGGATGTATCCGATGTCTATGCCGCTCAGGCCACTGCTCTTACGCTGAGCCCGACCAGTAAAGTGAAGGGAAAGTCATTTGATCGTTATGTCTCAATTTGGTTTGAGAATACCGATTATGATATGGCAGCTGGTGATCGTACGTGAAGTGACGGGAAATTGTTTAAGGTCTACATCTGACTCAAAGATAGCCAACTTCCAATTCTTTGCCAAGAAAGGAATTACTTTGACCCAGAACTATGCCGTCACGCATCCTTCTGAGCCAAACTACATGGCAGCTGTGGGAGGGTGTGTATTCCTGCCATTGGATTTCAGCAAGATTTCTGACTGAAATTTCCAGTGACTACTTTGGCTTGAACGGTGACCCATTTACTGCAGTTCCTCAAAATGTATCTTCTGTCGTTGACCTGCTCGAGGACAAAGGAATCAGTAAGTACACAATGGCTCTACACAATTTTTATTGTCATGTACTTTCTCGGAGCACTTTTTTTTCCACATCTGGCAATATCAATGCTAAATCCGGATTGAGTCCTTTCGCTTGCCTCATTGACTATCATCAAAGCTAACATGGACAGGCTGGGGACTCTACCAAGAAGACATGCCCTACTCCGGCTTTGAAGGCTTCGGATGGGTAAACCAAAAGAACGGGGCCAACGACTACGTCCGCAAGCACAAGTGAGCCTACCTTCGACCGCCTAAGTCTCAATCACTAATAAAGTGCAGCCCCGAGATCCTCTTCAACTCGGTCGTAACAAAGCCAGAGCGCGCTGCCAAAATCAAGAACACAACCATGTTCGCTACCGACCTCGCGAATGACCAACTCCCTCAATGGATGTTCATAACCCCCAACATGACATCCGACGGTCACGACACCTCCGTCACCGTCGCCGGCGAATGGCTCAAGACCTTCCTCACCCCTCTCCTCGAAGACAAGCGCTTCATGGACAACACCCTCGTCCTCATCACCTTCGACGAAAACGAGACCTACAGCATCCAAAACCGCGTCTTCTCCATCCTCCTCGGCGACTCCGTCCCCAAAGAACTGGTCGGAACCACCGACTCCAACTACTACAACCACTACTCCGAGATCTCCACCGTCGAAGCCAACTGGGGCCTCTACACCCTCGGCCGCTGGGACGTCGGTGCAAATGTCTTCGCCAATGTCGCGAAGTCCACTGGCGACCAGCTTCGTACTTGGTACGCGCCGAACGCGAACGGTGTCCCACTTAAGGACTACTACTTCAACGCTTCGTACCCCGGGATCTTCCATTCGAAGACTTGGGCACCGCAACCAGTTCCTGATTGTCATTCGCGCCGTGAGGGACGTACCACGTTACCAGCTATTAAGGAGCAGTGGATTAGCCAGCAGAGCAAGAATTACTACCATGGCCAGCTGGAGATTCCTGATGCTGCTCATCCACCTGTTTACCCTTACAAGTATTAGATGGGTAAGGAAGCAGGTATCTGACCAAAGGTGTCGTTGTGGGAAGCCAAGGAGCTAAAATTATAATTCATCAATGTAATATATTGGAGTCAGAAGGCAAACATTATCAAAGTACCAAATCTAAAACTGCAACCCGAACATCCTTTCTTCTCTCGAAATCCAAGCAAGTATTACCTAATTAAGAAACTACACAGGAAGAGGAGACTGTGTTTTTATACACATTCACCTGCACACACTCTCCATGTTCATGTCCCTCCTTCCTTACTCCGGTCGCCCCTGCACACATCCCACTACACGCGACATCCCCGCCGTCGCAGCCTTCATGACCCATCTGTATATCATGCTGGCACTGATATCTCTCGCTTGTAGCATCTCTATCATAATCGCCCGAACGACAACACATGCCCTGATGTGAAGAAGCAGAGCCCTCCCCACCGATCTGGCCCCCACTCCCATTCCCACACCCACAATTCCCTCTTTCTTTTCCTCTCTGCTGAAACCCTCGCCCTCGCCCATAGTCTCGCCCTCTCCCTCTCCCTCTCCCTCTCCCTCGGCGCAAGCGTCCCCGCTGGTGATATGCGTATCTCGCCTGAGCCTGCGCAGCACCTCTACTACAATGCACCCTCCGATGCTCCAAGAACGAAGATCTCGACGCGAAGGACGCGAAGGACCTCCCGCAAATATGGCAGTTTATTTTTGGGCGGCGGCGCAGGTTCGGGTTGATGCGTCGTTCTCTCTGGGGGATTTTCCATTCGCCGCGTGTGGGGGTGGGGGTGAGAGGTTTACGCTTGGGTGCTGGTGGTGGTGGTGGTGGTGCTTTGGGGATGGAGAATATTGAGGGGGTGTCGGAGGGGTAGTAAGAGTCTGAATCAGAATCAGAGTCCGAGTCTGAGTCTGAGTTGGAGTTGGAGTTGGAGTTGAATTCGGGTTCGGATTCGAATGGACTCTCTTCTGTGGTGGGTGTGGGTGTGGGTGTGGTGGGTGATGATTCTTTATTTTTTCTCTCTTTGTTCTTACCAGACGCAGCAGCGGGGGGTTTGAGGAGCTGAGTACCGGGCTGTTGTGGTAAGTTGAGCCAACTGGGATTTATGAAGTTGTCGTTGCCATTTGAGAAGTTGTCATTGGAGACTTGGCGACTATTCTCGCTGTTTCTCACCACTGGGTTATGACTTCCGAGTTGGAGGTTTTGGATATCTGGTAGTGCTGGTGATGAGGGGAATTGGAAAGGATGATTGAATTGGTTGTAGTCATTTGAGAAAGTAGTGTCGTGAGATTGATGCCTGTTTACGCCGGCTCCGATTGCATTGTTACTATTGAGTTGAAGATTGGAAATATCTGGCATTGCTGTTGATGGTGGCAATGAATAGAGATCGTCGAAGGAGTTGTTGCCATTTGAGAGGAAGGTGCTATTGAGGTGGTTGGGGGCTTCACTGATGTGGACTGGATTGTTGTTTTCAAGTTGAAGATTTGGAAGTGCTGTTGATGAGGGGAATGACCCAGAATAATTGAAGGGGTTGTTACTATCTGGGAGAAAGGTATTATTGTATTGATAATCTGCGGCGCTGATATCGACCGGATTGTTGCTTTCAAATTGAAGTTGTGGAATATCTGGTAGATTGGAGCGGGGAGCATTGGCATCAGGCGGAACCATTGTCCCGCGGCGAGTGCATCTTTCTCCAGAGTTTATTAGCGGAGCCTCGCTCGTAGGTAAAGAGATTGTCATATCTGGTATATCGTCTGGAATGTAGAGCCCGTAAGAACAGTCGAAGTGGTGGTCTTCGTCCGAGATTACCTCCTGACAGAGGTTACATTTCGCTTGGTCGTCATTGCCTGGAGTACTAGCCTCAGACAGAGTGCTGGGGCTGGCATCAGATGTCGAGTTGTTGGCTGGAGAGTTCATTTCGCAAAGTTGGAAAGAAAAAAAATGGTTCTGTTCTGAGGGTATGTAGAACACTCTACCTTGGCTGTTCGAGCTACTTTATGTAAAGCGATGTTCTTCTGTTCTCGCAAGAACAGGCTATATATTGGTCACAGTGCAGTAAGCGGTTATTTTTATTGCTAGCTGCAAGCTCAAAATACTGCCACTGTGTGACCGATCTCTTTGTTCTCGAGGGCGTAGGCTTCAACCTTGCAGGACCAGCCTCGATAGCACATGGCTCGTGGCAACACTTCGATCTTTTATTGCCAACAAAGTCTTTGTGCGAGCAAGTTTCATTTAATGCCAGTTGACGTTGACAAAGATAGAACCTTGGACTTATTTGTCCAGACGAATGTTCTTTCAGCCTTCAGCTTTCAAGTGGTGTTTGACAGGGGTGCGCAGTCACCACGTGACCGGCAAGTCTTTTGTTTTGAGCGGTAGAAGTCAGACAGTATAGATTTCTCGTCCAAAGGATTGAATAAGAATATAGTCGAAAAATCAACTTCAAAAGTAAAGATATGTCTGGTGGTGGTCGGCAGCTTTTTTTGTGCATGTGGAATGCTGGCGGGGTAATATTGCCACTCGCTTAGATGTTTACAAGAGTCTTGGCAGCAAGTTACGAGAAGCGAAGAAAATCTGTCGGCAAAAATATCCCACGTATTATGCTATCTTATTACGAATATGGCAGTGATTGACTATCACTGTTAGTTAAGAAAGTTCAGGGCAAATATTTTGTTGGGTATTAATAATGTCATTAGCATATATGCTATCTATCGTTATGGTATCATTGCCAAAAAACGCCACCAGTCCGGAAAAGATCGCTCGAAATCAAAAAACCGCTTGCTATCTTACAATGCCAGTTAAATCCCTGCCGTCGGAAATTTCAAGAGAGAGACGGAATGTTTAGTCCTCATCTTCATCCTCCTCGTCATCTTCCTCGTCATCCTCATCCTCATCATCATCCGCATCTTCACTCTCGTCGGGGCTGACTGGTGACTTCTTGGCAGAAGCACCGCGGGCCTTCGCAAGCGTCGGACCATGCGCCGACAACAGATGAGGAACGATATCCTCAGCATAGCTGAAGAAATCTCCGCAGACATTGCATCTGCTATGCCTCTTACGGATGTGCTGGTCTCGCCCGGATGGGTTCAGGTAGACCTGGGGGCAGTATGGACACTTCTGGCTGCCATGTGCCCTTCTCAAGTGGTGTCTCAGCAGCCAACGGCCTCCTCTGAAGGTCTTGTCGCACATGTGGCATTCCCAGATTCTGGAGCAGTCTTCCGAGAGTCCAAGATGCTTGTTGAGATCAGCCATGCGAGTGAATCCCTTTGCACACTTTGAGCATCGGAGAGGGCGGTCGGGGAGTGGAGTTCTCTTCCTGACGGCGACGACTTTTGGTGCTGGCTGGACTGGTGGTATCTCCTGGTTGGGAGATTGGTACACGTGCAGCTGTGCTGCAGGATCTGAGAATGGATTCAGCACCACTCCTTGCTTGACCTGGGAACTGGAGTAAGAATTCTGTTCAACATGATGTTGTTCATGTACATGATATCTTTCGAAACTACCCGATGATGCAGAACCGGTATCAGCGCGTGCCTGGCTGGGAGCACCGAAGATACGAGGGTTCTGGTTGGTCTGATGTGGTATCCAGTTTTCAACCGCCTGTCCGGACATCATATCTGCAGGACGGTGACCCATATTCCAAGCGCCATGTAGTGAGCTGCCTGGGAAATATGGGGTCTGATTAGTTTGCTGGGGTCCATGATGTGCGAGCTCCTCAGGCAAGAAACACTCCTCATGGGCGAAACCTGGTCGATGGAAGAGGAGCCGGGCAGGTGCTAGTACAACAGGTTCTCGGATGGACTGAGCTTCTAGGGCTGGTCTTGTGTTATTGAGGTTCTGACGAGCACGTGGTGGGCTATCCATTATCGTGGCGAAGGCTTGTCCAATGCCATGATCAGCCGGTCGGAGCCGGACCCAGCCAACTGGTCGTCGTTGACTTGTCTGATTGCGGGCTCGTGCGGGTGCTGGGTTAGCTGGATGATAGGGAGCAGAAGGAATGGGGACTGGTGGCTCCCAGATCAGGCCGCGAGGGTCAATACGGTAGTTGGGGATGGGGTTGGGGTTGACAACTGGAATGGAAGCCCCTGATCCATTTTGGCCGAAGTGGATTGGTCCTCCACTCATTTGGCACAAAGTCAGTGCTGCCTCAAACTCTTGTGCAGCTGGTGCTTCCATGACTGTGAGTTGATTTGCCCACGCCTGGGGAGTTTGCGTTGACACGCTTCGCTGGTTGAGAGAGTTTGAGTGATCCATTTTTAAATAGAACAAACTTTGTTGCTGGAAAAAAATATTGAGATTAGGAGTCCTCGAGTTCTTTATAGAAATTTGGGTGTGCTGTTCTGGTACCTGATTGGACCTCAAACAGCGGAGGAACTGTTCAGCAGGAACATGTTGTCGAACAGCCGACAGAGAATGCCGACGAAGGCCAGACGGAACGGCTGGACATTATACTAGAACAACATTGGTAATCTATAGAGAACAACTGAAGTGAACGTTGTGAATTGCAATCATGATGTGGTTTGACATCAATATTTCGACAATACGAGTAAGGAGAGGTAGGAAGGTATACACGTGTTGACTGATAGGCAGGCTCGAACAATCGATTCGCAAGCCTTTGCCAATGACTCAGCTCTTTCTATCGACCGTCATATTTCAGTAGATTTAGGTACGAGAATTTTTCTTTGTCTCTAAGTCTTGCATTTTGACTCGAAATTAATGCTTGGTCAACCGTTAAACCCAGGCGGTTTCCCCCACACAGCTCGAGTATCACTACAGACCAATCTCTCTAAGTTTAAGTCAATTATATGGCAAGCCAATGTAGTATGGCGTCGCTTAATCCCATCACGAGAGTCTGGCAGCGAAGCCTTTTGCGTGCTGTTGTGGTTGAAACCTTGGAGTGAGCTCAGTTTTCATTAAGATATACCCTAAGATCATGTACTATAAAAGCAGCATATTTAACAGGAGTAGAGTAATCTGGGTGAAAAAGTCAACACGAAGCATGATATGCCATAGTAAGGTACGAGAGCTTCTAGATACTATACAGAAGCATGAGCTGAGTTGCAGCTACTGTTTGTAGGAGGGGGTTCCAGTGTAACAGACATGACAAAAGCGCCTCACGTATGGCCTATTGTCGATTTCTTTCTATTAATCGTCCTAACTATAAGAGGTCTAGAAATTATAACTGACCTTTGGCCAACATTCACAGAGGCCTACAGCAGTGCTGCTGATAGTAGCTCCCCCGACCGAGAGGAGAAGACACACTGCAGTCTTCGCTATGAGGAAAGCAGTTCCCATATCTCTTTCCCCACGGCGTAGTGACAACCGTTGGAGACCCTGCAGAGTCACACTCAACATTGACGCCGCCTGATGCCCATCTACCACTGCACCAAGTCCCATCCCAAGACCACATAACATTGTTACAGCCGTTGTAAAAAATGGTGCCAAAGGTTGGCGCAACACCTTCAAGGACGTCTTGCTGACCATACCCTACTGAGACACAATTGTCATCGCAAGTGTCTGGATCTGGCGTGGGAGGCGGTGGTGGCAATTCTAGACCTCCACCTCCTGGTAGACCCGGCAGAGAAGGTGGTCTTGGTGGTAACGCAGGTGGTTGTTTGGCGATGAAGAAACTGTTGATTGAGCCATCGTCGCTCGGCAGGCATTTGCCATCAAAGTTCGAATTCAGTATTGCATAGCCTTGATCTCCCGTACAATCTTTACCGGAAAAGTAGTATAAAGTTCCTCCTTTTGTCCAGGAAGATCCTGGCGCAATTCCAAATCCAAGAATGCCACCTTTAGGTCCATTGGGAGTGTTGTGGCACGTCTCCTCAACTCCAATGACCGTTTGCTTGTTGTAGTCGCAACAACTGCTGTCATCGTACATTTGGATCGTGACCGTGTTGGGATTGCTGTTTACAGGTTTCCTCCAGCCGCAAACTGGCGGGGGTGGACCGACAATGCGGAAACTGATGAATGCTTCATCCGACCCAGAAGCACTGCAACGAGGTTCTGAGTTTGTGAGGTCAAATTCTGCCTTACTTCCTTTACAGTCGGAACTGGTAAAGACTTCCAGGTGAATTTTCCGGCCAAACATGTTGGCGCCAACAGCCTGGGTTACACTGCCAAATCGCTCGCCAGCGTTGTGACAACTTCCTAACTGACCGAGGGTAATGTCTGTCTTCCTTGACACGCAGCACCCTCCATCGCGATAGAACGCCAGCGAGACCGTATTTGAGTTTTTCGTCGCTGGGATGACTCGATTATCACACCTATTTTAGCATTAGTGACGAGCTCTTGACATGATAAATGAGAAGGAAGGACGGCTTGAAGGTTTGAGAGATGATTCAATTCCTTTTTCTTATACGAACTTTTGACTTACTGTCGCTCGATTCGGAAGCTTTTCCACGCTTTCCCATTCTTGTTGCAAGTAGGCTCATTGGTTAGACTGAAAGAATCTTGTTTGCCGTTGCAGCCAGCATCGACGAAGGTCTGGATATGGATATTCCAGCCAAACTTGCCTCTCCCCACTGATTGAGTAAACCCGTGGAAGCCCTGGCTTGCATCATGGCATGTTCCAGTATTTCCCAGTTTGAAAGTCTGGAAAGACTCACAGCAACCAAAGTCGGAGAAGAGAGCCATCGTGACCGTAGTATCGCTTTGTACCCCGGGTCCCGTGGATGCACAAGATGGCGGCTCTGTCACTTCGTAACTCCGGAACCCTGCATCTCCACTGGTTAGAGACTGGCAACCTTGAGAGTTGCTGAGGCTCAACCCTGTTGCTGATCCGCCGGTGCAATCACGTCCTCGGTATGCCACGACTTTTATGCCGCGGTCGAACAGATTCTTACCAACTGCCTGTTGAACCGATGAGAAAGGGCCATTAGAATTGTGACATATCTGGATAGTATCAGCAGAACATTCATGGATATGGAGAGGTTCTGAGGAGCCCGTACATCAAAATTGCCTATCTTGGATGTTTCTACATCGTGGCAGCAGTTGTCTTCATACGATAGTCGAAGGTTAACTGTGCCCAAAGACGCAACCGTTGGGACTCCACCACAGGGGCCGACAGGTGACGGAAATGGAGGAGGTGGGACTATAATTTGATCCAGGACATATATTGTCTGATGAGGCCCAATGCCACCCCGAATCATCGTTGCTAAGGGCCCACCCGTTGCAGAAGTTGGTGCCGTATCGGCATGTGAAACCGAGAAGGAATGGATCTGAACCTCTGAGTACGAGTTTCCTTGATTGTAATTGCCAAACTTGAAATATCCAGGCGGATTGTTCAACTCGCGCCTACGTACTCCATGTTAGTATCTATGAGCTTTAAAACCACACGACCCGGAAAGCTTTGCAGGAATTCAAGACCAAATGTTGATTTGAGGCATTGGAAGTCCTACTTGTTCCCATCGAATTGGTGGTACAATGAGTGGCAACTTACTGGTCAAGATTTCGAAACGGTCCATTATTGATGGCAACCGAGAGTTGGCCTCTCTCAAACCGAATTTCATACGTCCAGGTATTGCCCACAGGAACATCTGCCAAATCAATGAATGCCAACTCACCTCCAGCACGAGTCCTTTGAACTCCTATCGAGATATGTCCATCTGATCTATAGAAGAGCGCCGTTGCAGGTTTACTGCACAGTTTAGCGATCATACAGAATTTGAAGTGGCAGTAGGATAATGTCACACCTCACGTCCTGAGAAATCAAAATCTGGCTTACGACAGTGCCTCGAGCAGAGTCATCTGGGACTGGTACAGATAGGGTGACTTTGAGGCGATTGACAGCTGATCTGGTGTCGAAGCTGCCAGGGCTGATTTCGCGAAACTCAGTCCGACAATGTATACTATTGGGCGTGGTAACACAACCAGTTCCTGCGGGTGAGCCAGGAACGGTCATGACAAGATGTCCATTCTGTTTGTTGGTGTAAAAATTTCCACTGCTGTAACCATCACAGCCACGTAGGCGAGATTGGACGATAGTCTCGGGGCTTCCAGGGCTCCCAGTTGGTAACCTGGAAGGTTATGTTAGCATCAAATTGCTGCTAACTGCTTCTACAGGTAGAAAAGACAGGTCACCAAAAACAGTAAGTAAACCGAATTGGGGAAGGATTTTATAATCACTCACTGCAAGTTCCATTTTGAAAGGTCAAAATTCCCACCAGGACTACATTTTAGATCACGATCTGCAATTTGTGCTGCAGTACAAGCAACGAAGGTGGCAAGCAGAATAGCCCATGTAACCAAGAAATTAGAACTGATTGACAGCATGATTTCTCCGTGTTAAGATAAAATCTATGGGATTATCAAGAACCACATCCGAAGCTGTTATTCAAGTACAGATTCCAAGCAGCTGCACATTTGACCTCGCCTTCAATATAGTATATGCGTATCCGGATAGGCTGTTCATCCAAGATTTTTGTCCCAATTATTGTTTCTCATAGTAAGCGCCAATACTGCTCTTGTCTTGGATATCCAATCAGACTCATTATTTCCTCGTCAGAGAAAACAACTTGCCAGAAAACAAGCTACACGCTCGCTCTGTGGAGAAGTGTTTCGGCTTCAATATCAAGGTGCATAGCCTATGATATCTTGGAAATACGGAAGTGCGTACTTTAGTCTGTGCTTGTCGTCGGCTGACTGTGTAATCTGCAGCTTGGATATCGCGCAGTCAGGGACTTTTGCTTGGTATCCCAAGCGAGTACACAAATGGATATGCCAAGTGCTCGGGTAGGCTCCACCTTCAGCCATTACGGACCTTCAACATGAGCATGGTACCGATCATACGCGGGACTAACTTTGCTAAATTTTGTTTGTTTATCTACAAAGAATCCGCTCAGAACGATTTTCCAGATCACCTTTCATGTCTTTTGTCGTTACCCTTCCATGTGCCATGGCTCGCACGATAATAATTGCGTGCTTCTTCCTGTTCACAGGCTTTGCAATTGGACTTCCCTCTCCCAATTCTCATCAATTGCATAAGCCAATTGGTTCATCATGGAAAACTTATCAGAACCTTAACACCCGCGCCTCTAGAGATTCAGCTTGCCCTGAGGGATATCTCTGTGGCCAAGATAGATGCTCTGCCGATGTTCAATGTCCAGATGGTACTGTGACCTGGAGGGTACAGTAAGTAATGTGAAACATTGAAGTTCAACTTCCTCAGATGGTCATACCTTGAATTAAATGTTTGCTAACTGCAATCAATTTAAGATCGCCTGTGCTCCTCCCGGCCATCAATGGTGTGCTCTAAATCCCAGCAACTTCCAAGCTGTGAGCTGCTCCACCAGCGATTTGTGCTGGTAAGTCATTTATATGTATTGCAGTTCGCGTTTTCAAGGTAGATGATTTCAACTGGCTAATTAAGTCAATTCTCGGTCATGGTAATTTTTATGATGGCAATTCTGTCTGTTGTCCGGATCTGAACTTCAAGTGTACTGTTGGCCAACTTTGTGGCGCATGTAACACGGACAGTATCTGCGGAAACAATGGTGTTTATTTGATCAAGAATACACCTTCGCCTTCTCAACCACCGCAGCCACCGCCTGTCATTAGCTCTTCAAAAAGTACTTCCGTCACATCGAGAACTTCTGTTTCGACGACATCGACCCCACCAACCTCTACTCCTGGACCTACAAAGTCTGCTCCTAAACCAACTGAGCCACAAACTACCAGTCAAAAGCCTACTGAAACCAAATCAATTGATCCTAAACCGACAGAACCTAAACCAAGCGACCCAAATTCCCCCGTCCCTACAATTGTCCCTTTTATTGACCCCTTCACAAATCCACGTTGTCTAACAGACAGCGGCGATTCTCGCGCTCTTGTGAACGGCACCACTGCCTCACACACTGCGGAAGGTATGACTGTAGATAAATGTGCCGAAACGGCTGATGGCTGGCGCCACTTTGGTGTGGAGTTTGGAGGGTATGTTGACCACTCTCTCCCTATCTACATCCTCTTCCACTTTATCCAACATGATCCCCCGATCAGCGGTCTCCTTACTAACCACTCAAAAAAACCCAGCGAGTGTTTCTGGGGAGATGAACTGCAATCCATCCACCCCGCCTCTCCGGAGCAGTGTGACATGCCTTGTAGTGGGGATCCGTCCCAGCTATGTGGAGGCGGGAACCGAATTCTAGTCTACCAGAACAACGACTGGAAGATCTTAGAGAAACCTGACATCGCGACCGCTCTCGAGGCTTATGCGCGTAAGCTGTGGGATTTACGCGAAGCGATCTAGGAGTACGAGGATCTGGTGCAGGCGTATGATATCCAGCAGAATGGGCTGTTGACGGCGGGAAGGTTAGTCCCTCCGGTTGTTGTAACGCTCCCGATGATAGCTCAGGCTTGGGCCAAGATCCCTTTGTTGGTCCGCTCATTTCGTAAGTCCCGTTGTTATTATTTTCTCTTCGTGCATCTTGTCAGTGATGATCATGCCTTCAACTACTTTGATTAACACACCTTTTAGGCTTTGTGGCTAAAGGGTTGCGGACTATTTATAAGACTGCGTATCATCATCTCAAGGTAATTGTTCCTGTCCTCACTTGTTTCTTTTCTCGGACGGTCCATATAAGACATAACCATTCGACATTTTGACACCTCATAGATCAAGAGCAGGCAGAACGGTGACTACATCGAAATGGGTATGTGCATGCAAACCGCACAAATTCCCCTCAAACTCTGATCTGATATAACACCGCAGATGACATGTCTGTAGTCCAGGTTTTTCGAGTCCTGGACACTTTACAGCGGATTGATATTGGAACTATAGCAGGACGGGCACTAGCGCTTGCAACCACGCGTCCGTTTGTGAGTAAGCCATTCTTAAATCATATACATCCGCCCAGTCTCCGTGGGACTCAGTCGGCTGAGCAGCTCTTAGATTTCCGCCATTGGTGGAGCTTTAACTGGTGCAAATATTGAAAGTATCTGTGAGTAACCACCCCTAGCATCCCAAGCCGATAAACAAATAGTGTCTACTCTTTCTGGGACATGTCTGCAGTGTCTGATATATATTTATCTGAGTATAGCTGAAAAAATCGGGAAAATCATCCGTGACCTCTCCGATGATCCAGTGGAGCCTCCCAGCGAGACACCGACAATCTCTATCTCCAAAACAATATCCGCATCGACCACGACGCAATCATCTACATCAAGCAGTTCATCCACCACCGCCGCCGCTACGCCAGTCCCAATTCTGATTATCACCCGCACCGGCACAACTGAAAACCAGTTTAACGCCTTACTCAAAGACCTTCCGTCCGATCCCCGCAACTACGACATATCTCAGTCCAGTGTCAATCTGTTCATGACCGTCGCCTTCTTGAACCTTACCTTCGCTCATGAGCTGCGGACAAATGCAATTGTTCAATCCTTGTCCTTGGAAGTGTTTTCAAATTTTCCCCTCCTGGACGTTGGGTCGACAGAGGCGCCAAGAGCATGGCCAGAAGAGGACCCGAATCTGAAACGAGATCTGAAGGATGATGCAGCAATTCATACGAGAGCTACAGGCTGCCCTGAAGCTACTCCGGGAGCTAGCAATATGATTGAACTATTTCTGCAGAGAGTTGCACCGAACCATCTCCAGTAAGTTCTTCCAGCATGTCAATAGAACCATACCCTTCATCAAATATTCATAAAGCAGACCACGAAACACAAAGACAAATATAAAAACGAAAGAAATTAAATGTGCTATTGCTTACGTGCTGAAGCAAGTATGACAAATGAACAGACAAATGACTGAATATCGAATCATATAGGTGGTTGAGTCGGATACAAAGAAGTCCTCAAACCGCAGCTGCGGCGTACAGGTTCAACAGCTCATACCTGTTCTCGCAACAGCATCCAGTTTCGACCGACAGAAGACCTGAAATTTTCGTGCTGGACAGCGGTATAAACAAGGACCACCAGGTGAATACTTCCAAGACTTTGGCCGAATCATCTTTTGTGAAACTTCAAACTCTTACATTCTCGTCTCTTGACCTTGTCTGCTTTACTTTTCAATTTAGTTCCAATTTATCCCTACTGTGGTGTTCCTCCGTTGCTTCTCATTTCTCCTTCTGTTCCTCAACTATTATTGCAGCACGTTAATACCACTGCCCAACCAGGAATTCGCTACCATCCTGAATAGTCCCTCCTTCATACCTGGCTGGCTTTGGAGATCCTATACCAACGCAGGCGGTAACGCAGGCGGTAGTCTCATTCCGCAAACAGCCTTCACGGAAATCAACGACCTCGCTGGCCACGGGACATGCATGGCATCCGTCGCAGCAGGGAGGTTCTCTGGCACCATCAAGAACGTGCGTTTTAACGCTATCAAAGTCGCAACGGGGACCGTCCCTGTTGACGATATCAGTGGGCCGACAACGCGAGCTGCCCCTATTTCCAGCATAACGATCGCGGAAGCATTTGGTTGGGTCATCGCCCAAGTACGGGAGAAGAATCTCGAGGGAAGGGCAATAATTTCGTTCTCGATGGGTATGTACTGTTACTAGTCACTGCTCCCAATCGTCTCTTTCACATCCTCTGTATGAGATGAGCTATGTGATGTTAGGTATTGATAATGTTCGGTTAGGGTTTGACCCCGAGGCATTTCCTGTTCCTATGCCGGCTGGCACACCGACGCTCCCATCACCTGCTGGCTCGTCGGGAATCGTGGATGATCCTATCTCAGTCTTGCTACAGCGACTCTTTGATGCTGGTATAACGGTTGTCGCATCAGTAAGTATCCATTACCTTGACCTTAGATTGGCTACAACAGAGCCGTAGCGAGCCCCTATTTAAGCGAGAGATACCAAGAGCTCAGCACGTGGCCCTTGCAGTCCAGCGCTGCACCTTGGAAAAGAGCTGCAAGTGGCAGTTCAGGAGATGCACAGTACAAAGGTCGAGACCTTGAACCATCTGCTCTAGTAGCACTCAGAAAAGACCTGGTCTTGATCTCTTGACCCCTTCCATACCTTCTACTTAAAAGACCATGGAACAGTCAACACCTGCTGATTATTTTCTCTACAAACAGGCCGGAAATGATGGCCACAAAGGCACTCGATCCGACTCGCGAGTTCCCGCCGGTTTGAACAGCGCGCAATACCCGCTGATTATCGTCGGTGCTGCAGGCGAGAACAACACACGAATGTATTGGTCAGAAATCGGCACCCGGCCTGGTATAGTCGACCTCTACGGCTTCGGCGATCTACTCTACTGTGCAAAAAAAGGCAGCAATACAGCAGACTACGTCGCCACCTCCCACGCCACAGCACAAGTCGCCGGGCTGGTTGCGAGTTTCCTGACGCTGTTCGCGAACGAGCTACCGGCTGACAATAGCTCGGTGCCACTGTTCATGAAGAACAAACTGAAGGAGATCGCCAGGACCTTCAAGAGTCCCCTGCTGAAAGTCGACGCACTTCTGCTGGATGATAATGCACCACGAGAAGAGAGAGAAAAGCAAAGGGAGAATGATCCGAATGCCATGGCGCCGCTGGCGAGCAATGGCATCTTTGTAGGTTGCGACCCCGCGAGAGTGACGCTGCCGAAAGCCATTGGGAGTCCAAGGATTCCTATTGCAGGGCTCTATGTCGAAATTGATTTTGTGGGGAAACCGACACGACTACGTATCGAGAATGCGTGCCGACCGAGTCGACCGGATTATGCGGTTATTGTTGATTACGTGAGTCTCTTCCTCTTGTTCTTGCTGGGACCCCGACCCAGCAATACGAAGGGAGTGGGTGATGCTGACATCCGCATTCTCCAGGGTATTTGTGGTCCTGATCCGACTACTACTCCGTGGAGCCGGCCAGCGTGGGCAGAGCCAACAGTGATGCCAGAGAAATAGGTACATTGATAGATGGAAGCTTGTTCTTTGCTTGTCATGCTAGAAATCTCAATCAAGAATCACACATTTGAGTATATTTCTATAAATAGAAAAAGAGTTTAGAGAATGGAAAATGACTTGGGTTAAAAAAATATTGCGAGCTTTGAAAACACAAGATTGATTGAGAATGAGTACGGTATCAATGGCTGTTGACTCACTTTTTTGACTGACTCGGAAGCGAAACAGGGCAAATTTGTTTATTGCAAACGAACGAAAGAGGGGATCAGTGACAAAACAAAATAGGTGACTTTACCATGGGTACTTATCACTATGAATGTTCTTTCTGACGCTTGTGCCAAGTAAGTGCTTGCCAGCTCAGAAAGAACTCCCCACAATAGCCACACATAATCTGTCCATTGTGACCTGAAATGTGATTCTTCATCTGTATCTTATCGTTGAACCGGGCATTGCATCCGAAGAAAGGACAGATGTGAGGTTTTGTAGATAGATGAAGTCCTTCATGCGAGTGCAGCTGTTGCCTATTCATGAATTTTAAAATACAGTCTGGGCATTGGATCCGGCAATCGCCGGCAATTTGGCCAGAAAATACTGGCACCGGCTGCTCCTTTTCAGATTGCGATTCTGGCAGCAGTTGCTGCTGAGCAAGTAGCTCTGGTTGCAATCGAAGATTGAAGGTTTGTGGGGGTGGTGTCGAGGCTATGTGGTGACATTGTGATGCAGGAAGACCGCTCAGAGCTTCTCCTCCGGCGCGAGACTGATCCTGACCCAGATTTTGTGGTGCGAAGTTCTGCTGAGTTTGTGAAAGGGGCTGCTGAGGGTCTTGTAAACCTTCATCGCTCACCAAAGGTTCCTGTCTCACAGAACATTGACTAGTAGATCCCCAGAATTGCTCATTCCACCGCTGAATCTCAGCTTCCGAAGGTTTCCATGTCGACATGAGGTCAGTGGACATAGATTCCATTCCTTCAGGAAATGTGTGTTGTGATTCTTCATGCTCACCCTCCAATGGCTGGGGCTCAGGTTGAAGAACCTGGTCGCTCGCTGATATATAGCTGTTAATTATATCCCCTAATCCTTCAGACAAATGGCCATGAGCTTGCTGATACTTCTCTTCCCACTTCTGGAATCGGCGCTGGTATTCGCTTTGCCGATACGGTAGCTCAGATTGCGAAGGCTGAGGGTGTGCTGTGACAGGATCAGATGTCGCAACTCCCATCTCTCCACGGAAATGCCCGAATAGACCACAAGTCTGCTGGTACTCATTATCCCATCGCTGGAGTTGAGCTTGGGAGGGCTGCTGGTATCTCGAGTCAGTATTTGTGATCAGGCTTTCTAGTACAGCTGGAAACTGACCTTGCGAGTGCTGGTACTGCTCCATGTGCTGCTGGGGTTCAGGGTGCAGAGTCGCTGACAGATTCCGCGCAACCATCCTCAAAGACGCTTGTACCGGTTGGTTCAGTAGAGAGTCTTGTAAGTTGCCCTTCCTGGGCCCGAATGGTTCGTAATCTGGAGAGGATGGTCTCTCCCTCACTTCAGACTGGACCCCTGCGCCATGTTGTAGTGGTAAATCAAACTGCTGGCTCCGTGAGTTATAAAGGTCACTGGGAGATACTGTCTGGGCATCATTGTTGCAGGTGCTGCCTAACATCTTGGGAAAGGTGTGAGAGAGGACTGAGACGTTGCGGTGGAGATATCTCATGAACAAGTAGATTCTGACCATTGATCAGTCTTCTATTAAAAATAAAACCCCTGAAGCTGATTTCTTGTTCTCGCTAGGCAAAAACTTCATTGTTGACGTTCAGACGTTTGTACAATACCATTGTTCGAACCATATTTCATTGTTCGAGAAAGACGAGTCGTCGACTGCAAGTAGTTCAAGAAACGGCTCACAACTTGCTTTGTTCGGCGTTGTAATTCTTCTTTCAAAGGAGCCAATGCAATGCTTCAAGGTCTGGACTGGCTGGATGTTTGGTCTGCACGAAGCCTTCAGGGCAGGCTGTGCAGATATAATGAATTAAAAAGCCGAAATGACGTTTAGAAGAACGACGGAATATTATTGCGAATATAGGTTTGCAGTAATAGCGAAGACAGCCTGTAAATAGGGAAAGCGCTCACCGTATTTTCTTGACCAATTTGAACATGATCCATGCAGTGCCAATCAGTTGTGAATGACTAGACCACCACCCGTGGGATAACGATCTATTATCGAGTAGAAATTTAAAACTTTCCACCAGCTTGACAAGTTGTAGGAACTCCAAATATGCAGTCCATAATCCAAATGAAGAGAGCATTCCAACTCCCAACTTAACCCGAACCTGCCTTCATGCATCCATCCTCCATCCCATCATGGTAAAACGCCATCCAGAACGAAGAGAGCCATAATACATAAACTCCTGGTCTCATTCCGTCGTCAACCTGCAGCCTTATATCTCACAGCCTTATGTATACATCCACGCATGGTACTCTCCATTCCCTCCGGCCCAGAAGACTCCTCAACCATTCCACCCCGATACCGGTCCACTCGGTACGCATCGCGAGCCGGCGCTTCGCTTCCTCCAGCGCAGTCCCAGCCAGCGCGGCTGCAGTATTATTGAATGCTCCGACATATATCGAGAGCTGATCCAGGGTGGGATTCGAGAGGGTGGAGTTCGCCAGCTCGGTGGAGTGTGACTGCCTGGGCTCAAACCAGTTGCTGCTGAAGTCGAAGAAGCAGTGATCAGACCAGTGGCAGGAAGAGGCGAAGAGGATGAGCAGGAGGAACGAGCAGTAGACACATGGCCGGTTCAGGAAGTATGTGCAGAGGAAGAAGAGGAAGATGAATATCGGGGAAGCATTCGTGGGTATGAAGAGGAGCGGAAGCCAACTGGAGCACATGTCAGGAAGGCAAATGAACGGGCTACAAGGGATCTGACTTACCTTCTGAGACAAAACATCTTCTCTACCTCTTGCGGACGCACTGGTATGATATTCCAGCTTATGTTGTCATCTGTAGGGAGTGGGACGAAGCGAACGAGGCTCTCGCGCAACAGCTTTCCAGCACAAACGGTTCCGCGCTAACTCCGAGAGCAATGTTCAATGCCGAAACGAGGTGACACGAGCTGTCAAAACCAGGTAATGGGCCGCAGATGAGGTTGGAGGCGACTGATTTGTGATACCGCTGCAGGAGCTCGTGGCAAGGTGGACTTTTGTGATACCGCAATGTCAGCGTCTCCAGATCATGGATGCTGCCCAAGTCGCCAGTCCTGGCTGCTCAAAAGTAACCGGCCAATCAGCGTCGTCGCACGGTCCAATTAGCCTTAGCCTTGCGCTAAAATGGCCTAAGCTCGATATCGATCATGAAGCTCTGCTTCTGCTTCTTGATCTTCAACCTCTCCGCTTCCAACCTCTTCCTCACCCTTCACACTCCACTCAGCATATCTGCTGCAGCATCGACGGCATTCTTGGCTCCTCTGCGAGATCTGTCCATATTCTCAGTGCTGTTCCCAAATATCCTCTTCCATTCACTACCCTATCCCACCGATTTTGATTTGATCTAAATCTTCCATTTGCGCCGCTCCGGTGCGCTCACTTTCGCCATGTCTGGATATCCTGCTGGCGCCAGTGAAGCTCCTGGCTTGGATGCCCTTCTGGCTTCTCTTCGCTCTCAAAATCCACCGAGTCACAGGCCTCTTCAACCTGCCCAGCCTCAATTGGAACCTAGCTACAGCTATTACAGCGGCAATAATAGTAACTATTTTGGCCAGCCTGGTTCTGCTCAACCGCAACAGGGCTATCAACCACCTTCGGTCTCCTCACCTGTTCCAACTCCACCAGTCGGCGGTCCACAACCGCACCATGCTTCCGCAGTTATCAGTCCGGTCGATACCCCTCAGCTGCAACAGCAGCGTGCCCCAGCTCCTGCTGGCGTGTCGTCCAACGCCGACCGCACTTCGAGCCTTCTCAACTTGCTGAAGTTCAGTCAAGCTTCGAGTGGATTTTCAAACCAGCCAGCTCCAATTGGCACACCACTTCCTCCATCTCGCGATGTCTCTGCAACATACACCAGTCCCGATCTCCAAGGTCCAACCAGTGCATCGAGCCATGGTCGTAGTAGTGGTCCCGATCTGCTTGCAGCTTTGATGGGTGCTCCTAAACCAAAACCTACACAGCTGGCTAGCCCTCAATCTACACCCAGTCTGCAGCCACACCAGTCGACCTTCGGCGCTGCTTCTCCACCTTCTGCGGATACCCAAGCATATCTTTTGTCCCTGCTCAACCAGCCCAAGCCTGCACAGTCCGGAAGCACCCCACAAATGAAGCCTGCCAAGGTCATGACACCACCAAGCAAGGCCACTTCTCAAGAGGATGAGGATGGACTTGCTGAGGATTATGAGACCGCAAATTTGGAGAGCAGCATGATGGGCTCAGCCGCTACTGAAGGCTTGCCATCATTCGGAAAGGAAAATACTCGAGAGCCAGCTCCAAAAGCACAGGGTCTGTTCACTTATGTTAATCCTTTCGATCAACTCAGCGCCTCATCTCCACGCAATCGTACACCAAAGATTGAGTCGGCCAGCCCCGCTCCAGCAGCCAGCCCCAAGATACAGATCTTGAAGCGTCAAGAACCTGCGGAGAACAAGCAGAAGACGGATTCACCTCATTCCAAGCGCAAAGCAGTTGGCTCGTCTCAATCGTCGTCTTCACCTCCAACTCCACTTCCAGATGGACGAACCAAAGTCGAAGCCTTGATTGGAATTGGTGCATCCAATAATAAGGAGAGTGTTCATGATGCTCTTAACGAGGTTGGTGATCAGGCAGATAAGCAGGTTCAAGAAGCCATCTCTCGTGCTGAGACTGCGGAGAGCCACGCGGCGATCGAGAGAGATCTGAGAGATCTTCTCGCAGCATCAACTAACAAGGAGTTTGAGGCTTCTGCAAAACACGCCGCAGCCGGACTCAAAGAGGAGCTTGAGAAGCCTGAGAACAGCGGCGCACTCGACAGTCTACCAACCCCATTAGCTGAGGAAGTGAAGGAAATCATTGATGAGACAGCCCATGGACACATTGCTGACAGCTGGGAGAGTGCGGATGCTGAGGATAGCCCGTCCAAGGAGGAGGAAAATATCGTCAAAGTGTTCAATTTCCCAATGAAGCCATGGTCCTCGATCACAATCAAAGAGTCGGAAGAGACACGTCCGACTTTCCGTGACGAGGCCGTTATGGACATTGCTCGTCTCAAGAAAGAGTTTGATCAGATTGACAGAACTCTTGTTACTGCTTCAAACAACTTTATCGTCTACGGCATGTCTAAGAATGGTGGAGTTCGAATTATCCGACAAGACGATGGCAAGGACGCTAGACTCTTCACTGAAACTCACGATCGCATCTTCAGTGTCGTGACTTCCTCTTCCTCAGCCGAACAGAAGGAATCAATCATTGGCACCGGTATCAGTGGCACGGTCTATTGGGCGCTGGTAAAGGATGGCGAGGGTGATCACCTCGAGGAGAGCAACCCTGAAATGTACGGTTTTGCCCTTCCTCCCATTCAGTCATCGGACACCGAATCGCCAGGTGGCGTCCTGAAGACGAGAGCCAGAAAGAGTTCAGGACACCCTGAGTTCTTCGCTGTTGGTCGCGGAAAGTTCATCCATGTCATCTGGCCATCCGTAATTACAAAGCAATCACTCCTGAAAAATGGAAAGGATCGCATTGTGGATACGGACAAGTACCTGAGCAAGCACTCACTGAAGGTCAACACCGGGAAGGCTGGCAAGGACTTTACTTTCAGTGAAGACGATACGATCATTGTGTCTCTTGACAAAGCAGGAAGAGTCAAATTTTGGGACGTACGCAGTCTTACAACCGCCGACATCGCCAGTTACCCCTCTCGTACTCAGCAAATTGAGATCAAGGAGCCCTTGGTCACATTCACTACCACGCCAGCAAGTGAGAAATCATGGCCAACATCGGTTCTGTTTGTTGACAAACTTCGACCATACCAACGAGGCGGTGCATTGAGATATCTTATCGTTGGAATGAAGCAGAACCACACTCTCCAGTTGTGGGATCTTGCTCTTGGAAAGCCTGTTCAGGAAATCCACCTTCCACACAGTAAGGAGTCGGATGCAGTCTGCAGTGTTTTGTATCACGCGGGCACTGGAATGATCGTTGTCGGCCACCCTACCCGAAATTCGATTTATTTCTTACATTTGTCTGCTCCGAAGTACAACCTCCCGAAGAATATCACACAAGCTGAATACATGGAGAAGCTTATCGCTGTAGATTCATCTATTCCCAAGCCAGAGTCTACTGCAGTTATCAGTGGCATGCGCGAGTACTCGTTCGCCAATAAGGGTTCGCTTCGAAGTGTCGACATCTTGCAGACGCCAAATTCGGCCATCAATAGCAATGGCAGCGAGCCTGCAACATTGTTTGAGCTTTATGCCATGCATTCAAAGGGTGTCACCTGCCTCAACATCAAGCAGGCCGACCTTGGATGGACTTCTGACAACAAGGTCATCCACCCGGTGGAAGCATTGCCAACTGGTGCTATCTCGATGGAGACGCTCAAGGACATTGCTCCATCTCCCGCCACGGAATCGAACGAGCCTGCTTCCCAGACATCACTCCCAACTCGAATTGTCTCCCGACCCGCTCCGAAGGAGACTTCAATCAAGGACAGCCCAAAGAAGATGCACCAGGGAGAGTCGTCAGCTTCCGCAGCTAAGCCAGAAGTCAAATCCGATAAGAAGGATCATAGTGCAAATGGTGGTTTGAACCCTGCCAGTGCTCCTGAGAAGGCCGAGAGAAAGAAGAGAAGAAAGGCTACGGCAGAATCCGCTCCATCTGATACTGCTCAAGTTGGTCAGTCTTCCAAGACCGTCGTTCTTGATCCTTCGTCACACACCAGAAATGGTAATTTGTCAAGATCGAGTGCCAGCGCTTCCACCGAGCCAAGTGGTCCTTCATTTGCTCCTCAGGACTTCAGCGAAGCATCTCTCAAGAACATTGAGGCTCGCGTCTCTGCAGAAGTCAAGAAACTCTTCAATGACTCTCTCGGCTCTCTTTACACCGAGCTCAAGGACGACAGACGCACACAGGCTGCTGTGGGAGAAGCAAAGCAGGATGCCATGCTACGTCTCGTCTCTAGCACTCTGGCTGACAACATGGAGACAACACTCGGTCGCAAGGTTAGTGAGGGCCTTCAGCAGTCTGTGATCCCAGCATTAGCAGAGCTTTCCCACAAAGCCGTAAAGGAACAGCTTGGTTCTACTCTCAACACCCATCTATCGCAGAACCTGCCCAAGGAACTCCAGAAGAGCCTTCCGGACGCAGTTGGAAGAGCTCTTCAACAGCCACAACTTTTGAAGCTGATGTCAGAATCTCTCGCAAAGAGTGTCGCATTCCGCGTGGAAGAACATTTCGCCGTCCTCATCCAGACTGTTGTTACGCCATCATTCCACAACCTCGTTGCTCAATCCTCCCAAAAAATCGCCACTGAGATTCATCGCCAGACGGCAGAGCAGCTCAATGCTATCGAGCATCAACGCCGCGCCGACACCATCAAGATTGAGCAGCTTACGCAGCTGGTCACTGGTTTGACTTCTACCATCTCATCAATGGCAGAGGCCCAAACTCATTTCCAAGCTCAATTTTTGAAAGTTCAGGAACAGGCTGCAGATGATCGACGACTGCTCGCTCAGCAAGGATCAAGCCAACAGAGTGCGAGTCAGCAAGGTGCGAGCCAACCAGGTATGAGCCAACAGGTTGCAAGTCAGCAAGGTGCAAGCCAGCGAGGAGAAGGTAGTATTGGCCAAGCATCAATTTCTAGCCCATCCACTGCAATGGGAGCAGTTACTGAAAAGACACAATTGGAAAAAGCTTACGATATCATGCTCGAGAAGATTGAGGCAGCTATGAGTGTTGGTCAATATGAGATTGCTGTCATCCAATGGCTTCAGACCCAACAAGAGCAGAAGTTCTTCACACGATACTTCTCCCGATTCAATCCTGATTTCGTCCAAGATCTGAGCCCCCTCTTACTCCTTTCTCTTGGCGCTACAATCAGCATGCAACTCGACGACGAACTCTTGCCGCTGCGAATCACCTGGTTGGAGACAGTCGTGACAGCCTTCCAGGATTTGGTTTCATCTGGCACTTTGGTGAGCCAAATCATTTTGACTTGTAGATTATGTGCTAATACTTCATAGGATAACCAAGTTCTGGACCTCATACCAAAGATAATGGGAATCTATGTCTCACGCATCGAGCACTCCTTCATGGCCATTAGTCAAAGAATGGGCACCGACCCTATCTTGAAGAGACTCTCAGGCGTTGTTCTTCTCACGAATCGCGTCATGGAGACTAGTGGACACAGCATTTCTGCCCTTCCTGCTGCTTGAAGACCTACCATTAATCATCTTGAACATCATATTCCTTCGGGCTATTACTAGCTCTCTCGTTCCTTTTGTCTATGGAATCTACTGGACTTCTGGTCGAGCATCATCCACTTACAATCGGAGAATAAATGCACGAACGCCAAGATAGCTTTGAGACGCTGGAATGCTCTCTTTTGCTTCAGATTTGTGTCATCATCCCTCTTGGAGGAACTTGTGCAAACAAAACTTTCATTTTGATCTTTTTTTCTTCCTTTTCATTCATTACAACGGAGAAGATACCGTCTATTTGTTTCTCATTGCTGGCGTTAGAGCCTAAAATATGAGCGTTTGATTCAGCCCTTTTTGCTGGAAATTTATGAAAATGGCATTCATGGGGTTACTACTCGGGATGGATGACCGGATGCGTGTATGAAGCAAGGAACGAACGATATATCGCATGCCCTTTCTACGCACGATCTTGCATGAAGCTTCTTTGGCTTTGCGAGCAAGGGCCTGTATTCCTAGAATTCGCTTTAGCAATGCATTGTTGCAAAACTTGTACCGTTTATCGTGACCTTGATAGTGAGGACTTTTGGGAGAGACAAGCCTGAGGTTGTTGCAGCTTGAGCACTTTCTCCTGCAAACTGGCCAACTCAGGCACTGACAATGAAGTTGCATCATTCGGGCCTACTTACTGTCTTGACATTGAGGTCATCCTTCATGGTACAGAAATTCGGAGGCTACGGAATGGTTGCACCCCGCACGCGGGGTGCGCTTCCCGTCCGCCAGTACCGAATAATACAGCTCAAGCCCCATGAGCTTGTTCTGACTTCAATCACAACTTATTCCGAGACTTATGCATACTTATTGAAAAAGGCCCGAATAACATCTTGACTCGTCCTTTTCCTGGGGTGCAGCTACCCCGCGCCGTTCGATGTTTTAAAGGATTGCGCGGCCGAAATGCTGAGTGGAGCTTCTTTTCCCCCTGAAATCTCCCAGTCGATCGTTGACGGACGAGCGATCGTCACTGCGGGTGTTAAAGCAAGCTCGATGTCGTCCAATCTCGTGACCCTTCCATCTGAAGTATCGCCGAGAGCTAACCTGGCTCCTTCCGTTCGCGTCATGGTTGAATGCGTCAAGGTACCTACTGACGGTACAGTGGATTCTGTGGGCTGGAAGACTTGAAAATGGATGACTCCTTTTGACAACGTTATTGTTGATGTGGAGATTACAGCTTTTGGCCGAGCTGGTTGAACCTTTTTATAAGTTGCAACTGCCTGGTTCTTCACGGACTGAAGGTCTTGTTCATTTAATAGCTGTCACTCTGGTAGACCTTTCCTGCCTTCACGTCGCGAATGAGAGTCTGGAGCCCACCGTTCTGTATACTTCAAGATTCATCTATTATGAGGTTTGAATTAACTCTGTGGGTCTTGACCACCCTCACTTGTTCGGTTTCCGCTCTCTCGGCAGCGCAATGGAAATCTCAATCCATCTACCAAGTCCTCACAGACCGATTTGCGCGCGCCGACAACTCCACAACCGCCACATGCAACACTGGTGATGGGATCTACTGTGGAGGATCATGGAGGGGCATCATCAATAAACTGGATTATATCCAGAACATGGGATTCACAGCCGTAAGTCCCAATATCGCCACATACTTACTACGAATACTGAAGAACGTAGATATGGATCTCGCCTATCGTAAAGAATCTTGAGGGCAATAGTGCAGACGGAGAATCATATCATGGGTATTGGGCACAGGATATCAATTCTCTGAATAACCATTTCGGAACTGAACAGGACCTGCTAGATCTTTCCGCTGCACTGCATGGTCGAGGCATGTATCTTATGGTCGACGTCGTCACCAACCATATGGGATATCTAGGATGCGGGACGTGTGTAGACTACAGCGTCTTCAAGCCTTTCAACTCGGTATTCTCACACATCTCAGCTACTTACAGGCCAATTCTCAGCTAACTTTCAGTAGAAATCCTACTACCACGACTTTTGCTTGATCAATTACGACGATGCAAACAGCATCAAGACGTGCTGGGAAGGAGACAATATCGTCTCGCTACCAGATCTGAGGACGGAAGATTCGAATGTGCTTGATGTATGGAAGACGTGGATCTCAAATCTAGTGAAGAAGTATAGCATCGATGGTCTGAGATTAGACAGCACGCAGCAGGTCGATAACGCATTTCTGGAACCATTTGAGACCGCTGGTAAGATTCCCTCCAAGTCAAGATGACGCATGGGCTTGGCTGACAGCACATAGCTGGTGTGTACGTGGTTGGAGAAGTCTTCAATGGTGATCCGAATTATGTCTGTCCATACCAGAACGATGTCAGCGGAGTCATGAACTATCCTGCGTAAGTTTATACTGTTCAATTCGAGTCAAGAATCCAACGATTTACACGAGAGCAGATACTACTGGATCAGACAAGCCTTCGAGTCTACGAGCGGCAGTATCAGCAACCTTGTAAACGGAATCAATACTATGAAATCCACCTGTGCAGACACAACGCTGCTTGGTTCGTTCATGGAAAATCATGACGTGCCTCGATTTGCATCCGTCACATCAGATTTCTCACTAGCGAAAAATGCGATCGCTTTCACGATCTTGGCAGATGGAATTCCGATAAGTAAGTCTTCCTTACACCTGTACCCTTCTCTCTGTCTTCCATCTTCCATCTCGCTCTCTCCTCTTCCTTTTTAAGAACCTCTCAGACCGCATTCTGACTGCACCCATCTACAAAGTCTACGAAGGTCAAGAACAACATTACTCCGGTGGCGATGTTCCATACAACCGCGACGCCGTCTGGTACTCGGGGTACAGCACCACCTCTAGCTTGTACACCTTCATCTCCTCCATCAATCAAATCCGCAACCAAGCAATCTTTAAAGACGCCACCTATCTCACATACAAAGCGTATCCAATCTACTCCGACTCGTCCACCATCGCTATGCGTAAAGGCTTTACTGGATACCAGATTATTGGCGTATTTTCGAATCTTGGGACTGGAGGAGGGACGTATACTCTGACATTGGGGAATGCTGCGACAGGATTTGTGGCAGGCACGCACATTGTGGAAGTGGTGGGGTGTACAGTCTATACTGTTGATGGAAGTGGGAATTTGCAAGTTGGGATGACAGGTGGATTGCCGAGGGTTTTCTATCCGCTGGAGCAGTTGAGGGGGAGTGGAGTTTGCGGTGCTGTGACTGGGTAGAACGTGGAATCAGACGACCACTCTGAGGGATTTAGCACGTCATTCAAGTCTTGCGGTGATGCAGTACTGTGTGGAAAAGACGATCTTTCCATAATATGTCTCACGTGATGATCTGATCTACTAAGCGAGATTTTGTTGTTCTTTAGCAGCTCCCCTGTGCAGTTTCAAAGAGCGCCCCAAATCAAAGACCCAACTATCGCAAGAGTCAGATAAAAGAAAGTAGTAATAATCACTTCTCATTGTCACTGTCGGGTCTTCAACAAACCCAATAACCTACCTTACAAGGACCTCAAAGCACTTTGAAAGCGCAACCTTGTCAACAAAGGGACAAAGACATTGTTTGACACTTCTATGTTGAACAGATGCGTGGTAAAAAGTACAATTGACGTTTTTCTGGAGAGAATACATGCGAATCAATTCATACTCACGAACATATCTTACAATCCCAGTCTCAAATCTCTATCTCCTTTTGGATCAAGAGCATTCGCTTCTCTAAATCCACCAAATTCCAAATAATTTTTCCCCTTTGGTTATTTCTAGACGCAATCATGTCTAGTTCTAAGCCGTCGAGTACTGGGCATGATTTCTCTCAGTTTTATGATCCTAGGTCTATTTCCGAGCCTAATTATTTCGACGAAGCTACTTGGTCTCTCAGTCCAAGCGACGATCCCCACACCATACAAGATCACTCTTACAGCTCGAGTCCAGAAGCTAATCCTGTTCCGGATTCGAACTCCCACACCACTTCAACTCCCGGTCCCATATTTGACGACTCGAACTGGATATTCACATGGAATGAAGATCTAAAACGCGCCCCCATCGACCGCAGCCCCAACGCCCGCACCTGCCCAATCTGCCAGCGAACCTTCTCCCACCAACGCGAGTACAACTCCCACGTAATCAATGCACACATCTCTCACGAATGTTCATCTTGCAACCGCCAGTTCTACACCGCCTGGTACCTGCAAGAACACATTAACAACTCTCTGGATTGCAGTCCTGCGGTGCGGGATAGCTCGGCGTGTCCAGTCTGTGGTGAGAAGTTTAAGAATTGGGCGGAGAAGAATAGACATCATTGGAAGGTGCATGTCAAGCAGGATATTAGACCGGCTGGTACGGAGGGTGGTAGAGAGGCGCCAATGACTGATGATGAGTATAAGCTGTATTTGCATCATTTTGACTTGGAAACTTAAGTCAAAAGGTAGGCTCGTCTTGGATAAATGCTCTAGAAGGGCTACCTTGATTTGACATCTGGGTCTAGAACTTGTATTTATTTCAATATTTCGCAATAATGGCCTTTCTTGAATCTCTCATACATTTATCCCAATATGAATATAAGCTGCTTGAAATGTGAAAAGAAAGTTAGCTGAGTGATTGTCCTGGAGGTCAGATGCACTCTGCCTCAACTTCACAATTTGACTTAACAAAAATCTAGAAGGTTCATAAGGTCCAATTATACTTTTTAGATTAATTATAATCAATAATCAATCACCGATCGATTACACCATCTGCAAATAACCTAGTTCCCGTACTCTCGCGTGCTCAAATGGAGCAACAAATCCAGGGTTGTCACGTGGAGGCTTAAACGTTGTCGGGATGCCCAAAGAAGGAGGATCCTTTTTAAAATCATGTTTGGCGTAGTCGCGTGTCAAGATCTCAAGGGGGCCTTTGTTTCTTCTTCGTTAAAAGCGTTGGAGTGTTTCTCCACAACAAACAAGAAACTATGTCCTCTTGACTAGGTAGGGAATTACTTGGAACAAGACAATTGTTGAAGTCAAAGCAAAGGGATCGGGAATTCAGGACAAAGAAACAGATTAGTTACAAACATGTATACTAATACTCAGATTGATCCGTATTATACGATAAAGCTCTGCGAAAGTAAGTACTCACATCTTGAAATTACTATACGCTCAAAACCGCAAGTGGAGTTGAAGATGCTTCCACTCCAGTGCCAGATGTGCGGTCCTGGCTCTTATATTTACAGGGACACCGACAGCCTAGTAAATCACATTAGGAAGATACATCACTGTGTCGTGAGTGAAAACCAGTGCATACTCTGCTACCCGGATCTTACCATTTACGCCTCGATAGACCACCTGAGAGGCCACATGAGAAAAAAGCATGGTACAAGAGAAAAACTGTATTGTCATCTATGCCTAGGTGGATTCGAATCCAAGAGGAACCATACCAGACATCTCCAAAACGAGGTTTGCAGGAAGCCTGACGGTCGATATCAACGTAATCTGGCGGCACACTCCACTGGTAAGTTGAATAGACGTGGCGATCCTCGGCAATCTCTAAAGCTTCAACAGTGCATAGATCCAAAACCGGCACCCGATTGCTTTGGACAAATGGAAGCTAGTCAGGCTGCAGAATACTCAGAAGATGCTCCCATGACAGATGAAGCTTACGAGGCTTTGCTTCAATTTCACTCACAATTTGATAGCAATGACTCTGAAGGAGAAATAGGCGAGATCCATTCAACAGTGGCTCCCTTGACGGATGAAACTTTTCTAGCTCAAGAGTATTCCAGCGAGCAAATCAATGATGGCTCGGTCTGTTCAAGTGCCTTGAACGAAGACCATTTGCTACCAGATAGCAATGCGTCTGAAATGAATTCAAGTTTGCTGGATCAGAATCTCCAGCCACAGGATTCCGACACATGGGATCAGACGCCATTGACCGAAGCTGACGTTGTATCAACTCCATATATAGTGGAGCAAAGCGAGTCACCAGCATTTTCTTTCCCATTGTCTGAGCCTATCGCTGCTTGCAGCGCGATAGATCAAAGGACTGATGCACAAGTTGCGATATGTACAGCGCAAGATTTTGGTTTTGATTTCGATTTCGATGCCTTGGAAGCACTGGAGGCTAGTGAAAACCAGTCGACAGGATATTCCATGACAACCGAAGAATATCAGACCTACTTACGGTCCATTGGACTCTACTGAGTTGCAGAATGTGTTTGATTTGGTAAGCAGGGCGGTTCCAAGTTCCTAAGTTGATCTTTCACCCAGTACGTGAAAACTCACCTTCTGATACAAAATTCAAGATAGTTGAATGTGGAATGATAGTTTGCTATACAAATGTCTATTCACCTTCCCCTGTAAATTTCTTGCCTCATCTTAGCAGCCTTACGCAGAGGACGAAAATAAAATGCTGGCATTTTTTTAATGTATCACGTGAGCGGGAATGACATTGGAGTGGATAATCCTCAGGTGTCTGAGATGTTCTTTGTCATTTTTGGGTGCTGATACCTTTCATTGCCTGTTTCCACCACAACAGATATGAAGACAACAAAGCTTTGCGCTTAATCCAAGATGACAGATGGGCGACTGTTTCAAGTCTTTCTTCGCCTTGTTAAGGAAGAGTCGAGACTGCGAGAAACATACAAGGCATTGTTTACCTTCAGCTTTGTCAAATAAGAAAAACAGATGTGGTGAATAACTTTATAAGTAACATAGCCTTTTATTCAAGTCGACGGAGTCGATCACTCAGTATTTTACCGCAACATAGTTAGATGCCTCGTACTTCAAGTAGCAAGTTCGGCTCTTACGTATAAACTCTCCCAGTCTGTCCACCAAAAAAAAGGAAACCAAAGGCAAGAAGATGACTCAAGCTACCCTCAACTTCAGGCACCGTGTTACCAAGTCGACCCCGAGGAAAGTCTTCTTCTGCACTGTGTGTTCACATCCGTTCGGTTACAAGAGCCCTAAGGTTCGAGACGATCACATAAGAAGGAAACACACGCAAGAGAGACTCATGGATCTGAGTAACACCCTATTGGAGAGCCAAGATGATCTCGAAGAGCACAATCCGAGACGAGCTACCCCCATCTCCAACAATCATGATTCCAACTCAAGCTCGGAAAAGGGCATCCCCTCTACTTCCTGTTCAGAATCTTCTTCATCTGAGCAAATCTTGCCTCATAACCAGACCCAGAAGAACTGGAAAGGTAAACATATCTGTCTGAATTGCAACGCCCAACAAGAAAGCCAGGATAGTCTTGAACAGCACATTCGCAGTCAGTCATGCTACATGATGAGTGCTTCAATTCTCGATGATGTAGCTTCCCAATTAACAGAACTGGCAGAGGGGACCTGGGATTTTGAACAATACTTGTCCTTCGAGGACCTCACCACTGCGTCTGAGACGTCTACTCAGGATTCGGAAGCGCTAATAGCCGATGAGTACGAGATGTACCTCAAAGACCTTGGACTGTGAGGCAGAATACACTCAACCGTACTAGGAGATAGGATCTATTCGCATATATACAAGCAATCTACTTCATATATTCTACAGCTGGAACTGACTTCCTATGCGTAATTCCATCTTAGACCTGTCGTTAACTATCCAAGTTTCAACCATTCAAGCACAACATTCAAATAGACAAATAAAGAAATGAAAAAAAGTTACTTTTTCCCCCCCGAAACTAAGAAGACTATACCTCATTTTAATACTTAGAATCTCAAATCCTATTCATTTCTATTGACATGCACTACTCGAAAACTGCGGCGTCCTTGTCAAATCGGTCCATACCTACCCACGACTGCTCGCCTAAAGTACAATGTTTCGGCGCCTGGCTTTTGCGAAGGCCACTGGAACTTTAGCGAGGCCCACACTATTTGATTGTTTACTTCCAAGTTCTTGATCATAAATGCGAATCAAAACTTCCCTAATATACAATGATGTGACAAACATATTAAAAGGTTCTCCCAGTAGCGCTTGGAGGGGCAAGAAACAGTCTTGGCTTGCTGCGGTAAGCAAGCTGGCTTGCAGCAACCCATCAAACCCCACATGCACAGCTCAGCCGCACTTCGACTAGAACAGGCTTCCTTTCTTCGACACGGCTGTAAATCACGATTGACCAATGCTTTGGTTCTTACCCCAGAGAAAGTCTGTATATGCCAAGTATGGAATTCCAGTCACAGCTTGATGAAGTCTCTTCCTTATTATTTGCTCACGAGCGCCGGAAACATCGCTTCGCTGCAGGCCACTCCGAACCCCTCAGAGAGATTCATTACCACCCACTTCAGCCTTTCAAGATACGTCTGCCAAGGATGCCTCTGTATTCGCTCAATGATAAGGTAAAATTTACTCTTAATCACTATCCATGCGACTCGGAATATCGGTGTCCCGTATTTTACACAGCTCTGTCTTACTGCGGGGGGGTTCCAATGATGCGATGTCAATACTTGTCAACAATTCCAAACTCGCGATTACCAGGTCTCTGCAAGCTGCTCTCTGTGAACTCAAGCGGCGTCAATATGAGTATATCTGGATTGACGCAATATGCATTAATCAAAACGACAATGAGGAAAGAGGTCACCAGATCTTGAAGATGAGAAACATCTACCACAATGCTCAGGGCAACTGTCGTGTGGCTTGGTGAAGAGGGCGAACATACAAGGACAGCATTTAGCCTTTGCAATATTCTAAAATCTGATGTACCAGAACATTTATCATCGGCGGAAATGGCAGAAAGTCACTTTGCGAAGAGGATCAAGGAGCTCTCGACCAAGCACCCAGAGAAATTGAAAATTCTAGAGGGGTGGGAGTCGTTAGCTGCGCTGATTGCTTTACCTTGTTGGGCAAGAACCTGGATCATCCAAGAGGTGGCTATCTCCTGCTCAGCAACCCTGCTGTGGGTTTCGCAAAAGATGGACATCGAGACTTTAAAATTGTCCCTAGAAACACTACGAAAGTACAGTCCAACGATTTGGCATTACTTCGAAGGCCTTGAGCACATAACTGGCCTGCTGTTACTTCGAACTTCGGTGGATGACGTGAGGAGAAGAGTGCATTCAATTGAAAACTCATCCGCTCAGGATCTCCTGGGAGTTCTCAGCCTGTCGTGTCTGGCAAAAACCAGTGAGCTTGCAGACAAAGTCTTTGGGGGTATTGGAGCTAGCTGTATATAAAATCTATATTCCCGTTACCGATTTTGTCTTGCACATTTTGTTCGTTGTTGCTCTCCTAATGCCGAGTCTGGCAATCTAGCATGACGGTTCCAGTACAATTCCGGATCCCAACTACGAAGAGCCGGTGGACTCTCTTGTTCGTGCAATTACCATCAAGAAGTTGACTACGGTGTGTCCTGAGCAGGTAGTCGATATTATCTGTCTGGACCATGGTAGAGTTCCTAGACGAGAAGATCTCCCGTCGTGGGTCGTTGATTGGATAAGCCTCTGGGAGCAGCCAGATGGTAATATCTTGTCATCAAGGCTCACTCGTTTCTTATCCAGTTCTGATTTCACAAAGTATGAGGCATGTGGGCGGTCGCGTGTAACAGTGCAAATTTCTCGAGACCAGAGAACTCTGACTTGCTACGGCTACCATTTTGATATCATTCGCGGCCTGTCTCTTTTCGATTCACGAGTTGGATTCGTAGAAGCCGCGCCTCACAGTCTATCAACTTTGACCTCATTCGAGAACCAATTGTGGAGACAGCAAAATGTCTACGGGTCCGAACTGGAGCTTCTCAAGGCCATTTGGCTGAGCAGCATCCATAACCCGGTGATAGACGGCACGGGAATGACAACATCATCATCCGTACAATCCTTTCAGAATCTTTTCTCTGACAAGGTTCAAAAACCTGCCTGGGTTGAATCAACCTGGATGGACATCATCAAAGAAGCAGGGGAGTTTAAACTATACGGACGAAAATTAAACGACTGGTTTGCAGCTTCACGAGATCTCAGCTGTCTTGAAACTATGAATATCTTGAAAAGCACGGAGTACATAGACCCAGCCGACCGTGAAAATTCCTTCTGGGACTCCATCCAAATTGGACGGTTTGGCCGACGAATGATGGAGACTGCCATGGGATATGTTGGGACCGCTCATGCGCAGGCGCATGTCGGAGACTCGGTAGTTTTGCTACAAGGTGCTTCGGTACCTATCATTCTGCGGCCATGTGATGGTGGCTATAGAGTCATTGGAGAGGCTTATGTGTACGGAATTATGCAGGGAGAATTTTGCAAAACTCAACATGAATCTGAGATGAAGGCTTTCCATCTTAAATGAAAGTGAAAGTAATTCATGCTTATCTTCTGATGCAAGAAATTGCATATGCTGACGACAATCGACTCTGATTGGGAGTGATCTTTCGAGACTACGTCTTCAGAATGGATGAAATTGCCATCCCAAGATTCAGAAGTTCATCATCCGTATCGTGGGAGAAACTAGATCACATTTTGAATTAAACGCTCATATTGCTATCGACATTCTGTAAAGATCACAGCAGTTTCTTTGACCAAAACGCGGTTGACCACTTTCTTTGAAAGAAACAAAGTGCCTGTATTTCGGCGCGACGCACACATTGGTTTTGGTTCTCCTTCTTTGTACGAAGTGTTTCTCACAACGCACAGTTCTCTGAACGACCCTTTCATTGTCGGGTCTGCAAGCCTTGAAATACGAACAACGTTTCTTTATACGACAGACCTATCCATGAAATATAAATAAGAAAACACTCTCTAAGTCATGTTATAGATAGAAAAAGATAGAAGAATTCATATTATAGCACAAACATGAGTGCACTTGACAGTAAACTCGCGCCTGTAGCAACCAGTGGCCAACGACTCATCTGGAAAGATGTTGTGTTGAACCCTGAGCCACTGGTCTCACCATCTGGAACCCCAAACCGAGACAAGATGATACAGTCCAGCGAAGCAAGCCCTCCCAATAGTCATGATGTGTCTCCACGCAGCGATCCAATCGTTTGGAAGGAAATTGACTGGAAGTCATCTGAAACAGAAAGGTCAACGGAATGCATTACCCCAGGCTTAGATCCCAAGCACTTGCCAAGGAAGCGTACACGTCTGCCATCTTCTGCCCCAACTGACCAATCTAGAGATGCTGGAATAAAAATGGCCCCAGTGGCTGCCACCGCCCCTGTGCAAACCTTCAAGGGCAAGAGAAAGCATTCCTCATCATGCTCAAGGGCCGATAAAAAAAGACGAGGCAGCTCCAAGACTCAGGATACCCCCCATTCTGTGGTCGTACCATGCACAGAATTCAAAGAATCGAATGACGTGAACGTCAAGAAAATGAAGCGAATCCAGTGTGGAAGAAGACCATTCACGTGTCCTACATGCGGGATCCCCCATTCCTCGCCCACACGCCTTGCTATTCATGTCAATACGGGTTGCCCAACACCACACAGATGTCTAAAGTGTAATAAATATTTCGCAACTTCGCCTTGTCTAACCAGACATAAGAGACAAATTTGTGGACCAAACCACAAGGAAATATATGGAAAGTTGATAGGAACTGCAATGCACATGCATTAGCATAGCATACGTAACTAGGCTCTATAAAAGAGTAGCCCAATAGCCGCAGGCTCTTCTCTCCTTAGCAACTAGCTTCTGTTCAATTCAGTGTCACCAGCGAACCTTCAGCTTTTCTCTAGCGACCCCTTCGTGCCTTGAAGTCACCTCAGCGTGCTCGTGATCATTACAGGAACGTTATATTAAAACCTTTACTGTTAGTCAATATTATAAGCAAATGATCTATATATGAAATACTTTTACTAATTGTGTTACTGAACGGGTTCCACATTTCCGGCATTTTGAAACAATGTTTTGAGCTTTCATGCCTAAACTTAACTAACCTAGTAACCCTCGTCCAGTCATAAACGAGTACAGCGGTGCTGCAAATGATTTCGACTAATAGTTTCGCCCGCGTTTGCTACTTCAGAGCCAGCTGATAGATTTCTTCGGTTTCCGTCTCGAAATCTTACAAGAAAAACGGCATTCATCCCCAGTAACCCGTTTTCCATGACTTTTTCTTTCAACAACGTTCCCCTGAGAATCATCTTGTTCCAAAAGTCATCCAATACTCACATCTGTTGATAAACTCATACATTGGCATGGCATTGCCTGTCTACACTTCTTCGATCTAACCCTTCATGAAACCTAGCTTCATCTTCACTCTACTATACTCCAGCATTATTACGCTGTTTATTCTCAACACAGGGTGTCACCATTCAGCTAGAAGCCACCCTTTGTCCTCGTGTTAACATTTGGCTCCGTCAAAGCAGTAAATGACCCGACCGTCTCACACAGATTGTTGATTTGAAGCTTAGAATCAAGCTCAGACAATGAACTCTTTGTCTAGCCAGCTCAAAGCCATTCTTTATCCTTGTGAAAGAACTATGGGGAGTCGCTAACTTTCAGTACTTTCATACTGTCAACATTGCATTGTTCTGATATCAAATCCTGAACATAAACAGACTCCTCAATTGGATATAAGAGCATTTGTACGTCTGAAAGTCGGGGGAGATTCGTGGTAAAATTTATCCGAGTTTTATCATTCACATACCCAAAGTTTTCGACAGAGCTAGCCCCTACTTCCAATTCGATTCCCAGCCCGAACTTTCATCGACATATAGTACCAGGCACTTCGACCCTTGAGCTCACGATGTCTAAGGGTTCCCGCACGAACATAAAGCTTGCTCCAATTAGCGACAAAACATCCAACTCAAAATCTCGTCAGAACATCGTGCTGGAAACTACAGTGCTAGATGCTTTTCGGCCGCATCGGCCGTCAGTCGCTCAGCCGATCCCTCTTACGTGGAGGGCAGTCAATCAAAAGCAGCCTCGAACACTCCGTCAGCCTCGACCGAAGCTGGCTAGAAGTAGTGGCAAGGAGATGGAATTTGCCACTCCAACAGCTCGGACTCTCCACGAGCATGTCAAATCCCCAATACCTCAGCCAGGGCCGGCCACTAAGAGCAGAATAATGTTGGATCTCACTACGCCAAGTCCTCCGCCATCGACCAAGAACACGTCCCCACACTGCCCGCCAACACCACGACCTGCTACGAGACAAACTCTAGCTATGGCTCATCTGAGATCGATAACACCAGAAGAAGTTAGGTTCATCCTCCGAAGGGAAGCTGCATCCTCGCCGGAGCGATGGACTATTCCAAAGGCTAGAGGTACTAGGGCTACCAAGGTCACCAAGGTAACTGCACCTACTCGTGAGCTTCGCCCTCGAAATAGAAAGGGTAAGGCAGTCACCATGGCCACCAACTTTAGATTCACTCGGAATTTGGTTGGAAAGGGTACTCAAGATTCTCCGTTGGTCATTGACTGAGCTTGGGCATCGGCCCTGAACATGATACACATGTGGAGGTGTCCAAATGCGAATAATTACCACTTCTCCAGAGGGGGACAGAAGTATGCGAAGAGTTAGTTCAAAATTCTCTTAGATTAGTATTCCAATCGATCTTTCATGCTGTAATGTCTTGATTCCCATGCACACTTTAACTTCTTGGAGATTAATATGACTTCAAGTGTACTGTGTTTGTGCCTCTCAGCTCAACCTTGCCATACTTTTCTACTAGAGATTAGTAGTTCAACAGTTCCAGAAACGCGAGCCCTCAAAATAATACTACGAGAAGCGATGTCCTCAGACAACTGCCTGAGGTTTCCCTTCTGCGGTACGGAACGCTAGGGAAGACTTCATACATCGCGCTCATTGCCAGCTTATCCTAAGCTTCGCATGTAATGGATTCCTTGATATCAATTCCTGGATACGTCCTTCAGTATCTGTTGCGCAGCGCAACACGGGTGGCACTCAAAGTCAGCTAATGTGATACTGTTTATTCAATAATTAAGCGAGCACCCAGAAGATGGCAAACAACATCTAGAATTTCTTGTCAGCCCCGGAGTAGACATCTTTGTGCATCACCAATTTCGTTGAATTTTCTCAGTCAAGATAACAAAGACTCCTTTGGTTATCTGGCGATCTGGTTTCGATGAATATAAGTACAACCTGCTTCTGTTGTCAATAGATGTACTGCGAGTCAAAGGTAGCCCTTAAGTCAACGCAAGCAGAGCCAGGCTTCCTGCGTATGAATTTACCGTGGGGTTCTTTTTCAATTCCAGTAGAACCCTAGGATGTAACATTAGCGGGTAATGAAAGACTGTACGTTGTCTGGCTGACCGACAAAGAATTCTGCTGTTGCTGGTAGGGTGACTGAAAGCCTTGTTGAGAAGACAACAATGCCCTTATTCTCCTAAGACAAGCATACAAAGACAAGCCAGACCCCAACAAAAGCTCTTCAGTTGATTTTTGAACAACACCCGTCCAGTCCATATATAGCCTTTCGCCTCAACGGAGCCTCGACTGAAATTCAAGCTTTCCAGCAACCGCCACCGGTCTGTCGCCCTCGCCAACGGAGTACCACAAACTACCATGAATTCCCACGTTCAAGCTCTTTTCATCCTCGACAACTCCATCCTGGGATTCATTCCCAACCGGGACTCCTCATCTCACCATTCCAATTTCTCAGAAGCCAAGATCTCGACCCGCAAAGCTGTGTCTCGATTCGCTGTCGAGCTTAGCTCACATCTTATCGAGGGCCTGGATCTGGAATTACAGATAGCCTTGACGACAAGTATCTCTCGCAATGTAGTACAGCCGAGATCCCTATTTTCTCCTTCGGAAATTCCTAGACCTGATGAAGAGGAGATGACAGAAGAGGAAGAAGTGAGAATGATGTTGGATGCTCAAGTGCCGTCGCCACCATCTTCTCCACGGCCCGGATCAACCTTCGCGTTTGGGATTTTGCCTCATGGAAAGGAGATGACGGAAGAGGAAGAAGTGAGAATGATGATGGATGCACAAGTACCCTCACCATCATCTTCTCCTCCGCCCTCTGTACCAGCCATCAGGGTATGGTCTCCACCGCGTTCATCACAGACAGCCACGGCCACAACGGCACGCCATAATACGAACATCTCGGAAACCTCATATTTGAGCCCTGATCAATACTCTAGCAATCATGCGGGAGTTGATACAAGCCGAGAAGTAGATTACGGCAGACCAAGTGACCCTGGAAGCTTTGCACCATTCGCCTTTCATGCACATCCACCTTGTCCCGAATGCGGCCTGGTTCTCCAAAGTCTTCCAGCACTGATAGAACACCGCAGATTTCATTATTGAATTTCAGGACGCCAGGTCAGTTTCCTCTTTCGGTTTTGCTGATGACTTTCACTAGGATTATCTGGTCGGCAGCTAGGAGATTCGATGAATGTAAATATTAATTAATGGATTGATACCAGAAAGGTAGTATAGCACCGTATCCACCATTTCCTCGGCCTCCTAACCCCACCTCACCCCTTTGTGAAGATGTGGATTTTGATGTTGATGACTGTTTCTTAGCTTGATACGAAGCGGATCGAGTACCTCATGGTCCAATTGAAGCCAAAAAATACTAGAAATGAGCAAGACGGACAACAGGTATGTGCCTCGCATTTATTTTTGGCTGACGGAGTACAGGAAAGCGTCACTAAACCCGCTTTCTTCTCGCTTTGAGACGAGGTGTTGAGCCTTTCCACAAAAAGCTGCAACAAGACAAAAGACGAAAAGGTAAGTATCTTCCAATTTTGAATTCAACTGACAAATTGAGTTCCGCAGGTTTCGCTATATGCGGAAACAGGTGCAAGAATTCTTCTCTATGTATATGAACTCTATGAAGATAAATCTGAACAGGTAAGCCCCCTCTAAATCATGGATTCGGCTGACGAATATTGGTGAAGTGGATAAAGAACACGAATAGCAATAAGACAAGAAAAAGAGGTAGGCTTAGCCCTATTTCAACTGACAACAGATTCGAGAAACATCCTGCCTCTGTTCCAACATTTCAAGCCAAAAGATTTAGAGAACATAAAATAAACGAAAATCGTCGTCACCAGGTAAACACCCCCTCTTCTAGGTTTCTGCTAACTTTTTTTCTCTCAATAGGATCACACTACAGAGTTTGGAAAATATTGACAGGTAAGCTCTCCATCCCAGTCAAGTGATAACAGTGCCCAGTACTACAATCCGCCACCCAACTGTGTGACCTATTCAGAGTTACAGGTCAAGAACACTAGGCAAGGTACGTCCTATTCTCCCTCTGCTAAACATTCAGGGAAACGGAAGTCCCATTTCAACCGCTCAACACGATCCTATTGTCCAGGTATTCGAATCCCCAACTTGTTCTGCTAGAGCACGACACCACCAATATTTCCACAAACACAAAACGGTGCGTAATCCCCTTCTCAAGATCCAGCTAACTGTACACCAGACCCAAAATATGTGCCTACTTAGCCACGCCACACAGGACTCGAAATTGGAATGTAAGTTCTTCCCCTCCTCCGAGTAGACTAATTTTGCCTACAGAGAACCATAACTTCTGGCCTGATAGCGTGGCAGCGGGCATTCAGCTTGAGGACCAGGAGAATAACGAGGGAATAGAAGAAAAGTACATTTGATCACAGCCCCAGCGATTGTTTTTCAAGATGACAGCAGCGGTAGGTAGGTAGGATAGTACGCCACGAACTCGAAGCCCTGAGGACCTCTGGGACCTGGGAATCTTGACATACAAGACACGGAAGGATATCCGCCAGCTTACCTCTGACCCCAAATTCCTCTCTCACTGTTTGATACAAAGACAAATCAACAGAAGAAAGGAGAAAAAGATGAGTAAGATAAGTAAACGACCATGTTTGTAAGTATCTCTCCCCAGTCGACCGCCCGCACCTGTCTACAATTAACACGCCAAGGCAAGCACCTCAGAACTACGAAACTAGATGCCCAGAACCTCAAGATCAGATATAGGAGCCAAAGAACCACCAAGGCTGGAGAACAGATAAAGTAAAATACGGTAAGGTGAGTGAGTATCGCTCCTGTTTTAGGATCCAATGCCCAGAAGGAAGAACTGCGCGCGCCAGCCTATGGACAAGAACTAGAGAACCAAGGACGAGGAACGTAAAATACCAGGTAAGTAAGTATCCCAACTTCCTTCGTTCTCCTCCCCTCTCTTCTTCCCTCTCCTCCCTAGGGAAAAGACCGCAGCCCAACCTTAACATCTCTCAACACAGCAACCCGTCCAGGTCCAGGACCAGGACGTTGAGAAGAATAGCATCTAGGACCTCCAGGAATTATAACACACGCGCATGTATACCAAGATTAAAGTTGGCGTGGCTGGGCTAGCACGAGAAGGCAATGCAACTCAAAAAGAAGGGAGCGATGCGGAAGCAAGGGGGTGGTGGGCCATACATTCGACGCTTATGTTTATTGTATGTGTACACCTTATGCAATTCTTCTTCTCTTCGCTTTGAAGTCATTCCTTCTTGGCCTTCTTCCTATCTACGTCTCTCATCGCTGTGCAGACCCGGTCGGGTATATGTACATCTCCAGGCCACATTGGGGCCTTCTTATCCAAATCTTCCTCAGGCATGGTTTACGAAGGGAACAAAAATGCCCAAGACTCCGTCAATGCAGTATTACCCAAAACTCCTGCACTGGAAATACATCACCTGGTCCGGTGTGTGTACGCTCCGGCTGTATGTACCCAATCAACGCCGTGTAGTTCCCTTTTGTCGTCCTCGAGTCCAAGACAAGGACGAGAAACAACTCCTGTAAACGCCCGACGACGACGATGCGTATTTATATATGCGGTATGGTGCATGCTCGCACGCTCGCTCGCTCTCAAAATGCTATTGCGTGAATGGGTATCGCATCGTTCCTCCTCTGCCCTTCCTCCCCTATTCGCTTTCTCTCTTTTCGATATGTCCATGATTTCCTCACTGATTTATACAAGTCCACCAGCACTCATTCTTCATAAAATTCGTAAAAGGTTGCCCAACCCCGCCTTTGGCTTGTCTTCCGCTTGTAGACTGCGCGGGATATGTGGGATGGATCGACCGTGGATATCGGTATTCTGTTGAATGACTTCTTGTTTGATCCATTCTTTTTGTTCGGGGACCCAGAGATGTCTGTGCTTATTGTTAGCTAGGTTCTCTCGTTTTTACTCCTTGATCGAAGATGAAGATCAGATGGACGCTTACCCCTCATGTTTCGTCTTTGTCAATGCTCTGGCAGAGTACTCCTCTGTCAAAATCCTGTCGAAACTATACGGCACCAAAGCCGGCACACCCTCATACACCGTCTCTCTCAATGGGTATAAATCTCTCGTACGGTAACGATGGTAATTCTTGCAACTCCAAACCCCCGGCTGAGCACTCGGGTTCGTCTCACTGAGCCCAGTAATATCAATGAACAACCCATTCCGCACATCAATCCACCTCGCATCAATGACATTCTGCCCATTCCCTCTCACTCGCTCCGCCGAGTACGGATTAACATCCAGCAGATACTCGCGGATAATAGGCGTCCCGTCCGGATCCGGCATGGTAAAGTTATGCATCGTCATATTCATATTCTCGCCCAACCAAGCCAGTGTTGCGCCAGAGACCTGCGTATCGAGATCCCAATCCCACGGCATGATCTTGCCATTCCACCACCAGCCCAGCAGTGTGCCATGCGCGATCCACGTCTCGATGTTTCGCTCGCGAAAGACGGATAGGTAGGAGCGGATAAGGTGGTAGAGGGTCTCGCCGCGCTCTTCGTACGTTACGGGCTTGCCTGTGTAATACCGTATGTCGTAGTGGCCCAGCTCGTTGTCTCCACCTGGCTCATGGAAGTATTTCCCATCCCATTTGGGCTCTTCTTCGTCGTTTCGCCGCTGTATGTCTGCATTGCTGATTCGTACTACATTGTCTGCGTTTGGGGGTGGGGGAGCAGCGAGAGAGGATGTGAGCAGGAGGGAGCTGGCGAGGAGATTTTGTAGCCTCATGATTTTGGGTGTTAGAGATAAGATGGCGAGGCTGAGAAATGGTCCGAACTTCGCAACTAGGTCTCGCTCATAGAAATACAAGACTCGATTGACCTTGGGGATATCGTCCAATAATTGAAATTGTCGTCTGATAGACTCTGGATATGTCCAGAGAGGAGGGCAGGCTCTTCCTTAAGTTGTCGCGTGCTCTCTGCGCCGATTTATCCTTGCCAAGCAGCAGCCAAGAGATGACCTTGGCAGATCTTGTCAATTGAAGCTGGTGAGATGCAATTGACTTGAACGATGTTACACTAAGACTCGTATCGAAAAGGATCTAGAAACACGCAAACCAAAGCGCTATGCTGACAGAGGAAGGACAGAATAGATACAGGATCAGAATGAAGAAAGTAAGAACGGAATAGAAAACGGAGGGCACCAGACTGTTTTGTCTGGTTTATCCTGTTGGCGCGGGCTGGGTAGAAGAAGAAGGACATGATAAACCGGGGGGGACGACCGCGTAGACAGATTTTCGGGCCAGCGAGGCCAGGTCGATTAGATCCCGGGTCTTGGTTGGCCGGGCCCAAGCTGCTGGAGTATAACTAGTACTTACAGTAGTACTGTAGTGGAGCTCATGTTCAGCCTACGCAATGCTCCCGCCAGCATCCAAGGCCTTGTCCAATCTCGGACGTGGAAGACGCGGAAGAAGAGGGACGAGGTGGGCAGAGGTGGGAAGACAGAAAGAGCAGGCCAACTAGGTATGGAGCTGTGTCGTGTGACAAGTGGGATGTGGCGCTGCATAAACAGGGATGCGAAGCATGGGTTTTGTGCAAGTGCACAAATTTACAGTGAGGAAGGCGTTGGCCAAGACCGGCCGGCTCATATCAGTCTCAAGCCACTGCCTTTCTGCATCCGGCAGGTTATAAATAGGGGGGTGCATTCGAGATGAAGACATGACGACATATAAAGTAAATTTAACATGGGCCAAAAAACAGATTCAGGAGATATCCTCACGAAAGGGTTCACATTCAAGAAGATTCAAACTTCTAAAATCTACCTCCCCATTAATCCCAACAACCTGGTCAACCCAACCACAATTGATTCGCGGCCACTTGCGAGTTCAACAACGACAGCTCCAACCATGTGGCTTAACCACCAAAAATCTAATTCTCCGACACCGAGAACAAGCGTCGCGCCCGCTGATGAACTTTCCCAGAAGCAGCCAGTACGAATCTCGGTCCCGAAAATTACCCCTGCATTGGACTTTTGATGGACGTTGTGCATCGGATCAAGACTTCCTGGTGCTAAAGAGACACGCGGCCACTTTCTCTTCGCAGATTATTGCAGAAAATACAGTCCTGAGTTTGAGTCGAGTTGTAAGTGGTGAGCGATAAAGATATTATCTTTATTTAATTGGGGGCCAGACGTGAGATCAGGAACAGATGTAAGTCGCCGCCCTGGCTCGCCTGGGTACTGTCCCACCAGTACTGTACAGCTGCCATGCATTCTCAAGCCACTGACTGAGCACAAGGCTGCACAAGTCTTGAGTGTCCTTTCCATGCCAATTCAATCATCATCATCAAAAGCCAGCCAGCCAGTCTCCTGCTGGGAGATTGAATTGAATGTCAGCACTAGGCAAAGCTGACAATGAATACTGAACACGGCATCATTAAAGTTCACACTTTCATCCGAACTCTTACGCTACGTAGTCTCATCCCGAAGTCTGTGTTCTCTAAATTTACCTACCTACTTATTACCAACCAGATCTTGAGCCTCCCCTCTAGACCTCAATCTCCAGTAAATTACAAGCAATCCTCAGAGGGTAACAATTTCATATGATCGTGTGCTTGCCTGCTGTATGTGTCAATACATTTTCGGCACATCGAGCGGATTAATCCAAGAAATGAGAATGACGGTCCCGATGCTGGTGCCCAGCCGGAACGTCGGAGGACATGCTTGCCATGTTGGAAGGGTGTGGGGATACGAGATATAATGCGAGTGCGAGATATAAGGCAGGACAGGGCAGGATGGAAAGTGGAGTTGAGTTGAGGCTCAAGCTGATGGATTGACAGTCGAATTTCTTGACATCGTGGAAACTGAAGTAGCGGCTGAGGGCGTCAATCCCGAAATTTGCTTGGCAGAAGTCGTACGCTGTACTGTACATCCACACATAATACCTGCCAGGAAGCAAGCAAGGCAGCCACGCAGTCTTAGTCTCAGTATAACTCATAATTTAATGTCCAAATGACCGCAGTCAGTCCTCTCCTCCCCAGATCCGAAAACTATCCAACCATCCATCACTTTCACAGCCGCCATCCCCCCCCCCAAAAGATCGCATCCATCCGCGTGTACCAAGCTTTCCAGCCACAGGAGATCAAACGCTCAATCTCAAACAGCGCATGGATACTCCCCTAACTATCCTGAAAGATGCGCAGTTTATGCGTGTGATATATACCTCCGTATGTTACTCGAGTAAGTTCAAGTTGGAAAAGGATGACGAGGTTGTGGGGTTTATGAGTGAGGCTGACGGGATGGCTGCTGAGTTGCTGAAGTGGATATCGCAGGAAAGTACAGGACCTTGTTGGTGCCTCAACTCTCAGGCTTGAAGTTTTTTGAGATGAGTGAGCCGAGACCGAGGCAGCGGCATTGCGGAAGCGAGGACCGGACTTGAGGCTCCTCGCCGGCATCTAAAGTATCAATCAACCATACACAGTCATTCCAAAACATTGCATCTTATTGATGTCGAAGATGTCAAGATTCTGAATTGGACTTGTGAAGGGTATAGGATTGGAAGGAACCGACATATCAGAGCAAAGGATCTGGCATAATGGCGGAAGATGCGGAGGCATCACGTGCGAAGGCTATGAAGGCTGTGGAGGCTATCTTTGAGCGGTACGTTGGCTGTTTACTGCGTTATATTTTCATTTTTCACTTGTGCAATAGTCTTTTTAACTTGTACTAACAAGATCTGATATCTTTGAATACCTTCTTCGACTTTCCATTCATCCAAACCCTGTCATGACTTCACTCCCTTTCCTCGCTTCCAGACCACCCTATCTCGCTTCTATCCCCTTTGTCAATTCAACATCTCAAAATAGATCCATTTTCTAGCGTCAATATGCATCATCACATCAAAAATGACAGAGTCAACCAGCTAATGCAATTCTAGATACCTCCTCATAGCCAAAGCCACCGATTTCACCGGCTTCGATAGACACATCATGGAGAACGTCAAGCTGATAGACGCTTCCGCCGAGGGAACCGTGACGTTCGAATTTCATATCGATGAGAGGTATTCGAATGTCAATGGTGTCATGCGTGAGTGACTCTTCCCTTTCATTCTCTACCACGGAGGTGTTGTTGTCGTTCGAAGGCCATTTCTCTTCTGGGTGGGGATTTGTCGATGAGGTCTATCTAGAGAGACGTTCAAGATAGCATTTACGGACCTTCTCTGTCCTCAATACACTTCATTTCTCATTGCATCTAAGCAGTTTCAGAAGAGTTTGGTCCTTGAGGCTGACAAACAAGCAGATGGTGGAGCAGCAGGCGTGATCTTTGATATGTGCACGACGACCGCTTTAGGTCCACTTGCTAAACCTGGGTTCTGGGAGTAGGTACCTTCTCTCCTGCTCACTTGCAAAACATGATTGCTTATATTATTGATTTTAGTTTCCTCGGTGGTGTAACAAGAACCTTGAACATCAGCTACTTACGAGCTATTCCAGTCGGTACGTTCGCTACTTCCAATTCTCCCCCACCATTTTCGCCATCCATTCCCCCAACTTCCTCCGTCATCACTTCCTTTCAGCACCTCCCACAGCCCCCTCATCTCCATTCCAACCCCCCTCCCCCCTCCCCACTCCCCCAAGAAACCCAACCCTAACACCCCCACCCTTACAAAACAGACACCACAATCCGCATCCACAGCCGCGTCCTCCAAGTCGGCAAAACCATGGCCATGATCCGCAGCACCATGACCACGCAAGACGGCAAAACAGTCCTCTGTACATGCGAGCACCATAAAGTGGGCTTGCCTAGTCGGCCGGATCATCTGAAGCATCGGATTCCGTGGGATGAGCTTTGGGAGAAGGATGGGGAGGGGGAGGGGAAGGGGAAGGGGGCGAAATTATGATGTTGGTGATTGGGTGGGAGGAGGGGAGGGAGGAGGAGGGGAGTGGGAGAGGTTGCGCGATGTTATTTACGTATTTCTGTTTCTGGCGGACGATGTTCTGGCGAGTTGGATAGAAGTGCTTCCTAGAAATCTGATATCAAGCATAGCTAAAGTGTTTTGAGCTTTCCCGAACTCAAATCAGACAAACAAAAAGTCTCTTGCTTGATGTCTCCCACTCATGGCTTTCGTCAAATAGAAATGGAAGAGGATACACGGGCTTCGATTACTCAAGTAGAGACGCTAGGGAGATCAAATGAGGCCTAAGGGGAGTATTTGACGGAGTCGGAGTCATATTCTGGCTTCATCTTCCCAGCTATTTACATTAAATGTCAAGGTCTCCCCAGCACTTGACGCTGAGTTTCCTCCACTTTTTGCATCCTTCGGCTTGAACCGCTTGATGTTTTGTATCTCTGGATACTTTTCCTGTCGCTGGAGCTGTGACATGTGCCAGCTCAGACTTCCCCGATATCATCATCGAGGTGGTCTCTGAGGGTGTAACTCCTTCATCCCATCAAGTATGACGAGTTTGAACCCATCTTCCTTGGCCCCTTTTCTCCCTCGCACGCCGCGTGCCAACGACTAATCTTTTGACCAAGGCCGAGCGTCGGCGACAATCAATTCCTTGTCAACATCTATTGACCGAAAGACTGATAGTGTCTCACAAAAATAGTGAGCCGTAGTGTTTAAAATCCGATAGTCCGATAGTCGTCCATCCTTTCAAGGATCCCTCCTAAACGAGTTCAATCCACTCTTCAAGTTAAATTTGAAATTGAACCCTCTCGCCCTCTCCATCATCGGTAGACTAGGCGTTACACTCAACGGAATCGATTTCGCCCTATCTCTCGTCCCAACCCCGAACCCAGCCCCAGCCCCAACCCCAACCTCACTATCTCTAAACTCCACCTTCTTCTTCCCCACCCCACCAAGATTCCTCCCCTCCCCTCCCAGATCAAGATATATCGTGATCTCCTCCCCGCTCTTCCTACTCATCGCGGTCATCGTGCTGAACGCTCGCTTCTTTTTAAGCGATTGCTGGCGTCGGCGGAACAGGAAGAGGATGAAGGTGCAGAGAATGACGAAGGAGAGAACGCCGAGGACTATGGCGGCGATTATGGCGGGGGACATGCGTTTTGTGGCCATTTTCTGGGCGGTCGGCGTGGCTTGGTTGGCTTCGGCTTGGTAGGATGTTCCAGATTGTGAGGTGGATGGGAGGAGGCGCGTTGCGCTTTGGGACATGAAAGTTGCTGACGTTGAAGAGGCGAGGAGAGCGGCTTGAACTGATGAGCTTGTTGATATTGATGTGGATGTTGAAGACGACGTTGATTGAATAGTGGAGGCGAGAGATTCTTGTACTGCTGATGATGTGGAAGATCGTGGGATCGTGGATGAGGTGAATGGTATTAGGTTTGATGACGGAGGTGTTGTTGAGGATGTTGAATGTGGTGGAGGTGATGTTGTGGATTGAAGAGTTGTTTGTGGAGGTAGAGTAAATACTGGTACTGGTGTACTTGAAGTCGTCCGGAGAAGACTAGTCGTGCTTTGAATCACAGGCTCTGGAGTAGTCGTACTCGAAGTAAAAACAGGTACTTGCTCAGTTGAAGTTGGATCAGCAGGAGGAGCCGTGAAGTCCACGGTGGGTTCCGGTGGTGGCGCAACGACTGAAGTTGGTGGTGGTATTGTTGTCGTCTCTGGCGGTGCAGCAAGAGGTGGTGCTGCTGCAGGCGTGCTCTCAATAGGAGCTGGTAAAGCGGAAGATGATGGAGTATCCTTGAGAAGTCCACATATCTGCCTAAAGAGTACTTGGGCACCTACAAAAGTCAGATGAGAACAGATCAGATGAGGTTGTCTGAATCATTTAAACTCACTTGCGGCGGTTACAATACCGCAATCAGTCACTAAACATTTGTTCTGCGAAGTGACTGACCCCAGAACACTACTTACAACTCCGAGGATGCTGTCTGGTTTCTGGCATTGACAGGCGAAGTCATCCGCGGCGCAGCCAGCAGCTGTCGCTGCCGAAGCAATGCAATTGTTCGAGCATCCAGGAAGCTTGGCGATCTTTTCTTGTAATCTCTGCGAAGTCACCGAATGAAGTAATAATGTGAAAACAATTAAAACAACATCATTACGAGAAGATAAGAACATATTGACAGCCTGCTGCCCTTGGGATTGACATTGAGGTTGACGATGTTGGGGACGACGTCGAGCCAGACTTGGGATGCAGGTGAAGGAAAGGACCTCGAAGTATCCAGAATGGGCACCAGACGCACATATCCCCAGCACTGATCTCCCGCAAAGGATCCGGTGGATCCACGCCAGGGCAGGGCATCTTTCGGCTGGTGAGCGGTTCCTTGCCCAGCGATCATATCGACGACTTAGGATGGGAGAGGATGAAAACCACAAACCCACACTAGACGACATCTATCAGACGATACAGAGGTCAGACACAAGTCCTCCAATCGCAATGCCGAGAAACATCGAACGGGTCCATGCCACGAAACTAAATCGTTGCGGGAATCGGCTGGTGTTTTGTTGCTCGGGCGCAGAAACATCAGAAACGCGGGTTGAAACATCGTGAACCTCGTCAAAGCCTCCTGGTGCCAATTATCCCACACTCCCGCGATTTCACTAGCGACCGCCAATGAGACCCCGAAACCTGTCACGGATGCTGAAGTGAACTGGTAGGCCAATCCTTTTGAACTTTCTTATTGCTCCAAGATCCTAAATGTCTTGAGAGGCGTCGCTATCTTTTTGGACGGCGACCTATGTTGATGCTTCCTGACGTAACCGTCCATCCTTCTTTCTGTGCTACACTCTGACAATTAAGATGGCATGTTTGGGCGTGTCCATGATTGATGTAGTAGGTAATTTTGAGAATATATTGAAGAACAGAGCGTCTTGATATCGTGCAAACGCAAATGAAGAGGTTGCCCAGACTTGACGACAAACCTACTTTGGGAACAAGAAGCGATGCGGTTGGTGAGTGGGGACAACATGACGATAGGCATAAATCTCCTTTGAACTCTCCGGCAAAAATCTTCCGACGATCTCCTTTGGCCTTGGCTGAACTCGCACTGTAATCCAGCAACCGTGGACAGGAGATCCTGTCGATCACAGCAACCAATCGCTTTCAATGACCACCGCTTCAGATCCACAATTTATTTTTCAAAACAGTATATGCTGACTCTCCCCAACTTTATTTATTACCTTGTATGCCTGATGAACTTTGTCCTTCGCGCCATCACAGTGGTGCATCGAGCCCTACAATACCCTCTCTCGCCTCTTTCCTCGCCGTCACCTCAATCTCGATCCTCATCTCATCCTTCATTAACTCTGCCTGGATCATAGTTGCCGCTGGTCTGACATCACCAAAAGCCTTCTTCAACACCGGCCATATCAAGGGAAACTCTTTCTTGTCCGGTAGAATATATCTCACTCGCACGACATCTTTGAGGGTCGCGTCGGCCTCTTGGAGTGCCGTTTCGATGTTTTTGAGTGTTTGTTCCGTTTGTTCGATGATTGATGAGCCGAGGACTCCTGTGGCGTAGTCATAGCTTCATTTATTATTAGCCTTCCTGACTCTCTGGAATCTAAGTGGTGGGAGGAACAGAGAACAGACCCAGTGGTTCCTGAGACGAGAATCCAAGACCCTGTGACAACGGCGCGGGAATAGCCGATTTCAGCTTCGAAGGCAGAACCGGACGATATGTTCTTTCTTGCCATGGTTCGTGATATCACCACTTGCTTCAGTATATCTTACTGGAATTTTTTTTCAGTGTTCCTGGAAGCTGATGCGAGAATACCTAGTTAAAGTGGTGCTGAAGTGAGTCACGCCTCGATCCGAAAGGTGGGGTCGAGACGATCCGGGGAAGCGAGACCAGCCGAAAATCAAAGTCTACATGCGGCCGGATGTAAACAAAGCCGTAACTCAATTGGATTGTGTATCAAAAGTACCGCACAATGACACGTTCATCGGATGGCCATTGCGACTAGTGTGCAGAAAACCGATCTTAATATAGAGAGAGTAAGCTGATCTAGAAACAGAGTTGAGGATGTCCGTGAAACAAACTGGACAAGGCCGAAAATTAAGCGACACTCACCTAAGTGCCTGTTCGGATGCCTTGCTTGACACGAACACCTTTCTTGCGAAGCTATCCCAAAAAAACTATTATACCTTTCTGGATGGTTAATTTACGCAGATCTAGACCTCACGTGGCTTTATGTATGCCTCTTCTAAACGTTTGAAATAGCACATACCTCAACGGAATCCAAAGTCTTTAGTATTTTACATGGCAGGCGAATTTCAAGTACGCATGTCCATGTATATCAGCTGTTGGCCTTCTAGAGAAAATGAGCACTGTCTGTTACTGCCAAGAGACGATGCCAGTACAAGGTGTCGTTGAAGCTGCCAATCAAGTGCACGCACGGATCGAGTCCCTCGGGCTCTCAGGTAAACGCCTTCAAGCTATTAACATAGCCATATGGTCCACTCTGCTACGCACTGGGCAGTACTAGGTATGTCCGACGTAGCATCACGTGAATACTTGTCAATGAAAAAGAGCAAAGTAAATTTGAAGTGATACCCTTGAAGAATGGACCAATGTTTGAATAAATGAAACTTACTGGATCTAGGGGCTGATTGGGGTTTTCATAGAGCATGGACAAGCAACATGTTATTTGAGAATATACGTGAACCGAGGAGGGAAATGGAAACCCATTGGAGAGTTAATTAAATTGAGGTAACACATGACGCTGGGAATGTTTACGCTGTCTACGTTGTGTTAAACATTGTCTTTGTTGTAGAAGAATTTGCTGGGATTTCAATGCGACATAGCAATGTTGTGAATCACCAGCCATCGCGTGAATCAAGACAATGTTAATGTAGCTATTGCTTGTATTGCTATCTATATGATATCATCGTTCACTGGGACAACGACATTTATGTCGCTGGGAAAGCTCGCCAACCCGCGTGAGTCACAAGAAAGAATTATAAGATTCGTCTCGCACTTGGGACATGGACACTACCATTTTGTAAGCCACATCTCGAGATCCATAACCCTGGGTATCCGTCACCATGATGGCTCCTTCGCGATTGCGCGCCCGCTTCTTGAGAGCTACGAATCCTCAACGATACATCCGACCAGTGGGTATGCGAATCCCAACTATAAGTACTTTTTTCAATCGTGCGACAATCGAAACCCACGGCTTGGAACCAGTCACAAATCGAAATGCAATGATTCTGGATAATATCGTCCAAGCCAAGTGTCCCTCGTCCAACTTTCCTGGGAAGCAGCAAGACGTCAATGCTGAGATCAAAAAACTGCAATACATGTTCAACCGGGAGATAGCTGCTATCGCGAAGCATACGGCCAGTGGAGTCTATATGCGAGCGGCTCACTACCGGGAGGACCTAGATCCAGACTACTACAAATGCGAGGATCAGAGATATAATAGCATTCTGAAAGACCGAAAGGCCATCGCCCATACAATGGACTTCCGTGCATGCCTCCAGCTCGTCGACGAGCAGGAGATTGACCCGGTGTACATGGACATTGTCTTCGGTATCTCCCTAGAAGAGGCGACAATGTTCAGCGTACTCGAAGAACTCAGCGGACAGGTCTACAAAGCACTCGACCCAACATACGTCCTTCAAGCTCGGGCGAAATTGAGTTACGGAACCATACCTAAGTTCGGCAGACCAACAACCCCTTCAATGTTTGCAGACTGGTTGAAGTTTATTCGGGATGTCTGCCATTGTTTCCTTGACCTGGGCGACATCAAAGATGAGAAGTTGTTGCAGGCGATGGTTTCGAAGGGTACCAGATTGAGAGAAGACTTCCTTGAGGCTGCAGCTGAAGAGGAGAGAAGATACGAGCGGGAGAAGAGAATTGTGACAGGACGACTAGAGGAGCAAGTCGAGCGGGATGTTGAGAGACTCAAGAAGTTGTGGTACTGGCCTGAGATGAAGGAGAAGCTGTTTGGTCTGTGGGGCATTGACGTTTATAGTGACAGTGACGATGATACTGACACTGACGATGACTCTGACGATGACTCTGACGATGACTCTGACGATGACTCTGACGATGATTCCGATGATGATTCTGACGATGATACTGACTCTGACGAGGACTCTGACGATGACACTGACTCTGATGATGACGATTGAGTGGAGACATGGTTGTACATTAGATGAGCAAAGCCGCTTTGGGAGTTGGTGTTACTTTGATTTCCTTGATTTTGTTGTTGCTGCTGTTATGGGAATGATATCCACATCGATCGCATGCGGCGGTAAAGAGTCAGGTTGGGATGTATTCTGTCAGGCCACTAAACAGGCACTTTAGGTGCGTGGATATGGTAGATCAATCTGGCATTCCAAACTCTTCTGCATTACCTAGAAGCAGACGAACCTAGTCCATAGGAATGAATGGACTATGAGGTAATGCTGATTTTGCATGCCTTTAGAGGCATCATGAAAGTGCTGTCATAAGTCCTATTACAATTTAGCACTATGAACCTTGGCGAGGTGGGAAATGTCTCTACCACACATGAGAAGACTGACCTGTCTAAACACATTCTCCAAAACGCTACAGCATGGCCTGCATGTTCCATTTCCACTTGTGCGACAGAATCTTTGGGCATGGCACATGTGGATGAAAAATGGTATCGTCCTGTGACTATTCATCGTTCTGGATGCCACGGAAATCATACAAGCCTCCCGTAACCACGCCGAAAATCCAACGCCAGCGCTCAACACACAAAGACCAAATTCGAACGGATCTTTGACAAACCTAAGGACTGCTCCTAGCTCTGCCGTAACCTCACTGACCATCCTGCTGCTCCCTCAACCTCTTCATCCTCTCCTCCGCTGCCTTCGCCAATATTTCCCTCCTACTCATCCCTCCCGCACCTCCATTTCCACTCCCACTCCCAGCGCCAACACTCTCGGCACCACCACCCTTCCCCACACCAAGCACAAACTCTCCCCCAGTCCAACCCCCATGATCATCAACTTCATCCTCCTCCCCATCCCCACCAGGCGCATACGCATCCGGCTCCCCAACCACAAACCCACTCTTCGTATAATCCGCCTTCTCCACCTCTCTCTCAATTTGTTTACACAACTCCCAGAAATTGCGGTCATGAGGTCCATGCACATTGTGTGCGAGTTCATGACACAGCGTCTTACGGATTGTCTTGTAGTCCCTGTACCCATCATACGCATCAGTCCGCAACCTTAATTCAATAACTTCGCCAGCATTCCTATTCAGCCCAAGAATCCGCGTCGTGCCTTCGTGATTCGACTGTGTGTGTTCGATGGGATTCATTTCCGTGAGCAGCGGAACGGTGAATTTATGTTTCCGCATCGCGGCTTTGATCCCGATGTCATCTTTCAGCCGTTGTAGAAACTTGAGTGATTTATCTGGATTTGGGAGGTACGGGAGTGGACGGAGAGTCGTAAATGTGTATTGGTTCTCCTCCTGCTCTTTCTTCCAGTCGTGGGTTTTGTAGGCTTTGACTTTCTGGGCTGGGCGGGCATTCCGTCTATTTACTCGCCGCGAAGCTTCTTCTTGTGCGATGGAGATGGAGGATGCTTCTGCGGCGGTGCTGCCTAGGAGATTTATCTTCTTGTCGGCGATGGTAGAGAGCAGGAGGTTTGGATCTTTGAACGGCGGTTTGAGGAGACCGAGTTTGGAGATCATGAGCTTTTGGTTGGAAGAGGGGATGGAGAGTCTATCGACGATTTCGTCAGAGAGGTCGAGGATCGTGGCATCGGAAGGAAAGGTGTATGTATGAGGAGTGCCATGGTAAGTGAAAGTGATAGAGACTATCTCTTGATTGTCAGTAGAACCAGTCTCGGAATCTTGGTTGTCTGCCATGTTGGAAATACACTTGAGTACTTGGTTATATGGAGACAGGAAGATATTGGCTGTAAAGTCTTGAATTGTTATATTTAAACAAAAACTCGTTCTGTTCCCGGATTACTTGTTGTCCTACTGTAGAAGTTTCCAGCCAGGCTCCTCGGCTTCGTAATCATCACTGTCCCGCCATAACACAGTTCGCCCCGCCACCCCTGTCCCGCCCAATTCGCGGCTATTCCCCCAGCTCCCGCCTGCCAAGAGTCAGATCTCCAAGCGACAAGCGCCCTCCAAAGAAAGGGAAATCGCGTAGTTGCGTGTCCTCATCCAGCTCAATTCAATACATTTGCGCCAACGCACCTTCAACAACCCCATTGCCACGAAACACAACGAAGTAGCTGCCAAAGGCGAGCAGCTATCCACTCCTTCATATCGCGTTGTACGGCGACGAAAGACTTCAACGCTGAGGCGTTACGACAGCCATCATGAATCTTTTCAGAGTGCTGGGTAAGTGTTGAGGTTCGCTCCGGGAGAGGTGGAAGGAGAGATGTTGACAGATTGGTTTAGGGGATCTCTCCCATCTGGTCTCGATTTTGATCTTATTACATAAAATGCACCAGACGAATGTACGTATCTTCCTTTAAAGCATTTCAATTAAATTGCTCGTCTTCCTTCCTCCCTTTTCTTACTTTTCCTCACACTCTTCCATCCTCGCTTCACGAGAACCCCAGAACTCACCGAGCTAATACCAACCCCCCCCAGTCCTGCTCCGGCATATCCTTCAAATCCCAAGCCCTCTACCTCATGGTCTACGTAACCCGCTACATCGACCTCTTCTGGACCTTCGGCGACAGCGCCTACAACACCATCTTCAAGCTCCTCTTCCTCGGCTCCTCAGGCTACACCATCTACCTCATGACCACAGCCTACAAGCCCACGCACGACCCCAACATTGACACCTTCCGCGTGCAGTACCTTCTCGGCGGCTCGCTCGTCCTGGCGATCATCTTCCCATACAAGTACACACCGTCGGAAATCATGTGGGCGTTTAGCATCTGGTTGGAATCTGTCGCAATTCTGCCGCAGCTGTTTTTGCTGCAGAGGACTGGCGAGGCCGAGACGATTACGACGCATTATTTGTTTGCGCTGGGTAGTTATCGCGCGCTGTATATTCCGAATTGGATCTATCGGTACTGGGCGGAGGGACACTGGGATGGTATTTCCGTTATGGCTGGATTAGTCCAGACTGTGCTGTACTCGGACTTCTTCTGGATTTACTACACCAAGGTCCTCAAGGGAAAGAAGTTCGCTCTACCGGTATAAGGGATTACTCTGGTTGAGTTTGCAGAGTGTGGAGGGGAGGAGAGATTCTATACCCGGATTTGCACGGGTGGTGATGTGGATACGAATCGGGATATTCTATGGGCGGTGCTCGAGAGAGCTGTTATTCCTGGGCAGGCGATGAATGCTGTGCATGCATGAATGGCGTTGGGTGGGATGGAATGAAACGATTGGGACCAAATACTGGACCTCGATCCAATGGAAGGACGAAGGAAGGAATTATCATCTCTCTTCGTTTCAGTGATATTGATGTACAGTATGTAACAGGATTAGATTTGATTTCGTCGCGACAGATCAACTATTAATGCAAAAAGTTCATTCAGAACAGACTCGCCCTTACAAACATTAAAGTCAGAAGCGATTTGTTTACTTTCTTGCATTCTTTGTATTTTACTACTTCTTCCCATATATACACAGCCAACACCAATGCAGCGACGAAAGGAAATACAAAATACAAGATTACGACCCGTATGCAACCTGTCCGTTAGGAGATTGACTCGAGTAGCCTGAAGCCATGAAGTTCGTCTCTGGGTTATTCTGCTCCTTCGCTGCTGAACATCTTGCCATTGTTGGCGAACTGTATCTGGATTAGCCTGTAATTTGCTTGCAATGGAACTCGTGGTCACATACCTTCTTGAAATAACATCTGTGAAATAGAAGTTGTCGATAACCTTTTTCAACGGTGCTCCAGTTGCCTTGCTTCCCTTGTTCTGATCCACCAACTGCACCTTGCTCAACTGCTTCAGTGCCACTGGCTCGACAATATCGTAGCTAGCCAGGGCAGGACTGATCTCCACCATGCGGTCACGAAGCTGGGCAACGTCGTCGTATGGAAGAGCTGCGCCCAAGAATTCACTGACTGCTCGGATGATCTTCCAGTCAGTCCGGGCTGCACCAGGTAACGAAGTTGCGGCACGGCTCATCTGGACACGACCCTCAGTGTTGACATAGGTGCCAGACTTCTCTGTGTAGGCGGCACCTGGGAGAACAACATCGGCGACCTGCGCACCACGATCACCGTGATGGCCTTGATAAACAACGAAAGCATCCTTTGGAATATCTGCGGCGTCAAATTCGTCAGCACCGAGAAGCCAGATGAACTTAGGCTTAGTCTCAGCAACGGCTACGGATGGAGTTGTGAATCCAACTTCGTAAGCACCAGCTCTTGATGCAGAACGTTGAAGGACGTTGTAACCGTTCCATTCCTCGGTCAAGAAGTTGGCAGCGTTCTTCTCAACGAAAGCACCCACCATCTCATAGATGGCTTTAGCGTCAGCGTGATCCGTGACACCAGATCCAACGATGATCATTGGTTTCTTGGCAGCTGCCAGCTTCTTGCCAAATGGGCCAGCAAGTGCCTTCTTGAGGGCAGCAGCATCAGCTCCAAGGTGCTCGAACTCGAAAGTTGACTGCCAGGTCTCGCCAACAACGCCAATCTCGAGATCAGATCTCATCCACTGCTTCCGGATGCGTGCATTCAGGCCAGCGGCCTCGTGGCGAGGGTTGCTTCCAACAATAAGAATAGCATCAGCTTCCTCCACACCCCAGATCTTCGAGTTGAAGAGGTAGTTTGAGCGGACATCGACTCCGTGAGCGATTGGCTGACTACCTGATGGCTGATCAAGAGCTAAGTTGTCTGATCCGAGCTTGTTGGCCAGATCCTTCAAAGCAACCAAAGACTCGACTTCAACGAGATCGCCAGCAATTGCCTTGAATTCGTTACCCTTGGGTGCAAAGTCCTTGTACGCAGCTCCAATCTCGACCAATGCTTGTTCCCAGCTGGCTGGGAGGAACTTGTTGTCTTTCCGGATAAGCGGAATTGTAAGTCTCTGAGTTTTCAGTCCATCGCAGGCAAACCGGGACTTGTCGTTGATCCACTCCTCATTCACATCATCGTTGAGTCTGGGCAGAATTCGCATAACCTCTAATCCTCTCGAATCCACTCTGATGTTTGATCCAAGACCATCTAGAACATCTATCGATTCGGTGTGCTTCAATTCCCAAGGGCGAGCTCGGAATGCGTATGGCTTGGATGTGAGAGCTCCAACTGGGCACAAATCGATTACGTTGCCGGACATTTCGGAGTCCAGGTTCTTCTCAAGGTATGTTCCAATCTGCATGTCGTTCCCACGTCCAGTAGATCCCAGTTCTGGTGCACCTGCGATATCGTTGGCGAATCGAATACATCTCGTGCAGTGAATACATCTGTTCATCGAAGTTTTGATTAATGGTCCGATATTCTTGTCTTCTGTAGCACGCTTGCCACCAATCTCGTGAAATCGTCCTCTATCGGCTCCATATCTCATCGATTGATCTTGTAAATCACACTCTCCTCCCTGGTCGCAAATGGGGCAGTCGAGTGGATGATTGGCCAGCAAAAACTCCATAACTCCTTCACGGGCTTTGTGTGTGAGGGGCGAATTGGTCTTTACGACCATTCCGGGTTGTACTGGCCATGCACATGATGCCACAGGCTTTGGTGCTCTTTCGACTTCTACCAGACACATTCGACAATTTCCAGCAATCATGAGTTTTCTAATTTGGGTCAGTGGAGGCTCGGCTCGTAATCGGATTGGGGACTCACTCATGATAGCAGTATCTAATTAAAAGTCAGTAAAGCCAAACAAGTTTTGATACAGTTCCTATGCTCACCTAGGGATTGTAACTCCTGCCTTCTCACATGCTTGAATCAACGCTGAACCAGCTGTGGCAATCGTCAACACAGTTCCCAACCCCGATTCCCATGCCTCAACATACCTTCTATCGAAACCTGCTTGCCGTCTGCAGAACCAATTAGCCATGATTTGCACCACATCATCCGCAGAATCTATGCGCCTTACCAACAGTGAGTGTAACTTCAGCCTGTCTCCTGCTTGTGGTCGCAAATGTCCTGGCCGCGTTGGAGCTCTGCCTGCTCGTCCGCAACGCCGACCGTGCCAGAGAATTCCGCAGCATTGTGTCCTCTCGTCGACTTCACAGCACAAAAAAGGAAAATCGACACCGTAGGAAGGGCGGGGGGCGTGCAATTGGGACCTTGAGCTCTTCTCTCTGCAGTCCTGACGTTCATGAAGCTCTCATTGAGGTTCGCTCGGTTCGTCTGGCCTTAGCGTGTATCTGGCGGTCATTTGCTAAGCTACGACGCTGATTGGCTAGCTCCACTTCGCAAGCACAAAAGGAAAATTTCGGGAAGCCGAGTTTCTTCTCTTCTTCTTCTTTCGATATTTAAATTGTATTGAGCACGTTTTATTGTGGGTGTACTTGGGCAGCATTCGAGCTTCGGTGAGATTGCTGCTACTGTCGAGTCTTCCTCTATCTTGTGTTCTAGAGCACACCTTTTTGGGCGCTGGAATGGATGCAAATGAGAGCTTCAAGCTCAACGAATGCGCAACTTACCGCCGGCTGCTACATATCCTACTTTGACCATGATTTGCTTGTCACAATAAACGAGGATCTATACCTGTCCACCGACCTTTATGTTTGAGCTCCAAGCTTCCTCTGGGCTCAGAAGCTTCGTGAGTTCGATAGCAGCTCCTTAATAGCCGCCTCCATTGGACGTTCTCGCCAGTCTGAGTCGATGATACCGCTGTTTGGTTCCAATCAAGCGTGATTTCTCAGCATGTCACATCTTTGGTGCCGAATAGCACAGAGGAGCGGGCAAGGGCCCTAGTCCAGCTACCGTTTCCCTTTGAGCACATTGAGCCATTACACTTGCGAGACGCTACAAAATTCATCATGATCTACCAAAACCAAAAGAAAGTCTTAACATGCTACTTACTTTAAAGTCGTGACTTTGCTGGAGGTTGACTTGTCATTTCAGAAGTTCCAGAACATGCCATGTTATATTATGGACCTTGGAATCAGCACTCCCGCAAATTGAGCTTCTGACAATTCATCCAATCCATCAACACCTCACCTATCATACCCTCTCTTGATCCAATTAGTATCTCTTACCTTGAACATGGAATCCTTGTGCTAACTGAATATGAGATATTCGATTGTTGTGCTCGCCCAATTCTGTACAATGGATCTGGAACAAGATAAACTCACGGTTTGTAATCAAAACATCACTCTTCCCATCTTCAAACCTTCACTCATCCAGTCCTCTTAGTTACATCTTCGTGAAAGCACCCGTCTCACTCCGTACCACCCAAGGTCGCAACATCCCAACCCCTGTCCAAGCCACCATCGAAAACCAACAAAACAGGGGTACCACCAACATCCTTTCGTCACCTCAAAAATTCCCCACCTCTCAAGCTGGTGCTTTCAACCTCTCACAAGCAGTAGCAGTCGTATAAGCCTTTCACCATGACAAAATGAGCGAGAGCATCCCGAACGAGCGCATCTTCAATCCAACGCAGTACTTCTTGGGGCCTAACCGAGCTCAGGCCCTGGAGCAGGTGAGTCCATCGCATTCTGATCTCATTTCAACATCAAGCACCTCATACCTGAAATACTCCTTCAATATGAAATTTTAGAAAGCCCTTCATTCTCCATATAATCGATTCCAAGAATGACAAATACAATGTCCAAGACTAACACCATCCAGCCATCCGATATAATCCACCACATCCTCCACCGAGACCGGCACACCGGGCTCTCCCGCCTCGCATTCAACAATTTCAAAGCCAAAAAGCGAGCTGATCGGACCTTCAGGATCGATGGATCCTCCCTCGTGATAGCCGTGGACGGTGTCATCCATCCTCCCAGTCGTCCTCAAAATCCGAACCAAAGTCAACCCATCTCGCCAATTTGCCAAAACAGTGTGGTCTCGAGAGCAAGAGCCAGCTATGGGATCTTTTTCGGTCCGTCGTCGCTTCATAATAGGAGTGCGTTCGTGCCGATAGGTAAGACTACTTTGTCGAGGGAAGCTGGTATCTTGAGAGGATGTTATGATGCTCTAGACTGTAAGCCTACGTCCCGCCCGACTCCCTCTTCTCAATTCCTCACTATCCCCTCCCGAAATTCCCCCTTCCTAACCACTGTCTCCCCAGACATTCTCAAGACTATCTTCCCTACCCACAATCCTCGCATTCTCCAGACTATAATCCTAACCGATTCCCCTTACCTCGTACAATGCCTAACCGAGTACGTCTACATCTGGGAGCGCAACGGGTATCGCGATTCGCGGGGCCAATATGTAGAGAACAGTGAGGAATTAGCGAATCTGGCAAGTATGGTTTTGCAATTTGAGAGGGCGGGTGTGAGGGTAGGTTTTTGGCTTGTGGAGGGTGAATGGAGTGAGTTTAACTCTCTTTAATCTTGGTTTGTCTGGATTTCTTGTCAAATGGCGATTCTTAAATTGAGATTGAGATTGAAATTGAGATATTGATGAGATGTGAATGCTGATTCTTAGAGTAGACACAGATGCCAGGCGATTAGCTAGTGAAGCTGTTGACGAAGTAGAAATGGTAGGAGAGAGTGGTCTTAGATGTGCAGAAGTGGAGATTCTGGACGCCAAAGGCCTGGAGGGTGATAGGGAGGCGCTAGTGTTGGAACTGGAGAGAGCTTTTAAGCAATACTTGACATCAGAAGACTTTTCCCTGAAAATACACAAATTCTAAAAGCCACTAAACGGCATACATTATATTCCACCTCAATCTCAATGCCAAAACTCGGAATCTCACATACAATTGTGTTTTGGAGTCATTATCAATAATTGACATTGGGAGATGGAATCATCACACACATGATCTCTAATCTGACGATGCTCCGAGCAAACTCCAAGTAATGATATCCCATCTCCCAAACCACATCCCAAGTTCTTCCCCATCATCAGCATTCATTGCCAATCATCATCCTTATAGGTCCACGTCCAGAACCCTCTAAAATTCTTCTTCTTCCCCTCCTTAGTAATCTCCTCCACCTCTTCCTTCGTCAACTCAAACTCCGTACTCTTCAAATACTGCCTCAATCTCCCCTCATTCGAGCTCGTCGTCACCGCCACAATCCCCTGATCAACCACCCACCTCAACGCAATCTCCCCAGTCGTAACCCCATACTTCTTCGCCAACCTCTCATACACACCATCAACGGGGCCAGGCGCTGCTTTCGTGATAGCCGTCAAAGGCGCATACGCACTGGCCTTGATACCATGCTTCTTCTGGAACTCCAACAGCTCGACGTGCTGCAGGTACGGGTTGAACTCGATCTGGTTGATGACTGGGATGATCTTTGCGGTCTCGAGAATGGCTTCCAGATCAGATTTGCGGAAGTTGGAGACGCCGATGGACTTTGCTTTGCCGGAGGCGTGGATGGCTTCTAGGTCGGCCCATTTGGCTTGGATGTCGGCTGGGGATTTGGCGAAGAAGGGGGCGTGGATGAGGTATTGGTCGACGTAGTCAAGACCGAGCTTCTTGAGGGAGGTCTCGAAGGCTTCTTGGGTGTTTTGAGGTTTGACGCCGTCGATTTTGGTGGTTACGTAGAGTTTCTCTCGTGGAACGCCTGATTCCTTGATGGCGAGGCCTAGCTCGGTCTCATTTCCGTAGACTATAAGATATCAGAATGTCGTTCAGATAGGGGTAGAAGAAGGATTTTGACAGCTCCGGTGAGAAATATGAGGCTATATTGTACCTTGAGCACCATCCAAGTGGTAGTATCCAGTCTTGATAGCCAAGACAACCGTCTTCACCAGCTCCTTGTCAACAGGCGAGTTTGGATCCCGCTTGTAATTAGCGGTGCCTAGACCATATCCAAGCTTGACAATGTTAGCTGCATATCTCACATATCGATTCTGCCAATAACCAGTGACATACGACAGGAATCTCCTTTCCATCATTCAACGTAAAGCTGGGAATATTGGCCATGTTGATAAATCGCGGAGTTGTTGGCGGGGTAAAGGCACGAGAGTAGAATCTTGGGCCTCCAGCTGAAAGTCGAACAGGTTTATACCAGAGTTTGCGCAGACTGCTGATGAGGAGTGTTATAAAGGAATATTCTTATCTCAATCGGACAGAGTTTAAATGTTTAACTTTATGTCGAAACATAGGCCCGAGTTAGTTAAACTCTCTTACCTAGGTACCCATAACACACGCCAATTTGTCTGCATTTTTTGGATAAGTTTGTTGCAGGATTTATCTGAATCCTGTCTGTACTTTACTACTATTAGATATATAGACAAAATACAGACAAATTATAGTCGTTATCTGCATGAAAAATGCCATAGAGTAGGCGAAGTCGTCATGATCTTTTAGCATTGCGAGCATGCGGGACGAGCCGGCAGAATTGAACCACATTTGCCTTTGCAGGGGCAGCTGCAGCTGCAGCTCTCCCCAGACATCGCCACTGAGAATTACAGTATAAGTATCGAGGGGCCGAGGCCGAGGCCGAGATCCTCCACGTCAGTCAGCAAATCAGCTCCTTAAAATTCCGATTCGTCATAGAAACCATTTGGAATTATCTTGTTCATCCCTCTACTTCAATATAAGACTTTGTCTGTCAAGACATATTTTGCAAACATTCTAAATTTACCTCAATTCTCTCCACATTCATTGTTTATGCTTTCAAGACTTCTTTCCAGACCTTTGATACCCCGCATGCGACTCGCGCAAATGGCAGCCCATCTTTCCAATGGATCCTCTCAAGGAGGCAGCTCCCTTGCAGACCTACCCAAGTCATGGACCTTCACATCTTCTCTTCCTCCAGATCCGAAATTCCCAACACCAGAGGTCTCACATAAAACTCCCCGCGAGGACATCGAGCCGAGACAGGTCAAAAGCGCATTATTCACATGGGTACGGCCAGAGGAGACAAAAGAACCAGAGCTATTGGGCGTGAGCCCTGCTGCTATGAGGGATTTGGGAATCAAAGAAGGAGACGAGAAAACCGAAGGGTTTAGACAAACAGTTGCTGGCAATCGGTTACTGGGGTGGGATGCAGAGAAAGGCGAAGGTGGATATCCTTGGGCACAATGTTATGGAGGATGGCAGTTTGGATCCTGGGCTGGACAACTGGGTGACGGAAGAGCCATCTCTTTATTCGAGACAACGAATCCGAGCACGAAGAAACGCTACGAGTTGCAATTGAAAGGAGCTGGGATAACGCCCTATTCGAGATTCGCAGATGGAAAGGCCGTCTTAAGGTCAAGTATTCGAGAATACATTGTGTCGGAAGCACTGAATGCTTTACGGATACCTACAACCAGAGCTTTGTCTCTCACTTTACTACCCCATTCGAAAGTCCGGCGAGAGACAATAGAGCCTGGAGCCATCGTAGCTCGATTCGCAGAATCTTGGCTGCGAATTGGCACATTTGATATACTACGAGCACGAGGAGACCGAGATTTGATTAGACAACTATCTACATACATAGCCGAAAATGTTTTTGAAGGATGGGAGTCATTACCGGCACGGAATCCATCAGAAGATGGAAGTGACGGAAGTACATTGCCAACAGGCATTGCCAAAGATACCATCGAAGGACCAGCTGGTCTAGAAGAAAACCGGTTCACACGTCTATATCGCGAGATAGCCCGCCGAAATGCCAAAACAGTGGCAGCATGGCAAGCATACGCTTTCACCAACGGCGTTCTCAACACAGACAATACATCCATCTTCGGCCTCTCAGTCGATTTTGGCCCATTCGCATTCCTAGATAACTTCGATCCCCACTATACACCCAACCACGACGATCACATGCTCCGCTACTCCTACCGCGCCCAACCTACCATTATCTGGTGGAACCTTGTCCGTCTAGGCGAATCCCTAGGCGAACTAATCGGCATCGGAGGCGGCGTCGACGCAGAAGAATTCATCGAGAAAGGCGTCCGTCAAGAAAATGCCGACGAGCTCGTCTCTCGCGCCGAAGCACTCATCACACGCACAGGCGAAGAATTCAAAGCCGTCTTCCTAGAAGAATACAAGCGACTCATGACCGCTCGGCTGGGCCTAAAAGTCCACAAACAATCCGACTTCGACGATCTCTTCAGCGAGCTTCTCGATACCATGGAAGCACTGGAGCTGGATTTCAACCAGTTCTTCCGCAAACTGAGCAATATCAACGTCGTTGATCTCGAAACGGAGGAGCAGCGGAAAGAGAAAGCTGGTGTTTTCTTCCACCATGAAGGCGTTACCGGATTAGGAAATACAGACGATTCATCGCGAAAACGCATCGCTGAATGGCTTCAGAAGTGGAGCACGCGAGTATATGAAGACTGGGGACCTAATGGTGAAGATGCTGCTAGACAGGTAGAGATGAAGAAAGTCAACCCGAAATTCATTCCTAAATCGTGGATTCTGGATGAGGTTATTAAGAGGGTGGAGAAGCAGGGCGAAAGGGAGATTCTTGATCGTGTGATGCATATGGCGTTGCATCCTTTTGAGGAGAGTTGGGGGTGGGATAAGAAGGAGGAAGAGAGGTTTTGTGGTGATGTGCCGAAGTTTAATAGAGCTATGCAGTGTTCTTGCAGCTCGTAGTTAGAAGAGACGTCTATACGTCCAGTACGATGATCTGTATCAATACACTCTGTAACGTGCCAAATATGATCTCTCAGTAAATACACAACGCAGCCAACTGAGCTGATTCAGCTCTCTCCCCATACTCACAAGCAAACTCCCCACATCTCTTAGTGCTGACACCAAGCAACATCATCCCTACCATAACCAGAACTTTACGCTTCATCATATTCCCCACACCACGCCACGCCCTGGAGAAGACCATGACATGATATGTCTGTCAGTCAAAAATCTCAAACCATACTAAGCCCAACACGAGGTCCCCTCCATGCCCCACTCTCCAACAGGAAACTTCGTATACATGCATACGGCGTGTAATCCTTGAAACCGTACCTGCCTAAAGGAGCTCTTCTGCATTTCAATGGATCTAGAAAGCGATTGGGGAGGAAAGCGATTCGAGGGGACGAGAGATGGCTAGACTGACCTGGCTCCGGGTAGGTTGCATTAGCTGGGAGCTAACTTCAACGTCTTTGAGTTGGGAAAGTATATAAATAAACGATCATCTCATTATTTATTTCAATTGTGTTAGATTTTATCCACACTGTTGCTCACATATAACATATTTTTCTGAGGTTAAATGTAAACACGAAGATACTTGAAGTAAGTCTCACTGTGAAGCCGATCTCAGTCGTAACTGGTCTTGAACTAACTTCAATCAACAGATTTATCATTCAAGCTCATATCTGAATCTCAACTCCAATCTCCAAATGCCGCTGCAGCTCTCCAACGCAACCGAAGCGGATATAGAATCTATATCTCGCTCTCAAATGGCTGCTTGTAAGTAACGTTCACGCACACATTCAAACTCTTCATTACCTACCTATCTACCCATTCATCAGAATGTCTCTCCATCTCATCTCAAAGCACACACACTTGACATCCCCATTCCCTCCCACCACTCCCCAAGAAATCAAATCTCAAAGCTCTTTCCCTCCCTTCCCTGCCTTCCAACCAACCAACCAACCATCCCTCAATTCTCACTAACACCTTCCCCTCCCCCACCGGTCCACCCCATCGACCCAGTCCACTCCTTAATCTACCCCTCTCCGACCCCCATCCCCGAAACAACCATCCAATCCATAGCCCACCGTCAACTCACTACTTGGCGCAAAAACCCCTCTGGAATCCGCTGGGTGAAGATCACTGATCCGGCAAAACCCTTGGATGATCAAGGTCGACCGTTCGTTGTTGCGGCTGCGAAGTGGATTTTCTTTGAGGATGACGAGAAGGAGAGCGAGGAGGAGAGGTGGCCGAGGGAGGGGGAGGTGGTTGTTGATGTAAGTGATTTGGTCTTGAATTCCTGGTGTTGTTTACTTTTTTGTGGGCTTTCAATGATTTGATATAATTTCACGTCACATCGATTAAGCCTCCTCAAATTGTGTCTTTCGTCTAGTCTCAGTCACAGCTTTCTACTCAATCACCACAACTTGAAGTCCAAAGCCAGCCTACATGCCCAATATCAAGATCAAAGCTTTCAAGGTAACTAACAAACCCGACTACGATAGTGGGTTCAACCCAATCCAGCCACACCCAACACCCCCAAAATCGAGTATGAGATCGCCGGCGCAGACGACGCTCCGTATATCAAGTACATTCTCGAAATCTTCTACGCCAACAAACGACGATACATGACGGGACCATGCGCCGTCCTCGACATATGCTTCACGCACCCCCTCTACCAAAAGCTCGGCGCCGGCAAACTCCTCGTCGAATACGGCGTCGCTGAAGCAGATCGTCGAGGCGTGCCAGCATGGGTCGAGGCTAGTATTCTCGGGAAGGGGCTTTATGAGAAATATGGGTTTGGTGTTGGGACTGGTAATGATAATAGTAGTGTGGGTAAAGCGATCAACGAGTATTGGGGACTTGGACCGCTTGGGGTGAGAGTTGCGAGAGAGATGGGTGTGCAAGGTTGGAAGGAAGGGTTTGGAGAGGGATGGAGAGAGGAGTGGACGGAGAAGGGGTATCAGGGGGCGAGTTGGTGGTTTATGGGACGGGCGGCGAGAGGGCAGGGGAAGGAGATGTGAGTAAGGTGTGAAGGGGGGAAACTTCTTCCCTGGCGAGAGACTTGCTCGGAATGAGCAAGGCGCATCACGATAAACAAGAAATTAAAAAAAAAAAAAAAAAAAACAGTGGTTTGAGGGATCTTAAATTTTAGACGAGCACTGCCATATCTAGTTGCTCAACACACCTTAAACCCATCCCCGATTGCCATCCACGCATTTCATTCACGCCTTTTCTTATTCATCAACCATTCCATCCATCCAGCCCGACTTCCTTAGAAGAAAGGCTCCACTCCACAGACATGTACACCTTCGCAGACTACGTTCTCATAAGGAACCAGCCAATCCATTTCAGACCACCCAACTCCAGATAGTCTCCCCGCTAGCACAGGTATCAGGCGATTGCCGTTGCGCTGTTTGCAAAATGAAGCTCAAGAAAAAGAGGAAACCGCAATTTTTGACCCAGTCCGTTCGCATCTCAGAAGATAAGACCAATTTAATCTCCACCCAACCATGAATTGTGTCTGGTCATATTGGTAGCCCGCTTGTCTCGTGTTTGAGTTCGTGATCCTGGTAATACAGTTGTAAAGAAATAAAGCAAAAGAAAAGATACACAAACAAAGCCTACTCCGCATCCAAATTTCTATTACTGACGTAGTAGTGGACTACCTGAATGGTTGGAAATAGGATGCTGTTTTGACCGCGGAACAGAAAAGCAAATTCGTTGAATGGAGTTGTAGTACACCGCATGCAAAATTCGAATTCATCCTGGGGTCCGTTGTCGATCTTTGGGGAGCTTTACACAGATGCCTGTGCATCTCCACGGCCGCGATATCCTCCACGTCCACGGCCTGGTTGACCAGTTCCAATGTAACCTCGACCTCCTCTGAAACCACCACGCCCACGTCCACGGCCACGATATCCACCGCGGTAGCCATTATCAACGCTGCCTTGTCCAAAGGTCTCCACGTTCTTCTTCTGCTCCTCACCTCTCCACTCTCGTCCATGTTGTTTTTTCTCACTGGCTTCCATTCGATCCTTGCTTTCAGATGAGATGTTGTCGAAGAAGGATGTTGACTTGTTGTAGCCACCAACTGGTACTTCGGCCTCAAGTGGGGAGGTATCGGGAGGGTTCTCTCCCAAAGGAGATCCAGCAATTGCCTCCTTGACCAAATCCTGCTTGTTGAATTTGGCATTTGCAGTTTCAAAGTCAAAGTCCGATTCAGGTACTTCAACTTTCTTTTCCACATTTCGAGCACCGCCACGTGCTCCACCTCTTCCTCTATTTGGGGCAAATCCAGCACCAGCGGCTCCTGGATGTCTTGGTGCACGGATTGGGTCATTGATTCTCATGTCATTGACCTTCTTCGTAAGATTATCGGCATTATTACCGTTCATCTGGCCTGGTAGCTTCGCCATTGCTGCAGCGACAGCAGCGGTGGCAGCCTGAGTGGCATCTCTCAATGTTGCCGCGGGGTCTGCAGCCTTAGAAGCTGGTGCTTGAGCATTGTTATTCTGTTGTTGCAGAGGTGCTTTCGCGGCGGCAGGACCTTGCAATGGTAGAGCTGGGGTGACCCGATTGTTATTCTTTGGTCCAGATGGAGCAGCTTTAGCAGCGGCCTTGCCAGCAGCTGTTTGGGCAGTGGATGGGTGATCAATTGCAGCTTGGACCTCCTTTGGAGATGGCTTTGTTGCCGTTGGTGGAGAGGGAGCCTTCTGAACTGCAGCAGCTGCCATTTCAGCGGCAGGCTTTGCCAAGCTCTTTGGTTCGGCTTGCTTCTCCGGAGCGTTCGTAGCTGGAGGTGATGGCTGCTTGTTTGCGCCTGGCCCAATCGGGGCTGGCTTTGGACCTTGGTTTTGAGGAGGCGGTGGCTGGAATTGTCCTGGTGGTCCTGGTGGGTAGCCATAAGGAGGGAATGGGCCTGGGGGAAAACCTTGGGGTCCAGGATACCAGCCAGGGGGTGGTGCGCCATATGGCATAGGAGGGAAACCATTAGGACCAGGTGGGGGAGGACCAGCGCGACCCCATCCTGTGGGAGGGGGATAGAAAGGTGGATATTGTGGATGGTGAGCGAATTGAGGAGGGACACCTTGAGGAGGACCTTGAGCAGGGCCTGGTGGTGGACCTTGTGGCTGTTGACCTTGAGCTGGTGGAGGGGGACCTTGGGAAGATTGACGTTGCGGCTGAGGAGCAGGAGCTGGAGCTTGAGCTTGCGTTGGTGGAGTAGGACGGGATCCGCTCTGTGAGACGATATAATCAGCATGGCCCGCATAGCATCTCGAAACAATCGATATTGTATATAGCTTCTCAAATCAGAAGGAAGGCAACGGAAAATCTCCACACGGTTTTGCGCTCTCGGGGACAATATGATTTAACATCCGAAATTCTTTCATCACTTAAAGTATCCATTGCTGTAGCACCTGTGCTAGACAATGGTTCGGGGAATATGCGCACTTACACCAAGAATGGCAGGGTCGTTTAGCTTTGGCGGGTTGTTCTCCTTCGCAGCAGGCGTCTGCTCGATCCTCAAGTCCTTGACATCGCTACCACGGAATACAATATACTCGTAGACGCTGTCGGAGGGAGGGATATAGTCTTCTTGGTTGACTTTTCGGTTTTCAGTTCCAAAAGAGGAGACGTTTTCGAGTGCTACGGTCGCGTTCTCGGAGTTGATTTCGTGGAGAGTGCCGACATATCTAGTTTCCAGTCAGCTCCAGTGTTGGATTTCATCTAGCGCATCGAGCATACCGAATGTCGCTCTTTGATACCAGAGATATCCTCGCCCTATAACCCAGACACGTATTAGCATTGAGCTGTCTCGAATGTGACCTCAGCCTCAGTGGACTGACCCTAAGAATTCCGCCATTGTGCTGTGAGACTGCGATCAGCTCACAGAAAGCTCGCAATAGATTAGATGCGAAGGGAGGAAGAGGAAGTCGTGAGTGTGTGAGGTGCGCAAAGTGGTGGGTGGTTGTGGTAGAAGAGGAGGGAAAGAAGTTTGCGAGTTGATCGGGAAGTTTGTCGATATTCACAGTAAACGAAGCTAAGGTAAAAGGCGAAAAGGCCGGGCTGGGGGAATGGGTGGCTGCGCTTCTGCAGCGAATCAGGTGCCATCCTTTGCCGCGTCTGGTGGCCGAAAAGTACGGGATAGCAGTTCTTCCAGATAGCGAATGAGTCTCAGCCTTACCAAGCTGCAACCTCCCTCCTCAGCCGACGTGATAGTCCCAAATACAAGCATGGCCACTGAATCAGCAGTCGACGACACTAACATCTATGAGCACTTGGAGAACTATCCTTGGGATAACGACAAAGAATTTCAGGTATGTGACACTGTTTTATTTTATTGCACTCGTCTGCAGCAAATACACTTCAGCCTCGGCTTCTTTTCTAATGTTTATTTACCCCTCCATCTGAATTTATATGCCTGGAGAAGCCAGCCAATTTATGGAAAGTCACGTCCGCATACCTTGTTGTCAGAATTTTCTTTTTACAGTTCCTTTTTCATTTCATAGCATTATCTCAATCCCATCACCTCCAGCGCATGCTCCTGTCATACGCTTTGAAGCAAACACTTACAATATCCTCAGGGAGGACTTACAGCAATCCTCGGTCCCAACCCTTCACCATCCCAACTAGAAGACTTAACTCTCCGCGCTCAATGCTTCTATCTCTCACGCAAAAAGTCCATTCCAATCGACTTCAATGGCTATAAAGCATACCTTGAATCCAAACAATCACCATCCAAAGCAGTAGAAGCATCAATATCACCTTCAGCCTCACCTTCCAACACTCAATCGAACTCCACACCCATAACCCAAGCAACTTCAACCCAGTCGCAAGCCCAAGCTCAACCCGCCACAACCAATACCCCCAATATGGCTTTATCAAACACACCAACCTACCCCACATCTTTCACCTCGCCCTCCACAACCGTCACACCCGGCGCTCAACCAGGCGCACCCTACCCCCGCAGCTTCGCCGAGATCGTAGCGCTGATCCAAAGCGGTGAGCCCATTCCCGGCATCAGAGAGATAGACGACACGCCGATGGGTCTAGCAGCTAGCAGCCCGTCCGTTATGCCGAAGCGTCGGAAGCCTTGGGAGAAGGATGTCCCGGAAGAGATCATACAGGGCCGAGGACCCGGGACGTTTGGAGATCATAGGGATCATCAGATTCAGCAGGAGTATCCGGATGCTTGAGAGTGGGTATTGAAGGCGGCGGGCTTGTCTTTGACATTCTGGTTGGAGAGTGTGGCGAATGGATATTTTGGATGAGATTGTTGAGTTGTTGGAGTATCAGAGAAATTGACGAAATGGATTGTCGACGGGACGACATATTGCTATCATGGACTGGACTGGATGGAGTTACAGCGGCAGAAGGGTGGCACATTGCATATATTACCAGCATGGCACTGGAGGAAAGGATTTGTTTGGCTAAGCAATGTCCGCTTCATGGGATGTCGACCTCACACATGAGCTCGGCTACACCAGACCAGGGACATAAACATCGCTATCACACAAACGGGTGGGTTGCACTCCTGTCTCAGAAAGAGAAGAAGCTGCTCATATGGCTATCATTACCACTCTTGGCACCTCCATATCCCAAAGAGCGTTGGATTTATTTAGCATTCAACTATCAAACATAACGAATACACTTCTCAGACCGAAACCCCTCTGCAAAGAGTTCAAAAATTGATGTACACATTTTTTTTAAAAACGATGGAAATCCCCATTCATCTCTATTAATCTCCCATCCTTCCTCCACTAGATCCAATCGCCACGAAAATAAACCTCCTCTCACTTCCTGCCCCCTCCTCTTCCCCTCCCACTCTCCCCATCAACTTCTCCCCCAAAATCGCAGCACCACCCAACAACAAAATCACCCAAGAGTTTCTACCCTGACCTCAAGAGGCAACGCTACCCACCTACCCATCACACCACCATACCTCCCCTTTGTCTTCCACAAAAACTGATTAGCGAGCGAGAGACAAAATACGACAAAAAAGAAGACAGATTCGGGGAGGTAGAAGTAGAAGTAGAAAGAGAGAGTCTATTCAGGCTAATATCTACTACTTCACAATCATTCAAGACACTCCAGATTTGAAAAGCCAATTGTATTAGTTAATGAGTGACTAAATAACAAAGCTTTTGGTTTTTCGTTTTTAGGTACAAGCGCACGAGCACGAAGAAACATCTCAGCATAATAGCAGTCTTCTTCATCACCGTATCAGTGACTGCAATGAAGCAGAATGATCACAGATTGCCTCATAGTGCTGCACCATCATATCAAGAACAAGAAGCGGCATCAGGTATACCTCCATACAAAGCAACCATGCCTTCAGTCGAAAGAGATAGCAAAGCAGTCCAACAACAGCCATGACTACACCGAGAAGACTTGATGCAGAGCCGAAACCAGGATGTGTCCAAGTCACCGAAGATGAAATCCGCAGTGTAGGATGATCGGTATTGGTCGAATAGGTTGTAGAGGAAGATGTTGATAAAGTACAAGAAGGAAATATCGTAGGTGGACTGTAAGAAAAGCCTCTTCAGGCCAACACTGTTCTAGGCAAGCAATGCTGAAGGTGACTTTCGCTGGATGTTGATAGAGCCAATTGAAGACATCCATAGATATGAAACACCAAAAGCAAACAAAGAGACTAACTCCTATTCGAATATGTTATCGTTACGGTGATTCCATGATATCGTGTGCCATGTAAAGATCGTGAGGTCAACCAAGACACAGGAAGCAATATGATGAAAGCAAGCAAGCAATCGGAGCCAGATGTCGTAGTGATGTTACTTAACGATAAGCACCACCACCATAGCGAGTGTTTGGCTGTGGGACCATGCGAGGAGGAACGCCAACGGCAGTACCGACGCCAGGACGGGTCTGGATGGCAGGATTGGTGCAGAGCATGCCAACACGTGAGCCGAACTTAGATCCTCGAAGAGAAACCATGTGCTTGCGAATGTGGCTAGCAACGAGATCGCGGTGCTGGGTGTTGGAGTGAGTCAGAATGTACTGAATGAGGTAATTGCCATACTGGTCGCTGGCGATATCAATCAGGGGAATACGAGGACGATTGAGATGACCCTCGCAGACCCGATCGAGGTAGCGACTAAGGAAGTCGGGACCACCGATCTTGAGGCACTTCTCAACAACCTTCGAAGCAAATTGATCCATGCTGTACTCGGAGGCATAACGGATGACATGGTCGATGGCACGGCTACGATCAGCTGGGGCACCGTGTTCACAGATGTGTTGAATACACCAATTGCCGAATTGACCATGAGCAACGATGTCAATGCTTCCAAGGACTTCCTCAATGCATGGTCGCTGGGATAATGTTAGCTATGCTCCAAGGAATGAGAGAGAATTTTCTACCTTATCCTCCTCGAGACAGTTTTCAAAGATGTTCTGAACAACCAAGCTACCAGTCTCACCAAGAGCAACCTGGTGCCACTTACCACGAAGATCATCATTGACGTACTTCATGATCTCAGGCGGAGGAGACTCAGTCCACCGGAGCTCAAACAACTTTTGCCAGACATGGCAGGCATAGCGGTGGATGACGGTGTCATAGATACAACGAAGAAGCTCACGAACCATGTCGGCCTTGTATTTCTCAGGAACAGAGTCAAAAGCCTTCTGGACAACGTGGCAACCGAAAGCATCCATGGAGAGGTTCAAGGTGTTTCCTTTGATAGCCTCAGCGATGTTGATGACCTGTTCGGGAGTTCCATGCTCAAAGCATCGCTGAACCAAGAAGTTACCGAATCGGTTCACCATCAATGGGTAGGCCTGAGCGACGATTGCCTCAACAATCTCATACTTCTGAATAGTTGTGCCAACCTTGAGCTTCTGCTGAAGGAAGATGGAGGCTTGTTGATCATTATTGCAGACAATCTTGTCAACGATGTACTTCCAGTTGCAGTTGACAGTTCGATCAAGAAGTCGGCGGTAGTTGAGGGGCTCGGTTGTTGGCAGGTACGTTTGGCCCTCGGCTCCTTGGTTCTATTGAGACATTAGTGAATTGGATGGGTCGAAAGAGGGAGTTTGTAAGCCTACATCATTCTTCCATCCAGCATTGGAGACCGTGAACTCCGGTGCATGTGGGGACAGTGGAGTTCCAATTGGTTGTGGCTGGTACCCGCTGTACATGCCGCTCAGATTGGCAATAGCAGGAACCCCAGCTGGAAGGTTCGCAACAGAGCCGTAAGGAGTTGAGGACGGTGTGAAACCATCAAATGAGCTGTTGCTGCTAGCATAAGGAAAAGAGCTTGCACTGCTCCTATTATTGTATCGTCCTCCACCAGGTTGGCTGCGACGACCCATAGGAGGTGCCATGAGCATATCTGGGTCCTGCATCATACGGTCACCACGGAAGGGTGGAGCAGCACCGTATGGCATCGCATCAACGAATGGTTGACCGTAGCCACGCTGCATCCACTGAGCGGAGGTGGTAGCTTCAGATGGTTGGAAGCCCGGGACAGTCACAGGATAAGGGGCAGCTGAACCAGTGAAGCTTGGCTTGCTACTATTGTTCCAGATTGCACGAGCCCGATTGAAGCCGCTGGCAGACAATGCATCACTGGTGTCCGAACGAGCATCCTCTTGAGTAGCCCAAGAGTTGTCTCGGGTGAATTGAGGACGACCAAGTGGTGGAAGATGGTTGAGACGCTCCTCAGATGAGACGTGCATTGGGTAGTCCGCCTCGGAGGCATTGCCAACAACTTGATCAAGAGTATGCTTGGTGATACGAGTTTGTGCAAGTTCTTGATCCATACGAGCAATCTTGCCTTTGGCAGCCTCAAGTTCAGCCTTGAGAGCAGCAAGCTCACTGGCACTTTGGGCGGGGACATCATTACCAGAATTGCTTGGTGGGCTGGTTGTGGGGGCTGTGCTGAAATTATAGGACTCTGTGGCAGGTGTAATGGGTACAGAACTGTTGGCAGAGACATACTCGACGGTACGGTAGCGAACAATATCCTCGGTGGATTTGAGGGCCTCATTCTGCTTGTTGATGGTGGCTTGCTGTTCGGACAGCTTGGCAAGGAGCTTGTCCACTGGGTTGGGCTCGTTGGACGAGGAGGTATCGTGATTGATCTTTATCTTCTGTAGACATTAGCAATTACTCACAGAGACGTCATGTAGGGAGGAGGGTGTCAGGATCTTAAGTTACCTTGGGACCAGCTTGGTTGCCCAGCTTGTTTGAGGACAAAGCAGTGGCAGACTTCTTCAATGAAGCAGCAGTTGGATCCTGCGATGAAAAGGTCAATAGATGAAGATATGTGTCTCGCGCTATGGGCTTGAATGTCCACGTTCTTGTGCAGAGATACGGCGGAGGAGACAGGGAGGAATGCATGCGCGTGATTGTCAGGGTAGGGCAAGATAGCCACTTGAGTGAGGAGCTTGTTGGAACTAATCGGAGGCAAGGCAGAGGTGAATACGAGAATATTTAGACAAGAACATACCATGCGAGCGGTCAAGTTGGCCAGAGTCTCCTCAGCAGAACTAAAGTTCTCTTGGGAGGATCCGGCTCTGCTCCCCGCCCGACGGAGGGTGGGAGAGCCAGTTGAGGCGGTGGCAGACATCTTGATTGATTGACCTGCTTCGATTCTCAATGAGATAGCTTGTCAGTATGGCAGATAATACTGCGTTTTTGGTCGAAGGAAGATGGTGGGAAGATGTGCTCGTGGCAGAACAGGTGGTGATGTAGATTGTAGGTAAAGGGAACAGAAAGGAAGGAAGGCGAAGATCAAGTAAACAAATAGGAGTCGTAGCTCAAGGCAACTAGATCGAGAAGGGGCACTTGATCGTACTGTCCTCCACGAGATGGGTGTACCAAGTGTCGTTTTGAAGTAAGTCGAAGGAGAGCGTGTTTTTGTGGTGTTTAGGGAGAAAGCGCGGTCTAAGTAGCAAAGCGAGGCTTTATACCTAAGACCACGAGGCGGGCAGTCGACAAAATCGGCTGCTAGCAGAATCACGAGATCTCGCCATGGTGTAACAAGATACGGATTGATTCTTTCAAGTACGAAAAGTGAAATAGTATATGGAGGGAAGAAAGTTTATCAAAATGAATCTTCGAAGAGAAATACATTGTTGGGTAGAGGATGCTCTTGCTTTCCTCGGCCCATGATGGTATTCTCTGGCGCAGTGACTTGAATCTCAGTCGCACTTTCCCAGCAGGATCAGAGCATTTTTCACTTCAAGGGCATTTGTTTAACAGTAAACGGCCATTGATTTGCTTCTTTTGGCAAAACCGCGCTTTGGTGTGACTTAAAATTGTGGCCAATTTTAGATGGAACAAAGAATTTTCCTCCTTCTGTAGCAACAAGGAACGAAAATAGGTCAGAATCGCATGGCAGTGAAAAGAGCTTCCAAAGAACATTCGGGGATGAGAAAAGAAGACTTCTCAAATGCAGACGCACGCCAGATAGAGAACAAAGGGCATACCATATGTCAGATGGCAGTTCCACTCTTCCATTGAAGCTCAACCTCAAGACTTCATAGCAAGCAACTGTAACTCGCGTCCATCCTATTACTCCCAGCACCGCTCACCACCTGAAACGATAAGCGAACCTGTATCCGATCTTTGAGTACCACCCGTGGTAGAGCGTGAGCTGGATTTCTGTTGGTAGAGTGCACCATAGAGCCCCCAGTTGGTTTGGAATACTCTCTTCATTCGTGACAGCCATTTGAGACTCTGGATATCCCAAAGTCTTCCACCAAACGCCAATATTGCTACAAATATGATGTATGTCGTACACGCCTGTCCATCTATACACTCCCGTCCTTCTACCGCTTCTTCCCCTTGAACTTCTTCGATTCTAAAAGCCTGATTAGCATTGCCCACCCGAAACAGTCTTTCGGCCATACCTTCCACCGTCCGCTTCTTCTTGGGAGCACCCTTTCCTCTCTGCTTGGTACTACAAAATATTAGACAGTAATCCTGGTTCCAAATGGGCAAGAACGTACATCTTGATGTGCTCCAGTCTGTCCTCCTCAGCATCGTCCCATGTCTCCCAGTCGGGATACAATCTCTGCAGATCCTTGATCGTGGCTACTTTTCTCGGATAATATGCTGCTAGAGCTGGGCCCTTCAATCTCTGCCGTAGGACCTTATTTCCCAGCCGGAGGCCTTCTGGATTGAATGTCGTGGAAAAGATCTTGCATTGGACCTGAGGCTGTGAGCAAATGTTTAACCAGCGAGTGGTATCCTACGAGAGCATTACCTTCATGAGGTCCAATATCCGTGCTCGAGGGACAGCCATATTGTTTGTCGCTCCGAGTACTTCGCTGCTGGTATTGTCAACTATTCGCGACGTCAAGCTTTCAGTCCAGAATTTGGGACTCGCGCTTCGGGCCGGCAGTTTTTCCGAGCTAGGTAGATTTACGGTGCAACCTTAGAAAATCTACAACTCAAAATATTTCTGAAAATATCAGCAAGGTCTCACATTTTGCAGCATTATTCAAAATGCAGAGTTTGTTTAATCGACATAAGAGGAAGCATGATGAAGGTGCAGGATACGAGGAGCATAGCAAGAAACACAAAAGGCACAGTGTAAGTCCACCCCATATCTCAGTCAGCATTCATAACAAAGTGCACGCACATCCTTACAGATCACAGGACAGCCATCATATAGAGGAATCGCGGATCTCAAAATCTATTGAAAGAACCAGAATCGACCCTAGGCCTAGTATGGGTAGCTCTGTAGCTCCAGCCCAATCGACGAAAGTCGCAAATCTCATCAAAGCACTGGATGAAATTCTGGAAGGAGAAGGCATGGACGAAACTCTTGGCTTGGTCGGAGAGGAGGCTGTAAATCGCTGCTTGGATCTACGAACTTCTCTCAATTCGGCCAAGTCGAAGCTCAACGAAGCAGGTGTTAAACCATCATCCATCGATCGAGAACAACGGTCACATGACTTCTTCAATGTACCCAACACCTTCTCGCCCTACTCTCTCACACCCTGGAAGTCTTCAACCATACCAACGATTCTGCCTCCTCTACCCAAAGTCCTCGATCCTACCCTCGAAAAGTCCGCATTCGTCCACGTTGCCTGTGGTTCTGGCAATGTGACGGATCTGAGCTATGAACGTCTCGAATGGATTGGTGACGCATATATCGAACTCATTTCCACGCTTCTCATCTCACAAACATTTCCATACCTCCTGCCTGGAAAGTCCAGTCAGATTCGCGAAAATCTCGTCAAGAACGTCACCCTGGCCGACTTCTCTCGAAAATATGGCTTCGACAAACGTCTCCAAATCCCTCAAGCAAATTTCGACATAAAGGAGTCTGACAAGATCAAGATATTAGGTGATGTCTTTGAAGCCTACGTCGCAGCAGTCATTCTCTCTGATCCAGCCGAGGGTGTGTCTCGGGTCTCACAGTGGCTGAAGGATATCTGGGGCATGACCTTGGCCAAGGAAATCATCAACGAGGAGAGAAGAGAAGTGAAGCTCGACAGTCCACTCTGGAGGCTTCGGGGGTCTGCACAGCCCGTGCAAGATATTATCTCCAAGACCGAAAAGGCTCCCTTGAACCCGAAAGACGCCCTGCAACAAATGATCGGTTCGAAGGGTGTGAGATTCAACTACAACGACTTGGCACCTCCAAAGAAGGATCCAAATACCAAGCTTCCAGTGTTTACGGTCGGTGTGTTCCTCGATGGATATGGAGAGAAGGACAAGATGTTGGGTGCGGGCAAAGGGCCTGGCAAGAAGGAGGCTGGGTTCAAAGCTGCTGAGATGGCGATGGCGAACAAGAAGGCGATGAAGTTTTATGGTGAGAAGAAAAAGTTGGTGCAGGCTCAATTACAGCTTGAACAGGAGGCTTTGGAGGCTCAACAGAAGTCTTGAATACTGACGGTCAGCTATCTTACTTGCTTTTGCGCAATGCTGAGCTATCTTGACCTATGTTGATTATTTGTTGTACTTGATACCCATTAGCAAATGAAATTGAACTTCTGCTATTCTTCAGCTTCACAAGTAGCCTGCCTCTCAGAATCTCAGCATTCTCAGTAAAAACCGCTGTAAACTATTGTTCATCATGTTTAGCAACAATCCTTCCGGTCCGTAATTCTGTCTGACTCGAAGTGGAGCAGCCCAAATCCTGGCAGGTCGATATCAACCAGCCTCGGAGAACCTCGGTATTATAACCTCGAGTGGCACAGAATAATTATATCACAATCGCCATATACTTTCGAGTTCCGTACTCGAAGCCTAACTTCGATTCAGTCATCCGACCCAATGAATGGCAGAACATCTACCTGGAATAACCGAGCCCTGAATCGAGATACATGAACGGTTGATCCCAATCAACATTCAGAATTACTTTCACATACCATCTAATGAGTAATGAACAGAAGTCTCCCACAAACCCCAATAACAATGCCTCTCGATAAGCTCAAGTCCAAAGTCCAAATTTTTTCATAAGTAGTTTCCAGCTGCCAAAAACAATCACAAGCTCCCCCACCACCCCACTACTTACTCGATTAGTGCATCGCATCCGCCCTCCGGGGAACCAAAGCATCCCTGCAACTCCACCACAAACACCGAGGCACAGTGCAGCCCAGCACAACACAACACACGCGACGGCAATGATGCGCATGATAAGGTAATCTCATCATTCAGCCCCAACCCGGGCAAGAAAAAAGTGTGCACGCCAACAGTCCATTCGCCCATCAATCATTCTCGCTGAGCCTCTCTCTTTTCTTTCTTCACTTTCTCACCAACCCTCGTTCGTCTTCTGGCTTCTGGATAGTCCTCTCCGTACATATGTGGTATTCGCGAGCCGACCCGATAGCGAATTCGTTGCGCCTCGGCATAGAAGTGACAGCACGACCACTTCTCTAATCGATTGTCGTGCTCCGCAAAGGAGTCGCAAAACCTCGCAGAGTAGAGAAGAGAGTAGAGGAACAGAACAATGGCGGATTCAGTGGGTGCGTGTGACTCCGTACATTCCCAGCACAATGCCAATGTTTCGATCTTTCCTCCCATTCTCCCTCCAAAGACTCGGCATTGTCCCACAACAGAAATATAAAAACACAAGACTAACACCCTCTCCCCCACCACACAGACAGAGTATTCGTCCACGCCCTTAATACCGTCAAGAAGATTCCCAAAACAGGCGCCTCGCGGCCTCCACCGGGCGATCGACTCCGCCTCTATGGACTCTACAAGCAAGCCATGGAAGGGGACGTAGACGGGGTGATGGAACGACCAGTGAGTGCGCATGAAGGTGAGGAGGAACCTGAGGATGTGAGGAAGGATAGGGATAAGTACGATGCGTGGGACGCGCAGAAGGGGATTAGCAGGACTGAGGCGAAGAGGAGGTATATCGAGGCGCTGATTGAGACGATGCATAAATATGCTAGCACGACGGCGTGAGTCTTGCTGCGCTTCTTTTTCCTATCAACACAGTTCTGGTTTTGGTTCTGGCTCTATCTGGGAGAAAGAAAGTAAACATGGTATGGGACGCAGAACGTGACAGGGCTGATATTGGAGATACACAGGGACGCAAGGGCTCTAGTCGACGAACTCGAATTCGTCTGGGACCAAATCAAAAACAACAGCGCCTCCTCCTCCGGCTCCTCACCCGGCAGAGGCGTCCCCTCCTACACCACCCAATCGCGCCAATTCCAACGCCCATTATCTGGAAACGATGGACCAATGCGAGTGCTCAGCCCAATGAGCCAAGACGACGAAGCAGAGCGCCGCTCAGGATATAATGACGATTACGAAGAGGACGAAGACGACGACGAATATAATAATGGCGGAAAGAAAGATGCCAAGAGCACGAATAGGTGGAGGAGGTCGGTGGAGCATGCTTTTGAGAAGATGACGGCTGAGATTGCGGCGCTGAGGGAGCAGATTGCTACGGGGAGGGAGTATCAGGGGAAGAAGAGAAGATCGTTTAAATCGTGGTTTGCATGGTTGATTTGGTTGGCTATACGGCATGTTCTGGTGGATGTGGTAATCATGGGCATTGTGTTGCTGTACCTGAGGAAACGGAAGGATAGGAGGATTGAAGACTTGGTGAGAGAGGGATTGAGGATTGGGAGGGAGTATATCAGGAAGATTGTACCGGCACGATGATGTTCGTGGGAAATATTGGAAAGCTCCAACGTTCCTGTTCAGGATGGACAATTCTCAACACCCGGAATCAGCGCCACGACAAACATCACAGAGTACGGCTGCTAGGGACGAGAATCACAAGCAACTCCATCCCCATCACAATTGGCTGAAACTCAAAGGCCGGGATCAACACAACTCAGCTTCAGATCATCGAAACGAAATCACTCAATTCCACGACTATATACAAGCCCTCACCACAATCCTCCACTAGGACATACCACCCTTCTGATCCGCCCCCTCAATAGGAGCAATCCACGAGATCCGCTCACCGCTAAATAGTTCCCCCTTGGGTTTATTCTTACTCGGCCACTCTGGGTCATCCAAAACACCCGCCTTAATGATCACCGAGCCAGGGAACGACGCCGTAATTCTGAACAGCGTGGTTCCGCAGTCAGGGCAGAAGTGCGACGTAATCTTCTTGCCGCTGTCGGCTTGCTTGGAGATCTCTTTGGGCTTGCCTGTACATATGAGAATATGTTAGAGATTGTAAGATATTGGAATGGGAGAGGCTAGCATTTGGGATTGGGGTGACAGGTGATGGGGTCGGGGCAGATGGGGATATATACCTTCGACTTTGAAGGCATCCTCGGAAACAACAATGTTGTTGCTATAGCTTGCGCCACCGATTTTGCGACAGTCGAGACAGTGGCAGAGCAGATGAGCATCAGGTTCTCCGGTGAAGTTCACGCGGATCTAGATGAAGATAGTTAATACCGTCTCACATTTACATAATATCTCAATCCATTGGCAAACAACACATCATCAAAATGAGAGGAACCAAATAGAGAGAATGACATCAACATACATTATTACAAAAACAACCTCCTGCAGGCATATTGATCACTTAAGTATGATATATCGTCTGAATTAGGTTTAGATAAAGTATTTCGCCTTAGCGGATATGCAGAATCGTGATTCTCAGCTTCTGACAGTAACAACAACAATATTTACTCAACACCCTGACGGCTACCCATCCCCTATATACACCTGCTCCCGTCTTCTGTTCTACCTCCCTGTAGCCCCTCCACCAACGTCCATCGTCGTCATACTCACCTAGGATTTGAATCGCACATCCTGGAGCTAAGAAGCGGGGATGGTGGCTCTAAGAAGTCAATCTCGTCGGGATCTGGACTATCGGCTCCTTTGCCCCGATATCGATTTACTAACGGATATGGGACAGGTTCCGAGGGGAAAGGTAATTCTTGGGGGCGATCTGCCGTTGGTTCATGGAGATGTGGTGCGGGTCGAGGATGGGATTTGGAATTGCCCTGTTGACAGAATGGGGTGTGTCCTGCCTCTCACAAACAAACAGCCGAGGCCATGGCGAACCGACAAAAACAGCAGCCCTCGATGTCCCCACGCCATCAAAATAACCAATTCATCCCAAATATATTCCCATCTATCCCATTGACTTCAAGGTCAAAACAAAGACCAACCAACAGACAACCATCCATCCATTCATCCACCATGACGTCCCTCACCCTCACCCTCACCAACACCTCTCTCTCTCTCCACCGCACCCTCCCGATTCGCCAAAATCTCGGTTCCCTCTCCCTCTCCCGTCCCATCTCCAACAAACAAACGGTCCAGGGATCAAAAACCAACAAAGCAATCGCAATGCGATGGCATGGGCACGGAACGATCCCGCCTCATTCTTCAGGGACCCCGCCAATCCAGACACACAAACGCACCAGAATTAAACGAACAAAGAAACGCAGTTTTGACAAAAACGCCGCGGCGCTCCGCCCATAACACCAACACCAAGATCCAACCTATGAAGTACTATTCTTTTAGTCGCCGCTACCAACACTACACGAGGTATCTGACAACCTATTGCGGCCTAGATCCAGAATTTGAGATCTGAGTTTACGGTAGATCGATTGCTCGCTACCGATTCGTGCGCTTACTTTGTTTACTTACTCACTTGTGGGAGAAGCTCAAGATTGGAGACGAGACGAGACGAGGGAGGGAGAAGGTCAGATGATATCGCGTCAATTTGGTTCGTGCTGAGTTGAGTTGGAGAGTGCTGGATTGAGGAAGACGGAAAATCGAAGTTGCAGATTGGGCAGATGGCTGTTACGATGGTGAACTTACAGGAAGTGCCACAACAATCTGGAGTTGTGCGCACCGTCAATGAAACTGTGGAGGCGGACGAGGTCAAGGTAAGCTTGTCAACCCCCTGTTTGTGCTTATTTGGTTCCCGTGTTTACTTTCCTCTTGGATACACGTGATGCTGTGGAGGAAAGTTGTATTGCTGCTTTTGGAAATCCTTCTACTCCTTTCTCACCCTCATTGATCGATGTACCCACGGTTTCAATTCTCTAACAGTCTCGCAGAATCCAACCCCGGTCACCAACCTCACCGAAGCCATCTTCCTCCCCTTCAAAAGCTTCCGCCCCGTCCCACTCAGTTCAGAAGCTCCTCTCACCCCGGCCCAAAAGTTAGCAAAGATAATTGAGAATGTCGAAACTCAACAGGCACTAGTAAAATCCAAAATGGTATACCTGACTGAAAAGCGAGTCAACGAAGTCATCACAAACGCAGAGGCGGAGTTGTCAGATATGGGAGAAGGAACCTTCACCGACGACGAGCCCGGCGAAGTAGAGGCACGGAGGGAGAGGAGAGTGCAAGCCGAATCTCTGATGGAATTTATGGGACGGCCAGCGAAGAAGGGTGCGAAGAAAGGGGATTTTATCCGACGAGGAAGTCCCAGCTTTGCAAAACAAGTAAGTCACACTCTAGAGAGCGGAGTTCTGGTTGCCAAGGGGAATTATGCTAACAGTGACATCAAGATGGATACTCCACAACTCACCTCCCACATACGACACACATACATGGTCCGCAAAGAAGCCAGCTCGAAAATCCGATCTATCATCATGGACAGCACCGCACAACTCGAAGCCTACCACAAACTCACCTCTTCGACTCTCAAGTTCTACAAACAAGCACAATCTCGTCACACCTCGACCTCTGATTCTTCCCCTCTTCCCTCTCCCATTCAAAAAGCATCTGGAAATGTCAATATCTCACCACCACGAGCTTCCACTGTCCAAAATCTAGCTTCCCCTCGCCAGAAGAATGCCGCGACTCTTGCCTCTCCCATCCGAAAAGGATCTGGAAATCTCAATATCTCGCCAGAACAATCTTCCCCCGTCCCAAAACTTGGTTCCCTTGGCAAGAAGAATGCCAAGAAGGCTCTTCCAGCTGCAAAGCAAGGCATTTAACCAACAAGCACGGGTATGCCACTCGTTGGATCTAAGGTTGCTGAACCGGTTAAGAGACTGGAGACGATGGAGGCGGTGGCTAAACGGTGAAGTGAATACGTGTTTGGGGCTTGGGATTGGGGGTTTGGGATTTGGTTTTTTATGGTTATGACTCATGATTCATGAGTTGGGGATTAGGACGTATGCATGAATGGCTAGGCATGGCTATGGCATTGACACGATACCCCGAGATACCCTGGTGTAAATGTTATGTGTGCGTGTTTGTTTGGAAGACTCTGGATTTTGCTGGTGTTCTGAGGTAGAGGTATTGCTTAAGGTCTGCATTTTTCGCGTTTCGGGGTTTGAAAAAGGCGGCTGCTTAGCAGAAGAGAATTAGATCAGTATTAGATCTGGTATCAAGAAAGCATGAATAAAAGAAGGTGCCGTTTTCTTGCCTACCTGACAGGCATTCATGCAAAACTACTTCGAACAATTTAAGTCAATTTTCCATCTGCACGTCTTCTTATCCACTGGTTGCATCGCTGTAATCTTATGCAGAACATGTCAATCTTGCTCTGAATCACGACGATGAAACAAAACTATGAGAGTCTCTAGGCAAACTTCATAACTCCAACTCCCCTTCCCTTCACCTCACAATTCACTAGTACAAAAATTTATCTCATCGCCTCTTCCTCCTCCTCTTCTTCCATCCCATCGATTGAGAATACTTTACCCTACTTTGTTCAAAATGTTGTGCGGGTCGTATCTGTTGTAATGTCTGCAGATGCTGGCGTTGTTGATTTAATTTGGTTAAGCGAGAATTGCCCACGCTGTGGATTTATGTGTGGAGTGGAGCTAGACTTGGGGGGGAAATAGGCATGGGTATTTACTACGTATGTCCCCATCATAACTCAGACAATCTATTCACCTATTAAGGTAGGTCACCGATTATGTAGCTATCAGAAAAACTAGTGTAGAATCTGGGATCCTCGATTCTCGGAGTTAGTGTTCATCCTGATCTAGGGATAGAATGTCTCGGAAGTGAGAAATCTGGAATCATCAGTAGACCAATCTATGCTAAGAGATTAGATTATTTTCATAGTGTATTTACCTCCTGATCGGACAGATGATACTGTGGATTGCTTCTTCGAACCTGAACTTTGATAGGGTCTGGAAGTGGATTGGAGGAATTTGACATGGAAGAGAGTTTTTGGAACGGCCATCCAGATTGCTCAAACTCATGGGGGCAATTAGATGGTGTGATGATGTCGCGAACCAGCTTTGAACATTACAAAGTGTCACAGGTCGTTGCTCAGAGCCGGACAGGTGGGCATTACATGTTGAACCCATTTCACCGAGACTTACTTTAAGATGCAGAATCTCTTTGCAATATTCTCAGTAGACATTGATTTTGTTTGTCTAAGTCATCCCTCTGATCATAATAAGCTAAAGCGTCTCGAGGATGTCAAAAACATCCAGACAGATAACGCAAGACAATGTCACAAAATCTCTTCAGTCACCACCCAAACACTTCCTCAATCAATTCAATCCTCCTGACACCTCTATCCAAGCACCCCTTAACCACAGCCCGCACCTGATCCGCCATACCCGCCGGCCCACAAACAAACACAGCCATCGAGCCTTTGCCCTTCTCCTCTGCCATATTCTCAACCAAACTCTTCAAATCAGGTCGTCCATACGTAACACCCAACGACAAGGCACCGGCAATGAAGGGCTTTTTGTCATCGTCGGAGCTCTTTTCGGTGGGATCGATGGTTTTGTCACCGGTAATGAACGTCTTGACTTGGACATTGGGTGAAGTGGGGAGGGATGATAGTTCGCGGTTGAAGATCTCGTGGACCATGCGTGCTTGTTTTGTAGTCCAGATGAATTGTACGTTTGTTGGGCGTTGGTTGGCATTGAGCTGAAGGAAGAACTTGAGATATGGGAGAGCGGCTGAGATGCCGGTACCACCCGTGATGAGGAGGACTGTGAGGTTGCAAAGTCAGTAGAGCGCTTCTCGCAAAAGTACACAAATTTGTGGAATATGTGGTGAAGGAGGTACTCACCGTTGTCGAAGTGGCTTAATGACTCGTGGCTACCATATGGGCCTTCAAGAAGTAATCTTGTGGACACCGGCTGACTCGAGCCGTTCGTAAGGCATAGTCTTGGAATTTGATTTGTGAAGGAGCCACTTGACGGCGTCGAGCGACGGACGTAAAACGTGAGCTTCACTCGACCTTGAGCCTGACTAGAATCTGAGGATGGGGCTTGAGAGGGACTGGATACCGGTGCAATAGCAATACCATTATTTTCCTTCGCTGATGGAAGAGTGCCAGGAGGACTACTTAGTTGACTGCTATCTGATGCTGAAGACTCGTCCGAGACATGTGACCAGTTGGGTGCCGTGAAAGGATGATTTTCCCACCCACGCCACTTGAATGGCTGATATAAGAAGTAATGTTGGTTTGGCTTTGGCTTCAATAAGAATGATCGTAATGTCACTGATAGAATGAGTAGATTAGCAAAACATTCCCTAATCCAACGCCTCATCCCCCTCCCGCCTCTCCGCCTCCTCATCCCCCTCTCCATATACATCTTCCTCATTTCCCTCAAGAGCAGGGACAAGATCATGGTGGGGATCAGGGGTGGGAGCTGGTGGTTCCTGTTCCCTCATTCGGGCGAGGGCCTTGCAGGCGGCTTTGTAGGCGTTGAGGGCATACAATGCCCGGAGGGCTGCTCTTGTGGAGGCAGCACGGCGGGCCACGCGGGTGGGGGTCTCACGAGGGACGCGGGGGCTAAACTTCTTCGATCTTGTCTTGATCCTATTATGATAAATTAAGATCAGTATAGGATACTTGAGAATCTAGGATATGCATAGAGCTTCTAAAGAAGCCTCTTGCAAAGTTTGAATCGCAAATGACTATGCAAACAGGGGCACATGATAACATACATGGTTGGGATTGGGGTTGGGATTGAGATTGAGATTGAGATTGAGATAGTGGTTGTGGTTGTGGTTGTGGTTGTGGTTGTGGTTGTGGTTGTGGTTGTGGTTGTGGTTATGCCCACATGGCAGAACGATTCTCAAGAGAAACATCTTAATATATTAGAAGTGACACTTGAGAGTTACAGTCGTGCTTGCATTTGTGTATTGTGCAGAAGAGACAGTTTGGATTTGAGAAAAGTTTAATTTGCAAAGTCAGGAGCAACCAGACGAGTAGAGGAACAATGAACTGCGGCTTAGAGGGTAGCGATGCAAGCGACGTGGCGATGGAACAAATTGAAAGTAGAGAACTCCCAACCAGTAGCCCGTAAGAAGACGTTATTACGTTCTGAGAACATCCACATCACAGGCAAGTTTGCATATGACATAATAGCAGTGCGATCTGAGATGTAGCGCCATGTCTGGATTTCTGGAGTGTAGCTAGTTACGGTCAGTCATGTATGCGAGGAATTTTGGCAGTAAATACTTACTAGAGATTTGGCCAGAAGATGCTGTAACTGACCGCACAGATTATGATAGACCATGCTCAGTAAGCTAGCACGACGAAGGTCTGCACCCGAGTCGGGATCGTGAAGCCCCACAGCACGCGCCGATGGTGTGTCCCAATCACTGATGGCAAAAAGAATTTGGCTTGAACCCAACCCCAGAGCTCTTGTACTGTTGTGTAGGTGTTGGGTGAGGAGGAGTGCGATTCTGCAGCTGCTTCGTCATGGGGATGGCTTCGATGAAGACGCGTTTGTGTGAGAAAATTGACGAATGGAATTATAATTCCGATCAAGAGGACCCCGCCCCAGAAAACATAGACACCCCAACTAAGTGCCGGTCAGCTAAGCTCGAGAGAAATAAGAGAGATCTTATCCAAGCGATGTTCCCTTGTTGTTTGAGTAAATAGATGCAAAGGAAAGAAAGTAAAAAGGTGGGAGCCTGAACAAGTAATTTTGAATAAAGCAGGCAAGATAAAGATACCCGTAGCGGGAATCTATAATAAGACACTCGGTGTACACGGCCTGAAGTCTCGAATCAGCTACTATTGTATAATACAGAGACTGGAACAACACGCAGCAACACCATAAGATACACACAAAAGTATCGACACCAGTCTTGTAGAAAGACTCAGACACAAAGACGCACGTATTCCACATTGGGTTGATTCCAGTATCTTCATAGTTGACTACCGGAAGGCTAGGGATGAGAGCGTCAGTGAGCCGAGATTTGAACTCCTCGTAAGGAGACAGCGTGGTAAAGCCATAATCGTTGCACCTCTTGCCGACAGATTCTGATCCGGCTATAATTTCTTCTGGAGCGCAGTACGTCTTTGCGGCGGCGTATACAGACGTCAGAAATAGCTCTTCATGGCAATGGTTGTTGTAATATTCATCCGTAGCTTTAAAGATAAATTGACCTGTTGCTGCCATACTGCCTTTGAGACAGTCGACAGGATTACCAACAGTTGTTAAGGCGAAAAGAGTGCCGATCAAAAATAAGCGTAAAAACACCATCATCAGGTTTGGTGATGGCCCCGGACCAAATTTGCGGAAGAGACATAGACAACGCTGTAGTCTGCAGAGACTTATATCACCCTGCGTCCCCAAACGGAAGTGCAATATTGCCTTGCAAGCAGCTGCGCCAAGTAAACAGCGGAAGCTGGCATCTTTGCGCCATCGACAAAAGAACCGCTTGAAGGCTTCGATGGATACATCGGACCGGGCCATGAGAGCATCCAAGACATTTAGAGATTTAAAAAGTCCAACGACCCCCGCGCCATGCGCCACATCATTGGCTGTTCGGTAGTTTTGAGCAGCAAGCTTCAAGAGCCGTGACTTTAGCGAGATCAAATAACGAAATCGGCTCCACACCGAGACTTTTAGAGCCAACCGAGTACGACCTGATAAAGAACTGATCGAATAGAATTTTTACTAGGGACTGTTTTTGCCAGTGGAGCAAATGCGTTGGATTTGCCCGAACGTAATGAGTGAAAGGATATGACGTTCCTATGTAATGTAGTGCAAACAGCAGAGGACTTTGAAGCACAGAGGAAGAAGTTGAAGTCCCACGAATATTTACGAGCTTAGCACACTTGTGGGTGAAGGCTTTGCGACGTCAAAACATAAGAATATATGCTACTCGACGGGGAGTATCGTCCTGTCCCGTGGTTCCCCCCATCTACTAGTGCTGGAGACCCCTCTGTGCGATAAAGTTGCCACCAGGAATGGTACCATTGAAAGTGGAAGCTGATCGAGGCATAGTGAAGTTTTCTCGCCGATCAAGACAAGTCAAGCCAATCCAACCAGCAGCAAGCTGATCAGCTAAACGAGCAAGCTGACCAATTCTCCATCCTTCGGTTAGGTGAGAACTGTCTCGGCCGAAGATCACAACCCGAAACTGACAAGAAAATTAATGAAATGGGTGTTTTCCGGTGGATACAGTAGCCTCTAGGTTCGCGGTTCCAGAGTCAAAGCAAGATTAAAAGTTCAATTCGACTTGAGATCTGGAATTTTTAGATCGACAAAGGGTAGAAGACTACGTGAATATAAGCTGAAAAGACAACAGTCTCGAGGAGATAAAATTTTAAAATCTGCTTCATAAGTCAGCAGTCAAAGACTGCCTCTTCAAGAGACAAGAAGAGGTACAAGCAACGGCGGGGAAGCCTGGATTAGTTCGGAATATGAACAAGTTTAGATCTAAACACGTTTAAATTTATTAGGTGAGGCTTGCCCTTCCTGTAATTTGTCAATGAAGATTTGATATTGTGCTTGTAAAGGAGGAATCTTGGTAGCGTTAAGCATCAACAGAAAAGTTACTTAGCGATTCTTGTAAACTCGGAAGACACTTATCAGTCTCTCAGCAATAGCCGACCCGTCTAGACTGGCTGATCAGGGTATATCTTCGACTCTTGGATTGCAGGACATGGGTTTGAAGAACAAGATATACGGAGGGAAGCTCATATTCGACAAGGCAATTCATAGTGCCAATTTGGCACACAAATCCGCTCTTGCTCTCATTCCTCGTAAACTCCATTTGTTAGGTCTAGCGACGTAGCACAACCGGGCCATTTGAGGGTCATGCAGAAGCATAAAATCAATGTGATATGTTCACGCCAATAGACACGACACATTAGGAGATCCAATCAGTTAAAGTCTAGGCATGTTCTCACCACCGGCTTATTGACTTCGCTTAGCCATACGCTAGTAGCTAGCTTTCTCGTACTTCCTCCTCTCCAACAGTAACGTCCATCGTAACCTAGAAACTTCTCGACTCTATTTCGAAGCAGTACAAGAATTCCACGATTTTCAAAACACCCCTTTGTTACTCTGCACAGCATAGCAACCTCTCCTGCGACACGACCTGATCTATCACCAGTGCCTACTTTACAGGCTACTACCCAGTAATTGCCGTCATTTCCTACCTCTGAAGGTCAAACGCTGACAGTCTTTAGCAAGATCACACGTGCAAACAATCAAGCCAAATCTCACGGCAATCACCATGGTGACCTCAGACCCCACCGCGTCGAAAGTACCAGATCGAAAGGAAGAGGAGTTCATGTCCATCGGAAGGTGAGCTCCACACCACCTCCCCGCCATTTAAAGGCAGAGAGAAAGACTAACATTTGAATAGCTTGACCGGAGCAGGCAATATGGTCAAGATCTACGTTGGCCCCGAAAAGAAATGTTGGATGATCCACGAGGCCGTCATTTGCAACAAGTCGACCTTCTTCCGCAACGCGTTTCGAGGCAACTTCGCTGAGGGCACCAGCAAGACGATGACGCTTGAAGAAGATGACCCAGCTGTTTTCAGTTTGTTCGTTGATTGGCTCTGCGGGTCAAATGATGGCAAATGGGATAAAGATCTCAAGAACTCTTGTGAGCGCCGCTTGGCTTGGTATGGCTTGGATATCTTCGCGGACAAGATCGGCTCGAAAAAGCTTCGCAAATACGTGGAGGACTTATATGACGATTGTTCATGGTTTGGCGATGATGAATGTGGGCGACATAGTGCGATTGAGGTAGAAATTGTCTTTGAGACGTCACCTACAGACTCCCCATTTCGATCAGACATGATTTTGACAGCTTTAGATCAATTTTTGGGGAATGACTTCAACGATTTCAAGTGGTGGGGAGAGGATCATGTCTTGTAGCCAGACATTCTCGGAGGAGGTTGCAAAGGAGTTGAAGAAACACATGGGGAAGCCTTCGAGATGGTGCTAGTATGAGGATTGCAGCATCCATAAGAAAGCCCCCAAGAAACTCGGCGCTTCATAGGGACGGTATGGGGTACTACCCTTTGGAACGAGCCAGGGTGAATGGATAGGAAGATCAGAGGAACCATGTTTTTCCAGGACTCTGTTAAGGACTAGACTTACAATTCCAGACTCCAGCACATACATTGCAGAAACAGCGTCAGCGGAATCTCAATTTCGGCTTCGTTATCTCCCCTCCTTTGCACCATTGCACACAACGAGAAGCTGACATAGTGTAGCCTTGACGTGAGAAGAACTAGTCCGCTGTGCAGAGTTCAAAGCATCATCAAGCATCTGCTCATCTACAAATATCTCAATTCTGCCTTTCATCTCCTTTTCTACGTTCCCAATTCAACAACTCCCAGACCAAAGTTGAAACCAAACCGCAGAACGCCAACGCACTTTCCCGAGCAAATTTCCCGTCTCCCAACCCAACCACCAAAAACAAAACGACCCCCTTCCCCTTCTCCAGTCTTTCCATCCGGAACAAAAGAGAAATAATCCAACCCTCAACGACGATACGCCTCCTCCCACCTCTCCTCCTTCTTCACCACCGCCCCTCCCCCTCCCATCCTCGAACTCTCACCCTCCAAACACCCACTCCCCTCACCCATGCCCGCACCCCAAAAACCATCATCATAAGCATCAACACCCATCCCGACACCCATCCCAATTGCAAACTCTCCTCCTGCCATGAGTGGACTATACATATCATGACCATGTCCATGACCATGACCGTACTCTGAACCAGGCATCCCGAAACTGTGGAGTAATTCGTCGAGTTCTTGGTCATCATCACCACCAAGAGAAGCGAGGCCGAAGGAATCGTGTGTGTTGGGGCCATGGTGAGGATGACAGGTGTGAGAGTGAGGGCTGTGGTCGCGAGCTGGGTTCTGATTCGGTGAGTATGTATGAGACTGAGATTGCGAGTGCGAGTTGCGGTGATCATAAGCCTGATCATGCTCCTCGATACACATCCTCGGTGTACTAGGATGCGTACTATTCGACACCGTCGACGTCCCATTATGCATCTGCAAGTTAAATTGCAACTGTTCCGAGGAGATCTGCTGAGGAGACTGAGCCTGAGCTTGAGTGAAGAGTCCACCATTCAAAGTCTTTGCACTGGGTTTCCTCTCCCGTTTAACCTGCACCGCGTCCGCGAAACTCATGCTCGAGCTAGCATGGGAGAAGTTCTGGAAGGAAGACATGCCCAGACCACTGCTGTGACTGTGGTGTAAGGCTGAAGAGAGGTCGTGTTGGGCGAGTGACACGGCTGGGGAGGGCATCATGCTGAGTCCGCCTTCGAGCTCGGGAGTATCGCGGTTGAGGGAGCCGGACATGGAAGCTGAGGATGAGAGGAGACTTTCGCCCGTTCCTTCTCGGATACCATATTCTGATTTGACACCTCTCTTATGCTCTCTCTCTTTGCCTTTGCCTTTTCCTTCACTCTTGATCTCCTTCTCGTCATCACGTTCCGTCTTCGGCCCACCAAGAGGCCTCTTGTCTTTCTTGGCACTCTTCGTCTTCTCGACTCGATTCTTCCGAGGTTTGCGAGGTGTTGGAGGCTGTAAGTTGCCCGTTGAGGCGTCCATCTGTTTCTTGAAGCGCGAGTAGCGCATGCGTGCTGCATGGCCGTTGGTGATTTCGTTGTTGAGGATGGGTTCGTTGGCGACTTTGTCCCAGTTGATCTGTTGGAGGGGACATGTTAGCTAATGGTCTGAAGCTCGGAATATGAAATAATGTGAGAAGCTGAGATGAAGTGGATGAGTAGTGGCATAGTATGTGTAGTCTTGGATGCTAATTGGGATGTGGCCTGTGGAGGAGAAGGTAAGCGAGACGAACAACATACATCCCTCAGACTGTTCTGGCTGAGTATCGCATACAGCAATCTCGTAATCGCATTATCATTCGGCATACTGATGTTCTCCGTAGACTCGCCAGTTTGATGAGTGCTCGGTGACTCTGTGTGCTGTTGTGCTTGACCGTTGTTGATGAGGAGGTATCTCCGTACCTTTGGAAGGTACACGGAATTGATGCTGGCGATTGGTCGATGCTTCCTTCTATCCCGAGTGTGTAGAGTTTTTCGACTTCGAGAATTTTGCGAGATCTGAATCGTGAAGTTCGATGTGCGTGAGCGTGCTGTGAATAATACGATCTACCTCAGATTGCTCCAGAAAAAGTGCGAGATTCTCAATATTTCAATGCCCTTCCTCATATCACATCTCAAAGTCCCTCACAAATACTAGAACCGCTTTTCTCTTTCTCACACCTTCAAAGGCCTTTCAAGAGAAAACCCTCACAAACACCTCTCTTGTCGTTGACTTTCAGTTGAGAGGAATCAAAGCTATACTACGCTGCTTTAGAAAATCTACAAATCTAAAATCTCTTTCGTTCACGGTGTTCCCCTCTATTTTGCGGGGAAGGCGTGAATACAAGAGAACTTTACTATTTTCAAAGCACTTGCCCGTTTTAAGACATAAAAACAGGGGATTTGCAGCCAGACAGAGACAAGAGAGGGGAGTGCGCAGATGCTCTGCAGATAAAAGGCGCGAGATAAGAAGAGCAATGGAAATGATAGGAGGAGGACGAGGAGGAGGTAGTACCACTTCCGTACGCTTTGACCCCTTGTCCTGCACAGCTCGCCATCGCCCAGCAAAGCAGCACTGGTTTGCGATGGCATGGCCCGAACCTTTCCATTATGACGTGAGGCTGTTGCCTGAAGACACCGACTGTCGTGCCTTTCCTTATACGAGGTGGTAGAACTGGTGACAATCAGGGCATAGTGACGGGGGAGAGTTTGCTGGGCTGCTGGGTTGATGCAGTTCTATTCGATGTCAGCTGTTCTCGCGGCATTTGTGGCAGGGGAACCGCGTAAAGTGCGTGCAGCCAGCCTCAGCTACAGCGCATGCATGACGCTAAGCTACGCTGTGCTGCAGGGGCTGGATAACAAAAACAATCCTGGGAGCAACAAGCGGTGATGGCCAGCCAACGCAGTACAAAGCGGCGGTGTTGTTTATTCCTCTTTTGAAAATTAATGGATTGAGCAAAAGCAAACCCCTTCTTTGAATTTTCTAATTGGTGCTTGTGCCATTTGGAAAATCGTGGCCAGGGACCAAAGGAGGGACCTGCATGAAGCTCGATTGCCGCTATCTTGGTCTTGGGTGGCGATGAGTCGACCTACCGTCATTGCATGGGGACGAACCGCAAATCCGGGGAACTGGGTGGCTGGGCCCGCGACGTAAATTTACTGCGAGTATCCAGCCTTTTGTGACGACTTTTGGTGGTTAGAAAACTGCATATCAGAGCAGAGTGGAGCGACGTGTCGACTATGCAACGGCGGGGTAACCTTAAGTGCACAAGTGACTCATTGTTTTGAAATGCGAAAGATTTCCAGGTGTGCTGGAAATAATTGGCTGATATTCTTCAAGGTGTATCCGCTAGGCTCTTGATCGATTCTGATATGAAGTATTTGCGCTAAGCCGTTGTACGCGAAACCAAGACATCTGATGTAGCTGGCGAAAGTAGATTTTGCTGTGAATCTGGATGTATGCGACTTGGGTGAATAACACTCCCCGCCTGCGTAGTCGCTGTGAACAAGGCAAACCTCTTGACGCGATCTCCTTCTATCTTCCTCCAATCTGCCATCCCTCGTCATCGAAACACAACTTCCTCGCACAACCGATCTTTGCATAACTCAACCTCTACCTCCACTTCAACTCTACCTCTCCCATGAGACAAACCATTAACCCAAGTCCAAGATGCCTCCATCTCAGTGGGACCAGAAGGCTGACCGAGACTTGCTCCTTGCTATCATTGACGAGGGTGCGCTGAAGGGTATCGTCTGGCCAAAGATTGCTCTTGCTCTGCAAGCCAAGGGCTACACTTTCACTCATGAAGCTTGCCGGTTAGTAGATCTCCTCATATTCTCATCGTCACTATCATTCGATTCGAAGCTTCTCGTCAGCTATTCAAGCGTGTTGCTGCTCACTTCTTGAGGTCGAGGTCACCAACGCCAGCTTCGATCTCCTGGCCCCTTGCACACCAGCCTCTTCAGAGCCCAGCACTTCATCGTCAAGATGAGTGCATCTCCCCTTTCCCGACCACTGATCACAACCTCCTTATACCAAGCCTCGTCCACTTTGTTGTGAAGAGGAGCGTGACCTGGCTTCCTGCCTCTCACTTTCGATCCCAGCCTCATGTCAAACCCCCTTCTATCCCACAAGATCAAGCTCCAGCCCAAATTCATCGTCCCTGCCCCTCAACTTTCCCAATCCCCGTCATTCCCTTCCCCAAGAACGACTTTCATTGCTAAACAACCCCCAGCCAACATTTCCAAAAGATCCGCAAGCAATCCTCCGCCACCAACAACGCCAACGGTAACGGTACCTCGAACTCAACCCCCACCGCATCCCCTAAGAAGAAGGCCACTCCCCGCAAGACCCCCAAGGCCGCCGCCAACTACGGTGCCACCATGAACGACGACGATGACGACGAGGACCTCCCACCACCACCTTCCGCCAAGCGCAAGCGTGTCGTCAAGAAGGAGGAGAATGGTGTTGGTGGTGGTGTCGATGAAAATGAGCGAGGAAGCTACCAGTTCAAGATTGAGCAGTTGGGTGGTGCCGAGCATGCTCATGTCGTTGATCTGGAGCATGATGAGTGAGTTTCTTCTTCCCCTTGTCTCATCCTTTCATTAGCCCTAAATTGAGAGACAAATGACAGCTTCGGAGAACTGGTATGCTGACCATAATAAATTAATAATAGCTTGTATGACGATGAGGCCTGAGTTCCCCAAGGTCCTACTCAAGTCGGCGGATGGATGTGAGAACTCGAGATTGTGTCTCCTTCCGGGATTTTCTCTCAGCTGACGCATCTCACTTCATCGCTTCTCGACGTAACCTCCACTGGATACTTTCCCCATTCATCAGCACACATTGGCATCAGCATTGGTGCTGCTTTTCTGCATCGTTTGCTTTGACTACTGGCGTTTCCTTTCCTCGACACATTGAACTCTCATTATGGTAGTCCTCGATTTCTCTGGCGCGATGGTTTCCTTGATTCTTTGCCAAGATGGTGTGTTGGCATTGCAGCGTTGAGACATATGATTCATGCCTTTTTCTTAACGGATTTTTGGCATGATATGGTAATGACCTCCACCTTTACCTCCTCTTTTCTTCGGTAGCAACTTTGCAAGAAAACTTTCCAAAGCTGGGAGAAAGCGATGCATTTGTACATAGACAGTGGGGTAATGAATCAATGAACGAATGAAGACCGCCGCTTGGGCTTCTATTATGACCTCGGATGTGATGAACAGAAGCATTGGACCTCATGACAGGGTAACACTTTGGCAGATGGACAATATCTGTAGCACTTGCTGGGCTTGAAGTCACAACAAATGCAAGGACTCAACTAAGCATCAAAGTGTACTTTAGCAAGGTAAAATCAAACAATTCAAATCAATAAATAAAGCCAGCTTGGCATAAAATCTGCTGCTACAACATGTCCCGCAGCCTCTCGCTCGGATAAAACAACGCGAAAGACACAAGAACCAAAACTCCACTATTATGCAGCGACAATCTAACTCAAGTCTAAATGGTATCCAAATTGCTCCCAGTATGCTCCCATGTAAATGCCATCTAAATCGTGATGCTCAAAGCACATTCCCTCTATTCTGCTTTGTGTCGACCCGCACATCTCTCCAGAGACCAACCCACACAAATCCCCACATAAGGACAAATGTAGCTGCAATACACATTCTCATCTGTGCAACACTATACGCACCGATGATGGCATCTCTTACTTCCGAGCCACGAGGATAGCTCAGCTGCAACGCGAGATCCTCATAGATAGCAGTTGCATTTCCTTTCGCGTAGTCAGGCAATCGCTCAAGCAGAGCACCTGGGAGGGTGTTGGTCCAGATAGCTCCAGACACTGCACTTCCAAGTGCGCCCCCAACGGAAGCAAAGAGAGTGAGCAGGGCAAGGACCGCAGCGACGTGTTTGTGCTCGACGACAGCCATCACAGCCATCTGCTCGCAAATCACAATTGCGCCACCTGCCGTGGCGATGAAAACCTGTGCCATAACCACGTAGGCTATCGGTTGGTATGGCTGACGGAAGTATGCCAGCGTAATGCCTCCGACGAGTTCAAGAGGAACGGCAATCCAGGCGATCCATTTGAAACGTCCTGTGACACGGATCAATGCTCCTACCACCAAGCACATGATGGTGCCAACGACAGAGAAAATGTTGTTGATATAGCCAGCCTCTGAGATGGAGAGACCATTGACAACCTGAAGGTACGATGTGTAATATCCATCGTAGCAGAAGAATGCGATAAAGCGACTGGAGCAAAGAAGACATCCTCCAATTACGGTACGGTCGAGCAAAAGTCGATAGGGGATGAAGGGCTGGCTGGCATAAAATCGTTCCCAGATGCCAAAGACAATGAGAAGTACCAAGCCAAGTACTATCATCCATATAATTGAAGGGGAGGTCCAGTTATTTGATCCGTAGCCAGTTATCGAAAATGGAAGGAGGAAAAGTACCAGTCCTGCCGACAAGAAGAGGATTCCATGGACTATATTTCTTTCAGCAAAATTCAAGCGGACATGGATGACGGTCTTACCGTCGAATTCTTTGGTGTAGTGCAGCAAGCTCGCTCTCCAGCTGCGTCTGATCGGATCTTTGGCTAGCACACCAATCCGTTTCGCTTTCATCTGATTCATGAACAGCATGCTGCAGAATGGCGTAGCCAACAATGGGGTTAACACGGCGAATAAGGCAAAAGTTCCACGAAATCCAAGATTGTTGTAGGTGACCTCTGCGATGCCTGGACCAGCGAAAGTCGTGATGAGATATGGGGTCGAGGCAAGTGCAACGGCGAGGGCTCGGTTAGATAGCGAAGATATATCAGTAATAACAACTTGGAGAACGTAACTCATACCACCGAACCCGATGGCATGAAAGACCTGGTCTGATTAGTCAACCAGCCCGTATTGGGCCTTCTCGGAGTGCCTACCTGTGCCACAGCATAAGTCTCGACATTTCTGCAGACTGCCATGAGAAGAAGACCGGTCGTGCCAATCAAAGTCATGAAAGCAAATCCTTCGGCACGCCCCCAAATATCCAGCAGCTTCGCGATCGGCAGCGTCAGCACCCCACTCATTATCCCAGAAACTATTCCAATGACCGGTATGAGAGAGTGCGCCGAGAAATCGCTGACGACGTATGCCATAAGATTTTGTGTGACTTGGGTTTGTATCGCGTTGACGGCAATTATAAGTAGAATGCTGTACTTCTATTAGTACTTTGGCGGGGTTGCTCTTGCAGGGGGGCTTACAAGACGTAAGTCAACCTCAATGAACCCTTAGTCCACACGAGAGTGATGGCTTCCACAGTTTGTACACCTTCCTGGGCATCTGGATTTGGTTCATCCTGCAGGTTTTTATCGAAAACACTTCTGCTCTCTTCGTCGCTCAGTAAAGGTGTGTACTCCGATGTTGTGCCAGCCAGAGGTTTGCTGGTAGAGGCCATGTTCGCTGTAGTGAAGGGTTCCAGAACCCCCATGATGAGCAGATGTTGAGGATCAGTCAGCCACCAGCAGTCAAAATGTGCTCGCAGACTTCGAAATGCGGAATCGTGGGGGATGTTGCCGATATATGGGAAAGTGGATAGGAAAATTTGATCTAATCTAATCAGATCTCTGTCGAATCAACTCGTGGCGGGAACAGCCGACGTTCGGCCATCAGTGCACGGGGGTCAAGAGCCCATGTGCTGATGACAGGCCGTCGAGACCCATATTTGCTTGTTGGCTCGGAAGTATTGAAGCACAGAAGGGGATCAGGAAAGGATCAGATAGCAACCAGATAGGCTTTTGAAGTTATCAGATCATCTCGATAACTTTAATCCTGTTTCCGGCTCTTAGCAGATGTGCCACATCGCCCCACTCGGAGATCCGGTGTCGCAGTTGAGTTGTTCTTGTCCAATGGTGTATCTCGAAGGCACCGTCAACTACACCTTTCTTTGATTCTGACTGGACAGACATGATCCATTATAGATTTGCAGAACGTAATCGCGGCAGCGGCGGCGGATCATGCTGGATGGGGCCCGAGATGCTTCCTTTGTTGGGATCCTCGGCCGTGGCTAACCGTCGCTGGCAGGTGCTTAACATGCTGCGAAGGTATTGATGCTCGATAATAGAGCCGCAGTTATCTATTGTAACGTAAGCAATGAAAAGCCCGTGGCCAGTTCGCGGTGCCCATATCTCGAGGCTGATATTCGGAGACGAGCGACGATGCGTTGCTGGGCCCTCGCTCTGATCTTCCTAAGTCGTATGGAAAGTGCTGAACATGTGAACATCAGATGCAGATGCCAGTGGATAATGTCTGCCGTAAAGCGTCAGGACAAATGAATGTTGGATGGTGGAGTGGAGGCTATTTCGAGGTCGGTGTGCAGAGAGCGAAGGGCTCGAAAGATCGCCATGATTTATCCGGGGCCTTTCCAAAAACGGTTTAGACGCTCTCGCCAAAACTAACTCCTTGAACACACATTGTGACTTTTGTCAACAAGCTGGAAGCTTATGATTACAGTCTAAGCAGCAAAGAAGGACATGGGGGATTTCCATCTTGGACCAGCTTTTGAGGCAATTTCAAATAGACTCACCACACAGCAACGCCAACCTTTTTCATTCTGTAGGCAAGTCTAAGAATAGAACCGAAAGAAGAAAGCTACTCGTGGACCACTAGCAACATAAATTCAAGAGAGTTTCAAGAAAGCATGAAAATTGAACAATGAATTCTTTCCAATCCCCAATTACGTGCATATATATAGTTGAAAACCCTTTACTAGGTCGACTCTAATCAACATTTTATGCCCCAGAGGCTGACAGCCCGGTTTCTTGTCCCAGAAGTTGATCTGCAGAGATGCTTCTGTATTCTGCCGTATCTTTGTGCACCTCTGTAGCCGCCGTGGCCGCTTTCTCTTCCATCGAGACACCATCGATTGAGCCATTTGACTCAGCAAGCTCGGGCGTCGCTGACGGTGACCTTTCGAGCATTTCAACATCCGAAGTCGTCCACTGATTGTGCACTAGACAGGCTTGAACACCACAGAAGCCAGATGAGTGGACTTCCATGATCAAGTGCTGTTTGTACGCTCGGAGGATGTCGCAGTTGAAGCTGACGTTGGATGCCGCCAGGGTTGCCAGCTCCCGTATGTCACCCTTACTCCAAGAAGAGAATGTCTCGGCCATGAAGTGGTTGACAATGAAGTTCCTCATATGAATGGACAAAACAGGCAGTCGGTACAGATAGTCAACCTCACTCTCCCGTGGGAGCCAATTACCTTGCCAGAAAGGAGACCGACAGGTCTGATATCGGCTCAAAGTCTCTTCTGCCAAGGCTGGAATGGCAAATCTTCGAGCCAAAACATGTAAGATGCACCATTCGGATACATCTTCATCCCGCTCAAGACCTTCCATGTCCAATGTTCGCAGTTGTTCTCTGTTCAACCATCGAATGAGCTGGGGGAAAACTCGTGCTTCGTAAGCCGGAAGATTGACGAAAAACTCTGTCGTGCTTGTGTTTTCATATGACCACGGTCCTTCATTTCCTGCTTGGAAGGCCCGAAGCGTATCTTGTGACTCGATACTGTTGGTAAGATGATAATCGGCGTGGCTGAAGTGTCTATCCCCGACTAGGATTCGCAGGGTTTCAATTGTGGGAAGTCTTCACAAAAGTCAGCAGATGAACCTCCTACACCAAATTCAATTTTCCAACTCGCTCTTCTGGGAATGTATCCATAATGATAGAGTTGAGGACAGTTGAACTTCTTTGTGTGGATGGCTTCGTGTCTGAAGCGGACTAGTTGTGGGTACAATGACCAGACCCTGTGAAAATTGACGGTGATAAAAGGATATATTTGGGAAGTGGTCTTTAAGATGAAGTGTTTGGATCCAGTACCTGAGCATACAGGAGTATGAGGCTCTCCTGGGCTATGGTGTTGAAGGTCTCGGCGTTCTGTATGAGCGTAGCGGCCAAATTATTACTTGATTTGTCAAGGGCCCTTACAGTTGATGGCAATTTCAGTTACGCTTTAATAACCATCTGCTTTCTCCAGGGTAGTATATGTATTAAGCCGTAGAGATCTAAAATTCTATTTGTGTACGAGGTAACGAGGAAGTATCATAATAGTAAGTGAGGTCAAACTAGTGGTCATTGGCACATTGCCAAGTCTGATGCCTTTGTACCATTCCGGTCGAATCTCACCCTATCGTTTTACATCATAGCAAAGCACTGTTGCATCTGACCAAAAATCCAAGACTGAAACATTATTCTGGCACAGGGTATGTAGTTTATTATCTCCAAAGTGTAAGCAAGCGACGGTGCATAGGAGAATGGGTGTCGGGAACGGGCATGGTGGACTGACTTTTTTTCAAAAGTAGGCACGCATTTGGCCTTCCAATCAAGTCCCATACCTTGTGCTTGAACTTGCTTATAGACTTCTACCACTGCTGTGGAGTTTATTCCTTGAGAAACTATTGGTTATCTTTCTAAGCATCAAATACATGTATTAAGAGATAGATCTATAAAAATATTACCACCTACATCTAGATCTCCAATAACTAGAATTAGAAGATAGTACTTGCAAATCTTATCCCATTTACGTCCACCACACTTTATATGTACCATGAAGTTCTCCTAACTTAACTTGTTGATATTTACCGAGGCGGGCGTGACGGCCCAGGTCTCGTGTGCCTGAGGACAGACCAGGGGACGGAAAAAGCACCTCGGGGGCCATGCAAACTTGATAACTGATTAAAGTCGAAACCGGATTTGATTTATGACCATTTCTCTCCGGGGATCAGTTGACGACCCTTGTGGAAGTTATGCAAGCTAAGCCACTGGCGGAGAGTCTCAAAGCTGTGTAAGGGTCCAAATCACATCCAGGCTCCTCTGGACTCGTAAGTTCCAGAAAACGCTTTTGATTACACGTATAACTGTTCGCTTCCGCCCTTATTCCCACTGAAATTCCTGTAATCTTTGATCTCAGAAGCAACTGAACACCACAAAAGTTCAAGTCAAGCGGACTTGTGATCCTCTACCTCAACGCTTTTGAGTGAAAAAAGACCTTCATTACTTCATATCTACAAAGTTAATGTCAGCTATAGATTTGTACTTCTTAGCTAATACTAATCAGGTCATATATAGCTATCCCAGAACCCTACAACGTCTACAAAATGCCATCTCCATCCAAGCTTGCAGCAGCCACGACAGCAGAAGCGAAACTGTTCCAGACAATTCTAATGAACATCGAACACAAACCAAGTCTAGCTTCTCCATAATCTAGTCCATTTTTGTTAAGCCCTATAAATACTGATATTTGCTATTTACAGGTTGACTGGAACTTCATTGCGCTGGCCTGTGGCTATAAAGATGCTAAATCTGCCCAGGAGCGTTTCCGACAGATCCGTATTCGACTTAATGCCAGAGTTTACGTCGATAGTAAGAAGTCAATTACAACACCGTCCAAGACCGCAGCGAAGAGAAAGGATTCATCGACTAAGATGACCCCATCTCCTTCTCCGAAGATGCCGAAGGTTGACGACGATGAAAAGAAAATGTCTGTCAGAAGACATTCGGCGCTTGCCATCCACACCGCTTGGACACCTACAAATCATCCTGATAGGGAGATTCATTCCAGAAGCAACGCATCAACATCTTCCGCAGCTGGAGACTCCGACGAATGTCTCGCTAAGGACTATCTAAGTCACACTGGGGTGTCGGCTGTTGTCAGGAGAGAGCCTACTCCTAAGGGCTCGGATGATGAGGATGCGTACAAGGAGGAGTGGGAAGATACTAGCTTGGATGATGATGAGTTTGAAGGAGATGACGAAGATTCCCTTGTTCTGTGATTTATTCACCGAATTCGTGCTGGATCACTTGGCAGTATCATTATTTTCTAGAGTGAAGGTGGTTCAGAAAGTTCCAATCAATTATCATCTTTTATCAGTCTTGATTCCGTGCGATCTCTGATGTAATCTAAATCACTGCAATTCTCGTCTTTGAAGAATTTGACATGCATATATCGCGACATTGAACTATGGACAGAGACTGGACCGTGACTTGTTTTCATTTGCTTCCACACACCAATGAACTCCTACTTTGTTCATCCCTACTCTTAATAGATAATATATCTCACACTCGACGAAGCTTCCATTGTTATCAACTCATTTCCTGCGTGTCGCAGCTTTTCGACCTAAAAACAAACTCTGATAAAAGCAGCGAGCAGGTACAGCTACATCGAGGAGAAACTTCCGAGGCTAATCCGCCTTTTAAAGCACGCATCTTCTGCACTAAAAATGACTTGCAACTAAACATTTTAAAATAAGTTACAGATACATAGTATCATTTGGTATAGACTTTATCCGGAGCTGTAACGTGCCGATGCAGATATTCGCGGAATGAGTCACTTGAGATTATCGAGAAGGAATCTTGACTCTCATTAATCTCTAAAGCGTTTACATGCATCCGTTATCCAATCGCATTCATAGACAGCAGGAAGGGGGACCTGGATGACTTGGCCGGAAGCCGTGAAGCTATCCCGAAATGTGCTGCACTGCTCCTGACCGGCTGCACATCGTTCAGCTGCTAATGAAGATATAGGATGACGTTGATTAAAGCAGCATATCATACAAATAGCTTGACTGAAGCTTAGAGAACCCGGAAAAGTGCCTTTGCAGGCGATATGGAGCTGCATGTAATATTTATTAAGCTGTCAATTTTCAGTATGCTTATCGGATACTGACTTTTCACTTGAGGTCTAAGTGGCGAGAGCGATGATATTGTAAGGAAACAATTGCAAACAACGTGAGTGTGCCTTCGCAATGTGTATAGCCGAGATACAGAACGAGGGAGACAAAGACAAGGTAAATAAAAAAAATGAAGATTAGGACTAGTAGCATGGATTCACGTCAACAAGGCATGCCGTCTCGTCGCCACACCTAATAAAGATCACAAAATATTCCATAGATCCCTGGACCGTGCCGTATCAATAACCTGTCGTGATCGTTCCGACTTAGGATTCGGAGTAACCTTGCCCAATCTCACATCTTCAGATGTAGTGAAGGAGGGTCAGCGGGCTGCTTCCGTCTCTTTCAAAAATCCAACAAGTGACAGAGATAAGCAAAAAGCAAACCCGCTTTCCCAGGCTATATCCAAGAAGTTCCCTTCCAAAAATATGTCATCAGGCTGCAAGTATCCAGGCACGATGATCCTTCTCAAAGGAAAATTACCACCCGCAGGGTAGGTGAAAAGTACGAACCGACTTTCTGGTCTCATCGACAAAAATGAGGGGCTCAATCAAGAGGGGTAGGCGGTAACCTGCAGATATGCAGGGTTTGTCATGTAAAAGGGATCACATCGGCTAGGTAACCCGCTACATCAGGCAGACTTGACGCGGCCGTTATCTCGAATGATGCCCCGGCACTACTGCGAAGTGATGTTCACGACGTCAGTGGGTCTAGAACAATACTCGGTCCGTGCTAGCTGAATTTTTCCTTGTACTTCGCGACAAACAGGGAATATTTGCATGCAATCTGCATCTGGATGTTTGTTTTTGCTACAGGCATCCTAAGCGAGGGGTGTCGGGTTGTGCTTAATCCTTGCTTCCGTGTAGCATATCCCAGACAACGACTTCACTAAGTCTTATACCATTCTTAGAATTTGAAAGCTCACATCGGAGCAATCACTGTTGGATACTGCTATCCGCAGAACTGGGCAAACGTGCTGGTCACTGAATGCAGTTTCTGTTGGTTGGTGTACTACGCCTGTATGGATTGTCTTGTCTTGATATCTAGAGCAACATAGCCGAAGATATATAAATATGAAGCTGAGCAAAACTTTCCCGCATTTCCAATATTCAACTATTCAGCCCATATCGTCACACAGATAATCTACATCGCTCATCTCCCAAAGTCACAAAGCAAAATGCCTGAAGTCAATACCAGCACCAAGGCTGGCCCAACCCAGCTATCATTCTTCCAGGCCATTTTCACCAACATGAAGGAAACTCCTGATGTAAGTGAGACCAAGCGACTATGTTATGGAGTTCTAAATTGTGATGATCAGGTGGACTGGGCTGTTGTGGCAGCAACAGCTGGCTACAACTCCCCAAGCACCGCTCGCTTTCGCTTCGGACAGATCCGACGAGAACTCCTCAAGAAAGACGGATCAGCAGAGCCGAAGTCTCCCTCGAAGCCGCGTGTAAAGAAAGAGACTCTCAAGAACGAGATTGGTAGTGGCACAAATCTGTCTCCTTCCAAGGTTGCAAAGTCTATTCCAATGAGGGGAAGGAGCAAGAGCGTGGGAGTCAACTTTGGACGTGGAAACAAGGGTAACGTGGTGATGGAAGAAATTGCTGGGGAAGATGAAGAAACAGAGAGAGCCGACGATGCTGCTGACGAGATGGAATGGTGAGATCATCACGAGTTGATCTTAGTTGGGGGGCAGGGGCAGGCAGGAGGGCCAAGGGGACATCGGAAAACAACTAATTTGGTGCAATACAATAAATGAAAATTAGTCACTGATCAACAAACATATTTCACTCCAAATCAAACCTGATACATGTCGTTGAATTGTGGTCTAGGAAACCCTATGGTTGACGATTTGAAGAGCTTCGGTGTGACATCGCTAAACCTACAGGGCAGTGCGCCCTGAAAATTACCCCGCACTTAACCGAAATCTTGGGAATGCCCTAAACTTCAGCACAAACACCATAACTAGATGCCCCAGAATGACACCTTAAGAGTTGTTGTGCATTCATGTTGCTGTAAGCATAAATTATCTTGTATACATTTGGAACGATTGCTGGAGCTTAGAGAATCTCGGCATTGCTTGAAAAATGCTGGAGTGCTGACACAAAGCCTCTCCTGAAGGAATTCTGAGCTCTTGGCTAGCGATGAGATGTTCAGCAAAAAACTGGTCACCTCTAAGACCTATAAAAAGGAAATCTAGGTTAGAAAAAATAGATTCACTCGAACAACAAGTTTCATGGCTGCCTGAAACATCTTTAGCATACATGAAGCATTTGCAACGAGGTTCGGAGCTAGCTTTGCACAATAGCCGAGCTTTCTCTCTGAACTTTAGCTACTGGTGAATAGTTCTACCTCCATTTCCATCTTGCAACCTGCTTTCTCTACAATTCAACAACTCAAAAACACTTCGGCAGCGATTCTACCACACAGCACTTTCGATCTTGTAGCGCAATCACAAACACCCTCAAACGTAAGTAGATACAACTCATGTCTCCACCCCTCAGCACTGTTTGGAGTATTCGATCTCGATCTCGATCTCGATCTCCTCCTTTGTCATCAGGTGAACTCCAGTTTAACCTTTACATAGATTGAAATTCCAACAAAGTTTCATCATCATTACAAATCTGGCAACGTAGTCTCTCCGTTCTATAAAACCCCATCATCTATGCTAACCACTGTGGTAGAATGGCTGACACCAAGACTCCTCGTGCTCCCACTGATAAGGAGGCTTTCTTCTTTCTCACCATCATGCAATGTATGACCAACAAGCCAGAGGTGAGTAGTGCAATTCTCTTCATCTCGCAGTCACCACCACCGAGACCATCTCGTCTGGAATCATCCAGATCGAAACGTCTCCTATCATCATGCTCAGCTTTCCCCTATGAGTTCAGATTTTATCTCATCTTCAATTTCGTATCATGAATACATTCTCTAACGAGTCCAATAGGTTGACTGGAACATGGTTGCCACCCGTGCCGGTTACTCCAATGCCAACTGCGCCAAAGTTCGTTTCGGACAAATCAAGAAGGCCATCGGCTACAAGGAAGATGGATCCCACCCACCAACCACCACCCCCACCAAAGGCCGTGGCAAGAAGGATACCAACGTCGGTTCCGGAACCAACACAACTCCCACCAAGGTCACCAAGCCTCGTGCTCCTCGCAAGCCCAAGGTAACCAAGGCTAAGGTCAAGGCTGAGCCAGGCACCCAAGCTGAGGTCGAGGAAGAAGATGAGAAGTTCGTCGACGCTGAAGCTGGCGAAGTCGCCGAGGAGGAAGCCGATGCTTACACCTTCGACAACGCTCTTCACGAGCAGCTCTACAACAACTACCAGCAGTACCAGAATGGTCATCATGAAGATGAGGAGGAGATCTGAATGTTTACAATTCTGGAGTCTCCATCTCTTTGAGTAAGCCAACTGCGCAGACAGACTCATTGTAAATACTAATCCACGATCTAGCTTGATCGATTCAATGGCATTGATACGGAACTGGGGTCTCGAAGCAGATATCAATGACTTCTGTTGGTATAAATATGTTTCTAGGGTGGAATCTTTTCTTTCTTTTCTGCTTCCACGGGTGTTTGCGACTGATCTGAGGATCACAGTATGGGAATGATCTGGGCAGGCGTGGTCTGCATTTCTCGAGGCAGCTAATTCTGAAAAAAAATGAACAAATGGTCAGCAGCAACCATCACGTATTTTTCTTGCTTGAAAACCACCCTTTCTATGAGACCATGCTCGTGAATGTGAATATCAAACTCACGATGAAGCTTGGCAGCTTCCGCCAGCCAGTACCAGCGCCACATCATGTGACATTGAGCTAGCCACAGTTAAGCGAATGTAAACAGCAGGTCTGAACTGTATCCAGGTGCGACCAGAAAGACAAAATATCATCACGCGACGGCAGGATTGCGAAAATTGCTCTAGTGATGAGATTAAGCTGGCTGATTGTGCTGTTTTGCAGGATTGTCTGGCCTTGAATGCAAGCGGATGTGGCTGCAGTCTCCAAGGATGCTGCAAACAAACATCGCAGAATTTTTGAGTACTTTAGCCGACGGTCCTTCCAATATTCAGATCGGGATGTGAATACAGCTTGCTTTTTGTGTCAAGAAACTTCATTCATCTTACGGAACCACGGAACTTTTGTACTGATCGCCTGTGGGATGATTTTCGATGGTTGAACATGGTGCAAGAGTTGTGGAAAACATGGAAATACCAACACTTTTCATCTAATTTCCAGGATCAATGTAAAGAACCTGCTGGATCGCCGCAATATCTGCAAGAATTCCCATTCATTGTAGAGTCGGGACGGAATATGGTCATGGAAGGAACAGCGTATCGTTCGTCGGCGCAGAAAGAAAAACAATGAAACGCTTCCCCATGAGCGTTTGGAGGAGGGAGAAATCGCAATGCAGTGTTCTGTTGAGTCCATAGGATGGTACCTGTCCCACATTAAGTGTTGCAGTGGCATTGATGCGTATTGGAGTTAATTTTTCATGCAAGTGCACATGCGATAAATTCATTCAAAGAGAAGGAGTTGATACGAGCTTTGCTGGACATGGATTGAAGCCAAGAGATGACGGATAAGCTCTACTAACTACAATCAACATCAAGACAATGTTAAGCATACTAAGATCAGTGTTTGAGCTTTGGTCTGGGTTTAAAAATCAAATCATTGAGGTAATCAAGCACAGAGGACGCTGATGACGCACGGAATGATGATTCCGGAGTAGTTTCGCGAGCTTAAAAAATCGAAAACTGCAGAATTCAGAATACAGAATGCCAAAGAATGAGGTGGTGCAATGACGTACGATTGATCAATAATGCGCTTCCACAATGTCAGTGAATGTTCTAGCACAGACGTTGCAGCCTAATCAATACCGCATCATGATGTGCGCGTTGCCCAGCCCACCGCACAGTATAAATCCCTCCCAACAATCCCTCATCAACACTCCTCATCGTCGCACAACATCACGACCACAAAAATACATTCACGCTTTCGCACTCGTACTTGATCAAAGCTGCTTTTGGCATCTTGAGTCAAGCACCTTCTTACATACACACACACACACACACACGTAAGCTCTTCCATTCATCGTGTATTACTTATCATCATGGTTTGTTGACATTCTCTCGAGCAGACCCGAAATACTTTATTCAACGAACCACCATCTTCATCATCATGTCAGACACCGAGACTGCCACCGCCAATGGAGGCGCCAAGGAGACCATGAGCCAGCAGGACGTCGAGTTCTTACTCACCTGCCTTAGAAACTCTGTTGCTGGGAGTCTCACTGTAAGTTGACTTCTACGTCTTCGCCCGCATTGGTATTCGCATTCAAGGGTCAACTTCTCCCTCTTCATCGCGGCTCCTCATCTGCATTGCCCTAAATGCGAGTTGAAAATCATCTGGCCTGGTTTGATGCACTGTACTCTTCCCCGGACAAGTCTTCGCCCTTGAGCTGGCTATGCTTGACTAGAGTCAGCCGTCTCGCACAACCATCATGTCGTAAATCAGAAGTTCAACCTCCACCATCCACACCGAAGCATTGCGCCTCCATATTAACACACGCTGACATGTTACTTCTCTCCAGGTTGATGCCACCAAGATCGCAGTGGCCCTCAACTACAGTAACCCTCGCTCGGTCACCAATAAGATTTCCCTCTTCAAGAAGAAGTACAACCTTGCCATCAGCACTGCCGGCGCCAAGGCTGCTGCTGCTGCTGCTTCTGCTTCCGCTGGTGACGGAAATGCTGCCACTCCCACTATCCCCAAGACACCTGCTCCACCCAAGACCCCAAAGGGCAAGATTACCAAGGGTAAGGCTACTCCAAAGGGTTCCGCTACCAAGAAGACCCCAGTCAAGAAGGCTGTCAAATCTGCTGTTAAGGCTGAGGATGATGACGAGGAGGCTGATGCTGATGAGGAAATGGAGGATGCTAAGGACACCACGTAAGCACACCCGGGATGCACCATATTCCTGATAGACAGAAGCTAATTCAAGGATCTTCCAGCGTCAAGCAGGATGATGAGGCTTAGATTGAGTTCCGCTACACCTATACTCAATCAATTCATTGAAGTTTCTGGAGTCTGATACCTGCGTGGCATCGCTCTTCTTTGACTACAACAAAAGCTTTTGCTGGCTGAATATTTATGGTTGTTGAGGGGGCAGGATATCTGGGGTTATTTCCTTTGGGCTGTTCATGGTGGCGTTTAGCGTCTTCGGATATGAGGTCTTTTTCTCTCTGAGTTGGAGGGCCTCATCTGCGTTTTCTTTCGGAACCAGAGGTTCGTGGTTTGGTAAGAAAGAGAAGTTCTGGCTTCGGCTTTCCCCTATTCGCCAGGAGATCCTTACTTTCTTAGCTGGTCTGGATGAATACATAGATCAATGCAATGAAATCATCATGAAAACATTATCTTTGTCTCTTGATTCTTCTTTTCAGCGAATCTCAATTGATGTGGCCGTTATCCTCAACTTAGGTCTTCCAGCATCACTGGCTTATCTATCATGAGTACTATTGCAGATTCCATATCTCCTTCAAAGACCGTAAGACCGGATTCCAACAGGCCAAAGCTCATACTCTCTGTGCAGAATCAGGCAATAATGGAGGTCTCTGGAGTGCATGACACTACTTCCAGAAATCGTATCAGCCAGAGCAGAAGGTGAATGAACATAAACTACCATAGCAGCTTCTCTGCTTTGCTGCAGTCGATCTCTGCACTAGTGTGCTTGCAGCCTGACTCTGCTGGCTGCTCGCCTACAAAAAGGTCGCAGACGCGCTCCTCCAGCTTCCCTCCTGAAAACAACAACAAAATTCCTTTCTTCCACAGACCGACAACTTCATCGCAATAGCAGTGCTCAATTGCAACCTTTCGCTTCATACAGTTATCAAGTCTCTTCGTAGACTTGTCTCCCGATACACAAATTCTCCCAAGAAGGTACGTCGTTGTCGCGTTCAGAAGTCGCTGACTTCTTTCTGCTGCGCGACTTGAAGCTGACCATATCTTGCAGGCCATAACAACATCTTCAAAATGCCACCAAAGGCCGCTAATGGTGCTGATTCCAGCACTGCTCTCACTGCAGGCGAGGCAAGTCATTTCATTCTGTTCAGCTTCTGATGCTCTTCTACAAACCATGAAAGACGCCCCCTCTCCGGCATTCTCAGCCTCAACACCTCGATCGATTCTTGAGCTCTCACTGACATGTATCACAGACCACTATGCTTGCTGCTGTAGTCGCTCAGCTTGGTGATATCCCTAAGGTAAGTTTTGGCTGTTTACCTCTCTGATTCTTCTCAAGCCTTGCTTCCATCACAAAAAACAACCAAATCTATTCTTCAATCCACACCCGCTGCCTTGAATATCTTTTTACTGGATGCTTCCGTCTGAATATCACAGCCTGCTCTGGCTCTTGCTTCGGTGTCCACACCTCCCTTTCCCCCATCATGCCAAATCCTCCCGAACAGCCCCGTCTCACGGCACATTCAAGACAAAACGACTTTCACGAACGAACTGAACGGAGCTAAGATCGCAACTCAGATTGACTTTGAAGTCATTGCACAAATCTGCGGCATAAAGTACTCCCGTAACGCTCGCACTTCCTGCAAGAAGCTCTTTGAAAAGATCAAGGCTGCCCACCCTGAGGTCAATGTCGTTGCCGGTGGTACAGGCAGTACGGTCTCTGAGGCCGCTGCTGCTGATGGCTCGGAGGAAAACGATGGTACCAATGGCCAGTAAGTTCACACTCCAATTGCTTTCCTCCATCATCTCCCAGACTTGGACTCCGATGGTTCGCAAAAGACCTAAAGGTCAGCATCATTTAATATCATGAGGCTAATAGTCCCTCAGAAAGCGTGCTCGTGCTGTTGCTAAGAAGGCTCCGAAGAAGACTGTCGGCAAGACCACAGCTCCAAAGAAGGCCAGTGCTACCTCTAAGAAGGCTACTGCCAAGAAGGGAGATGCAAAGGCTAAGGCTGCTGCCAGCAAGGTAGGTTCAATCCAGAGATTACTGGGGTTTTTTTTCTGAAGCTAACCCAAACCCCAGAGTGACGCCGATGACGCTGATGTTGAGGATGCCGAGGAGGAGTCTGCTGACGCCATGAAGGATGAAGCTGGTAAAGCCCCCAATGCTTCTTGTTTCGTTGTTATCTATTCCCGACCAGATCAAGTAGAGACCGGAGTTACAACTGCCATCGACTTTGTCCCTGAAGTTGGTCAATCGGCTATGGGAACTTCGTCTGTCCATTCTGCCGAAGCCACACATGGGCAGTCTGTCAATGGAAGCTCCACTACCAATGATAGCGTCTCTCCATCTGGTCAGTTGGCTGCTGAACCTTCATCTGCCAATCCTCCCACCCGTCCAACTGAAGAGCCTCTCACCGTCGCTACAAGTGTTGCAGTCGATGCTCTGGCATACTTCGTCAACGAAGTCTTGTACATGAACATCAACGGTTACGATTATCCCTACCGCAACCAAGACATCCTCGACGCCCAGTCTCACGGTATCGCACTCGAGCAGTGGGTCCTCTGGAAGTTCGAGAACGGCGTTGATCGTGCTGCGCTCTGCGGCTGATGAACTTGTTTTTGGTACACTTTATTTTGTACATTATTTGATGGCCACTCGCTTACTTGCATGTTCATACAGATGACGAAGCTTGATTTTCCATTACAATGACCGACACGACAACTTCGAAGTCTCCTCGCTTGCTTGATATGTCTGAACAAAGACGACCTCAGCCCTTGGGTTACAGATCGCTTGGCATGCACGGAGTTTTCAGGGTTGCAGTGATGGATGAACTTAAAGTGGTGGATCTGGTTTCTTTCTAACTCTTTCTTTCTGACCATGGCTTCGGTCTTTAAAGTCATGGACAGCTTCGTTCTTTGCTCTGAGCATTGAATTGGTAATTTTCATGTGAAATGGGATTTTCACCTGCGTTTTTATGAGATTGGCGGATATGCTCTGGTTAGGCAGCTGGCATGGGGATTCTGTTGAATGAATTCTTCATCTCTTTCAAACGACCGTATGGTCCCGTGAAGTCCTTCGCTGTTTGATTAAAATGCAGCGATCCGTGCGATTGATGGTAGTAGGATTGTGACAAGGGGTCCTGACCTTCAAAGAGTTTGAGGGCTTCTTTCATCAATTGACCTTTCCTCCTCCAATAGGTAAACGATGTCAGTTGGCCTCATTGCTGCTCACGCAACATTCACCAGCCTCAAAGACACATCACAGCCACTTGCCACAATCTGCACCAAGGCTCTGCATGACAAGACTGTAGGTTGGATCATGGTCCTGATCCTGCTATCTTTAAATCCAAGACATCTCCTCACTTCCAACTTCATCTCAGTCTGTCATCAGCAATTCTGCAGGAGACTCACTTCATCCTTGAAACACTTCAATCCGTCATCCACAACCAGGTCTCAGACGTCCTTCTCTGTTCTACGGACGACAAGTAAAGGGGGACTCGGAGTCTTGACTCATCAGCATGGCTCCGGCTTCCAATGAAGAGCAATTCAAGTTCCTCATCAGCTGCATTCGATATAGCAACAATGGCAAAGTATGAGCAGGTCCATGGAATGAAGACAATAGTGTGCTGATACATTTCCAGGTGGACTTCAGTCAAGTTGCAAAAGAATGCAAGATCGTCAGCAAAGGCGCAGCGTAAGGCAACATCCATCCTTCAACCCCGCAAATCATCTCAAGCAATCGTCCCAAGCGCGAATTCACATCAGACCAGAAGCTGACCCATCTGAACCGCAGAGCCAAGAGATACGAACGCATGAAGCGCGCCCACGGCATCGCTCCCAATGCAGCAACCGTCAAGCCCGCACCACGAAGTCTTAAGCCAGTGCGCACTGAGCCAACCCAATCTTCATCAACCACTCCCAAAGCCAAGAAACGCAAGACCGATCACTTCCTCGAAGAAAACACAGCCGAAGACGATGATGAGGGCTTCGGCACTGTCAAGACGGAGCCAGTTGTGGCAAAGACAGAGCAACTGGAAGTCAAAGCAGAGGTGGATAAGAAACATCAACCTGGCCAACTCAGTCTCGACGAAACCGCCAATCTGCTGCAATACTACGATACGCCAACTCAATATGCTGCCATCGGAATGGGCATGAATGACGGCTACAATGGGGATTAGTTGGAGTCAACACCTACGGCAGCAATATGTCTGGGCCCGGCATGGGAGCATCAAGCATCGGTACAACGTATGGCATGGAATCAAAACATCCATATGGATTCTCCTCGCCGAACGATTATGGAAGTGCTGGAATGGGATGACTGCTGAGCGGAGAGCCCCAGAGGATATCATATCAGCCGCCGATGCCCTATTCGTCCAACGAGCAAGGTGGGCCAGATAGCCCAGTGATTGTTGAGTAAGGCGGCATACATGTCTCTCTATCTGTTTTGATCTTGAGCTATCCAGGAGGAATATCTTGTCTTCTTGGTTTGTTGATGGTGTCTGGACGAGTTGGAAGAGAAGCTCTTACTAAATCCATCTGTAGAATTCGCTCTCAACAGGGAAGGCGCTGGTCCTGTATTTTCCGATTGACTAACTGGTTCGGAACGGCCCGGAAATCATCCAACTACCTTAGGTGTTTCTCCATAGAAAATGGCGTGATGACTCCAAATGAGACAATTTCCCAGTGGTCTATTGAAGCTCACTTTGAAATAACCGACCACGTGACTAATATTGTTATTGTCAACGAGGACAGGATGAGATCCAATTTTCTTGATCACCACCACCATCTTCTGGAGAAGTGTTCTTTGCCCAAGACACTTTCGAGGTCCCTCTGTAGCCAGGATCCCGTCGACATTTTGTCCCGCTTGCTTCTTTGTGTGCATATCTTCTGGAATTTTCTTGCACCGTGCTGGAGAAGAATTGAAGTCTTTGGAGTCCGTCCTATACCTGCTGCATATTGATTCCATTGCAGCACAGAAGCGGCAGCTCCATACGACGGTAAGAATTGCCATTCCAGAGGGCGTTCGAGCAATTTCCTGACAATGTTGCAGGTAAGGGTCGAAGGATGCCAAACCAGCCCCCGCATCCTCCGTACTCTGACACATATGTTCTACCCAAAACCAAGTATGGAAAGCCAGTAAATCCTGGTATGTTCGTAAGTGAATTCTCACTAGACTCTCGGAGATCAGCCAACTTCATGCTCTCACAAAAAATATATTTCAACTAACTCTCTCCGTGCTCCAGAAAGACAACTCCTTCACATCCGAGGATGAAGACCACAAGACTCGCTGGTGGGAAGAGACCTGGGCCACCGAAGAAGCCAAACAGCGTCGCTTGAGAGAAGAGCGCTTAGATCGCGGCGAGAGACAAGATATCGAGCGCAGCCAACGCTACCGAGCCACCACCGCTGAGGAACTAGAAGCCTATCGTACATGGCAGAGAGAAGCCGAGGAGACCGAGCGTGCGCAGGCTAGAGACAGGAGGTTCAGACAGGCGGCCAAAGAGGCGGAGGAGATGATGTCAGGCGAGAAGATCACAGTCAGGATGCAGGTTGGGATCCGGGAGGTTGAGGAGCGAAAGCAGATTGTGCCTTGGGAGTGGCAGGAGGGTGACGGCGCTACTCAAGGTCAAGGTCAGAGCGAGGATAGCGGGTATGTTGGCGAGGGCTATACCAGTGGTGAGGGATATAGTGATGGCCAGGATAAGAACAAGCTGAAGAAGTGGTTCAAGAAGGTCTTGCCTTGAAATCGATGTTGCTGGAGTCAAGAAGCTGGTATAGAGCATACTCTGGAGTGATGGGTTGACGGCGTTTTAGAGACAGGAGAATGAGCATTGATCAATGGCGCATCATATGGGTTTCTGGGAGACGAGACGCAATATACTTTGTCGATGGGTAGGTAGACATGAAAGTAATGATATCCACGGGTTGCAAGGAATCTGTTGTTCTCGTCTGTCTTGGAATCGTCTGATCTTGTGTGAGATTGGTCTGGATGCTTTCCTGGCTGCTAATTGAAGTCGTTCTTTTACAAAAAATGGAGTATATAGATTTCCACATGCAATTCTGGAGAGGAGCAGTCAACAGAAACCCAATTCTGTCTAAATAAACAGAAAGAAGAATGGAATACGACGTCGAGCCTCTCATTGTATGCTCTCGGATGCCGACTGCTCTTCATCAAAGACGTACTGGATATTAGAAAATGGATACCAGAATGTAAAGTTTTGTGATGCCACCATAAATATCGTTGCTCTCAATCGTCAGTGCTACGCCGGGTTTCTTCCCTGCCTTCCCTGCCTACCGGTGGAGGCTGCTGATGCTGGAACAATCCTTTGGTAGTATATTATTGGTGTCACCATGAAAACATGCTGGAGAAGCACTGCTGTACAACTTCTTGATCCTCACAATGCCTGTGGACGCCATGGGCCAAGGACATACGCCATCAAACAAAACACTCTAGCCAGGACGGAAGACATTGACGCTGTGAACATTCTTGAGCTTCACACGTCCTCCTTTGTTCTCCATGTGTTGCAGGAGACAGAGTAGCCAGCAAGTCTGAACAGTAACGTGCAGTCCAAAACCAACTTCGTACGATATTTGGTGTCCTCACTTGTCAAAGGAATACCTCTTCCATCTCATCGACGGCAGACTGTGGGAGATAGGGACAGTAAAAGAGCGTCGCAACACGCTAACTCCAATTCGAGATGGTCTGAACTTCGAAGTCGTCCCTGACCACAACACGCTCACAATAACCTCTTCTCTTCAACCTTGAATGTGTATACAACCTTGCAATTGCTTTGCACTCATTTCTCTCCAAACCACTCAATCAGACGATTGGCATCTCCCAATTCAAGGTGAGCAATCAGTTTTCCCTTAAATTAACACAAATTTCGCGTCCGCGGCCACTTTCGTGGTCCTCCCATTGTGTCTTGGCGTTCTCTGTTTCCCTAGCACCGACGCAGCCTCTTGCTGGATTCTCTTCCCAAATTCATCTTCCTTCCACCTCAAAGAATTCACTTTCTCCAACCATCCCTTCTACTCTTCTCTGGTGTAATCAGGCTACCATACTCGGTGCCTTAAGCACCGACGCCGACGAGGCTGCGACGGTGTCTCTTCAAAATCAATTTCCTCCCTACAACGTCATCACCTTTCCCTACACAAAAACAACACTACTCCACTCAATCTTCGCAACAGCTTCATCTTGCTTCGCCGCCACTGGGCTTTGGCTATCATCTTTGGTGCCATTGGGGTTCAATTGCTTGCCTTGCTTCTTCAACAACGGCGACTGGCTCCGAAGCTCCGTAGATCCTTCCTGCGGATACAACGCAATCACCTCCTGCATTGAAATACCTATTGCATTGAAATTGGCGTTCTGGTCGATTTCTGCGATCCCTCTAGCTTGTCATTCTCGAGGTTTGCTGAGCGTTGTGGCAACGTCGCTGCACTGCCTGGATCGATCTGCTGCTTGTCGAGATCTCTCTGCCTTTGCATTCTATCCACAAGCCTGCGTGGATCTTCCAAGAAGACCTTTCTTCTTGTCTGCATACAACTTTGTGGCAACGGGAAGAATAAGCTTCAGTATTTCAGTGGTACGTTGGATATCCAGCCAAACCTCGGCCCGAGTTGGCGTTTCCACAGATCGAGTCAGATGTGCCTTCATTAATCCTCCCTACACTCATCTACCCGGTTATCACCGAGTTTTATGCATACCCAATGGTTTGCAAGCCCATGCCAGCCTGGTGGATAGAGCCCTCTCCATCCACGAGCCATGACGTTATCAAAACACCACGTGACCTGATTTGCCGACTCCAATCTGCATTGATGCGACATTGGCAGAAGTTTGCACAACATGGCTAACGCATCTTTCCATAGACCGCATGGGATCTCCGAAATAAATAAAGATGCCTGCCAAGACGCCCACCAACGACGGCCGTCCCGCCAGTTCTCGTCCCTGCCCTTCAACCTTCGATCCGAACGTGCCAGGCCGTGGTCCCGAGACTCCCACCCCAATTAAGAAGAATAGAGGTGTCGCTTCGGTCATCAAGTCGAACAGGGACAAAGTATCGGCAGACAAGGTTACGAAGCCAGCAAGTATGGTGCCCTTCCGACACAAGTGGATGAAGAAAGTCAACTCGAAGGGGATCCCATTCGCAGATCTGCAGGCGGAAGATGACTTCAATGCTAACACTAGTGAAGATGGTCAAAATACTCCCAACAGTGCTAAGAGTAGGTCGAAGACTGTTGACTTCTCTCCTGAGGTCACGGTAAATGGCACCCCAGGTGGTACGCTCGCTGAGGAGCAAGAGGAGATCAATCCATTGAAGCCAATGAAGGAAAATGACGGGGAATACGATTCTGATAGCGGCGAGATGATTGATCAGAAGGGTGTTCGTGAAGAGGCATATATGGATGCTGAGGGAAACATTAGCCAGTTCGTTCCGCGTGCAATGAATAACATGGAGAAGGCTAGAAAGAAGCTGAAGACTGAGAATGGTCTTGTTGATCCAAATGGTCGTCAAGTTGGGCGAAAGTTGGTTCTGTGGCACCGTAAGTTTCGCTTTTTTCTTGCTCGACTTTTCATCTGGCATAAAATCGCCGTTAACGAACTACAACCAGGTCCAAGAATGATTGACAAGCTGGTACTCCACATCCAGTATGAGTGTCACAAGCAGGGCGTACAAATTCCGTGGGATAGCATCGTCCATCGACTCAACCCAGGCTCCAGTGGTCCAAGTGCTACGCAAATGCTCAACAAGCTGCGCGACGTCTTGGTCACAGAAGGCCACATGATTCCCCCAGTCCTTGGCAAGGCTACCAGTCCTGTCGACCCAACTCTACGTGGATATATCCGCGACATGGACTCACCGTATCCAACTAAGACCAAGGCTGTCCGTTGGACCGATGATGTTACCGATAGAAAGGAGAGTTTGGTCGTTCCTGGCTTAGTTCGAGGATCTGGCAAGTACCGTAAGATCCCAAAGAACGAGCTCGTCACTGTCCCCAAGGAGGATCTCAAGCCGGGAGAACGTCGTAATCGAAAGCCTGCTGAGGTTGACGAATGGACTGCTGGACAACGTGCTCTGAAGGAGAGTGCCAAGAAGGCTAGAGCCGAGGAGCGTGAGGCAAAACGAGTTGCCAAGGGCGGTTCTTGTGCCACTGGATCTGGTCGCAGCACTCGCTCTAAGAAGTTGATCAAGGAAGAGTCGGAGTCTGAAGTTGATCCTGCTGATCTCGCATCGGATGAGGATTATAATCCCAACTTGAAGAAGAAGACCACAAGCCGAGGCAAGCGTATCGTTGTTGGTAAAATCTCCAGTCCGGACCCATTCACCAGTCCAACTCCCCGCAGCCGGAAGAGATCTGCCAAGGCTGCTCTAAATTACAGCACTGAAGATGACGACGAGGAGCAAAATGAGGAAGGCAATACTCCAAACTCTCTCATTGTCAAATTGCATGTTCCCTCTGGTGCATTGCAGAAGTTCGAGCCTGGAGAGTCAGGAATGAAACCTAAGAATGCTGCTCACTTCAATCCCGGACCTGCCAAGATCTTGTTCAAGGACGAGCTTTTGAAGGCCCTTCTGCAAACTGAAGTCGCTAGTAGTAATGCCAATCATTCCGTAATCTACCTTGGAACTGAAATGCATGGAACCATGCCGCAATTCATCCAGGCAGTAGCTGATGATACCGATCCTCGACTGAACGGTACGGGTTTTGGAAATAACGTTGAGTTAATGTGGAAGAGATGCAAAGAGAACTCCAGCACTGTTCAACAGCTGCGCCAGGATGAGCTTGATCTTCTGCGCTCGTCTCAAATCCCAGCGATCGTTCGTATGCTTGGAGGTGCACCGAAAGATGTCATGGAAGTCGATGGTCAGGACCAAGAAGAAGATGAGCGAGTAGATTATGGTGATGATTGTGCTGCTGCCGAGGCTGGCGAAGCCTCATTCAATGCCAACGACACAGCGTATACTTTTGATGACTCGGTCCACGGCTCGTCTTCCCAACAATTCTCTCAAGCATTCACCGTAAGTTCTTTTCCACCTGAGTTCATTAACCCGGCTGACCTATTCTGCTAGAATGGTTCTCCAGGCCCTGATTCCAATGAGTTGGGCTCTCACGGCCACAGCCTTGGGAGTTCGATCTGCGGTAGCTTCCATGATCGTTTCGAGAATGATTACCCGATGGGGCTGTTTGATTCGTTCTCTTCCGCTGGTCCAAGCCAAGGTCTTCAAATGAACGGCTCACCATTCATGCAAAACGGAGTCAACATCTTTGACGAGAACAACCGCTCAATGAACAACAGCTTCACCAATGCCTGGGTTCCTGAGAGAAGTGAGTCCCCTGCTCCTTATACTCGTTACGCCACCCACTTGTTCGACAATTATGATGGCAACAACGAGAATATCGAAGACGGTGCTGGTTTCATGAACACCCCCGAAGTCGAAGCCGATCGCGAGAACGAGGATGCTGACAGCTTCCGCCACTTCTAAATTCTCCACACTCATCCCGGCAGGTGCGGCCCTGCCGTAACAAACCCGCCATCCTCTGAACTTTGTCTTTGGAATGAATTCTTCTCTTCTTGATTGCATTAACAAACTTTTTTTGATCTTCCGATCCCTGGTCTTGCTCTCTCTCAACCTCGCATCGCACTAACTTCCGGCGTCGGCTTCATCATCGGCAGCGGTTTTTGGTTGGATGATGTGTCAGACCTTGCATACTTCACTTCTTGACCCCTTTTGCAATAAGTCTACGAATGACATGAAATTTCTCTTCGACGAAAGAGATATGCTTAGGTTTGCGAATTCGCAATTTGTTGTTCTTTTTTCGACTCTCTCTAGATTTCATTTTCCTTTGGATTGGTGTCCTGCAGGATGTGGCGCGGCATCTTAGTCGTTCTCGTCTGACAATGCTTGCTTGGTTGGTAGAACTCCTTAGGTTCCCTTCGATAGTGACCGGGCTTCAGTGCTTGGTGGGTGATGCACTCGTTAGTACTCCTGGATTGTCGCGATCTCGGTCTTTCTGGATGGCTGCTCCTTCGGGTCAGTCTGATGGACAGATGAGGATATGTAAGATCAGACGACAAATGCAAATCACAAAATGAATTTAAGTCCTGTGCAATGTGACAATGCAATGTCTATATCATTCAAAATAGGGTAGCGTCCTAGAAGTCCAAAGCAGGATCTTCAAAGACCTATTCAGTTATGAAGCAACACAGCTTCCAGATGCGAACTTCGCAAACTGGGCTGAGAATTCGTTATACAGGTAAAGTCACTAAAGATTTTTCTAGCTTTAATAAATGGGGTAAGTATCGTGACCCCAAAAATTCAGATATGGGAATACTATTTCTCCTCAAGTGAAATTTGCAAAACGCAGAATCAATCTGGTCGAAAGACATATTGAGTAACGCATGCATCGAAGTAAATAACACCAAGCATACAAAGACAACAGCATTGAGCTCAGTTCTGATTAGTCAAAATGAGATCTACGAAGCTCGAAAACTTGCCACACCACGTTTTACATCAACATCAGCGGGGGGAGTGTATCCTGAACTTCAGCATAGACAATTGGCAGGATTGCTCCATTACTTCAGTGCCTCATGCAATAAGGAGGATTCCTGATGGCAACTCTCTTCCTCATCTGTAGTCAATCCTAGGCTTTTCCCGTAACAGTTTTTGTGCTGAGGTGGGCCCTGATATGTATCAGCACAATGAAACAACATTCTAGTAACGCAAGGCTCAACTCAACCATACTCAACCGAGTTGTTATTTTCCATGTGCTGTATTGTTTGCACGCCTGTGAAGAACCAAACTCATCGCTGATGGCTTCTATCGGGAGCTCTGAATTGTAATGACCAGATGGAAGGGAGCTTGACAATTCTCCGCAATGCTTCTACGAGAGATAGGCGGCCGTGGTGGCTGGTCAACAAACAACGAGAACACAAACCGGAACTTGGACGCTGTTTCACGCGAATTCAATAAAATGGTGATGAGATTCAATAAGGGTGTCAAAACCTTCATGACCTCGAGTCATTGAATGGACACGAACGCGAAAGGGTGATTTTGGACATAACATGATCCAGCCGACAAGGATGCTAACCACAATGAGCCTAGTCATCTTTCTCTTAGAACATTCTATGGAGCCGTGCTCCCCAGTTTTTTTATTCGAGATCTCGAGCAAAACAACAACCCATCTCTCTTCAGCTTTTTCCAAGCACCACCACGAACTCTTCCACATCTTGAATCTCTTGCCTTTCTTTGTACTTGTACCTCTTGTATCAGCATCACTCTTTATAATATTTCCAACATGCAACGTGCATTGACTTCAAAGGCTTCGGTCCTCGGCCGTTCTTCCACCTCGAAGCTCCGTCCTATTTCTTCTATGGGTTTCAATGCTCAGCAGTTGAGATTCGCACACAAGGTATGTCGATGCTCTAGGAATCCCTATGAGTGGAAAGCCTCCTGAATTAGGAGATGAGGATCTGAAGCTAATGAAACTGGGACGATCAGGACCTCAAATTTGGTGTCGAAGCCAGAGCTTCCCTCCTAGCTGGTGTTGAGACTTTGGCAAAGGCAGTGGCAACAACTTTGGGACCCAAGGGACGAAACGTATTGATCGAGTCAAGTTACGGATCTCCAAAGATCACCAAGGGTCAGTTTTTGTCTCGTCTTAGCCAAAGACCTTCACTAACGTTTCTGCAGATGGTGTTACTGTTGCCCGTGCCATTACTTTGAAGGACAAATTCGAGAACCTCGGTGCCCGACTCATCCAAGATGTTGCATCGAAGACAAACGAGACTGCTGGTGATGGAACAACTACCGCCACTGTATTGGCACGCGCCATCTTCTCCGAGACTGTCAAGAACGTTGCTGCCGGATGCAACCCTATGGATCTCCGCCGCGGAACACAAGCAGCCGTCGAGGCCGTTGTCGACTTCCTACAAAAGAACAAGCGTGATATCACAACCAGCGAGGAGATCCAACAAGTTGCGACGATCAGTGCCAATGGAGATATCCACGTTGGTAAGCTGATTGCCAACGCTATGGAGAAGGTTGGAAAGGAGGGTGTCATCACTGTTAAGGAGGGAAAGACCATGGAGGACGAGCTTGAGGTTACTGAGGGCATGCGATTCGACCGTGGCTTCGTTTCACCATACTTCATCACCGATACCAAGTCGCAGAAGGTTGAATTCGAGAAGCCATTGATCCTTCTCTCCGAGAAGAAGATCTCGGCTGTTCAAGATATCATCCCAGCCCTTGAGGCATCCACCCAACTCCGTCGACCATTGGTTATTATTGCCGAGGACATCGATGGTGAGGCTCTCGCAGTCTGCATCTTGAACAAGCTTCGTGGCCAACTCCAAGTCGTTGCTGTCAAGGCTCCTGGCTTTGGTGACAACCGCAAGTCCATTCTCGGAGATCTCGGTATTCTGACAAACGCCACTGTCTTCACTGATGAGCTCGATATCAAGTTGGAGAAGGCTACCCCAGATATGTTCGGAACTACCGGATCTATCACCATCACCAAGGAGGATACAATCATCTTGAACGGTGAGGGAAGCAAGGATGCCATCAGCCAACGCTGTGAGCAGATTAGAGGCGTTATGAACGACCCAACTACCTCCGACTATGAGAAGGAGAAGCTCCAGGAGCGTCTTGCTAAGCTCTCTGGTGGTGTTGCTGTTATCAAGGTTGGTGGATCGTCAGAGGTCGAGGTCGGCGAGAAGAAGGACAGATACGTGGATGCTCTTAACGCAACCAGAGCTGCCGTAGAGGAGGGGATCCTCCCAGGTGGTGGAACTGCTCTCCTCAAGGCAGCCAGCCAAGCTCTTGGCGGACTCAAGCCAGCAAACTTCGATCAACAGCTCGGTGTCAGCATCATTAAGAGCGCCATTACCAAGCCTGCACGTATGATCGTTGAGAACGCTGGAAACGAGGGCTCTGTTGTTGTAGGAAAGCTCATGGATGACTTCGGATCCGACTTCAACAAGGGATACGATAGCTCCAAGGGCGAGTTTGTCGACATGATTTCTGCCGGTATCGTCGATCCATTCAAGGTTGTTCGCACTGCATTGATCGATGCCAGCGGTGTTGCTTCGCTACTTGGTACTACTGAAGTTGCCATTGTTGAGGCACCAGAGGAGAAGGGTCCCCCCGCCGGTGGTATGGGTGGTATGGGTGGTGAGTGGTTCCCCTTCACATCAATCAAACAACACTAACACAGTACCAGGAATGGGTGGTATGGGCGGAATGATGTAAACTAAGAAACGGCGAAGGATGTAAGATACCCGTGACGGTCTCGCTCTGGGGAGGAGCCTCTGATCTGCAACGATTGCATGACTGTTCTCAAAATGTTGTATAACACTTCACCCCACTCAGTCCTCTTCATACCTTGTTTTAGATTTGGCATTGCAGAGCGATAAGGTGTTTTAGGAGGGAGGCTATGTAAAATAATAAGAAAAAACAAGTCAAACATTCCCATTGCGTGGCACTTTGCCACAGAAGGACTTCAAGTGATGCCTGCCTGGCCGTACATACTATGTATAGCAACGCGAGATTTAGGTAGCAATGGAATGTTTTAGGTATCAACAATAGCTCCAGGCACTAAATCTACAGCATTTGCCGAGAAGCATAAAAGCACAAAAGAGTTTCTAAGTGTTGGATTCCACTGTATCAAACTGTCGTCTGATCTGGGTTGCGCCTCGAAAATCCAATTGAAGCTAGGCTTCCACGTGATCCAAACACCCCACCAAATCCATCACTCGCGCAACAACAGAACAAACCACCGATAAACACTACCCCACCACTTTTCGACTTTCAACTTTGATCCGAGAACCGATACCTAGCCCTCGAATCGATCTGTCTCACTTTGCCGTATGTACTCAACCACTCTTGCGACATTTCCTAGCCGTGGCTCTTCACTAGCCCGCCACACCGCCCGCCTGATAAACACTGACAACATTGTTGGCAGACTTGTTGATTTCGCACTGCTTGTCGCACCAAACTCATAGTCATCATGGTAAGTCTTCACAGCTTCAGTGGAAGCTGAAAGACAATCGCTAACACATGGCGTGATGTAGTCTCAATCAGGGTCAGTCCTACGTAACCCCTCCATCCTCTCACACCTGTCGAGGCCCCGGAGATGTCCTCATTCAAGGCCACATTGCCAGACCATCCTTGTGCCCGCCAGCTTTATATAGATAGATCTGCAAACTTCTAGAAGATATGCATGTACTGATTGCCATGATGGGACAGTGTTGAGGTTTCGGCAGAATGCATCAGCGTCTTCAACGACTTGAAGCTCGCTAAAAAGATCAAGTTTATCATCTACAAGCTGTCCGACGACTACAAGAAGATCGTTGTTGAGGAGTCGAGCGAGAATGGTGACTGGGATACCTTCCGCGAGAAGCTCATCAATGCTCAGAGCAAGAACAAGATGGTATGCAGGAAACGATCGAGCCCTGGATGACAGCGGGTACTGATACTTGGCACAGGGAATGGTTGGCAAGGGTCCAAGATACGCCGTCTATGACTTCAACTACGACCTCTCATCTGGCGAGGGTACAAGGTATGCGGTGCGAGTCTCGGAGACATGTCCGGAGTTAATACGGGATATAGAAGCAAGATCACATTTATCGCATGGTCCCCAGATGATGCTGAAGTCCAGGTATGCTATGAAAGACGTGGATCATAATCGTGATTACTGACAAGTTCTTCAGCCCAAGATGATCTACGCCTCTTCCAAGGATGCTCTGAAGCGCGCGCTGAATGGTATTGCTACTGAATTCCAGGCCAACGACGAGGATGATATCGAGTACCAGTCCGTTCTCAACAAGGTCAGCAAGGGATTGGCCTAATCAGTTCTCCGGTACATACAAAGATACATGAAAGGGAAGAGAGGATAAGTGTTTCGTTGGTGCGGGTGCGCTCATTTGCATGCGATGATATGCATAGTAGGGCGATTGATTCTGCTTTTGATACTCAATCAGGCTTTCTCTTCTCTTATTTTGTTTGGAGAAGTCAATAGCCAAGATTGTGCATAGGAAGGGCTACGACAACAGATAGGAAGATATCAAAAGCTACCTCTTGATATTATCTCTCCAAGACCGCATTCTATTCCATATCAACAGGCATGCTCTCCATCTTACGTTTTTCCCATCCTAAACTCCGCGCTTGTTATGCTATCCGTTCCTTTCTATCTCCTGTCCACTCACTTCCCACCATCAACCGCCTTCTTAAAAACACCCCACACCCTCTCCCCCTCCACCTCATCCTTTAACCTCTGCGTCAAGAACCCCTTCAAATCCGCCCAAAACTCCTCCGACTTCAGTACTTCCTTTCCTTCACCCATATGCGCAACCTTCGGCTCCACCTCCTCACTCTCTGTCCTTTTCAGCGCCGCCGCACCACCAATAACCATAACACTGAACTCGGCTTTCGTATCCTCATCCCCCACCAGATCCTTCAGCACCTTACTATCCGGCGCCGGCTTCTTGTTGAACAGCAACCTGATCTTAGCCACAGGGATAGACGTCTGTGCAGATAGTGTTTCCTTCAGAGTCAGGATCGAGGTGCTGAGGGCTTGCGATGGGAGCGTGACGTCTAGTGGGGGGTTGCGGAGGGATTTGAGGGTTACGGAAAGGGAGCGTTCGGCGCCGGGGGTGAGCTTGACTTTCTTTGCTAGGGGTCGGGACATCTTGGGAAGAATATACTGTATTTCATTAGCACGTTGGCATCCAATAGCAGGCAATGAGAGGTATTCGTACGGCGCTGTGAGCAGGATAGTTCTTTGGATCTTCGACATGATCTGCTGTGATCTTTGAAGGCCTCGTATCGAGTGTCGTGAGAAAGGATTTTGCGAATGATAATTCCGTCATCTTGAAGTCTGTCTGCTCGAGAATGGGGAAGAAATTGGAAAGTCCTGGGTTTAGGTTCGAATGACACCCACCAAGCAGATGAGAGAGGCTCAAGCTCACTGTAGTTCGTTCGAAATCTTGGCGCGGAGAGTCGGCGCCCGTATTGATAAAGAACGCTAAAATGTTCACTAGATCTTATCGGCAATTTTCCGTCCAAAAAAGTTTATCCCAGAATTTCGAGAGCTTCATCCCCACACCAAGGAGAAATATCTCTTGACAACTCAATTCTCCCACAAACTCCGGTAATCGATATTCAAGATGGGTGTCGGACGACGTATGAAGAAGCAGGGCATGCCCGACCAGCTTGACGAGGCGCATTTCACCAACCTGAAGCGCAAAGCTGGCATGTCGGTGACAGAATCCAGAGCAGAGAGTTTACAATATGCGAGCACCAAGAAGAGGAGGAAGAGCTCTTCTGCTGGAGGAGATTCCGGGGAGAAATCAGGAAAGAAGACCAAAATTGGAAAGGAATCTGCGAAAGGGAAATCTGCCAATGGAGTTGGACTTCCGTCGCAAAAATCGGCGTTGAAGAAATCGAAGAAGGCGGAGCAGGTGCCGTTACCTGCATCGGACGATGATGAGAATATGGGCGACGACTCTGACGAGGCGGATCTCATGGGTGACGAGTTTGACGATTTGGATATCGAGGGCGGGTTGGGTGACGATTTCTTAGACTCGGGAAGTGATGTTTACGATTCTGCGGATGACCACCAGACGAGAGCAATGTTTTCTGAGGACGAGGATGAGTCGGATGCGGAGGAGAAGTTGACAGCTGCGAATATTGCTGGTCTTACGAGGAAGTTGGACGACCAGATGGCAGAGGAGGCTGCAGATGCGCAGGCTGAGTTGGAAGAAGCGGCCTTGCAGACGAATATTGCTGGAGACCGACCGCACATTTTGGATGATTCCGACTCTGACGAGGAGGGTGTGAAGAAGAACGATTTACTGGCTCCTGATCTCCAACTTCTGCGGACGAGAATTAACGATACCGTGCGAGTGCTTGACGATTTCGCAAACCTATCAGAAGAGGGTCGATCCAGAGCAGAATACACAGCACAATTGATTAAGGACATTTGTGCTTATTATGGATACTCGGAATACCTTGCCGAGAAGCTTTTCAACCTCTTCCCACCTAAAGAAGCATTCGCTTTCTTCGAAGCAAACGAAACCCACCGTCCCGTCGTTATCAGAACCAACACGCTCAGAACCCACAGACGAGACCTCGCTCAAGCACTCATTAACCGCGGTGTTGTTCTTGAGCCAGTTGGAAAATGGTCGAAAATCGGTCTGCAAATCTTCGAGAGTGCTGTTCCTCTCGGAGCGACCCCAGAATACCTCGCAGGCCACTATATTCTCCAAGCTGCTTCCTCTTTCCTCCCAGTCATGGCATTGGCTCCTCAAGAACACGAGCGAGTCCTCGATATGGCCGCTGCACCTGGTGGAAAGACCACCCACATCGCAGCACTGATGAAGAACACTGGCTGTATTTTCGCAAACGATAGCAACAAGTCTCGTGCCAAGGGTTTGATTGGGAACATTCACCGTCTCGGCGCAAAGAACACTATCGTATGCAACTACGACGCTCGCGAATTCCCAAAAGTTATTGGTGGCTTCGACCGTGTGCTTCTCGATGCTCCATGTTCAGGAACAGGAGTTATCGCGAAAGATCCCAGCGTTAAGACCAACAAGACCGAGAAAGATTTCCTCATGCTTCCTCATATTCAAAAACAATTGCTCCTCGCAGCCATCGACTCCGTAGATCACGCCAGTAAGACCGGTGGATATATCGTCTATTCTACATGTTCCGTGACCGTCGAGGAGAACGAGCAGGTTGTGCAATACGCGCTCTCCAAGCGCCCAAACGTCAAGCTTGTCGAAACCAACCTCGCGTTCGGAAAGGAAGGTTTCACAGCTTACATGGGCAAGTCTTTCGACCGATCCATGAAGATGACTCGCCGATACTACCCGCACGCTTACAACGTCGATGGTTTCTTCGTCTCGAAGTTCAAGAAGACGGGTCCATCGCCAAAGAATGGTGACGGTGCAAGCAACGGTGTCAGGATGGATATCGATGACGATCTTATCGATAAGAGACCTGTGCCGGAGACGGAAGAAGAGGCGAAGGAGGATGCATTTGGTGGGTGGGATGATGGTGAGGACGAGGAATACATTGAGCGTGCGAAGAAGAGTAGTCTGAGGAGGAAGGGTGTGGATCCTAAAGCGAATCGAGGGGATATGAGCAAGAAGGGCGAGGCGAAAAAGGTTGTCGCCACGGACGTCACTGAAGTCGCTCAGGATATTTCCGAGTCAGAAACTTCCAAGGTTGTTGAAGTGTCAAATGAGAATGGCGATGCTAAGAAGTCAAAGCAGAAAGAGAAGAAGGACAAGAAAGTCAAGAAGAGCAAGGACGCTTAGCTAACTAGTTTTTTGCGTTTCTGTAATCTCATTCGCGGGATGCATATACTGGTGTTTCTGGAGTTCCGGACTCTTTCTTCCTTGTAATATTCTAGATTCAACTTGGGACATCTAGATAGAGGAGTCTAAAAATGTGCAGATATTGGCGTTCCAGCCTGTTCTATTCTACTCTGCCTCCATTCTCTATTTTTGATCGCCGTCGCCCCAGTTGTGAGCAGGCAAATACACAGAAGAAGGGCGGCCCCATGGGGAAATATAAAGAACACAAGCTCGCTTAGCTCCAACACACAATTCCCTGCTCTGCAGCATCTTACGGCGACATTTATACTTCAACCCTTCATACTTCGCTGCACTCCTTCCTCCAAATTTTTTCAATTTCTCGTACATCTCCACTACGAACACCCCATCCCTAGCCTCTTCTGCTGCTCCGGCATACGCATCTTGGATCGTCTCTCCCTGTGTCGCAAACAAAACATCTACTTTCACACCCCCTTTCTTCAACAGATCAAGCTTACGCTCAATTCGTCTAGCAATTAGATCTGAGGGCCTATTGTTCTTCCCTAGTATATATCCCCGAGCGGTCAGGTTCTGATTCTGAATTTCCTGCTTCACGGCCGGTGGCAGGCAATGCTCATTCTTGTAGCTCCTCACACCAGGCCATAGTCTAGCGATGGCAGCGACAGAATTCGTATGGATCTCGACACAGCTTACCTTGTCGTACGTGGGAGCACTTTCTGTAATGTCCGCCCAGAGGAGGTCCACTGTGAAGGATATGGCTGCCAGTGAGATGGTGAGATCGTTGCGATGCCAGAAGGTAATTTCAGGGTCATAATCATTGGTTATGAGAGTGCTGTAAGACACTATTGGGGAGGAAACGCAATATGCCCAGCGTGAGAATGGAAAGAATTCCCGATGGGCACAGGTACCAATTACGAGTGTCCCAGGGTGCTCTGATCGACGTTGAGATTGAGAGTTTGCTTGGGATATTTGTTGTGAGGCAGGAACCGAGGCGATCTTGTTGCTGGAAGATGACATTGTGCTGTCTGTATTCTGAGCGAATATGTTCGATGAATTGAGATTATCCAGCTGCGGGCTCGAAGTTACAAATGTGAAATTCGACAGTTGCAGTTCTCAGATTTCTCTGGGCAGAGATTGTATTCTGAAAAGGGAATACACTTTGAATATATCATATACTTCGATCAAAGCTTCCGGCACACATTCGGTAACAATGTACTGTTTCGGACAAAGGCTGGCACAATACTATTATTCTCGACCAATATGGGGTCGCAATTTCTTTGTCTCAACCAAATCAAGAACATCGAAAACTCAGATCCGCGATCCTACTGTTTTCCAGCCTTTCGGGAAGAAACAAGGATGGAGCAATGGACCTTTGACAGGCATATAATGCCGCCTTTACGCCCTTAACTCGCTCAATCACTCACCAATTTCATCCTCCGAGAATAACTAAGCCGTGAATATGTCTATCGCCGCTCCAAGCCACTTATTATTCTCGTCGACTTTACCCGTCACAGGCGTGGAAAGTGTCAGACGTCTCCACAACGACAGAACATCCCTAATCATCGACGCAATTTGCATCCGCAAGAGAGCAATGCACCACCGATCCCGAGCATTCGTCGGTGTCTTTTTTGGTTCAAATTACCCGCTTAACACAGCATACGATTTACCTACTCCATATTATCGCACGAAAGATGAGTCTGTCATGGCACTATCCGCCATTTTTGCAGCTCTCAAACAGCTACTTCTTGGACTCGGCGACTCCAGGTTTGCTGATAGGAGGGTCAAGACAGTGATCATTCGCACGAACTGCACATGGACTGTGCACCTAATCTCGAGCAGAGCTATGCAGCGACAGAGCAATTATAGAGGAGGAGGTGCTGGACGGCAATGGCATGATGATCGGGCTCAAACTGCGCTTGCTAGACTTGCGGAAGATTCTATCCGCTCGGTTCAAGCCAAGGGCATACAGATAAAGCTTTGGAACATGGATTCAAACATATTGGCGGAGGCGACGTTGCTGGCGAAAGTTGTTGCGGGGCAGCGGTCGCAGATGAATGTGATGGAATTCAAAATTTGGTTGCAAGGCGTTGGCAAGAAGTGTCGTGGAGCGCTAGGAATCTTGAGGTGACTCAACGCATTCTAAGTTCTCCCGATGACGTGGAGCGAAGGGGGTCAGGGGCTGTCTGCATTTGCTGAATGTGCTTCAAAACATTAAGCGAGACATGTAAACAAAGAACCCGAATCTAAGCCTATGTTCTTCTCTTTTTCATTAACAAAAGAATCATCAACAACCCATTGTTCTAGCCGAAAGAAATAACTTTCATTGTGCCTACATTAAGGTCAAATTTTGAGCTAACTCGATGCCAATCATCGTCCCATCATCGGTGCCAAGATTTCCAATCCTAGTCAGGACCGACCCATAAGCATTTCATACTACAGATAAGCACCCGCGTGGGCTACTAACCACGCTTTTTTGAACATAGCCACTCCAATGTTCTCGAACAATCTCGGCACTTTCATTCAGATGGCGAAGCTTACCTCAGAGAAGGAGAGCGCCAAGGCTCGTCACTGCTGTAAGCGAGCTCCCGTGCCGCGACAGCCGTCATCCCACACCTACAAGCATCGAAGCCTCAACGTTATCTTAACCTCAGGTATTCCTTAATGAACACTTCATATACTATTGAAGAGCATTGAATTTATAGTGGTTTCCAATTCTCTGTCTGGATTGCCATTAAAATGGGTGGGGGCTCAAAATTTCCGGACAACCCCGCGCTTGAAGATGTTCACGCTAAAGTCAGACCAACCACTATTTCAGCATCAGACAATCTCAGGGAATATACCGTCTTAGTCACGGGCATGGGCGTAAGTCCTCACATATTCATACAACACGTATAAATAACTGATACCACTTTCAGGCATATCCAAACGGCCACGGAGGCCACTACTCTGCCTCAGAAAACACATCCCACCTCATCACCCAACGTCTTCCCGACCATATCCCGGCCAATCACCCACTCAACCCTACCGGTTTGCCCATTCGAATTATCAACCCCACATGCGGTCCAAACTCAGCAGTGAAGTCACAATACGCACACATCCGCTCCTACGTCAAGACCCTGCATGCGGATTCGCAAGAGACTAACCAGTTGGATGCGATTGTCCATCTAGGTATGGCTGATGGATGGGATTGGTACACGGTTGAGAAAAGGGCGTTCAAAGAGGGTATGTCCAGTACGTGGTGGGGAGAGAGTGCGAGAGAGGGGTACTATATGGTTCTTGATGATGCGGGGAAGACGGTATTGGATATCAAGGGGAAAGATAAGGGGATCTGGGAGGGAAGTCCGATGGGACTTATGACAGGTGTGAATGTTGAAAAAGTAGCGGGAGATGCGAGCAGGGCTATCAATGCAGATTCTGCTAAAGGGATCCAGGATCTTGGGGGGCAAGAGAAGGAGAAGCTCAAGGTCCAGATAATTCCTCATATTGAGGCGGGGAATTACTGCTGTGGATTCATCTACTACGAGAGTTTGGCGACGTGCTTGAAGTGGAAGTTGGATACTAAAGTGGTGTTTTGCCATGTTCCGGGATGGAGAGATTACGAGAGGCTGAAGAGGGGATCGGATGTAGTTTGTGCGGTTATTGGAGCGATCTGCAATCAGATTCCGAAAGGGAAGCATGGCTGGTCCTCCTCTGTTAGCACCAATTACCCGTAGATTGGATAATAGGCATCTAAATTAAATGTGTAGAACCTTGGCAAATGTCGCCGCCATGACTTTGATCAAAGCAATGGCAAGTGAGCTTGGTCCGAATTTCAATGTCATCGATGACAGCGACTGTCGCTCAAAGCCAGATAAGTCATCGTTCATTTCTCGTCAATCCTTATAGATGTAGATCTAGGGAAAGGGACGGAAAGTCATTGAAAAAATATTGGCTAGCAGGAAAGTACAGACTTCGACTTGCGTATCACTTCTAAGCCGCGTTCCTTGACTCCCCATTTTTAAGTAAGCCGATGCTCCATCGAACCTCTTTCATATCATACATGCCTTTCAAAAGTCAGCATACACGCATGCGAGCAGCACAGAGGTCTTCTTGCCTTAGTGTCCTGCTTTCCTTAAACCCTTTTCAACGCCTCTTGGGCCAAACTAGCAGCCGCTTGATTGAATTCCATGTCCACCTGACAGAAAGACACCCGCATTCCGTACTCTCTTTCCAGTGATAAAACTTCCTCGTGCAGGTACTTGAATGGTCGTCCGTTCGGAAGAGGCTGATAGAGGTATCGCGTTAGCCTCATCCGAATTTAAAATTCCAATCAGCAGGAAGATTGACACGTAAGAGAGTCACAAAGTATTGTACGATTTTCATCACTTGTTGGCCAGAATAGATAGAAGAACAGTACGTACCCGACCGCTAGCATTGGTGTATTCTCTGCTAGCCCAAATCCAGACGAGATCACTGACTCCGTTCACTAAGTACTCAGACGTTGTCTTGATGATGACGTGAGATATGTTTTGACCGATTATCATCAAATTATGGATGACTCTCAGAGCCTCCAAGCACGCAAACAATTCCGCGAAATCAGACGTCTGCTCTGACAAATATGGCACAAGGCCACTGCGATTGAACTGCTCCGCAAATCCAGAGACCCACACCCCAAAGCCAGCTTTAGCAACACCTCGAACGAGACGACATGTGCCATGCACCGCCAAAATGACTGAATCTGGGTCATCCTCGAGTCGCCGCAAGCCCGAGTCGAAGTCATCGTAAGCTCTCATGCCATACATATTGATGTCGTACCTCCTCTCTGTGTCCGGAACGAATCTCGAACTTTTCGACTGCCCTCTACTGCTCCAGGTCCTGACCGTACTCGCATCCCTAGGCCCAGTTGGGATATTTTGAGCTCTTGGGACAGCCTGTCGTCGGGTGATGCGGCCCCTGCCGCCCACACGTGCCGCTAAGTCACCAACTGGATGTTCTTTACGGGCTTTCCGCTTCTTGCCATTCTTGCGATTCAGACTTCGAAGGAGCTGACCAATGTCGCCTTCTGGCAGCTCGGGCTTGATATTCATGATGTTTGAGGTCGTTTTAAGGGGCTGATAAGGTTCTTGTTGAGTGAGGTGGGATTAAACTTCAAACGGAAAGGAGATTTGTGGGGATTTTAGGGTGGCGCTTTGCCGTTTAGGGAAACACTGGCAAACGATATGTTGGATTATTTTCCCGGCAATAATACACAAGAACCGTGAAACCAGTTGGGGGCTATGTAGTTCTCTCTACCGCATTGACTACGCATCGTTCTGAGGACATCCATTATGATCTTCGGGAGCAGAATAGTGATATCACGTGATATTTCTCGTTCTCAGAACTTGCCTGGGTCAGAGAGGAGGATCAAAGATCGTGATGTACTGCATTCAACCCAGCTAAAAAGTTTACTACCGGTTTTGATGTTTATCTAACGCCGTCAAGACGTTGCTCTCGTCACCTAGATATCTAATCTCTCATCCGTTCTGCAAAAGTGGATCCCGCTCGCTAGCCGAGCCATTTGTTGACATTCTCAAAATCCCTATGAAGACCTAAACCAAATATTCCAGACCATTCTACATCATCCAGCGCTCCCAGCTCCGAGACACTATTAAAGAAATCTCTGCAGTAGCATATGAGCCTCATGAAGCACCGGCATCGGAAGCAAACAGAACCTCACTTCCAACCCCTGACTATGCGCCCTTTCAATCCAAGTGTGCAAATCCTGAAGCAACATCTCCCAAATCACCAGTTGCCCGGGAATTATCGGATTCCATCTCATTCTCGTCATCCCCCATACTATAGCACACCAAGTCGAACAGCCCCCTTGACTGCGTGCAAATTACCACCTGAGAAATCCCCCCTCCATGATTTCTCACAGCGAGCGCAGACTGCACAGCAACAATAGCAGCGGTCAGTTCGGCAACTGCGAGACTCTGCTCGTGGTTGGGTGGGATGTAGGCTGCTAGGTTCCACTGCGAGTTTGTGCCGAAGAGGACGGACCAGCAGGCCTGAGGATGGCCTGGGTTGTGAGTGCTTCGGTGCGTGATATCGCCGTCGATGTGGAGGACGAGGGATCGGTAATCTCGAGTGAGGTAACGCCGTTGGTTTGCGAAGTCGACTTCCCAAGTATTGCCGTAGATGACATCGTTGAAGATGCGACGCATGCAGCTGGGGTAGCATTAACTGATGGATCTTTCTGCGTCCATGTTGTGGAGGAGATGGAGAGCTTGAAGCTGTGCTCGCTTTTGGCCAGAGTTGATTCTAATATTCTGATGCTCTATATATACCACGATGTCTTTCAATCTTGAAACAAAGGCATGCAATCATCCGCGAGTTCCAGAATATTCGTGCTGTCACTTGTCAAAGAAATAATGGATTCTTACTCTGTTTGTTATGTTTGCCTTCAAGGGATACCCTCTTTTTGACTCTCTAAGAAAAGCAGTTCTATGTAATCATACACCTTTGAGCCATGCCCGAAGTGTGGCGAAGTCATATTCGGAAGTTGACGACTATGGAATACGTCGTGAAGTGATGCATGCATTTATGTTTTCGCTAACAGATAAGAATCCCATCACTCGCCCTGAGAAATGCATGATGCCGAATTAAGAACTTTCCAGAAGTATTTCATTATCGATCATTTTACCCCGGCAAGGCCCCACCAGGCTCTCTTTCCTTAATACTCCTTCATTAATAGCAAACTCTACCTCGTTCTCCCTACCAAATCGGCGGCAAGAGAAGATTCGACTCCCAAACAGTCATCGCATCCCCCATCGCAAACAAAGTCTCATTTTCAAGCCCTCCAACAGTTCCATCAACTCCATCACATCCGTCAGCAGAAATATCACCCCCCTCGTCCTCGTCCACAGCCATGACGATCGAGACGCCCCAAAACCGATTGCCCCCGAAGCCATAGCAATCAGCTGACTCCTAGAAGTACTTATGACCACTTTCGAGATCGGCAGTGCGAAATCTTGTCTCATGGCGATCTCCAGGATATGTCTCAGTGTGGCGGCAACAGTGAAGAGGTCAGCCATTTCCTGGCTTTGAGTGTATGTCCTGGGTACATAGCTGGAGACGCTGCGGGGATAGCTGGGGCTGAAGAAGACGGAGAATGCGGGTTGCATGCGCCGAAGTCGCGGAGAGAGGTTGATACCGTTGCTGATGGGGATGATGATTGAGTGGGGATCTTGGATTTGGTGTCTGATGTAGAGGGTTGGGTGGTATATGTAGGGAAAAGGGCCGTGAAGTTGGTCCCAGTAGAGGCGGTTGTGATGGCTCATGTTGACTGCGGTACCTTGCGTGAGATTTGAGAGGAGGCCTTACGAATTTGGCGAACTCTCTCCCTGATGTTGCGTCTATCGTCAGAATTAAGTGGGATGTTGAGTTGTGATGAAGTCCTCTGCTGGTAACTTTTCCAGCTCCTGTATTCATGAACTTACGTCTTTGGATGCCGTATGAGGCGGTTTTAAAAGGTCTGCCTTTACAAGAGAAGCTCATTCGTTCAAAGAAATAATATGAAACAAAGAAATAACGAGTACATGCGCGAAAGTCTGGGATACTTCTCAAGGCAATGGCTTTGGGAATTGAGAAACAAGAGCTCGAAATATTGAAAGGAAGGATTCTCATAGAATCCTTGCCTAATTATACATTGAACCGGAATGGGTCTCTAGGAAGCTGTATGTTTGACATAGGAAAAAAATAACAAGTGCGTTGATCTGATAAAGATCCAGCCAGTCGGCTATGGGTGGTAAAAATGCAGCACCATCGTTCCTAGGTCCTAAAGAGATTTGTCCAATTCTTCTTCCCGAACATCACGATTTTGCGCCTCACCCTTCCCATGTGGTACTAATACGGGGACCCATAGAGAAAAACCAAGTTCCATAGGAGGTAGGTGTAAAAGTTCCGCACAGGGTGCATTCGCTTGACCTTTGCTCCAGCACTTGATGGCCCAGAATCGGACCAACCTACTTAAACATCACGTCTCATTGTGCGCGTAAGATGGCCAAGGTGTGGTATCTGGGAGGGTGCTGATTCTGACTAAAATCTTGGGGCTCCGCTTGAATGAGAATACCTCGATGGAAATCTCGTTCTCCGACCGGTCTTGAGTGCAATTTGCATTGCGCTCCCCGAAGTTGTGATACTTATCAGCTTTGATATTCTGCTTAATATATGGCGAGTACTCCATAAGCGGGTCAAGATCTGTAGCTCAGGTAGATGGCTAGAATGCAAGAATCAACTCCCTTCTACCATCTGACAGGAAGTTCCCTCCAGGTGCTGAAATTCATGGCGATGGAAGTGATCGCGGATTGACTGATAGACCCGAACTGGCTCTTCTGAAACTTCGTCTTCTCTATTGTCGAGTTCTTTCGTATATTCTGCCGTTCGTTGACTCAACCACATATAATGACAAATTCAATTTGAATAAGAGAACCTTTCGTGCAAAACAGACAGGCCCTTCGTCATCACAAAGTTCCTCCACACCACGACCGGAGTCTCCAACCAGCACGCCGCATCAGCACCTTAGAAATCACGCATACTACCGAGGCACGTAATCGACACATAATCAATCATTCCGGAGTCATTTGCCGTATCTTCGAGGGTCTAATTAATAATACATTCACTCATGTGCTGCTTTGTCTTGTATTTCTCAACTGTGCTGTACTGGCGGCGCTCATAGGATCCACTTTCCGCCTCTTCGCCGCCAGGGCGCCGCCCCTGCAGGACGGGTGGTGATTGGTCAGAGGGGCCCGAACCCGACATCCATGATTTGAATGTTTCCATTCGCGGAATAACGTTCAAATGGTATATAGGTAGAGCTGTGTCCTGCGATATATGGCGTTTACTCTTTATTCCATTACCATCTCCTTTCACCAAGAAGAACTTCCTCCAAGCCCCATGATACTGTTGATATCTTGACTTGATTCCGCATTCTCGTCGATTTCTCACGTTCCCACTTCCCACCAAAACAAATTAGTTATACAGAGAGCAAGCAAATACATCAACATGTCTCAAGCACCTATCGACGCTCAAGCGCCCAAGAAGATCGGAATCATAATTGGCAGCACACGCCCTAACCGCATCGGCGACCAAGTCGCAGCCCTCATCAAATCCACACTATCAGAAGCATCAACCCCAAACTTAACTCTCTCCCTAGTCGACATCGCAGCCTTCAATCTCCCTCTCTTCAATGAAGCAATCCTTCCCGCTCAAGTCCCTGCCCAAGGAGAATTCGCCCACGAGCACAGCAAAGCGTGGAATGCCGAGATCGCCAAATACGACGGGTACGTCTTCGTGACTGCGGAATGGAATTTCGGACTTCCTGGAGTGACGAAGAATGCGATTGATTACTTGTACCACGCTTGGATCGGGAAGCCAGTGCTGATTGTTAGTTATGGGATTATGGGGGGCATGTCGGCAAGTGAACAGTTGAAGAAGACGCTGGAGGGGATGCATTTGAGGGTTGTGGAGACGAGGGTATCTCTCACATTTCCTGGTGCGGATCCTGCGAATCATAATATGAGTCCTGGTTTGATTGGAGCGATTGGTGGAAAGCTTATAGATGATGTGAAAGAGAAGTGGAGGGTTGATTCGAAGGAGGAGCTGTTAAAGGCTTTTGGGGAGTTGAAGGAGAAGCTTGTTTAGATGTTTTGGGAATTCAGCAGTGTGCATGGCATGCGAGGACTTGGGTTCTTCGCTCTTCGGCGTCTAAGATGGCTTTCAGATAGTTTCCTAGAATCGTTTAGTGGTTTCCATAGAGAATAGACGAGCAACATACCTGCGAGATTGCTTCTAGCCTCAATTGCTCCTAACATTCGCTTCACTGTCTCGATATAGGACATCCACAATTCTAGGTCGTCGTCTACGACACCAAAATCCAAACTCAATACGGCTGCGTACTGAGCTCGATGCAGAGCCCAGATCGGTATAGCCACCAGATTAGCCTCTGCACCCTTTGAAGCACTCATCATGCTATCGAGCATCATCCTGAGGGCTGACTTCAAGCCTAATGCAGCACGGGATTGAAAATTTTCTTTTTCATGAGCTTCACTGGGTTCAGGCTCTACCGTAATTTCAAAGCGATTCAAAACTAGAATTGCGCTGTCTCTTATTAGCTTGATTTGATCTCGAAGATGGAGTTTGACGATACCTCAAGCAGATCGCATACGGCCAACAGAGATGACCGTGACCAGCTGGCTTGAGCAGCTCCATGGCATACGATCGAAGAGTCAAGTCAACATGAGCCGCTGCGCAGGATGAGATGCTGGGCTTGGATGTGCTGACACGGTCGATCACATGGCCGAGGAGATACGCTCCTTGAGCAATGCGTGCACCGATACTTAGCTCCACCGTGCTAGGATCGGCGGGTTTTCCTTGTTGACTTAAGCCAATGGAGACTTGAAATCTAGTACCATCCTCTGAGGGTAGTATATCAGAAGGACTAGGCGACGGGATGGCGAAGGGAAGTTTCTTGTCTATACAGTCAAGCATTGATATCCTAAGTTTTGTCAATTGCAAGTTCAAACCATCGCCAGGATCTGAGCGAAGCCTACCTTTCAAGGGTAATAATGCCCCACCAAACCTGCCTCTGTCTCGCTGCGATACTCTCAGAAATCGGATCAGAAAGTGCGTCCTGAGATAATGTCTTGTCAAGGCCCAGAATATATCCCATCCTGGCACAAGACCCAAGAGTCTGATACGCAGCATCATGCAGTGCCTGGCAGTGTTCATAAAACGCTATCAAAAGCCCCGCCTGTACCATCTCAATTGACGACCTCCCAGTCGACTGAAACAAACCACTGAGGCCCTTAATTGTGTCATAAAGCTGTTGTAAAGTGCTTGTCTCTCGAGGAATCTTCGAATACAGCTGGCTCACCAGATGGATCGCCAGAACCAGGATGGCGACTTCGCCTTTTGGAGAACTACGCTGTTGCAAGATTTGATCGAAAAGCGTTTCTTTGGAAATGATTGGAAACCAGACATGGACGAATTTGAAATATAGAGAGCACGAGGAGAGAATCCCATCTTCAATAGCGTCGCGGTTGATAATAGACCAGAACTGCTCGGTGAGTTGCTCATCTAAGTTCAGGACACTGAGCTCTCCGGGCACTGCTTGGAACGATGCATTTGGAGAGCTAAAATTGTAGGGGTTTAGTAACTCGTGGAAATGATTCCTGGTTTGAGGTTGGGATGTGGCTGCAGCTTGCTCGATGCTGGTACGGATTGGCTCGGACTGAATTGAGGAACCATTAATCTGAAAATGGTAATGGCATGGGACTCGCAGCCTTCGAAAACCTCAGCACGGCTTGTTTGTTGATGAAGAAGGAATCGACTTACTTGGAGCACCGCGTGCAGCCTGGTAGAGTTCTATCGCACTTCTTCTTCCGACGCTTGCAACGAATGCAGACAGTAGATGATAGCAGGGGCTTCTCGAATAACAAGGATTCCATCTCGCTTCTATACAATAGGCGTACTAATGTTGGCCGTGAAATATAATGATGAGTCTCTCTCAGTTCGATGTCGGGGATGAAAGCACATTCGCCGCAATGATGACAAACCTGCCTGGTAATGCCCAGTTTGAGTCACGTGATATGGTGATTGGAAAAGCAAAAGACCTCATTTTCAAGAAGCAGTGATTGCCATTGCCTAGCACTCAAATGAGTTTGCGTCCTGCCCTGTATGGTTATTCAAAGGACAAGCACATGTTTCAAAGTAAGTCCTTATGTTTCTATTTCTCTCTGGAAGCTGTACATGAAAATGGATGATCAAGATATGAATCCTTAAAGGAGAAGGTACTTCCTTGAAATGATAACCTCACAATTGTCAAAGGGTTCTTATTGTTATCTATTGACCCTTCACTGATTTTCCATGAGCTGCTCATGATTTTGTGTGCCCCTCCAGCAATTCCCGAAAGCAGGTGTGTTCAAGGTAGAAATTCGGGAGCGTATGATATCGATCCTGAAGCATTTCTGGAATTTGCTGAAGATCTCAGCAAAGACCACAAGATTGTGCTTAGCAGAGATATCATCGTGGCTCTCCTCCACCCACAAGCCATTCTTAAGTCCCAGCTGGCTCGATATTTGGCTCTGTATCTTCTTTTCTAGGAAGCGGATTTTCACAGACCATCTGACAATGTGACAATTCATGCAAGATGCGCCCCTGTAATTTCAAGCGTTCCATCACAATAGGATAGGACCTACACCAGTCCATCCCCCGAATCTTCTCAAACGTATAAGTAAGGTGATCACCGGAATTATGCCGCGGTAGATTCTCCCAACAGGATCCAACATCGCCTTGCAACATTTCAGACACGATCTTATGAAGCCATATACTATTGCTTGAAAAGGTGATCGTAGGTTTCCGGTCTTTGTACTCGTATCTGAAGACGGCAGCAACCCCTGGCCGGCCTCTTACTGTAGGATCTCCGTCTTTCAGTGTTGCGTTCCATATCTCCAGCACTTCGAGCTTGGGCATGAAAGCGACAGCCCGGCACGAAGTTGTCAAAAGATTCTTCATAACTGTGCGGTTTATACTTGTACGCAGAGACTCCGAGGTCAGAGTGAGGGTGCGAAGATTCTCCCAGGGGACCACGTCAGAAGCCTGGGCCCCCTGAATGTTAGGAACTCGAAGTGGCCAGAACTGGGCAAGAAAATCTTTTGCATCGATAAGGAAAGCCACCGATATGTTTTCGAGCAAACGGCTTCTATCTGAGAGGTTGGAGCCTAGAATCCGTCTAAAATCGCGCTCGGCGTCATGATCCGGCGAGTGTAAGATATTGTTGGACTCCTCGAAGAGATAAAGGTTCCGTAGTGTACTTGGTAAGTCTGATTGATGAAGATGAAAGTCAAAGCCTGTAGTTGCGTTTGACATGTCAGCCAGGAGTTTTCATTTAGGGTTAATTCCTGTGATATATTTGCCCCCTACGTACCTTCGGTAAAGTCTAATTGCTGCTGTGCATCGACATAAAACCATCCCTCGCGACGGAACTCTATGAGGTTCGTAAAGCTCTGACTGAGAAGCTTGCCAATAGAATATCCACAGATCTTCCGATAGAACTGTCTTCGAATAAGCAAATGTGTGACAACCTCGACCTCCGGCAAGCGTTTGACCGAGAGGAATTTTGTGAGTCCCCATTTGATCTCTAGCGTGCCCATTAATCTCTGTTTGGCTTCTAAACATATCGTTCTTTCACTTTCCCTTTTCCCCTCAACCCAGCCATGAAATTGGTCATTGAGGCTTCCCAATTGTTTGAGTTTTTGGTGGTACGCGTCGTCTAGATAATTTTGGACTTCTCGAATTTCTTTGTACGGGTAAATGGGCTCAAGATGAACATCTCGAAATGTATGTCTGCAATCACTTGGAGAATAAGCGCCGAGTTCTAGTTCCAGGCCTCTCATACTGCGACCGTAACGGCCGGAACTTGGCTGAAGGACTGTCCATTGAGATAGAACTTTCAATAATTCCCAGACGGATCTGGTAAAGAGGTAACTATTCCTATTAAATTCGAGTCAGATATTTGACACCGGCCAACAAGAGCAACATGGGATGTATTTATGAATCAAGATATGACCAAACAACAACCGCGAAATCATATTACTTACCTATTCTTTGTGTCTTCGTCCTCTTTTGTTTGACAGACTGAGCAGTCGTACTCATCAAGACGAACACAGAGGAATATATGCTCGAGATAACCTCGTCTCCGATTTTTTGCTGTGAAGTTTTCCAGATTGCGTATTCTATCGTAGTCGAGAACAAGCCGTCGAAAATTCTGTTGTTCAAAAACTGGTTGCCATTCTCGACAGACTGTCGCATAGCCGGCGCGGAGAAATGGCAGAGATGGTTGAAATTCATAATCTTCTATTACCTTGTCGAGGATCATCAAACTGATCTCGGCGGGCAACTTGGACCAGTATTCCGGCAATGATTGTGGTGTGCCGAAATGATCAGAAGCAGGTTCTCGAGGGAGTTCCCAGGGTGAGAGGTGAACGGATGCCATGATCCTGAAACACGAGTTATTCGTCGTTTTGGTGGTGTGAGGAGCGAATAGCCAGCAGCTTGCAGGTGGGATCCAAAGCCCAGGTGAAAGTTCTGGTGTGAAAAGCGCGTGATAGTTTGAAAAAATTACTAGAAATTGTTCGAAAATTGGTGAACTAAGAAAATAATTTAGCGAATAAATCATGAGTCAGGCTGGTGATTATTTCATGGAACGGACAAGGTAAGGTAAAGTCGCGACTAACTAGAATTTAGTACCTCCGGCGTGGGCTAAAATTCCCGATCCTAAGACTAGGCAGAAACATGGATGTATAATGAGCGTAGAGGGCTTAAAAGTTCCTTCCAATGTATGTGAACCGTCTCTCGGGTAAATTTGGAATGGTGAGATATGAAATTGGATGTTTAGACATACGTAGAAGAATTTAATGCAAGTGGAACTGAAGGAACTGGGCTTTAATGTACCCCGAGGATCTGATACGCTAACATGACCTTGCGGAAAGACACATCTTCGGCACTTCTCAGTACTTCTACGAAGATAGGTACGGACAGATATGTACTCAAGCCTATTCCCGATATCAAAGGAGTAGAAGTTGCAGAACAGATACAGAGGCTTTAAGTACCAGGGTGCAGGAAGGACAGTACCTACCGAAATGATCTAGAGTCACGCAATATACCGACTTTTTAGAACCACGCACATCCATCCACTATCTCCTGCCCTTGCTCCTTCCCAATCCTACCAGGCACATCCCACTTCCCCTCAAGTTCTCACACAAATAATGTCAGTCCACTTCTCCCCACCACACCATGTCACCAGAAGGGAAGCAAAATCATAGTCCGATATCAAACCAAATCGAGCCAAATCATAACAGTCATAAATTTCGTGCCAGGTAAGCAAGTACCCTAAGTACCAAACCCTATCACCTGTGTGATATCTAAGTACTCCAAAATATTCAAGCTGTCTTAACACAGACAAGCAAAGCAGCCTCCCAGCCATTCATCCATGCCAAACCAAAAAGCAAAGCAAAGCAAGGTAAGGCAAACCTCGAGCGCTTGCTCGCTCGTTCGCTCTCGCCCCATTTTTGTTGTCTAATATCCCAGTCCCGATTTCCGATCCCGATTCCAATGCATTGCGTTCCAATACAAATGTACAATATCAACCCAAAACTGCTTGTTTTTATGACCAATCGCTCGCCAGCCCAGATTTTAAACCCGACCTCGTACTGTTGTCCAGGAGATGGTCTACTGAGAGTGTATATATATATACTTACTCATTCACCACCTCCCTGATGCTCCACCTCCAGTCATCAGCCCCCCGATCAAGAGTAGCGCCAACCCACTTCTCGCACTTCCTTCTCCATCGTTCCTCCTCTTCCCTCTGCCTTTTTACGAACTCAGGTCCGACATCGAACTCTTCGCCGACAAGCCAGTCGTCCTTCAACGTGCTTGCACCATCGCTCTTCCTCCCGCCGACTTCGTCCGCCTCTTTCGTGGGATTGTCCTCGAGATCTGGGACGTCCTTGAATACATCTTCTTCGTCATCGAAGGCATCGAATCCATCCATGGTGTCACCAGCCTCGCTCTTGCCGTTTTGCGGCTGGCTGGGCATCTTCAGCCAGCACATCCTTTGAGGGTCGAAGACCATGCCACCGACAACTTGAACGTTTTGTGAAGAGGTGATGTTCTGGATGAGAGCGGGTCGCGGGGTGGTGTTTTCTTTCTCACGATAGACTTGGGGGTCCTTCTCGCGGAAGATGTGGGATGGCACCGAAGCAGTTGAGGGTGACGAGGCTGGAGCATCGAAGGGTGTGAGGTCATTCTCGTTACCTTCCCAGCGGTAGGTATAAGGATTGTAATACATTCCCTTGATGGCTAGAAATATGTTAGTGGTGGTTCGGCACGTACGGATGGCGGTACACTTACACTTCGGATTGTTCAGATTCCCCAGCGGCTTGATGAGCTGGGGTTTCTGTGGTGGGCCCCTTATCTTCTTCGGTTTGACAGATTGTGCGTGGATGTTGCTGAGACCTGTAGTAGCAGAGACTTTTGCTTTCCATTGATTCGTCAGAGCAGCCAGAGGAGCACCTTGAGCCGAAGGAGCACGTTGAGCAATAACATGCTCTCGTGCCATTCGACTAGCATTCGTGTCACGAGCAAAGCGTGGCAGTTCATCTCTGGATCTTGCCGGTGAGTACGGTGTGAGAGGAGCTGGTGTGATTGTTCGTAGTGGGGGTGCATCTTGGTGGATCTTATTGCGAAGGTTGGACAATTTAGGAGGTCCACGACCGACAGGTTCCTTCACAAACCTCTGTTCCGTGTCTTTTGAGGTTGGCAGATCATCAAATCCATCCAACTCAAAACCATCACCAAATTGCTTTCGACGAACCGGTTTGGTCATGGTCCGTTTTGGTGCAGCTTCCCGTGCCAAGGCGTCAACCCCTCTAGGCCGTCGCGGACTTGGGGATCTCATAGTTGATCTGGACACCGCGCGAGATGAGGGACGAAGCTCAATACTGGTGGTGGAAGACTCAGAATCGTGCCGACGGAAATGACGGGAGGTTTTGATTGTAACATGATGCGACTGGGCGCTTGAAGTTCCTGCCGGGAGGAAGGGCACTGGATTCTTTCTTGCATGAGACATGCTTGATTCGGCTCCAGTACGGTCTCTTTCAACAGGGGTCTTGGGCCGAGACATCATGTTAGTCCTGCTGCCATCCGTACGGGAAGGAGGTCTCTCATAACGGGAACCAATTGGTTTTGCTGGAGACTGAGGAAATGAACGCATCGTCGGCATCGACCGCTTCAGCTTCAGCAATTGTGCATTAGTCGTTGTAGGCTCGTTGCGAAGAGCGGTGATGGATGGCTTTCCCCCTAGGTCTCGCCGACGAGGCGTTGTAGGAGGTAATGAGTGGACTGAGGATGGTGTCGTGGGTGTTGCAACACTTGTGATGGAAGAGTGTGACGAATGACCTCCCATCCTCGATTGAGATCTGCGACTACTTCTGAGAATGGGTCCACCGCTCTCCGAAACAGGTTCTAGTGATGATGGATGGCGTTCGTGACCACCGAGTGGGCGAGGAAGTCGTGATGTGGTGGATGGGGCTGGCTTTTCTTTTTCTTTCTGCTGGTTACCGAAGACGAGTGCGACGGCAGTCTTAGGACGAGTAGGACTTGTCTGGCGTGTCGTTTTCATCTTTATGTTACGATTAAGTGTGAGCTTGTTAGAATCAAACACATCTCCATCCCCGATCTCGAGACCAGAGAGGAAATCGTCCTTGGCTTCTGTACGCTTTGCAACGTGCTTGTCGGTAGTTTCGTGATCAGGCGAGCGATCTTGCTGCCTCCTCTTGAGGATGTCGTCGAAGTGGAGGGGCCCACTTGGGAGCACAAGTCCGTCTAGACCTTCATCCTCGCTTTCAATGGTCAATGAACTTGATACACTTGGACTGAGTGCAGTCGCGGACGAGCTTCTGTTCGAGTTACGATCTCTCTTCGTGCCCCCATGCCTGGTACCCAAGCTACCACCTTCTCCCCATTCATCTGCATCATCCTGGGTACTGACTGGTGTTTTCGGAATCTCGCGGCGAGTTGACAGTCTAAGTGGCTCATTGCTAGAGGGTAGTTGGAAATCTTGTTCGAAGTCATCATCTCCCTCAGCTTGATTCTCTGCTTTCTGAGGAGTTGGAGGCGTGACGAGAGGTAAAACTTTGGGTGCTTGGCGGCCTTTGGATACTTTAATGGTGTCTCCTCCATCTCCAAAGAAATCATCATCCTCGTCATCACGAAATCGATCAAGCATGACGTTTGTAGATGCTGTTTTCGGTTTCAGATCTGGCCGAGGGCTCAAGTTGAATTTCGGTGCAGGCTGTAGAGTCTTCACTGGACTGGCTTGCGTAGATCCAGCGCTGACTTGTCGCAACGCATCGGGAAATTTCGACGCATCTGGTCTCTTGATAGTCAATCCACCTTCGCCTGGAAATTCGAGGTCCCCATCATCCCAATCATCTTGTATGATCTTCTTGATTTTCCTTCCGCCGAGTCGTTTAATTGTGCCACCCGTCAGTGCCGAAGCAGGTACGTTCTGTGGTATTGGTATTCCGGCTCTTGCTGCCGAAGCTACCGCGTCTATAGTTGACTTCTCATCGTCTCCAGGCAGATGGATGTATTTCTCCTCATCCCCATGATTCGAATCAAAGTCAGAGCGTAAAGATAATCGTGAAGATACGGAATCGCGGTGGTGTGATGTCGCTGTCGTTGCCAATGACGCGCTTCGGAATGTGAAATCATCGCCTCCAATGTCTAGATCATCGTCGTCCCAGCACTCCATGGGTTCCTCCACCACCGCCTTACGCGGTTTCAATGTCAACTTGTCCATTCTCCAGGTATTTGCTGCAAAAATCAAAGACGTGTATCGCGCTCAAGAGGGGAAAGCAGGCAAACTCCAGCCGAGCGATCAATGGAAAGCTCTCGGGATGCAAGGAGCAACAATCGCGCAATTATCGAGGTCGTAATTTCATGTCCATTTGGCTGTGGGATATCGAGACTGGTATATCTGTGTATTCGTTGCTGGTTTGTTGGTGCTGTCGGTGGGGAATGCGCTTGATGTTGTCTTCGTCGCGGTGTGCTGTTCGTGTTCGCTGTTGCTGGGCCCAATTTTCCTTGCCTGCCTTCTGTTCCCACCGCCGGTCGCAATATTCCTCCAATGCCCACCAGGCAGCCTGTCGTGTCGTTTGGCGGCGTGCAGCACTGCGGAGCGCTGAAGCTGTCGATGATGAGTGAGGTCGCAGGTCGTTGTCGTTTGGTGTTGAAGAAATCCGGGTCGTATCGATAGTCGATTGTGATGGGATGGGATGGCTCGGATGGGATGGCTGGGGCTTGCTGCTGTCTTTCACCAGCTGCAGGTGGGCTTGGGCCACCTCCAGACGAGCCACTCACCAAAACCGGGTGTGCTCAGATAATCACGTGATGAAGAAAAACGCGTCGCGTCGATCGCATCGCGACAGCATGGCTGTGCTTGCCTTGCCTTGCCGAGAACGTACAATACACCCTGAAACCACATACCCTCGGAATCATAATATAAGCAGCTCTCTTATTGCTTTTGTACGAGGGTCTTTGGCCTGAACTCTGCGCACCGTCCTTTCATCTCCAATATCAGAATCCTCCAAGAGGCCGTCCCGTGTGCGACCATCCTTCGAACCATGAATCCCAAGCTGATCAAGGTTCCCCGCGTGGACCTCGATGATGACCATGAGTACGTTCTGTTGCACATCGCGCCGACTGGACGGAAGACACTAGATCTCGAATTGATTGGAACCGACAATGAAACAGCGTTTGTCTCTTCTTGTAAGGTCTCCAGATCGGCCGGCGCGGGCCAGCCCTTGGTCTCCCCGCTCCATGCATTAATCCGGAGACTAATCAAATCTCGGTATCTTAGTGAAGCATAGTCAGCTGTCGAAATTGAAGGAGAAGAAGATCAACGCGGAAGAATGGGAGCAAGTGCTGTATGCTCTTCTGCTGGGTACAGATCCGGAAGGGAAGCCCGTCTCCCCCGGAGAAGGTGTAGAAGCCGTGGCATCTATACAGGCGGGGGCGAAATCACTTACAATCATCATACAACGGAATATCGAAGGAATCACGGTACGGATCATGAGTCTCCTGCCGTATTAACAAGACTAATAATACCAATAGCAAAAATTCGGGACGTTAGTCCTTCCAAGAGGACCCGATGACGCTGCTGATTTCTATGATTGGTGTTCCGAGAGTGTCTTGGAGAATACCAAAATTGCGCAGGAGCTACAAGCCTCGAACTTGAAACTGGATGAAAAGGATGCACAGATCAAGAAGTTGGAGGTTGCCTTGGCAGAATTGGTCCAGTTAAAGAATGATAACGACACACAACTGCTCGAGAAATTCTCCCTTCTACTCAACGAAAAGAAGCTAAAGATCAGAGATCAACAAAGGCTTTTACAGAGCTCAAACGTTGACCCTACCCAAGTCGCGGAATTGGAAGAGGCTCGATCAAGATCACGATCTGCCGGCCCGTCACGGAAAGGCAAAAGGAAAGCGGGAGCGGTTGAGGAAGAGTCAGACGATGGTTTCGAGAAGATGGATGTTGATAACAAGCCCACTACAGAGGATTCAGATCAAGAACCAGCGAAGAACCTAGACGATTCTACGGCAGATGAGGAGACAGCGGACGAAGCCTCCGAGGACGATCATGAACCAGCAGCGCCACCTCCAAAGAGAAAGACACCCGCAAAGCAAGAGCAAAATAGTAGTCAAGCATCCAGCTCGAAGACGCTTCAAGAACTGGAACCGCCACCGAAACGAGAGCTACCTTTTGCCAAAAAGCCTCCTGCAAAGGCACCAGCGCCGCCCCCTGCGGCTGGATCGGAGACAGAGTCGGACGATGAACTTTGAGTTGGTTATGAGATATGAGATACGAGTTATGATGTAGGATATTAATGAAGCTACGACTTGACGACCGGAACAGCTCGTTTTCAGGCAGTAGGCATCTCACGTGAGGCTTAATACGTCCCTGTTACCCATGCCTACATACAAGCATCCTCCCACCGTCCACAGAGACCTTCCAATCCTTCCACATAAACTCAATCTAATCCTCAACCTCGAGTGGTTTCCTCCCATACACAACTCGCCTATCCACCATCTGTCAGCACTACCATCCATTTACAATCCCAACATCCAACATGAAACATGAAACAAATTAAAAAGGCATACTCACACTGGAATATACACATGAATCTTATTACTCCTAATATCCTCCCTAACCCGCACCAGCAAAAGCTCCACCTCCTCCCCACTCATCCCCAACGCCCTCGTCAACACCGCCACGGTAAAGCCCTGCAGTCCCGCCAGCAAATCCTCTCTATACCACAACCCCAGAGTCTTCATCTTCTCGCCCCTCGCCCACGTCCCAACCGGCCACTCAAACCTCCTCTCCACCACATCCACAAACCCCACCTCACACATCATGTCCCTATACCTCCTCACACGCGTCCAATCCTTCCCCAGCCTCCTCGTCCCCTCCATGATCAAGCCAACCCAAGTCTCGAGTGCTGTCCCACGAAGAGTATCGTCGATACACCGGAATGGGACGATGCAGTCTTGCAGTTCGAGATAGCCACCCGGTTTGAGGGCTCGGAAGGCGGAGGTGATGACTGGGAGGTGAGATTTGAAACAGGTTGCTAGGGCGCGTCCGTGGATGTAGGAGAAGGGGTCGGGGAAGAGCCAGGGGTCTTCGGCGTCGTCGACTTCGAAGCGGCAGTTTGGTGGGGCGCTGGACGGAGTATTAGCTAGGAGGTCTTTTCGAGGTGTCTTGCGGGATTTTTGGAGATATCGGGGAATAGAAGAGGGGGGCGGGAAGGAGGTAGGTACAAGTCTGGCTGGATGGGACTTAGGTCTGTTCCTAAAACATTTGCTGAGGGGAATTGGTGCGCGAATTCTATGGCCCAGATTCCTGTTCCTGTTGCTATGTCGAGGACGTTGTGGATGCCGCCGGGGATGTCTTTGAGGGGTGCGTTGTATAGTTCTCCGTTGAGTGTTAGGAGGAAGAGGTGGTGTTGGAGATCTGTGTAGGGTATGGTAAGTTAGGCGTTACGGTTTCATCCATGGGGGTGTAATACCTAGTCTGTCTTGCTCCATCTACTTTCTGTAAGTACAGACTTCCACTTTTGTCCAAGGGGAGAAGACTTACTTCGTCATTTGGCAAGTAATATTCTTCCCATTATCAGCATACTGACCAGTTTAAAAGGCTACGGCAAACTCACTTCCCTCCCGATACGCATGATACGTCCTCCCATTCTCTTGTACAAATTGGAAGACACTCGACCGTACCGACGTCGAAGCTGTACTGAATTTCCCATCAACAAACCCTTCTCGACACTTCAAAGATCCATTTTGGACTCACTAAAGACTCGCGTCACCAAGAGCTGAGTCGTTATCTCTCTCGCTTCCTTGTTCACTGGTATCGACCTGCAGGTTTCATTTTCAGCCAGACGTATATGCAGTTGTAATAGCCAGACATACTGATAAGGCGGTGATACTCGGCGTCTCTTGACCAGCTTCTTGGACTTCTTCAGTTTCCAATGATGATAGCTGGTCATGATTATCGCTCTGCGTCGGAGCATTCTGCTCTTCTCCAGAGTCTATCATCTCCTCCTCAGTTTTCTTGGCGACATCGACCAGAGGCTCACGCGACGACGCTTCAATGGAACCTTGTCCCTCCATCCCGGTTGCATTCTCTCGAGCATATGAAGATGAAGTTGGTACAACTTCCTTATCTCCCGAAAGCGTCGTCGACGTATATTTAGACTCAAATTCACGCTCAAGGTGAACAGCAGCGCCTCCCACATGGCTAGGTTGGCTAGGTATTGGCACTCCACAATCTACATGAGTCTCCAGACCCGGATCTAGATCTGGATCTGGACCTAGATCTGCTGCAGTCAGCTCATGCCAATCTCAATCAACGCCTCGCCCGCTTGGAAGGCTCACCATGACCACTTTGTCCCTGTGCTTGTGCCTGAGTATGAGTCAGAGTTTGGGTATCTTCAGAGTGGTCAACACCCTCCATATCATCTCTCGAGCGCTTGAATGCCATAATTTGTATCTCGTGTCAAAGCTCAGACAATCCTCAATAAGTACGTCTTCCGAGGCACACATAATTGACAGTTGAACGGTAAACGTTCTGTAGCCGCAGATCATGCATCACATCGTGGCGCCATCGGTCTGTCGTTCCACAGTTCCACACACTACAGTAACTTGCCAGCCATAGCCGACCACTCACACAAGTCCGCTATCTGGATTCCAACAGTAGGTAGTACAGTGTAGCCAGTCACTGGTGCTTGTGTACCGTAGGTCGGCTCTTTTAGCCATTGATATCAAGAGCGTTTTATTCGCCCATCTGTCGGTAAAAAGCAAATTTGTGTCGGATGCAGCAAATAGGCAAGTCGGGTGTTCAGCCGAGATGGGATGTATGGTAGCGAGCGAATGTTGAATGGAGTTGTATTGGTGTTCAAGTGTTGTGTGACGTCGTACAACAGGAAATCGTGACGATATGAGAAATTTTGGGATTTGGGAAGGCTTCATCTGAATACCATGTGTTTAGCTGTACGGGCATTGAATTATAAATAGGTAGAGAAAGTGGATTTGTTGGATGCTCGGATTGTTTTTGGAAGGGTGAGGGCTCGCTACCCCTTTTTTGATCCTGGTGCACATGGTGCAGGGGTCAACATCGTGGTTAACTGAATAATACGAAAGGATGAACTCTTCAGAGTAATCGAATTTATGAAAATAAGTGATCTGAAGATGGGAAGATCGAAATGAGTCCCCCTAGCGGCACTGACGGTGCGGGATAGACTAGCATTGTGAAGTATGATCCATGTCTGTCTTATGCCCCATACAAGAACTCATTCTTATCATCTGCACCAAGCATGTAGCTCTAGGACTTGACCCCAGTCTCACTCGTCGCATTGCCTCCTTGCAACTGTCCCACAAGGAACATCATATAATCCTATCCGAAAACCCCGCCAACAACCTTCCCACCTCCTCATCTCCTTTCAAACTCCTCGCCTTCTCTTCACTGATCCCAAGCCCCGGAAACCGCCTCGTAGCCATTCCAGGTCTCCACTCCATCCCCAAACACCACTCCTCCTCAACAACCTTGCTTTGCTCCCTCTCACCACCGCCAAGTCTCTCCAGAATTGTGATTTTCCTCTCCCCCTTCCCAAAATCGTTCTTAACGTAAACATGCAGTTCTGGCTTTTCCTTTCTATCTCTGCCGTCTAGATGCATATCGCACAGTTCGGATACCTTGGCGTGTAGCTCATGTGCTGGTGTATTGTCGAGGTCGGTTAGGAGGTCATCACGGCTGAGCGAAGATCCCGCAGCGAAACAGAAAATGCAAATGAATAGGGCGATTTGGCAGAACACGATAAAGGGGCCCCAGGGGAAGTAGGAACAGCTGTTTGAGGGGCAGGATGATGGAGTTGGTTGCTTGATGTTGATAGCAATATCGGAATTGGGTGAAGTGGTGATATTGGTGAGATTGACAGAGATGGAGAGGTCCGCGGCTACTGAGGTGATGTAAGAGGTTATGTTGCTGATGAAGGAGTCGAGGGACGACATTGTGGGTGATAGGTGGCAGAATTTGGCTTGGATCCGTCTTGTGTCGGAAGTATGTTGGAGATGTGTATCTTCTACTGTAATATCTTCGCCTCGATTATATCAACAGATAGAAGTGATAAAACAATATCGCTATCGGGCGTGAAGACCTGTCATAAAGAACGGAAGAAGAAGCATGCCATCTAAATGAAGACATGAGAGAACGGTGGCTCTAGTTTAAGCTCCTAGTCTCGGCGTAACCTTAGACTCTTTCAGAACATAGAAATGGCTCAGGCTCGGTGTGTTAACAATCATCCTCTGGAGACCAGAACACTCACGCAGATTAGTGTTCCACTGCCATCGAGTCGCCATAGGCTTTTAACGTTGGTATACCAGAGGTCCACCAGAACAGACTCACTGGAAAATAGAGAGCTTTCGTAGAGTAGAAGTATTCTAGAACCTTGCCGAAAAGAATACTTGACGTTCATTGTGGGGGAATAAACGTTAGCTCAGTCAGATCCATGGTTGAGAATACTAGCGCCAACACGGTCATGAAGCCGCCCCCATTTCACTTGAAAGTATTTCCTCACTATGTCATAGGAACATGTCGGATATTAAAGTATTCGAGTGTCTATAAGTATAGCATTCAACCCGAAGATTTCCGATTTGTGGCCACACCCAAGGAATCTTGACCCCGTTGAAAAGTTCAAGGGTGTGTGTAAATACGCATTTTTCGCTTGCGACATCGACTGACCCTTTGAAGACTTTCTTCTTTATTTGGAGCCATCCTTTCGCCCAAATTGGGACTGTCTTCATCATTCCGCCCTCCTCAAAATGGCACCGACACCAGCCATCACAACCATAACACCCATCCTAAACACCACCTGCGTCGCCCTCCACACCTTCAATTTCACAATCGCCCCTCCTTCCACCACAAATCTAACAGCAATCTGCTCCCTCCCACCCCTCAAACCCCCAAAACACATCTCTTTCTCCCCACTGCTAGTCATCCCCATAATTTGCGGCGTCGTTGGGCTCGCCAAACTCATCTACCTCCTCCTCTGCTTTCTCTTCCGCTACCCACGCACAAACTAGTCACGGACCTACGAAACACACCATCTTACGAGCTTCACGAGAAAGTCGAGCGCCTCTTCGCATACTATCACGATCTCGAGCATGATGAGAGATTCAATAAAGGACCAGGAGGACGGATTCAAGATGTCAAGACGGAAGTTAATGATGAGGAGATGACGAGGACGATTATTGCGACGGAGGATTTGACGAAGGAGCCCGGCGCAAGAAAGATATCGCGAGGGGAGAGCATGAGGATTGAGAGGTCGAGGTCGAGAGGACGTAGTCAGACTGTGAGGCCGTTGCCGCCGCTGGGGAGGGCTGATCAGATTCCGAGTTTGCCTCTTGCTGCTGATAGGAGTGCATGGCCCGAGGCGCCGAGACCTCCTACGCCACCGTCGCAATCTGTTGGTGCTATTGCACCGCCGACACAGACGATGGTTAGGTTTGAGATGCCGGCGGGGGTTTGTAGTGGTGCTTGTGGTGAGGTTCCGGATATGCCTCCTCCTGCGTATCAGCGGAGGGAGTAGATGGTGGGGAGAAGATGTGCTCGCTTATTGTAATCTTGCCATTAGTGATATATGGTAGCGGAAAACTATCAGCTGGGATGTCATAGACCTTTTTCTGGAAAGGAGAACATCGAACGTTAAAACTAAACAGAATTATAATCGCAGTCTAACGACCTGGTAGAAAGAAGAAATTCTGGAACCCATACCCCGTCTAAATCTATACCGTCTCTAGGCTTGTGCTATCGTCATCTAATCCATTGCGCCGTCTCCAAACTCCTTTCTATTTCCTCATAAGCGAGAGATCAAGGCAAGAGAGAACGATCATAATCTTCCCCAACCTCGCAAATCTCCATGCCCTCACTCTTCCCATCGATGTCATAGCATCCACACCTCGCTTCCTCCATACACTTCCTCTGCAGCGCTTCAAGCATAGACTTCATATCTGGCGTCGTGATAGTCTGACCATGCACGAAAGCAGGTCTCGGCCACTGCTGACCCCTGCCTCCACAAATGGATTTCCCTTGAGCATGGACTTCATCCTCGCAAATTTCGATATCCGGATGAATGAGCGCCAAGCCATGTCGTTGAAATGCCTCGCGACAGTCATTGCAATCCCTTGCTGGGATCATGCGGTGAGAAGTCTCCATGGCCTCGTATAGAACCAAAGATTTTGGAGGCCTTTGCTTGTCTCTGGCGCTTTCCAGCCTATTGGTTTCGATCAATTCGGACTCAGAAACCAGATATACCGTCTTGACGTTCTTGAAATAATAGAGAATGCAAGCGAGGTAGTTCTCATAACTACCCATCGTCTCGGTTAGGAGGTTGCGATTCACAGCTAGGTTTTCAACCTCCGCTAATTCGTCCTGGCACATATATGGTAAAACATCTTGAAGAATCGACTCAGTCGTGGGCGTCTCGGTCTGAACGTCAAGGTACAGAGTATCGGTTTTAAAGTTGAAGTAGGTCTGAGCAATCGAGCCGAGGGCTGAGAAACTCTTAGTGTAAACTTTTGACGCCACCTGGTACGATTCTCGGCAAGCCAGCAGCAGACTCGGAGTTGGAACATCTGTATCAAATCCCATCATATGATGAAGATACGGACGACCTCGAATACGATCCATACGGTCGAACTCCGTTCTGGATTCTTCATGATGACTCTCACATAAGCAGCCCCGGAATTTCTGGTTGGCCTTTCCACTGCATCTATCCGTTACAAGGCGGTTTGATGAGACGCTCTGGACGGCATGATAGCATTCAGAGACATGGCGTTGCCTCAAATGTACAATCTGAGGCTCGATCGTAGCTTCCCATATCAATAGACGTATCTCGAATGGAAGATCGCGAAATCTAGAAAAGGAGAGCTTATCGTCGCTGAAGTTGGAGACCAGCTTGGCTCGTGTGTCTGTCGAGCCTGTGCCGACTGATAACAAGTGAGGCGTTATCATGTTGTATATCTGCAAAAATAATCTGACTGAAAGGGAAAGAAAGAATGGAAGTCTAGAGAGAGCGGCGGTGAAAGTTTCATCTTAGAGGACGTGTTCAGCCGTAATTTGCTGACTGTTTCCAAGACGGGAGTTCTTCTCACTGGACGCCCCCTGCTTCAAGGATTGCACTGACAGTGACACGTGACTCCAAGCACCATTCAACGACTGTCCGCTGTTCGCAATCTGAGGCAATCAGATATTCTTGCCATAAAAAGCAAATAAAAAGGTGCACAAATATCGATGTGATTTGAGTCCAAAAATGTCCGAGAGCCCGCTTTACCGTGTTGATTTCTGTTGAGCTGACGGTCCGCGATTGACGAGTCAGGCAAGACTAGCTTGAATTGGTCAAAGTTCAGCACCGTCCTAAACGCCACGCTCACCTCCAAGAACACATGCTCGCAAACCAGCATGTGGTGCTGCAATTGTGTAGCTCTTGCCTCTGTGATGTTGAGAAAGACAACGAACAATGACGGACTTTCAAACGATTTCGGAGATGCGCTGAAAAGCTGAAAGGTAAAGGCAAAGCAACCTTACCTTTCATGACGGTGTCCATAAAAAAAAATCTCGTTGCTGCAACATCTGTGAATTGCTTGTACCTCGGATTTCTCCTAAGCGGCTTCCAGCTTAGATGTGATTGCTGAGGCTGTTTCGGGTTTATGTCCGATAACTGGCATTAGAGACATCCTTTTCTCCAATCGTCCGACACATTCTCGAATTGCTCCAGCCCGGGCAATTCATGTACCGGATGATCAAGATGAAATTCAGAGTGCTCGAAATATGGAGTCTCCGACGGATATCAGTTGCAATAACAAAGGTCATGTGAGCTGCTCGCTGTTGAAGATCTATCGATGCCGCGCATTCAGGACCCATGTATCTCAGTGGCACGAGAGTGACGCTTTCGACGCTGCGAAATACAGCAAGCATGGCGTTCAGATAAATCTCGAAGAGGGCTTTATTGGGAATCAGTTTGTGACATAGTGCCAGCAAGCTCATCGGGACAAAAGTATGACGGCGGCTGGAGGGCGGCTACATCGTTCCAATGTTCTGGGAGCGACCACCAGTCGAGGTAGAGCGTGTCGGGTTCAAAGGGGAACCATCTTTGGAGTCATGCTTCCAACATCGTGATTTGTGTAGACTTTCGACGCAAACCTAGACGATTCCTGGCAAACGATGAGTATGGCGAGAATGGGCTGGTCTGGAGCTATGCTTGCGAGCGATGGAAGCGTGATCAGGGTCCGAGATTGTGCCAAAGACATTATGTGGGGGAAATTAAAGGAAATCGAGAGATCGCAATGATAAGGCGGCTCATTAATGATGGGTACATTGTTGATTTCCTTGTGATTCGATGAGGGTCACGAAGGAAGAGGGGGAAGAAGTTTGGGAAGAGGGGAAATGCCCGCGAGCGTGCAGAGCGCGACTGCCAAGCGAAACCCAAGCGCGATGTCACGAAAGTCAAGTCGCTCTTCAATCCCAGTCAATGCTCAACCCACTAAAGCACCATTCTGTCTACATATCAATGATCATTGTCTTCATCACTTCTACACATTATCCTGGCCTCATCCAATACCACGTGGACTTCAAGGTCTGAAAGATGCTGGCATATCTAGTTCTTATTCACAAATGACACTACGGTGGCGACCCCCCTCCATTCCAATGGAAATATTCTCCATAAATATGGAGGTATTTTGTGGAAGTTCTTTCTATAGGAATGGAGACTCGTCACCTATAAATATAGAGAGTATTTCCATAATTATGGATTTCATGCCATACAAAATGAAACATAGAAATATCCATAAATCCATAATTATGGAATTTCCTCCATTCTTAAATGTTCAGTTCTATAGATAATATTTATAGTTTTTACTCCTTACTTCCCCACTTCCACACCTTCCCACCTCCTTACCTCTTTACCTACCACAGAGAGACCTACCGTAGAGAGACCTACTGTAGAGAGACCTACCGTAGAGAGGTCAGAGAGACTTACTATCCCCTAAGCTGCCGTTAACACACTTTTACTGGGCGTGGTGCTGAAGCGATCGCTAATGTTCCAGTGACTGCCTGAATTACAGGGCACAGTCGAGAGAGAGAGAGAGAAAGAGAGAGAGAGAGAGAGAGAGAGAGAGAGAGAGAGAAATAGAAAAAAAAGGGAGGAGGGGGATCATATGAAACAATTAAAGTTTGAGTACTCCCACACGAAACATGCTTTAATAAAGAGAAAGTAAGTTCCATAGGTATGAAAAAACTCTCTATTAGTATAGAAAGAATCTCCATGGGGTTAATAAAGAGAAAGTCAGCTCTATAGGTATAGAAAGATTCTCCATAGTTATGGAATAATCTCCATCCCTATGGAGATTCTTTCTATGCCAATGGAGCTGTTGCCACCGTAGTTTGATTGACTAGCTAGAATGCCTATTAGGCCAGTTGTGCCCAATTCCCCTCCAGAGTGCTTCATGTGATGTGCCCTCGTATAGATCATACGACCCCCTTCTACTATGTGATACAAAACAACTATGCCACAGGACTGTGACCACCATCAAGTTCATAGTATAGCAGCCTCAGTAGCTTAATATTCTCCCTGCTCTGCCAGGATTTCCTCGCGACAGTGAACTGTGCAATCGCGCCGAGTACAATCACCCTCAAAGTATGTCAAGTTTCCGCTGCTCTTCATGTGTTCCTTAAGCTCTATGTTGCATTGTTCAGCAAACTTGGCATTGATACCCATCAATTTTGCCCAATATCCGAAATCCTCAAATTCCCAGCTTAGGTAGTCATACACAGCATCTGCAACCATGTATTTTCTGAAAGGAGAAAACTCGGGGCATCTTTCGAATACAAAACGAACCGATTCAGGCTGAGGACGGTATCTCTCTCCTGTCCAGGTGGTCATACAGTAATTGTACTTATCTTCAGCCCATGCCGAGAGGCTTCCCCATCCAATTCTGTCCGCGAACGCTTCAAGCTCGTAATATGCCCTGATGTGATCGCAAGCTTCGGGACTTCCATCGTGTGGTTGATTACAACCGGCTTGTGGACTGTAGAGAAAGTTCACGAAGAGTGTGAAGACCTTGGGATCATCTTCTTCTAGATGCATGGTTTTGGAGGATGATTCTGCGAAGCCGTTCTGGAAAGCGCTCTTGAAGAAACTCGATTCGTTGCAGAGGATTGCTTCATGTAGGACCCATTTCGCCTTGGCAGGACCAACGTAGATTGTGACCATCGTGGGATTCAAACGAATCAATCTAGATTTCTCAATCAGTAATGGACTTGGGCTTGACTTTTGGGTGACATACTCTCCAAATCCTTTCCACTCACGAACGTGTTCGCGATCAGGCACCTTCGATTTCTCCGCGTCGGAATTACCGCTTGTCAAGCTCGATGAATCCATGATACTCGTTGGTATTGCAGATTGAATTTTAGGATCTTGGATCTGCATAATTTTAGCGTCCTCACCTTTCGCGACGTGACAAAAGGAGGGAGGGGCCTACCGGATGAACAGAAGGTGTTCGTTCTTAATTGGATCACAACGTTTTGGTTGTTGCCGGACAAGGTGTTCTGCCGAACCAAGTCGACTTCCAGTGAGAGCGCGTTCGCAGTTGTGACTGTGTCGGTGAAGACCTCAGTCGAAGTTGAGGAAGATGGAGTGGAGGTGAGGTTGCTGAGGAGAGCTTTTGGCGCTAGTCATGCGCTAAGCGAAGTCAACATGCTAACGTAATGCCCCACAACCATGAGAGTATACCTACCAGGCACGTGAGTTAACAAGGCTACTTTTGGTCTCGTACAGGTTCCAGTTTTCTTTGAGAATTTAAGAGCTAGCTCTTCGCAATTCTTGTACGAATATGTACAAAAGGCAGGGAAAGCTTCGAAATCGATCCCTGACAACCTTGAAGATGAACTCGTTCTGAGCTCCATGGACCTCCTTGTGAACATACCACAATCTTCAAAGAAGTGTCAGTTTTAGCTACTAATATTCTGGAAGCCTTGATTCAGCGACTGGAGTCTGGAGAAGGCTAGGATGGGAACGAGGACATTGGGGAGATAAGTGAGATTCACGCTTCAGAAAAGCTGGAGGTGGAAAAGGGCGAGGGAAACGATGATAAATGATATTTGAGATCTCTCCGCATTATAGGGTGGGAATTGATTTTTCTTTTCAGAGTCCTCACAATAACATTTTGTATTGAAACTTTATCCTTGAGTATATCTACTGATTCAAGCGACGGCAATCGACACCTCTCTGTATCGATTGTGAATACATCGCATCCTGTGTTCAAGCAATGTGCAAATTTCGTTTCCTGAGAATGACCCCCTCATGCCATTGTTTAAGACTTGTTCAACATTCCATCAAATCCGCAATTCTTCCAGAGAATTGAGACTGTAAAGGACGAATATAACGTGTTATCAGTGTCCTGAGGCGACAATTCAGTTGACCCGTTGGCGCTTATGTGCGGATGTTTGGTTCGACGCAACAACCACAGGGTGCAAAGAGCAACCATCAATCCAACAGCTCGACGTAGCCTCAAGATCCTGGTGGTTCTTCAGCTCTTTGGCGAAAGTCTCTGCAAAGGAAGGATCGCAGGACAAGACTTGGCCCATGTAGTTGTAGTCTTGGTTCCTTCCGGACATGTAATATCTCAGCACTAGCATTACAGCCGGAAGCCGGAACTTTGACTTCTCTGGGCATTTCTCGAAGATGAGCTTGATTTCTTCAACAAGGAGCTTGATATGGGTGTCTCTAGAGTGGCAATTCTCCCATTCTAAGAGCGCACACTCTGACAACACAGGCAAGAGGTATTTATCTGCGGAGATCTCCAGGTGGATGTAGAGCAGGAAGTGTTCCTTTGGCTGTTTCGTGTGCGATTTCTCTGCGTGTAGACTGCAGTCGATTCTGCCAGTGTAGATCCATTCCACAAAGGATCCGAATGTGACCGAGTCGTCTTCCTCCAAAACGATTGACTTTTGATCGGCCTCGGCGAAATGCCCTTGGAAAGCTTTCTTGAAGTATTCAGAGTAGTGACAAAGAGCATCTTCGTGTAGCACCCAGCAGTGCTTTTCGGCACCGACGTAGATCTTCACCATGCTTCCAGATCTGATTAATCTGTGGATCATCATTAGCGTGCCAAAGTTTTGGAATGCACATGATCACAGACTGGTGTAGAGGTACTTCCTCGACACAATTCTTCTCGTCATGTTCAGATGATGCTTCCTTCATCCCTGGAGTGTCTTGGGTATCTTCGACAGGTCCGAGGGTTGTGTCTGACAATGTAGCAGGTACCAAACTTGTTGTTTGGCTCCGCAAGGGTTGCGAGGGACGTGTTTGTTGTCCGTTCATTTCTGAGTTCGACTGAGCTGGTCTTAAAAATTGTGGTGGAAGAGGACTGACTGGTGTGCCAGGGGCTGTAACAGTACCGACTGTTGCCACGGCAGGAGAAGTGGTGATTGGCAGAGACGCTGTATTCGCAATTCGATGTCTTGAAGCTGTATCCTGAGAAGCTGTTTGACGCTGAGGTGCACTGTGGCGCAATCGTCTTCGTGAGGCTGATTTTCCTTGAACTGCACCAGTTCGAGTACCTCTTTGGAGCTCCTGCTGATTGGAGGTCCCAGGAGTAGCAATGTTTGCAGGGCGTCCTCTGATAATTTCGCTGCTTGACAACACCGGTCGTGGATTTGGAGACATGGGGTTGAAAGCTTGTCAACCAGAACGCTGAGCATGCCGTGTTTGTGTGCTTCCGACGCGAGTGGCTGTCGGCGATGAGGCGCGACCCGTGGCTGGTGCGACGCGGTTGTTCTGTTGGTGAGCAGACATCTGTGAAAGATGAAGGTAGAGAGTCTCAAGATTTCGTGGTTCCGAGGTCAAGGTGAATCGAAGGGACGAGCATCTATTCTGAATGGAATGCTCACAAATAGAAGACACCCTAGTGGAGTTTAAGCGAGGCTAGAACTGCCTTCGCATGCCCTGGGTATCAACAGCACGCCTCTGGAGAAACTATCAGAGCTTATATGACCGTATTGAGCTTTTCATGTTGCCGGAGAGCCATTTCATTGTTGTACTTTGTGGCCGTCGGCCGGACACGGTGATCCTGCTATGTGGCCAGACAGCCAGATTTATGATGAGCTCACAACCAACCAAAATATGTTGCGGACTCAGGAGATAGATTTAAAGTGGCACAAGTCTCTTTCACTTGCTGATTGAAAGACGTTTTGCCTCTCTTCTCTTTTATCCTTCGTGTGTCGTCACGGAAAGGTAGCTCTGCTGTCCACGTATTACTTCAAGGTCAAATCTCGTCGTTCAGGCTTGTAGATCAATATAATTCAATCTCAGTATCCTGCTGCCTTGGAATTTTTTTGATGGTCTGATCAATTTCCTACCCAGTCCTCGATAACAGACCAACGCATCTCTGCGTGCATAAAGGCACCTAGGCATGTTGGCGTTATCAGTACCGGATGGCATCTCATATCTCTCCTATCTACCCTGTCAAGTCATTTCGACTATTCACTAGCATACCACATCTCAAGGGCAGATCTTATATTGCGTGGCACTTGTTCCTTTCAACTTTGAATTTGATTGTTGACGACAGCGTAACGCTGATGTTCCGCCTATAACATCAAGTAATTCTTTTCATGTCTTTGATACCAAGTAAACTACTCCAGATAGTGCCTCAAACCGGTGATCTTTTCCTTATAGTTTCCCTCGATCCTTTCTTTCAATAGTCTTATATTAGCACCTCAGAAACACATACCAGCTCATGAATTCTCGCCATATACCGGTCAATATTCTGGCTTTTCCATCCACTCTGGTAGATCAGGTATTTCATAATACCGAGCAATCTCAAATTGTGTATCTTTTCCTGATCATCGGTCCACCAGCCTGATGCTTGCTATGACTGTTCATGTTCGAAGACTCGTGATTGGATTTAGAGCAGATAGATGGTGGGTCTCGGGGGCTGCAAAGCGTTGGTTTCGCAATTCTGGTTTCAAAATGAAGCTTTTCGGTGTTAGAAACCTCCGTTTGCAACTTTGTCTGGCTCTGAAACCTCCTGGTAACCTCAATGACTTGTGGCACACTTCTTGTTGCTGGTTTCTGTCGATTTACCTCTGCCGTTGTCAAGTAGCCGACTGTCTTGTGTTTCTAGGGTCTTCAGCCTTCGCATGAACTCGACATCCACTCCAAAGTGCGTGCTCCTCTCTAAGAATCATGTTCCTCACCCCCAAGCCCTACAGTACTGCAGCCCTCATCCATCCAACAAGCAAACTCCTCTTCCTGTTCATCGTCTCGGAAGAAGTGTATCACAGGGTCTTCCTGCCAAAAGATTGGTCTCCAAGCTATTGTCATGTTTTTGAATATCTCAGAAAGCTCATCCTCAAAAATCAAAAGATACTGATCTGAGACTTTTCCAGGTTTACATTGAAACTGCCTACAGCTGAAGCTGAGCGGTATCAAAAACGGTCGTGCGGGCAGCTGAACTGTGCATGTTTGACAGCCCAGTCCCCATCTCGTACTAATATCGATCCAATGCTCGCGGCTACAGGAGAAGGGGACGATATCATCCCCGCTCTCATCAAATCCGATAACGGATTGTGATTTTCTCAGTGTGTTATCTCTGTCGCTTATAAAGAGCTTCTCGAGCTGCCGACGCAGAATTGTACTTGCACCTTTCAAGGCTGAGTGGTCCACTTGATTTATCATCTCTGTGTCGCCTGCTCGCTTAGACTTATTCTCAGGCAAGGCCAGATAGATGCGGAGACGCGATGTTTCCATGCTGTGATAGTCTAGCGATTTCAGACGGTAAACATCGACTCCGTCAGCATAGAAGCCTTCCTCCTCCACTTCCTCTTCTGTCACGTCACTTCTGTAGTATCTCCCAACATAGTCCATGTTGCCAGTAGAACATAACCGGGTGAAGTATCGAGTGAAACGTACTGGTACAGTCTCGATCCACCGCGGAATCAGGTATGGATAAAACAATCGGACTTCCAAGTCTCCTCGGTGGAGCGGTAGCATTTCCAGGATCATCAATTGAATCTCGATTGGTAATCTTTTCATGAGATTGAAGATTTTTCTCGTGTACAGATCTGTAGGCTCCTCAGGCGCCATTAGAATTTTCGTGCTTCCTAAATAGCTTGCATAGAATTTGTAAGTTGCTTTAACGAGGTGCGAATTGACGTTTTGCAAGACTTGTTGATTGATCATTTGCAAGCATAAGTTGTGGAGGATGAAGTGTCTAATCCGGCTGACATTCGGTGGAGTTGTCCCACTTAGGGCGTTGGCCAAACGGCCATTTTGCCATTGGCTGTAAGCATCAAGGGCTCTTAGGTATTGATTACTCTTGTAATTCTGATCGCTTTGAGTACCATCCAAGTGCGGTATTAAGATCGTTCTGTCACGTAATCTGACACTGTAATCAGGTATGTTAATATGGAACCAGGTCAAAGAAAGGACATAAACTCACATCTGGTAGAACGCTTGGATAAAAGGGATCCCAATTGATTTCCAACTTTTCTCCAGTTTCTCATCTCTTTGAAGTCGCTCATGCCGGTCTTCGAGGACTTTTTGCTGCTCTTTGGAGTGTACCCAAGCTACATACATCGTGACTTTTTGGTAGTTGGAAAATCCGAATATTCAAAATTAGCTGAGTATGTTCTTGGGCGTCCTTGTTAAGTCTGAGACAGGCATCCAAGGATCCAATTTTTGTTATATGTGAGTTTAGAGGAGCGCAATTTATGGTGGGGGAAAATAGTCGAGCGCCGACGCTACATCAAGTGGCAGTTACTAGTTAGCTTGATTTTGATTAGAGACCATCTGGTTCTGGTTCACTAGGCTTTCGGCTCGCTTCGCCTCTTTGTATTATTTCATGGAAAAATATCAAGTCTGCCATCTTTAAGTGTGACTACTGGGGTGCTAAGACACTGGATCTAAGTCTACTTAGTGGAAGTGGGGCATTTTCTACTTCAAATTGATGTCGTGATTTTGTCCAAAAAGAAGAAAAAGAGAAGCCGGGTCCAAAGTGTTCGGAACGTCTTAACTTCGATTATCCTGTACCCGTGAGATCTCTCATTCGATGCTTGGAGCGTATAATGGCATGTCCTTCTAGGACACACCTGGAGCTTGCAGCCCATCATCCTGGTTTCATTAAGCGAATCACCAGCACAGCTTTGTAAACAAACAAATTTAGAACCTCAGTAGACACAATTTGGGTGATAACAGAAACCAGCGATTAATAAACCAATTGTTATTATAAATAAAATATATGTTCTACTTGAAGCCTGTGATATCAAAGTCTCACTATCGCAGAGTTTGGTTTCATGAAACTTTAGCACGTGACTTTCAGAGGATGACTTGGAGCAGCGTCAATTGTTCTGTTCAAGCATTCATTTGGAGATAGTACCGTCAGCAAATCATATTGGAAGTAAGCTTTCATTGTCGATAGTGCCGTACTTAAGCGAAATGTTGCGACAATGGTGTTCCTTTTCGATTTTCAACGTTGCATTCCACTGCCGCATTCAGTACACCTTGACTGATTGCGGACCCAATTTTCCAAGGCCGATCTCTATGCCAGAACCCCTAAAACTATAATACTCGGTATTAACAGAAATTGATGTTTCATTTTGTTTGTTTCTGAATCTGTTCCTTGCACATTAGCGACATTGTCTGCCTCCATCTCGTTTACAACAGCATCTGGCACTGATTCACACAAATCGGCTTATCTCGTGTAACAAATCGAAGCTATTTCTTTTTCACATTGGAGAGCCTACTATTTCTTTCTAATGAAATGGAAGGGGGCGCACCCATGCAAATGACGACGGCCTTCGCCGACGCATTCGCCAAAGCCATGGAAGCAATGGGCAAATTCCAGCCTCAAACGCAGACACCTGCTCAGTTCCACTCTGCAACTCACTCTGCACCTCCCAAAAATAGAGAAGCAGTTTCTTCTTCTGACAGGGAGTCAGTCAAAACACAAGTGTCAACACGACAATACATCAAGGACACTACCATCCATCCTCCAGCAACTACACTGCAGCCGGGCAACAATATGTCTGATAAACAAAATCGAAGCTTGGCAGATATACCACGAAGCATACATGAAAAGTCTGAGGGGCAGCGTAGTCGTGGTGGAAAAGTAGCAGGCATAAAGAGAGAGCAAAGGAGCAGCATCGCCAAGACCGTACCAGTCGTTATCCTCCCCTCCAGGCTCCCTTGGACTAACTCTATCACCGATGAATCCAAGTCTCCACGACGAAAAGGAGTTATAAGTTCGAAGTCTCACTCCTCAGTGCCTTATTTCTCTGCCTCAGTTAGGAAGCCAAGTTTGAGTGCAAACTCAGAGAAGCGCCGTCATACAGATATTGCCAATCCGGACTCAAGTGATGAGTGGAGACCACATAATTCTCAACAACCGAGAAGAAGGAAACGGAAGGCTCTCATTGAAAGGACCCGTTCCATTCATGCCATAGTGAATAGATCGGGACGTAGAGATCATCTCTCATCAAGGTTAGATGTGGCTGAGGAGATTGACAGTTCCGACAACACATCTGTGGTACACAGGAGACAAGACAAATCTCACCCCAAGCTAAACAAACACTATATTCTCAAGTACACGGCGGATACGATTCCAGCTGTACTGTACGAAGCGGAAGATTTGTATCAGAAAAAGGTGGCAGAGAGGTACAAAGTTACTAGAACTAATCCCGCAGAGAGGGAGGATGATGATACTGGTATCGATGAAGACATTGGTTCTGGCACAATCACAACTGAAGAGCTGAACGGCGCTTTTTGTGGAGCTACGGATGCCGAAATCGAGACGGCTGCGGAAGAGTGTGTCAGATTGATCACTGAAGCTGCAGAGGAGGAGAAGGCTTCAAAAGAGGGGTTATGGAAGGATGTAACAGAATGGGCGAAAGCAGATGGCATGCTTGCCGGCTCCATGGTTCTGGATATGCTGCTGACTGTGATCCAGGCAGAGAAGAAAAGAGCCCGTATGGCTTCTTTCTTCCTCGTGAATGGGCAGAAAAGGAACATATCCGAGAGTACCTCAGCCGGAGATTTTGCTCCATCCCAGTGGAGTACATCAGAGACAGATCAAAAACTCTTAAGGCACTCCTTGCCAACAGAATTATTCCACCGTCTAATCCCGCTGTGCCTGATCGCACCATAAACAGCTCAATCCACCTGAAAGATGCAGTTGGTGAATCGCTCCTAGTCAAAGTAAATTCTGGTATGGAAGAGCCCTTCGGAAACACGCCAGCTCAACAAATCCCTATGCACAAACATATTCAGGAGGCCATGAACCGGCTCGAGAATGCCGGGGTCCACCCCCCAGAGCCATCAATTCTAGATCTTAGGTATCCCCAAGACGAGTTTCGCAGAACGAAAGAATTCTGGACCAGCAAGAATAAACCTTGTGGTGTATTCCACTTCGCATGCTGGCGACAGCCCGCATACCCAGACGAGCCAAAGCCCTGGGAACACAGCCTCTCCAGCGATATCCTCGGTCTGCATCCCGGGAAATTTGGCGCCAGGGTGAAATTTCTCGTCGACATGGCCCCCATACATCAGGCCATGAGTCTATGGTTCGAGGCAATCGACCGACAGCGGTACAAAACCTATCGCGAACAAGTCGATCGCATGACCAGAGCAGATACTGGACTCGAGGCAGTAAAGTTCACCAATAACCATACTTTTCTCGGCATGGCGAGCTTGCGAAATGTGCAAGTACGGAATCACAGAGATAGAGGTGACATTAGAGATGGATGGGTAGGCATGACATGTACAGGAGCATTCACTGGCGGCGAACTCTGTCTGCCAGATCTGGATCTGAAGCTGAGGTTTCTGCCTGGCGATGTGATTTTCTTCCGCGGGTGTGCATTGCAGCATTTCATTAATACTACCGTCGGTGAGAGGAGCAGTTTGGTATTCTTCTCACATAGTGGACCAAACTCAAAGGAGGGTGGGAGCAAGCATGTCACATATGACTACCCGTCTTTCCCGTCTCCAAAAGAGCCGTCAGGCCCCAGATCTTCCGGCAATATAAATGCAGTTGCTCCTCCTATGCTCAGTAGAAGACATACGCAGAGAATCAAGAAACGGGTGTTCTCACATTTGCCGAAATATCCTACTACGAAAGCAGACTTGACAGAGCAGAAGCTTAAGCGAGCCAGGCAAAGGAAGAAAAGATTCGAGGGATATGCCAAAGAGGAGTTTGAGCGAGGCAGTATGACATTGGAAGAATATAAAAAAGTCTCTAGGGTTGGATCACATGAGTTCTATGAGCTGAACCTGATCGAATTGGCGAGACATGCCAAGGGAGAATATCCTTTTGCTCCAATAGAAGCGAGGAGGAAGGCACATCGCATGGCTAATAAATAGAATTTCAGAAGCTGTGTATTGAACACAGGTAACCAAGATTTGGAAATGACATAAGTACGAGTACGTTTTGGCTACTGTACTAAATGAACCTTGTGGGAAGATTGAAAGACTCATGGGGGAGATGGCGGACTAAGTCTACAGCATGCGCTGTAGGCCTTTAATTTGCAAGCACTAGAGCTAAAAAGGCTTGATTGATAATAAACCTATTGGATAATCGTACCTGACAAAGTGCTCTTGCTGTTTGCGTCTCGCCTGCTCAGTATCTTAGCTCCAAAGCTTTGTTCTGACTTGACGGAATTGGATACCATACAAAGCATATTGCCCTGACGAGAATGGCATCAATTATTAATCGTATAGAGTGATCAATCGCGAAAACAGAGTCTGGATTTCCACTTCTCCGCCAATACAGCGAAAAACGAGCCGAGGAGTTGATATACCCCACCCATAGAAAGCAACATCCACGAGAATATGAATGGATAACACGGATGCTATGGAAAGCATCAAGACAGCAATGTCTGAGCTGGAGATCGTCAACCTTCTTTCAAAGTACGAAGGTCCCAAACTTACCTTCGGTCTCGAAATGGAGCTCGACTTTGCGATCGACAGAAAATCGTACTTCGACTGGTTGGACACCAACCCATCAATCAATCCAATGCCCGCTATAGTAGATAGCTACTACAATCAGGAAACCAGGAAAACCGATCACTGGGTCGCCGCAAGGAACCTGTACAACACTCGCGTGGCGACGGGTTTACAACAGCCCTCACCAACATTCAGCGAGACGAGCCGGAATTCGCATTCGACCAGTTCTTACAAATCGGATAATCTCCGCCATAACTTACTACATTATTTTGTTGCATTCCTTAATCGTGAATTACCAAGTTCAAAGCCAGGGAAGCTGTTGATTGGTGACGTGCCTTGGGGCGGAAAGCCGAAGACTGCTGCGGCGAACACCTGGACTTTGGTCGCTGATGATAGTCTCATACCGAGTCGGGAGACATATGGGACGACTTTTGATCCACAACAGTCATACAAAACTATGAGAAAATACTACAGATGCGTAGGTGCAGAGCTGGTGTCCAAAGTGTATGATTATGACAAACTTGATTCGGAAGTTCTTCCAGCATTGAGAGAATTGCACGACGAGCTTCAACCGGACTATGAACACGGGGTGTGGTTCACGGAAGAGGAGCACTTGCATGTACATTTCGCGCTGAAAGACGAGGAAGTCAGCCTGGAGCTGGCTCAGACGTTGTGCGTACTCTACGGTTTGTTCGAGAACCAGATCGAGACATTCGTGCAGAGCCATATGCGAGAGTCATCGTGGTGCGTGCGGCTAAGAGAGGGAATGAGCAAGAGGAGGTTTTGGATTGCAGAAGTACCCAGAACGGGGAACATAGATCTTGGCTTGGCAGCAGAAGGGAGGTACACACCCAGAGGATTCGCCGACGCAATCTATGCGACCAAGTCCTTGGAAGACCTCAGGTCGCAGATCAGCGGCTACTCTGCAGGGGAAGAGATAAATGGAAACATTATCAAACGTTTCATGAACACGGGAGTCCGCAACTGGGTTGCTTTGAACGTCTCGATGTCCAGACTCAACAAACCGACGACTTTTGAGTTTCGTCAACACCATGGCGTAACACAGCCGGTAATTATAAAGTACTGGGTAGAGTTCTGTGGGCATATGGTGACATTCGCACATCTGCTCGTGAAGTCCGGGATCAAACTTCAAGACCCGAAAGAAAAGGGTCCAGATGGCAAAGAGATGAAATTGCCACTACTTGAAGAATATGTCAAGAAAGATATTCTGGATGTTATCGCAATGTCGGACAGGGCAAAAGAGCACTTCCAGTATCAGGCTGACCGTTACCACGATGCTGCAAATACAGCCAAGCGATCTATGGAGGAGTACATGATCAAGAAGAGAATAGAGAGGAGCAAGCTAGGAGACGATGTTGACATATTCATGGATGATATGATCATGTCTAAGCCGGTACGTGCAGAACCTTCTAACTGTGTGATTTCCTCGCACAAAGTACCGAACGATATAATATCTCTCAGAATTGACAGACCTTCACATGTTGCAAGCAAAGGCGCTAAATCAAATACTAGGAGTACACCAAAATGGCAAAAGCCACCCTAGACCACCCACCTTTGAGGCGTGAAGTACAGATGTCTGATAAAGAAAAATGGGGCGTAGAAAGCGTTGGAGGTACGATCAAAGACATGATATACGGTAAGAAACTGTAGAAGCCGAAGACTGCTGCTGAGATTGAAAAATATGCGAAAGACGAGGACGAAAGTGGAGTGCTTCTGGTATTCCTCGCCTTGGAGAAACACATCAAAGCTGAGAATAGGCGGCGCAGGTCAAATCGGCTTCACGCCAATCAGCTCCCCTGCAAACAGATGTAATGCTCCATGGTGGTATGGAACAATTTCTTCCCTAGCAAATTCATATGTGTGTGTGCATACATATGTTATAGCAATAGAAAGTCAACAAAGCTAACGAAGAATAACAATTCCTTGAAGGCTCACATCATGGTGCATCTCAAAGCGACGAGGGAATGAGGCTGCGGCAAAACCCTAGCAACCTGTCCATTAAAGCCAGAAGACTCAGCGGCTGCGCCTTCACTTCTTGGAATGGTGAAAATGTCTAAAACGGTTAAAATGAGACTCAAGCCCTCACACTAGGGAGGTGATGAGGAATCAAAGTATCATTCTTCTGCTCAACTGAGCTATTTATCTGACCCAAGCATAGCATCGGGCACGTAAGTAATAGCAGCCTCTCCAACGCCATCCCTCATGCCCTCCCAAGTCAAAGTCCCAGCCCAGTCTCCAGAATCTAGAAACGCCGTCAAATCACAATCTCAAATATCCTCCGCTAGACATTACCGATTAAGAAGCAAGTCTAGGCTTTTCGTCCATCCAATCTTCGTCCCACACTTGGTTCAGGCTTCTTCGCCTCCTTGATCTCAGGCTTCTCCTCTTTCTCGCGCTTGGCACCACCCTTCAAGGTGTGACCCTGTCCAGAAAAGTGAGGTTGTTGTGCATCGGCATTCTCCTTATCCTTGTCGGCTTGTGTCTTTACCGGCTTGATCTCATACCCGAAGAACAATTTATTGGGTGCTAGCCTAAGAGGTTGCGGTCCGTTCGTTCTGCGGACAGGAGCTACTGCTGCGGGGGGAGGGTTCGTACTCGTTCCTGCAACGGGAGTAGAGGCTTTCGGAGTAGGATTCTTGCTGCTCTTCTTTGCAGAGAGTTTCTGCCCACCAAGGAGGAAGTTCGAGGATACGGCTTTGGCGCCTGCGAGAGCGGAGTTGGATGATGGGGCGATAGCGTCGTAGTTGATGGCTTGTGCCATGGTCCCTTGACTATGTAGCGTTCCTCCTGCGGGCAGACCGACTCCAGATCTGGGTGTGGATGTGCCACATGTTCGGGTGGGCTCGACGTAGCCTATCGGAGGGGCAAAGTCGACTTCTACATCTGTCTCCATTACACAGACTCCCATCTTAGTACTCTCTGGCTTGACCTCCAAGACTGCTACATCGTAAATAGTATCATTGTATTTGAAGGAGAAGATGTCGCCTTTTGTGACGGTAGAGAAGTTTCGGAAAGCTTTCTCGAGCACGGCTTTCGGGTCGGAGATCTCGAGGAAGTTGACATCCTGCGGTTGGAGTTTGACGAGAGAGGCGAGGGCGAGATCAGTAGAGCGGATTTGGATCAGGTCCCCAGTATCAAGAAGGAGGACTTGCATCATCTGTTCATGTTAGGCATTACCCCTCATCGCGGGGTGACAGAACCTACCCAGTTTGGCAGATACACTTTCCCTTCCTCCGCAATGAATTCTAATACACCGCAATGAGTCGTTCTATCCGTCTGGCCGTTTGTGAGCTCGAAGAGCATGGGGTAGGTGATGTGTAGTCTGGTGAGCTTCTCGAGCGCAGAGGGCGGCATAATAATCTTCCCGCCATAGTTCAGATCCTCTCTTTCGGGCCCAGGAAGCATGACTGTTGGGTAGCAGCGGTAGTATTCATCGAAACGCTTGGGAGGACCACGCATGCCGCCTCTTTGCAGCATCTGATACATCGCCATCGGATCGTCTTGCTCGTAATAGTTGCCGAACGACTGGATGGATGTTAGCATTTCCTTACGTTTCTAGTTTGTAAAGTTTTACCATCTTGGAAGTATTTAAGCGGAAGTTGTGGAAAGGTGGAAGAAAGTGAAGAGAATATGTCGAGATGTTGGAGGAAATAGAGGTAGTGGTTCAAAAGAAGCTCGAAGCTCAAGCTGACAAAATGACGTCTCGGGTGTGCCTGGCACACGATCTAGCTAGCTTCGCAGTAGACTCGATTCACTCCACTTCAACAACAAAATACAAACTCCACTTCACAACTCAACCACATATCCAAACAGCCACCAATCTAACCCATGGTTTCCTGAGATACAACCAAAATGTCCTCCCGCTACGCAGCAGCCCGCCCCAAACGCGCCGGCGAGCAATTCGCGCGAACTCACCACGGCGAGACTGAAGACGGCGGTGGCCCCTCTACAAGCAAGAAACCTAAATTCGATATCCGCAACCCCTCAGCTCTTGCGCCCGACGCGCCTGAAGAAGATGCCGTACTCGAAGCCGACGTTATCGGGTCTGGGGCGGGCATGAAGCGTGGGGCTGTCAATATCGACGGTTATGACAGCGACTCCGAGAATGAGGGGTTCGATGCTCGCGCTGAAGAGAGGGCGAGGAGTAAGAAGGGGAAGAAAGGGGAAGTAAATCTCGCAGAGGCGTTTGAGTATGGGAAGGATGGGAGTGGAGGTAATGGGCCTGCCGAGGAAGATGAAGATGAGGATATGTTTGGAGACCTGGAAGAGGATGATGAGAAGGAAGAGGGCGCAGTGAGCTCAAAAGCCAAAGAGAAGGCAGTCAAGTTTCTTGATGTCGATGAGATAGAGGGCCAGGTGGAGAGCAGTCGCAGCGGTGGTCACGTCTCAGGGAATTTCGCACTCGATCCCAAAGGCAAACTCTCCACCCACGCAATGGACGACCAGCTTTCCTCAGACGACGAAGAAGACGCTGCGCTCGCTGCACAGGAAGAAGACATTGACGAGGAAGTCGGCGCTGGTGGTTTGAAGCGTAATGCTCCCAAAGTCGATGCATTCAACATGAAAGCCGAGCAGGAAGAAGGCCGATTTGATGCTGCAGGAAACTTTGTACGGAAAGCAAACGATCCAGATGCAAAGCATGATATGTGGTTAGAAGGCGTCAGCAAGAAGGAGATGAAGAAAGCTGCTGAAGCACATGAGAAGCGCGAGGCGGAACTACGGCAGAAGCGACTAGAGGACGATGCAATGCTGCTCCCTGACATCCTCCGTGTTCTCATCCTACATCTCGAGCGTGGAGAAACAGTCCTAGAAGCTCTCGCTCGTCTCGGCAAAGGTCAGACAAAAACAAAGAAGATCCCGAAATGGAAATTAAAGAAGAAGGGTCAGGATCCAATGGAAGTAGATGCTAAGAAAGAGGATGAGGATCCGGAGCAGGTTAAAATTAGAGATGCTGTCAACAAGATTACTGGTGCGGCGGATCACCTGCTCACAAGAGGACAGACGGAGATTTATGAGCAGGAGAGGGAGATGCTGATTCGGCAGTACAGGCGTGAATCGGGAGAAGATTGGGTAGAACCGCCTAAAGAGGAGATTGCTGAAGAGATGCCGGCCAAGATGTGGGAATATAGGTGGATTGATGGACGAGATGGAGCGGCGAAGCAAGGTCCTTATGATGGTCCTACGATGGTTGCGTGGCAGGATGCAGGATATTTCGGTGAAGGGGTTGAATTTAGGAGACTTGGTGATGATGGACCTTGGGATAGAGTTGTGGATTTTGTATGAATAATGAGACGCCTGAGATTCATGAGCATGAATGATACCCAAAAAGAAATGGAAAGTAAAAGTTCATAATGATGCTACCTATCCTTATTTCACAATATTAGTGTTAGTGTTTGCACTCTTCCAAATCGTGGCATTACACTCAGGTGCTAACGAACTTTTTCTACTTGTACAGTACACTTCGATCTACCATATCATATCATCTCATTTTCCCAGGGCCAAATCCCCGCTCTACCTGCGTAAGTCAGGCCCCCAGGAATGGATCAATCGTACACCCAACGCCTTCCGACCAAGAAAGTCAAATCAAGAAATCTCCATAGCATCACCATGTCCATTCGTGAAGCTCAAATTCACAGCCCCAGCATCACCAATCAACCGCTTCTCAAACTCAGCCACGAACTTGACGCTTCTTCCAGAATCATAAAACAGCTGGAAACTACGCTGCACATCCTCAATCCCGACTTGCTTTGCCCGTCTCTTTGCTGAGATCAGCTGGCTGGTGGTAATCAGATTGCTGGCATAGCGCAGACCGGTCTCTTGTCCAATCTTGGTCAGGAGAGCGAGGGCATCTGGTGTAATGTCGACTTCCTCCTCTTGGGCGCGGATAGATAAGATCTGCTGGATTTCCTCCTTTGCATAGGCGTGTGTGCTGACAATCACTACGCGGTCGAGGAAATCGAGGGGCAGGCCGTGGGGACTGCGGTAGTTTGTGCCGCGGATGCGAGAGTTGCCTCTGTTGCTGGCCATTATGACGATAGGTGCTAATTCGTCTTCGAGAGCTCGGTTGATGAACGAGAAACATTCAATATCGAGCATGTGGACTTCGTCAATGAAGAGCACGCCTGGCACAATTTCTGCCTTGCCTTCTTCCTTCCACTCTGCTACTTTTGTGTTGATCTGGTCCCGAACTTCGCTTCTAATCTCGCCAGTGTCTCCGGAAAACAGTGCTAGGAACCCTTGCGTTCTCGAGTTTATCACGTCAATCTCGTGGAGGCTAACTGTATGCACGACTTCCTTGCGTTTCTGAAGGTCTCCGTCTGGGCACTGGAGGAACTTGGTGTCTACGCCCATAGCATCGTAGTCGCGTGATTTGGCGAATGATCTCCCCAGCTTGCTGATCTTGCCGGAGGACTTGTCAATAGAAATTATGTCTCCTGCCATCACTCGCTCCTTGGTCATGGCATCAATCATCTTGCTGCCCATGTCGTATACCGATTCCATGTCGGTGGTCTTGATTGTGAGCTTGCCCTGTTTCGTGCCTCCTGTTACACTCCGGTCGGTCTGGATCTCGACGACCTCTCCCTCAATCATCTCGCTCTCTTCCTTTATCCGGACGCCGATCGACTTGCGGAATGCTTGCTCCAAAGCTTCGGTCTTGGACATCTCGAGGGAAAATATCTCGGACGAGGCTAACATCGTGAAGGGAACATCGGAACCCAGGGATTGTGCCATACCCATCGCAATAGCTGTCTTTCCCGTACTTTTGCCCTGTCAGCATTTCTATCGTAACCAACTGTTCAATCTTCATACCTAGGAGGCCCGGCAATCAACACAGCCCGTCCAGCAATCTTGCCCTCCTTGACCATCTGCAGAATGACCGCTGCAGCTTTACGCGCTCTTTCCTGTCCCACCAACCCTTGCGATGATGTCCGTGGCTCGAGAGTATCTGGATCTACTCCTAGACCACGAATATGGGAATGCGCCGCGATGAGGTTGAGCCCGCGAAGCTCTTTGCTCTCTGACACGGTTTGAATTACCTGCGTATCTGTTAGAATTATCTGGTAAGCTCCATGGTTAAATAGTGCTTACGGCAGCCATTGTGAGAGAGTTGTATGTTTTCTGAAGCGGTGGATAACAGGACGTGCAAGAAGCTCGTTGCGGTGCCTGTCTTCAAAAGCCAGCCTGGTAGGATTTAATTCTGGCGTGTATGTATGCACCGCCGGGGTGTGTTTACCCATATTCACTGCGCGCTTATCCCAACTTAGCTTCACGCGTCAATGGCGGGGCGGCGGCAATCAACCCAGACTAAACTTTTAGCAATGCCCAAGCTGCAGCAAATCGGAAACGCCTTCTCCTTGCATCCATGCACTTCACTCGCCAGCGCGTACGTGCAGATATAAATTCACGGCACTGAACTTTTCAGACATTTCAGGCTTCTCTTCCTTTTCGAATTTCTCCCACAAGTCAAAGCACGTCTGCGCATTTCCCAACATAGCCCGTCACTTCTTCAACACTATTCTGTAACCACTTGTCGGGGTCAAGTTGTCTGCAACAGGGTTTCTGGTGATTTCTCAAACTCAAACGCCTGCGATCAACCCCCGCTTCAGCACACGACCGTCGAATGTCTTGACCCGCTCCGCAGAACTCGTGTTGTTGACGTAGCTCTCGATAATGCGCATATTACGTCCGCGGACATCTTGTGCTGTAATCGAAGGAAGCACATGTAGCTGGGCATAGAGACGTACGTATAGCTCTTGCCATTACTTCACGCAACTTTGTGTATAGCGCTACTATTGCTCCTGCCATTTTGCGTCTTGCACCAGATTTCTGAGACATTTAGAAACGCACCTTCCTTCAATATATAGTACAAGATACCTCCTCCCCCTCGATTTGATTCCCTTCTGTTCCATCCTTCTCTATTTGTTGCACCTCATCAGCTGCCTCCATCTCTTCTTCTCAACAACGAACCATCGTTCTTATTATCTGCCTTCTAACACCCATCTTCCAGAAGCCGAATGCTTGAGTAGACGACAGTGTCCAAGGACAAGAAAGAAGGAGTTCAAGCCGTTGCAGGTATCGAACTGCGTTCACCATGTCGAATGATCGCCGACATTTAGACAACTTGAGTGCCTACAATTTTAATTCGACGCGCGCTACTCCAAAAGAAAGTCGACCAAGAGCTAGGCAAAACGACCGTTCTAGGTCACCACAACGAGATCGGTTTCCATCGGGCAGATATGATAGAGTTGAAGGTGAGCGGCACGAATTGGACAGAAGTGGCTATGACTCCTACAAGCCTGGTCAATCGCCATCAAGAGATATGATTCCAGCGCCGGTGAAGCCGTCGAGCATGACCTTGCCCTTTTCACCACAAATCCCTGCCCCAGTCAATGATTCGCGGCGTGAGTATTCACTTAGTAGCCCGATTCACGCCTATAATATCCTTTAATTCATCCGTGGCTATAACTTGTTTCCTATTTAGCGTAATTTTAAAGCTATCATTCACAATATAAACTAACTACTAGTAGGAGGAAGTGGTGTTCGGTCACCTTCTGACTCAAGTCCCTATCGACAATCCGACCGGCCAGCAGTAGCGAGAACAAACTCTGCTTCACTAGAGCAGCCTCTGAGAGCTGCAGAGGCGGGAATCAGTATTCTTGGGCGAGCAGCAAAAGCTGAAGAGGAGAGGAAGCAGCGTGAAGAACAAGCAAAATTATACAAAGCTAAAGCAGCCATGCAGAAAGCAGCTGTCTCTGAACAAGGGAGTTCTACTATAGAAGTAGCTGCACCAGCTATGGCTTCAGTCGATAGAGCTGGAGCTACTGATTTAGCCAGGCACGACGAAGCCAAGCGTGCGGAAAGTGCGCTTGTGCAACATACCGCATTATCAACGAAAAATGACGTCTTGCTGGGATCTCAGCCGTTCGTTGACTCCATAGGGGATATTCTCGTTGAGGTGAGCGAGCTCTGCTCGGCGAAATCGCTGGTCGAAAAGTCCAAGGCCAGGCTCAATAAGGCAGTGGCGGAGTTCGACAAGTCTAAAGAAAACCATGAGAGATGGCCTTCCATAAAAGACCCTCAAGTCCAAGCCAAGAAAACTGCCGACAGAGAGCATAAAAAAGCTGTGAAGGAGTCGGAACAGAAAGAAGCTTCGCTTCGTCGAGCAGCTGAGCAGGTTGCGGAGAAGGTACTCCCCAGCATTCTCGGAAGCAGCACTCAAGAGCTTCAGCAAACCAGGGATCGCCTCAATACTGTCGAAGGGAAATGCGAAAGCAGTCATCGAATATTGGATGACCGACTTCAAGAGCAAAAGGCATACTTCGACGCCCAACACCTAAAATCCAACGACCTGAACGAAAAGATCCAGAAGGAACTCAAAGAAGAGATTCGAGTCCTCCGAGCTGAGTTTACTAGAGAGCGGTCTAGAACCGAAAAGCTCTTCTCGATGCAAAGTGAATTCGCTACAACTATTCAAAACCTATCTGAGGACTTAAAACTAGCTAAGGAAACTATTGCTAGATTTTCACAAGCTGTCCCTCCCGATCTCACAGAACAGCTGCGTAAGATCAGTGGCCTAGATCAATTACGATCTGAAGTCAAAGCATACGATGGCCGTTCATCAAGGACAGAGGCAGGAATGACAAACCTGACTGCTACAGTCAACAACCTGACACACTCCGTCGGCGCCCTTGACAGAACCTCCAAAGCCCGAGACAACGTAGCTCAAACTCTAAGCGAAGAGCAAAATGATCTTCGTAGGACTATTACACAAATCGACGATAGGGTCAAGGTAGTGGAAGATAATGCAGCTTTAAAAAAGGTAGAGAATAGAATCTCTAGCCTAGAAAGAACTGCATATCAATCAGCTGCTGCGAATAAGGACCACGATGCGGTCAAGCAGCAACTCGTGGCTCTTGAGGCGACGCTTCGTCCCGTTGTTTCCCGATCGTCAAATATCGAAGAAATTGATGGCCTTAAGATTAAATTGAACGGGCTCGAATCTAGTGTGACCAGTGCTACGGATCGCATAGCCAAGGTCGAGGAGCAGACGAAGGCATGGGAAGGTGTTCAGAAGACCAGCTCTACCCAGAAGAACCGCAATTCTCCTGATCTTACTGCATTGGAAATTCGTTTGGCAGCTATTGAACAGAAGCCACAGTCGGGAACTCCAGATCCATCAATCGGAGATCGCATTTTGGCACTAGAACGCGAGCGGAGACTTCAAGCTCCGTTGGCGCAGTCATCAGTCACTGTCGCAGATTTTAGTCACCTTTCCAATCAAGTCGACCAGCTCAAGAACGATATGGCGGAAGACATTGCTGCACTAGTCGATTCTACCGGCAGTACCGTTGAGACACTTGTCAATCATCACTTGCAGCCTATCATGGAGCGTGTATCTACTGTTGAGTCTTCTCTGCAAAGTTTAGAAGATTCTAACGGCTCGGTACAAGCATCTTTTAAGATATTGGAAGAATCTAATGCGTCGATTCAGTCTTCTGTCAAAACATTGAATGACTCGTACGCCCCGATGCAGTCATATGTCCAAACCTTACAAAAGTCTGTCGATGAACAATTCCAGAGACAGAATAAAGCTATCTCGGATGCGGTCGGTGCCGCCGCAGGACGTGCCATAGAGGTGATTCGGTCACAAAACTTGTACGCTCCAGCAAGCCTGGACGCGAAATTCGCGACTACCATCCAGGAAATTAGCACTCATCTCGATAAGTATATCGAGGCACAGTCTCAGATCACCGACAGTTTGCAGTTTCGAATGGATAATATGAACACCGGCGAACTGCATCGTGCTATGGTCGATAGTATCGGCCAGACATTCCCAAACCTGCGAAATCATGACATGACATTGCAGAGCCTCAATTCACAGATGTCGACTATAGGTATCAAACTCAGGGCAATCCAAACGGAGTTTTCTGAACTCAAAGAATCCAGACAAGCTCCTGCACCGGCACCCGCGCCCGCCCCAGCTGTTTCTCCTGCACCAGCCAGCAGGCAAGATGATGGGATGCTAAAGGCACTTCGCACTGACGTTGATACCCACACTTTGGATCTGCATAGACTAAAGAAGCTGCTCGAGAAGGACGTTGCGACGATGTCCGCAACAACGTCTGCAAGTCTGGCTGGTGCGCACCAGGCAATCAGTGACCTGACCGAGGAACTCGCAAGACGATGCTTCGAGCTTCAAACCTCTGACGAAGATCTCGACGGAAAGATCCATAGTCTCAATGACAAGATCGAAGGAATCGACAAGAAAGTCGATGGTGTGATCCATAAACAGCAACAGCCATCGAGAGCCCCATCAGCGATACCCCGAACAACATTCGCAGGTTCTCGCCAGGCATCGGCACAAACAAATCGCCAGGCCTCTGTATCAAGCGACGCAAGTAGCGTTCTCCGCAAACGCAAGGCCCAGGACCTAAATGGCAACGGCGGTCCGGCAGTCAGTCCCCGTAAACCAACGAATGGATTTAGACACAGCAGTGAAAGTGCCCGTGGTAGTCCAAACGCGAAGCGTCCTCGCCGGAATAAGCTTGACGATGACCCAGAAATGGATCCTGACTACGAGGAAGGTGATCCTCAGCCAGGCATTTCGGCCGATGAAGACGAGGACGAGTGAGTACCTGGATGACTGGACCCTAAACCTCCCACTACCCTGGCTCTCTCCCCCTCATATTGTCTTCGCGCAGTAGACGTGTTTTCAAGAGCATTACTGATCTTGAGAACGAAGGGTGCTCCCATCTGCCCCGAGACGCAGAAAGGGCAAATTTTTCCCTCCCGTCATTGAGATACCGGATTCGGATTAAGCATCTCCATGGGTTGGGATTGTCGGCGACGATTAACGAATGGGTGGCACCCGTCCTACATACTGTACATTATACGTTGGCGTTGCTTTTCTTTCTTTCCTTCGCTCAAGCTGGCTTTCCTTCAAAATCTTTTAGCTTCTTTGCTACGCGACTGAGCTGGAGCTGCTGGCTATTTCGTTACGTTGCATTGGCATGCGTTAGCATTTACATCCATATCCATGGGCCGCGGGGCGTGGCGCGGAAGGAGTCGATGGGCCTGATATACCCTTTCGTTTTTGTTTTTGCTTTTGCTTTGTGCATGGTTGTTTGGAGGACTGCGCGTTAGAGGAAGCGATGTGCTTTTGAGTCCTGCCGCCTTGCCGCCCTTGCGGGAGGAGAAATGTGGCTACCTCCACAAGTAGATATCTAGCCGGATGGATGGAATGGGGGTGAGGGAAGCTAGTTAACCGTTAATCCCGGAACGGCAATGTCTTTCAAGATTTCGCGTTTCACTCATCAAACCCATGAAAGGAGGGAGGCGTGGGATGTATACCATAATGTGCTGTCCGTAGATAATACCACGAAACAACGACATTTACAATCACAATAGACACATTCGCATACAAATGAAGAAGTCAATGGCGTGAAGGTGAGGATAAGGAAAGGAGGAGAAGCCTCCTTATATACACTCCGGTGAAGTGGAGGCAAGGCAAGGCAAGGTAAGGCGAGATGACCGTCTGGCTGTGTTTCAATGCAGTGCGACATCGACGAGGCTATGATCAGCACTTTGCTTGATGCAAGGCTAATGGGGCGGTCCGAGACGCGCCCTAAACTTATCTACTCGTAGAGTACTAGTAGATAATGCAATTGTCGCCTACCTACTCGAGCTACTGTGGGATAAATGACTGTGGGAGTGAGCAAGTGAGACAGCGGGACAGACATCTGATCAACTTGCTTCGTGTGATCATCCCATCAAATCTCATCAATGGCCTCAAATCACTCACTTGTACAACAATCCATCCATCAATCAATCAATCCAAAACTTTGAAGGTTGCTGGGGTTGGTATTCCTAAGGAGAGACAAACTGCTCACTGTAATCAGAAATGGCTCATTTACTCCGTACTCCTTTCAGAAAGAAGCAATACTCCGTACATGGACGGAAGTGGTAGGACAATCATGGAAGGGAACCTGAGACATGTCGCAAATACAAATATAATCGACACACGGGGGAAAGATATCTCACATTCCTCCTCATCCCACAAGCACACACATTTCATGCTGGTAATTAATATGTATTCCTTCTTCTTCTTCTCCACCAGCTTGCTGCTGTTGCTATTAATACACTATCCTAATCTATGCTTGTTCCACAGCCCTATTTGTTGAACGCCAGCCGCTGATTGTCATGGTATCATCACGGGAAACGGAAGAGAAAAACGCCATTTTTGGTTCAGACGTGCCGAAGATGGCGAATGGCCGCCGAACCGCTGCACCCATCCAGGACCAAGCATCCAAATACCTAACGCACGCCCATCCACGTGAGAAATTTTAAAAAGCAGCACCACCAACACCTTCACCCGCCAATTGCCGAACATGTCTCTCGCTCAACTCCGTCCTAAGGCTCATGGCCGCAGACTCTCGGCTGAGTCTATCCCATTGCTTGAGTGACTGTCTGAGGGTTTCCTCTTTAGAGTAAAGTTTTATCCGTAGTATCTCCTCTTCCTCTTCCAGCTTCTTCATATGCGATGTGATTTCAGGTGTCATTCCCGTGGCTGTTGGATCGATGCGACCGCCTGGAATGATTTGAGGCATTCCGTGCAAGGCAGGGTGAGAGCGTGGACCATTGTTGGCAGCTGAGATAGAAGAATTGCGACTATACACGCTAGAAGAATGCTGAAGGATGGGTGGTCTAGAGGAGACACCTGCTCTTGGTCCTGTTGGAATGGCTGCAGGGCCTGTAGGAATAGCGGGTGCTGATGGTGTAGTTGCAGCTACTGGAGATGGTGTCTGTATTGGTCGGGGCTGTGCAACTGGAGCCGTAATTCTTGGTGCAACATCTGGAGTGTTACGATGCGGTGGTGCTGCTCCCCAGTTGGAGGTATCTGGTCTAGTGCTGCGGTCGCTGCCAAATGAACCTCTTCCGCCTCTGTAAGCACCCCGACCAACTGGAGGAACATAGCCTCGAGGTCCAGCAGGTGGCACAATGGGAGTGGACTGATTTGTGTGGTTACCAATGGATGATTGAGTTGGTGCGGTGAAGTTCCGATTTCCACTCGGGCCTGTAGGTGGTCGAAATGCTGCGGGTCCTCGCGGTGGAGATCTTGGTACAGAAGGCCGAGCTGGTGAGCGTTCTCGAGGAGTTGACCTAGCAGAATCTCTTTCTCGGTACGCAAGCTGTGTTGGAGGAGAACGCTCTCGTGTAAGTGGTGAACGTGGTCTCGAGTCTCTAGATGAGGGCTGTGTAAGGTGAAGGCGTTCTGGATGTATTGGAGGAGAAGATCGACGGGACGTATTTCCTGAAGTTCTACCAGAAGGTGGTGACGGTGACCGACGTCTCCAATTTGCAGAACTTGGTCCAGTTGGTACACGATCATCTCTTCGATCATCTCTTCGATCGTCTCTTCTCTCTGGACTTCTAGAGCGCGGCCGGAATCCACCACGAGGACCAGCTGGAGGGGATCTTCGAAATGGTGGTGATCTAGCTCGCTGCAATGGACGATCACGCTCAAATGGAGACCTGGATCGTCTCCTACGTTCAGTCAGCTCATGATGATGAAGTATTTGGGAAAAAAAGCTTACCTCTCATCTCTTCTGGGTGGTGTTCGAGCTCTTCGATCATCTCTGCGTGGAGAGAACCTCCGAGGTGGACTTCTTGCACGCATGGGAGATCTCGTTCGAGGAGGTGACCTATTTCGGGGTGGGGTTCTGGCTCTCATGGGAGAACGAGCACGAGGAGGAGAGCGAGGTCTGGCTCGCCAATTGTCTCTTAAAGGTGATCGATCTCGTCGTGGAGGGGTTCTGGATCTGGATCTCCGTCTTGGGGACCGATCTCGGCCAGGGTGATAACTATCAACGGGCGGTGTTCGCGCTCTTTCTCTTCGCGGAGATCTATCTCTGAATAAATCTGGTCGCTGTGGAGATCGTGGTCGTGTACTTGGTCGGTAAGATTCACCCCTGCCCATCTGCGTCACTTCGCTATCTCGTTCATCTCTGTGGAAACAAGTTAGCATCACATGTTCGCCTCGTTAAATGTGACTTGAGACATAGAAAAAAGAGCCTGGCACGTTCACTGGAATCTCGTTCTGGACTGGGAGGTTGCCGGTGAGCACGTCGGTACACAATCTCCAATATTTCCTTCCAGAACACATAAATCATCAGATTTATAACTCCAGGTGACAATTGTCCAGGATCCATCTCAACCGGTACAAGGTAAGGAATCTCAATAGCTCGAGCTCGAGCTACAGGAGGCGGTGGAGGTATCTGATCTTCTGGGACACCTGCTTCTGTCCAGCGCTGCCGCCATTCGCGCAAGTATAAGAACTTTCCTCTCAAAGTCAAATAGGAACAGAAGTAATCCAAGAAGCCATCTGCCCGTTACCATCCAGATCGTCGCAGCCCATTGGAGCAGCTCCTCGTCGAAAGCATGGATCGTGGTAGAAAGTAGCGGAGTCGGGGTAAAAGGGGGAGGGGTTGTCATCAGGACCGTCTTCCGCTTCGTCCACGTCGGTCATCTCATTCTCGTCCTCCATGTTTCGCGTCCGTTTGCGCAGGATATGTCGTTCTTTATAAGAATACTCCGAGATATCGATGCACGGATTGAAGATGTTCGAGCTTCGGGTCTTCTTCCAAGTCCAGGTCGAGGTGCCATGTCCAACCCAAGGGATAATAATACAACTTGCTCAACTGCACCACAAACACAAAAAGGAAAGAGGCAACAAACCTTCTGTCCCTATCTCGCCCTCGGTCCATCTTGCCTAGTTCGCAGAGTTTCTTCTCGTTAACAACTTCGCTTGTACCAGATATATCGATATTTGGGGAAGGGCGAAGGGGTTGTGCTTGCGTTTTGACGTGGGAAGGTCGTTGGGCTTTGTTTGCTTTCGCCCAAACTTTTTGGAAGTCGCGAAATGCGCTAGCGGCCGCGCCTTTCGCGATAACAATTCACGTGGGGGAGGCAGGGAGGGAATAAGGTTGAGATTGAAATGGAGGCATCTTGAAGTCATGCTTCAAATATCTGGTATTACAGTGATCCAACTACAATAACGGCTGCCCAAGCTGCCCTTAAAGTCCCATGATGCCGGTCTCAAGCACCTAGAATCTATATGATCTCTCGCGCTTCTCGCCTCTCTTCTCATCGTCTCGCTTCTGTTTCTTTCGGCTCTCCTGTGCAATCATGTCGCTGAGATCCTCATCATAAGCCCACGCACCCTTTTCCTCTTTCTTGGATGCCTCAAATCTGCGTCGTACTTCGTCTTTGCTGATGCCATCCTCCGAAAGTAGAGAATCTGGATCTAACGCAACATCAACATCTCCTGGCTTCTTCCGCTTCCTGCTATCGTCTTCTTGACCCAGTACTGGTAGATGTGCATTCTGGGCGCCTCGTACATCATAGGCACGATCGCCGCCAAAGAAACCCTCGGCACGAATTTGTCGCTCTGGGATGACCGTGTACGCTGATCTCGGTGCAGAAGACTCCTCTGTATCTGTGCCTCGTTTTGACTTTCGGACATCAAAGTCACCACCAACACTTATTTCCCCAGCATACTCAGATGGAACTGAAGATTCCAATCCACCTGGGGTCTCCAAGCCGCTTGGTGTTTGAAGGCCAGCACCAATATCTTCCTCGTCACCCTCTTCCTCCTCGTCTTCGCTCTCCTCATCCTCTGATTCGTCTTCTGGTGCCTGTAACTCGCCCCATAATGTCCGCTCAACTGGCTCTCCGGCTTGATTGTTGACCTGAGGCTGTAAAACACCAAAAATGTCTCCACCATAGAGTGGGCGGTTAAACTCATCAACAGGAGGCTTTCCATATCCACCTGGATGGAATCCCCAAGCACCACCAGGCGGTGGAGGCGCGTTCAGTCCAGGAATCTTGAGAGAAGGGTAAGAAGGTGGTGGTCCAAATCGTTGTTGATTGATTAACCATGGTGGTGGAGCTCCCGGAGGTATATTCAGAGCCTCTTTTAAATCTTCACTCAGCTCCCCAGGACGTAGATGTCGTAGGTTGGTCTCGTACTCCTTACCCTCGTAGTAAACCTCACCATAGCGCGTTAGTTCCGGTTTTGTTTGGAACCTGAAGAAGGCTTCATACAACTTTTGGTAATCGATATCCAATTTTCCCATCTTTGGCTGAACTCTTTCTCTCTGCTTCTGCTTTAAGCTGGCTTCGTTCTGCTTCTCCAGCACCGCATCCCGCATCTCAGCAATTCCAGTATCCTGGATGAATTTTGGGAGCGCGAAAGGCGGCTTTTCCACACCACGCTTCGAGGAGAGGTATTCGCGCTTTAGCGACCAATGTGTTGGTACTGGTACGATGTTTCGGTAGGATTTGATTTGGACAAGTAATCGAGGGTCCGATGCGGATGTGTCGGTCCATTCCACGAGCTCTGGCTTCTGCACGAGCGCCTTCAATTCTGCGACCGAGAGCTTGTCTCTCTCCTTCCTCTTCTTCTTCGATAGCTTCGCCTCTTTGTCTGCATCTTCGTCCTCGTCGGGTATCTCATCATCATCGTCGTAGTATACCTCGCCCTTATCACCAGCATCTACCTGCTTTCCAGCTTCATCGTCTTCTGTATTTGCGCGGAACTTCTCCATAATATTCTTGTACATCTCGAAATTAGGGTCATCCTCGCTGATATCCAGTATTGACACATCTGGCTGAAGTATATCTTCGTCGTCATCTTCGGGTTTCGCAGGCGCAGACGTAGCCTCAGGAGCTTCTTCTTGGACCTCATCTGGTGTCGTCTCTTGCTTCTTGTCTGGCTCTGGGGTTGCGGAAACCTATGAGTTTATCAGCAATTGATGAGAAAAGAATTGCAATAATTAGACTCACCTGTGCTTTCTTTTGCTCCTTCTTCTTCATCCGCCGCATCTGATTCTTCGTCAAACCTTTTGGGGCCATCTTGGCAGGTGAAGGCGCGCACGCCCGGGAGGTATAGGTGTGAATTCGCGCGTCCAGTGAAAAGTGTATCTTCTTGACAGGCTTCAATTCCACAGAAGATGTCTTGTTGTTGCGTTGTGTCGTGGTTGTTGGCTAGACTTCAGGGTTCATGAGGCTGATGAGGATCTTCAAATCTCGAAGGTCGTGTTAGCGCGCCGCTAAATATCTTAGTTGCCGCGACCGCGACTATCAGCTTTCGATGACCTCGTAACTAGAGTCCCCAAGTGAACCATCTCCCACAACGGCGGTCTTTCTCAAGAGTTCATCCTATAGCCCTTCACTACTGGACACCATGCGTTAATTACCTACGATCCCGTCATATGGGCCCGACACTCGTTGAAACACTACAATGCCTCACTCGACTCGCTCCATAACCCCAGTACCCAGCTTCAAATTCTCAGGAGACACAAAGGCCACAATGCGCACTTCCATGGAGAAGTTCCCAGATCACATAGAAACCCTAGATGGGCAATCGCAATATTCGACCAGTCCTACAAGAGCGAATGGATTCGCCAATGGCTCAGCATCCGCAGACAGATGGCAACCAAGGAGGGACAGTGGGCTGCGGGGCTCTGCTTGGAATGGACCAGCAAGCACAGGAGGAAGACATAATAGGCAGAAAAGCTTAACAGATGCCTTCAGGACAATACGGACGAGGAAAGCAAGCGTCAGCGCAAATGTACATGAAGTGGCAGATGCGCTAAAAGCCCCAGTTTCGCCCATGTTAGTTGTTAGTAACCTCCGTAAACCAATATATCCAGAGCCAGCGCTGATAATTGTAGGGCCTATGTCTGGTTTGGTACACGTCAAGCGCCTTGACAAATACATCCTCCAAAGCCATCCTCAATGCTTTCCCTAAGCCAGCAACTCTTACCCTCATCCAATTCGGATTCGTCGCCTTCATGTGCCTCTTCTTCTCCTACTTAGCGACCGTTTTTCCCACACTCCAAAACAGAATTCCGGCCTTGCGATATCGAGTCCGGTACCCTACACGAGAGGTCATTTTGACAACAATTCCTTTGGCGGCTTTCCAGATTGGTGGTCATCTCTTGTCATCAAGCGCCACCATGAGAATTCCGGTTTCACTCGTCCACACGATCAAAGGGCTCTCTCCCCTCTTTACGGTGGTTGCTTATCGAGTCATTTTCGATATTCGGTATCCAGTTGCCACATATTTATCTCTTGTACCTCTCACACTAGGTGTGATGTTGGCTTGCTCAGCTGAATTCAAGGGCAACATCTTCGGTATTCTGTACGCCTTCATTGCGGCCCTAATCTTCGTCACGCAAAACATATTCTCCAAGCGGTTGTTTAACGCTGCAAAGGAGGCCGATCCAACTGGAGCACAGAATAAAAAGTTGGATAAATTAAATTTATTGTGCTATTCGTCCGGCTTGGCCTTCATCCTCACAGCCCCCATTTGGTTCTGGTCCGAAGGGTTAGAACTCCTCAGAGACTTCTTTTACGATGGTTCGCTTGACCTCGCGGAAGGAACTGCGAAGCATCCCCCGTTCGATCACGGGCGTCTGGCCTTGGAGTTTGTTTTCAACGGCTTCTTCCACTTCGGACAGAACATAATAGCTTTTGTCCTTCTCTCCATGGTCTCGCCAGTCACCTACTCCGTCGCCTCGCTGATTAAGCGAGTATTCGTCGTCGTCGTAGCGATCATCTGGTTCCAGAATCCGACAAACAAAGTCCAGGCCCTTGGAATAGCCTTGACGTTCTTCGGACTGTACTTGTACGACCGAACAAGCGACAACAGCAAGGCAGATAAGAAGGCTAAGATGATGGACATCAAAGAAGAAAGTCTTCTCCCACTCTCTAATCAACAAGGGCGTAGCACACCCCCTACATATGACACGCCCATCCGTGGCTACACAAACGGCTACGCCATAAACACCTCTTCCGAGCCCAAGAAATCCGATGATTTCGGCAGGACGGGTAGAGCGAGAGGAGCAAGTAGCGCTGCCTGGTTACCGCCCGGAACGAGACAGGAAGAAACGTGGCGGCCGAGAGAGCTGAGCGCGAATGGGAGCGGCCATGGCAATTTCCATGGTACGCATGTAGCTGTTTCTTGATTCTTGGGATAGATAGGGTATATAGAAAGAGCCCGATAGATGGTACTATGGCTCTGGGTGGCGTTTCCTGTGTAGTTATCGCCTTGGATCGGTGTACATAGACCTCCTCAAACTAGAACTTTGTGGTCAGTCCTTCTGTACAGACACTTAATGCCGATCCTTCCATCGTTTACGAGAGGCACGTTTGCTCAAGTAGTCTTGGTAACCCCTGTCGAGTAGTCTTGTCTTCGCTTATTTTGGTATTTTTGACTGTTGACTTGACTTCATGCTCCCTCAATGTCGCTTTTTTATTTCTACATTCGGATCTGCCCCCCATCTGTGGAACCCAGCTGAGAAAGGTAAGCATTACCATTCTCGCCCTTAGCAACTGCATCGGAGTCCAGTCCTTGCATTTCATGTCATACCGTCTGTTATTTTGACTGCAAATTCTCATATTCACCCACTCTAAGACCAGAGGTGATTCAGCAAAGTCAATTGGGATAAACAAGCACCACGTGTTAGCGTCCTATTACGCGACCTATGCTAGCGCCCTTTCACAAAATCGTCTCTCCTTGGAACGCTTTCCCTCCCATCTCTTTACTCTCTACTGCATCTACAGTTCTGAAAGAGTCTGGCAGCGAAGTCGAAGCTACAACACCACCCGTCCAACCTCAGCATCCACACGATGGACATCTCAAAGGACACTACCAAACTCCGAGTCACTCCCAAAAAACCAAAACACCCAAATCCAAACAAACGCCACATCACCTTCAGAGCGAGTAATGAAAAGCTCCAGCACTCTCCTCCAGCCGGTTAATAAGATCATCTTGCGTCCCCCTCCGCTAGAAGCCAGCCCAAAGGAGCCAACACATATTCTCTCGACTTGGCAGCTGAGCTCCCAGACTTGCTTGAGCAACTGTTCTTGCAGATGGGCTTACCCCTCGACGAATTCACGTTCTTCGCTGAGTTACCGATGGAGATTAGGTTGGTGATTTGGTATGTCTTCCTTGTCTTTAGGCGTTTGAAAAGAGCATTAACACTGAGCAGGCGCTTCGCCTTTCCCCGAAGCAGAAATATCAAGCTGGATTTCGACGTCAATGCAGTGAAACACAACTTGAGCGTCGGCGCATTATCAAATACCGAAGTGGAGATTGAAGCTCGCTGTCCACTACCGGTCACTCTCTACGTCAATTCGGAAAGTCGCAAGGAGACACTCAAGCACTACACTATCTTTAAACGTCACCAAGAGTACTCTGCCCCTAAAGTATTTCGACCACTGTGCTATAGCGCTACGAGGGATATCGGACACACATCATATTCTCCGATTTAGGACTCTGGCCCCATTCATTCTTGGGAGTCTGTAATGAATGGCCGCAATTAGCCGCCTCGATTTGCTTCATTGAAGTCCATGGTTGGGGACCAAGGGCTTTTGTTCTAGCCCAGAGACCAGCTTCATTCAGTATGTTGCTTCAGTTGCCAGCTCTTCGCGAGCTCACTCTTGTACTACACAAGCAACACGGTAATAAATTTCTTGAGCAAGCAAAGCCCGTCAGCCCCACGAACCCTCACCCGATTAATAATGGACAGCGGATGGTCGATGCAGTCACAAAGGTTTTGGCGGATCGTAAGGCACAAAGCAACTGGGAACATGGAGTACCAAAGGTGTTCGTCAGATCTTGGAGTAAACTGCGTCCTTAGACGAGTTCATTACGACTGAGAGCGGTTGAGCGGAAGCGTTGCAAGATGTAAGGATTGGATGGGTCACTGACTGTTCCTGATACTTCTACGATACCACGCCGGTACTTTCAATCCATGCTCACAAGACCATGACAGGCATCAGAGACTTAGATCAATTTGTGCGTTGTGGCGGAAATAAAATATATGTTTAACGAGCAATTTGCTATTCTTTCCTAAGTGCACCGCACTCATAGTCTTGCTCAAGATCACTAGAACTCTACCTTCTTTCCTGGTCCCTCCACAAATACTCCGCTCTACCCTCCTCACACTCGTCCCTTCTTCCAGTCCGTCATTCTACATCAGTATACATCCTAGTCCTACCAAATTCCACACTCCCAACTCGCATATTCTACTTGATAATAACTAGCCCTATCAACAAGCTAACTAGAAAATTCGCATGACAATTTTCGTCTCATAGAACTTCGAAACTGACAGTTGCCTGCCACATAACAAATATCCCTCCTATAGTAATCTTCACCAGTGCAGTGAAACCAGGAAAATGCCTTATCTCTTGAGGTCGAGTTAAAAAAAAATCCTGACAAGCAGTAGAAATTCATTTGTAAACAAGCTAGTAACTATGGCTCACTTAATGTCCGCTGACTAGATCTAGACGTGACATAACCTTGGAATGAAATTCTACATTATCACGCTATAGAAGAAATATCATATCAAAATAGAAGTGTCAGTAAAACCATAGAGTACAAGGTCGAAAAACTATCTTACTAAGATACAACATACTATCCTGATATATGAAATTCAGGTATCTGAACCACATATGTGTATCCGATCCAAACGACATTCCACTACATTTGTCTCATCTATAAGACTATAGACAGATGATATGAACATTCGCATGAACATTAAAAACTTCACAACACACGCAGCAATATTATCATTCCGTCTTCAAATCGATTAGGGTGCATTTTTCTAACCCGAAGCAAGAAAAGCATGCATGGTATAATGCCCATCAGTTCAATTCGCATTCACAGCCCGCCAAAGCCCTCACCATAATTCAGGCTATTCCGCCAAATTTGTACAATATTAGCTATACATCAACCGCGCAGTATCAGACAATTCAGCACAGCCACTTCAAGACCTAATCCGTCCTCCGCAGCCCGCCCATCCCTCAAAACTCCTTGCTATGATGCCCTAATTGGACCTTCCGAGAAACTCAAGCTTAGCAAGAGAGGAAGAGACCGCTCAATGTCCATGAAATGGAAATATGCATAAATGCGTGCTAGTGGGTGTTTCTTTAAACGTTCTGTGTGATTTGGTCTGTTTATTCGTAAGGTTGTGTGTAAGGTGTCACGGTGTCGACGCTGTCTTCCTCTCAAGAAGTGCAAATGTCGCATTTCCACTCCCCAGCGATTGGTCGACCGAAACCTTTCGCGCATGGGATGCAGAAGAAGCGTGCTGGGCATGTCTAAGAGGTAATTAGTCAATATGCACTGCTTTTTCACCTCCAAAATGTCGAACATTTTAGGAGTGTGAGTAATCAGGATAGGTGCGGATGAGGAGCATTGACTTACGAGTCCGCGACACACCACCCGATTTGGAGGCATTGTAATTTCACCACATTTGCAAGTATGCAGGCCTCTTTTCAGTGGGGCTGGCTCTTCTTCCACCCTGTTCATATCGACATCTTCATTGTCATCGTCAGCATTACCCGAATTCTGCTTTCTCGACTTCATGGCTTTCTCCTCAGCAATCAAGATCCGGAAGCAGCGGTCCAGCACACCCTTTTCATCCACGTAGCCTTTCAACAGAAAGTTCTCCATCTGCTTCATAAACTCCTGTCTACGTGACACCTTCTCGGCGATCCATGATTTATTAGCTTCTACGAAGCGGACCATTGCGTCAGGGAGATGCCTCATGCTTGTCAGATGTTCGTCGATGATGTACGGATTGAATTTGTTGATGTATTCTTTCTCTTCGGGCGGAATGTCTGTGAAATCATTGATTCCATCTCTCCGCTGCTGGTGCAACCAACTCTCATCGGTTTCATCGTCGCTGTTTGGGAGAGGTTCGCCTGCTTTGAGCTGTCGTTTGGTCACGGGATCGAAGAGAGGCCTGTTGATTTTGGGAACGTAATGAACTTTTCGCTCCTTAGCTGGCCGCCTCGGTTCATATTTGTCCACGTCCATGAAGTCATCCGTATCGTTTGACGTGTTTGGCGAGCTGTAGCGTGATCCACGAGGAGATGATGAGTGGGAAGAATCAACCATTCGCTTCTCTGTAAGATGTTCTGGCCAGCCATTGTGCAAGAGTCCACGGCGGGCCTTTATCCAAGACTCGTCGCCATTCAGATGCTTTTCTAGGTCGAACAAAGTCATAGGCTGACCCAGCTGGATAATTCTCGACCGTTCGGGCATATTCAATAGCCCAGGACGGCTACTCCTAGCTAGCTCAATAAAGAATGTAACTCTTGGCGGATTCGGACGGCGAAGATGGAACTTGTAAGCACTATGGTCGGTGTTGAGATGCAACCGCAGCTGATCGAGTGATCGATTCCGAGATAGGCAGAAAGGACATTTTAAACCAACAACAGTAGTTTCTCGCTTGATGCCAGTCTCTGCAGCTTCGGCTTTTCCGAAGCAGTATGTAACGGTGATTTCACCATTTTCTGGGATGTGCTGCTCAGACCTTGGTCGCTGTGCTCGCGGCGCTCTTGGTGATTTTCCTTGGGCTATGCTACTGAGAGCTTTTAGGTTGTACGTGGGTACATTGGAACGACGTCTTGCAGCACGGCTGTCTCCAGGACTTTCTGGTGGCATAATGATTTCGGCTTTCCGAGGAGATTCTGGAGGTTCTGGAGCAGGTTCTGACCGGAGTTTCGGTGCGGAGACTTGCTTTGTGCTTTCTATGTTAAGCTCATTTAGTTGATTTGGTAGTGCCCATCTTATCATCATTTCCAGACTATAGCTGATTTTCTGACTTGTACCCTTGTGAACGGCGTGCAGGTCAGTTTTGCTGTGTCGTTCCGCGGACAACCAAGGATTGGTGCGGGCATATAAGGAGACATCTTCGTGTACTATGGATCCTTCGGCGATCAGATCTCCAATGGGGTTGATATCTGATGCCGATGTGAGATCCATAGCAGGCCAGGTTACGCTGGATCCCATTGACTCGAGAAACACTTTGATATTGTATTTGTCAGCAAAGCCAAAGCCGTCTGAATGAGTGTCCCATTGGCCATTGGGCTTTCTCGTTCGACGATGCACGTAGAAATGGTCCTTGGTAAAAATGAAGGGCTCTGCAAGAATTTCTCGAGTTATCTCGCCGTCCTTACTGATAGAAATTCGATATTTGCAGGCCTGCGGTATTCGACAGATCTCAAGGAAATCTGAAGGCTTCACATCGCCAGGCTTCTCATCGTTTTTTGCATAGAATATGGCCACAGCACACCGGCATTTGATGTCAGCCACTTGACCCCATTGCGCCTCGTCGGGCACGGTTTCGTCATGTTCTGCATTGATCTGGAGTAAGTCAATGCGCATTGACTCAGCAAAATCGACCGTGGTCCGGGGTAGACATCTGCTGATGCGTTTCTTGCTCATCTTTTCAAGTCTTGCAGGTTGAGCTAGTTTCTGGGCAGCAGACTGAGGGCCTCCGTAGAAGTTGATCGGGTTGATAATATCTGGCTTCGCTGAAGCCCGCCCTGACGTTCTTCTGCTCTCATTCATCACCTGACCAAATGGCCTACGACATTCGAAGGGTTCGTCGTCAGCGGCGAGAGATGTTGAGCGTCTCTCATCAGACTGGTCAATCTTCCTCCGTTTTGCTGGCCGTTGCCGCTCATCTTCCTCGTCATCTGAAGCCATGACTTCCTCCCGAGCCCTGGCTCCAATGGTTGACTTGAGTGAGGATATCGTTGATCCCATAATTAGTGCGCCTAGCACTTCTCGAACATTCCTTCGGAGATAGGGTCGCCTGCTGGTGTGGTGAGAGAGATTATATACAAAAAGTGCGGCGGGTCCTATGTCTTTGTGGTAGGACATCTTCTCAGCTTTGGAAAGCCTGCATATTGTTTATACAGAGCTGACTCTCTGAGATGCGGATAAGGCAGAGCGGGTGAATCGAACCGAGCATGCGAGAATCTTGAAGCACCAGTCATCTAGAACATAGAGACAGCTGGTGAGATTCTGTTCCACAGACAAGGGCTTGAGAGATACGCGTCCAAGGGCGACAGGAATGGGGAATTGTAAGAAAGGGTATTTGAAGAAGGCGTGAATGACGATTTGACACGAGTGAAGTAGGATTTCAACACAATGCCTTTCACGCGTGAATGGAGCCCGGTTAAGAGTCCATATTGACGTTGTCGTCGGCTCAGTCAGGTGGTATATTTATTGACGCCGCGGTCGCAGGGAACGACTGGGGACCATTTTAAGACTGACGGCTAACCAATCCGAGTTAGCGTCAGTCGACTTCCTATTGAAGACTAGCATCGGGCTACTAGGCCGCTAGCTGCAGGACCAAGCCTGCCTACCTGCAGGGCTTCAACATGAAATCATTCAGCCTTGTCTACTTCTTGTGAATTCCACGAAAACAACCATTCACAACTCACAGTACGCCATCTTCTATTCAACAACCTTTTTTTTCTCTCTTTTCAAAAGATCAACGCTCCGCTTTGCCCACAACATATATCCAAACAATAGCAACGGCTGCTCACAGAAATCTGTCGCATCCAATGTTCGCGAGTCTTTCAATGACATAAACCAAACACCAGCTCAAGACCATGGCTTCTTCGGCGGTCTCTCGCCGCCGTGCAATGCGCACACCACCCCGAGAAACACGAACGAAGCCCAGGATCTCGTATGCCGAATCATCGTCTGGTGTCGATCTGGAAAGTGACTCGGAATCCGATCTGTCTGCCTCCGAACCAGAATCTAGTCAACCCACAACTCGATCTCGCGCTTCAAGGTCGCAAGCATCACAACAAACTCGCCCAAGAAGGATAGCCTCCATTAATGACGCGCGATCACACAACTCTGAGCCAGCCCACCTACAACGTACGAAGCAAACACGATCTTCCACTCTATCTCGAAACACACGATCGCATCAAGTACAACAAAAGCGGCCCCGAGCCTCCTCCTCCCACCGAACAAATAATCATGACGAAGGCAACAGTCGAAGCTCCAAGAGGCGTAAGCAGTCGAAACAAAGCTCTGCCATAAAGATTGCTGGCCGCAAAGTGTTGGAAATACAAGGTTCTGGAGTCATTCCAGCATGGCAAAGTCTCCCATACCTTATCTTGGTGCAGATATTCCAGTTTGCAACCTATCCGCTGTACGAAGAACACACATTTCAGCCTCTACCATCTGGTAGATGGCTGTTGAGCGTTGCTCGGATGTGTCGCGACTTTGCAGAGCCCGCCTTCACTGTTCTCTACAAGTCGCCACCTCTCGTCCCAATGGTACAGGCACATAGATTGGTGGACCTGCTAATGGCAGATCCTCTGCCTATGATCTTCAAATACAGGCAAAAGGTTGAGTCACTCCGTATCGACGTTGGTCAAGTTGTCGCATACACCTTGCCAGGCAGCGGCTTGTTGGATCTACATGGGTTGATCAAGGAGCTGCCGCGATTGTCAGACCTGGAGTTCTATCATCAGAAGGACATGTCTCCCTACCGAAACCTTGACGACAATGTTAAGTGGACATACCCAGAATCTATTTTTGAAGCCCTCGAGTATGTTAATCCTTCGGCGGACCCGATGAGAGGAGATAAGACGAGCATTTGCAGACTTAGAAGCTGGCGCTGGTCATCGAGGCTTGGCGGAAAGAAGTACTCGATCGAACAAATACCAGCAATGCACTTGAAGCCATCTTTTGAGTCGCTGCAGAAGGTTGCTTTTGTCAACTACCAAGTCCCCTTCCTCAAGAAAGACGAAGAAGACCCAGAGCATGAAAAGGTCCTTGCCAAGGCTATCAATAACCTTCCGAAGCTGAAGCATCTGATATTTGAGTCATCCACCCTTGTCAACGCGAAGTTGCTGCCTCTTTTACCTACCGGGCTTCGCAACCTTGAGTTGATCAACTGTTGGGAAGTCATTGCATCCGATTTCGCCCCTTTCCTCCTCACACATGGTAGGCAACTACGATGTTTGACTCTCAACCACAACCAATCTCTGAGCTTGGCATTCTTACCAATGCTTGGTCCTGGATGTCCGAATCTGCAGGTGCTCAGGATGAATCTGACCTACTACAACCTTCATATTACCTACCGAGATTCGGAGCCTTTATACGAGAAGCTGTTGGAGCCAGACCAAATTCCCGCATGGCCCTCGACTATTCAAACAATCGAATTGACTCAACTACGCAAATGGGAAAATGAAGCAGCAGAAGTTTTCTTCCAAAGCCTCCTTGATAGCGCCGGAAGTCTTCCAGATCTACGTCGGTTGACCATTCAAGCCATTCTAAATATCGGATGGAGAGATCGAGCTTCATTCCGTGACAAGTGGGTAGGATCTCTCAATCGAGTATTCAAGAGGATTTCCAAACCTCCCAAGGCCATCTTCAGCCTACCCAAGGCTCTTCAAGCTCTGTCTTTGCCAATCGGAGACAAGGAAGAGATGGATTCTGTGCCAATGGAGTCTAGACGAATTTCTTCTGGCTCAAATATATCGCATACTAGTGGAAAGTCTCCTGTTGTTGAAATACCAACCCAAATTCAGTCACACAAGGTCTCGGTAGAAGTACAACCTTCGCCACCAGCTCGCCGCTCAGCACGTTCTGCAACGCGAAATCTCCAATCAGGCAAATATGTCGAGTCATCTGATTCCGAGCCTGAAGTTGAGAAGGAAGCCGAGTACGAAGCCCGCACTCCTGCTTCTCGTGCAGGCAGCCGTGCTTCTAGGCTCGAACGAGAACTGGGCATCCTGAAGGAGACAGCTGGCAGGCACAGTGCGGCGATCACATCCACCGAGAGCTCCGAGGATGACTCTGCGTCGAACAGTCACAACAAGGGCAAGGGTAGAGAGAATGAAGTCATTCAAGGCATGTGTGAAGTTGTTGAAGTTCGGATTGATAATCTACGGCCAACAGAGACGCAAGTCACTGAGGCAGATTTCTTGGATGAGGAGATGAGTGGTGATGATGACTGGAATGGCGAGGATCCTGCTGAGGATGGATATGCGTGGTGATTTTGTCTTCTTCTCTGTATTACTTGCTTTTTGATCGCGTTAGTATTCTCGGTGTTGATGGGAGGGTTTGACAAAAGGGGCAGTGTGATGATACATGGTTGGGACACACGCATATACGACATGGAAATTGGATGAGTACTGTATGATCACGATAACAAAACAAAAGGATGGATGGAATGGAATGGAGTTATAGATGTGGGAGGGCGCTGAACACGAGACAGGAATGGGGCCAATACGATGGGATGCAATGGACGGGTCGGTTGGGATTGCATGTTGTGAGGGCTTTGTCCATGGGCTGTTTTGCCCTACTTTACGAAAAGTCTGCTTGCTCACTTGCTTCGCTGTACATGTTCTCACTTCAAGAAGTACACTGCTGAGCAGTTGTACACAATGCACAATGAAAATCAAAAAGAATTGAATGTCAATTCCAAAAAGCCCTAAAACATGCCTAATCCACCTCATCTGGTAATGATTAGTAGCAGTCTGTTGTCCCCACGAGCAGCATCAAGCTCTCATTTAGGCGCCTCGGATGGAACCTGGCAAGTCTCAAATCGTATGGTCGTCGCATGATTTACTCCGTAGCTTGCTTTCAATTCGCTTGAAGTTATTTTTGTTGCAGATCGCATCTTGTGGTTCCAGTTTCTGGTTTTCTGGGTTTTCTGGGTTTTCTGGGTTTCTGGTTTTCTGCTCATTTTAACTGGTTTTCGTTTTTGCGACATGCAACAAAACTCAGCAGCTTTAGATGTAAGCGAGCTTGGCCACCGGTACTTACAGAAGCAGGCACCATGTTGGTGTTGTAGGAGAAATAAGTAAGCTACCTAGAATCAACAAAGCTCTTCCGCGCCCACCCCATGTCATCAGCAACACAGCCTCTCAGTCAGACCCCCATGATTTCTAATTTGTTCCATTACAAGTTTTCAGATAACTTCAGTTTAAACTTTTTCTTCACGGGTACGTAAATAGGTAGTAGGTAAACACAATTCTGGTTGTTCCTCAATCCATTCCCTCAGTCTCGCTTAGTGCCCACTTCGCTCTCCTCTCATTGGCTGGACAGCTACAGATGGAATTTTTGTTGCATATCGCACTTTTCAGTCAGATAGCCCGGCTAACCTGGCTAACCTGGCTAGAAGGTCTGAGCCAGAAGTTTGACTGAAAGTTGACTAAGTTTTGGCTTGGTCAAGTCAATTACTTGTTTCAACCGAAAGGAAGAATTATATAAGAGGGCTTTAAGTGTATTGCTGCTATCAGAAGGACTGAATGTTTAAAGAGTGTGTAGGTAAATAATACTTCTGGGAGGAGAAACTCGTGGTTATAAGAAGTAGTCCAATGGTATCCAGACTGGAGTCTACATTTTACAAAGGCCGTTATCAATTTTATTCAGTATCTGGTCAGGGTAGATTACGCTGGATGTTACCCTCTTCTCTCAGTTCTGTCTCATCAGATTGAGTCTGACTTGACTGAATCGGCTGCCAGTCAGGACTGAACCCATCTATCACTGACTAGACTAGATCAGCATCCTGATTTAGTCAAGTTTTTACGATATGCAACAAAACTCCAGGAAACCGCACTGTTATGATCGCTTGTTATACCTTTTTAGGGTTTTGTTGCATATCGTAAAACCTTGACTAAATCAGGGTGCTGATTTAGTCTAGTCGAGTCAAAAGACCTCTGGCTGAGCCGAGCCAATTCCTGAGTGGTAGCACAGGCATGGATGGACATCAATACACGGAAAAGAAGACGAGACGTACTCTGGTTTGGATTCGATCAATGCACCATCTCATCATAGTTTGTTTTTGCTTCGATAGTAAGACTTGGAGCCATAGAGATTTAAATTGCATAATGCCCACATTTAGTCACTCGTCTCGCTTAGCTTTGCTTATTGGCATATCCAGAAAGTCAACAATGTCATTCCCATTGGACTGGAATGAATACTCGAGTCCGCGAATGCATTCCCGAACGTAATTTAGCATGGTAGCTTTTCCTCCATCTACTCGAGCTGCTGGAGATCTTGGCAATATCAACAAAATCGACCGTCTTTCCAGAATCCTCATTTGGCTCACTTGATCAAATCTGGCTTTGCTGAGCCGGTTTTTGAGCCAGTATTTGAGCCAGAAAATTGCGATATGCAGCAAAAGTCTACATTTGTTCGCTTGTTTTTGTGTCACTGGTAGTTTTGTTGCATATCGCAATGTCGGACTAAAAATTCACTCCATTCAGTCCATTCAGTCCAGCAGCTTCATATCCCTCATCTGATAGCATCATGAGAATTCTTTGTTACCAAGTTTGTTAAACTTCATGAGAATGAACCAAGGTCTCAAAATCAAAAACGGGGTATAATCGAATCAGACAAGAGCGCTAACACAACAACTGCAGAAACATCCACCGCCCAGTACTGAATCCTTGAGCCCCCCTCGTCTACATTGCCTCGACTTCAGGCAATCGTTGCAGCCTCGTCCAAGACTAGAAGTGTTCTAGACAATCTCACCATGAACTCGTGAGCCGCTCTTCCCACTTGAGCCTCCCTCCTCACACTCCTCACTCTCCTCGGCCTCGGCCTCGCCAAAGTCCAAACTTGTCGCCAGCTTCAGTATACCAGTAACCGGCTTCTCAATCGAGACTACCATAGTAACCAATTCCGGATTTCCAAAATCAGGCACAGATATCAAGAGCAAACCACTACACAAATCTCGTCAGCTAATCACTCTCTCTCACCAATTTCCCGCAGAAAAAAACTCACAATCCCAAAAACCCCAACACAACACCCGCCTCCTCAATCTTACACCCACTCCCACAAACATCCACCCCCTTCGTAACCACCGCCAACGTAACCAACAACCCCACCAACACCACGCCATCCACCCCCGCCGCCACGCTCCTCTTCACCCATTTCTCCCTCGCCTTATCACTCGCAGCCTTCAGCCTCGAATGCACAACCTCAATCCGTATTATCACTATATTCGCGCTGAAATGCGCGATCAGGATGAATAGCTGGCGAGCTAATGCGAAGGAGAGGAAGACGATGACGGGGGAAAAGGCGGGACCGAGGAGTGTGAAGAGGATGAATGAGGGGAGAAGGAGGATGAATGCGGCGGTGCGCAGGTGGAGTGTTGGGTGGAAGGTGCTGGTGAAGGGAAGGGTGGGCGTGAATCGAGAGGTGTTGAAGTTGATGTTGAGGTTTGGACGTTTGAAATTAGGCTTGTAGTTGAATTTCAAGGTTGGGAGGCTGGGGATCTTGGGGATGCGGGAGAGGAGAGAGGTCTGTTCGTCGGGTTCTGTCTGGTATTGACTGCCGTATGAGGAGGATGTTGTTGGTCGGTCGGCCAGGAGGGGACTGTTGGAGGAGGCCATATCTGAATTGGAAGCTTGTGTGATGATTGCGTATTATTGACGGAATGTAAAGCAGCGCCTAATGCTCTCCTATGACGGTAGCATAATCTGTGAGGAGGTATCCTTTGCTTTGGAGGCAGGAGATTTTCTAATCGAAGAGGTGGATTGATGTTGCGACAAGATTATCATTAATTCCGCTATTACCAGGGTATATCTCAGCCTTGTCGGAAAAGGAGACAGCCCTGCAGTAATCTCGTGGACCCCGGAAGATAAGAAAAAGAGGTGTCACGCGAGTGAGATAGAGCCCTGAACGTGACAGCCATCTCGAAAGAAAGAGCGACCTGACTAATCAATTAAGGCCAAAAAATGAATATTTCGTGAAGTGAAATGAGACGAATAAATTGTGACAAGTACGTATCAAGATTCAAAGTAATGAATTAAAACTGTACTCCAGTGCACAGGCTTCCATCCACAACCACATTCGTTCCACTCACAAAACTGGCGCGCTCACTTGTCAGAAACACAACAACATCTGCGACTTCACTTGCCTTCCCCATCCTGCCCATAGGATTCTTCGCCAGCTGATTCTTAAACAGCTCCGGATCACCTTCCTCAATATCACCCCAAACTCCATCTTCGATATAGATATTCCCCGGACTTACAGTATTAGCTCTGATTCCCTTGGATGCAAGCGTGTGAGCCAACTGAGCTGTGTAGTGAATCAAAGCAGCCTTGAATGCGCCATAGGGCGATGGAGCAGTGAAATCGACATCTCGGCCGGACACGGATGAGATAGTGATGATGCTTCCTTTGGTCTTTTCCAGGTATGGAAGACAGGCGTCAATGAGCGAGACTGTGCCGAGCATATCGGTGTTGTAGGCTGTATTCCAATCTTCAGGCGTGTTCGACACGGAGAGACTGGATACGTTGGAAACGACTGCGTCGATTTGCCCCTCTGAGGCCGACACTTGCATTACCCAGTCTTTGACTTGAGTTGCTTGAGTGATGTCTACTGTGGCTCCTGATATAGTGCCAGAGGATTGTAATGCGAGGGTCGCGAGCTCTTTGGCGGCGTCCTCGACATCTGCATTGGTGCGCGAGCAGAAATGGACGAAGGCTCCTTCGGCGAGGCTACAAAATACAATCAGCTTCAGGAGCGCCATATATCGTCAAAAGAGCTTACAAGCCTTCCACGATGGCTCGGCCAATGCCTTTCGTGCCTCCTGTAGTCAAATTCGTTAGTCACCTGTAGAAAATCGTGTCCCAGATCCCACTTACCTGTGACCAGGACGACCTTGCCTTTCAGATTTAGTTGCATTGTACTGACTTCCTTAATTGGAAACGACAGGGTAGGTTCTGAATATAAGGTGGTTGGCAACGCTGGTTCAAGTTTGTGAGATGAATGCTGGCAATAGTGGGGGCAACTGACGTAGGGAAACGTTCCGAATTGGGAAAGAAGTCAACAGCTGAAGATAAAAACACGAGGTAAAATGCCAACATAGAAGGATGACGACGGGTTCTAGAGGCACAATATATTAGGCCTTGATAGAATGCAACAGACGTAAAGAATAAGAATTCCAGACTCGTTGAAAGTAAATTCGGCCCAGTACGAGCAGAACTCAAAGAATCGAAGCCTCTTCAGTACTCCAATATGAAAGAAAAAATATACAACAGGAAGCACTAAACATGAAACGGTTGGACTAATACTAGTGATGGATGATATACGGACAATTCGAGTACCTTCAAGTGCCCAACAGTACCGAGGACGCGAAATGGTCGAAGCATGAAATTCGTCAAAATTGTGAATTATCAAGGTTTGCTGAAACAGTCAATTTTGTGACGAACCGTCAAATCGTCAAATCGTTGCGGACCGTAAGAATCGTTACGGGCCGTTGGGATCGTTACGGACCGCACGACATGCGACGTGCAACAAAGCCAAACTTAATCTTCGTATCATATGACAATAACGTGACAATATGGAAATCTTCCAGCTTCATACAGGTATCCATCGACATGGCAGGGTGAAAGGTGTGACGGCGTGAGTTTGTAGGAAATAGCTGGCTACCTACAAGTTTCCATTCACGGAGTGTTGATTGAGGAATGAAAATCGGCTTCCACCGCTCACAGGATTGCTTTCTGCGAAGAACCTTAAGAAGACGACAGACGAAACCCGATAAGCCATTTCTATTATCATCAATTTATATTATTACACCAGCCTGAAACAAATTTGCCCTCTATTCAACGCCGTCCCACCAATCCCAAAAATTCGCCCAATTTACGAGTCCAAATCAACGACAATCTTTCGTCCTCTACCAGCCATTCCGATCCCCTCAACCTTGAATCCCAAATCCTCCAGATTCTGCGGCTCGATCATATTGCGGCCATCAAACACATACATCGGCTTCTTCATCACGCCCGCAACCCGCTCCCAGTCTACCCTCGTGCCAGTCGCCTTTGCAACAGTCGTCTCCTTCGTCTCGGGGAATTTGCTCGGCAGTGATGGCAGTTTAGCAGCAGAGTCAGTCCTTGGAGTCGCTGGTGGAGTCACAGTAGCCTTCTTCGATGCCACGGGGGTCTTGTTGCCGAATTCATCCCACTCGGTGACAATGACAATTGCATGCGCACCGTCGCAGGCTTCGTATGGAGTGTTGTGGATCTTAACACGGCTTCTGACGAGATCGGGATTGTCGCACGCAGCCTCAAGCTCGAACCAGATGCTCTCCTCTGGAGCCTGAGGATCGTAGATTCCAATGTCAGCACCTTCCGTGATAAGATCGTGCACAATGCTGATTGCTGCACTCTCTCTGACGTCGCCGGTGTCCTTCTTGAACGCAAATCCGAAGATGGCGATCTTCTTCCTCTCGAGAGAGTGGTGAAGGCAAGCCACGATGCGACGAGCGAATCGGTCCTTTTGATACTCGTTAATATCGTTGATCGATCTCCAGTATGCAGCTACCTCGGGGAGGTGTAGCGACTCGGCGATGTATGACAGACTGAGAATGTCCTTCTTCAAACATGAACCACCGAAACCAACTGATGCCGACAACATCTTGGGACCGATTCGAGAGTCCAGACCGCAGGCCTTCGAGACTTCGGCAACATTGGCACCGGTCGATTCGCAGATGGCGCTGAGAGCGTTGATACTGCTGATTCTCTGAGCAAGCAAGCAGTTTGCAGCAAGCTTAGCAAGCTCAGACGACCAAAGACTGGTTGTAATGATCTTCTCTCTTGGAACCCAGGCAGCATAGATGTCGACCAGCGAAGCTGCAGCCCGGATACCGGCCTGTGTGGACAAGGAACCGATGAGGATACGGTCTGGCTGTAAAAGGTTCTTGATGGCTGTTCCTTCAGCCAAAAATTCTGGATTCGAAAGAATCTCAAACTTGACCCCTGGCTTGCAGTTTGCCATGAGAATCTCTCGCATATTTTCGGCAGTTCTGACTGGGACGGTGGACTTCTCGACAATGATCTTGTCGTTTGTTGCTACATCAGCAATCCGGCGAATTGCAGACTCGAAGTACGATAATTCTGACGCTCTTCCCTTGCCACGACCAAGAGACTTTGTAGGTGTGTTAACACTGACGAAAATGCAGTCTGCCTCTCGGATGGCTTTATCGATGTCGGTTGAGAAGAACAAATTTGCCGGACGACCTTCATGGTCATCTCGTGCGGATTGGACGACCTCAAGTAAATTTGGCTCGTGAATTGGGAGATCATTGGATTGCCATGACTCAATTCGTCTCACACTGAGATCAACAATTGTGACGGCAACATCTGGGTTCTTGTTTGCAATGACCGAGCAGGTTGGTCCTCCCTACTTGAGATATCAGTTTCATGTGTGGGAATTCCTTCAGATCGTGGAAGATACATACAACATATCCAGCACCGATACAACAAATCTTCTTTATTTTCTTATGGTCAATCTTTGGGATCTGATCTCTGGCTCTCTTTCCTCCATAAACACCGGCAATGGTTGGGATGTTGTCATCCATGATCTGGGAGGTGCTGACAACCAGTGGCTCCTCGGAGTCGTGCAAGAATGTTGGGAGCGTTGCAGGCATTTTGTTTATATTGATACAATTACAACTCCGAACGGTTTTGGAGATTTCCAACTCACGATTCAGATGGAAAGAACGAAGGAGGGTAGGAGAAAAGGCAATCGAGGTCTACAATTTTTGGAGGGGGACTTTGCTCATGACTTTACTCAACTGTCAACAGCTAACTGTACTTGCCATCGGAGTGTCCTAGTGTTAGGGGTCAAGGACAATCCTTCCAGCTCATCCAATTTTACCGGGCTGCATCTAGACAGCTCTGGTCTAGTTCTAGGGCTCATTTCCACCGTTCGAACCTCTCTGCAAATCCTAACGATCGACCGGAAAGCTGTTCATGCGTGCGTGGACCTCTTAGGGCGATCCCGCGGAACGACTTTCGCAGCTTTCTACCCAAAGCAAAAAAAAATTGGAAAATATGCCCCGGTTAGGGGTTGAAGCAAACAGCCACCCATGCAGATTCTCAGATTACAGACCCGTGGCTTGGATGCGATTGATAACGCCGTCGTCCAACTATGCCTATTTAGACTTTACGCCTAATCACATCAGTTATGGCTTGTCTGACCTGCTGAAGATTGGACGAGATAAGGGTATGCTAGACGCTCTCATGCCCCAGAAGGAGTAAGCTCCGCATTGCAAAGAGAATCATCCCCTGTCTAGCCGAAAGTTAATTCTGAGCTGGCGCGGGGGATGGGTTCTGCCATGCGCGGCTCGGCTGATGGTGGTGGTGATGGTGGAAGTTCAGCTATTTGTTGCTAGTCTGGATGGTCCTCTAGTCCTCATGCTAGGAGTTTTGACCCTCGGTTATTCCCTCTCCTCCCCTTTCACGACTGACGCAGGAACAACGAAGCGCCTGGAGTGCTCTTGGCCAACTGCGCCGCCCACATCGGAAATGTGGATGTTTCCCAAGGTTTGAGCATTTATGGCCCTGTTATGACAAAAACAATTCTCTTTGGATTCAATAGTTGTCATTGCATGGAAATCCCCCAGCTGTCTTGAGACGGAGTCTTGGAAGGAGCCACCCGAGTACCCGGTGTCTTGATCAACACACTCCCTGCAAATCAGGAGCCCCAATCACAATAATTCGGAAGACTCGTGGCGTTACGTAGGTCTCCCGTCCCACGAGAAGATTCAAGCCGTCCAAGCTTTCCCAGATCTGCACTGGGTGCCCAGGCGGAGGCCTTTTAGACTGCAGCCCCAAAGATTTCTTGAGCTGATGGCTTTGGACGACCTGCATCTCGTTCTCAGCATCGCGAAATCTTCGTCCCGTCCTTATCTTTTTCAAGTCGCGCAGTTACTCGAATAATCATGGGTTCAGTTATGAAGAGAGATTCTCAAGAGGAGCCTGTCGTCGAGCTCAAGACGATTTCGCCGCGGGTGTCTGAATCTCTCAACCCAGCCCATGTCAATAATGAGTATGCCGACGACGATGGAGGCCATGATCCCAAGGAGGCTTTGCTTTCTCATGATTCGGATATCGAGGCACAGAAGGGACAGGTGACGGAGAAACCTGCAAGCACAATACCTCTCGAATATGGAGTTCCTCTTCGTACTAAGCTCTTCTACTTGAGCACATATCTACTTCTTAATCTGGCTTTGACGATTCACAGCAAGATGCTGTTTGCACAAGTAAGCTGATCCACGACTTTCTAGAGATCCATACTGACATAGATGCAACAGTTCAAATTTCCATTCTTATTGACGTCTTTCCACACTGGAGCAACGTCTATAGGCTGCTATATGCTTATGCTTTCCGGCTATATCAAACCTTCAAATCTGTCCCTCCGAGATAACATGATCATTGTTGCATTCTCCATGCTGTGCACCATTAACATTGCGATTTCAAACGTATCTTTGTAAGTGCCCAAACATTCGCGACAAGTATCTCACTAACTGTCACATCAGAGCGCTGGTATCGGTCGCATTTCATCAGATCGTTCGCTCCATTGCACCGGTGTTCACAGTCATTGTTTACAAACTTTGGTTCGGACGGGAGTATTCTCGGGCGACCTGGATCTCCTGTATACCCATTACTGTCGGCGTCTCCATGGTTGCTTACGGCGAGCTGGACTTCACCGCCATCGGATTCGCTCTCACTCTACTCGGTGTGGTCTTAGCTGTCACCAAAAGTGTGGTGACGAACAGACTCATGACCGGAAATCTTGCTCTCCCGCCTCTAGAGATCCTACTTCGAATTTCACCATTGGCAGCATTCCAATCTTTGGTTTACGCTATGGTCACTGGAGAGGGGGCTGGCTTCAGAAAGTTCGTCGACGATGGACAACTCACCACAGGATGGGTAATTGCCCTCGTCACCAACAGCAGCATAGCATTTCTTCTCAACATCTCCTCCTTCCAAACCAACAAAGTCACTGGAGCTTTGACGATCACTGTCTGTGGGAACCTGAAGCAGATTCTGACCGTCCTTCTTGGTATTCTTATTTTCAACGTCAAGATCGGTGCTATCAATGGATTGGGCATGATAGTCGCCATTGTTGGCGGCGCATACTATAGCAAGGTGGAACTGAACAACAAACAGGCGAAGAAGACACCTTCACCTGGCTCGTAGCCACCGCGTAGCAATTACTTCATTTTGTCACGATAAGGCGTCACGATCAGGATAATCATAATTGCATCCTCTTTTTCTTTCTGACACTGACAACCCGAGATCGGCAGCAGTGAGTCCGAAATTTGATGTGTTGTCCGGTGGCTAGCTGTCTCCTCGCTAGTTCCCGGCTAATTATCCAAGGGGTGGTCCGGCCTTGGCTACCCCTGTGAGAATCAAGTGCAGACGCTTGACGAACCGCGCCGCACTATCAACAGACCACACTTTTAGAGTTCGCCCAAATGTCGCCCAGCTTGATACCGACTGCCACCGTCGAGACCATCTAGACCAGAACCAGACACACGTCGTGTGCCAAGAACCGGGTCATAGCTAGCTGTCAGCTGAATCCCGGTTCTGGAACCAAATTGCGGCTTCAAGTGCTACCCCTTTTCCGTTGCAGCTCACCACTAATAATCAACTACACGCAAACTCATCAGCATGATTTAAAAGCCCTAAACTCTGATTATCCCCATTTGAGGGGGTCCAGGAATTTCCGCATTGACTTGCCGATCTCCTTTTGTCTTTTCTTTATCGAGCGGCAGCCACCCAGCCAGCCACAAGCTTTCTTAGCTATTAGAGCCGGAGTCATGGATCCTGGACATCTCAACGAGGCTGAAAATCTCTTTGGACTTGCTTGCAATAACGTGGACTTCGTGTGTGCTTGACAGCTCCACAGCAAGCCTCTCTCCCCTCAGTACCTTAGTATCATCCGAGACAACTTCAGCACTGAAGCTCTCCGGATTCTTTCTGTTGCGTCTTCATGAGATCAGAACATTCAACATGAGGCGGAATGTGGTAGTTGTAACTGGAGGGGCTCTCTTCGCCAGCATTCTGGGTTTGTGGGTGTTGCATTCTATATTCAATATACAATCCGTAAGTCCAGCTTGACATCCTACAATAGAACATGTCTCACACAAAGACAGCTCAAAACACCGCAAGCTGAGCTCCACTTCCTCGTTCCTGCAACAAGCAGCAATGAACACCTTTGCAAGCTCATGCTGTCCGCAGCTATCCTTCGATACCCCACACCAGTTATCATAAACTGGGGAGCCCCAGAAGACCCCAAAAATCCAAACGCTGGACATATACAAAAAGTCGGAACCCTCCTAGGATATCTCGACGACCTGGCCAATGCTGGCAAAAAAGATGACTTGGTCCTCATCGTGGACGGCTTCGATATTCACTTCCAGCTCCCAGCAGAAGTGCTCCTGAAACGGTACTTCGAGTCCAATGCCGCAGCACAGAAACGCATCAACTCACAGATTGGGACAATCAACGCCCATGGATACAATATCAAGCAGACCGTCATTTTCGGACAAGATAAAGCATGTTGGCCTTCGTACCCATGGGGTCAGAACTGGCAGGGTTGCTGGCTTGCCCCAGAGTCTACATATCCCAAATTCGCGTTTGGACCTGGAACAGATACCGAGAAGAATCCCTTCGAGGCCTTCAATGTCCGAGCTCGATGGCTGAATTCCGGAACAGTGATGGGTCCAGTGGGAGACATGCGAGATGTCTTTCAAGCGGCGTTGGCAAACATTGCCAAAAACCACACCACAGACTCTGACCAGTATTACTTTGCAAACGTCTGGGCAGAGCAAGAATATTCACGGCGATTGCTGCAATCAGAGCCGTTTACGAAGAAAGAGAGGGAAGACAAAAACCTCCGCTGGCCCAAGATCGCAGAAGATCAAGAACCAGAATTACACATCGGACTCGACTACCAGGGTTTGATGTGGCAGGTACTGGGGTTCTTCCGTCCATCTGTGACATGGATGACATTCGATGGCGAACCGACACATGCGAGATCTAGCTCTACAAGAAAAACGTCATTCGTGCGAGATCCTTACCTCGACCGCACTCTACCAGAGGATCTCGCAACTTCCCGTCCTCCTTTCGCAGCTGTCCTCGAACAGCTAGAATCCCACGGCAAGTCAGGCAAAGCAACAGATCTTCCCACCGATCTCACCTGGCGCGATCTCAAACTCGGCATCAATGCCATCAGCAACAACATCTTTCCCATGCTGCATTACACAGGACCGAAATGGTTTCGCGATGATTGGTGGCCTAGGATGTGGTATTACCCTTATGCAGAGCCTTTGCTAAAGGCTGCAGTGAGTTTGGACAGAGCTCCGATCTCGAAGCAAGCTATTGGGGGCAGGATGTGGTGGCCTGCTGAGATGGGTATCACGACGGGGAAGAAGGGCGATGAGAAGGGTGGTGCGATGAGTGACAAGGGGACGTGGTTGCCGTGGAAGGATATGTGTGGTGCTTATGAGAAATTGCTATGGAAGAAGCCATGATGGGTATCTATCTTTCTCTTTGATTTAAGCGATGATTTATAGATCTAGACATTTTACTACTCTAATGATACCAATATTTGAAATGTATCTTTACCATACCATTCTGGCATTTTCGACCTTCCGAGTAATGAAGCAGCTCAAACCTCATTTCCTCACTATGAGATGCAGGTCTCTGGCCATCAACTCGGATCATCCGAGGGTGCTCAAGCTCGCACACACGGTCCTCCTGATCTTCATCCCATACTTGACTTTTTCTTATATATTTTTCAACATGCTTTCGATATGCATCTCAAGACCCGGAAGTATCTCCCCAGCTCTGAACACAGAACACATCCCCCTCAACCCCTCACCAATAATTAAACACCAACTAAATCTATCTTCCCCTCCACACCCACCTCAAGCGGCACCATCCGGAGTCCGAACGCATGCCCCAAACCACCCCCAACAGATTTACAGATTTACATGATGATCTCCAGCAAACCCAAAAACTTAAACTCAAATAATATCAATGCCGCATCGCACCCTCGCACCCAAACCCAGAAATATTTAAACTTCCATCCCGCCAAAGAGGCTCGAACCGCAAAAGCAGGCACAGGGGGGCGAGGCGGGGATTTAACATTGACCTGGACCTGGACCTTGACCTTGACCTTAGACTTTACCCCTATCCGACAATACAGTACAGATTTCTTAACCATGCATCCAGGCAATCCCAGATCAACAACGCATGCATCCATGCATGGATACAGAATTTCGCAGCCAAACTCTCTTTTCAGCCTTTTTTTCAGCTGTTTACTACGAGTAGTCTCGCCCAAGCAATCGGACGATCTGGAGCGCTTGACGCAAACTCTATTCCGTATCTGCTTTAGCTGGCAGCCAAGCTTGAAAAGAATTACCCTGGCTCGCCTGGTTTCTTTCAGCCGCGCCCAGATAAATTTTATTTTCTTAGTCGCAGGATTGGTGCGTAGACTAATGAATGGATGGACGCGCGACGGCGTGGGAGCGTGGGAGCGTGGGAGGGGAGGCTACCCCTATCTCCTCTTTCGTGGAAATTAAGCGAGTAGTTATCCTCGGTACTTGGACCTTGTGGTGTGGAGTGGACTTTCGAGTTGCTGCCCACCCGCTCCTATCAGTAACTTACTGTATCAACTAACTCGTCACGGCGGCGGCGGTTAGCTGGATTTTCCCGACTCGTTCTGGATCTGATGTGTGCTGGGCCGTTGAAGCTGTGATACCTCTTCTTGGATTTTATTTTTGAAGAGGTGTAATAGTTGCCCTTCTCACGGTTGTTCAATATGAGGGTTTCTCTACCATTATGGTTCCAAAGCCTCACCAAGACCGGGTATCATAGAGTTCATGATGAAGAGGAGAAGGAGAAGGAGAAGATCCCACATGGAGGACGAGGGGTTCTGTCGAGGATACGGAACAGCAGTTCGCGTGTGAAGATATATGCTGGAATGGCAATTGCATTCATTTTTATTCTCAGCTTAAATATGTCCTCGGTACGTCTCTCCCCAAGATATCCCCGCAAATTCCAAGCTTCACATGTATCGCGAAGAGAAATTCAAGTAAATACTGACATGAGAATTCCAAACAGGGAGGACCACACTTACCCATTTCCCAACACAAAGAAGCTGATGCCAAATACCTCCACATCCTCATCCCCGCCAACAAACGCGACGTCAACCTCTGCAAAACCGTCGCCAGCGCCGCCGTCCTCAGATATCCCATCCCCACGCTGGTAAACTGGAAAAAGAACTTTTCCGACCCAGTCTTTGGCAACGTCGGGGACTCTCACATCGGCAAGATCAAAGGCGTGCTCGACTACCTGAACACATTCCCCGCAGACCGAGACGAAGATCTCGTGGTTCTGGTTGACGGATACGATATCTGGTTCCAGCTGCGTCCAGAGACTCTCCTGGAACGGTACTTTGATATCAATCAGAGAGCAGACGAGAGGGTGCAGAAGCGCTTGGGGAAGAACGCTGTGAAGAAGGAGGGCATTAGACAAAGTATTGTTTTCTCGGCGCAGAAGAAGTGCTGGCCTAGAGATAGCGATGATCCGGCTTGCTTCGCTGCTCCCGAGAGCTCCCTGCCAAAGGATATCTATGGTCCATTGACAGACACCAAAGTCGATAATGAAGAGAACGAGTACATCAAGTTCCGGCCGCGATATCTCAACTCTGGAGTCATGATGGGAGAGCTAGGCAGCGTGAAGAAATTCTTCAATCGATCCATTGAAGTCATGGCGCTGGGCCAACACAAAGGAAGCGACCAAAACGTCTTCTCGCAAATTTTCGGCGAGCAGGAATTCCAGCGCGAGGTCATCAGAGAGAGATATCTCACCTCCAGCCAGCGTTTTGCAAGATGGCTCAAATCCGCATTCGGCATGAAAGAACCCAGTGTCTTGGATCCCCACCCAACACACAAACTCATGGCTCCCGCCGACGGCTCCCCCTTCGAATACGGCATCGGACTGGACTACGCCAGCGCGCTCGGCCATCCAACTGTCTTCGCAGAGTACGACTCGGAATGGATCCGCTACGACGACCCCTCATCCATCGAGCAAGCCAGCAAAAAGCTCGGCATCTCCCCGCAACACGTCCACCATCTCCCCGACGACATCGCATCCTCCCTCCCTCCATTCTGGTCCCAGAACCCCATGGACGACATGCTCCCCTTCGACAGGAGCTGGACCAACGTCTCGCTGCACACCAACCTGTGGACGACCAACGTCCCCGCCATGATCCACCACAACGCGCATCTCAACGGGATGAAGAACCTGCGGCAGAAATCCTGGGATAAGGTCTGGTTCCAGCCCGTGCTGAGACAGCTGCTAAATGCGTATGTTAATGAGCCGTATCGCGCGTTCGCGGTCCTGAGGAATGGGGATAGGGAGACGGCGTGGTGGTCCAAGTATCAGAAGAAGTGGGAGACGCATTCGGATAAGGCTACGCATGAGTGGGTGAGTTGGAAGGCGTTGTGTGGTGGGGAGGAGTTTGAGAAGGAGTTGTTTAGGGATAGTTTGGGGCCGTGGGTGCCTCCGAGGTTTGATTACTGATGTGGATTTGCTGGTATCGTTTAGGTTTGGGGGCGTTATTTTAGATCTATATACATAATGATACGCATGTTCAAATCGTTTTTGTGTTCTTCAGATCTAGAATTGTTTCTTCGTGACTATTAGGATATGAACTTCATCGACAGTCAGTCCCTCCCAGCCCCTTTCATTGGGTTCTAATTTTCCTTCCCATTGACAAACGCTAATCTGTACACCTAACATGGTCTTATCTTTTCCGTAATGTTTTGACTGTATCTGAGACCCTACTTATGATGCTTGAGCACGTTTCCAGGAAGGTGGAGTTTGTTGACAAAATCGAAGCGAGATTTCCGATAAGGATCCCACCACATACCAAGCCCAGAGGTCTGTTTGATGTCAAGTATGCTTTTGAGAAAGCTTTGGACTGGATGCAGAGTAAAAATAATCGAGTTCTCGACATGTTGAATCCCAACCCAACCCCCTTGAACGATTTCAAATCTCAAGCTCCATCCAATGTCCCAATAAAGAAATCCAGCCCCATTTGCTATCAGCATAAACTCGGATTCTTAATTTTGACAGCACTCTTGGAAGAAGTCATTAACTTAGACTTATCTCCAACGGTCAGAATATCAAAGCTAGAAAGTCATACATATCATCAGGTCCCGAACTCCTTCCAATAAAGTCGCTGTTTCGCATCGAGGAGCGTCATTCCGTATTCCCGAACCACATGGAATATGAGCCCTCACGATGCCGTCTTATCATAGTCCATTTGGTACTTTCATATTCTTATCTAGATTGTAGAGCACGCTGATTATGTACTCGGTGAGCATACTCTTTCCCCAGCTACGGCAAAATTAAGCGAACTCTCAAGTTTCTCCCCCAGAACCCAAAATCCCATACTGTATCTAATCGACAAACAACCTCCAGTCTTCCAATCCCAAATCCAAAAATCTGATCAGAATACCACTTACCAACCATCTACCTCCCCAACCTCACAATATCTTTACAATCCAGTTTCCCCTCCAAAATCAAGGAACCTTCACGGGCAGCCATCCCGAAGGATTCGCATCCCTCGCGGTCGTGGCTTGAGGCTGACCCCAAACAATTGGCCACGCCAGGGATTCAACATGCACACAGCCTTGCTCATCCCCATCCCCATCCCCATCCACACTGCGCGAGATTAGATTGGAAAATCCAGCGCCCGCCACCAGCAGCCGTTGAGGAGGAGCTTGAGTTCGAGATTCTGCCTCGGGATGGCGCAGCCAGCCATGGGGTACTTTTGTTTGGGTGTGGTTTTCCTCGCGACGACAGCTGCACTTCTTCTTCTCGACTTTTTGGAGATTTTTGTGTGATTGAGATGTGTTTTGGGGATTTGAATTGACGGAATAATACGGTAGGATCAGGATGGAACCGATGGTTACGAATGCGCCCGTGTGGGAGTTTGGCAAGAGGCAGAATGGGAATCGGTTCATTGGATATACGAGTTCAGGGACGGATTGTACGTTTGTCGATTTTCCTACAAATCAACACCTTACCCTTTTCAATTTGGATTGTACGTATATGGTAATAGATGCTGATCATGTTTTCTTGAGCGTAGGGCTACCGATAGCTTGTCCTACTCTGCAGACTGTCACGGAATCTGGGACGTTCTTTGCATGTGCTGTCTCTGCACCTACGAGTAGTAGTTTTGGGATTGCGACGACTTGTACGAGGGGGAGTGAGTTACCGAATCCGGCTGGGATTTTTACTTGGTGAGTAGAATTTTGCTTAGTTACTTCGAACATTCATTGGAGAGTCAATTGGGATATGGAAATGCAATACTTTCGTCAAGCCTGAGATGGATCATGCCGGTTTGCATCTCACAGCCCAGTTGGAGAAATACTATCATGTTCTATCCAAATATAAGGATTTTCAGCCTCCCAATTGAGCAGAGTATCGACTTTTATGTTGCACTCTCGCCACACCTTCATCAAAAGTATATCTCATAGCTAAACTATCAAAATAGCCCCGGGCCTTGCTGCTCAAATACACTCTACGCCAGCCGCGGCGACACAGTACCATATCACGCCTATGCATGCGGAACCTGCGTCTCAACACTATTCAGAGATATCCCAAATGACGAAACAACTTCTTCAACACCAGGTACGTGCAACGTTTGTTCCCAGACGAAAGCACCCACGTGAAAACCAGATACCTAACGAATTCTTTCCTCTCATAGCAGTCGACCCCCTAACAACAACCAGCACCACCTCCACAACCCCCTCATCCTCCAACCCAAACGGAAGTCTCTACTCCAAAGGCGGTCTCGGCTCACCTTCATCCTCCTCCACCTCATCCACCTCGTCACCACCTCTCTCCACCTCCCCCACCTCTCAAACATCCTCCTCATCCAAATCAGCAAGCAAAGCCTGGATAGCAGGCGCTGTAATCGGGCCTCTCGTCGCAGGAGCAATTATTGCCGCTCTAGCGTTTTGGATTTGGAAATTGAAGAGGAGGGGTGTGGTAGAGAGGGAGAGGGTAGTGGTTGTGCCGGGTGATGCGGGTGGGAAGGTGGAGTTGGATAATGATAATGCTTATACGGGAGCTGGAGGTGGAGGAGCGGCTGGAAGAGGTGGGTATGGCGGAGGGATGACCAATGTGGCGGAGGTGGGTGGGCAGGGTGTTGTGGAGGCGGATGGTGGACAGAGATATGGAGAAGGAGCTGTGGAACTCCCTGGGTGGAGGGGTGGTGCAAGATGATTAATGGAATCCAATGAAAAGAAAAGAAATGAAAGGAAGACGTGCCGGGGTGCGGAGGGATGTGATGTGTAAATGAGAGTGTAAGTGCCACAAGTACTTTTCAGTGCTTTCATGAGACGAGGAGTATATATATAATAGCACGCAATATGACTATAAATCTCCAGCAAGCGAATGATTTTGCCTATATTTCCTTGCAAACCAAACATTACTCCTTACTCTGAACCGTTGTTGATTAACAACTCGTTAAGCGAAGCGACGTCAATATTTACACCACTCCCTGCTTGGACTCTCTTCTTGCCACACATCACGATTTCCTCGTTTATGTTCTTAAAACACTTACTAGCATCTTGTATACTAGGAAACCTGCTAGACTAGTCATTCCCTCTGACAGGTCATGCTCGACTCTCACTCAACCCCAACAACATATCCATCCACCGGGCCAGCCAGAAATATACTTCGCGGCCATTTCTCCATACAAGGAATAAGCTACAGATTCCCATGATCCACCCCAGAAGACCGATTGACTTTGCTGTTGAGCTGGCACGAGGTGCGTCAGTGCTTGCGTGGCTAGCAAGTTGATGGATTCTATTTCCATATTCCGAGGATCGTTGAATATTAAGCCTCAGTCATTTGGTTGAGCCCATAAGAGTTTCTTTGAATGCAGATCAACAGGAACAGATTTGGCTAGTGGAAGATGTGAATCTCATAGCTGTATGTAGAATTCCCCTCCTATAGAGAAGCGAACAGGCAAAGCCCAAGATTACATCACACAATTCCAATGCCCCATATCCCTTACCATTCTTATTTCCACCTTACAGTACAGGGCTGTACAGTACACCCATCCAGCTATGAACAAACACGACTCGACCAAAACACTACGCTTCTCCCTCTCCAGCAACACTCTCCCCACCACCAAACATCTTACAAAACCCCTCCCACTCTCCCGTCTCCACACCATCATCCTCAATCTCCTTCATCCCACTGAATACCTCCCTACCCCTAACATCACATATCCCAAACATAACCATCTCATCCACCAAATCACGCTCCAATTCCCCGTCATTTCCATTCCCACCTCCACCTACACCTACACCTCCACCAGGCATCCCCAATCCCATCCCCAAACTAAAACTCGGAAATCCCAAGTGTCCCACCACATCCCTCAGCCTCTCTCCCTCTAACCCCCACCCTACCCTCGCCCTCTCCACACTAACCGTGGACAAAGCATAATTCATCGTCGCCGGCACATCCCCAAAACACGCCTCCTTCGCATACAGAAACTCCATCCTCTCCGCCTTCGTACAAGTATTCTCCACCAGATGCAGTATATCCGCCGGCGACAGCTTCATAATATCCCTCACCAGGCGTCTATACTCGTTGCCCTCTCCCCAAGCTATCTTTGCAAGTGCGCGAGGAGGCAGGGAGTGCGAGTAAGGGTCCTGCGAGCGCACGATGGAGTTGGAGGGGTAGAGGTCGGATTCGACGAGCTGCTCGACGTGGAAGAGGTAGTCGGAGAGTTGGATTTGTTCGGCTGTGCTGTATGTTCTCAGGAGACGATGGCGGGGATCGTCAAGGGAGGCGGGGGAGGGTGGGTATGGTGAGTAGGATGTGTAGGTTCGGGAGTGGAAGAGGGTTGTGTAGGTCCAGTGGTGGTAGATTGCTTTGCGTAGCCTTTCTTTCTCATGAGGATGTAGTAATCGTCTATTGTCGGATCCTACACGCCAGCGTAGCCGTGGATATAGTTCTGTCCAACGCTCAGCGATCTTGCCGTATATCACCATCTTCTTCATTTGTTCGAGGGTGAGTTTTGGGTCGGGTCCGACTTGGGTGATGCGGGAGAGAAGGATGTTGATGCGAATTTCGGTGCCGATTGGTTTGCGTGATTTGTCGGGCTCGTTGCTGAGAACGAGCTTGAGAAGTGATGGAAGAGGGCTGTATGAATTGTGCAAGCCGCAGGTGAGGAGGTACATTCGTCGACCGAGAAAGACACGATAGGCTCTTCGGCAGGATCGAGCTAGGGCAAGGAGGTCTTGTAGCTCTGCATTGTCGTAGATCTTTTGCAAGATCTCTGTAGAAAGGTTGGTGATTGACATTTTGGAAAATAGTCTATTGTATCTTTTTGGTTTTGTATTCTGGTTCTGTTTCTGTTTCGTCTGTTCTATCTGCAGACTGTTAGTATATAGGCATCGACATACAAGCTTGTAGAGCAGATTGATGTAGCTGACTTACTGTTCTATATCAAAATATAGCTCTTGATTCTCCTCTCTTGCCAACAATCCAAGTTGACCCTTCACAGTCAGCCTCACACCTTCCCAGATAGAAACAACAAGAAATCTAATCGATTCGTAATCGATCGATCACACAACACGCCAGACACTCTTCTGTCAGAAAAAGCTTGCGTGCGTGATCCTCAGCAGTTCGCCGTTCCTCTTAAGTAAACAAGCAGCACCACCAAGGTCGTCAGTCCTTCAAGGAACCTAACTCCCAGCCACCCCAGCACTGGGGCTATATCTTGATGTTATGTTGATGTTGTTGTCCATCGAGCGAGAGACATCTTGCGACGTGCTACTGCTGCTGCTCGAAGCGTTGTTGCCGATAATGGCGAGTCGCGTGCGACTGCAGTGTTGTGGTTGAATCATGATGGGTGGTTGTTGTTGGAGAGAGAAGGAAGGAGGAGGAGCTTCCGGGGATGGAGATGAGGATGAGTCGTAGCTCGGTCGCGTAATAATTCTTGCCAAGATTGAATTTCGGGGATAGGATTATCCGGGGTTACTCCCTTGTTGAGGTAAACAGCACGCGATCAATACATTTACTGACCTCAGGTCTAGATACATGTCTATGAGCCGTTTTCTTGATGTCACCAAAGATTCCCAGGTTTTCAGATATAATACTGTGTAGGTAGGTACCTTTATTTGGGCACAGGGATTAAGCTTTCTGGCTGCCAATTTGCTATGCTATCCTGGTCCACCGTCCACCGCGAACAGAAGTTCTGGAACTTCTTAAATTCAGACAGAACTTCAATTGAATTTGACTTGCGTTTCATACCTCCTGTCCCATCCATGCAGAGTCCAGACAAATGCCCGACGGATATAGAAAAGAAATACCGTCGTACACGCAAATACTATGACAAAGCAAAACAAAGCACCTCCACTCCTCCAACCATGCTATGACCGTAAACTCAGTCACTTCCCCAAAGAGAGTCCCTCGTCTATCTTTCTCCTATCCAGCCAGGCTATGACCCAACAGGAACTCGCATACTCTGTACATCCATCCCCAGCCCCGGCACATCACCCATAACCGTATCCCTCCCACTGCCACCCACTTCCTCCCCGACAAACTCCTCATCATCCTCATCCGTCTCCTCCTCCACCCTACTCCTCTCCCAATCCCTAACCTGCCTCTTCAGCCACGCAAAAGAATCGCTCTCATGCCTCCTCAGCATGGCATTCAACGACCCTCCCATCGCATTACGACCACCAGGACCGGTCCCGCCACCACCCATGCCGAATCCTCTCCCAACCTGAATATCGGCCTGGACAACTTTCCCGAAGCGATTTTTGCGGACTTTACGTGCGGCCTCTTCGTTGGACCAGCATGCGTGGTCGGGGGAGACGTAGATGAGTGTGTTTTCTTTGTACCATTTCGACAGATTGGGGTCGGTTTCGGATTTGACGGGACGGAGGGAGCCGGAGACGAAGCAGAGGATGCCGGTGACTTTGGAGGTTGTGGCTGCTATGAGGTTATTGGTACGGTACTGGGGAAAAGCTGTGAATTGTGGGGTAAGTCAGAGTACATACGTCTTGATACGAGGAGCTGTTTGATGCCGAAATAAGCATCACCCACGCCCAACAGCGTCAGACTGGCTTCAGGATTCAGCTCGAAATAGTTGTCCCAAATATAACATAATAAGTCTTTGATCTGCTTAGCTGCAAGAGTTTCATTTGATCTGTCGGTATACGGGTCCGTATCAGAAGGATGGGAGATATGTTCTGGGATGTTGATATCCATGACGCCAAAGCCATGCTTAATTGCCCAACCAATGTAAGGATTAAGTCCATCAGTCTAAACCTAAAATTAGCCATCCTTCCATGAGTGACTATGCAGAGACCATACCACGAATGTATTATGAGCATATACACTATTATCATAAGCGTCTGGCTGTGCAAGAACTTCAGGCCTACATCATTATCAGAACAGTTCCCTCTCGATACACAGCATGGATGACTTACGGATCATGAATAACCATCAGAATCCGCCTCGCTTTATCAATATCCGGGGTAACCAAAACCTGATTCTCAAAAGACCGGCTCAGCTTCGTTCTCTGCACATACAATGGGAACATTCCATGTTTCTCAGCAAGATTACTTTTCTGCGCCGTCCGGATCACGTCGCTGAGACGATCGGTTGCCATCTCTTGGAGAGCTGCGAGAGGAACGACGCCAGGACGCATACATTCCCAGTACGCAGATTGTATCCTCTTGACATTGTCTAAAGTATGTGCCGCCGTTTTGTTGAGTGGTGGGATATCCATTCTCTCTGGTGGTTCGCCCATGAGTGTTTTTGCAACAGCAAGGGCTGATCTTGAAATGGCGTGTAGATTGTATCCACCCTCTAGACAGACAGCTACTTTCCCATTTGCCAGCGACATCAACATATGTGTCATGTGAGAATAACATGCTGGAGTGACATAACATCCCCCAAGCTCATCGCCAGCTGCAGCATCGAAGCCGGCGGAGACAATAACGAGATCTGGGTCAAACTCCTGCGCAATTGGCATGACAATCTTCTGGAAAGCAGCCATGTATTCACCATTGCCGACTCCTTGCTCAGCCCAACCAATGTTGATATTCTTCCCCATACCTCGTCCCACACCGCAGTTCTCAAGACCACCGTCCGGAACTCCCGGATCTTCAGGCTGACCTGGGTAGAACTGTCCATTCTGATAAACGTGAAGCGAGATGTAGAGTACGTTCGGATCCTCATAGAACATATTCTGAATCCCATTTCCATGGTGGACATCCCAATCGAGAATCAAGACTTTCCGGCAGACTTCAGGGTAATCCAACATGCACACTCTGGCTGCAATGGGAACATTGTTGAAGATGCAGAAGCCGAGTGACTCATTATGCTCAGCGTGATGTCCAGGCGGCCGAATGACAGCGATGGCATTCTTCACCTTACCAGCCACGACGTTCTTGCACGTCTCGATAGCACCGCCTGCCGATATTAAAGCAGCCTCGTACGTGAGATTACCAACATAAAGTGACTTTCGTCCATTATCAAAGTCGTTAGTCAGTTGTCGAAGATCCGCCGATGTCATGCTCGACAACGACTTCACCCATTCGTAATGCGAGGCAGTATGCACTGTACATATCTCCTCTCTCGTAGCCTTCCTCGCTCCTATCCTCCACATCCACTGATTTGGGTTCTTCTTAAGTGCATCCGCAAGATCGATTGTCAGGCCGTTCCAAATCAAGTTGTTCGCCTTGAAACAATTCATGATTTCCTGTATCCTACGAGGGTCTTCGGGATGGTGAGGATTTGCAGAGAAATCTGCGTTGGCATGAAGTTTCATTCGGTCATCGTAGCAGCAGCCTGTTGGGAGCGATGCCCTTCGGACCTCGACGACGGCTTTCGTGTCTTGTGATGATGGTTGTGACTCGTCTCGTGATTCAGGTTCTGTTGAGTCAGGGAGGTCGAGATCGTCGAGTTGATTTAGGACTCGAGGATCCATGAAGCCGTTCGATGCGTCACCGTTGCTGGCATGTGCTTGCTCGTTGCTGTCGATGATCATGTCAATCTCATTAGTTTGAAGCATTGATGTTGATCCAGAAGCCTCCATGCCGAGCGTTGAAGAGTGAGTGCTGGTTATTAATCGAGGAAAGCGTGAAGAGTTTAAAAAGTCTTAGCTAGAAATTGAACGTGACTCCAATTATCGTGAGGTCAGGTAGCAATTCACCTTCCCTTCTTGAGATGTACTCGCAGTGAATCGGAGCTGCTTTATCAAGAAGGATTTGTAAAATAAGAGTAAAGAAAAGCCTAAAACAAGTCAGCCCAGTGAATCATCAGCAGCAAGTGAATCTGACGATAGTCTAGTTTAAATAGAAAAAAAGTATGAAAGTATATAAAAATCAACCGAATGTCCACTCTCCGAAGCGACAGCCACTCCTCTCCACCTGGCCATTCAACTCACAGACCGGAACAGCAAAAACAATATGACCACTAACGAACTGTCCCTCCATCAAAACTAGAAATCCAAACAAAACGTTCCATGCAAAAACAAACACTCAAAGCACAAAATCAAGCAGCAAACACCATCCTATCCCAACTCATCTCATCAACATACCCTTCCCTCTCAACCTCCCCTTCCGTTTCCTTCAATCCTATACAAAAACCCATCCATCTCCACACATCCCTCCTACCCTCTTAAAGAAAAGGCACTCGCCAATCAAAAAATCGTCTCGCATAAATAAAAGCCGAAAGCAACGCAAGTAAGACACGGAACCACCGCCTCAACTCAACTCGACTTACCGAGCTCCCTCTCAAATGCAATAAACCTCCTCTCAAGTCGCCGCCCCTTGACCAACCACCCTGCGATCTCAACCACCGGAAATCTCAAGCACAGTGTGATTTAGTTGGGCGATGCGATCTCAAAGTAAGAAATCAGGACAAAAGCCGATATGTTGCGTCGGTGTTATACTTGCGTGTTGCTGGAGAGAGAGAGATGCGATACTTCAAGCGACACGATGCGATGCGATGCTTGACCACCTTCCCTTAGGCGAGGATTTAAGGTTAAGCGCTGACGCCCCAGATTTCAGGCATTTACATACCAAACATAAGGCACCAACTAACAGGAGATCTGGGACTTCATGGAATGAGAAGAATCTTTGTATGGGTGGAAGATTTCGGAAAAGTGATTTCAAAAATACCGAAGATTAACTTATGAGTTAGTGAACTTGTAGATAATGATTTATTAAGTCGTGGGGGTTGTTGTAGATAGAGACTGGTATCGGTTTGGTAGGGAAAATGGCAGTTTATTTGAGGCACTGCAGAACACCAAACAAAGCCAACAGGTTCAGCGCATCAAATCTAGACGTACAACGCTTCAATGAGTGAGGTATCTTCATACCTTAGATATTGTACAAAAGGAAAGCAGCTGTAAAATACCATACAAATATATCATATCATCGTCTCATACTAACGTCCAAAAAGTGCACATTTGCTTGCTTCAAAGTAGCATCATGCCTGCCTCAACCGTCCACTTTATTATACCTACCGTCAACCGTCGACCCGATAAAAAAGTGATCCAATCCAGTCTTCTTCACATCCTAAGCTACTAACTTCCCTCCTTACTGTAAGAACCATTCTTTCTTTCGTGCCAAGTTCGCTCCCCCATCTGAAATACCAAATCCAGAACCTAAGAACATCCCACCTAAGGTACCTAAGCTAAGTCAAGTTCCAGACAAAATTCCCTACCATCAAAAAATGTCCAGACATTCATTTTGACTACCTACCTACCTATAGTTTACAATACATGCCTTCAGAAGCGTGGATCGCGATTCGCGACTCAAGGAGCCTGCCTAGCCTGCCTGCCTGGCTTAGAGCCTGCCGTACAGGGGACTGAGAAGGGTAAGAATTAATTGTTGATTGTTAATTGAGTGGAGTATAAGTTTGGCATTTGTTCATTTCATTTTTGTCTTTCTACCTACTGACCTACCTACCTTACCTACCTTACCTACCTATTGTCCATTAACTGTATCCCACCCCTCCACCCCACCCCCAACCCCAACCCCAATGCCGCCTTGCCTTGCCTTGCCTTGCCTTGCCTTGCCTTGCCTTGCCTTTCGTCGGGTGTCGATGACAGTCCATACCCAGGGCAGACCTTAGAATTGAGGATCTAGTATCATAGATGCTTACGATATACAACCAAAAGTCGTAGGACGTTCCCAGGACATTAGGTAAAGACACATCCTCAATACCGCTTCTTCAGAGCTTGTAGTGGCGAGTCGCTTGCGCCCAGGTCGTGCAGCAAAATCCCCCCCCCTCCCCCCTCTGAGCCGGTCCAACAACCTCCATTTCATTAATTAATAAATCAAGGTCACCAAGTCAAAAGGAATTACAATTCAGGCATCATCGTTTCTTTCATTCATAATAATTCAGTTTTTCTGATTGCTTCCCATTCCCCCCTCCCCTTCCCTCAAAGCCTGCCTTTCAATACATCTCTGCTGGCAAAGAAAAAAACAATCATCAGAAACCATCATTCAACTCTCGGGGCGTAGGACATGTAGAGTATGAGAAGAATAATGTGAGTCTCCTACTTTCCTGCATCAACCTTCGCGATGTAGCTGAGGAGGTCGAGAACACGGCGGGAGCTGGTTGTGAAATTAGCATATATTTCCACCACAACTTCAGAATTGACGATCAAGAACAACAACTTGATCTACAATCTAATAATGAAGAGGATTATAATAAAAAGGCAACCTACTATCCAAATTCATTATCATACCAGCTCACCAATTTTACGAAGTTCGCATTGAGGGATATACCCGCCTTGGCATCGAAAATCGATGAGCGCGTATCTCCGTTCAAATCGGTCGAAACAATCTCATCCTCAGTGTATCCGAGAATGCCTGTATTTAAGTTAATAATTAATTCTCAAAATATGATTTTTGAATTTGTTTGGGTTGGGTTGGGTGTGGTGCATTTTTTGGGGGAATGATTGCGGGGCTTGGCGATCAACATACCCTTGAGAGGACCCTCAGCAGCCTTCTTGATGACAGCCTTGATCTCATCGTAAGAAGCACCCTTCTCAAGACGGCAGGTCAAGTCAACGACGGAAACGTTGGATGTTGGGACACGGAGGGACATTCCAGTGAGCTTGCCGTTGAGCTCTGGAATGACCTTTCCGACAGCCTTGGCGGCACCAGTGCTGCTAGGGATGATGTTCTGAGCAGCGGTACGGCCTCCACGCCAATCCTTAGCAGATGGGCCGTCGACGGTCTTCTGGGTGGCGGTGTAGGAGTGGACGGTGGTCATGAGACCCTCGACGATACCGAACTCATCGTTGATGACCTTGGCGAGAGGAGCCAGGCAGTTGGTTGTGCAGGATGCGTTGGAGATGACCTCAACATCGGACTTGTAAGACTTCTCATTGACACCCATAACGTACATGGGGGCATCGGCAGAAGGAGCAGAGATGACAACCTTCTTAGCACCGCCCTTCAAGTGAGCCTTGGCCTTCTCGGTGGTGGTGAAGACACCGGTAGACTCGACAATGTAGTATGCACCAGTCTCACTCCATGGGATCTCGGAGGGGTCCTTCTTGGAGTAGAACTTGACAGTCTTGCCATTGACCTTCAATCCATCGTCGAGAGCCTCGATCGTGCCCTTGAATTGTCCGTGGGTGGAATCGTACTTGAGCATGTAGGCCTGCAGTGATAAAGAGTCAGTTTCTGTTGGCAGAAAGAGGGGATTGGTTGCAGCGGGGTAAGGACATCGACATACGGCGTAGTGGGGTTCAATGAAAGGATCATTGACGGCGACGATGTCGATATCATCGTGCTCGATGGCATTGCGGAAGACGATACGACCGATACGGCCGAATCCGTTAATTCCAACCTTAGTGGGAGCCATGATTCTGCAGAGAAGGATAGATCTTAGAGAGGTGGTTTGACCGGTGTGTTTTGATGGCGGGATAGCAGAGGACAGCGGGGGAGCTCAATCAACAGCTCTTGGAGGGGTTGATAGGCAGATTGAGAGCAGCAATGAATGCTGGACGATGGCGGATAGGAGTGAGTACTTACATGATGATGTGTGTATGGTGTTTTTAGTATGGGAGAAAGTGTTTATGAGGAAGAGAAAGTTCTTTGCTGGAAGATTCGGCGAGATGAAGAGTTTGGCCCTCTGGTCTCGGTTGGTGGGCTGGTGCAGTTGGGTAGGGTCGGTAGGGTAGGGTGGTGGTGGGGTGTTCATTCGTTGAGGCAGGCTAGGCTTGACCCAGACGGGGCAAGGACCACTGGACGGCCCATGGCAGGGCAGGCAGGCAGGGCACTGACGGAGCGCTTGTGGAGGGGCTACGAGGAGAGAAGCAGAGAAGCAGAGAAGACAGAGAGGGGCAGGGCAAACAAAGCCCGCGACAAAGATCCCTCACGTCCGTCGGCGAGGCTGGACAGAGGGTCCTTGATTGGATTATACGATGGAAATTGATTGGATTGACTACCTTGATCGGCCTTGTGCTTATCTCACAATTTCATCCCGTTGCAAATACAAACAGCCATGTGCGCCGCTTACATTACAGTACAGCTAACTTTACCTATTTCTTTTCTTTTCCTGTCATTGCTTCGCTTTGCCTCTCCCTTTTCGCTTCAGATGATCATACAAATTCATAAATACCGCAACCCGTCTGGGCTGTAACAGGCAGAGCGGGATTACAAGGTGTCATAGCAAGGCTGCTCCGGTATGGTCTGGTACATCTACCCAGTCTACGTAGGATAATGTTTCACCGGGTGTATCCCGCTCATACAGCCAAGCCCAGATGCGTTACGTTTCCTTACTCACCTCTTCTTCTGTGCCCGCCGACTTTATTTCTAGCTAGCTGAAAATACCCTTCAAACGGATAAACAAACGAAAACAAAGAGCTCTTTTTTGATGCCCATTATTCCAAGCACAGCCTCGCCTGTCCGGCTCTGTCTTCCTGGACATACGGGAGAAGTCGGTCCAAGGCCCTGTCCCGAGTCTCCCCTTTCCCTCGCTTCCCCACGATAATCCGGATATACGATTCTCCAATTGACCAATTCCTATCCGACATTATCGTCCTGGGTCTCCTCTTCTCTCCCCTTCCCCAGATCTCCAATGCTCCCGTCCGTTACTTCTCGTCTGCGGTACTTGTCTTCATCCTCGTCGTCGTGCTTCCCTCCCTCTCTCTCTCTAGCCCCATACATTTTCCAGATCCAAGAGTAAGGATCAGGCTCGTAACCCTGTGGACCTCCTAATCGGTCCTTAGTCGGGTTGGCTTACTGTTCAAAAGGGTGATTCATCCACCTTGCCGGCCAGTTACTCGCTCATACCATACCTTACCCTACATCCATCACCTTACCAACGTGCTTCATATTGCTCCAGTCTGTTCAGTACTGTGTTTGAGTCACACCATACCATCCATCACACACACGTGTACCTCAACATTTTTTCACTTTGCATTCGCTTGTTTTGCTTGGTCTTGTATCCCCTTGCTTTTGTCTTATGTGTGTGCTTTGCACGTGAGTTATGGTGTAAAAAAGTGAGTCAAAGAATCGAGTTTGGATTTTTGGCAATGATCACCTCATACAAAGATCTAGTCTTTATCTTTTGGTTCTTCGATTGGCGGCTGTTGCTGGTGGCGCTGGGAGATTTACGAGCGGGCAGCTCCGATGTTCGCAGCGCTCGCTTGGTAAGAGGGGCAAAACGTGAGGGATTTGCAAAGGGCGTGATGTTGATTTCTCACGAGTTTGACGTGATGATTGAGATTTCACTTCAGGCGTTTGAAGGCTGTGTCAATTTGAGTAATGCTGACTCGGAATCATCTAGATCCTCATTTATCTTCGTTCTCATCGTTTGGCTAATCTTTCAAGTAGTACCTCACGTGATCTTCAAATAACTCGTCATCAAGCTCAAAGGCCTAGTACTTGCCACTGTTTAGAATGTCGTTAGCAGCATTCAAGAGAACCTGTTACGGGTTAGAATAGGTAAACCACATGTACAAAGCTGATACTCAGCTCTCTCACAGTCTCTCACTCTCTCGCTTATCTTCCAGTACTAAGCGGACTCTTACAGAAATCCATTCCTCACGCATTCTTCTTAAAAATATCTACATCTGTAACTTACTATCTTATCTTTCACTACTCTGCCTATATCCTCTCTGCAGCGCCTAGTTGTGTCAATAGATGTACAGTTGCGTGGGACGACGTGGTGGGAGGCGCTCTAATCGTTATCAGAAAAAGCAACGGCAAGTAAGCACGCATTTGCACCCACCCCACACAACAACACAACAAAAGCTGTCTTTTAGTCAGGTGGGTATGTTATGCAGCAAGTAGTGCAGATGCAGATAGTATTTTTGATTGAAATCTCTCACTGTGATGACCTTGATCACCAGCTTGACACTTTCTTTCTCGTCCTCATGAGGAGCCTGCACTTTCTGAAGAGACATTCCTAGTGATTTCCTCATTCAAGGCAGCGCATACTCAGTATAATTTATTTGTCCTGCATAATTCATTTGAGCTCTATATTTTATTGGGCAGCTTGCTCGAAAATTAGAGGAATGATACGGTATTCCAATTCGAGTGTCCTGGGAAACTCGCTTATTGCTTTTTACGTATATCAACAGGAAACAGCGTTTATCTGCCCTCATCTCGCAAAGCTGTGAAACAGCTTTTGTTAGCGAATGATTGTCTAGTTGTATATAGGGAGACGAGATTTGGGCCATTGGTGTTTTTTCTTACGTTCAGCAGGTACTGTGGTTAGTATTTTTCTGACTTATTTCACGTCCGTTAAATCTCCAACCAGATAGGTTTTCTTTCTCATCCAGTTTCATCTCACCCATCCTCCCCATTATCCCTCCACTTCCTTCTCCTCCCCTCTCCTTCTCATCTAATAATTCCCCCACAACAACTTCCACCTAACCCTCCTCTCATACTCCCTCCACTCCTCCCCATACCGTCCCTCCATGTAGTCTTCAACACTCAGCACGCTTCCCACGTATTACTACCCATCCCCCAAAACACCAACACCCCAAACGCCTACCCCCCAAGCATACAGCCCAGCGCCGTCTTCCACAACAACCCCGTGAAACTCGGATGTCGGACTAGAGACCAAGGTCCAGTGGTAAGCACCCGGTTCCCTCCCCCCTTCTCATCCGCATCTTTCTTCTCCTTCTCCTTCCCAACCATCTTCCTGTCAACACCAACTCCAAGTTTGAAACAATACTTCACCCCATCACTCCACCACTGCAGCCCAACTCCCGCCAGCACACCAACTACCCCCCCATCTCAACAGTCCTTCACTCCAAGTCGGATTATAAGACGTGGTATACGTGTATAGTATAGTGATACTTGCAGAATATCAATCACCGATACAGCGGTTGAAACAGAGAGCGATCCCCCGTCTCTCCGCGGAGAGGGAAGTATTCCCGCCGGAAGAGAAGTGTGTAGGTGATGAAAATGGCGCTGAATAGGATGTGAAGTGCGGAGAGCGTGAGATTTGGTGGGACAGCCCAGTTTTATCTGACAGGGTTTGTAATTTTTTTGTTGAGGCCTGGGATTTGATGCAGTGGGAATGGGAGGGAGAATTTTCTTGTATGCTGAGAGGTGAAATTTAGTTGGTGGGAGGAGGAGGGGAGGAGGGGCATGGGGGTGTAGATTGATAGGGATTTGGATTTGGATTTGGATGATGGAGAAGAGGAGAAAAGGGTGAGCAGGAGGCTGTAGATTACGAGAAGGGTTAGAAGTCGTGCTAGGACGAAGAAGATGCGTCCTGGGGTGAGGCGGTGGGTTTCGTAGAGGCCGCGGTGTCTGTATTGGAGGCGTGGTTCGGGGTCGCTGGGGAGACGGACACCTAGGCCGGATGGGGAGGAGGAGGATGTTGACATGGTTGGGGAGGGGTTTGAGATTTGGGGTTTGGCAGTAGGAATGGATGGAATTGAGGAAGAAAGGAAAAGACTTTTCCTGCTTTTGAAGGTCAGGTAGCAATTTTGTACGTTTATATACTACATGGTGTGTGTTATGTGGACAATCAGTCTGTGAACATCATGGCTCGCTGATCGAGAACTCCGAACGCGAACGTCTCAGATCAGCTTACATTCTCGCAAGTAGATAGCTCGGACTGCTTGGTAATGATCAATTGGCTGTTTAATAGCAACTATAGAGAGCGTATTGTGTTTGACTTAAAACATTAACGGTAGAAAAGTGGAGGCTGGTGTTAAGGCGTGCAAGCAAGCGGGAGGCGGATGTAAGAGCGCCCCTAGCATAGTGCGGACCGATCTCACTGACCTCTTGATCACTCGATCTTAAAGGTATGGACTTAGTTAAAATGGACTTTGTAGTGTGCAGTCCACAGGCTTGATGTGCCATTGCGCATAACAAGCCTAGGTTTGAGTGTATTTAAGTAAGAATTTTGTAAAAGGTACATGTGGCTGGAGAAGTTGACTTCCCCTATCCGGGACAGATTCGAATAACGAAGACAGATGATAATTCTGATGAATATATCATGGTACAGAAAAACTGAAGATAGGGTGGGATACATATGGATCGGTCCAGATGCTTTGTCTCAAATGTGGTGAATGAGTACGGCAAAAGCCAACTTCAAAAATTTCATCACTTCCCACCACCATCAAATTTCAGAGGAAGACGTATATTGCGGTATCAGAGAAGATGTCTAACGCTTTGCTCAAATATTCACTGCAGAAGCACCATTTTCTTGTAGTTCAACAGATGGGAGATACAGTCCACAGGACGAAGGTTTGGCCACCGTCCCCTTTTCCCTAAGCCACGGACACTGTCGAGCGGGTTTGATATTTCCTGTCCATGCACGAATGATGGCGCCTTATCTACACTTGCGATTTGAAACATGTAGCAAGGAAGAAATACGACTTGAAATACTGAAGCTCAGCACTGGCTGTAGGCTCATATAGTGTCGGACGAAATCAACTCGTCGAGACTTGGAAATCTCATGGACGATGCCTTGATATCGCGGCTTCAATTTCACACCAGTGACCATCAAGGACCCCAAAACAGTTTTCAAATAAACAAAGCTTATCTCTCAAATCTCGCCAAAAACAAATCGACGTAGAGTGACGAAATGATAAAACAATTGCATGTCCAAAACTTTGGCAATCCTGCCAAAACCATTGGTTGCAACCAGACCTCCACGTGATTCCAAGCTCCCGAACAGCTCCACTTTTCCAGCTCCTCGCTTGTAAAATACCTTACGACTCGTCCCTCAAACCACTCCTCTCCAAACCCATCAATCGAACCACCTGCATCCCGACATCTCCTCTCCACTCTGCAACACGTCCGCAGAGCTCAATTGACTTGCTGCCTCTCCCCATCTCCCCTCACAGAACCACACACTCGAAAATCAAGCACACGGCCGACACAATGCTCCGCCAATCCGCTGCGCTCCGGGCGATCGTACGACCTGCTGTTGTAGGGAAGAAGGGAGTGAACTCCGGGTTGGCGTTGGGACAGAAGAGAGCTGCGCATGCGATTAGCAACCCGACTTTGGCGAATATCGAGAAGAGATGGGAGGGTCTGCCACCCCAGGAGCAGGCTGATTTGTGGATGGCGTTGAGGGATCGTATGAAGGTTAACTGGTCTGAGTTGACGTTGCAGGAGAAGAAGGCTGGTAGGTCTCTCTTTCTCCTCTATCTTTCTAGGCGTATTGTACGAAACGGTATATTGTCTGTGGTGGTGGAGATGGGTTTCAATGGCTGAAGATGGGCAATTGGTGGTGCTGGGGGTTCAACTGGTCTCAGCGCGTCTCAAGGGGCACATCAACACCACGCAGACAAAACCTTTCCAGGACTCAGACTTTGCTCCAACCATAATTCTAAGCAAAGTACGAAAAGACCACAAGCTAACGTACTCTCGAACAGCCTACTACATCGCCTTCGGCGCCCACGGTCCCCGCGCCCAAGCCCCTCCTAACGAAGGATGGAAGGTTTTCGGCTATGTCTGCGCAGGTATCGGAGCTACATTCGTCCTGTTCGCTGGTATCCGATCATTTGCTAAGGGAGGCCCATCGACTATGAACAAGGAGTACCAGGAGGCTACAAACGAGTACTTGAAGGTATGTTTATACGTCCCACTTTTCCGTTACTTATTTGAGATGTTGGTATATTCTGGAAGAGGAGGACAGATGGGGTATCAAAAAACGGGACAAATGAGCCATATGACTGTGTATTACAGACAGTTACTAACTCCTCTCCCTACTACAGGCACAAAACTCGGAACCCATCTCCGGTATCTCATCCGAAGGATACTCCGGCCCAGGAATGGTCCAGAGCGCTCCAAAGAAGAACTAGATACCTCAACTCAACTCAACTCCTCTATTCATCACACCCTCACTCAATCTCGACCGAACATTTTCACGTCCTGCTTTCGCTGTACCGCATCCTCGACTCTCTGATTTTCTTTTGTTCTGGACTGTAGATAGCTGGGTTGGGTGTGAGGGTGAGGAGATGTTTGGGTAGGGTGGAGCATGGACGTGGTTATTGTGTGGTGGATGATTGAAAGGATGGGTGGGATGGGATGGCATGAGAGTGGGAGCAGGGGAGGAAGAGTATGGGGTGAAATTAAGGGAGGAGGAGGGCAGGTAGAGGAAGGAAAATGGTGGGAGGCTGGGTGGGACTTGTACAAAGTATTACTGTTTTTTATTTTCTGCGCGTAGAAGAATCGATCTGAATTGAACTGAACCGATATCAATGCTCCCTGAACCGTGATTTTGCAGGTCGAAATGCTTCGATTATATTTCATATTTCATTACATTTCCCTTCATAACATTCAATGCATATCCTTCCCTCCATTTTCCATATGTACAGTTCCCTCCCTCCTTCCCTCCCTCGCTTCATTCTCTAGCACCCCCAATTCATCAGTCAATCAGTCATTCATATCCTCATCCTCATCAGATCATTCCACCCTCTGCTCCATCACACATCACACATCACACATCACCCCTCCTACATCCCACTACTCCCCACCCTCCTAAACCTCTCAAACCCCCTCCCCTGCTCAACCCCATCTCCTCCTCCCCTCTTCTCACCCCCATCCTTCTCCCTCGCCTCCCTATCCTTCCACGCCTCCTCCTCCCTCTCCCACGCCTCTTCGAACGCCCGACTCTGGCCTCTGCTCCAGCAGCGAGGCATTTTGGCTTCGCTGGTTGGGACATCCCCTGATGATGAGGAGTTTTTGGAGGATGACGAGAAGGAGGATGACGAGAAGGAGGAAGAAGAGGAGAGGGAGGAAGTAGAGGAAGGAGAGAAATGCGAACGCACGAATGATTCGTCGACGAGGCAGAAGCGGATGGCGGAGCCAGGGCCGTGGAACATTATTTCGGAGAGGAGGGATTCGAGGATGGAGCGGAGGCCGCGGGCGCCGATTGCGTTGCTGGTGCCATTACCACTTGCTGCTGTTGTTGATGTGCTTGTTGAAGAAGCTGAGGATGAAGTTGGGTGTGAGGATGAGGAGGATGGAGAAAGAACACGCTCAGCAATGGCGTGTAAGGCGCCGGATGTGAATTTCAGTTGGATGCCGTAGGTGTTGAAGAGGGCTGTGAATTGCTTGACGAGGGAGTTCCGTGGTGAGGTTAGGATGGTGATTAGTTGGTGGAGATTTAGTGGTGTGAGCGCCACGGTTATGGGGATTCGGCCGAGGAGTTCGGGGATGAGGCCGTAGGTTTGGAGGTCCGAGGGGGTGACGGAGTCGAGGATGTTGGGTTGTGAGGGGGTGTGTTTTGAGGAGAGGGAGGATTTGGATGATGATGAGTGGGAGGGAGGTGTCTTTAGCTGGGCGCCGAAGCCGAGAGATGAACCGGATGAGAGGCGGGAGGAGATGATCTTCTCGAGACCGACGAATGCGCCGGCGAAGACGAAGAGGATGTTGGTTGTGTCGATGGTATATTGCTCACTTTTGCCCATTTGACCTTGGACTGTATCTCGTCCTCCTCGGTCTAGACGTCCGCCTTCTCGTCCTCCTTCGGTCTTACTGCTGCGATCGCTTTTTGCGTTTACTGTTACTGTTGTGCCTTCTATCATCTTGAGCAAACCTTGCTGCACACCTTCACCGGAGACGTCACGCCCGTGCGTCATGATGGCTGGTTTTGCGAGCTTATCTACTTCATCGAAGAAGATGATGCCTGTTTCGCATTTCTGGATAGAATGCTGAGAAGCGAGGAGGAGCCGCTCGATGCTAGATTCGATGTCTGTTCCAATATAACCCGCTTGCGTTAGAGCGGAGCAGTCGACAGTTGCAAAGGGTACTTCAAGGACACGGGCGAGAGTGCTCAGTATATAGGTCTTTCCTACACCGGAAGGTCCGAGGAGGAGGACATTAGATTTCTCGATTACGGTGCGAGTGTCTTCTGGAAGGGGAAGATGGCCAAGTTCTGGGTCCGGAGGCGGAGCAGCTGAGCGATAGGGTGAGGAGTTATTGTTTAGGTCGATAGTTTCGATGTGACCTGGATACTCATCTGTGGAGGATTAGTATAAGTTCATAGTAAAATATCTCGGATGAGTGTAAATGGAAGCGATGGAGATGAAGCAAGTCAGCTGATAACTCACTCTCAACTGGATGGGAGTTCCTCTCCTTCTCCCTCAACTCCCATCTTGCTTCCTGCTCAGCCTTTGCATGCTGCTCTTCTTCCAGTCTCCGTATCTCCCTAATACGCTGATAATGGTTGAAAATAGCCACACTAGTCACCTTCTTCGCTTTGTCTTGTCCTACTACATATTTATCCAGATGCTCCTTCAATAGCGTGGGAGTCAGCCTTGGAGCTCCATGGTTTGAAGCTTTTGCTAAGGGCCCTTCCGTAGGCCGACCCGGTTCATAACTGCCTGTGAAGCCAGCATTCTGAGACTCAAAGCCTGCTCGATAGTATTGCGAGTCTCTGGCTCGAAGAGTGGTGGTTGAAAGTGGGTGGCGAGGTGGTGGTCTAAGTCTAAGTCTAAGTCTGGATTGAAGAAGGCGGCGTCTAGGGAGTCTGGCGAGAGCTGAGGTCCGGTTGATGGCCGGCATGGTGAACAGGGGCCGAGGATCATAACTGCTTCGAGAAATGAAGCTGTTGATGTTGATGTTGATGTTGATGTCCCCAAGAGATGCACGTGAAGGTCAGTGTTGAGACCAGTCGAGTCAAGCCCACTGCGGGGAGAGCTGTCCATCCGCCTAAGCGAGGGCCTAGAGTGGAATCCAGTGGGTGATTGTCTGGGGAAAAGAAAGTCAGTTTGAGAAGAGTCTGTGGACTGATATTATGGGATGAATCTTTATTCTCTCAAACTACAATTTTTGGTTTTAACCTACTCGTTTACATCTACTCTGATTCAGACCACAAATATCTCACTTTCGATATCACGTTTCGCGATATCGTTGAGTTTGTCCTTCTCTTCTGAGGCTGGCGTGTTCACACCCTGATCCCCCCATTCCCTGCAATGGCCAGGGCTCGACGTCATTGGGCGTGGAAGCTCAACACCTCAGCCAACCTCTGCCCGGCCAGTGAAGACCCCGCAGAAACGCTCGCTCATTTGGTGCCAGCAAAGGGAGAATGCGGAGAACCGTTTCTTTAATTCTTGATTATTGAAAAAAGCAGAATTCTCTTCTTTGCTTTACTTCATAAGCACCTTTTCTCTCCTCAATTGTTGTCTTCCAAGGTCAACATTCAGTGCAATTGACGAAGCATTTACAATCGCAGCCCCAGCAACCAACTTTGAAGCTAACTTGGAGCTCCCCTCCACCGTCTCCCAGCTCTCCCTCAATCTGCGAATACGATCAAAACACCAGAAATCCTGCAAGATGGATGCCACGAACGAGAACTCTGAGAACTCCGTCCTAGGACAAGGAGCTGCCGACGGATTGCCCAACGATGGCACGGGTAAGTTCGCAGACTTGCTGCACCGGACCAACAGCTGATCCTGGCAGGCATTATCAAGCTGGATCCCTGGCTCTCTCCCTTCAAGGAGGAGCTCAAGAAACGATACAGCAAAGCACAAGACTGGATCCAGAAGATTGACGAGACCGAGGGCGGCCTGGAGAAGTTCAGCAGAGTGAGTAATCCCAAAAGCATTGCCAGTTTCTGTACTGACTTTCTGCAGGGCTTCGAGAAGTTTGGAATAAATGTGGACAGTCAGAATAACATCACCTATAGAGAATGGGCGCCTAATGCAACGCAAGCATTCTTTATTGGTGAATTCAGTATTTCTCTCCTCCCTAGTAGCAGAGTTCCTTTACCGGCTGGCGTGCTAATGTCTAGGTAGACGATTGGAGCAGAGAGTCACATCCTATGAAGAAGGACTCATTTGGTGTATTCGAAGTTGTTGTACCTGCGGTAAATGGAGAGCCTGCCATCAAGCACAACTCCAAGGTCAAGGTACGTAACTCTTCCCCATCTGTCAACTCTCACTGACTTCGCAGATCTCCTTGATCCTACCGTCCGGCGAACGAATCGAACGCATACCTGCCTGGATCACATACGTTACCCAAGACCTCCACATCTCCCCAGTCTACGATGCCCGATTCTGGAACCCCCCCAAGGCCGAACGATATGTCTTCAAGCACCCCAGACCCAAGAAGCCAGAGAGCGCGAGAGTATATGAAGCACATATCGGAATCTCGTCTCCAGAGTTGAGAGTGTCCACATACAAGGAGTTCACGCAGAATATGCTACCGAGAATACAACACTTGGGATACAATGTCATTCAATTGATGGCTATCATGGAACACGCATACTATGCCAGTTTTGGTTACCAGATCAACAGTTTCTTCGCTGCAAGCAGTCGATACGGTTCGCCCGAGGAGTTGAAGGAGCTCATTGATACTGCACATGGAATGGGAATCGTTGTTCTTCTGGATGTGGTTCACAGCCATGCTTCCAAGAACGTTCTTGACGGGCTGAACGAGTTCGATGGTACGGACAGCTGCTATTTCCATGGTGGACCAAAGGGAAAGCACGAGTTGTGGGACAGCAGGCTGTTCAACTATGGGAGTCATGAAGTCCTGAGATTCTTGCTAAGTAACTTACGGTTCTGGATGGATGAGTACATGTTTGATGGTTTCCGATTTGATGGTGTTACAAGCATGCTTTATACTCATCACGGCATTGGAACGTAAGTTTGACTACTCATGACGATTTTTCTTGCTGACATATGCAGGGGATTTTCTGGTGGCTACCACGAGTATTTCGGTCCTGGTGTTGACGATGAGGCTGTTGCATATCTCATGATTGCAAACGAGCTACTGCACAACCTATACCCAGAGACGATCACAATTGCTGAGGATGTCTCTGGAATGCCAGCTTTGTGCGTCAATCTGTCACTTGGAGGAATTGGATTCGATTACAGGTTAGCTATGGCTATTCCTGATATGTGGATCAAAATCCTCAAAGAAGTAAAGGATGACAACTGGGATATGGCGAACATCTGCTTCACTTTGACAAATCGAAGACATGGCGAGAAGACAATCGCTTATTGCGAGAGTCACGACCAAGCGTAATTTTATCACCCCTACGAGTGGATTGAAGCTGACAAAAACAGATTGGTTGGAGATAAATCCATCATGATGCATCTATGCGATGCTGAAATGTACACCAACATGTCAACTCTCACACCCTTCACACCGATCATCGAGCGAGGAATGGCTCTTCACAAGATGATCCGACTCATCACACACGCCCTCGGAGGAGAAGGATACCTCAACTTCGAAGGCAACGAGTTCGGCCATCCCGAGTGGCTCGACTTCCCTCGTGCCGGAAACGACAACTCTTTCTGGTACGCGAGACGCCAATTCAATCTCACACAAGACGATCTCCTCCGCTACAAGTTCCTTAATGAGTTCGATTCCGGCATGCAGCACGCCGAACAGAAATACGGCTGGTTGCACTCACCACAGGCGTATATCAGCTTAAAGAATGAGGCTGATAAGGTCATTGTGTTTGAGCGTGCCGGCTTGGTTTGGGTGTTCAACTTCCATCCTACTAAGAGCTACCCTGATTACCGAATTGGTATCGAGCAAGAGGGAACGTACCGTGTGGTGCTCAACACTGATACGAAGGCGTATGGTGGGTTTGAGAGAATTGATTCGGGAACGAGATTCTTTACTACGCCGTTCAGGTGGAATGAGAGGAAGAATTTCACTCAGGTTTATATCCCTACACGGGCTGCTATTGTAAGTACCCCCTCTTCCTTGCCCTTTCTTCTATCCTGCTTACTAACAACATCATTAGGTTCTTGCTCTTGAATCAACTCTTTGAGTCTAAATGCCCGGGTGAGAAGGGATGAGAGGTGATGGGAGATGGGAGAGGGAGAATGATTGTACATCATAGCTATGGTTCGGAGACTGGCTTTTTCATATGTCTTTAGATGAGTATTTTCTTCACTTTCCGTCGGAGAGTTGCTGGTATGCATGCATGCGGTTAGGTAGTGATAGGCAAAAATTGATAATCAAGTCCGTTCGCATGTTCGTGAATAATATGTCTTGAATCGAGATATATAGAAAAGAGAGGTGTCTGCTCTGAGCGCAGTTATTGAGGTATCAAGGCACTTCTTCTTGTCTCGCATCCTGTTGGTTCGAGCTTTTGGCGGGCATAGGGGTCTCGTTTGATTCGATTCACGCTTTATGTATAAGCATTAGAGATGACAATTCTTACATTTCATCCTGAGAGAGCGTCCTCATATGAATAATATGGAAGGGAAATGAGAGCATGCCACGATTCCGAGCCTGGATATATTGTCTCCTCGAGCTGGAAAGTTATGGAGGAAATATGCAACAGTCAAAATCGCGATTGGCATTTGTTGAATATGGTGTGCTGATAATCAGAAGATGCTGTGAGATTGACCGTCTTATGGAATGCAATGAAAATTAGTAGAAACGGCTGGTGTGAAGGCACTCTTAGAGCCTGGAAGGCAGACTTTGAAAGGCACTGGATTGAGGAGGCGTGTCAGCTCGGCCGGACTTCGCAACACACGATGTGGTTAGTATACGACGATTGGTCTCAGTTCGTAGAGTTTGAACTGATACATGTAATGAGATGTAGTCTGCAGAGTCATCACTCACTACATGCTCATGACTCTCGAAGGAGTCAGGAGGCACCTCTCCTCTGAGTTTATTCCATTGTTTTGATGTTCGGCCATAGTCGGGTCGGCTAGGTGGACCAATAATGTCACGTGTAGACTCAACTAACACATACCAGGTCTAGCGTGAAAACAGGGCAAATGTCAAGCTGCCGAGCGAGCCCAACCTCCAAAGTCTACTCCTTCTCAATTCCATCGTCCTCCGTATCTCCACTCCCATCCCATCGCTCTTCTCTTTTTCATACAAGATGTTCAGGAGGTATGTACTGTCCTTGGAAGCTGTCTCCCGCTGTCCGCCAGCTGTCAATTGATGTCAATTGATGCCAGAGGGCGGATGGAGCTAAAAGACCTCAACTAACACGACTCCTCATTCCAGCGCCCTACAAAAATCTGCCTTCCGGGCCTCCAAGAGTGCCTTCAGACCAGCCGTCTCGACTGGCTTGAGAGTAGCTGGAGCGCGCTTTGCCAGCGATTCTGCCCTTCACGGAAAGATTCATCAAGTTATCGGAGCTGTCGTAGATGGTGCGTACCCCGAAAATTCTTCCGACGACGTCAAGGAGCTCCGGATCGAACGAACATTCATCATGGAGCTCGACAGATACAGGAACTCAACTTGCTGATACTTCGTGACAGTAAAATTCGATACCGACAAGCTTCCTCCTATTCTCAACGCCCTTGAGACCGACAATGGTGGCCAGAAGCTCATCCTCGAGGTCGCGGTACGTCAACAGCATGGAACACATCATCGCGCGGGGACTGACAATTATAATAGCAACATTTGGGAGAAAATGTCGTCCGAACAATTGCTATGGATGGTAAGGCTTCGCGATCCATCAAGGTCAATGGCAGAAATTGACCATACAAACAGGTACCGAGGGTCTCGTCCGTGGTCACAGAGCAACCGATACTGGTAACCCAATCATGGTACCAGTCGGTCCAGGAACTCTCGGTCGTATCATGAACGTCACTGGTGACCCAATTGACGAGCGTGGTCCCATCAAGCACACCAAGAAGCTCCCAATTCACGCCGACGCTCCCCCTTTCACCGATCAATCTACCGCTGCTGAGGTCTTGGTTACTGGTATCAAGGTCGTCGACTTGCTCGCCCCATACGCTCGTGGAGGAAAGATTGGTCTTTTCGGAGGAGCTGGTGTCGGAAAGACTGTGTTCATTCAAGAGTTGATCAACAACATTGCCAAGGCACACGGTGGTTACTCTGTCTTCACTGGTGTCGGAGAGCGTACTCGTGAGGGTAACGATTTGTACCACGAAATGCAGGAGACCAAGGTCATCAACCTTGAGGGAGAGTCCAAGGTCGCCTTGGTCTTTGGACAGATGAACGAGCCCCCGGGAGCCCGTGCCCGTGTTGCTCTTACTGGTTTGAGTAAGTATTGGGGAACTGCTCATGCCCGCTTTCCGAATGTCGCAAGACTTTCTGGAGACATGTCCTATCCTCTTCTCAAAACATTCTGGGTTGACAACTGCTAACTTTTGTGTTTCTTCAGCCGTTGCTGAGTATTTTAGGGACGAAGAAGGACAAGATGGTAAGCTTAATTGAATGTCCCGACTGGATTTTGGCACTTTGGCTAACTTTTATCCTCCAGTGTTGCTCTTTATTGACAACATTTTCCGTTTCACCCAAGCTGGTTCCGAAGTGTCTGCTCTTCTCGGTCGTATCCCATCTGCCGTCGGTTATCAACCAACACTCGCCGTCGACATGGGTCTCATGCAAGAACGTATTACCACCACCAACAAGGGATCCATTACCTCCGTCCAAGCCGTCTACGTGCCCGCTGATGATTTGACTGATCCTGCCCCTGCCACCACCTTCGCCCATTTGGACGCCACCACTGTGCTTTCCCGTGGTATTTCCGAGTTGGGTATCTACCCTGCTGTCGACCCTCTGGATTCCAAGTCCCGTATGTTGGATCCCCGTATTATCGGACAAGACCACTACGACACCGCCACCAAGGTCCAACAGATGCTCCAAGAGTACAAGTCCCTTCAAGATATCATTGCCATTCTTGGTATGGATGAATTGTCGGAAGCAGATAAGTTGACTGTCGAGCGTGCCCGTAAGATGCAGCGTTTCTTGTCGCAACCATTCGCTGTTGCACAGGTTTTCACTGGTATCGAGGGTGTATTGGTTGAGTTGAAGGATACTATCAGATCGTTCAAGGCTATCATGAACGGAGAGGGTGATGATCTGCCAGAGGTAAGCATACCCTATCTAAACTCTGCTCACGTCACACAATGCTAACTTGTCTTAGTCTGCTTTCTACATGGTTGGTGATATTGACCACGCCAGATCCAAGGGAGAGAAGATTCTTGCAGACCTCGAGAAGAACTAGAGTGCTGGGGGGTAATAGATGAGTGTGGAAACCGACGGAGGTGTGTATATTTTTGCGGGAATGGTTTTTGCGGTTTATGCAGAGCGGGTAGGCAGCATTTGATCGCGGGGCTGTGTACAGACGTGGAAAAAAAGACCAAATCCTCCTTTGATATCACATCTCCTTAGCTTGTAACAAACAAATTCTCCTTTTTTTCGTCCAAAAAACATAATGGGCTTGCTGTTCCTTCTGCTGTGATGTGATCGGTGATGTTCTGTGAGATGTTCATGACTTTGCCGGATTGGTTGTAGTTGTTAAGTATAGGTAGGATGTAGGATGGGCATGTGAGTTAGTACTGGATTGCTTTGATGGTTGCTGCTCATATAATAAGTAAGCAGGTTGCTTTTTCTAAATAGGGAATCAGTTTCTAGCTAAGATGGGTTTGTTTATCTGCTAGATTTCATATCTCTTCCACAGCATTCGTTCTTTCATTCTCTCCGTGCTGTCTTCCACCCATCCCATCCCATCCCAGTCTAGATATCTGAGGAAATGTCTAGAGTTTACACTTCTATGATCTACCGGTGCTGTACTACCCTGTTACCTCTTTACCTAGAACTGACCGCTTTCTTCTTTCATTGATAGTTAGTCTACGATGATTTCCTGCAGTTTTTGAGGTAGTGTTTGTGGTATTGCTTATTTGCACATATGCTTTGACTTGTATTTTATATTACTTGAATTCTCTTTTTGAAATTTTATATATGTGACATATAATATTTGATAGGCTCGGGAATGGATAGTAGAGAGGCTGGTTAAGTAGTTGGAGGGGGGAAGATGCATTCTGTTGAGGGCAATGGATCGGGGGATTAGTACCATGATTAGAGAGAGGTTTTACCTTACAGGATATCGTCCTCCCTACTTCTAGTCGGAATAGGAGATGGGCTTGATCTTGTGAATGCTTACTTGTCATTTGGTCTCTCTTGAGTTACTGCGTATGTAAAACTGAGAAAGAGTCTTATTCCATATATTTGTCATTCTGTTGGCTTGTCCAGGTGTCTTGAAGATCGGGCTCCTATCCCAGCTGTTGACTCCCGCTGCCACATCCTGACCGGTGTGCTCAAACCTTAGCTGGTTGAAAAATGAAATATTGGCTGACAACCTCACTCTGCTACAGATCACAGCACTCTGAGTCCAGAGCTAGAATGAAGATCACAAGACGAGGAAATCAAGGATTTCTATTTTGATTATCTTTTTATCTGACTTTTCTTGTTTCTTGCCCGAGCTTGAATCTTATCCAAGGTTCTGTTGGTTAAGCTAGCTGACTAGCTCATCGCTGGACTTGGCTGATTGAGCCATATTGGCTGGAATGGTGAACATAACTGGCTAGCTCTTGCGATATGCAACAGAAACAGTGCTTCGTACCTATCTAAGAACAACAAGCGAGTACATAATGTTATGTTTTTTTGCCGAAATTCTGTTGCATATCGCACTTTTCTGTGTCGTTCTCGAAATTGTATTCAAGATCAAGATTCTACTTTCTTGAGTAATACATGATTTTGAGGGAAAAGTGAAGATTCAAGGAAGGTTTGAGTCCTATAGGACTTGCCAAAGCTTAGGAGTATGCTTTGATTGGAGATTCGTAAGATTTGCTTTGTATGAGGCTTTTTGAGCTTCAAGCTTTAATATAACGTCGCAGCCATTTCGAGATGGACATTCACTACCGACTCCCGAGACAAAAGAAGGTAAAGTTTTGTTGCATGTCGCCCTTTTTTATATCGTTTTGGAGAAAGAGCTCGAAGAGTGAGTTTGGTAGATTTGATCATAATCGAGAGCAAGCCAAGTTGGACTATTTGCAAAAACTGAGAAGTGTGACAGGTTTCAAGGAATTCGAAGGCATCCCTGAAGTGAGCCAGATTTCAAATTCCCTTACATGACGTATATATCTCACTGCTTGTTATCGTTGAGAAAACTTTGTTGCACGTCGCAATTTTCCCTTCGAATCCTGATTTCAGAACTCCGGTTCCATTTTCTCAAGACTTCCAATTAGGGGAGAACAAGGAGATTGTCTCTTAAGCAAGAAAGTGCAAATAGGAGGAATCACAGGTGATAGCTAGATGATCAAGGTTGGTGAACAGACTCAGATATGCTCTTGAAGCTCGAATGTCCCGTTTTCGATTGTGAACTTTCAGAGTAGAGTATTCACTGTCTACGAGATCCTCTATTATTGCACATCAAATTTCTTCGAAAAATAGAATATGAGAATTCGTCAATCAAGAAGGATTTCTTGATTTTCTAGCAATTTGAAAATGCTGTTGATATTACACTTTGTTGTGATTTGGCAGTTTCCTGGAAACCGTAAGTGTCTAGAGGCATGGCACAATACAAGTGTCTCGCCAATTGCCACGGGAGCAATCAATTATCTGTCACTGGGACATATCTAGGAAATTTCATTGGGGCTCCCTTCTTCCAATTGTGCTAGGAAGTAACCCAGTATATTAAGGAGTTCACCACTGCTGATGTTTTGAGGAGTGCTCACCTGAATATCTACTCCAAAGTTTTGGTGGTACTTTGCTTCAATTGTGCTTTTGGCGAAGCAGAGACTCAAATATTACATGGTCTTCAAAATGTAGGACTTGCACAGGCTATCGACTTTCGTCTTCTTTCGTTCCAATTTGAGAGTTTTCAAGATAAATAAAGTTTTCTTGTTCGCGGAGGTTTCCTGGTTTCTATTATTATACTCTACCCAGTTTACCCCTATCCCTAGCGAGCCAAACAAGGAAGCTCCGCCGAGGCCAACTGAAGATCTTCAGAAAATACGAGGAAAGTTGGGGTATACACATTCGCCAAGCCTCGCATTAATTGCACTCTCCGAACGAAATGCCAGGTCTTGAATTCATCTATATATTGACGTCAAAATCCGCCGCCCCCAAAAGTCTTTCGGGGTTCGTTCAGCCGTTAGGATTTCTCGCCAAAAGGTCTCTTCGATTTGTTGATTACCTACCCATCAATTCGAGAACTCAAGCGAACCAGTCAACATGAAATCCTCAACTCTCATCCTCGGCTCCTCGCTTTTGGGCCTGTCAATTGCCCAATCAAGCTTTTCCGACGAAGCAGGAAGCAGAATCCTGCCTTCCCGTCGAGGATGTCAAGTCCCGGACGATGGAAGCACACCACTCCTCACGCCTCGGCAAATCCGCCGTCAACAAAACAGCACATTCCCCGAGAGCATCACCGTCCCTGTGAACTTCCACATCGCCAGCACAGAGGTGGATGCGGATCTCATAACCGAAGATATCGCAGCTGCTCAGTTTCAAGTCCTGTACGACAATTACTTACCACACAATATCCATTTGGTATTGAACTCTACGTCTCGTGTAATCGATAACTTGACTGGCTCGTCGTTCTTTGTGAATGAGGCGCCGCCGGGTGAGTATAATTATGTGGATCATCCGAAGGAGAGGGATGCGTATCATAGGAGGACGAGGAGGGGTGGGATTGATGCGTTGAATATTTATTTTTATTCGGAGTATCTTCCAGGAGCGACGGGGTATTGTCAGGTATGTATTTCTTTTCTTTCTCCCTCATGTTGAATTCTCCACATCTTAGAATTCATAACCCTCTCCCCCGTATTGGGCCCTGAGTTCCAAGTTATACAGATAAACCACCAGAATCTCATAACTAACATAACCCACAGTTCCCAACCATCAATCCCCTCACCGAATCCGACGCAGACTTCTGGACCGACCTCTGCGAAATCAGCGGCCGAACCATGCCCGGCATCCCCGTCGAGACCGCAAACCCAGAATGGAACCTCGGCCACATCGCCGTCCACGAAGCTGGCCACTGGTTCGGTCTGAACCACACTTTTGCTGGCGCCTGTGGAGCGGTAGGTGATTATGTTGCTGATACGCCGGCCCAGAAATGGGATGTTTATGGATGTCCTGTTGGGGAGGATACGTGTCCGGATTCGCCGGGGTTGGACCCTATTCATAATTTTATGGGGTATACGGATGATAGTTGGTGAGTTCTCAGTTCTTTTCTTAATTGGGGAATGTGATTATGAAGTAAGGTGGTGGTTTGTGGTGTATTTTGCTGATGATTTTTGATTATAGTACTTCTGAATTTACCCCAGGACAGAAGGAGAGGATGTTTACTCAGTTTCTCACTTACAGACGCCGTTAGAGGGAACTTTGCTCGGAAGTAAACAAACGCCTGAAATCTGCTTTTGGCATATAGGTAACAAACGGACGAATCTGACACCACGAGGTTTCAATGCTATAAAAAAAATTAAAAATGTACATAGTATATGCCAGAACTGTATGAAGATCGTCTATACAGGACGAGTATCAAAATAATTCTAACATCGCTCTTCAACTCCCAAGATAAAATAAGCGAGTATGCAGTATTCACCATATCAAGGAACCTACCAACTGATCCTCGAATGCTACCCCAAACATTGAATCAAGCATTCTCTGGTCATGCACCCTGGAGAACGGTGGGTGGCTGTTGGGAGCCTCATATCCACTTGTTTGGAGATGATGGAGGCTATTCGATAGGTTGACATTTTTATGTGCTGCCGGTCTGGGAGTTGCTTTCTTTTAGTTTCATAAATTTGAAATTTTTCTTTGGCTCTTTCCTGATATCGGAGAGATAATGAATGTTTCTTGTTCTTCTAGCTAGCTGGCGTATCTGGTTTTACTGAACTAATGATAAGCCTTGAGTTCACATCCACGAGACCGGAAAAACGGTTCAGGTTCAAAGAGGCTTCCAGTGAGCTGGATCGAGATTTCTTCTGCGAGGTAGACTTCATTTGGTTCAATGCATGGTATTGATGCTATTCTTTTCCCAACCAGTCCTATTCACACAAAGCATCCATGAACACCAGACACCACACCGAACCAACCCTTCTGACACATGCAAGTAACGACCTCCCCATCTAAGCAAACAGCTCCTTCGTATCAAGCTCATCTGGCTTCTGCTTCCTGCCTCCGCTAGTCCTAAGACCCAACTCTCCCTTCTTCGCCAACCTCTCCACACCCTGCTCAGCCCTCGCATTATACCGTCCCGCCTTCTTCTGTCGAATCTCACTTCTAACCTGGTTCGGGCTCACAAACTCCTTATTCTCATAGATAATCGGACCTCCAAAACTGCCCTCCTGTATCACAATCGGCGTCAACACAAATCTTGGTCCAATCTCCACAAGACTAATCTCCGTCTCCTTTCCCTTCACATTCTTCTCCTTCAGCTTCGGCGTCCCTTCCGCTGTAGGATCAGATGTCACGATCTTCGAGGCCTCCGTCTCGCTGATCTGGTAGTTCCGGATCCAGATCTTGCCATCGGCGAGCGTGAAGCCCATTACGTGGTCGATGAAGGGCTTGGCTTTGCGGGCGCCTTTGGGGACGCCGAAGATGTGGAGGAAGAGTTCTTTCAGGACGCGGAGGTGGGGTTCGCTGTCGAAGGTGGAGTCGAAGGAGAGGATGGGGCGGGAGCCTTTGAGGCAGTTGCCAGTGAAATGTAGCTCTTCCATTGTGTGTACTGTGTTACCGCTTTGTCAGCCAATGCGTCGAAGGTGGAGGGGAAGGGGAAAAGCACGTACAGTTCTGCATGTGCATCTTTACGGTAGGTCCATTAGGTGCCTTGCTCATCCAAAGATACAAATCCTTCCCTTTCCGAGCCTCGAAAAAAAACACATTGTTGCAATTGTATAATTCTGCCAGCTCGTTCAATTGGTACAGCTTTGATTTTGTGTCGAGTTTTGCGTCTTTGCGGCCGTGGGGTAGGAGAGAAGCTAGGTCGTTGAGGAGATGGCGATGTCTATCAAGCGGAAAAGAATCAGCATTACGTTCCAATTCATATCCATATCACAGGCTCCTCTCTTCCCCATCCTCTTATATATTGTGGTAATTGCAGCAAGGCTTCTCACCTATACGTAATTCCCCTCGACGACAAAATCAACACCCTCTGCTTGTTCTTCTTCACTCCATTCGCAGGACCTGTAACCTCATCTTTCCGACCACTGGCCTTCGATAACGATTTGTAGACTGAAGCCATGTTTGCGTCTGTGTGGTGGGAATTGTTGTCGTTGGCGCAACAAGACTCTGGGTTTGGCTGGGGAACTTTTCTGCCATAAATTTCTCGATATCAGAATGCTGCAGCAGCTATCTTAGCGTGGAGCCTTTCTGTAATAGGACTAGCGCGCATGGCTGGGATTCCACCAGCCTCGTCGGCTGAAATGTTTGTTGTTTTCTGTACGTTGCGAGAAGCAGACCTTCTCCTATCAGTCTGTGCATCAGTCTTTCTCTTACTCTGTGTAGCTTCAATATGGCTTCTGACAACCAGGGAATTTCGCTTTTCCGCTGTCCCCCATACGGCTTCTATCCTGCAGCGCAACAGCCCGACTGCCCTCCTCAAGACCACTGTGACCCAGGCTCTTCAAAGCAAACTTAGCACGCACCAGAAGCTACCGACTATACAGGATACTGCTATATATAATTATCACCAATTGCCGACGAACAAAGCGAAAATTCCTGCCTCCTCACTCTCGATTTCGATTCTGTCGATCCCACTTCGCAGCCTTACGAACCCGTGGAGTTTCGAGTAAACCCAAAATATTTCGCGATTCCCCATCGCAGAAGCTCGGAGCTCTTGAAGTCGCAGATTTGTGAGATACCCAAGACTGTATATCGGAGCTCGTCGCTCCTGGGCAGTAGCTAGCAGGCTGTAAGCAATTACGAGATATATGTTCAACGGGGTATTCAGACTTCTTGAACTGGACATACCGTTGCAAATATAATCTCTCCCCACGTAAGGGAGGGGAAGGGGCAAGAGGAGGAATGTGGATTGACGGCTCGGATTTGAGCCCACAAAGAGCAGCTTCTCTTTGAGACAGTTACACAATAGAGAGCTGTGGCGGGCCGTCAATGGCAGAATCAAAGTGGCAGAAGAGCACAGAGAGAAGCATTAAGACGAATTCATTGATAAGCAACCATAGCGATCGTTGAATGCATGAAAATCCATCAGAACCACCCTTCCTGCACGACAAAATACCTAAAGGGAAAACGCAAAAGACAATCCGGAGAAGTCATCAGAATCCGATTCCCTGGGAGACGGAGCTCCCTGTGCACAGCCATCCTAGACTGGAAACCTGAAAATCTTCATGACTCCCCATGCTCCCATCGTAACATGTTACAGACGCCTTCGCCTTGTATGAGACCATCAACCAACCAGAATATGTTTCTCGTAGCGCGTAAAGTGAAAGAGCAGAGCAAGGACCCCTAGCAACATTTGCCGCCCTTGTCTGCGCTCTCATCTGCTGTCTTGCTAAGGGAAATGTTCGTGCCGGCACCAATGTTAGCTTGCGCAGAGTCACCGTTATCGAGCGCTTTCTGGGAGACAATCCGGTAGATTTCTGGTAGGCTGGGTTAGCGACTGCTTGATTGCTTTATGAGGTCCCGGAGTGAAAGGCAAAAGAGGACATACCTGTGAGGATATTTTGGAAAGCTAGCTCAACGTTGCTTGCATCGAGTGCTGAAGTTTCGATAAAGGAAAGGTTGTTTTCGCCTGGAGCCTAATGTCAGCTTCACTTCACGCCCAGACGGAGGGTGTCTCGTACTCGCGAATTGCTTTGCCTCCTCTGTTGGCACAGCCCGCAGATGTCTCAAATCGCTCTTGTTTCCTACCAACATGATGACAATGTTCGAGTCCGCATGATCCCTCAACTCCTTCAGCCACCTGGTAACGTTCTCGTACGTCTGGTGCTTGCTGATATCGTAGACGAGCAGCGCTCCGACGGCTCCTCGGTAGTAGGCTGATGTGATGGCTCTGTATCTTTCTTGCCCAGCAGTATCCCAGATCTGTGCCTTGATTGTCTTTGCATCTACCTGGATGGAGCGGGTTGCGAACTCGACACCGATTGTGGACTTGGAGTCAAGGTTGAACTCATTGCGGGTGAAACGACTCAATAGGTTGGATTTACCAACACCAGAGTCTCCGATCAGGACGACTGCGAGGCAGATTGTCAGTACGCGGAGGAAAAGAAGAAGGAAGAGAGGTCGATCGGAGGTGGGGTCCAGGCTCACCCTTGAAAAGGAACTGTGGAGTGGCGCTGGTTAGTAGAGTTCTTGCAGCGAGATAGAGAGTGTGTGTAGCTGGCACTTACGTCGTATTCGTCATTCGCCATGATTGCTTATGGAGAATGGTGTGCTGTGGTTTTACGGAAGAGAGGTCGAGGGAAAGATGATAATCGTGAGATGAAGATGGACAAGGAGTTGGCGCAATGGGGAATGCTCGCGGCGGCTGTCAGGTTCGAGTCGGCGGAGGCTTGGCACTCAGGCGCAACCGAGGCGCTAATTATTGTGGGTAAGTTAGTGGTAGGCAGTGAGGTTGTTGGTGGGTTGATTTCGAGAAATTCCAGAATAATTGAAATTATATCACCAGTAACAACAACTCCAGATTGGATTAGGGGGAGGTCGATGGAAGAGCAGCACAGTACGGAGGAAGTCTGAAGCGTGGAAGAGAGTTGGTCATTCGTCCTCGGATGGCAGAAGCAGGCCGTCTGTTTCGAAACCTCAAGCACGGGAGGTCTGCGCTCACGATCACGTGTGGATTCAGGGGCCAACGACGTGTACTTAGCTGTTGGTAAGTGAAAATCATATTTGTACAAACCGAATAAGTGAAATAGGTCTAACTTGTGTCCAGGGTGACATCTTGTACGGGGTTGTGGCATGGTACCGGGATGCGAGATTGAAGTGGCAGCTTTTCTCATAGTACGGGCAGGAAAAGAACCACCGTAACCTCATAGGATCGATCGCGTCCGTGACAAACGCATTTGAGCTGCACTTCTCCATAGTCCCTCCTGTTATGAACAAGCTGGCCTCTTTATAAACCAGCCTGCCATCAAGGCTCAACTTTTCGAGGATGGCTCAAACTATGGCTCGACAAGCTGCAATGGCTGATGAGGACGACATCTCCCTCACATCTACAGAGAGTGAGATCTACGGATCAGATGCGGAATTCACAGTTGACCGTATCTTGGCTGAGAAAGGTCCGGCGAAGAACAAGTACTATCTTATCTCTTGGGAAGGATATCCAGAGGAGAAGTCGACCTGGGAGCCTCATGCGAACGTTGGCTCAGACACTTTGCAAGAATGGGCGGAAAGATTGGAAAGAGAAAAGCAAGGTATCGACGAACCGTTCAATGTGGACAGATTTGAGTCTATGATCAAGAGACTAAAAGAGGAGAAGGAGGACCGTCACAAACGACGAGAGGCAAAGCGACGGCGACTCCAGTGAGAAATTTCATTATCTCAGATGTTTTTGACCATCTTTACATCAAACTGACACTGAATCTAGAACGGCTAGGCTTGAGGCCATAGCAGCGAAGCGCAGAAGGCGGGCGGTCAGGAGTGACAGCGACTCGAGCAGTGAAGCCATGGAAGAGAACGAGGTTGAGGATGCACAAGGGATGAAGATCAGAGGCGCCGCAAAACGCACACAGTCAGGATCAAAAAAGCAGCTTAAGAGCCCGATCAAACATGCTACTACCAAATCTACTCCTCAGGTGCAATCCGATTCGTCGTCAGAAGATGTGCCACTGGCCAAACAAAAGGCTCTCGCTCGACCCCGATCATTGTCCTCGAAAAACCTTGCGGCCCAGCAACAGAAACAATCAGATGTTCAAGGAATTGGCAGGCCTTCTCTTCCAGCTAGCAGGAGTTCTGGCAAAACTGCACAATCACAGACAGCTCGTGGCGGGAAAGGGGCTACTAGAGGAGGTTCGAATGTTTTCCAGTCCAGGGACCGAGCAAAAGGAGAGCGCACTGTAGGTCTCCATCAATACTGACCATTCATTTCCTGGTCATTCAACCAGATCTAGCTCGTTTACAATGAGGGTTCACAGCTGACTTTGGAATGCGTTGCAGCTTCACAAGAATGCCATGGATCCCACAAAAAAGCCCAGAACATTTAAAACCATACAACAACAGCATATTGCCGAAAAGCAAGGTAGAAATCTCGCAGATCGTGCTCCGGACGTTGAGCAAGCTGGCGGCCTCTTCGACCCCTCAAAACCGCTTCAGCCTATTAAGGCTACAATGATTCGAAAGCCAACAAAGCAGCGTGCAGAATCCGAGCAACCGACTAGTGAACTGTTCGTCCCAGTGCACTCTCCCAATTCGCAATTGCCAGAAGCAGTCTCAGCTCCAGCTTACCAGTATAGTAAGCCAAAATCAAGTCGTGAGGTATGCTTCTTCTGGCATCGTAACCAGCAGAATGGCCTCGAACCTGGTTGCGTTAACAAGTACGACTGTACTCGTTACCACCACTATGAACCTGGAGCCGACATAAGTCCTGCACCTCCTGGTTACGTTGGGTTAGATCCCAAGTCGACGTATTCAGGACCTGATGTGTGTTGGTTTTGGCATAGAAACCAACTAAATTCCAAGAACCCTCCTTGCTCCAACGGGGACAAATGTTTGCGCCTTCATGAATATAAGGAAGGAGCAAAAATCCTTCCACCTCCTGGATTTGCTTACCCTCCAGGTGAAAAGCCTCCACAAGCCACAGAGCAACTACAAGACGATTCTCCCATGGTACTAGATGACGACAATTTCTCCCACCACGACAAGCCAGATGTTCCGCCACCTTGGGACGAACCAGTAGCCGCAAGTGTTCGATCAGAAAAATCCACGTCTGCGCAGGAAACACCCGCGGCAGAGCAGCGGTCAAATAAGCCTGACATTCTTCCTCCATGGAAGGAGCCGGCTGCAGGTTCTGTCGCAAGCGACCGACGCCCCTATCGCTCGACTTGCTTTTTCTGGGATTTGGCCCAGAAAAATTCAAGCAATCGTTGCAGAAATGGAAGCAATTGCAGCAACCTACACGCTTACGAGCTTGGCGTTCCTGTTGCACTTCCGCCGGCAGGATGGGTAGACATGAATGCACCCCAAAGCTTTCCCACGCCCACGGATACTTCCAGTGTAGACAGACCACAAGGAAGATTCCAATCAGCTCAAGAAACAGGTGTGGACTTTATAGACAAAGCCTCATCGCCAAAGCCTGTGAGCAACTTGAAAGCAGATCAGCCTTCGGATTCTTTTGGACGACCTCCATGGGATCCATTCAGACCAACCCATGCGATATGCCACTTTTGGCACGAACGAGGTACCTGCACGAAAGGAAATGACTGCACTTACTTCCATGATTCGGATATAACTCTTCCCGTCGCTCCTTCCATCTCCAATCAGCAAAGAATTAGGAACGACACCCCATGCAGAGATTGGATCAACGGTCACTGCCATAAGAATGATTGCTGGTTTCTACACAAGCCTCGCGCGGTGAAGAATTCGACCTCACTTTCGACTGCACCTGCACCTGCACCTACATTGGTACCCACGCTTGATCCCGCTGGCCCTCGCAAAGCTACGTTCGACGAAGCAGCGCCTTTGACAGATAAGCTAGAGACGATGCTACCTACTAATAGTGAATTTGGAGATCGATACTTTCGAGACATTCCACCGACAGAACTTCTGGGAACTTTGATCCAACCTTCTCAGAGAAGGGCATCTGGTCCCAGTACCCCAGCGAAGGATGCCTCTTCAACTGGGAAAGGTGAGCCGCAAGTCGATTCGCTAGGTAGTCGCCCATCTGTCCAGCCAAAGAGACGAGCGTGGAGTCCGCGGGATGCCACTAATGCAATATGTCACTTTTGGCACTCCGGTAAGTGCATAAAGCAGCACTGTGAATATCTTCATAGTACAGATCCGACTTTGCCAATAGCCCCTCATCCTTTCGATCTCATTGCACGCACAACTTGCCCGCTCTGGGCGGACAAAAGATGCCCAAAATCAGCTGAAGAGTGCCCATACCTTCATGAAACTACGAATTTTGTTCCTTCTCTTGGACGAGGTTCAGTTTCCGGCTCTCACGATGACTTTCGCGAGACATACGGATCAGGGGAACCAGCTGTTCCACAATCCACGCCAACTGGTGCTCGTAGGAAGTCGGTCAGATTTGCGGACGATTCACCGGTTGCTGAACCGAAGCAAAATGCCCCTGCCGACTCGACGACTTCCCGAGACATCTCTTCATACGGTAGAGAAGGTGGCTCGAGAATTGTCTGCAGATATTTCAATACAGGGTACTGTAAACGTGGTACATCCTGTAAGTTTGCGCACGAAGATCCGTCTCGGCAATCTCAGAGTTACCGCGATATGGACTATGAGATGCCAGATGCTCCTCATGGGGAGTTTACAAGCTCAAACACAACTCCACTGCCATTCAACCGCATGGCGGGGAATGAGCGGCCGCAGAGTGATGCGCCACCTTCCAATGTCGACAAAGATATCGACATGCTGAGGTCCGAGGTAACAAAGCTTGATGTTGGACAGCTTGCATCGAATCCTGGTCAATCGGCTGCACCAATGAAGCGAAAGAAAGTTGTCAGCTTGGGTGACTACAAAAAGCAGAAGGCCGTGGCAAATGTCGGCGAGAGAGCCAAAAACTTGGTCTTTGGTTATGATGCCATACATTCCGCCTTCTTCGATTTTGGCGAGGTGAAACAAGGCCAAGACGAACCGTGGAAGCAAGAGTTCCTCTCGACAACGCAATTTATCTTCAATCAGCTATGCATGGCTCAAGATCTCAAATTACAACAAGGCCTACTTCATCGACGCGCTTTTCAGCATGGCAGTTTACAGCCGGCAGATCCTAGTAATCCATCCATGCTGAAATTTGTTGATCATGTCGCGGAAGAGCTTATTCTCAGGCTTGGAGGCCTGTTGACTACATGTGAGCACTTCGCGATCCTGCTGTATCCGAGCAAAAGAGAAGAATGGAGCTTTCTTGAGCAATCATCCTCTGTGGAGGCTCGCCTATGCTACCTGATTTTTAAGCACGACATCCAGCCTGGAAGCCAGGATTTGCCTGCCAAGTTGGAGTTCGGGCAGCCTTACCGCACATTGTTGGCGGATAAAATACAAGGCATACGCTTGAAAAGTCTCCTCCCTCTCATTCCCAAGGGAATAGGAAAGAGCCCCTTCAAGTTCTTTCTGATGTTCCCGTCGTCTGAAAAGCAAATGGTACAATATTTTTCTGCTTGGATATTAGCCTCAAACGCAGAGTCTCAGATCTACGACAGTCTTTCGGAAGGATCCTGGGATTTCTTTATTAAAAGCACTGACGGATATGGCGTTGTTTTGATCCATGAGTCAATTACTCCGAGTCTTTACCAGTTACCCTTCTTGAGTCGCCTTCTCAAGCATGGTTACATTGCCATCTGGCACGTTTCCGACTCGACTTCACTCTACCCGCTCTACCCCTCGGCTCTTTTGGAGCCAGATCCTCACGTGGGAAGGTTGAGGTTCACGCGCCTCTTCCCACATGGATGTGCTTTCTTACTCACACCCAGTTTCATTATCGCAGAGCCGGAGTATTCGTACCACATCCTCAACTGGTTCTTGAATACCAAGTTCGTGACATCCATAGGTGGCACTTGGAAGCTTGTCTGTTGCCACAATTTTCGGGGCTACCTCCTCGACCTAGCGAATTCCAAAGCCAAGGAAAATCAGGACTTCGAACGAGAACATAAAGATAAGCCAGCCAAAGACGCGATGCTGTCCCAAAAACGATTGGACTTCAGACACTGTGACACACGCTTCAAGCTTTATAAAGCACTGATGATATGGCAATCGAAGCATACAAGAGATGACTCTGATTCAGATTCCGATCGTAATGATGATAACGAGTATGCCTTGGTCCAAGCTCCCAAATCAATCGATCAAGATGATGATGAGGGGCTGATCAATTGGTTTGCTGGCTGGGCCATGTTGAGGCTAGATACATTTCGAAAGTTTCCTGTCATCGGCACAAATTCAGGTAATGTTGCTCTAGCCACTAGGATTAAAGAGATCCAAGTCCCAAAGAGAGACGTTGCGACCACAACGATAACGATCGCCGAAGCTGAAAAGCCTCCATCTCCAGCATCTCTACAGAAGCAGAAGGCCTTGGAGATTGCCGCCAGACTTGGAGCAGCGAATCCGAACAAGGTCTCGTCCGCCATGGAGCTTGATGCTAAGGGTGACGACTCCGACGTATCTATGGACATAGCAGAATCAAGCCCGGCTAGCAGGCTTTACAACCATGGTACCGACGCTCGTCAGTCTCCAGACGTGTTAAAGTTCATTGCCCAGACTGGCTGTGGTCCTGAAGACGCCAATACATTTCTCGCAAAAGCTAACGGTGACTTGACGCGGGCGCTGGAGCTTCGCAGAGTAGAGCCATTTGACTCGTCCTTCAACGAGTTGCTTAACGATGCAGCTAATGGCCGTCATCTTCCTCCAATCACAGGAGGCGAATCCAATGCTCAAGAGCTCAACGATAAAGCCGCCCACCGCAATACCCGCGTCGTCGATAGCATCCCTCAACATGAAGCCAGTGGTGGCTCAAGAAACAGCTCAAGAGACGGCAGCCGGCGCGCCAGTCTCGTCATGTCCCCTGGCGAAATATCTCTTGGCTCCAACGACGGCGAAAATGGAGGTGGAGGTCAATCCAAGAAGGACCGATTTCAACCCGTACAAGAACCTCAGCCTCGAGCTGCCGCTCGGACAGAAACAGATGTCGACATGGACTCATACTCTGATTCGGACGCCGAGCTAGATGTCGAAATGGAAACTATTAGCATTACGAAGACATTTAAAGCTACTTCGGCTTGGTATAGAGAACAGCAGGCTAAGGGCTTGAAATGGGAACATATTACTGTTCTTACGCAGTGGGAGGAGATGAAGAGTTACTTGGGAGTCAAGTAGAATGGCTTCACACCAGTTCCACCCACAGTTTGGGTATTGAGGAGCAGTGGAGAAGTGAAATGATTTGGATTTGGAAGGAGTGTGGGTGCATGGCATAACAGGGGACGTACAGTGATGGGATGGAATGGGATGGGTACATTGGATGCGCAGCCTTAGCAAGCAGGCAAGCAGGCAATGCTTTAATTTGAAATTGCGATATGATACGGAAGGGAGTTTTGTACAATCCTCAAGATACCTCTGAATTTCGGCGTTTATGACACATCCACGGCTGCATGGAAATGGAAATGGAAGTGGAGCGAGCGGAAAGGGTGGATAGATAGATACAGCTAGTCAGCTTGGGTGGCTTTACGTCGATTTTAATCAATGCTAGAATATGGATGCAACTTTGTGGGGGTGATGTGAGGTGAGGTGAATATCGTGGGTGTAATTTGCGACATACTGGATGTGACTTGGCTTGTTTACAGCGTCTCGGTAATCGAACGTTATGAGTAGAGAAGGCGGAACAGCTCTCTCTCAATCCCTCCCTAGGTGCAGCCGATGAAGCATATATACCAGAACGTACTAAATGTAGCCAGAGCAGACAGGTAGCCTTCAGAGAGGCTCTCAAAGATTAGAACAGAAGGTGGGGATATCATATCTATATCCGTTCTATGCTCTGTCGTCTAACGGACAACTAATACCCTCTCCTACTCCGCCAAATAATCCTCCACCTCCACCCCAACACTTCTCGCAATCCCCCTAACCACCTCCCACCCAACCGCAACCCTATACTTCGTCCCCGCATCCAACACATCCACACTCCCAGCACTCCCCATCCTAACCAACAACCTCAAACTCGCCAGCGTCGCAACCGCCATCTGCACATCCGCCGCGCCCTCCACCCTCTTCCCCTTCGCCTTACCTCTCCCTCTCGCCCCACCATCAGCATCCTCTCTAATCGCATGAAAAATCGCTAACATCCTCTCCAACACGAACGCCTGCGGACCGAGAAGTTTCCTAGCTATTTTCCGGTGCTTTGTGACGCCTGGTCGGCCTTTCGTCAATGCGGTGCCGCCGCCCTTTTTGCGGCGCTTGGAGGCAGAGGCTTTCATGAAGAAGGTGGTGTCTGTCTTGGGGGGGTTGAAGGACGCGAGGTAGGCGGCTACGAGGAGGAGGCGGGAGAAGTAGGGAAGTTGGGCGCCGATGCCGGTGTATTTGTTCTTGGCTGTTGTTGAACTTGTGAGGGCATTAGAAGTGGCTTGTCCTGAGGCTGTGTTGGTGTCGGACACGAGATTGTGGAGTAATGCTGAGTCGCTTTGGAAGAAAGAGCGGTTCGCTAGGAGCAGTCGTGAGAACGGCGAGGGGTTTAGGGAGCCGTCGAGGATGGGCTTGATGAAGCGTGGCCAGAGACGCAAGCATACGGAGCGGAATGATATGACGTCTCGTCCTGAGTGTTTGGATAGGGAGTCCCAGACTGCGGAGCAATATCTGGACCAAGTCTCTTTGGTCTCTTTAGGCAGCTCGGGTGTTGGTGTTGTGAAACTGAGTATTTGGAGGAGTTCGGGTTTCGTGTATGCTGGAAAGGAGATGTGTGGTACGCCTGGGATATGGAGAAGATTCGGACGTGGAGAAGTTACAATGAATATTGTAGTGAGGTTTTGGATCTGCAGTTGCCAGTCAGCGATTTGCTTCCACCCGGGAAGATAAACATACAATCTCTCCTAATCTTCCAAGAGCTTGGAGTAGCGTCGGCGGAGCATCTCGCTGACGATCAATGCCATCGAAGACCAGCACGAACTTGCGTGCTTCCTCTTCCTCTCTAGAAGTCGCCCATTTGTCCACCAGTCTTCCCAGCTCAACAGCCAGCTGTGCCAAATTCTCGCAACGCCCAACATTATCATTCCATTCCACCGCCTTAGCTACAGCGCCCACGGTCTGCTCCAGTAAATGCCTGCCACTAATACATTCTGCACTCTTCACAATTGCAAATCGAAGGTTGTCGTTATGCCGGGTGCCATTCGTTTGGCCTTTGGTAGTTGAATTTGAAAGCTCTTCAAGAAGGGCTTTGGTGATTGCGCTCTTACCCGTGGCTTCGAGGCCATGGATGACTGTATTGCGACTGCCTGCTCCTCTGATCTGCGAACGTACTTAGTTAACGTAGGAACGTTGACAAAGCTTGTCGAAGATATACTTACTGAAACAAGCGTAGCTAGGGTTCGAATCTGCTGTTCTCGACAGGGAAAGCGTGCAGAGAGTGCAGAGAGTATAAGCTCATTAGGTAGGGCAAAAATGGGAGCCATTGTGCCTATACGAGGGTTGTGTTTGCAATTATCAGGGTGCTCTTCGAGGTCGCGTCTAGCATCAAGGGAGACGCGATAGCAGCTTATGTAAGCTGTCAGTCCTCAGCCACAAAGCCCTGGCAGGCGGCACGGTTAAGCGCCGTGCAGAAATGCACTAAGAGTGTTACGTGGATGTTGGACGAGGGCGTTCTTTGTACGTCAACGCTCGAAAAGAAGAAAATAAGAACTCTATTTGACTTTGCGGCCTGTTTGAATATACACTTCATTCAAACCAAGTTTCAACCACCAGATGTCCCATGAGAAGCCCAAAGTTATATCACGTGCCTCCATAATCATCCCGACGGATACGACTTCACGATTCAAAACCCTCGACTTTGCTTTATCTTCTTCAAGCTCCTTCTACATTAACGTAGTTCTAGCTGGCTTGTGAAGTACTCTAGAAATCAAGTCATATTATATCGCAGGAGTTATGTCTGGCGAGTTCATCCCAAAGAGACCTCACAAGAAAAGCCGTGGAGGCTGTGGGACATGCAAGTCGAGAAAAGTCAAGGTAGGAAGTCCTTCTAGAAAACAGATCGCAGCTAATAGATCCCAGTGCGATGAAGCTAAGCCAAAATGCGCTTATTGTGAAAAGAGAGGTCTTGTTTGTATTTACTTGTCAAAGCCGACTAAGTCGACACCCACGAATTCTCTCTCCCCGTCGGACACTCAAACCGGGGATTTCAACGGCGACATTCTATTCGACTTTAATGAAGATGTCGAAACCATCGATCGGTCCTGGGAAATGGCACTGCTTAGAAGTCCATCTCCACAGGTTGCTATCCAATCGGTAGGCTTCTTGTCACCAACCGACCTCCGCTACATGCACCATTGGTCCACTTGTACTTGGAGCACTCTCGCTGTTGGCCACTGGGCTGACGGTGTTCTGCAAATGGAAGTCCCAAGCCTCGCCTTCGAGTTCGATTTTCTTCAAGACTGTATGCTTGGCATTGCGTCCCTCCACTGTCAACAATTACTTCCAGACCCGCAAGAAGCTCAGAGGCAAACTGCGATCTATCGTGCACGAGCCTTGAGTAGCTTCCGGAATGCTCTGACGAACCTCAAATGGGGTACTCGGAAGTATGAAGGTGCACTCATCACTTCCCTTCTTCTTGTCCTGCTCTGTTCCAAGGACTACACAATGGGCACCGGAGAGCTCATTGCTGTAAACTGGCTCATCTTATACCGAGGGTTGAGCAGCGTCATCAACTTGAAAACGTACGAGGATATCAGTTCTCTGAGCGTGTCTCCCATTTTCCGCCGCGAGCTCGAGCCACTAAAGGAATCACCTGTCATCCCAAAAGTTCTCATGAATATGGTTCGGGAAATCGACCCAAGCGATCCTGATTTCGCAATGCTGGAAAGTTACTGTACAGCGCTCGACGCTCTAGGAATTCTCTACGGGCAGTTACGTGAAGGCGGAACCGGCCCCGCGCTGTCGATTAGAGTCATCACTTGGCCCTCGTACGTCCAGCATGATTTTGCTGTTGGTGCCCAAGCGCGAAAACCGAGAGTTCTGGTCATTCTGGCTTTTTACATGGTCTTTATGCGTCTCGTGAGGGATCTTTGGTGGGTGGATGGTATTGCTCAGCAAGAGTTTGGGACGCTCATTAGGATGTTGGACAGGAGGTGGCTGCCGTATGTTGAGATTCCGATCAAGGCTATGATGATGAGTACCGACGAGGAGGCTGTGGAGTTGATCTTGAAATGATCTTCTGACCGGATTCGGCCATTAATTTACGGTGCCAAGGTTACCAACCACGGAGGGAAACTTGCCTTACGGCCGTCACGCGTTGGGTTGATTGAGAGAGGCGGACAGGGATTTAGTCATCTTCTCCGACGCTTTGGAAACCTACACCTAGACTTTGTCATTGCTTTATGCTACGTTTGCAACATCAATCTCTGCCAATGCTCCTTAGGCAGCCAGAAAAGAACGCCAGCGCCACACCTCCCGCAACATTGTCAACGAAAATATGCCAGATGCCGATACCTCGACTTGAGCCTACTCATCGCGGATGGTGAGATTCTGGAAAAGACCATTCAACTGCTCGTCGATAATACTCTCCATCTTTCGCTTGTTGTACAATGGTACCTTAAGAAAATCCTCAACCTGGTGAAAGTCAGCAAATGTTCAATGTAAACTGCTGCCCTGATGACCACCGAGATTTGGTTGTTAAGTGCCCGAAAGAGTGGGCACGTACCGTCCAACACGAAGCAAACGGCAACTCTGTTACATGTACTAGCTTTGAAATCACTCGCTGTCGTATCCCCTCTAGCTCAGAGGCCAGAACTTTGTTCATGTTACCCGGTTCCATAACACCTTGAAATACGTACTTGACCCACCGGTCAACAGTCTTCGCCGGTGCGGTTGCCAGAATGTGAGACTTCAGCTCATGCTGTTGTTTGGTCTCCATCCTGGCATTTAAAACCTCCTCCGCACTCTCCGGCACCTTAGGATATTGATATCTCAGCCGCCACTCTTCGACGACTGTTATGGCACGGGTGATCATATCGAAGTATAGCTTCCTATGAGTCGCTTCCTGCAGATCCTCGCTCTCCTTTTCAGTGAAGACATCCCACCATAGCTCAGCAGGGATCGTCTCCTTCATCCAGTCTCCCACAGCATCTAGTTGAACAAACAAGACTCCCTTCATGAGCAACGAATGTAGATCAATGAAGAGCTTCTTCCTCTCTAGTCTTCTCCGAGGCATGGGGACTAGCTTTCTGGTCCCCGTGTCAAAGATCATACTCATGTCCTTGCTGACCCAGGGGAGGCTGAGAAGACTCTCCATCCATGTATTGTCGACAGTGTGGTACTTTGGAGTATCATCCTCTTCACGAGCATTTCGCTCGGTGTTAGACTCCGAATATGTAACTGACGCCCCAGTCATATCGGTATCCTGGTGCACGGAATCGGGAAAGACGTAAGAACGACTCAAATCTCCGGCCTTGACCAATCTTCTCTTTGCGCCATAATGAATGGTCTCTCCGAACAGTCCAGGGAGAGGCTTATATCCACTCTTCGAATAATTCTCACCGGCGAATGGATCCGCAAGGATGTCATTGCCATCTTTGACATCCTTCCACTTGCTATACGCTCTAGGCGTACCTTCATCATCATCTACCTTTGCTCGCCTTCCTTGCGCTGGACTCTCCAGAAGCACGGTCTCATCACCCTCGCTCTCGCCCTCCTCTACGCCGTCTTCCACGCCCGCGAGCTTACTCGCTCTCGGCGTGTCCTCGCGATCTTCCCTCCCGTTCCCTTCCTCACCAGCCTTAATCCACTCTTCAACCTCCATCCTCGCTGATACACTCATGGAGTCTTCACTCCCTGATGTTTCCTCCTCGTCTGTTGAAGCGTCGTTGTCTTCCAAAACGAAGATCGGTCTACTGCTTACGACCAGGCTGTCAGTGCTTTCACTTTCACTTTCGGCGCGCGGGCGTTTGTTGCTAGTTTGGCTGGATGTGGAACTGGTGGGAGTTGTGGGATGCGATTCTCCTTGATCATGGTCGTCTGGCATTGCAGGTCAGGTCAGGCGGGTGGTGACTGTGCTGATGGGACGGTGCGAAGCATTCGAAGGTGCTTGAACTCCAAAATTGGAGACCTCGACGTATTATGGTATGTGCATGGGTCAGCTTTGAGGTGAACACTCGTGAGAACGTTCAAGAGGATGCTCGATTGATGTGCGACTGGGTGAGGATTGCCTAAAAGCACGCTAGCATCTCGCATTCACCTGATTTGGAGGAGCAAGATCAAGCGAGATGCATTCATTGGCTTTTTCGAGGTGACAGCATGAGGCATGTTTGCTTCGAAGACAACGCGGGAGAAGATGAGCTGTCACATTTAAACTTGTTTATTGTTGGACGCGTTATGCAATGTTCGATGGCTGAGTTGGGCTTTGGAAACTGGAGGTTCTGTCACTTGATAAGAGGTGGACCATTCTGTTTTCATCTTCCCTAATCCTAAAGACTCTCTGCCTGCTCCTCGTCTACTATTACAGTCTCATGAAGAAATGGCTAAATGGCCGAGCGTCGTAGGCTAATCTCGTCTTATTCATAATATTAAACCCTTTGGTTGTTACGTCCTCGCCTATCCAAGCTGGATCCTAAGACATTCACCAGAAATGTAGCATTCTGTTTTGAGATTGAATTCCATTTTCATCGTCTCGGCTATGGTTCACGGACATGATGCAACTCAGCCTCTAATATAACATAAGCGATTTGCCAATTTAAGTACCTAGCCATCTGACTTCCCTTAACTCCTCCCACATTCTCTCGTCCAAATCGACTACAACTACAACGACAACCCAAAAACCTTCAAATCAAGATTCCAACCAGCAATACAGTAGGATGAGATCCCTCAATATGCTCTTCCTCCACCTCACCATTCTCATCACCCTCATCACGTCCACCCTCGCAACCGCACTCTTCAAACCAGCTGCCCGTGCAGTCACCTCTTGCGCTCCAGCTCCAACCGTCGCATTTGGTGGTCCAACACCTGAGATGAAAGCTTGTCTGAGTAAGTCTCCTCACTTTTCTCCCCCTCGGCTACTTTTGCTTTCCATCGCAACAAAGTATCCGAGAACATTGCATCCTCTTACTGTGCCGTACTGTACTGTACATGGACATGAATTTATTCCACCGTTCATGAAAACAGAGAAGCCAGAATGCCAAAATGCAGCCTCTATCTTCCATCACTGCGTTGAAGGACTTCCAGGCTCGCAGTTCGATAATTGGGCTTTCAACCCAGCGAAGAATAATTCTGCTACTTATGAGTGTTTATGTGACACTTATCACGATACGTAAGTTCACCTCTCCGCTGCCTCAACTCCATTCTTGTTTCTTCCCCTTTCTCCATCCATCCTCCTCAACTTTCCAAACCCACACAAGACACCACCCACACTCTACCTCCTCAAATAACTTCAAATAACTAACTCCCCCACAGCTGGCTCAACACCCTGAAAACCTGCATCCCCTGCCTCACCCTCGCACTCACCCACCGCCCGGACAAAATCCTCCCACCACCCACCAACCCATCCTACCTCCTCGAGGAAATCCTACTGAATCTCAATTCCTACTGTATTAATACGCATTCCAAGGTTTTTGGACTGCAGTTCTTGATTGGTGCGGGAAAGGGCATTACGAGTAGGTTTCATAGTCCGGTGTTGTTTTTCAATGTTACGGTTGCGGGGGGGCCGGTTACGGATTTCTGAGGGTGTGAGGGGAGGTCTAGAATCTGGAGTGGAGGGAGGCGGTGAGGTGGTGATGGGTAGCGGGCGCTGGTTCGTCTCAAAGGGTGGGTTTACTTGTGATGGGTGAGGTGGATGCTGATTTTGCGATTGTGCTTTACTTCTGGGTGGACTTAGGTACCTGGAGGTAAGGATGGATGAAGAGGAAAAGAAGCGGGCTTTTCGCCCTTATTCTACCTGAATTTTGCAGAATACAACAACATTGCTGGCATGTGTTTCATCCGTAAGTATCTTCATGAAGTGTCATTGTGAAAAATCACTGTTTTGTTCCTGTTAGTATTTCATTTCATGACTTATCCACTCATATCGCTCTACTGCCAAAGCATTCCCTGCAATTCCACAACCATCCCTAATTATCAACCCTGCGCCCCCTCCATCTTCCACTTTCATCTATGACTCTCAAACCACACTCCCTCTCCCCATTTACAGCAGACAATCTCTAAGTCAGCTCTGACGAACTGACATATCCAATCTTTTCGCCTTCCACTTTTGCCTCCCCATCAACACACACTGTTCTATACGAAAGTATATAAACAGCAACAATATATACAAATAACTCTTACACTTCTCCACACTATCCAACACTGTATTCTTACAATTCTGCCCAATGGCAGGCACAGTGCTGCCTCGAGGGCTCCTGGGGGCTTAAATGAGAAGGGAGGAAATGGACTTGATTACCCTGAGAGAGAAAGAGAGGGATTTACACTTGGTTGTACCTGGCGCGATTTAAACCAAAAAAAAGAGTTGCGGGACCGCTGGGTAACTCTTCGGCTAAGGTTGTTTTGTTTACCTTCCCCCCGCCTCCCCACCTCGCCATCAGCAAGCACAAACGCCATCCATCCATCCATCCATCCATTAATTAGTGAATAACCATTTACTAAACTCCGAGATTCTTTTTTCTTTTTTTCCACACGCCATGTAACTTATCATTTCATTTCATCACCTCGACCATCACTTTAGTCATCTCACCAAATCTCAAAAATCCCAAATCCCAAGTCCCAAGCCCACTTGTAACAATTCCTCGGTACATTCACCACATCTGGGTCTAGTCTAGTCTAGCGGCTCTAGCCTCAACTCCCTCCTCCCTCCTCCCTCCTCCCTTCTCCCTTCTTTTCTTGGTCCGTCTCACTACCTACCCAGAACCCACACACCTAAACTACCCTACCTCCTATCTAGACTAAGCTAAGCTAAAGTAAAGTACAGTACTCAATCTACTTTAATCTATCTGACGAACAGCTAGTCTCGAAAACAATAAAAAACATGACTTTTGGATACGAAGGCACATACTAAGAGAATTTCGTGACATGGCGTCACGGCGCTGGTTTTTGAGACGAGAGGTTTGGGAAGAGTGGAGATTTTTTTAGGTGGGAACGGGGGGATGGAGGCATTTGTGGATTTTGATTTTGATTCTGGCAATTGAGTTACTTTGCAAGGATGGGGGGTGGGTATTGAGAGGATATTTTGGATCAGATTACGGGCACGTTGAGCGAGGGAGGTATACCGCAAACTGTTCAGCCGATCGATCGAGATGGAGATGGAGAAGGAAGTGTTCAATTTTGAAAGAGAAAAAAAAAACAAAAGAACAATAACGTCTCGTGTATCTTTGAAATGAAAGATTCAATCATCTCTATATCATGAAATTCATGCTGCTGTTGCTGCTGCTACCTGTCATATACATACATACATCCACACATACATGTAAGGACATAGATAGATACATTCAACATCCCTATACAACCCATCCCTCCCCCACCCCCACCCCATCCCATCCTTTCCTAGCACCCTCTTCTCCTAGTAACCAGTTTTGAAGAAAAGGCCAGAGAGAGTCTGACTATACTGTAGAGTGATGTGTAAATGAGAGTCTCAAGAAAAGAGTAGTAGTAACTCGAATAGCAATAAAATCGCAACAAGAGTTTGTTTAACTTTAACTTTAAAATTTCGAGACCTGCTCGATCAGATCAGAGCAGACTAACAAAGCAGAGCAGAGCTCCAAATCATATCATATACATGCAATGCAATGTAATGCAATGCAACTCGCAGATTTTTCAACAAGAGGTAGATAGATGCTTATGTGCTTGTTTTTGCTTGTGCTTTTGAAGGTGGTGGTGGGGTTGGCGCTGATGCAGGAGGGGTTGACGATTCAGATACAGATACAGGGGCTGGAGAGGCGGGGTAGCTTGCTCCTGCTCCTGCTCCTACTCCTGCTCCTGCGACTGCTTCTACTGCTTGTTTGGCCGGCGCAGGAGAAGGAGATGGAGATGGAGATGGTGGTGTTGATGAAGCGGATGATTGTGGTGATGGTGTGGGAGGAGAAAGTACTGAAGGTTTTGAAGGAAGGAGAGTCGTTACGGGCGTGGGGAGCGTGGCGGGTGGTGTTTTGTTAGGGGGGAGTTGTGCTTTTGCTGGTGCCTTTGCTGGTGCTTTCTCTGAAGCTGGAGCTGGAGCTGGAGCTGCGACTGGTACAGGAGAGGTGGTGTTCAACACTGGTGCTGGTGCTGGTGCTGGTGCTGAGACAGGTGAAGGTGCATAAGGAGCTGTTTCGTTGAGTGCTGCTGCTCGTGGAGGTGGTGCTGGAGCAGTAACGTTCAATTCTGGGGTCGGTGGCAGCGGTGGTGGAGCAGTGACGTTCTGTGCAGCGAGTTTTGTGACGTTCGCTGGTGCTGGAGGGAGAGGCGGAGCGGTGATGTATAATCCTGGGGGAGGAGATGGTGGAGTGCAGGCTGTTTTGTTGAGTGCTGGAGCGGTGACGTTCAACTCTGGGGTAGGCGGTGGTGAAGGAGCATTGACGTTCTGTGCAGCGAGTTTTGTGACGTTCGCTGGTGCTGGAGGGAGAGGCGGAGCGGTGATGTATAATCCTGGGGGAGGAGATGGTGGAGTGCAGGCTGTTTTGTTGAGTGCTGGAGCGGTGACGTTCAACTCTGGGGTAGGCGGTGGTGAAGGAGCATTGACGTTCTGTGCAGCGAGTTTTGTGACGTTTGCTGGTGTTGGAGCGGGAGGCGGAGCAGTGATGTTCAATCCTGGGGGAGGAGATTTTGGAGTGCAGGCTGTTTTGTTGAGTGCTGGAGCGGTGACGTTCAACTCTGGGGTAGGCGGTGGTGAAGGAGCATTGACGTTCTGTGCAGCGAGTTTTGTGACGTTTGCTGGTGTTGGAGCGGGAGGCGGAGCAGTGATGTTCAATCCTGGGGGAGGAGATTTTGGAGTGCAGGCTGTTTTGTTGAGTGCTGGAGCGGTGACGTTCAACTCTGGAGTAGGTGATAGAGGGGGAGCAGTGATGTTTTGAGCAGCGAGAGCCGTGACGTTTGCTGCTGGTGGTGGTGCTGGGAGAGTGACATTCGCTGGTACTGCTACGAGATCCGGCTTGGGAGCTGTCTCATTCAGAGGTGTTGGCAAAGTGAGATTTACTGCTGGGGCGGTAGCGTTTGCCAATGGGAGAGCAGTCTTATTCAGAGCAATAGGCGCTGTTACGTTGAGAGCAAGATCCGTGATGTTTCCTGGTGGTGGTGCTGGGAGCGTCACGTTCGCAGGCACTGCTACGAGATCCGGCTTGGGAGCTGTCTCATTTAGAGGGGTCTGCAAAGTGAGGTTTACTGCTGGGGCGGTAGCGTTTGCCAGTGGGAGAGCAGTCTCATTCAGAGCGATAGGCGCTGGTACGTTGAGAGCGAGATCCGTGCCGTTGGCGTATGGGGCAGTCTCATTCAAGACGACAGTGTTGTTGCTGATGATTGTTGCAGTGCCGTTCTGTACACCAGGTAGGTTTGTAACGGCAGCTCCCCCAGTCACGGTGAGAGTCGAAATTACCGTGATGGGTGGGCTGGAGACGAACGATGTGACGTTTTGACCGGCGAAGGATTGCGTGATGATGCTTGCTTGGCCGGGCATGATGAATTGGATGACAATGATGTTGACTGTGATGGATGTATTTCCCTTGCCATTGCCCTTGCCCTTGCCTTTGCCTCGGCCAGGAGAGTTGTTGTTTGAAAAAGGTGGGTAGACGCCTGGTGCGGCGCTTGGATGTGCGGCATTTGAGGCTGGGCTGCCATCCGTGACGGTCACAACGCTGGGTTGAGAGCCTGCTGCACCGGGAACGGTAACGACTGTTTGGTCATAGCTGAGTGTAGCGACACTTGCTGAGCCGCCGACTGTTATTGTGACGACCTTGTGGCTGGCAGAAGTTGAGGACGCGGCGGCGACGCCATTCACAACGTTACCCCCGTTCACGGTGACAAGTTGTTGGCCTTCAGCTGAAGGAGGGGAGACGGAATTGATTTGCGTGATGGTGACAACTTGAGGAGTGTAAACAACGCCATTGGCTGATTCCACGACAGTGATGGTGGAAGCCTGGGTCTGAGTGAGGGTGATTGTATGTGGTGTTTGAACGGAGCCATCCGCAGACTGGACAACAGTGACAGTGTGAACGGATTGAGGAGGTGCAGATGGTGTGACTGTCTCAGTGACTGTGACAATCTGAACAGAGCCAGGAGCACAAGGTGTGCAAGCTGCTGCAGCGGGCTCTGCACCGACTGTAGTTGTGATTTGTGAGGCGCGAAATAGGCCTCGCTTAACTCTGATGACAATGTGTCAGACTCTATTCATGCTCGGATCAAGAATGAAGGACTTACTCATTTCCTTGGGATGAATCGATTGGGCCAGCAAGAGTAGAAGAAGTGAAAACTGCGACTAGCGCGAACGAAAGAAGATCAGACTTCATGCTGAACATATTGATTGATAGGATAAGAATCGTGAGAAGGAAAAGAATGTTGATGTCAAATCAAGAAAGAATGGGAGGCCCAAGGCAAGACTGGAAGGAATGCGCAGTCTTGATGATCTAAAAACGAAGGGCCAAACCTACTGTTTATAAGTCTTCCATCCGAAGACTTCTGACGAAGGGAAAACCCGCCAGGATCACTCACTCACTCACTCGCGAGTCTAGCTATGCTTTCATCGGAACGCCGAAGCTAGACATTTCTATTCAAGTAGGATCCTGATCCCACCCTACTTGTCTTGATCCGTCTGAATGACAAGGGACTTACGTCCCATTCAGAGAATTCGACGACGTGAAACAACCATACTTGAGGGAATAAACATCAGACGAAGAGGCTATGCTTACCTCAGACTGTGATGTGTGGGTCAACCGCAGCTGATCGACGGATCTGATGGGGTGATGGCTCTTGGTGAAGAAGCTTGTCGCTTATGCGTGGGTCAAAAAGGGATGAGTTGCGAGTGGACAGGATCTAGGAGAAAAAGGAGAAACAGGAGGTTTTGGAGCACGTTTGGAGAGCTTCAGCTCGAGATCTAGAGATATCAGCGGCACTATTGCGAGAAATCTGTGGCGGTGTTTGAAAAAGTTGACTTAATGTCTTGGACCAAAGCAGTCTTCATTCTTCCTTCAACTTGAAGTTCTCCTGAATGATGGGGTTCGACAGCGTGGATTATCCACTTGGTAACGTCTCGAAACACGCAGTTTTGACGTGCTCGTCCCAAAGCAAGTGACAAACAGTTGGCATAAATAAGACTTGTAGTTCCTTCGTTTTGAGTTTCTGTCAGCCACCCAAACTCGACTGACAAAGTGACGACAGCAAACCCTAAGTTCAGATGAAAGGACGAAGAGAGGAACCTGTTTTGAAGATCAAAACCAAGCAAACACATCTCCAAGCAAATCCTCTGTCGTCTCAAGTCCCGAGCCAAGGATCCCTGGAACGTAAGCGAGCGATCATGGCACAATCAATGTATCAGATGAAAAAAAAGGAGGGGATCGCGGCTTCTGCCGAGCTTCTTTTTGGTGATAGGAAAAATGGGGCAGAGTCGAGCTGGGGAATGTTTCGTAGCTAGACCTTGTCTTGAACTTGGGTGGAATAGGGGCTGTGTGGATGGTGATGAAGGAATGCTGCGCAACAGAAGGAAATGAGATGTGATGGAAGAGGTATATATGTTAAGGGATATAGTTTCGAATAGTATTCAGGATGGCGTTGTACTCAATGGACGGTGTTGATAACGAGGCCGACCCGCAGCCTCGCATTTCATGCCACCTCGGAAAATGAAGTTGTGCGGGCACGTGACCGGTCGTGACTTTCAACAACATCAACGTCAGAACACCTTAAGGAAGCGAAGCCCCTTCTGAATGGAGTGGTTTCTTGACCTTGCCTCTGATCGTTGGGTCAGACGATGCGAGTGTTCAGCCGACTTCAGCCACGAGGCCACCTCCTCAACGACCTAGCGCACGTCACATGATCGTACGATCATGCAACATGGATTTCGATCTCTCGTCCGAAAGAAGTCCAACACCGGGCAATATGGCCTATCGGAAGGGTGTGGAAGACGTTACGGGCGGTTAGGGCGGGTCGGACCCGTTGCACCAGCAATTCGTCTTGCGTTATCGTACATCTTGTCTTCCGAGTGGATGGAATGCGTGACAAGCAATTATGTTGCAGAGGATGGCTTGAGTCTTTGTGTGACTCGATGTGACGGAAGGGGATGAGATGAGATGAGATGAGATGCTTCAGGAGGTATGTAAGCAGGATGTCGGCCGCGGGAGCTTGAATTGGTAGAGTGATGTGACATCGTGTTGATCATTGAAATCACCTCGATGCCAGAGGGTTCATACACAGACGGGGCCCCGTCTACATATCCACGCGGTACAACGCGTCCCCGCTACATTAAATATGGCAGAATCCTCAGAATATACTACGCGATCTTGAACAACTATACTTCTAATTTGTATGTGTTATATAGCAAAAATATAAGCTTTGATGTTCAAGGAAAAAGAACAAATTCTGATAGATGAAATGACTAAATAATTAATTGTACTAGGTTCTTAGAACCACCTTATCTACCCTCTGATCGCGCGACAACTGTGATGTAAATACTAGCTGATCCAACTGATTTTAGCCTTGAAAATAAGGTATTCCACCTATTCTAGGCATTACCTGCAGCACGTGCTTGTGCCGCTTTAAAGAGAGTATCAAAAGACAGGTAAAAACCAGTGGGAGGCAGTGAAAGTGGCTCAATAGAAGAAGATATAGCTGCAAGTAGGAGTGCAAGAGTGCAAGTGGTGGATGCTTTGAAATTAATTCAATTCCTTGATGGAAAACAAACGCGATATATCTGTTACGACGCGCTGTATACAAATTTGGTGGCTCCAACAGTATCAGGCTCACCGCTGGCGTTTACAGGTTAGTACGCGTGGATATGTAGACTGGGCCCCGTCTGTCTATCAACCCTCCGATGCTGCACTACTGCACTGCCATGCCTACCTTACCCTGTGTTGATTTGTGTTGGTGGCAAGCGATATGATTCCCTCAACCGGTTTCTCAGAGCAACATGGTGGAGATGAAATGACGACCTGGCGAGCCTGGGACCCGGATCTTGGTGTCAGCAATACGACGAGTCGCTTTATCGGTGGCATGTAAGGAGGCAATCTTGAGATGCCGTTCCTGGGGCTCGGAAGACTTACTGTGAGTTCATCTGGAGGAGGGCGTGGGATTGGGAGACAGGCCGGAAAACCCGCTTGGCCGCCTCGAAGGTCGTTGGCGTGGGGTTGATAATGCTAACTACCCCTTGAACTCCGGCGTACTGCAGCATCAGTCGATGAGCTTCGTATGTAGCATTTGATGTCAGTTTGATCCTTGCGATATTTCTCATCTCAGGATCTGGTGGTCGGTTCGATGGCTGAGAACTTGAGATTCGATGGGACCTCGCCGGCAATAATCAATTGGTTACATCGAAGGCCGACGAAGTGGCAGACAAGGCATCATGAGGCGATGTCGTTCATCGCCGCCACATGGAAAGTCTCCGAGGTACCCCTGGTGAAGAGATTGTTGCATCGCTGAATCCATCTCAGAGGTCCGTTCCTCTCAAATTCCTTCCGGAGGTACGTTCCATAGGGAGGAACGATTCCGTTTGGTGGACTATGAAGTCTAATCAACGCTCCTGCGCTACACCGTCATCGGGCAGCTCGAATTCGTGTCACTCTAACAACAGCCAAGTCGCTTCCATGGCACACTCTTCATCAACACGGGCGTGTCCTCTGCAAATCTTGTTCACCGATGCTCGATCCGTAGCAGGAACCTCAACATATCTTGAACATTGTTGTCGTTGTTTCGGGGAATATAAAATTGACATCTCCAATCAAAGATGATGAGAGCCCTGGAAATACCGAATGGCAGGCGAGAATGGCCTTGTCTTCCCCGTCCCGCATGGTTTGATCGCCATTCGAGAGCGGGGCGAACCGATGCCAAGCTCCTGCCTGTACTGTAGTGCCCGAGATCAGGCCAAATAGTAAGTTAATGGCAGCGGAAGGCGAGGTGATAGGCTGCCCCTTTTCGAAGCATGAACGGTGTTGCGCCGGATCGTGGGTTTAGACTTTTGAGGCTTGGATTGGTTGGGTGGGAGTTAGGGGGAGTAGTCGCGAGGGCGGAGGTGTCGATGGTGCGGGATGATGGAATTTGGCAAGTGAGGCGACGAGAGGATCGTGAAGAGTATTAGAGAAGGATCTGTTGAAGAAGAGATCTGGGGATGAGATGAGATGAGATGAGATGGGGCGAAGCGATGAGATGCGAGGCGGGCGGATGACTCTGGAGCTATAATCCGAGTCTGATAATGGGATTATGGGCTTAGAAATAACTTCTCCCTCAAGCTTTGACGAAGCTACGTGAGTCAGATTCCATCATAATTCTCCTGCCTCTGGAAACCTTAATTGCGCTGTAACACAAAGGAGAACCTTCAAAACAATGCAGATAAAATGGGCGGAAAAACTACGAAGCAGCCCACGGGAGAATGATGCGTGCGCACTTCTGAGATTTGACTTTTTCAGCGGACAAACTATTGATATGCAGTCAGTCACTTAATGGAATAAATAAACCAACAGTGAAAAAGAAAACAAAGGAACTCAAACGCGGCACGAGTCTTAGATTTTTGAGACATTCGATTCAGTTGACGTGCGTTGAGTCGTCAAAAGTCAGGTCGAACTCGGGCCGCCCCCTCACAAGGAACGGAGAACCCTCCCTTCGCCTCCATTCCAGCCAGACAAAACAGACAGCAAATCTACATACACAAGACTCGACCTGCATCTGCAGAATCGCTATATACATATATATATCTGCATACTAAGATCCTCATTTTACTGTACAGCTCATCGTGCTGCAGAAGAGATTAATACAGACATACATATAGGAGGCGTTGAACCTGCTTTTGAGCGCTTGCAGAAGCATAATGGCTTCAATTATATCTGTTAGTTGCAGCAAAAGCGGATATTATATCTGCGTCTGTGCCGTTTATCAGATTCCCTCCTCACCTCGCCTCTCCTCTCCTCACCTCTCTCCTTTCTTCTATCTAACACATCGTATTCGCAACCCCATCTCATTTCATTTTCTATAACCCAATTTCCCGCTTTTCTGGGTATATCTGTTCGTTCACGAGTCGGTACCCTTTGCCTTCTCCACACCCACCGCTCGGCAGCAGCGCAGCACAGCGCAGCCTCTTCTTCCAATATCGACCTCATGTTTCCCTGGCTTCCTGGGTTGGGCTGGGCCCACCACTCACTCACCCGTGCCTTCACCTCAAGCAGGGCCCCTCATCACCAACCAGAGCCTCGCCTCCAGGTGCGCGATGCAAAAGGAACCCACCCACTCACAGAATAATATTTAGTAGCCTAGCCTCGTCCAATACCGGTGGCTAGAATACTTTTTAACGAACGGCCAGAACAGTACAGACCAGACCAGACCAACCGCGGGTAAGGATTCCCATGGCTGTCAGACTGGTGGTTCTGGTTCAGGATCGTACACGGCCAATGATGGGCTGGAGGCTGCGATTGCGATTCTCTTTGGATGGATGGATGGATTGGCGCTGCGGCGCGTGTAGGTAAAATGCCGGATCTGACTACTGTCACGAGGAGAGGGGAAGAAGGGTGATCATGAGTGAGCAGCTGGAGGCTATTATTGAGGACGGACGGGCTGGTGTGGCGATCAAATCATTGGGGGTGGTTGGCTTGGGAGGTTTGTATTGTTGCTGTTTTGGGAGGGTTGGAGGGTTTTAGAGGGTTTGGTTTGAGCGTTTGGAGGTGTTGAAGATAGGGAGGGATGGGAGGAGAGGAATATGTGTTGTTGGCCACCCCTGAATGCCAGTCTTATGATATAATATATATCCAGCCCTCCCTATATTAGATGAACAGCCTACTAGAAGACCATCGCACGGAACTCTTCTAGAACAGCCGCATGCTTGTGTATTGTTACCCCTCATCTTTATCTTGACTTTATCATTGCTCAACAATTTTGTTCTCTTTCATTGATAAGTTATTCAGTGTTTTCACACAACATTCGACTGCTCCTCGAATCTACCGTGGATTGATCGTGATCGACATCGACATCAAACAACGAAACTTTAAAGGGAAGCCTCACATTTCTGGACCCCCGTCGCCGACGATGCAGATGCAAATGCAGGCGTACATCTGGCAATCCTCATTCTCTTCCTCGTCCCCTGCCCTATGAGATTATCGCGCCTCAAAAATTGCTTTTCCCTTCACCAACCCACATTCTCTGCACGCACTGCATCCATTCCACTGATGCACTTCCGGCAACCGGCGGAAACAACCTTACCAATTCTTCGCTGCTCTGCTCACAGACGGCGTATCGAATCATAATTGATAGTTCCGAACCTTCTTCCTACGTTACACACAGCAAACTAAGCAGCAAACTACTGTACCGCGTCTAGCAGAGAAACTACACACGCACACACACACGCACACACACACACACACGCGTACATACCTACGCACACGCACGGAGTATTTGCTGTCCTTACCTTACCACTATTTTTCCCGAAGGAGTGTTCCAGGTCTATCGATCTGTCGTCACTCCAACCACCGGCTACACTACCAGCACCACGCAGTATACGTACAGGCCGCCGTGGACCCTTCCCACTCCCAGCAGTCCGTCTCCACGCCAAAGCAGCCTACACAAAGGCCAGAATAAAGTCTTGCGAATAGCATCAATTCCCAGCGGAAACCAGCCAACCAACTGCCGCCCGTATTCGAAACATCCTACTGCAGATATCGATCCACTACTGCATGCAACTGGTATCTTTTTGCATCTCTGCACATTTCTGGACGGGACTGCAAGATTGTCGGATATTGTCTGGACACCCACTGTCATCTCCTCTTATCTCATCTCGTCTCATCTCATCTCATCTCTCATCCCTTCCTTTGCCTCTTGCTGCTGCTGCTCTGCTCTGCTCTGCTCTGGCAGTCTCTCTTCCCCCGTCCCCGTCGCCTAGCGCAACAGCTGCTCAAGCGAAAAAGCCCACTGGTGGCCCATCCCGCAACGGGTTTAGTGGCTACGGTATCCGTCAGTCTGGAGACCGTCACCGTCACCGTCACCCTCACCCTCTCTACCCTGCCCTGCCTGGCCCAACCCTGCCCTGCCCTGCCCTGCCCTGCCCTGGCCTGCACTCAGAAAAGTCACTCGCTCGTCCGCTCCTGGATTGTGAAATCTCCCTCTGCCTCTCCCTCCCTCTCTTCCTCGCCCAACCATCTTCCTGCGACGACGACAACGACGCCGACGGACTGAGGTCCCTCCATACTGCCTTCGCCATTCTTTACGACGACCTCCACGACCTCACGGATTAGACGACGTCGCCACCGTTCTCCTGTCACTCGCTGCCAGCCGCACTGACTGGTACGTACCGGCTCCAGGAGAAACTACCTACTACTACTACACCACACCACACGCACCGTCCCTACAAGTACCGACGCTGCAACCCTCCCCCTCCTCTCTGCTCCCCACGCAGAGCACCTGCACCGCTCTCTCTGAGCTCTACACAGCTGCTCGAAGCTGCTGCCCGTCGGCGACCAGCGTTTGCAGTCGCTCCAGCTGCACGAAAGCTTCGTGAAGTTCGGAGCAGGCATTAGAAGCTTGCTTGCACAGCGTGCCACTGCCGGCTCCTTGCATACCTTTGCAGGCCCAGCAAACAGCAGCTGCCCTGCCCTCCCTTCCCACCTCCTGGACATCTGCACGGCATATAAAAGATGGCCCAGCAATACGGAGGAGATATGTACGCCGACTACTCGCAGAGCCAGAACCGGTCGCCTGTCCCTAATCGGTACGGAAACGGGCTCACTCTGAATAGACAACCGTCGCGACAGTTCGAACAATATACTCCCCAACCTCCGCAGGCCCTGTATCAGGACGATCATTCTTCCCAGTACGATCCTGCTTCCCGCTTCGACAGGATGCCTCCCTCAACTATACATTCCTCAAATTATCCTTATGAGAACCAGACTTGGAATTATGGAGGGGCGAATGCTGGTGCGAATATGATGGGCGGCACGGGCCGGGTCAAACCCTCTGCTCCCAGAAGAGCTGGACTTCCAACTGTACGTGATTTTCTGTTTAGTGATGATGTTGTTGGTGCGCTACTAATATTTTCTCCAGGGATGGCTCGAACCTCAAATGCACCAAGCCGAACCTATGAACAATTATCAGATGAATAGCCAGTTTAATATGCATCAGCATCAGCAGCAACGAGCTTCACCTCCTCAAAACGACAACGATGAACTTATCCCTACTGCTATTGTCATCAAGAATATTCCTTTCGCTGTCAAGAAGGAACAGCTCATCGCTTGCATGACGGAGATGCGTCTACCTCTGCCATATGCCTTCAACTACCACTTCGATTCGGGGGTTTTCAGAGGATTGGCTTTTGCCAACTTCACCAGTGCAGATGAGACGCAGACTGTCATCCAGGCCATGAACCACATGGACTTGCAGGGAAGGAAGTTGCGGGTCGAATACAAGAAGATGCTACCTGTTCAAGAGCGGGAGAGAATCGAGAGAGACAAGAGAGAGAAGCGTGGACAACTCCAGGAGCAGCATCAACCTCTGGCACCCGGCCAAGTCCAGAACCCGCTTCACACTCAGTCATCTATGGCTTCCATGACCTCCTTGAGCTCCGCTAATCACCCTCCTCCAGCATCACCATCTCCAGTTTCATTCCGTGGCAAGCTAGGTATGTTATTTCTACTGAGGCTCTGTTTCGTGTACTAATTTCCTTTTTGCAGACGTGGACTTGAACGAACCTATAACACTTGGTTACTATAGCGAGTTGGTACTTTTCAAGAACGACGTCAATCGCGAGACCTTGATCTTCCCACCTTCGATTTCACCTGCTGACCGCCGAATTATTCACACTCTCGCACACCACATGGCGCTTGAACATCGATCGGAAGGTTCTGGAGATTCTCGATGTGTGCAGATCCTCAAAAGAGCTGTACAGATCAGCCCTCCTGTTGCTCAGCATAACTATTATACCGAATCATCCCGCCGAGGACTGAATCGTGCAGCGACGATTGACTTTAGCGAAGCCCGGGAAAATTCTGGTCATTACCACTCATTGAATCGCCAAGGATCCAGCCTTCTGGACATCCCAGGATCCCCAGGCCTGAGTGGTCTGACACCACATAACAATTTGCGAGCGGCCAAATCATTCGCGGACCTGCGTTCGTATACCCCATCACCCGTACCCTCGACTGCCAGTTTCCCTGTTGGTTTAACGCAAAACATCTCACGATATGCAGCAGAGTATAGCCATGGTTCCGCCGCATCTGGAACCCCGAACCTCACTCCAACCTCAGCCGGAGGTGGGATGAATGGCCGAGATGACACCTTCGTCCTGAATGGCATCAGTAATATGAGCATCGGATACGACCGTCCCAGCTCTAACCGCCCAAATGCCACTGGCAGGATTGGCCAAGAACGGGAAACCCACACTCCAAGCACCGGTGCCATTGGAAGCCATAGAACCGTCAATGGCAACTACGATGAGAACCCACGAAATGGCACCGCGGTTGAAAGGCAACCAAGAGGTCCTGGTGCAGACTGGGGAGCTGGGAACGGCTTTTCAAGACCACGACAAAATGGTCATGTTAATAGAGGTAGTGGTGAGATTGACCCGAATAGCTATGAAAACGGCTGGGATGATAACAGAGCGCAAGATTCGTCCGATCGAACCGGTGCCCCGCGATACATGTAAAGTCTTCGCTAGATCCCGCGAGAGACTTTTTGACGACGTTACGACGATACACTTTAGATCTGCTGTGCGAACCTTATATTCTCGGCGCATCTTGCCAGTAACATAAAAAGCGGGGTTTGTCTTCAGTGTATAGATGCAATCCGACGACTTACGAACCTATCGGATACATCACAGTCTGGATGGAGTTTGACTGGTTCTCGCTTTTTAGCAGTCAGACATCTCGGCTACTTCATTGGAGTTTTTGCGATATTTGTGTTCTGTTTATTTTAATTGCGGCATCCTCGATCATTTCCCCCAAGAACGCCTGCTTGGATCGTTGGAATGTTCGCATATTTCTGCCCTGTCATCTGCTGTTTCAGTACATATCTATGGGATAATCTCTTTTTTCTCTCGACTTAACGAACGATGGAACGGACGATGAGACGACATTTTTGACTCAACTGTTCATTCGACCCAATTTTTACTTTTCGATTCCCCCCAAAAATTTAGCTTTCATGCGATCAAAACAAACCACACGATAGGATACCACAATACAGCGACTGGGCAACCATCACGATTTACGCCGTATGACCTTTATCCTTCACGATACGGAAAATGGGACTCGACCCCGACTAATTATTTCTAAGGGGGGCTTGCCATCACACCCATCCCCATTGGTGTGCCCCCCGAATCCTCCTTATATAATCTCTCGAGCCTTTTCCACCCTTTGGACGGACAACGAAAAAAACGAAATGCTTCTTTACCTTCTTCACCTTCTTCTCGGTTTCCTCGACTTTCGAAACCCGAAACCCACCTAGATTACTGGACGAATGAACACAAGCCTTGGAACTTGCGAGAGCCCTCGAATGAGACCATGTCAGCAATTCGTTGTGATGAAATGGCATAGGTTCTCTTTTTTCGAACTTTTGATGGGTTTCTTCTCTTGGGTTCATATATGAGGCTGGCTTTGGCTTGGCCTGGCTGATTCAGTGGTTCGGTTGGGTTTTTATCTTTGGGTGGGCGGGCGGACATGCGGACGGGCGGACGGGCGGACGGGAGGATCTGTGTTTTTTTGTACTCTATCTACCATCGCTCTCAACCTTATGTTTGCTTTCTGCGAATGCGAATGTTTGACCCGTTTGCTGCTTTCTTTCTTGCTTGCTTGTGTGTGTGTGTGTGTGTGTGTGTGTGTCCTCTTCCGGGCTTTCTTCTCGAGTTGTTATCTGATTTTCTGGGTTTTTAATTCTACTTGCATAATCTCTCTGCATTTTGTGTGGCTGTGGGTAGGGGTGATGGTGTGTGCTCTCCTTCTAGCTGCCACCTATCGCTGTCGTCAACACCCGCCCGGAATTTTTTCACATGAATCTTCCTGTCCCGATCTGGTCTGGTCGGTGAGGTATCGTGGATTGGGATATTGGTCATGTGTCAGTGGAAAGATAGTTGGAGAGTTTGTTGATGCTGAGGGGGCTGTGGGTGGTGGTGTGGTGTGTGAATCTGGTTGTGGTATAGTTGTGTTGTGGGTGCTGGCGTGGATACAGAATAGGGAAGAAAGGAAGGACAGGAAGGAAGAAAGGAAGAAAGGACGGATGGGAAGAAAGGAAAGGGAAAAGAAAATCGAAAGCCTTTTTAAACCTAACCTAACCTTTATCCTTTATCTTTTATTAATGTGACTGATTTGCGACCCGACCTATATGCTATATGTGACCTCGATCTATCGATCTATCGGGCGACAGTTTGTGATTTTGGTTTTTTTTATCTATAGTTTTTCTTTTCTCTCGCTAAGCTGGGTCTTGGGTCTTGATTTATACGGAAGGATGGGAGGAGAGGGGAGAGAATTGAATTGAATTTGGGGGGTAGGGATGGGGTTGGAGATGGGGATGGAGATGGAAATTAAGATGTGTTGTTATAGTGTGATGTGATGAATTGTGTAGTGTGTAGTGGAGTAGTAGGCAGGTGTGGTGGATTGTGTCGTGAAAAGGTGTGGTATAGATAATGGAGGAAGGAAGGCTAAGGTTGGATGTCGATGTCGATGTCGATGTCGATGTCGATGTCAAGTCCAGTAGTGCAGTGAAGAGGATTGTTTTTATACCTATCTATCTATCAATCTACATCGTAAGTAGGTTCGAGTGTGACTGTGTGAGAATCATAAGACTCGAAGGGGTAGCATAAGTCAGAGACCGAACAAAAATAAAACGGAAAAATTCAAATCCGAATTCGAATACTCGTTGAAAAACACACACTTCATCATATCATAGTATATATTATACATTACAGTACACATTACATTACATATCCTACCACATCCCTACGCCATATATAACCAACCAACCATCTCAACGTGTAGTAGCTACGGAGAACATCAAGCAACACAGACCACTAGACTAGACTGAATTACGCATCACCGCCCGCTCCCCCCTCTTCCCTAAGTCTCTAGATATCTTTTTTCTCTCCTTTCCTTTCCGTTCCTTTTCCCTTTTATTCCCAAAGACTAAAATCAGTAAATTATAAATAAACTCGGCAGATGATTAATTCCGTTTATTTTTGTTTGCCAAATGGAGAACAGATAGCTACTAATTTTTCAAATTCCTAAATCCCAAATTGCCAAATTCTATTCGGATTTATACAAAAGTATTTGAGTGTTTGATTGATTAGGGAGCGGCTGTAATTGGGTCGCCTACAAGGCAGGGCCTGCTTTGGGTTGCGGCGTATGGTTTTTTTTTTCGTGGTTTGGTAGGTAGATGAAATAATTATGTCTACATATGTCCAAAAACTTGCACAGTACCGAAATACCTACCGGTAATGTACCACCTCCACATGATGTTATCGTTGGATCTGATCGATCTCTTTTTACCAGGTAGATATGTTAAGTGCGTGGGAGTGGGAGTGGGAGGTGTAGACTGTGTAGTTCGGATGTCAGGCGACGTCTAGGTAGCTAGGTACTAGGTAGCTGACACTTGGGAGCGAGCCTAGACTAGGTAGGTAATTAGACGAGTTCCAGATCGAATGCATGTACTGCACTGAGCATTGTCACAGATTCATACTGTGAGACTTGGGAGATGGGATTTGGGATTTGAGATTTGGGATTTTCCGAGGTGGTGAAGTGATGCATGCGTGAGAGAATCTACGGGGGTTTACGAGTGTTCGTTCTTCGATTGATGGAGTTTGTGCTGATAGCGGGATAGCAGAAGGTAAACAAAACTAACCGAGTGATTACCCAATAATCTCTTTTCCGAGGTACGGATTTCGTCACCGTTCCAGGATCACATTTGAAATGTCAAGTCAATTAAACCCTCTTTCATCATCATAAAAGCATTGCAATCATGTAAGCGCAGACGTGTTCTTCAATCGCCAAATGTGATTACTCAACGCAACACCTAAAACACCGAGAAATTCCAAATTGGAAGCTGCAAGCCAGTCCATACGAAACGTCCGCCCTTAGCCAACGCTCAGTTCTTAGGAATTGCATCAATCAAAGTCATATTAAACAACACCGCCGAAGACTGATACTTCTCCGTAATAATCTTACCAGTCGTGACTAATGCATCCTTCGCACCATCCTTGGAGCCAGTATATGCGCAAAAGGCGGCACGGCCTTGCTCGACGACGGTGGTGAGGCTTTCGACATTGCTGGCGAATCTGGGGAGGGTGTTTTCCAGACATTGGGTGCATTGGTTGAGGTTGTATTTCCATCTAGGTAATGGTGATGTTAGTTGTGCCCTGTGTTTGTGTTGTGTTGTGTTGAGACTGAAATGAGGAGGTGGAGAACTTACGCAATGGGCCATTTCTTGCAGAGGCATTTCCATACGCCTTCATCGTTTTCCTTCAGGCAGGTATCGTGGTAAATGTGGGCGTTGACACAAGACTTCGATGCTGTAACATGTTAGTATTTGTTCCTTAGAAGTTCAGAAAGCAGAGTGAATGCATACCAGCACAGAGTTTAACTGCCTCAGAAGCAGGAAGACTAATCCACTTGGCAGGATTCGCAGTTGGATAAACGCTAGGCGAGCTCAAAGATGTCGTAGTCGCGGAGTCCTCTGAGTTATCACTGGCTTTGCTAGTAAACGTAGGCATAGAAATCGCGCTAGAAATTGACGAACTATGACTAGCCAAACAGCTACAAGCAGACGAGATGCTGACAGGCGAGTTGTTACAAGGCAATAGACAGCTCGGGAATCCAGTGCCCGCAGTCACGGGATTCTGCGTGTATGTTGAGCAGAAGCTCATTACAGCTGGGGCTGAGCGGAGGGCTCCTCGGAAGCAGTTATCGTGGCTACAATTGAGGACTGGAGTGCTGGTAGAGCGACTAGAGACTTGACTAGCTGATGTCTTGGTTGCCATCATGGCGGATGAGATGCTTGCGAGGACAGAGCTCATTGGAACAGCTGGGAAAGTAGAGAACAAGCTATTAGGTACAGCAGTCGGAGTCAAAGACGAAGCTGCGGAGATACTTGCGAGAACAGAGCTCATAGGAACAGCTGGAAAGGTAGAGAACAAGCTGTTAGGTACAGCAGTCGGAGCCGAGGATGAAGCTGCTGAGATACTAGCGAGGACAGAGCTCATTGGTACGGCTGGGAAAGTTGAGAACAAGCTATTTGGCACGGCGGTTGGAATCGACGACAAGAACGAAGCCGCTGAAATACTAGCAAGTACAGAGCTCATGGGCACAGCTGGAAAAGTCGAGAACAAGCTGTTAGGAACAGCAGTAAGAGCTGTCTCCGAGAAACCAGAATGAGCTGGTGCCGTTGGAGCTGAGAATGGAGTGGTCGTATGCATCGGGACTGCAAGTGTACTTCTTCATGTTAGAGATCGAACAAATCTCACAGTCTGGAGACACACTTCTTACATCGGAGTCACAGCACGCTCAACTCCACCCTTTCCACCAGCCGACTTCAAAACCGCCTCCGGAAGCTCAAGCGGGAACTCCTTCTCCTTCACCAAACTCTTCATCTGATCAACAAACTGCTCGGTACTCAACGTACCATGACAATATCCAACCGAGTTGTGAGCAGAACCAGCAACCTTCTCAACCTCAATATACATGGGCAGATCGTGGCGTGGGGTACCGGCGGCCATTTCAACGCAGATGATGCAGTTTCGGAACTTGGAGTACCAGTCAATGTGGGATGGGACGGCACGACCGGGTGGGCAGAGACAAGATCGGACATTGGAGGAGGGGTCAGAGGGCATTCCGAGGACGTGAGCACCTTGACAGTCGTTCCAGTAGGTGGCGGCGAGCTTGCAGTCTGGGCCATCTGGGAGGATGAGAGGTTAGCTGTTGTTTATTCTTGATCTATCTGTATAAACTCTAAGAAATAGAAGGACAGAGAAATACTTACTGGCACAGTCCGTAACTGTAGGAGCAGTATCAATAATTTGACCCTGACGATTCTCCAGACCGGAGCTGAGAGCGGAAGTGAAAGCCAAGGCTGACAAAGCCGCAAGCAGCATGGATGGGCTCAAGTTGAACTTCATCATGAATGAAATCACTCAAGTAAGGGAAGGACCCGTATCAACCAAAGTAATCTTCGAGCAAAGTCCTTCGTATTGTCCAAAGACGGAGGAAGATGGAGTTGAAGTCGAAGTTGTAGACAGGAGCAAAGAGAACTCTATCTTTTATAGCCGGTCTCCAGAAACTCCTAACCGAATGAATCAACTCCTCTCAGCAAAGAGTCATTAAATCTTCCATTCACTTCCTCGCCGTCGGCCTTGACTCAGATATGTAATCTTACTTGATCAGAACGAGCGAACGACGCTGCGATTCATCTCCGACTTGAGCGGTGAATAGCAGTTTTGAATGGCAGTTTTAAGAGAAGGACGAGTAACGACGATACAAACGTCACAGATAAAGATGAAGATAACGATAAGCAAGAAGAGAAGAGAACTGCATATCCATAGATTAATTGTCAATGTCGTGTCGTGTTCAACATATTGGCTCGCTCTAGCCTAATGTATTTCTGTTTCCGGGTCGACGAATATCCAGCCGAGGCTTGCTCTGATGCAGCGATTGTTGGTTATTTGATAAAGTGGAATGCAACAATATCTGCCTACCAAGTATTCCACTGTTCCTTGTGTAAATATTTCAGAGGTTCATTTATTCTCATCTGCACAAAATATTACTTCCGGTCCCTCACCCCACCTCCAACCAACGGTCCCCCACAAACCAACACAATCTCACGCTGCATTCAGCTTGTACCTGAAATACCCCGCACTCTCATTGAACATACTATAAGCTTAAATACCACTCTGTACCGCATCCCACCCAGTCCTACCATGCAGTCACTATCTCCGTCTGCACCTCATTCATACATTCCTCATTCCTCACCCTTTCAGCCCATATAACAATTCCCTTTGACCTCCCCCTCATCCCCCATCTTCTCAAAGAGAAAATTATTTATGTCCCAGACTCTTGCCGCAGTGCTCTTTGAGGATTGATGTAAATTTGAGATGAATTAGACCAGAGAAAATAATGTGCAGAGCTAGAGCTCAATGCTTCCCACCATGACTGTTGGTCGTAAACCATGCGTCTCTTCCCCGCACACAACAAACATTAAGCGAGAAATGTGTTGACAAACATAGCTCCTCCGACCCTCCCCATCAGACTCTTGCAACAACACAGCAATATCAGTATCGCTCCCTCACTAGTTTCAAGGACAATCCCAACTTGTGAATTACATATAATTTGATTTCAAAATCTCTATTTCTACATGAATTGATTCGATCGGGTATCGATACATACAACGAGACGCCTCATTCGATCTCCTTATCTTCCCAAATCCTGTCCCGTCCTGTCCTGCGTTGCATTGCACTTCAAAACTGCAGATGGCTTGCTATCTATTCATACAAAAACAAGAGTCGTTCGCTGTCATTGAACCCAAAACCCCCTTCCTCCATACACAATGCATGCCTGCTTGAGCAAAAACGCCACCCAAAGGACAAATGCTTGCCCGCAGGTATTTCAAAACGCCTGCCACTCAATCCTTGTGTAACCCGTCCACCACACACGTGTACCAAAACAAAATTGAAGGTCTGTCTCAAAATCAATCATTTCTCGCGCTGTCGATAGAAGGCATCGATTCTCTCTGCTTCCATTCTATCCGCCTCTCTTCTCGCATCGGCTTCACGCCTCATATCCAACATGGCTTGACTGTTACGGTCGCTCTGAGTTCTGACCTCGGGAGGATAGCGATGGTAGCTAGGATGAGCTGGGGCTGGAGCTGCAGCTTGATTAGGCGCCGAGCTTCCCATTTGATCTCGTCCCATTTGATAGCGCCCCTCTCTGCCATCAAAGCTGTTGTGCCGCGAGTTGTGCAGCGAATGGTGATTGGCGTACTGCGGTGGTGGTGATGGAACATGAGAGCTCTGTCCAAATGCAAGTTGACGGTGATTAGCAGGCGGCTGCTGATACTGTTGCGACGGAGATTGGTATGACGGGGCTAGCTGAGGAGATGCAGTCGCATTCTGCTGCTGCTGCTGTTGTTGCTGCATAAGATAACCTGGTTGAGGTTGGCGTTGGTAGTAATCACGTTGCTCAAGTGGTAGATCATGTGGCGAACCAACAGATTGGCGACTGATCTGAGGAGGCTGAGCGGGAGGAGGAGTTGGTGCTGAATATGGCGATTCCTTGAGTCGCATAGACGGCTGCGAAGGAGCTGAAGACCTTCCATATCCACCAGAAGCCGACATTCCGTGTATCTCGCCCAGGGATGGCTCGCGACGAAGTTGGGATGGCTGTGAGGTCATAGACTGGCGAGGCTGAGCATACATTGGCTGTTGCTGCTGCTGCATCTGCGGTTGCCCGTACGGAGGTCGGCTCTCGAAGTTTGTTGGGGTATAGCTCCGAGTATGGCCGATGGAAGACGAATGCTGGTGGTGGGGGTGCTGGGATTGAGGAGGTTGTGAATATCCGTGTTGTGAAGGAGCAGCTTGCTGCTGAGGTGGTGGTTGAGAAGTCATCTGCTGAGGCATATGTGGGTGTTGTTGTTGCTGTTGTTGAGGAGGATTTTGAGCTGGGTGGCCAGAATATCGGGAAGGATGCAGAGAATGTTGTGGTGGTGGGGTGCGAGTATGCTGCATAGAAGAAGTCGAAACATCGCTTGTACGCTTAGCCGGAGGTGGTCGAGGATCGCTTGGCTCGTCCTCGTTAAGCAGAGACATAATATTTGACTTCCTAGCGGGTTCTGGCTGACGGGCTGGAGCTGGAGTTGGTTGCTGTGGAGGAGCAGCCTGCTGAGGAGGTGGCGGAGGTGCAGAGTACATCTCTTGGTTTGCGGGAGGAGCACTCATGGGAGCTCGAGGAACAGCCGGAGAAGGTGTAGACTTGATATCACGAGCACTGCCGACACTCTCACCAAGGAATGGGCGACCGTTTGGATTGCTCCGAGGTTGATACTGTTGAGGATGATGTTGAGGGGGAACAGTACGTCTAACATCCGCTGGCGGAGTTGGCTTAGAAGATTCTGATCTGGCATGTACTTGATTTCCTGCGAGCATTCCAGTTGGTGTTCCATATGGCTCGTACTGATTTGGATTTGGCGTCTCAACTTCTTGCTTCATTTGGAATTGTCGATCCCGATGCATGGCGGCTTGTTGCTGTTGCTGTTGCTGCTCGCGCTGGTGTTGCGCCATAGCAAGTTCACGCTGTTGCATAGCTTGCTGTGCTTGTTGCCGCTCCCTTTGAGCTGCTGCTGCTACCTGCTCCCTTTGAAGTACTGCCTGCTCTTGCTCCCTCTGCTGTTGCTGTTGCTGCTCACGTTGCTGTTGTTGTTCTCTCTGCTCTCGCTCAAGTCTGAGAGCAGATTGCCTCTCTATTTGAGCCTCCTGGGCAACCATGACCGAGCGTTGAGATACAGCATCGTTGGGAACAATAGAGCGAGGAGGGTCCTGGGTGAAGAACCCTATCGCTGGGCCTCTGGATGGTCGAGATTGTTGCTGGATTGGCTGTGGAGCTTGCTGAATAGGTTGCGGCGGCATGTGCTTATTCAAAACTGTCGACGTTGCTGTGCTAGGTTGAATTTGAGGAACAGGACCAGCTTGGGCAAGTGCAGGAAAGCGTGTGCTGATGCTTGGTGGTTGAGGAGGAGAAACTTGAGACATGACAGAATGTGGTCCTGGAGACAAAAACTCTTCAGTTTGGTCCATCGCAGACGAGGACCGCGGATGTGAACCGGGGGTGATATCATAACGTCTTTTTGGAATAACAGTCGGAGTTGGAAGTGGACCTGTAGGCTCATTTCGTTCCCGTTTCTCGTCTGCATCCTTTGCTATCATCTCCCACTCTTTCTTTCCAGAATCTACCTGGCGCTGGTAATAGTTCTTGACCTGTGTCTGGATGTTAGCGACACGCCGACTCTTGTTGCTGTCGGAAGGTACAGCAAGCCATTGTTGAAAAACGGTGGTGTATACCATTATATGAGTCTTAGAGGTCATCCACTTTGCAATCCCATGCCAGTCAGTGCCAAAATGCCTCAATAATGCAGGGAAATCTGTTTGCTCGGGGACGCTCCAATAACTCGAGGTCTGTTGTACAGTTCTGCGATCCTGCGGAGTTTCAAAGCTCATAGGTGGGGCAGAGTCAACACGCTCTTGTTGTGGGACCGGAGGTGGTGGAGGGAAGTGCTGAGGCACATGATCGAAAGTTATCGGCATGGTAGGATTTGGTTTCTCGATTGGTGCATAAGGTGGTGCGAAGGGGGGCTGATTTGGACCTGTGCCGTCGTATTGAGATGGAAAGCGAGCATTTCCACCGGGAGTATCTCCACGATTCTTCCATTCTGGATTTCCCATCGGAGTGGCAGGAGAATTTGCACGATGGTTGGCTGCTGCGATGACAGGAGCAGCTGCCAACAGCTGGCTGTTCTTGGCTTGCTTTAGACCCTTCTCACGAGGAGTTTTGGTCTTTCTCTTCGGCGGTGGAGCATCAGGACCAGCGTCTCCCTTAGGCGTCGCAGCAGCTTTTCGGCCAGGAGTAGGTGCAGGGCTTGCCACCTCGCTCTCGCTAGCCGGTGTCTCAAAGGAGAATGTAGGGGCAGCGGCTCTCCGTGGGCGTCCACGTCTTTCGCCACCCTCAGTGTCTTGACCATCTTCGGCTTCCTCACGGGCGGCATTCATATCTGCAATCAGCGGGTTTGGCTTGGGGTTCTTTGCCTTCGGCTGTCTGGCCTTGCGTTTCTTTGGCTGTCTCTTAAGCTTGTCCTTCAGATCCGAGGAGTGCTTGACCAGATAGTAGTGCTGAATGCAGGCTTTGTAGTCCCGTCTAGGCAATGCAGCGGCAATCTTGCTCCATTGCTTTGGAAACTCGAGATAGACTCTCTCGAAGATCTCGCATTCTTCCTCAGTGAAGTTATCAATGGGTTCTCCGAATTCAAGAACTGCGAACGATCTTTCAAAGGGAACTATGTGAGTTTTGTCCCTAGGCTGCATGCTCTTCCAATCCTCTCTGTCCCAAGCAGCGTCGGGGATTGCAGCCTCCTTCGCACTGGCTGTTTTTGCCCTTGCGGCACGATCTTCCTTTTCTTTGGTCTCCTTGGCCTCCATTTCGGACTCGCGGAGCACGCGTTCAAAATCATGCTCCGTAGCCCACCGGCCAACTCGACCTTTGCCCTCTGGCTTAGCGCCAGCGGACGGTACTGATGATTGATGCGGGGCTGCGGCTTCTGCGGCGGCTTGGGCTCTTGCCTTCGCAAACTTGTCTCTGCTGCGAACCGCGACAGGATCCTCGGAGAAGTCTGTGAATCGTCGATAATCATAGTAATTTCTGCCCCATTCTTGACGCGCAACTTCTTGCTCTCTCAGCATCCGGTCTCGCTTATCGATCAACTTTTGTTTAATTCGAGCTTCAACTTCGGGCTTTGGCTTTAATGACTCGAGAAAGTCAACATCCTCAAACCATTTCTTGACTTCAAAATTGGGCAGGCTCGAAATCGGCGGTGTTTTCATTCGTGGCCTGACCGCCTCAAGCATTTCTTCATTCTCTGCCTCTGTCACATCACCCTCACTTTCAGAAAATACATCCATTGGTACTGATTTGTGATCCGTGCCATTCGTGGATGGTTTGGGAGTAAGCTTGCGTGACAAGTTGGCATGCAAAGAATCTGGAACTTGTTCAATGGACTTCAGCGGAACGGTAGGTTCATGGCGTGTAGAATCCAGTCGTTCCACACTTGGGAGAGGAGTCCTGGCAGATGGCAATAGATTTGACGAACGCGCGACATTGCCATTGGTAATGACTTCTGTGGCCGGCTTCTCGGATCGCTGTGAAGAAGTCGTGGGTCGGCTTGTACCCGGGGCTTTCAATACTGGTGGCACCGCAGGTGTGGGAGAGCGACTCCTACTGGTACGACTAGATTTTACCGACAGCTCTGGAATGGACGCTGACGCGAGTGTTGGGACAGCGACTAGGGCGGGAGCCGAACTTGGTATCGGGATTGATACTGGAATAGAAGCTGGTACGGGTGGTACTGAAGCTTCAGGGGCAGCTTCCTCAACCTTAACCTCAGGAGCCACACAACGTTCAGCAACAATTGCCTTTCTTTTTTCAACTAGACGATCGATATTGTACTGGAGAAATGGCTTCACGAAAGCTGATAGGCATTCAGGGCGTGGGTTTAGTGGATTTTCCACGTTGACCTTTGTTGTGTCGCCTTCGATTTTTGAAATCTCATCCTCGAAATAGGCGTCGTTCAACTCATCCTCAGATTCCGAGTCGGATGGAGCCTCGGCAATATCAGGAACTGCTTGAGCTAGTCTTTCTGGGCCATGTTTGCCAAAAAGACCTTGTCGTGGAGGCGGAGGCATTTCTTCCTTCTCTTGACGTGCAGCCTCGGATAAGGTCTCGGGCGCGGAAGGTAAGGGAGCCTTTGTTTCATCGGCAATATCCATGGAGTCGATATTTGTATGTTCCTTGTGACTTTGTTCTTGCAGTGCTTTATTGTCCACGGATTGCACAGCACTTTGTGGTAATGCATTCACGGAAGGCGTGGAAGGTAGGTCAGAGGCAGGAATCTCCTTTTGGACAGCATTGTTAGGCTTGTACTGGATAGGTCGCGGGAAGCCTCCCGATCGCATAGTTTCTCTATCAGAACGAGGTGCAGTGGGTATTGCAACGCCTGGCACTACTGTACTAGAAGGTGCCGAGGGGATGACAGGAGGCGGTACACTGGTTGAGGAGCCAAACGCTGGTACCTGTGGGGGAGGTGTTGCTGAAGGCTGAGTGCGTCGATAAGTAGTAGGCTCAGGAGACCGACTCCTACCAGAAGGGCGACCATGGAAACCATCTTCGTAATAATTACCTCTCCCTCTGCCCCGCCCAGCTCGAGCAACTCTGCCATATCCACGACCAAACGGAGGCATTGAATCTGAACCAGGTGAGCCGCCGGACAACGGACCATCTCGAGATCCTCGTCGCGTACGATCAATCTCAATATTTGGCGGGGCGTCCCGATTATCTCGAGGTCCATAGTTTGGCGAGCGTCCTCTGCCTGGAGGAGAAGATGCCCGACGCCCTCTGTATGGCTCCCGTCCACCCCAACGATCTCGCCCACGGTCATCTCCAAATCGCGGTGGAGGTCCTCTATCATCCCTCCTATCTCTGTATTCTCGGTCAAGCTCTCGACCTCGATCCCGGCTATCCTCCCTCCAGCCTCCTCGACCTCTGCCGCGACCTCGCTCGCCTCTAAAGTCACCTCGGTATCCGCCAAAATCGCCTCGAAAATCGGATTGACTCGATGCGCGCGGGCCTGTTGGAGCATCTAGGAAGCCTTTCGGGGCTCTTGGTGGATCTCTGGATGAATTAAAATCTCGCGATGAGTCTCGGCCTGTGGGTTCTCGAAAAAGCTCTCTATTTGATGCGAAAGAGTTGTGGTTTATCCTCGCATCGGGTATCGAGCGCCTCCTCTCGCCGCCACGAGTCGCTCCCCCTCTGAACTCATCTCGGGAATCATTGTACCGTCCTGGGGATTGGTCTCGTGGTGAGCGTCGGGATTCGCTAGCGTCATACGAGCCCTGATATCTAGACCTTTTGCGGCCGTCAGTAGGCGGTACAACACGGGCAGCAGTCCAGGACTGGCAGTATACTCACATTCATATTGCCGGGCAATGGCCCAGATCAAGAGCGATTTGCTGAGGGTTAGCGCCAGCAGGATATGTAGGTTTTGCAACCGCCCAGGTGATGTTTTCAATTGAAGATCGTGGATCGGTCAATCGTCGCAGAGGCCTGCAGGCAACACTGCAGAAGTCGTATTGCTCGAGTGGACCAAGACCATGAACCCGTAAAATAAGCTCAATGGTGTCGCCTTGAGGCTTTGCGGCGAGATTGCGAAGGCGACGGGGGGTTGTTGTCACGATGGTGTTGAAGAGTGAGGTTGACGTTGATGAGCTGAAGTCTGCTTGATCGGTCGAATTGGATCTCGAATGGAGGCGCTCGAAAGGGTTAGCGTTGGACCGGAACCTTTCGACCCCTGTCGGGTCAAGGCTCCCTGCAGCCACTTTCTCGGTAGACGGCGGCACCTTGGAAGAGCCGCCTCGCGCTTAAATTTTCGACATAGAGTCTGGAAAGTCTGGTATGGGCGGGGCAAAACATCAGTGCAACTGTCACTCTATGCATGTGCTCAGACCAGATACGACATCCGAGGACGATCATAAAAGTCGATTACCTGCGACGAGAGAACCATTAAAGAAACGTATCTTCTGAGTAAATCGTTTCAGGATCCTGGTTCCTTGTTTTTACGTCAGCGCTTCTAGAGGAGTCTCAAGCCAGGCATAGTTCATATTATGATGACTATTGCCTACTAGAGTTTGATAACTTCCGTACTCTCTCATGGTCTCTCACAACGGTTGAGTATAGTTCTCGTCATTACCGTAGCTCTCATACCTCACGTGGTGTGGCTACCTACTCTCAGAACCGAGCATGATCATTCGCCGGACTTAGTCATCTCGAACAAAGAAACCTCTGAAGTAGCTCATACAATCTTATTTAAGACGAGCAGGCTCAAGATTTATCCTTCTCTTTTTCCAATCACGTACATCTCTCACACTTCATCATGACCAACCAAACAGAAGCAAACGCACCCGGAGCTCCTCCATCCACAGTCACACATGCAGTCCTCGTCCCTTCGAACGAGATGCCTGAGGGCTCTCAAAAAGTCGAAGAGCTCGATTTCAACAACTTTGCTGGTCGACCAATTACTGTGGATGATCTCATCGGTGGTATGAACAATATGGGATTCCAAGCAAGTTCGATTGGAGAGGCTGTCCGGATCATCAACAATATGGTATGTCTCTTTTCATATCTCACATTACTACATTACATTGTATCTTCTCGAATGCAAGAAATGGCTTCTAGATTTAGATTCCATATGTCTCCCAGAGCATTGAATCTATCAAGACTATATCGTTTTGTTGTTTCAATCTCTCTGAATACTCTCAAACCGCACCTTTCAGTTACTGTCTCGACCCGTTTGTCTCTCCCGTTTGCTTCTCCCATTTGACTTTTTCCTTGCCACCATTCCTACTTTTCAAAGCCATTTCCTCACTACATCCCTCCCATACCCTCCAAGTACCTTCTCCCAAAACATCAACTCCAAGCAACTCTAATTTTCCCTCACAGCGCACCTGGTCCGACCCCTCCGACCCCACCGCCAAAACAACCATCTTCCTAGGCTACACATCCAACCTCATCTCTTCCGGCCTCCGCGGCGTCCTCCGCTACCTCGTACAACACAACCACGTCTCAGCAATCGTCACCACCGCCGGCGGTATCGAAGAAGACCTCATCAAATGCCTCGGCGACACCTACATGGGCTCATTCTCCACCCCCGGCTCCGAACTACGCTCCAAGGGCCTCAACCGAATCGGCAACCTCATCGTCCCCAACAACAACTACTGCCTCTTCGAAGACTGGGTGATCCCCATTCTGGACACCATGCTTGCCGAGCAAGAAGCCAGCAAGAGCAACCCCCTGGATGAACAAGTCAACTGGACACCTTCAAAAGTGATTCATCGCCTGGGCAAAGAGATAAATGATGAGAGATCGGTGTATTACTGGGCTTATAAGAATGACATTCCTGTGTTCTGCCCGGCTTTGACGGATGGCTCGCTGGGAGATATGCTTTACTTCCATACTTTCAAGTCATCTCCTCTTCAGCTAAAGGTTCGTCATCCTCTCCCTCCCATTTCCTATCTCCCATCTCCCAATCCCAATCTCCTCCACCTTCCCCCTTCCCCCCTTCCAAACCCCCCATAAAACTAACACCCCCTCCCCACACACAGCTCGACATCATCCCCGACATCCGCCACCTCAACACGATCTCCGTTCGCGCCGCCCGCGCAGGCATGATCATCCTCGGCGGCGGCATAGTCAAGCACCACATCGCCAACGCGTGCCTGATGCGCAACGGCGCCGAGAGCGCAGTCTACATCAACACGGCGCAGGAGTTTGACGGGAGCGATGCGGGCGCGAGGCCGGATGAGGCGGTGAGTTGGGGGAAGATTAAGGTCGGCGCGGAGAGTGTGAAGGTTAGTTGTTCTTCTTCTTCTTCTTCTTGTTTCAATTTTCCACCCTCCCTCTGTAATTTTTTCCCTCTCTTTGGTAGGGAATGGGTTTGGAGACAAGAGGGGATGAGATGGGATGCTTTGAGAGTCTATTTGCATTGATTCCACTCTATCCTATTCTTCTATCCCAGCAACACGCCATGCTAATCACAGGGCCACAAATCTAGGTCTACGTGGAAGCAACTGCTTGTTTCCCCCTAATAGTTGCAGCAACGTTCGCCAAAGGCGAAGGCAACGCAGCAAAGGCTGAATCACATCCCCAATAAACGCCAATACTATACAATGCAAAAATGCAAGTACCAATCAATAAGGTATCTTGCACTTCATTCCCTCTCCAAGAAATCAATTCCCGGGATGAAAATGATATGGACGCCGCGTGAGTGACAGAAACGCCTGGGCTATGCAAAAAAGGAAGAATGAAAGCATAGCTATGATAATGAAAACCACATGCAAGAGCGAAACAGAATGGGAAGAGACAGTAACGCCCGAGTAACCCTAAACATAAAATATAACAGCTAAAAAGACCGCCAAGTGCTCATCCGAATTTGGAGAAACTGCTGGTGAAGGTCGGTAATCAGAAGCCCACCCAAAGGTTCGTATGCAAGATCCACCATTTCAAGAACCAGTAGCTGATACTACTCAAAATTTGGAGTCCAAATGAGCTGATCACCTTTCGACAGGCTGGGTTCAGTCTCCTTGCTCCGCCTCAGTTTGATCCTCCCTCGCCGGGACAGACCCTTGTTTCCTGGCCGATGCTTTCTAATACTTGTTAGTGGAAGCCATCAAAGAAAGCATTATGACGAACCATTGTACCCCGGAACGATGATGGAGGTTTCTTCTTTTCTTCATCCTCCTTGAAAGTATCATCTCGAAGGCCCCCACTGGAAATAATATCGTAGTCCCACTTGATTGTCCCAGAGTACGCACGCTGTTGTCGGTCTGCTTCAGCAGCTGCTTCTTCTATCGCAATGACACCCATAGCCGTTCTTGTCCGAAAGTTATCGATATCGTCCTGGTACTGCTTAATCGTAACTGCTAGAGGCAACTGAACTGGAGAGGAGTCTTCCGTAGCTGCCTCCTTGTGTCGACCCGCCTTCTTGGCTGGTGCTGCTTTTGGTTTCTTCCCTGGAGTGCTTTGATTCTCAGTATACCCATGCTTCACCAGTGGAGAGGAGTCCTGAGTAGTTTCCTTCCTAGGTCGGCCTCTTCTCTTCTTCACAATGCCATCTTCCTCAACGTACCCCGGTCTTTCGGACTCACGTTTCCCATCCCAACCTCGTTGACGTCCTTTGAAATTTTTCAAGCCAATGAATTCTTCTTCTTGGTCACGCCATTTTCTCTCTCTCTTTCGTGTTCGATAGTTCTCATGCTCTGCGTCACCTAGCGGTTGTTGAACCACTTTTTTTTGTTGTGATTGGTACTCCCTTTGCAGTTTCTGCACCCTTTGGTTCACTTGATCCACCTGCTTCGACAGGATAGCTTGCTGCTGATCCCATTTCTGCTTTTCGAGAAATTGGTCAACGTTATGCGAAAACCGAAAGTTCGGCCGCGGTTCAACTGTTGGGGCACGGTTAGTGATATGCTCAGAAATATTTTGGGCCTTGCAAAAGTTCGCCTTGATGAGTGGGTGCTTGGATTATACTCACTAGGGCGGCTAAATTCATCGTCTTCTTCCTCATCCTCCTCCTCGTACTCTACTTCTTGCTCATCCTCGTCTTCCTTTTCCTCATCCCCTTGTTCTTCTTCTTCTTCATCCACCTCATCCTCTTGGTCTGCCATTTCATCTTGTGCTTTACCATACTTATTTGAGTTATTGACGTTGTTCTGCTTACTTCGCTTGTACTTATTCTTGACCTGGAATGTCGTTTCGTCCTGTGCGCTGCCCCAACCTCTGATGGCACTATCACCTTTCTGCGCATATTGCTTGCCTTCGTCCTTGGCCTGGTCTTCGGCAGGGTTCTGAAATAGTTGTGCCTGAAGATCAATCGAAGACTGCAGGCCGGAGCGTGAGAGATATTTTGTAGCCGACATGCCCGGATGCTGAGAACGAAGAAATGTCGGAGGCGAAGCGAGGATATTCGAAGGTTGGGGAGTGTGGTGAGAGAAAGGATGGTTCGGAGCGAGGCCATGCGAACGTTGGGCACCATACGTGACAGAAGGCGGAGCGAGGACACTTGAAGGGTTGGCAACATTGTGAGCAGAAGTATGATTTGGAGCAAGAAGACTGTTGGAGGACTGTGGACCAGAGGAGGCAAGACTTGTACCAAGACGATTTAGGACTTGGATATCATAGCGAGAAGAAGCTTGTTGTGCAGCAGAACTACTCAAATGCCGATGATCAGCGCGGTGAGAAGGAGATTTTATAGCCATGTCGCTCGGAGGCTGTCGATTGTAGGGGGAAGAAGAATGTTGTGTAGCAACGCTGTTCGAATAACGAGGATCAGGTCGAGATGGAGTTCGTGGAGTATGATCGTTTGGAGGCTGTGGATTGGAGGGGGAAGAACTAGGATATGTAGTAGAGCTTCTTGAAAACCGAGGACCATGGCGAGACGGAGACTGTGGAACAAAATTGTTTGGAGGAGCTAGCATGTAGGATGAAGATGCAGGATATGGACTGAACCTTTGCATGTGCTGCGACTCATGAGAAGCGCCGTTATTATGTGGAGCTACGTGAGGCGAAGTCGGACCATGATATGAGGGAGTGTAAGGACCGTCGCTACTCGAGTGCTGAGAACCATAGCGGTATGGATTACGATGTCGAGCAGGGTTATTCGAGGGCCGGGTGTCATGTCGAGGAGAAGATGAATGAAGATTGCTATTCAAAGAGTACCAAGGCTGAGGTGGAGGGGGTTGAGCAACGTTATTCGAGAGCTGACGAGGGAATGTTGGCGTATGTTGTGAAGCGAAGTTATCCAAGGGCCGATGTTCAGGCTGAGGAGGACGAGATCGAAGATCTGTATTCGAGCGCCAAGTGCCAGGTTGAGCAAAAGAAGATTCAAGATCGCTCCTCGAATATTGTATCCCATATTGAGCATGAGGAGATCCAACATTTACATTGGAAGTATTCAGCCCAGCTTGACCAGCAGAAAATGGAGCAGCGTTATTCGAGGGCTGGCCGTATTGTGTAGGCGGAGCCAAACCGTTCAATGGCCGGATCTCATGTTGAGGAGAAGGATGAAGAGATTGAAAGTTCTTATCCGAAGGCCGTAAGCCAGATTGATGCATTGGAGGCCAAATACTGCTACTCGCATGCTGGAATCTGGGCTGAGGTGTAGAAACTCGAATAACACTACCCAACGGCCAGTTGCCTTCAAGATCAGGAGCAGAATCATTCCACTGGACAACGTTCTGTTCGGACTGATAAGCATTATTGGCCTGATTTGGGCGGCGCTTCATGGACAAAGGCCGGTAGGGATGAGGAGAAGGTGATGCCTGATACTGATTGCTCATGATGACTCGGTTCGTTCCATCGGGATTTTGCACGATATTGGCGGGATTTGCATCTTCGAAGAGGAAAAGTCAGCATTCTGTTTATCTATCATTGATGAGGACCAGGATTTGATCTTGTGATAAGCGTTGTTGCCTCAGAGACTCTGCTATTCACGGTGTGGCTCACAAGGATCTGTTCGGTTTGTGGCCTATTCACCGTATCAGCATTGTTTTTGTCGCATGTATTATAGAAGCTAGGACAGCAAAGCGACATCTGATGGGATAGGTATTGGATAGTCCGGGAAACTTGCCAGTAAGTAGGCTGGAGGGCCTTGGTATTGAGATAATCTAAGCGAATCGCTCTTCTTGCTTCTGCGACCTCTGGTTGGGACGGTGTTCTTGTTGTTCAGCCTGCTGCCCCCACGCATATTTTGATCATTGTTTTCGTGGGCCATCCCGGACAATGAGCAAGCTGCTCACAATCAACGACGGGTTCGTCGACCAGTGCGACGCGCAGATTTTGCTTTGGACGAGATTTTGTTGTTTACCGCGGGTTTGGTAGAGGCAACCGGGATAAGGATAGCTTTGTCGTCGCTGGACGAAATCTTGACTGGGCGGTTGTCAAATCCGTCCTCGCTAGGATTTGAGACTGTCTCATCGGAGGAGTTACTCTCGATGATTTGGCGTGGAAGGTTCCTTCCTTGTGTCTCTCTGTCATTGCGTGAGATGGGATGTCCCGTACCGGGAAGGGACATTCCTGTCGAAGCTATCTGCCTGGCCATTTTCTCCTCGAGGTATCTCCGAGTGTCATTCCCGGGGGCGAAAGCCCTGAAATTGTTCAAGTCAAAGGCAGCGTCGATTTCCCGCATACCATGAATCCAGGCTTCATGCTCAGCCTTTTCCTTCTCAGCCCGCTGAACCTCCTCACATATCTGCATGAGCGCATCGGCACACTGAAGAACCTCGTCACTCGTATCCAAAGGCATGTCACCGCTGATTTCAGCTTGTTTCATGGCTTTCTGGATCTCTTTATTCTCATGCAAAGGCATGTCACCGTCAAGTTTGGCTCTTTTCGCAGCTTCAGAGAAGAATCTGGATTTTGCCTCAGGGGCCTCGACCTTGGTCATAGGTAGCTTATCAGCCATCGATGCTTTACGTTTCGGTTTTCTTTTAGTCTTTGGGACTGCTCGCATATCTGTGTTGGCTTCGAGTGCTTCAGCAGCTTTCCGTGTTTGTGTTCGATTTCCTCGCAGCACTCTCGGCTCTCTTTGGAGAATCGCGGCGACGACTTTCTTTGCGACTGTTGTCTGATCTGGCTCTGTCTTTCCAATCTTCTCTGGTGAATTAGAAGACTTCTCCTCATTATTGGTTTCCTTTCCATTTGGCAGAGGAGTGCGATTCCGTGGAGGATTGATATCGCCATTGACTCTCGAAAGGTCTATGTTTGGAGAGCTGCCATCTTCCTTGTTGCTGTTTTCCTCGTTGCTGTTTTCAAGGGAGATGGGAATAGTGATTGGTATCTCAATGCCGAGAGTTCCAAGCATAGGTTCAGTTTGGGGGACGACAGTTTCTTCTTGGGGAGCAGGCGACGATATATCGACAGAGCCAACAAGTGGGGCGTCTTGGATGACTGGCTCCTCCGTGTGATCTGAAATGTTAGTATTTATATGCTCTATCTTGAATCGTGTTCATTACCTGGCATTTCTGTTTCCACCGTTACTAGGTTAACTTGTACTGGCGTGTCCTTTTTTCTTTGATCAGGCTCCATGATTGCTCTATTGTGTTCGTTGGATTCGAGTTTGGATTTGGATTTGTTTACTCGGTAAGCTGCGACCCTTGCAGGAATACTTTCAGGTATTGATACAAAGATTAACAAAGCTTCGAGGTCGAGGGATGAAATTTTATGTGTGAGAAGCAGTTCGGGAAGTTACAAAAATAAATCACAGAAGCAAAATAATGCAATAAAAGGGCCAGTCACTAGTCTGGCATGGACAGTGTTCTAGAAAGCCAGTCGAGAAAGGAACCATCTAGGTGAGGTCTAGCCGGACCATTAATGGTCTAGCTAGGCAATAATTTATCATCGAGACTGCTATGACGAAAGAATTTGTTCGTGAGATCTGACAAGTCCATGGTACTAGACAAATATTCATACATTTTTTCCCAAGTAGTTCGGTCGTAGTCTGGTAGCCGAGACCAACGACACCACACGCTTACTACATAATGCCGTGTTTAGATCTAGCGCTTGCTACTAAATACAAACATTACATCGTGATACATATGAAACATTCATTTATATTTGATAAGAAGGCAGCATAATCCAAACCCTTCATGTCAATTTCCGTAGACATCAGAGGACGTCATATATTTGCAGGCATCGCTAGTTCAAGCCGTAAAAAGTCCTAAGTATACTTTCAACATTCAGGTTTCAAGCTAAAACTGTACGATGGAAAATCGTTTTTGAGCTTTCTCTTAATTTAAAGGGCCAATGTTGCTTCCATACAAGAATCCACTCCGCATTTACTTCCTTTCATGACCCTTCACCTCCCTCGCCTGAAAAGCAAACATCTCATTACTCTGCACACTATTTCTCTCCTTCAACATCTGCGCAGTCTTGATACCCTCCACTGGAACGCGATATTCTACCTCTTTCCCCTTGCTCGCTCCAGAGAGCCCATCTTGTTCTCCCTCCTTCACTACAGGATACGGAAATGGCAGATATTCTGGCATCAAGCCCAATTGCCTAAGTAGCGTCCCTTGATCCCAAGCAATATGCTCATGGTAGAGCCTATCGCCGCGAATATTCACGATAGCTGTAAATGGCACAGAAGCTTTTTTGAATGTTGGTGGGACACCAGGAAGTCTAGACCAAGAATTAGCTTTCACTCCACTCTGTTACTAGACAACTAGCAACCTGCAGATGTAGTCATGATAACCACAACTCAAAACGGGAGCTAAACCACCACATCACACATCAAACATCACACATCATCCAAAAGCCCTCCAAATACAGAAAGAGAAAAATGAAAAGAATAAACTCACAACCAATCCACCACCCTATCATGCAAAAACCCAAACAAAAACTCATCCACCACCCTATCCACCCCCACCGTCCTACTCACCAACTCCAGCCCCGTCTCCTCCCCATTCCTAAAAATAAAATTCTCCCTATAAAACCTCGTCAAGTCCTCCCTCCCCACCCCACCCGTCAACGTCGGCACATGGTTCACATACGGCTCCTGCACCATCGTGCTCATCGTCCACTCCACGCTGCGGTCCGAAAACTCGTAGAACGTGTGCTCGTCCCAGATGGCTTCCAGGTCGAAGTTTGGACCGCCCATGTGCGATTTCAAGAACGTGAGGTTCCGCGTGTGGGAGAGCGCTTCTGTGGTGTAGTGGAAGGTAGGTAGGAATGGGAGAGCGAAAGAGGGTGAAGGCGTGGTGATAGACGGGTAGAAGTATTCCGTGAAGTCTTTCGTGCGGCGAGATTTTCTGGTTTGAGGCCCAGCATAGTGGACAACGAGTGGTATCGCAGCCGCTGTAGGGTTTTCACCACCGAAAATCTGGATGTCCGACTCTCCGTATATGACTCCACTGACGATCACAGAAACCGCTGCGATATGTCGTGCTGCGATTTTGAAGAGACTCGGCTCATAGATGACAATCCCCATCTTTTCTTTCTGGTCGCATTTCTCGCATGCCTGGATGGCGCTCACTGCTTCTATGATCACTTCCTCCTCAGCTCCGGCTAGTGCTGAGCTTTGGATCTCAACCACTACGTATCCCTCCTCCGCCCATTTTATGAGCGGAGATGGGATTCCCTCTTCAATGCTCAGTTGCTTGTCATGATCTGGCACGAGGAGGATGAGACCAGGTCCATGTCCTAGCCGCGATAAAGGAAGTAACAGCGATACGCCTTTGCGTAGTTGTGTGAGATGAGGCTGTGGGAGTGGTGGCGGAGGTTGAGAGATGTCCCCATACAGCTTAGAGTCGTCTGCCATGGTTTAGTTGTTGGTGTTGCACTCTTTTCCAAAGTCAGATAAGTTGAAAACAAGACAAAGTTTTAATGCTGAGAGAAGCCACAGTATTTACATATTTACGATTTCATGAAGTCATAGAAACACTCCGAGCTCCAACCGGCCGAGTCGCTTATCAGTAGATAGTATCCTTTGTTGATTGATCTGCATAGGTGCATTACCCGCTCGCTTGCCCATATCCGCTATTGTTCCTCACCCCTCGCCAAGGCCCTCCGCGAAATCGGCATACACTCTGAAGGCCAATCGCGGTGCATTAGCCGCCAAGATCTTCAAAGCGGGTTCTGGTTGGAATAGCTTCAAAACAAATTCCAAATATCAGAAACGTGATATCCATCTCAGAATTGTTTCTCCAGAAATTTTACGCCGCGACTTGCTTTTCATTCGGACAAAATCATCTCAACTCAACTCACATATCAACATCCAAAATGACAGACGCATCCAAACTCGAAGATGTCCGTCCTCTCTTCGAGCTCCGCGAGCGCAACTACATCATCACAGGCGGCGCACAAGGCATCGGATTTGCCTGCGCTCGCGCAATCTGTGAAATGGGAGGCAACGTCGCCATCCTAGACATCCAAGCCAAACCCGTCTCGGAATTTGAAGATCTCAAGAAATTCGGCACAAAATCAACATACATCCAAACGGATGTCACGAAAGAAGAGAGCTTGAAAACTTCATTTGAGCAGGTTCTTAAGGCTCTAGGATCTGTTGATGGCTGTGTGCTAGCTGCGGGAATTGCGATTGATAAGCCGTTCGTGGAACAGACGTGGGATGAGTTCAACAGGATTCAGGATATCAATGTAAGTACCTCCAGCCTGAGACTTTGGTTGAGTTTGTACTGAACGAAATCACAGGTCAGAGGCACATTCTTCACAGCCCAACTCTGCGCAAAACAAATCATCAAACAAGGCACCAGCGGCAGTTTCGTCCTCCTCGCCTCTCAATCCGCACACATCGCCCTCCCAGGCTACCGAATGGCAGCCTACAACGCCTCCAAAGGCGCCGTAATGATGCTCTCCAAAGTCCTCGCCGTCGAGCTCGCACCCTACAAAATCCGCTGCAACACCATCTCACCTGGTTTCGTGGACTCGGAAATGACCAGGTCTGTCAGAGATACCAAGAGCAAGAGGGAGGGAGACCAGATGTGGCTTGCTCCTCCGAATCAGCGACTCAGTAATCAGAGCGATTTGACGGGTGCGGTTGTTTATCTTTTGAGTGATGCGGCGAGACATACGACAGCGGCGGATATTCCGATTACGGGTGGTTTGCATGCTGGAACGATTGATGGTGTGATAGCTTACGCATAGATGCTTGTTCCTGTCGAGTATATTCTTGGTAGAGAAAAGTTTAAGTCTCTGTTATCTCCTATCTCAAATGGTCGTGTGTAACCTTCAAACTGTAAATCCTGGCGGATAATCGCCCCGTGTCTTGAGCGGATATTCCCCAGATAGAAGAATGCGGGGTTGAGTGCAGCCGGGATCCATGTCCTCGCTTGTGGCGTAAACAAATTCGGATAACAATAAAGTCAATCATTCCTGCCATACCTATATCTCCATGAAATGACCTTCGTTGGTTTCAAGGTGCTCTTTCCTATCAAACAGTCCACAAGACCAGGTGTTCGGTCCGTCCACTTTTAAACCCAACTTTATCTCAATCGAGTAAACTGTCTCGTTGCTTATCTTCGACTCTAATCCGAGGTTATCGTCGTGCACTATCCAGAAGCTAAATTAGCATCGGTTAGCTATGGTGGCTGGTGGCTGGTCCTTCCCCACCCCTCCGCACTGCAATCTTATCAGCGGATATTGTACTGCTGTCAACTTCATATGTGCATCGTGCAGCTGTGAAATATATATTTCCACCTTCCGACGCGATCATTCGGGTGCTGATGATGTTGAAGTGGCATGTCTAAATATCAAACAACGTACCTATCATCATGAGCGACAATATGGAATCGTATGATGCAGTTGTAGTTGGCGCAGGTACTGCACCCGTTCCAATGTGTAATGCATATGAAATGAGAATCAATTGCTGACATGTATCCCAGGCTGGTTCGGTCTCGCAGCCGCAAAGACTTACATTCAAACACACCCCGAAGCACGCATCGCCGTCTTCGAATCCGCAGAATCATGCGGTGGGACCTGGTCCAAAAACCGCTTGTACCCTGGTCTCAAATCCAACAACATGGTTGGCACCTACGAGTATCCCGACTTCCCAATGAACATAGAAACCTACGGCGTGCAACCTTATGAGCACATCCCAGCTGCCGTCCTGCACAGATATCTCACTGACTACGCCAAACATTTCGGTGTATTTGAAAACATCCAATTCGACACCAAAGTGGACCTCATTGAATTTGAGGCCAGCGGTCCTTGGAAGCTTTCTGTTACGAAGAACCAGAAATCTAAGACTGTGAGGACTGAGAAGCTGATTGTTGCGACGGGTCTTACTTCCACTCCAAACATGCCTCATTACAAGAATGAGGACAGCTTTGCAGCCCCAATGTTCCATGCGAAGGATTTCTGTAAGGAAGCTCCAAAGTTAAAGGAAGTCAAGAATGTGGTCGTTGTTGGAGGCGCGAAATCTGCGTATGATGTGGCCTATGCAATGGTCGAACAGGGTGCTACAGTTGACCTTGTTATCAGACCGAACGGCCATGGTCCAGTGTGGTAAGCAACTCAAATGAAGCCAAATCATCACAAAACGGCCATTCTGACCTACAACTAGGATCGCTCCAAGACTGGTCACACCCTTCAAAAAGCGACTCGACGCACTTCTCAACGTCCGATGGATGACATGGATGGCTCCATGTCCATGGGGAGGTGAAGATGGCTACCCAGGACCTCGCAATTTCCTCCACGGCACAGCATTCGGTCGAATGCTCGTAGATCTATTCTGGAAAGTCCTTGGAGGCGACGTGCTATCCGCGAACGGCTACGACAGCCATCCAGAATTGAAGAAACTCAAACCATGGAATTCGGCTTTCTGGATCGGAAGCGGTCTGAGTATTTTGAATTACAAGAAAGATCTGTTCGCCATGGTGAAAGAAGGCAAAATCCGAGTGCACATCGACAACATCGACCACCTAGAAGCCAAGACCGTGGTTCTCAGTGGTGGGGCCGTCCTCAAAGCCGACGCATTAATATGTTCCACTGGCTGGAAGAAAGAATCAAGCCTGAAATTCACCGGACTCCCAGAAGAAGAATTCGGACTCCCTCACACCAAAACGGAAAAGCTCAAGCTCTCCCACGAAGCAGACAACAAGATTTTAACCATGTTCCCTCGCCTGGCAAACCAACCCGAGCTCAAGTTCGAGCAGAAGACAGCCGATCCACTTCGCATGTACCGGTTTATCGTTCCCCCATCGTTTGTGGCAAAGCGAAACCTAGCTTTCGCTGGTATGGTTTCCTGTGTCAGCACCGCAACATGTGCCAGTAACAGCGCTCTGTGGATTTCTGCTTTCTTCGACGGGAAGCTCGAACGTATTGCCAAGTCACAGCAGGAAATCACAGATGAAGTTATGCTTCATACGCAGTGGGGCAAATGGAGATATCCCTGTGGGTATGGTGCAAGTCTGCCGGATTTTGTGTTTGAGGGTGTTCCTTATTTTGACTTGCTGTTGCGGGATATGGGGCTGGAGAATCATCGGCAGAAGAGCTTGTGGCGGGAACTCACTTCTCCTTATTATCCAGCGTGTTATAATGGTCTTGTTGAGGAATGGCAAGCGAAGCAGGAGAGCAAGAAGGTGAATGGTAATAAATGATCAGCTTGTAAATTGGCGTTAAGGATGAACGGATATAGCTCTTGTAGCAGTGTAGCAACTTTCTTCCCTCGTGGGCGTATGTGTCTCAATTCTTATAATCTCACTGACTTTGAAATGAAGCATCATAAAATTTTACTTTTATTTGAAGAAATTGAAGTTAGAATTGTCGTCTTATTCCACGTGAGATCAGAATGAGGCTGAACGCCAAGCCAAAGCTTCACCCCTCGGCTCCACCAAAAGGTCGCAAGTCCAAGAGCTCCCTTCAAACCTTAACAACAGTCCCATCCTCTCCAAAACACCATTCCAGATCGCCTCATTAACTTGCAGGCCGGCCTTATCCACAACCCGCCAAAATGTCCTCCCTCTACAACCTCGAGCCCCAACCCACCGCCTCCTGTATCCTCCACACTACCTCCGGCGACATCTCCCTCGAGCTCTGGGCACAGCAAATCCCTCTCACCTGCCGCAACTTCCTCCAGCACTGTCTCGACGGCTACTACGATAACACAATCTTCCACCGCCTAGTCCCAGGCTTTATCCTCCAAGGTGGTGATCCTACTGGTACAGGATCTGGCGGAGAAAGCATTTACGATGGAGGGCAATACGCTGAATCGCGGGAGGAGAATGGCATCTGGCCTATGGAGGATAGGAAAGGCGCCAATGCAGGTCGACAGGGTGTAGGATTCAAAGACGAGTTCCACAGTCGGATCAAGTTCAATCGCAGAGGGCTGCTGGGAATGGCGAATGACGGACCAGATTCGAATGGTAGTCAGTTCTTTCTTACGCTTGGAGATACGCCGGAGCTGCAGGGCAAGAATACGCTTTTTGGACGGGTGGAGGGCGAGACGATTTATAATGTTGCGAGAATGGGAGAGGCGGAGGTGGGAGCAGATGATAGGCCGCTGTATCCTACGAAGATTACAAACGTGGAGATATTGGTCAATCCGTTCAAGGATATGGTCAAGAGATCGAGGACGGCGACTATTACGGAGCAGCCCAAGGCAGTGGAGAAAAAGAAGAAAAGGAAGGCTGGGAAGCAGCTATTGAGTTTTGGGGATGATGAGGGAGATGCGGAGGCAGCTCCTGTGGTCAAGAAGGCGAAGTTCGATACGAGGATTGTGATGGATACGGATGAGGCGCCATCTGAACTAAAGCCCAAGCAAGAGAAATCGAAAAAGGTAGAGAAGAAGCCTGCAAAGCCTGTCTCTGTTGAGTCGTCACCCGAACCTACACCTCCTCCAAAATCCCTACCAAATCGAGCAGCAAAAGTTGAAGCCAGAGAGATCTCATCTTCGCCAGAGCCAGATCAAAAAGTATCCTCACTACTCGAAAAGACGAATGCGCAGATAGCAGAACTCAAAGCTTCTATGAAGCGAAACGTCATAGTGGCACCAGTTGAAGAGAAAAAGAAGTCCGCACTGGAATCAATGATACCCAAAAACTCCATCCGGGGCAGGAAACGACATCCCGGGGAGAATGTACCAGATCAAAGTACCTTAGACATCCTGAAAGCCTTTCAAATAAAGCTACACAACGCACCACCAGAGAAAGAAGCTGTCAAGCCTGAAACCGCAGCAAAGAACGGAGGAGAGAATGGAGCTGATGCGTCAGATGAGGAGGCAGTTCTTTGCGATTTGCATTTCATTGCAGACTGCCAATCATGCAAGAAGTGGGACGAGGAAGACCAAGCAGAGGACGATGATATTGATGATGGAGGATGGATGTCTCATGCTTTGTCGTTCAAAGAGGACAAGCTAGGCAAGGATTTGAGCTATAGGAAGAAAGCAGAAGATGAGTTGGTGGTTATTGATCCGAGAGAGAAAGCTAGGACACTGAAGGAAGAGATGAGAGCCCAGAGAGAGGCGAAGGCTGGAGGTTCTGGGAGGGCTTGGGACTCGGCCAAGAACGATAAGTTGTCGAGAGCATCGGCATTAGCTGGGAGAGGGGCTAAGTAATGATCAGGAAAGTGTGAACACTTGATTATGCTCTGATCCCAACGTCGGTGTACAGTACATGAGTTGAACCCACGTAGTTGTGGCTTTGACTGAGATAGTCACATCTAGAATTGTGAAGAACTAACACAACACTCATAAGTCAAGCATGATGGATCTCAAATAGGCAAATCTTGAAAAGCTGTATCACATCCACTGAATCATCCTATTTGCCGTGCAGAAATGTAGACAATGACTTTTCTTATTCTCGCAACAACTCTCTACATCCTCAAAGATATCCTGAGCTTAAAAGCTTTCAAAGTTTCAGGTCTGTCCGGAGAGAAAGAAGCCAATTTCAAGCCAGAAATACTTCCTTTGGTGAAGAATGTAACGCTTAGAAACTCCGCCTTGTCATAATCATGATCCTTTCAGCAAAACCAGTCACTGCATTCACCACCTTACCTAAGTCAATAGATCATGCCTTGTCCGCATAAACCAGATGATGCACAGAAACAAACATATGATTGAGACATTTTAATGTAGGCATGTATTGAAACTACCTATTCACAAGGCTTCAGCCTTATGCATTCACAGCCTCGCCTTGAAGAATCTTGGCAATTTTTATTGGCTCGCTTGTGCTTAGTTGCTGACAAGCCAGAAGGAAATCTCGCGAAATGGGGAATGGCTCAAAGACGCCAGGGCGAGGAAACATAGCTATCCAAACATACCACCCCGCAAAGTCCTGACTCAAACCACCACTCCCTCCATTCGCTGCGTATCGTACCACCATGAGTATATCTTCAATCACCTAAGGCGCCTTCGGAATCCATGAAGAAAAACACAGAAACCCGGTAACAGGCTGCGAAAACCTCCGAAACCATCCAACAATCAACGAGCCGACCCTGCAGGATCCCGAACCCTCCGCATTGATCCATCGACGACAATTCTTTGGCGGAGCAAGTCTCAGATCTTTGTCTAGGACAATACAAGTGCTGCTAGAAGCTCCTCAAGACCTCTAGATATTCCTTCTGCCTCTGCCTCAGCCTCCTCTTTGACTCCTCTGAGGGCCGTAGCACATTTAAAATACTGCCGCCACGATCTTTTCTCCTCCACAGGACGCTCTACGAATCCCCAGCGCAGCCAGAAGATACGCGGCGGAGGACACAGCAGACGAAGTCAGTGCCTAGGGTTACACACAGCAGAGTTGCGATACCCTCGAGTGTTTGGAAGCGCAGGGAGCCTGAAGCGGCAAGGAAGGCTGCAGTCAGCCTCGACCCTCTTCGATAACCTCAAATCCATCCGCCAGCCTGGCCCACGCCCATAACCCAACCTTCACCAAGGTCCCAGTCTACATCTACCCCGTTGGCCACGTCGCCAGGTCGCATGTCCCTTCACATGCCTCCCACGAATCCCAGAAAGAGAGCTGCACCGGGGTCCTCGCCAGCCGTCCAAAACACCCAAATGTCACAGTCTTACAATGTACCTGGCCAGGTCTCGAATGCCGACTTCCTTAACTGGAACCAGCAGCCTGACAACAACACACGCTTCGCTGATGAGACCGGCTTCAATATGAATAATTTCTCCGGCGCTCAAACGTCACAACCCCAATTCGATCAGTCAATTCCTGCCGCGGCTTCAACACAACTTGCGCGCCGGCCCATGAACAACCGACAACTCGTCCCAACTGCACAACGGATGGCATATGACAACCAAACTGATCCTTGGGGCCAGTTTGGAGATGATTCGATACTTGATCCTCAGAACGGAAATGGTGTGATGGAGGAGAATGACACTATCGAGCTCTTGGAGGAGCGGGCCGCGGTTGCAAAGAGAGATGCGCAATCGAAGCGCAAACAGATTCCCCCATTTGTTCAGAAGCTAAGCAGGTAGGCGTTCCCGTTCATTTCCCCCAAGTCAGTCTGCATGCTGATCTTGTTCTAGCTTCCTCGACGAGTCGAAAAATACCGAGCTCATTCGGTGGTCTGACCGAGGCGACTCGTTTGTTGTCTTGGACGAGGACGAGTTTGCAAAGACGCTGATCCCCGAGCTTTTCAAGCACAACAATTATGCATCCTTCGTCCGGCAGCTGAATATGTATGGTTTTCACAAGAGAGTCGGGCTGTCGGATAATTCGATGAAAGCGAGTGAGAGAAAGAATAAGAGCCCCAGCGAGTACTACAACCCATACTTTAAACGTGGCCACCCAAATCTACTTTGGCTTATCAACAAGCCCAAAGGTGGAAATTCGAAAACCAAGAAGAACAGAGTCAAGAACGAAGAAGGGCAAGATGGAGACAGCGATGATGATGGAAGGGAGATGGAAGAGGTCTACGGCAACAACGTTCAGCAATCGAGAGCTCTCTCAGCTGGCCCCGAGTCGGGTCCCCTTCAACGACGGGATGTGGCAGCTCTCCAGAATCAGCTAGCCGAGATCCAAAAACAACAAGGCAACATTACAACGGCCATCGCACGCCTACGGAAGGATCACAACCAGCTCTACCAACAGTCAATAGCCTTCCAGTCGCTTCACGATAGGCACGAAAACTCTATCAACGCTATTCTCACGTTTCTTGCTACTGTATACAACAGAAGTCTTGATGGGCAAGGTCCTCAAAATATTGCCCAAATGTTCGCAAGTGGACTCAATCACAATGACCCGCAGCATCAGGGCAGTGTAGTGGATATTGGAGATGTCTCGAATCAACAGCAACAGAATCCTGGTAATATGAGCCCACTCAGAAGACCGCAGAGACTTCTTATGGCACCGCCTGGTGCTGGCGGCCGACTTACCACAGCTTCTCCATCTTCAACCCCGACTCCTCGGCCGCATGCCTACCAAAGTACCCCGAATTCCGCGAATATTGAAGAACTCTTCGATACTCCAGCTGAAACGCCCCAACCTGAGTTCAAGCCTGATATGAGCCGCCAACAAGCACAAATTCCTCAATCAAACATGATGATGAACATCATTCAAGACACCAACGCCCAGAACCAACCGAACAACAACAGTGCCATGCAATTTCCAGAGATGCTCTCCCACTACGAAAACTCCAATGGAAATTCACCCCTCACCAACGAACAGCGAAATAGCATGCTTAACCTAATGGCGAACACCTCCTCAGCAGGCGGCAACAACGCTCTGACCAGCCCTACGCCACCTCCACCGCCGAGCCTCGAAGAACTGGGCTACACGCAGAAAGAGATCGACGAGCTGATGCGCCTCCAAGCCGAGCAAGAACACCGCATCAATGACGTCAAATCCACCCTCGCACCCCTCAGTCCATCCGGTTCCATCCCCGGCATCGACGGCGACACCTACTTCAACGGCATGGACTCTTCTAACCCTGACGCCGCGAACCTCGATCTCGACCAATTCCTCGACACCGGAGCATTCTACACAGGCAGCAGCCCGATGGCCAACAACGGAGATTACAGCTTTGACAGTTTCGGCGACTCGGGTGCCTTGGGAGAGAGCCATTTCGATGTCGGCATGGATGGCACGAACGATGATAGTGGACGGGTAGAGAGTCTCAATGGAAGTGCGGTCGCTACGCCGGAAGTTAGTACACCGGAGGACACTAAGGATATGAATGGCATGCGCAGTCCTAGCAAAAAGCGGCGGAAGAACTGATTGGAGGGTTATCGAGAGGTGCCGTTATCATTACAATGCGTCTGGAACGAGTGTGTAAGTGCATAGTTGGGTCGGATTGGATGATTGAAAGAGAGGAAGGAAGAAAGAAGAGAGAGAAAGAACGGTTGGGTTGGTGGATGGCTTACAGGACGGAGGAAAGATTTGATTGGTTTCACATGGCGTTACGGAACGGTGGTCTGTTTCTCGTTGTGGAGCGTTTTATGAGATATGATAATATGATATCATGAGCTGAGCGAGAGCCGAGCTTGACCTGACTGAAGGCTGGAAAAGGGTTGGGAAGGAGGCTAGAATATGTGAAAGTGGTATGGTAGAAGTAGCATGTATAGATGGATGGTTCGTTGCAGCACCTCGATGTCTTCTCCTTTTTGCCGCGTCCTATCTTCCTGTTTCTCTTTTCAGTCCCTTCTGTTCAACGTCGCCCGTTCTCAAATTCTTGAACTCTTTTCAACCCAAGTGGGATACATGTGATTGCTATTTCCTTGTCAGTATACTTCGCTGTGGCCCGTTCTCGAGACAAGAATCGCAAATCAGTCAGGCCTTCGCCAAGCGAGTAGCGTCAGCATCGACAATCCAGAAGAATGTTCAACAATCTGGCGCAGGTCATGCGCAGGTCATGGCAGCCAGCTTGGCAGAACTGAGAAGAACACAATGGTCCACTTCCATCGATATACACCCCAAGTGCTCAGGTATCTTCACTCAGTGAGTCCTGCCAAGCGTACCTCGTCTCTCTCATTCCCTGCTGCCTAAGAAATTGTATCAACTTCCTCAAGCCAAGCCAACCCTATATCCCCCAACCCACTATCTCCACTACGCCATCACAAACGTGCTTACGGCCGAGAAACAAACCACAAGTCTATCACTCCCCACAATAGATGCGGCTCTCCCCCCAAACTCGCCTAAACGGGATTCTCGGACACCCGAGTAGTGCGAGGGGCAATGCATCCACAAGCCCCCAGCCGTCTTGGCCTGTTTAGCGAGCGAGTCTTGGGCTGATTAAGCAGATGGGAAGTCAACAAGAGAAATTTGTGTGGTGCGATGGTAATGGTTTTGGAATGGAAGGGTAGACTTTCGTCCGTAAAGGAGTTCTTGGAATTCTTTACAATGAGACATGCGCGTCAAAGTCGTTTTCTTGGGAGATTTGCTGGTCTGGGACTTGGACCGGGACTTGGACTGGGTGGTGTTTTGCCTCCGATGTATTTGGTTGACTTTCTTATAAGTATTCTGTGGCGCTCAACTACAACATCATATCTCCTTCACCAAAAAGCACAGGAAACAGTCTACGAAACCCGACCTTTACGGAGTTCATACTGCAGGAGATTATTATCCTGTTACTGTTGACACTTTTCTACAACCCGTCAGTGATTGGCGAACACCTCAGGGCCTACGATTGCCATCATGGCCAACACAACAAAGAGCATAGATCTGAACCTCGATCGGACAGAAAGCAATAAAGACCTACAGTTCACCGAGAGTGCTCAACGCCTGACTCTCGATCCCAAATCCCCAAAATTCGACGCCCGCGCCTGGGTAGACGAACTCATCCGGCTCGACGAAAACGATCCTCGCATCCCTCCTCTCAGAACCCTAGGAATCGCATTTAAGAGTCTAAGTGTCTCTGGTCAGAGCACTGATGCCGAGTATCAGAAGATAGTTGCAGGAGTTTTCCTATCTGCGGCATCTAAAGCCAAGAGTTTGTTTCGTCACAATGGTTCGGCGTCCCAGAAACAAATCCTGAGAGACTTCGAAGGCGTCATTGATAAGGGAGAGATGCTCCTCGTTCTCGGTCCTCCAGGATCAGGATGTTCGACTTTCTTGAAAACTCTCGCCGGGGAGACAGCGGGTCTACGGGTATCATCTGATGCTGAAATCAACTTCCGCGGCATCGATTTGAAGACAGTTCGGAAAGTTCTTCGTGGCGATGTTCTGTATAATTCTGAGCTGGACGTTCATCTACCGCAACTTACTGTGGGTGATACTTTGAGCTTTGCAGCGAGTGCGAGAACATCGAGGATTGTTCCAGAGGGATATACACGCAATCAGATCGATACGCTATTCCGCGATGTCATCATGCCCTTGTTCGGCCTTACACATACCGTCAATACTCGTGTGGGCGACAACATCATTCGGGGAGTTAGTGGCGGCGAGCGAAAGCGTGTCAGTATTGCAGAAGCTGCATTGACGGGATCTAAGTTCCAATGCTGGGACAATGCAACTCGAGGTCTAGACAGCCAGAATGCCATCACATTTGGCCAGAATCTACAGTTACAAGCAGACGTCCTGGGTGTTGTAGCTGCTGTGTCAATTTATCAAGCACCGCAGTCCGCTTACGATATCTTCGATCGAGTAACGGTGATCTATGAGGGACGACAAATCTACTTTGGACCAGCCACTGAAGCGAGGGCATACTTCGAAGAACTTGGCTTCGAGTGTCCACCCCGACAGACCACAGCTGATTTCCTTACCTCTATGACAAGTCCAAGCGAGTGTAAACCTCGTTCTGGATGCGAAAATACCGTCCCTCAAAGCCCTGACGAATTTGCCGCCCGGTGGAAGACAAGCAATCAGCGCCAAACACTACTCCGCGAAATCGAAGGTTATGCCGATGCCCACCCCGCTGCCGAAAGACTCGAAGAATAGAAGCAAAGCCGTCGAGCACAACAAGCACAACTTCTCCGCCCAAACTCCGCCTACATGATCTCCTACCCCTCCCAAGTATCCCTCACACTATGGCGAGCCTGGCGCAGATTACGAGCCGATCCATCCTTCACAATCATCTGGTTGATATACCACGTCGTCATCTCTCTCATCCTAGGCAGCATGTTCTACAACCTCGCCAACGACAGCTCAAGCTTCAACTACCGCGCTGCACTCATGTTCTTCTCGCTACTGTTCATCGCTTTCTCTAGTCAAATCGAAGTCCTAACGATCTATGCAGAACGTCCGGTTGTGGAGAAACATAATCGGTATGCGTTTTACCATCAGTCTGCACAAGCTATAGCGACTTATGTGATTGATTTGCCGTATAAGGTTGTAAATATGGTGGTGTTTACACTTACAGTGTACATGATGTCCAACTTGAACCGGTCCGTCGGAAATTACTTCTTCTTCCTGTTCATAACGATTCTCACGGTCTTGTCACAGTCAGCAATCTTCCGCACACTAGCATGTTTGACCCGAACTCCCGAGCAAGCAATGGCTCCCACTGCTTTGCTGGTCCTCGGCATGGCAATCTACCCTGGGTTTACGCTCCCCACTGATTACATGCCTGGCTGGTCACGATGGATGAATTATATCAACCCCATCAGTTATGCTTTTGAGGTGATGATGGCCAATGAATTCAGTGGAAGAGAATTCAATTGCGCCTCCATGAATCCATCCGGTGAAGGCTACTCTGACGTTTCACCCGCATCACAGATATGTTCTGTATTCGGTTCACAACTTGGCTCATCTGTTGTCATGGGCCATGATTACATCGAGGCAGCTTACAATTATCGCAATGCGAACAAGTGGAGGAATGTCGGTATCTTGTTCGGATACTGCATCTTCTTCATGATCGCCTATCTCGTCGCAGCCGAATACGCAAAGCCACCTCGGAACAAGGGAGAGATATTGGTGTTTAACCGTGGCAATGCAGTACCAAAGAAAGAAGACCGCCAAGATCTATCAGACGTTGAAAGCCATAGCAGTTCCACAGAAGTTGTCTCTGGCATAACTGGAGGCTCATCAATTTTCCATTGGGAAGATCTTTGCTACGACATCAAGATCAAGGGCGAAGAGCGCCGGCTCCTGGACCATGTTGATGGTTGGGTCAAGCCTGGTAAGATTACTGCACTGATGGGAGTTTCTGGCGCAGGCAAGACTACATTGCTCGATGTCCTAGCGACTCGTGTCACGATAGGTGTTGTCAGTGGAGAGACCATGATCAACGGCAGCCCGATAGATACCTCTTTTCAACACCGCGTTGGCTATGTGCAGCAACAAGATCTACATTTACACACCATGACTGTCCGGGAAGCATTGAGATTCAGCGCACTTCTTCGTCAGTCGGCTGAGGTACCGAAAGTTGAGAAACTGGATGACGTGGAACAAGTCATTGACATGTTGGAAATGCGGCCGTATGCAGAAGCAGTAATCGGTGTTCCTGGTCAGGGTCTGAACATTGAGCGGAGAAAACGATTGACAATTGGCGTTGAGTTGGCTGCTCGTCCTCAGTTGCTGATCTTCCTTGACGAACCTACTTCTGGCCTGGATTCCCAAACATCCTGGGCTATTTACCAGTTGATCAAGAAGTTGACCAAGAGTAGACAAGCTATCCTCTGTACCATTCATCAACCATCAGCTGTCTTGTTCAAGGAGTTTGATCGTCTACTTCTCATTGCTCCTGGTGGACGAACAGCCTACTTTGGTGACTTGGGCGAGGATGCATCAACACTTATCAATTACTTTGAGCGAAACGGTGCTCCCAAGATCCCAGCTGCTGCCAACCCTGCCGAGTGGATGCTCCAACTTCTCACACCCACGAAAGACAGTTCCAAGAACGTCGACTGGCACCAGATATGGCGTTCCTCCGAAGAGTACCAATCAGTCAAGAAAGAACTCCAACGCATCCGGGCTCTCGCAGTAGACGACCTTGCAAATCCAACCATCACATCGTCTGATATCGATGTATCCCAGCACGACGAATACGTCACCTCATTCCGCACCCAGTTTAAGGAAGTTCTTATCCGCACATTCAAGCACTACTGGCGCATGCCCGTCTACATCTACTCCAAAACAATCATGTGCATTCTCTACGGCCTCTACATCGGCTTCAGCTACCACTCCAGCACCACCATCCAAGGAACCATGTCCCAAATGTGGGCCATATTCATGCTCCTCCTCCTCGTACTCAGCCTCCACGAACAAATGATGCCGCTCTTCATCCCACAACGGGATCTCTACGAAGTACGGGAGCGACCATCTAAGATCTACAGGTGGCAAACTTATGTATTCGCAAACATCATTGTTGAATTGGCTTGGAATTCTCTCATGGCCGTGTTCCTCTTCTTCTGCCTCTCCTATCCCGTGCAATATGTCGACGCCATGACGAAAGATGTTACAATTCGCAGTTTCCTGGTCTTTCTGTTTATGTGGCAGTTCATGCTACTCACCAGCACACTCTGCCACTTCGCAATCACCTGGATAGGACTTGCTGAAATAGCAAGCAGTCTCACGAATTTTCTATGGATGATGTGTATCTTGTTCTGCGGGTAAGTCTCTATCGCAGTATACTCCTGACTTTCGAAAGCTGAACTAATTAACCACCTCCATTCAACAGCATCATGATCCCCCGCCGCGACCTCCCAACCTTCTGGACATTCATGAACCGTGTCTCACCCACCACCTACCTAGTCAGCGGCCTCCTCTCCACCGCCATCGGACAATCAAATATAACTTGCGCCACTAAGGAACTCCTCCACCTGACCCCACCATCCAACATAACCTGTCGCGAGTTCCTCTCACCATTTGCTGAAGCGGCAGGCGGGAGACTTCTCACGCCTGAGGCGAGGGATCTGTGTTCATACTGTCCAATTGCTACGACGGACGTGTTTATAAAGAATTTTGATATCGAGTATGCGAATAGATGGAGGGATTTTGGATTGGGGTGGGTTTATGTGGGTGTTAATGCTGGGGTTGCTGTTGGGCTTTATTGGGTGTTTAGGGTTCCGAGGAAGGCGGGACGAGGAGGGCATAAAGGAGTCTGAGGGAGAATGAATGATGCATTTTGTAAATAATTATTGGATAGACCTGGGATTTGGAGTTTTATATATATTGGTATTTGGGGTTTGCATCAGCAGAAATAGAGTCGAAAGTGTAACATAGAAGTTGATTGAACATATCACTTAACCCTCTTCCAATCGTCTGCCCGCAAGTCTTTGAGTCTCCCTGGTACCATGAAGAGGATACGATTGCCTCTAACGTAACGGTGACACGTTTTCTCCAAAATGATAAACCCCCTACGTGTGGAAATATTATGACTACCGTCAACTGACGGTTCGCTTATTGTCCATTGATTATTTAGTACTTAAAGTACACCCATAGCAATTCCTATAAAATAATCTGTTTTGGAGGTAACACCATAACTTGATCAATCCATGTGAGTTTCTTCAGCAATCCCCATCTCCCAACCACCCCTAAGCATCTCTTCAGCTTCTCCAGATCTCGCTTAAATCTACCCCACTTCCAAGCAGGATAAACATCTCCCCGCCCGCATATTGCTTATCCGCACCTTGCCGTACCAATATAGCAACACGCATGCATCAAGGGCAATGTTACAATGAAGGATTCTATTTCTCCGCATTCCCTTCTTCGGAATGCCATGTCGTGCAGGTCGTGCATATATGCATACATAGAGTTTACGCTTGTGTGCGAGGAGTGAGTGCTGATTTGTTGGAAGGTTGTGAACTAGGGGGTGCCAAGTCGGGGGAATAGATTTCGGTCTATCGTCAATCTTTCATATTGTGAGGGAAAAGCCATGCAGGTTGAAGAGATGTAACCATTGCATCACTATTACAGTTTAACATAAGTGTGTATACTGCAACAAAGTTATAATTAGCCAACAACTCTTCCACACGTTTTAGTTCAGTGGTATCAAAGTGTCCTACAATTTAGTCACTCCCTGTAGGTAAGCTCTCAAGCAAAGAAGCTTCAAAGATTTGTACTACTGTAACAATGAATGTATGGGAACCGAGAAAGCTTGCTCATGTGTGTAACCCGAGTGCAAACAACCTGCCTCTTTTGTTTAAAGCGGGGTAAACGTGGATACAAAGGTATCTAGCCTTGCAAGTTTGGTTGGTCTAGATCGGCTATTTATATGCTAAAAGCATGATTGAATGCTGGAGAACCCATCCAGGCTCAAGATGAAGGAGCGTTTCTGGCGATAAGATATGCTACCATTGTATCTCGTGTGTAGTTCAGCACCCTCCACGGAGTTGCCCCGAGCAGGGAATGGAATCCTCCCATTGTTGATCCTCGCTTAGAGCTACTGTATGCTACCAAAACGTTAACTCCAGATATTGAAAGATATTTCTTACTCTTGGCCCGTAGGATTCTGTGACACTGCATCATTCATACATCATCAGACGGTTCAATTTTAAGCCCGAAATGGTACACTCGTCCATCAAGCCAAGAATACCAATATGTACATAACCCTCAAGTTATCCACACATCCACATTCATCTTTCACCAAAACCTTTCAATTTGAACATCCCAAACTCCAAAACCCAAACCCCAATCCAAAATGAAATTCCCACTCACCCTCCTCCTCACTCTCCTCCTCTCCCTCACCACCGGCATCCACGGCGCCGTCAACGGCCGCTGCTCCAACGGCGGCAGCGCCGACGGAATCTGTATTACACGCTCCAAATGCGCCAGCTACGGTGGGACAAGCAATCCCGGCTCTCCAGGAGCGTATACCTGCCCAGGTACTCCCGATGACGTTGAGTGCTGCAGTGTCTTTACCCGATGCCCGGGTAAAGGTACGGATACGCTGTGCACGTGGAATAATCGCTGCTCGGGAAATCCGTGGTATGGGGTTATTCTTTCGGGTAAGTTTAAGAGAGTGTCATGGTGATGGTGAGATGAAGTGGTGCTGATGCTGATGTTTGGCAGATCCGATTTGCCCTGGAGGAAATAGTTATGTGTGCTGTGATATCAATGGCTAGTTATCTCGAGAGTATAGTGGAGAAATGAGGCTCTGAGCAGAGACCGTTATACAGTGGGAACCAATTTTGGAGAAGAGCAGCTTGTTGGATGGCATATACGGACATTCGTTTGACTGGACCACTGAATTAGTTTACAGAACTTGAGATTTTTAGGAAAAGGCTATTTTAGGATATACACATTCTGAGCTGCAATGAAGTACAATTTCTCGATGGACTTAGAACTTTTCTACGTTTTAGCCTTTGAATTCCTGGCTTGCAAATCTGAAGTCAAACATTGCTGTGACTTACCGCAACTATCAGTCAGCTATCTAAGCAAATACTATAAGCAAGAATCGCCTTCTCAGTCACGTGTCTTGACAGGCCTGAGTAACCCTCTGAGAACTAAGAACAAAATGTAAACTAGCGCTGAATATAGTACGTGAATACTTGAACTGCCTAAAGGTTTGATATTTTAACTGTTTCGCAACAATTGATAGGTACTATATGATATCATGAAGCTTATAAGTATGCTAAGCTATTCCAAACACTCGAACTAACTCTGACGGTCTCCCATAAAAAGATGACGGACGGGAAGCGAGAAGAGCCCACAAGGTCCACAATGTTCTTGCGGTGTGCAATAAAAACTAACTGTAGATTTGCGGTGCCTCAAAGCCTAGTCAAGAAAATGGGTTAACAGTGACAACGTGTGTCCCCTCTATGGTTCCAACTTGCACTTCGTTGTAGCGAAAAGTGAATGAAAACTTAAGTCATGCCAGATTTCTATAATACGTCCTGTGATAGAAATGGCAAGAGCTACAAGGATGGCTGTAGTCGGAACACTTGCAAGCGTCAAATTATGAGAAAGAAGAGGAAGAGTCGAAACTTCGGCACTTGCTAGAAATGCAGCAGTCCCAAGAACAAGCAACAGTGGAAGCAGAAGTTGCTAAGAATAGGTATCATGGATAACTTGTACACATGATGTAGCATATTATATATGCGCAGTCTTCGTCAGATAGGTAAGATCATCTACGATCTTCCATAGCCTGCAACGCCGACTGGGCATTAGCTTCTCTTCAACGATGCAATGCTATTTCCAAGCCAATGAAGTGATATTACCACACTCAGTACTGAAAACTGTTACTTTTCAATAGAGAAAATCAGAAAGTAAGTCTACCCCACAATTGTAGTCAATATGACAAGAATCAAGCCCTCTGACCGCTGGAAAGCCAAGTTAGGAAGTGCTAGTAACGATCATTATATCCACTAATCAACACCACCTTGAACTACAATGCATCTCGCCAAGCACGGTCTAACACTCAAGATCTTCCCGCATAGCAGATCACGGCTGACGAGACGGGCAGGATCGACTTCCGGCGACTGGGCAAGACATTCTCACAGCAGACAAGAGAATACCTCATGCCGGATGTCTATGTGCATAGATTAGGAAACAAATTCAACTATCTACCAAGCTCATTTGAACAAGTTTGCTCAAGTAGTGATAAAATCTCTATTTCATGACATCTCCTCTTTAAGAAGCGAAAAGAGACACCAAAATAATGAAGCTGAAGCCCGCTCCAAGACCTCCCCCAAACACACCGTCATCCACACCAGAAAGCTCTAGGGTCCTCAAAGCACAGTACAAAGCATGAAATGAACACGACGATCTGTTTCCAAGTCCATGGACCGGCTTTCCAGAGAACTGTGAATATCACACTGTTGGTGTTTCACTCTTGCCCAATCGGGGTCCTTCTAGTGGGGGTTCTAAGGCCGCATCGTTGACCTCTCAGCGGACTTTTGGCTGTGGAGGACCACCAATGTACTCTCAAGTAAGAGCGCTCTGCGAACGACAAATTGCAAGATTGCATGTATAATGTGCAGTATAGAGGCGCAGATATTGATGATAAGACTTGTTTTGTAAGGCCAATATCAGATTGCCCGCGCCTGGGAGATGCTTTGCAGTATCGTAGAGCCAAACCACCAATCTACATTCAATTGAAAGCGCTTTCTCTGCAAACTATTGATGACGTCGAAGTACGACCTGCATAACAGATTTTGAATATTTTTGAAATGCCCAGCCAGCGACTATCGTCACCGCATCAACTCGATTTGCAAACCCGAAACAAAAGGATGATCCCAAGTGCACAAAACTAAACAGCCACGAAATTTAGTACAAATGATCATCCCCATCGAGGAAGGACATTCCCAGTTGAAGAAAACAATTGCAAAGTGCACATTGTAAAGTGCACAGAAAAGGCGAGTACTTCAGGATAAAACCAAGCGCAAGTACCAGTGTCAGTGCCAGTGTCAGTGTCAGAAGATCCGATGACAGTCAGCCAGCCTGTCGCAACCTTCGCAATGGAAAGCAAGATCAGCCCACCCCTTTGAGGCTGAGTCCCCTCCCCGACCATTCCCCCACCAGCCTGACGCAGCCCAGCTAACTAGGATAACGTGGCCCTCGATTATGGCCTACCTTACTTCGTACCTAATCGTACCTGCAGTAGATACAGTACTCAGCCAATTCTAAAGCATTAAAAAAACCCCTAAAATTCAGACAAGCCCTTGACAGGAGACAGGTCAAAATCAGACCAGGACCAGACGAACGAAGGAATAAAAAGTGGATGCCCCGCCCGTCATCTGAAGCCTGCAACGACGTAACTTTCAGCCCTCGAACCAATAACCCTTTCCCATCTGTCGATAACAATGGGGGCTCAGTGCACGGATTTTGGGACTTCAGCATTTTTCGGGGCTCAGGGTTTCAAAACGTCGGTGGTGGACACGGCCAACCGTTTGAGCAACCGAACTTTTGGGCTTGGCTGAGGCTGGAACCGTCTCAGCTTGTCCTGACAGGGACCCGGACAGGGTAGCAATAAGCTTAATTGGGCCACGACCCAGTGTATGCTGCCTTGACCGACTTTACATCATCGGTTCGTCTGAATGAAGAGAGTCTGCGAACGGCTGAACTAAGGAACTGAAGTTAAGAAGTGAGGGCAATGGAGTACTGGGGAAGCGAAAACTAAGAAGAAAAATGGTAAACAATATCGACATCGAGTTGAACCCTTTCAACGACATCCTTTCTTCAGAGAATTGCAATTCTTCCTGATCTCCTCTTCAATCTCCCTCCTCGTTTTATATTCCGAATGTCCAGCCTCATCACCCGGTAGTCATCCTAGCCGTGGGGGGAGAACATCGGTCGACGGGACGCATCACTTGGCAATTTGGTCTTGGGAGGCTTGGACATCTTGGCAGGAACGCCATCCAAGCCTCCGTGTTTGCAAGAACTGACCCATCCATGACCCATCCATGAACGGTCAGATGAAAAAAAATGCGGTTTCTTCGGGTCTTCTCCAGTGCTATTGTTTCTCCCTCTTCCGTCATTTCTCTCTCTCCTTCTCCCTCTTATCCATTCTCATCCATTTCTCTAATTCTCCGCCGCCAATACTTTCTGTGAATACCATTCAAGCGGATTATTCACTGGTTGCTGGCCGCCTTACATTCTTTACTTGCTGTGCAATTGTTACTTACTTATTACTTACTTACTTACTTGATTGCTTTATTACTTTCGAACATACTTTTGACCGAGTCATCCACCCAGCCATCGATCAAATCAAGCGAAACCGATACGACAGTATATCACACCAGATCAAACACCATACGACGCTCTTTTCATCAGTATAATCACCAATCGTCATGTCAACGTCATTCTTCTCCAAGGCAGTACTACTGCTATGTTCGGTCCATCTTGCTGCCGCGAATATCATGAGTCCAAAGAAGGGAGAATCAGTGGAGATGAACAAGGAATACGAAGTCAAATGGGACACACAAGGACTCGTAGCACCGATGAAGATGCATCTCGTACCCGGTGGAGCCACAGACCTGAGCACAATCATCAGCGAGCTGAATCGTAAGTTCGACATCAGCAGGTAGGGGACGGAAAGTATTACCGGCTAACCGAAAACAGCAAATCTCCAAAACTCTGGATCGTGGAAATGGATGCCCCAACCTTACAAATCTCAGCACGAGACGGTCGTAATAGTCATTGTTGACCATGGAGGAAAGTCAGTATATGGAGAACCCTTCAAGATGGCGCCTCCTTCGTATACAGTGGCTCCTCCGCCTCCAGCGCACGAGATGCCTCCTCCGCCTCCAGCACACGAGATGCCACCTCCACCACCACCTGCACACACAATGGCACCACCTCCACCGGCTCACAACACAATAGTAGTTACAGAAATCCATTCCACATCAACAGCAGCAGGAGTAGTGGTCGAGCCTCCTCCACCAGCTCACAACACCATCGTGATCACAGAGATCCATTCTTCATCTACGATGGCAGCTCACAACACCATTGTCATTACCGAGATCCACGAAACTTCCACAGCAGCGGCTGTAGTTGAAACTCTGGCACCAGTCATTAACACGATTATCATTACCGAGATCCACTCATCCACAGTAGCTCCTGTTCTCGAAACTATCGAGGCCCCAGTCGTGATCGAGACAGCGGTTGTGCACACTTCAATCATGATCAACACGCCCCCTCCGATTGCCCAGACTCAGACCCTGGCAGTGACACACACCTCAGTTGTCCAGCACATCTCCCAAGTGGTCGTCACCTCAGCCGTCGCTCCAATCGTCCACACCATCCAGGCACCTCCTCTCATCCAAACCCACCAAGTCGCCCCAATAATCAGCACCGAGCTCATCGCACCGATCATCAAGACCGTCTCCCAGGCTCCCCAATTCGTCACCGAGATCCAAGCCCCCATCGTCAAGACCATCCTCGTGACCGAAACCCCCGCCCCAATCGTGAAGAGCATCTTCGTGGCTCCCCTGCTCGTCACAGAGACGCAAGCACCCGTCATAATGACCGTCACACAAGCCCCCATCGTCACAACGATAATCCAAGCTCCTCAGTTCCTGACCTCGATCCCCCCACCCCACCTGATAACCAACCAAGTGACCGAGCTCCTCACCACAGCGGTAATCTCTCAAGCCCTGCAAATCATCGAGTCGCACCAAAACGCCGTCTCAGTAACCGAGCTCTTCACCGAGCATGTCAAAGCAACCATCACCTCCCACACGGTCATCACCTCCACCCCGGCACCAGTCCACAACACCGTAATCATAACCGAGATCCACTCCTCGTCCGCCATGGTCGAAGCACCACCCGTCCACACCATCATCTCGACGGAAATCCACTCCGGTTCAATGGTCGAGCCACCACCCGCCGTAAACACAATGATCTCAACCGAGATCCACTCCTCGGCAACAATGGTAGAGCCACCAATAATCCTCCCCACCAGCGCTCCATTCCTGAACACCACCACCACAGCCGTGGAGGTCGTAGCCAGCTCGCTCACCACCCTCGCTACAACCACAACCCCCGTGTTGGCGCTCCCACAGTCGGGATTCACATCCTCCTTCACATTGGGTTCCGCATCCGGGACAGGCGTCGGCGCTCTACCTGCGCAGTTCAGTGGTTCAGCGTACAAGAACTCTGTCTTATCGGGTGGAGTCTGGGCTGCTGTCGGTGGAATGGCCGTGTTGATAATGTAATTTCTTTGAGTCAGTCGGTTTTATCGGGAACAGGCATTGTTGGAGTAAATCAGGATTTGATTGGATTGAATCGAATTGGATTGAATGAATATGCAAGAGGTTGCGAGAAAGATAGATTAGATATGATATCGTGGACGAGTCGTTCTCTTAGACATCTTTGCCAATAGATTTGGTTCTGAAAAGATGAGATGTTGGTTTCTTTCAAGTTGTACATATAATGTTACTCGGAGATGTCTGGGTTTCCAAATGAACGGCCTTAACTGAACTGATCAGCTAGAATATAGGTGATGAATACTTTCTGTGGCATCGGAATAACTGCTTCAAACGCACGTCAGCGAAGATTTCCAACCGATATCTGTTGAAGCAATCCATACCTTTTCCCCCATGACCAACTCGGCTCTTACCCGAACCTCAAACATAGCTCTCCTTCCCCCCATACAAAACATTCGATCGTCTCGCCTTCGCCTCCTTGACAGCCACACCTCTGTAGCCATACCTCTCCCTCCTTCCTGCAGTCTCATAAACCTCCCTAATCATAGCATACCCTCTCGGATTTCTCCTCCACATATTTGCGAAGCCTTCTTTAAAGTTATCCAGTTCGCCCGCCCAGGCCAAACACAAAGCAATGACAAGAATGGTTAAAGGGAGTGCCGTTGCCCAGTAAACCCATTGTCCGAAAGGCATGTCACGAACGTCGGATGTATTCATACCCATAATACCAGCGACTGTTCCTAGGGGCAAGAAGATGATGGTGACGATCGTAAAAGCGTAGATCGCTGCTTCTTGCCGGTCTTTGTTGGAGTCAATTTTCTGTATATTCTATATCTCAAATCAGCCTTCGTTCACAACACCTGGCGAGATTCAACATACCCAATCTGCAAGTTCCGAAGCTATTTCACGCATCTCCATGAAACTTCTGATTCGATTCTCCACCAGGGCAAGGTTGTCTTGGATGATAAGGCTCTGCACGCCTGCTGAGTCGGCAGGTAGTGTAAGCCCTACCGTCCGTTGGAAAGCCCGTCGCGAAAATCCCGCATCACCGTGCTCGGCGTCTTCGCGAGCACCTATTCGGGAGGCTCTAAACCCACGCTGGGCTTGTCTCAAGACGAAGTTTTGAGCATCCAATGTCTCGACAATGACTTCGATCTCTTGCTTCAAGCAGACGATCCGGTCTTGATGACTTCGGACTAGAGGATTGGCTTCGATGTCCGATTGCTGAACATCTATTAATCAAGTGGATCGAATGTTTGATTGTATTCACTCACCAATGTCTTCAGATACTCCAGATACATATCCGATATATCCAAAGTCGAACCATTCTCGTCTCGAGAAAGTTGAAAAGCGATCAACGACGCAAATTCGAAAGGCGGAAATACGGCATAGTTTGAAATGTCCACCTTCGATATGCTCGAGACCACTATTTTGATGCCTTGGTCAATAAGCTCATGGCATGTTGTCATCTGAACGTCAAAAAGTCGCATATCTTCAAATGCAGCCGTAAGCGCCAGGACCAGATGGAGCCACGCCCTCGTGAACTCCTCTGGTATTTGGATATCCGATCGATCCGCGAGTGGAACATGTGACAGATAATCCTTGAACGGAACTGTACTGCTGTTTATCTGGTTAAGCCAATCCAACAATTCAGTCGCTTCCTTGTCGACCTTTGCTTGACGATTAGACGTTGTTCTTGGCCTTGAAGGTTTTGATTCCGGCATAGACTAGGCAGGGATTAGCAACGCCAGCATGAAATATTCAAAGCAAGACTGACTTTGATTAGCCTGGCAAAAGTTCCCCAGAACTTGGGGATTGTCGGAGCTTCATACTCCGAGGGAAGGAAAAATCTGTACAACAGCTCTGCAGCATTGAGAATACCGACCGAGCTTTCATAGCGTGCAATCATATGCTCCTCGGTTGATGTAGCATCTGGCTTCAGCTCGGAAAGGCGTCTATAAATATCTGACCTGTTGTTGCTTTCAGGGCTTCTGTTATATATCAGGCGGTGGTTTAGACTGGTCTCCTTGGTAAGATAGTTGTCGATCTCGGTCATATCATCCTGCAGTCCTTGCTCCTCGAAGCCAGCCAAGATAAAATTGACGTTGCCAGCTGAAGTGTCTCGGCTGGAGTTCTGGCCTCCGCTGCGAGAGTTAAGCCATGTAAAAACATGAAACTCCTCGTTGGATGGATTCGAAGGTGCGCTCTGAGAGTTGTTCGGCCTCCTATGATCGGTTGGATGGAGTGAAGGGGTATTTCCTGCAAGGCCGCGAGAAGGGATATCTGAAGCATCCTCGGCGTCGTGTGTTGGTGCCGCTTGGAACAAAAGCGACCCCTTTGCAGCTTCCGATTTTTTGGATGGCCTGTGAGTGTCAGAGGCGGCTCGAATATTGAACGGAATACAAATACCGAAAGTCAACCACCAAGCGTACTGTGGTCTTCTCTGCCAGCTTTGTTATCCTTGGCCAGTCCGAAGCCGTGATTGGCTTCTCATTCAACTTCACTTCGACTTGTAGGGGCCAGTAATCCCAGAAGTGGGAAATAAAAGCCTATACGTTGTGAGCATACGTTTGAGCCATACGCAGTGGTGTCCGCTTACAAACCAGGATTGGCATTCTTCCAGTGGAATAGTCCAGAGCAGGGAGCTTTTTGTCGAGACATGTATGTGTGGTGAACTCAGTGACGGCTGGACTTCGGCCTTGGGAAGTGTTGATATGAAATCGCCATGTAAAGAGTTCATGGGCAGTCTGGAACAAGACACAACCAGGGCTGGAATCGTTAGCGCAGTGGCATCGGCGCAGGTCTTCCAACTTACAGTCATCTAGTATGATAAACCACACCTGAGCAATGTGAAAGCAATTTTCAGCTGGAATGTTCTGTAAGTAACATACAGCTTGCTTCATGTCCCTTTCCTTCTGAACCAAAGCGAATCTTGCTTGCAGCAGGGTCCTCATGGGATGGGAGGATGTTTTTAGTCCAGATGGTGCGGAATACTTCTCCAAGCAAAAATACGGAACGCATAACCAAGAAATTGCCTTTGCCTTTGATGATACCGACCGCTTCTCTTCAGAGACATTATCTTGAAGGAAAGAAGGTACCATGAATCTTGACTTTGCTTTCGTCGATGTCTGTAAAGGCTTATCATAACCCCTCCTCGCACGACCGAGAATTTTGGCGATGGCAGCCGTTTCGAATTCCGTCAGTCCAGGGATATTGAGCACATTGTGCTGCTCGGTGGTTAGTGAAATACAAGTATTCGTAACACGACTTACCTCAAAATTGTCAAAGTCCATGGTCTTATCTTCAAAATGCCTGATGTTTCTGTTAGCACCATATACTTCTCAAAGATTCCACGAGACTTACACCCATCTGAAAACAGCAGCCACACCTTTGCTTGAGGTGGAAGGAGTATCAGGCGCGATAGCGAGTTGCACGGCATGAGAACCTCCGATGACACCGTCGCCAGTGTATCGAGATCGAAGAACCTCATAAGTTCTGCCCGACTCCGACTTCAACTTCGGCGGTGGTTGGATGTTCTGCTCGCTTTTCTCGGACACGTCAGAGATATCAGATATCGAGCTCATAATACTCTCTGTCCCATGTAAATTCTTGCTGTGGCGAGAAAGGGAGAACGGGTATGCTTCAGAGACAAAGCCAAGATCGGGTTCATCCCATCTCCTCGTGCCGTAATTTTCAGCCTCGTAGTCATCTGTGATTCGATTATTGATAATCACTGGTGCAACTGAAGGTGCCTTGGACCGATTATGTGCCCGACTTCGACTTCGTGAATGACCTGAAGACCTAACAAGGCTGAGATACTCGTTATCCACGCGATCGTGACGAGTATATTCGTCCTCGTAATCACGGTATATGCGATTGTTGATGATGACAGGTTGTGCTGATGGTGGTGGAGGGGACCCACTAGATCTGGATCTGGATCTGGACCCCGACCTAGACCTTAATCGTATTTTCTGAGTATCCCTTTGGTATCTGTCGTCATCATCAGAGTCATAGTAGATGCGATTATTGATGATAACGGGGGCCACTGTTGGCGGTGGAGGCGGCGGAGGCGTCGATGTTCGATACCGACTACGGTTGTATATTGTTGGAGTGGCATAACTGTTGTTCGAGGGTCTGGATGGGTCATGTTCAGGAACTGTGTACCGAGTCCGCTCACGCTCTCTTTCCACTCTGGTGTCAACGTCTTCGTCATCGCGGTTGAGAGTCGAGAGGCGACGAGGAGGTGGTAGCCGGGTACGAGGCGCCTCAACATACCTCTCACGAGGATATACACGAGGAGTGACATAAGAACTCCCTACTCTTGCTGTTCGGGGTGCGAAATCTCCAACATAATCCGCCCCAGAAAGCTCACCACGTGGTGGCCCTGGCCTGTAATATTCAAATTCCCCTTCCATCGCAAGCGAATCACGACGCCGTGATATTCTGATAGGCACGTCTTCGTCCGAATCGTACCGACTCGCAACTCGAGGTCGCTCTGGACGAGTACGGCGGGGCGATTCAAATCGAGGTCGCTGAACACGCTCAACCCCAGGCCGCCCATCTCGGATCCGAACATCGACTTCATCATTGTCATAGTAGTCCGGGTATCCTCTCGACGGTGCCGCACGAGTGACTGGTATGCTTCTAGATCCATAGTCGGGACTAAAAGGATTCGTTGCTCCTCCTCGGTGACGACGAATATCAACTTCTTCTTCATCATCATCGGAGTATTCAGAACGGCCAGCTCCGTCAGGATTTCTCGAGCGCTCAAAATAACTGGGCATGTAAACAGTATCCTCTTCATTGAAGTAGCTGTTCCTTTTGACTGGATCGGGTGCTGCTCTCGAGGCCCTGCGGTCACGGGCATTCTCAACTATAGGAGATGGAGATCGTTCTCTCGCACCTGTTGCTGGATTATCACGACCTCGTCGTCGTGTTTCTTCTCCACGAAACTCTCGAATTGGAGAGGGTGATGAGGTCTGCCTCTCACGTTCCCCAAAGAAAGGGCTCCCCCCTCGATCAGTGTGATCATCTCGTCCCTTCCTCTCTGGAGGAGACCGATCACGTGAAGTCCGGCGAAATGGACGTCTTCGAGTTGTTGAGCCATCATCTGGTCCTGTTACCGGACTTGCGAAACGTACTGGAAGCGTTGGATCTCGACGCGGGACCGCTCGAGGGGACGGAACTTGCTGGGTTGGGAGCTGTTCGGGAGGAGGTTGTTCTGAGACGGACGACGCGTTGGCGTCGGGTCGGGCCTCTTCCTCGGCTTCTTCGGCCACGTAAGGTTCCATGGCAAGCGAATGTAAACACGGAACCTAATTCCTATCACAAGAACAACTGAAGGCTTGGGTCCCTAAAGAGGAATTGAAAGCTTTTAAGATCTGGAGTACTAATTTCGAAGTGCAGCTCAGCTCCGAACACTAGCAAGGATCGCCAACCCCTGCCATCTTCCTCCATAGGTCACATGATTGCAGTCAAATCTGCTACGAACCGTTAAGCTTACCTCAGCTCGCAAATGTCATTGTCTGAGAGGTTTGATCGTACACCATGATGCAGGTAGTCAGCTTATGGGATTTAAGTTTCTTATTGTTCCAGGCCGTTGTGGCGCGGCAACTCTGATTTTGAGAAGTCCAGCGGCGCAGCGATACATACGCGATGTCCGAGGATTCGGATCCGACTAAGTCAGACGCTGAAAACACCCGGAATTAAGGTCAACAGAGCACTGAAGAGGTATGGCAGTCTCGCCAACGACCATCATGAGCGAGCATAAAAGGGACGCTCATCCTGTGTCAAATGTTGACAAACTAATCAGATATCACTTCAAAAACTCTCATCATTCAACCGTCCAGACCATCAATACATTCATAGTTCATTTTCAGAACACCTCAATCAGAAAGTACAATTGGTTGATCTTCAATACTTTGTCATAAGCCCTTGACCAAAACACTCTACATCGCTCATTATGAGCTCGCCAAAACCCCAAAACATCGCCATTATCGGCGGCGGCCTGGCAGTAAGTCGATTTTTTACCTCTCCCATTCCAAACCCCAGATCCAATGCTAGACCCATCTCGTCCTATTCCCAACTCAAATTCTCACCCCAATTCCTAACTCACCAACTAACCCACCACGCAGGGCCTAACTCTCTCCCTCGCCCTCCACGCCCACTCCATCCCCTCCACAATCTACGAACTCCGCAACCCCACAACCCACGCCGAAGGCGCCCTCATGCTCGGCCCCAACGCCCTCTCTGTCCTCTCCACCCTCGGCATCTATACCCGCATCCAATCCCACGGCTTCCTCTTCACCAAGCTCGTCTACAAAGACTCAAACTACAACTCCACAGACGAGTACTACCTCGGCGACGCCTCCCTCTTCGGCTTCAACGCCCTCCGCGTGTACCGCGAAGTTCTCCTCCGCGAACTCAGAAACGCCGTCCAGGAGCGCGGCATCACCGTCCACTACAACCGGAAATTCACCAAGGTCGTAAGCGAGGATAAGAATGGTGTAGTGTTTGAGTTCGCAGACGGGACAACAGAACAAGCGAGTTTACTTATCGGCGCAGACGGCATCCACTCCAAAGTCCGGCAATACACTCATCCAGACATCAAGCCCATCTACAGCGGCCTCCTCGCCATCACCTCAGCCGTCGAGACCTTCAAACTCCGCTTTCCCGAGCCCGACTACCCACCCGTGAGTTCCATCCACGGCAAGCACGGGGCCTTCGCATTCGCTACGCAGAATCCTCAAGGGACGGAAATGCTAGTTGGCACGCAGAGGAAGTTTCCCGAGCAGGATAAGGCGGGGTGGGATGCGCTGCGGGGTAATAGCGAGGAGTTGCAGAGGATGTTTAGGGAGAATAAGAGTGAGTGGCCGGACCTGGTACAGTCGGCTATGGAGAATATGATGCTGGATCGCCTGTCGATTTGGCCGTACTATGTTATTCCGCAACTTGACACTTGGTCGTCGCCGAAGAAGAGGGTTGTTATCCTCGGGGATGCTGCTCATGCTATTCCTCCTACTGCTGGACAGGGTGCGAGTCAGGCGTTTGAAGATGTGTTTTCCTTAGCATTGCTATTGTCGAAGGTTGGTGGGGACGTCAAGTGGGATGCTGCGTTGGATTTCTGGCAGAAGTATCGCGTGGAGAGGGTTGAAAAGGTATTGGCTTTGACGATGAAGTTGAATCAAAAGAGACTGCCAGCTGAGGAGAAAGAGAAACTTGGCGATGAGGAAGTGGTATTTAAAGATCTTGCTGGTGGGCCAGAGCAACAGAGGTGGTTATTCGAGCCGAAGATTGAGAAGCATATGCTGCAATGGGTGCAGGAGCAGGGACAAAAGTAGGAAGCTGTGAGATGCTTTTGGATGGGCGGACTACCTTGATAGACTTTGGTTTTAGCTTAGACATATTATGTCTGTCAGCCTTGGTTCTCTAAGCCTCTTCAACCAGTCATTAATAAGTTGTGTCCCAAGCGATTTTCAGAACATTTCACGCCACAACTGCTACCTGCATCGATCTCACTATAACATCCGCGAGACTTCGACCACTCCTCTCCTGCCAATGTTCTTAGTCTGCCTTCCAAAAGAATCCGCCTCGTCCTCAAGATCCTGAACATCACAATCCGGAATAAAGCCCGCAACACGCAGTCTCTCCAATGCATCTTTCACCCAAACACGGCATCTGAAATTCTCGTTCCATTGAGGCACGAAACCTCCCTGCCGCAAAACAGGCGTGCCCAGTATAATGTTGTGTACGGTTGTGCTCTGGTTTTCGTCGATACCAGTCGCGATTTGGAGGGCTCCGAGGATGGTTTGCGAGCCAATGACATTCTCGGTCATGTGTTCGTCTAGAACCCATTCGCCTGACTTGTCGGTTGCATTGTAGACGTTGCCCCAGGGTGGAGATACCATGAGGAATAAACCCCAATGCATGCCATCGTTCGGGAGGAGTGAAAGAATGATGTAAAGACCTCCTACTTCGTACGCTTCATTGCCAGACATCTTGCTATAACGTAAGAAATTTGATCTGGAACGTGGTCAGAAACGTAAAAAGTACCATGCCTGCTGCAGGACATACATTTGACAGAAATAGAAGCACCATACGAGTCGAACTTGAGATAAGCTTTATCGACAATAGGAAATGGATGAAATGGACGCTGAAGTCTATTTATGACTGCGCTGTTCTGGCTGTATATGAGAGAGGGAAATTTGCTATGCTGTCGACACGTTTCTCGATGAAGTGGCGGAATGGTGTCAATATATGCATTCATGGCCGGCTACCTGTCAGCTCCCATGGAGAGGGATACAATGGGTTCACAGCCATGTGCTGCTGTGGCGGGTCTCAACAGGCCGAGTGTTGGTGAGCTTCGCTGGCACTACGAAGCTGAAAGCATGAAATATCAGTAGGCAACAAGGCTCCATCAGCAGTCTGTGTTGGAGTTGCAAGGCATCGGATTGGCCCTCATGCAATGATGGCGCTTCGAATATGGCGTGAATGGCTAATGTCCTGGTGCGCAGCCGCGACTTTCGCGACCTTCGCGACCTTCTGCGCCGACACACGAAACAGCCATCGACTCCACGTGGCTCCAGCGTAGTATTCGCGGGAAAGTACGCCGCTGGGACGCCGGAGATAAATGCTTTTTCTGTAACTATTGGTGGCTTTGGATTTGGCCAACCTCTACATGGTCGAATTGACAGCCCACAGCTTCTCTTCAGCCTCGAACTCCTCAAGGTACTCGTCACCGAACACCGCGGCCAATAGGTTTGTCCAGGCAGGGTCTGGCCCAAATTCGATGAACTTGCCCTTCGTGAACTCCCAATATTCAGGATAAAATCCTGCACAGCCAAAATCTACCAGCCCAGATAATCTCCCTGCATCTACGAGCACGTTGGTCAGATCCAGATCTGCATGTGTAAAAACTATACGGTGCTTTCTTGAATGTACAGGGCTACGAAGGCGCTCTTGCGTGATCAGGCAATTGTTGAACTCTTCTTCGGATTGAAATGGGCCTGCAGATCGTCCTGGGATTCGATAATCAAATACTGCGCCTCCATCGGCGTCGCAAATCAGCGATTTGTTGGTGTTTGGGATATTTTGAAACTCCTGCAGGTAAGCGCGGAGGTCAATTGCGAGTTGTTTCCGCTCCGGATATGACATGACCGGGATCTTCTGTGAAAGTGGAACGCCCGGAACTCGTGTCATGACTAAGTATGTGTAATTGTCGCGCGTTATCGAGTCGATCAGCTTCGGGGCTTTCACTTTCGTATATTTTTCTACCAAGAGTAACGCTGAGGCCTCTCCTTTAGGGACGAGATTGCCGCGGCCGTGCTTGATGTATATTCCAAATGGAACTCGCTGCACCCATGCTAGTTGTGGTCCGTACAGTCTGAGCCCAATATTGAGAAGAATTTTGTATACAGATATCCTTGCGATTTCGGGAACACAGCACCACAGTGTCTGAAGGATAGGTTTGAGCGGAGCCAGGGGCATAAGAAGACATCTTCGGGCTGCTTGCAATGAGTGCCTCACATGTGGTTTGGCTGACATTTCTTGATGAACCTGTATTGATCGTAGAGACACGCTGAATCGGGCGTGAATACCACAGAGGAAACTGCTTGGAAGTGGTAGAGCATCAGCATCAAAAGTAGACAGCTTGAAATATGTACTTTGACGTAGCACCCCTCCTTGGGCTCTTGGGAATCGAGGGAATGGCTCAGGTGGGATCATCTGCGCTGAGTACTGAGATAGTGAGAAAAAATACTGCTTGTGGTGGCGGGTGCATACCTGGCACGTAGGCTTCAAGTCCTCCTCCGGACGTCTCTTAACATTCCATCCAGGTTGGAAAAATAATTGACCATTCTTGAAAGCTGTAGCAACATCTTGTCGTAGAGTCCACGTATTCCGTAGCTCGAAATGCTCACCATGGAGCTCAGCAGTCAACTGCTCTATTCCAGCTGCAGTCAAAAAGACGGAAAGCAACTCCCCGATCGATCCCTATCAGATATCAGACAGAACGAAATGCCCTAATATCTATCACACGTACAGATTCCTCATCGCGAATACAATTCAAAACAGCATCAGGTACAATCTGAACGGCAACAATTCGACTCCAACCAAACATATCCCACCAGACACTCGAAGTGCCAGTCGCACAACATCGACGATTATCTCTCGCAATCAACTTTGGCGAAATAAACTGCTCTGATCCAGTATATGAACCAACTTTTTCCCTTCGTCAGCCATTCCACCTTTTAACATCAGAGACTTCACTCACAACGCCTCACCAGTTCCCTCCATCCCTCAAAAAGCTTTCTCAGCTCTGCTTCCACATTCTCAACCCCCTCACCATTCGAATACGCTCGAGCAAGAACATACAAAGCCGTGCTTTTTGCATCGACAGATTCCCGAATGAAGCTGACCAGCATTCGATGCTCTGGGGGAGACACGGGAAGGGTGTAGATCAAATCGATAGCTCGCCGAACGTCCGGATCTCTCGCCACGTCCGCGAATCTATCATCCATGACTTGAGTATCTGGAGAGATCAAAAGATGCCACGTTTTGGCAAGGAATTATAGCCACGATGCGTAAGCGCTGTGGTTGAGGGTGGTGAGCTGCAGCCGCTGATCAACCAGTACAGGTCCTAGCGTGGTTGGCCCCCAAGGTACGGCCCTTTATTAGTTTCCTATCGATAACAATTGAGTGATTGGTGTGGCAGCTCAATGACGTCTACAGGGATTCGAGATGTATTGCCTAACGAGAGGCATTCACAACTCTTGAAGTCGTTGCCTGTCTTTGTCTCCATGGCGCTTAGAGCAAAGAATGAAGATGTGGTTGACTATCACGTGATGATCAATCCCCAAGAACGTGCTAAAGATATTTGACTTGAACCTACGACGTTCTTAAAGTCAATATGAAGATTCGCTTTTCGTTCGAGAATCTCGGAATAAATAAATACACCCGAAGCACATGCGTTTGCTTTATAGAAAGACTCTTTCCAAATTTGACAGTCAAGAGGTATTTCTGTCTTCGATACATCGGACCAGAATAACCTTACATCTGAAGATGTAGATCTTGATTTGAAGCTTTACTAATGTCTGACTTTCTGATTTCTAATCCCGAGCCACCTATCAGACTCTTTGTTGTGTGTCTTGACAAGATCTCTCGCAAGAATATTGTTGTCCTGTCCTGACACTACACAGCTCTACACTCTCAAACCTCAAAGCCCCTACTCTCAACAGTCCCTTTCACTACCGGCCTCGCACTCCCCGCAGCACGGCTAGCAGCAGGCTGAGCACAGCAGGTACACCTATGTTTCTGCGTTTGCTTCGTGATCGTAACATCAAAATCAAACCTGAAGATGCTGAACTTAACATGACCCGGTCGTTTCCACGGCTTATCATCCTTGATCACACACGAGCGGAGGGTAAGCAATGCGAAATGGATGAAGCTGTATGAAGTCAATACAAATCATAAAGCTAGGCGGTGAGACAACGATGAAGGTAAAGCCGATAGAGGAGGTAGGAAGGTAGAATCGATGTGTAGCGCATACCTCAGCAAAAACCCAAAGACCGCCCCAAAAACAACAAGCACCTTCTCCGCCTTCACCAATTTCAAACATGAACCCCAGTCATAACACCAATTCTCGGTTGGAAACCCAACAGTAACAGCATAAATAGCCATTGGGAACAGTACGCTCACAAACACCAGGTCGAGAAATCCGCTGACGCCAACCGTCATGGGCTTTTTCGAATTCCGTAGCGCGGAGACGAAACATATGACGGTCTGATCAAGTCAGTTTTAAGATCATACAAACAAAATATGAGTGGAGTGGGGTTGGGGAGAAGGTAACTTACGGTGATAAATGAAACCAAAAGCCCAATTGCCACCTCCCCCTTATAACGATGATACCTCGACCCGTTCCAGCTCCCCAAGTCTCTAAAATCCCCCGCAAGCATAATAATCAGAGCAGTTATCAGCACCAGGGAGTTCCATCCCGAGATACACAGACTGAGCTTTGTCAGGGCGTTGATTGACCTGGCATATTTTACCCCTGAGCCTGGGCCTCCTCGTTGAAGCAATCGAGCTTTCGAAGATAGAACAATCGGCTCCTCCTGTTCCTCAGGCGTGAATCTCACATTCTCATCCTCATCATCACTGTCACCATAAATATCCTCACTCGCACTCTCACTCTCCAACAGCCCCCCTCTCTCCTCTGAGTCACGTTCGCGTTCCCGTCGTGCAGCGCCCATCTCAGCGCGTTCAACCACAAACACCTCGTCCAATTTCGCAACCCTTAAGAACGTCAATACCGGAATACTCGCAAGACGAACAAACAGTCTTAACGGCTTCCCAATATCAATGGTAATCGTGGTGAGAGGAGGGAGCGGTGATGGCTCCTCCTGAGAAGAAGACATTCGGCTTGCTTTTCATTGTTTACTCAGGACGAATTGTTAAGGTGCTGCCTAAATCACCGTATAGAGTCACGTGTATTTAAGGGGCCGCTCGGACGGTGAGGGCCAATTGGGGACTTGAATCCATGGTAAATTGGGGTGGATGTTGCTGGGGACGCGAATGCTGACTGCTTGGCCGGAACGTTGCGCGTAATGTTGGGAGGAGTGGTAAGGAGAATTGTTGGTGGCGCCAGGTGTTCCTGCAGAAAACAACACGTCCCCACCAATCATAATGAGAAATTATGAGAATGAGAGCCATCCCTTTGATACTAAAAGTGCTTAGATCTGAAGAACAAGCTGGCAGAATGATAAATATGATGCTGCAAGAAGAACACACATGTTTCTCGTATGTTACCCAGACGAGTCTAGTGGATAATGTTGTAAACATCTTGAATCTGATGCCTCAAACATGAGGAACAATTCTCGAGAGAACGACTCTTACATGGTTGCTAAAAAAGTGTTCAGACTCACTTGAGCTGTTGTCAGTTTTGCAATCGGAAATGGGAGGTTACCATTGCGAAATGACAAAGACACAAGTCAAGTCTTTCGATCATGCATAAGAAGAACTACTCCTGCATCATGACCAGCCCTCAACAGGAACACCTTGCAAAACCCTCCTTTTCACCCAATGCTGGCAAATAACCACCAAATCCTCATCCCCATAATAACTAATCGGCACATTCAAAATCCTCACCTGCAACTTATCCTCCTTCCTCCGCCTCTCCCACCCCAACGGAATCGTATGCTCAGCATCAACATTAACCAGCAGGAAATCCAACCTTCTCTCCTCCCCCTCTGTCCCATCAACACGAAAGCAATGCCTCCACTCCTGCTTCATATCGACCTCCCTCAGTCCATCAGCCCTCGTCAAAACTACCGTCTCAATACCCCTCGCCAGATACAACCCTTTCCAGAACTTCGCCGTCGCCATATCAACATTATACAGTACCAACGTCTTTAATCTCTCCCACCCAGACCACACACCCGGACCATCAGAAGCTCCTAGCTCAAGATACAGCTCGTCGCGCACACTGCAGAACTCTTCCACAGCTGGCAGATTCGAGAACGCATTCCGCAGCACTGGCCGCACGCCTAATCTATCTTCGTCGGGATATACACTTCGGAATGGTATATCGACTAGCAGACGGCGCAAGCGGGGAGCGAGCGTTGTCATTAGTAGAAGCACATCGTTGGTGATTCCTACATCTGCTATCGTTCCATCGACGGGGTACGGCCGGAGATACAGCGAGGTTGCATGGTCCAGCAGATCTTTCTGAACATCTTGCGGAGACTCCTGTATACTGCGCAGCAGCTTCCGCAACCGATTGGGGGTATGTATGTATAGGCAGTGTGTGTAGAGGAGTCGGCGCGCGTGAGGTTGGAGAGCCCGAGAAGTGTAGGTCAGGGCGACGAGGGTTTTTGTGAAGGGATGGTTTCGGGGGAGGGCTATTTGGGGGAGGTCTGCCGGCGCGATGGCGTCGATGATGCTCAATTGGATTTCGACAGGCAATTTGGGCATTTCGTTGTGAGGTGCCATCGTGGATATACGGGTAGTGAGTTGTTCCTGGATGTTTGATTTCCAGAGACCAGTTGGCGGGGTTGTGGGGTGCATCTGCTTAGTCACCAGGCATTTTGTGGAATCAGTCTCTTCTCAACTTCAGATTCATTCTCTCGTATCTATGGTATTTCAAAATCATTCTACATCAATATTGTACATTCCATGCACACAGTTGATCCAAATCCCAGTATCAAAACTTCAACCCCAAGAATTTCCAAAACAGAACAGCCATCATCAAGGCTTCTAAACAATCAAACCACCGAATCCCAAAGCTGCAACACCAGTAAGAGCAAACAACGACCAGCTGACAGCTCCTCTCGCCTCAACAGCAGCATTGCCAGTGGCTGTTGGTGAAGCACTCGAGGTTCCTGAGGCAGTACCGCTCGCTGTGCCAGAGCTCTGTGCCTGTGCCGGGCCAACAGTTCCACCCTGAACTGTCTTTGGAGCGACAGTTTCGTTGACATTTGCAGCAGCAGCTTGGTATTGCTCAATAGTCCTGGAGCCATCGGCACTGCAAGTTCTATCAGCAAGTGCTCTCGGTCAAAAGAACACAGTGAACTTACGGAGGGTTGATAACACCTGCCATACCACCCTCGCAGTGGCCTGGGGCTGCACAGTAAAACCAGATTGGAGATGTGTTGTTAACCTTAATGGAGAATGTGTTTGTGTTCACTCCCGATGTGGTCCTGAAGCCGCCACTGAAAAAAGCGGTATCGTTGATTGGTGCACATGGCGCCGCAAAGGACGATTGAGCGACGGAGTGTTGAGATGGGTAGAAGTGGAACTCGACAGTGTCGCCTACGCTCGCCGTGAAGCTGTTTGGGCTGAAGTTGAGACCACCATCTCCAACCTTCACAGTGTGGATAGGGCCAGATGAAGAGGCAGTAGTGCTAGCAGCAGCTGCTGCAGCGCCTGTCGTGCCCTTTGCGGAACCACCACCATAACCATAGTCCTGGGCGAGGGTGAATGGGAGGAGGGAGAGGATGACGGAAGTCTTGGAGTACTGCATATTGAAAGCGAGAGGGTGGTTTGATATTAAGAACTTTTGAGTTAGACCAGCTGAATCGAAAGTATGAGCGAGTTTGAGAGAATTGATGAGACGAGACAGAAGACGGAGGGGCCACTATATATATGCCTCCTCAACTCCCGCCGGTCCCTGACGACCTGAGGAGACCTTCTTACTTAGCTGTGACAAACATTCGAGAGCTCCTCCAAACACACTGACAATACCAAGCTTTCCTTGGCAACGCAGGGAATCCGAAAAGCAGGGGGTGTGAATGCGATGAAAGCGGGCTATGGGGACCAACCCACTTGTCAGAAATTCCGCCGGGGTACACTTGAACCCATGGAGAATGGGCGGATCTGATACACAGATGTAACTGTGCACCACCAAAGGTCCAAAGTATATCTCAGTCCAATAGCACACTTCCAATGACATTCCGATGGCTCACCAGTGCCCTTCTGGTTCTTTTCTAACCCAGAACCAGTTTCCTCCAGCTCCTCATCGAGCAACCACGCAGTCACTAGCTCACCAACGAAGCAATACTGAAGCTTTTCCAACTGCAACTGCACACCGGTGCCGGCGCTAGAAACTCTAACTCCATTACCAAACCCACTGAAGCAAACTCTAAATGGCATCAGGCCAGGAACTCCTAGCCATCCACTCAGAGGATTTGTTCCAAGCGGCTGCACCCCTCACGAGGGTGACGCCCTCGTCTCAGCTAACGCCGAACGAACAACTAACAACGCTGGTAGACGAAACCATCATCCAAAGTAAGAAAATGCCAATAACAGCGCGCGCGCGCGCAAAGACAAGACGAAGGAAAAGCAGTTTCGACTAAGAAACAAAAGATGAATATCCCCAACGAATAGCATCCCCCGCTTGTCGCTGCCGCGTTTCGTGATGTGGTGCTCAGCACCTAGTGGAGGCTGTGCTCAGCATCACTGCAAGCCACCCCCTCCACAAAACTACCAAGTCGTGCCCCAAGCTACCCAATAGGCAAAAGATGTGTCAGCCATCTGTTCCAGATGTTTCCCCAAGAGACTTGAAGGTGAAGGCCGCCCCAACAATCGTCGTGTGTGAAAGGAGAGGAATGGAAGACCTGCTTTCTTGGGACGTTTCCAGGTTCGTCTGAAGTTTGTTTTGAGTTTGATTAGGTAGTTCCCCTGCTGAGCCGAGTTGAATGGGGCGGGGCTTTGTTTGTGCCAATCGTGAGGTGCTCTTTACCGTAAGCGAGTCCATGGACTCCACCTTCTCCTGGACTGAGGTAGAATTCCGGATCATTAAATCCTTAAATGGAAGGATATGGTCAGGATGGGTATATCCTGTGCATCAATTCTTATCAGGTTCAGTAAACAAATCTTGTTTCCTCCGTATTTGAGCACTGTTATTAAATCATCTGACGATATGACAAATCTCATCTCCGTCCAACAGTTAGAGTTCCGGTGCTGAGAACGGAAGAACAACCGAAAGACTTTTATCAACTGGTCTGAATCATTATCATTATGCTCTGAACAACCTTTTCCCGCATGCCTATCGAACTGTTTGTCACTCACTCAGGAATCAGGATTCCAATATTCGGAACCCTCCCAGCAATGCCCCAGTTCGCCTCGTATTACAACATCAAAGTCAAGACCCACCCATTCCTTGGGCATTCTTGACACCCGATGTAACCTCGGCTTTTGAAGAACATGGTATGTTTCTTAGTAATTGAGTCTGGCCGGTTCTGTAGTCAGCACTGGTCATTCTGCATCGTTGTCAGTGATCAGGGATGAAGCCACCGTTCGAACGACATAAACTGCGGTAAACATCTAGTATAGGTCTCGTAATTAGTTTTCCATGAGCAAAGCCTCGAAATCCTAGAATGCAGCTTGGAATTCACAAATTTTGTAGTATCTAGGCTCTAGAAAGTGGCCCGACACTAAAGTCCCTGCAGAGTCGAGGGTATCCTTCCGAATGAGAAGTTAAGATGCTTGGGATGACGTGGACTCACTGCTCACCATAACAGTATGTACAAGAAACTTCAAACCCTTCATCATTTCATTCGATTTGGGACATACATCTTAATAAACAAGTCAACATCTCAGTCTGCCATTCTTCAGCGCCGCTTCAAGCCAAGCTGCAGCGAGAGTTCACCAGAAACGTAAGATACAATATCAACACCTTGCTGGTACTCTTCCGGCTCGTCAGCTTTCGTCCCACCTGATTCCACATGGTTAAGCACTCAGCACGTTTGAGTATCTCCCTCTTCTCTATATTTCATAGGAGATCTATAGACCATCCTACGCCATTGCAATCCCTCCGCTCTCAGTTCTATTGACCAGAACTCCCAACAGCGCATGGTTGATACTCTGCAGGCCAGAGTATCGAATTTGGGGCATTGAGTTTCAAGATTCGAAGCGGTAGCTCGGGTACAACCAAGCTGCACGTATGTTTAAATCCGTCACTATATGATATATTCTTCACTCTGTTCAGGATTCGGAAGATTCTCAGACCGAGTTTCCGGCCTTACCGGTGGCAGAGGGAGACGTGGTATTAGCTCCACTTGACAAGCTCTTTTGTTGTTATGAGTCGTTAGCCAAGAGAACAATGTGATGTTTTTAGTACATAGCTTTCAATGAGGTAGAGGTCAAAGAAGGACAGATAGTAAATTGAAGGGCATGCTACACAACTCGGCTTGTGTTATTCTTCCGGAACAGCACTCTTTTTTCGTCGCCAGGCTGCATTCATGATTAACTATCCGACCGTGAAAACTATTCCATAGAGTGAGAAGGTCAGAATAAGTTAGACTAAGTTAAAGTGATAGTTGCCTATGTTGAGTCCTGGCGAAGAACGGATTCTTGATGTCAATGCTGTCGACTCCCTCTCCTTGGTGCCTGAGATTCAAGGACTTCCACTCAACGCGACAACACCAAAAAACGCGTCTCCCTCGAGCAATTGACACCACTTTCAACGGCTACCACAACTTCCACGAACCTCACACGCCCGCCAAAATGTCAGATTACGGAGATGATATGGATATCGATGCCCCCGTGGCATCAGATACTGTTATATTCAGTTCAGATAACACCAATTCTAAGGGCAAGAGAAGTGCAGCAAACCTCCCCGTCGAAGCTGAAGACAGTCTGCCATGGTCAAAAATACTCCCTCCGTATATGTAGCATCCACTAATATCGCTGCAGGGTCGAAAAATACCGTCCGGATACGCTCGAAGATGTCTCCGGTCATCAGGATATCCTGGCAACAATTAATAAGTTCGTCGAGACGAATGTAAGGACAGCTTCTGGAGCTCGAGATTGAAGTACTGACAGCATCCCAGAGACTTCCTCATCTCCTCCTCTACGGACCACCTGGAACCGGAAAGACGTCTACAATACTTGCACTGGCGCGAAAGATCTACGGCTCAAAGAATATGCGACAGATGGTACTCGAACTCAACGCCTCCGATGATCGTGGTATCGATGTAGTCCGCGAACAGATCAAGACCTTTGCAAGCACAAAACAGATCTTCACAATGAGCACGAAATCTACATCTGCCTCGATGCCTACATACAAATTGATCATCCTGGACGAGGCAGATGCCATGACCTCCACTGCACAGATGGCATTGCGACGAATCATGGAGAAATACACGGCGAACACGAGATTCTGCATCATTGCCAATTATACACATAAGCTCAGCCCAGCACTTCTAAGTCGTTGTACGAGGTTCAGGTTCAGTCCGTTGAAGGAGAAGGATATTCGGGTATTGGTTGACAAGGTTATAATCGAGGAGAATGTGCAGATCAATGCTTCTGCGACGGATGCACTGGTGATGTTGAGCAAGGGAGATATGAGAAGAGCTCTCAATGTGCTACAGGCATGCCATGCAAGCAGTAAGTCTTCGTTTCCATGATGTTTGGGTTTAAGCTGACAAGGTGTAGGTACTCCCATTCACATCAAGGGCACACCCAAACTCGCAGAGAAGGATATCAAAAGGGACATGATAACGGAAACCACAATCTACGAATGTATAGCGTCACCCCATCCCGAAGACATCTCGAAGATCCTCAACACAGTCCTCAAGACTCCCGACGTAACGACCTGTCTACAAATGATCAACTCTCTCAAAGCAACTCAAGGTCTAGCATTGGCAGATATCATCACAGCACTCAGTGAAGAGTTGACGAAGCTAGACGTTCCTGCTCCAGTGATGATTACATGGCTAGATGGATTAGCTGAGGTGGAATACAGACTGAGCGGTGGAGGTGGAGAGGTTGTGCAAACGGGAGCTGTGGTTGGTGTTGTACGAAACGGAGCGGAGCTGATGGCCGCAGCCAAATGATTGGTATGAGGTATTAAAAGGTCTTGCATATAGCCCTGGCGTTCAAGGGGTAGGCGGGATATCTTGCGAATTGATCTGTATGGGACCTTGCAGATTTGGAATGCGAATGATGAAGAACGTCATGATTTCAAGCTTGTTGCTTACATGTTGCATATCTACCGAGAGTTGAGCTTTGATGCACAAAAGCGGTCTGTTCTGGATTCCCTCCAATCAGTCAAGTGGCTTCAAACTTGTCATTTCTCGTATTTGACTTTCTTTCCTTTTGCTTCACAGTACGTCTACCCGCGTAATGTCATCATTACATTTATCTTCAAACATTGCCATGCCGGAGTCTGACTCAAATCATTCCTCAAGCACCGATCCGCCCATCGAGATGCGAATTTCACATTCCCATGTCAAAAACCGCTTAAGATGCATTCCTCCTCCATCTACCCCGCAACCCCACATCAAGCATTTCTCTCAGGTCCTGTAAAAGGGTAATGAGTCTTAACCTATGACTAAACTCAATAATCACCCACAGAAAATCTACCTAAGCAGGTAACCATCACACCAAAACCCGAACACGAGTGTTATCCCTCGCATATATCCCGTGACAGCGCGCGTCACCCTAGTAAGGATACCGCTCCTCTGACGCGCAACATCCCATATCAATTACATCATGAGATCTCGAATCAAGAAACTCGCGATCGCGTCAAACACTCTTCTCCTCTTTCTCTCTCCCCCAGAGCAAATCATGTCTTAGTGAGAGATATTTCCCCTGGTTCAGATTTTCCTGCTCGGTCCCTACGGCTGCGTACCTGCATCCCCGGAATACACGTCTAGATCGATCCGATACCCGCTCATGGACGGGAAATCGTGGAGATCGTTGATATAGCGTGTGGATATTCCTTACTCGCTCCATGTTCTTACGTAGCGTGGTGCTGGGGTAGTGCGTTTACCTGGTATGTGGTATGCGGTATGTGTGTGAATCAAAGCTTACTTGCTCTGATAATGATGAGGAGGTGGAAAGGAGGGGTGTTTACATCATGACTTTTGCTTTTGTGTTTTTCAGATCATCGTATCCTGAACTTGGAAACGAAGGGATGAGATCAGAGGATGAGGAGCGGAGGAAATGCTCCTTGGTAGAGATAGAGTTTGAGAGGGCTGGATGGGAGAGGAGAAATGTCTATATAAACAGCTATTTCCTCCCTCAATCAAACATTACTTTCATCAACCACAACATCTTCACATATACTCCATCAATAATAACCAACCATCCAAATCAAACTTCAACATGTCTGACACCTACAAGCCAACTGGTACGCTTTCCTCCTCCCAAATCTACCTATCCACATTTCAAGTCCCTTGTCCCCTGCGCCATCTCCTCTCTACCCTTTCTCCATTTACCTGAACCCAGATTCAAATTATTTCGACTAACATTCACACAGAGCACGGAGGTATGAAGGAGGACGGAACTCCAGACAAGCGTGTCGGTACCGGCCAATTCGCTCAGGGCAAAGTCGACCCCCATGAAGCCGGCGCTCAGGGCGGAAAGGCCTCAGGCGGCAGCGCAAACTACGATGAGGATGATGACTCCACCTCCGGTAACTCTGGTGGAAAGGGGGGAAAGGGTCGTAAGTTCTTCCTCCAAATAAAATTGCTTTGAAATACGTGTTACAAATGGGTATTTGGCTAACACGGAGAATAGAATTCGCTGGCGGAAAGGTTGATCCCGTTGAGGCTGGAAGAAAGGGTGGAAAGTCTTCAGGGAATTCTGATGAATAGGGGCTGAACGTTCACATGACTGGAGTTGCATCAAGGGACGCTTTGTTGTGATTTTCTGAATGACGCTATGATTATGTTATGTGTTTGCGTTGTTACTGTTAGGAAAATGACTTATCTTGATCCTGAAATATGTTTTGCCTCACTTGCATCTTTCTAGACAATCACTAATCTCATATAATATCTTATAATTTTCTTTTGATCGCATTTATTAATATTCCTGGTGTGGGAGTTGTTACTGTTGCCAGCGTTTATGCGGCACAGATTTTCTTAAGCGAAGTTGTGTGCTGTAGCCTGGTGATGCCTAGCATGTTTTTACATCAATTTTATAGCCTTAAAAAATAGCAAACTCCTTCCATTCTTACTCAGGCTATCTTCAGCATATCCATCGAATTGATGTTGGTGTTGAATATTGCACGTGACAACTTACAGCTTCAGCATGCCGGACATGAGCTGGTTCTCCCATCATCAAGTGCTCCGCTACAGGGACATGCTAGTATCATTCAATGCTCCCAAACCAGTCAAGCTTGAGAGGTGTAGTCCTAGAACTACAATTGACATTAATCGGAACTTCTTTCATACCTGGGGAGCATCTCGCTTAATGTGGCACCAAACATCCAACTTTGGGACCGAATCCATCACGCCAAAAAGGGAAGCTCTAACTCTTACTAGGGCCACAAAGTCAGTCCGTTCTCCGATATTGAATTTTATATAGCAAAGAATAATTTTGCTTCTTGTAAGAATGCATTATTGCTACATATCTTACATTCAGCGTCAGTTCTCAAAAATTCTGCAAAAACCCTACAAGTCACACCCACAGCAGATACACAATCATGTCCATCTTTGAGCCCCCACTCTCGGCCTTCTTCATCGAGGGAAGGGACATCTCAGAGCTTCCATCTGTTATCAGAGAGCAGTGGGAGAATTTAGGATACGGTGTTATACAAGCGTTTTACCAGCTGTGAGTCCGACGTCCCCTGGCTGATAATATTTGCTGATATCCTGCAGTCATAGAAACTCAAATGGAGAAGTCGCTTTCCACAAAGACTTCCAAAAAATTGTAATTCAAAACGCATCTGCCATCCAAAAGTTAAGTTCAAAATGTAAATACACTTTGGAAACGCTGCAGCCGAAATTACCAAACCATATCAATGAAATAAAACAGCAGCAAGTCATGTTCTACAACAAGTGTAGGAGACTGATGTCACCTTACATCCAGGCGCATGTCGATGCGCGACAAGACTCCGTGGCGCTCTTACGCCATTGCATGTCGTTTTTCAATATGCAACTCCAACTTAGCAGCAGCGATTTCGGGAAAGCAGACTCACCAACGTCGGGGATTTCGAGATTCACAAGTCTCCCACTAGAGCTGCAGCTCGATGTCATAGATCAGATGAGCCTCTACGAAGCAGACAAAGCTGTTCGACGGAATTTTCCCCATCTCATCCCGCGCTGGATTCCTACCATACCAACTCGTTTTGAGAGATGGCTCCATGATTTGACATCCCTTGAGAACATGCGCTTCTTGAGCTGCGATATTCTCTGGTGGCAGACGCACGACCGCGACATACCCCAATCATATTATCGACTTCAGTCGCCAAATTTCCACCCAGACGTCGAGATTCACCCCCGCCTATTCAAAAGCGAGCACCCCAGCAAGGAGACCCTAACCTACTCCGTGAAATATGCCAAGAAACACCTCATACTAGGCCTCCTGGCGCTGTACGATCTTTATCGCAGTACGGAACAAGAGAGAATGAAGATTTCCATGAACAACCGGATTCCCACCTACGACTGTCTCTCCTGGGACGCATGCGAGAAGTGCGGAGGACCGGACATACCCGTCTACGCTCTCCCCCTCACCTCTAATCCCTCTCAGCCTAGCGAATCGATCCCTATGCCCCCACAAGTCATCATCTTCCGCGACGAGCTGCACGAGATATTCAGGACTTTTGAAGTAGCGACCAGACCACTGGTTTTCGAAACACGGATACTGAGGGACGCAATGGACCTGCCCCAGGTGTGGGCAGAACATTTCCGTCCATATTTGAAAGATTATCTCTGGACAGCAGCGACGTCTCCTGAGGAGGTGGGCTATATGACTTCTTTGGACTTGCGGGAGCCGGGGCGGCTTATCTGGGTGGATTATGAAAATCGGAGGGCTGTTGAAAGGTTGAATCGACCGGACATAACTCAGCTTGGGCCCATTTACCGTCTATTTCGAGCAGCCAGAGAAATTGCGAGCGTTGTCTTGGGGTTCATTTTTCGAATTTTGGATTTGTAAAGTTACTATGAACCGAGGGACTGATTTTGGGTATCTGGGCAATTCATCAGACTTGCTCGAACTCATAAAACCACTGTCTCCGTAGGAGATACTTGTACCGTCAGCTCGAATGGATTCTTAAGTTACTTCAGATACAGATTGCAACTTAATATAAATAGAAATAAAAGGATTCTCTGTACCTTTCTGCAGCTTGCTGTGCCTTTCCCCAGTCGAACATTCTCAGATATGGAGGGCCACTGGGCCATGCCATGACTGCCGTTGCTAAACACTTCACAAATCTAAACTCTGCCGAGCCCTGCGCCCTTTGAATTTTGAGGAGGATAATTGGGAAGCATTTCAACTAGGGGGTCTTCTTCGATCGTTCTTGAAGGCTTACATGAGATTGAAAAATGCAAGTGTTTTGAGTGGACAAGACTGTGGTTCGCTTAACCTCCAAGGAGAGCGAGATTTTGCTAGCCGCCCAATACCACTCACCACACCTTCAATCCCTCGATAATCAATTCGAGATCTTTTTGAGGTAATCCTGAGAACTTCTCAAACGCAGCGGTATATCGTGGAAGCGCGAGTTGGGGTTTGTTCTCGGTCTTATGTAAATACCCCCTGGTTGGGTCCCAAGCCCTTGCTGCAGGCCTTTCGACTGCTTTATAAGTACAGAACATTAGTCAACTTCAGACGATTCGTTCAATTAACATCAGTCACACATATGGCGCAGCAGACCTGAAGGTGGGTTGCGATAGGCTGAGCCGCTTCTGTCTCAACATCTACCCCGCCTCGGTTCAAGCCGACCTTGGCAGAGAGAGGATCATCGATCGCTACCGAACTCCGAACCCATCCTCCAACTTAGATCTCAATCCATCACAGCACCAACTCCACTAGTATAGAGCATCTAGATCTAACCATATCGGAGAATACAACAACACATATAGGACATCGATATTCCTCTCAGGACTTGAAGACTCAGGTGAAGACAGCGATGCAAGCATTAGCCGAGGTAGACGCCGCATGGACACCGCTCATGGAGGATCCATGGCCGGAGAATCAATTTGACGACCAAATAGAAGGACATGAGACCCAAAAATCGATCGAGGAGACAGATACTAACACACGGTCACGCCGGCAACCTTTCCGGAGGTGAGTTGAACGAGAAACAGGTGGAACAGCCCAGGTAACAAATGATAGGCCGCGCGCAGGGCGAGCTTGTGGGGTGAGTGCTCCGTGATCACAAATCATTTGGATACAAAGCTAAATAAGATCCTTAGTCGTGCCATTCTAGACGGGTCAGTTTCCTAGACAAGCAATTATCGCATCCAAGATAAAATGTTAAAGTGTATACAGATAAGATGTGATGCCGGAAGTCACGGTCTACCATGTACGAACTGCACCGCACATTCAGTCAAATGCTTCATCCCGCCCAAGAAGAAAAAGACAACCGAGAGAGTATCAGTCGGAGAGATGTCACGGTATGCATCTATGGCAGGAGCCTTAACCAAAAGTTAAAATCATCATCCTAACATACAAACCAAGTAAACACCGCGGCCGCTACAACCCCTCCAAACCCTGGCTGGACATCTCCCCATCAGTCGATCCTCCACCTCAAGCTGAGACTCCACTCCCCTCTCATCTAGAAATAGAAGACAATCTCCGCAGTCTAGAAGACAAAACGATATTCACAGGTCTCTACGCCGCAATAGCAAAACAGAACGACACAATGTGTTTCTCACGGAAAGACTCCATCGACATGCGTGCTGAATGCATACAGAATATCTCGCAAAGGATATCCTCTGAGTACAGAATCACGGATCGGAGAGAGCAGGATGAGTGGGAGCCAGTACTGGCGTTTTATGAGGAGGACGAGGAGGAAGGATGGATGGATAAAGGATCAAGGCCCACGCCGGCCCCGACCGGGATTAATGTTGAGGAATGGTAAGCTTACGAAATCCAAAGTTTGAAGTCAAATGAGCTAATGGATAGGTCTAATATTGTTGGGTTACGTTGATGTCACAAGCTGGAGAGACTTGATCTATCTCGCTCTGGGTTGGCTGTTGAGTTCGCGTCCCCATCATGACACGCGATTCCAAGATGAAAATTGAACAAAGGAGCAGAAAGCCTCCAGATCCCGGCAGCAAATCATCGCCTCCATGGAGTGTCGAGCTTTGATCACAGATCGTGTTGCCGAAGAGCTGTTTGGGAAACAAAGCAGAGAGCTGGTTTTCGTGGGATAAAGTCACAAGAGCTGGTCCCAATCCAAACTTTGTACATGGGTTCAACGCGAAGAAAGTAAATTCCACAGGCGACATGACTTCATCAGTGCCCTTCTTAAAATGGACATTTGTTACTCGCTCTAGTGCAGTTTGTGGTCAAAGCGCAGGAGACTTGTAAGGTCACAATAACATGTGTTTACACAAGGGTCCGGATCCCTGGTAGCTACGTCAAGACGAAGCCTTACAAACACTTAACACCTCTTCTCGAACTACTCCGTAGACCTCACACTCGGCGCATTCACTTACCTTTGCACCTCCGTGGTAATAACAAACGCAACTGTCGTAAACAGCAAACACCAAATCACATAAACTACCCAATGCTAAAGCCCGCCATGTTTTAAAACTACCCTAAATAGCCATAACAAGAACCTCTATGCTATGAGGAGTGCTTTTCCTAGGAAAGAGCTATGGCTCTGGATCCCAAACGACCCGAAGATCCGAATCATTCGAACGAGCAAGACTTTCAAAGTCACGTGATTCGTGTACATCAAGGTGAGAGCTTAACGCGAACATCCCAGGCAGTTGACAGATGGGCGATCTGCCGCACAGTGGAGGCGGCCTATCCCGTGGAGAAAATCCTTGACTGAACAGCAAAGATGGAGGCCGCGAAAAGTCTTGGAGTATTTTAAGAGGAAGGCGACTAGTGGGGAAAACCCAAACCACAGCAATAACGAAACGAAACGATAAAGCTTGTGAAAAAGATAGCTATATACATATTAAGTTCGACAGAGGATCAAGACTTGATAATCGCCTTCAAGGTATTTATTCGAGCTGATGACGAGACTTCGTCCTGTGTGCTCAGCCCTTCGAGGACCACCAAGGCCAATTACCAGAAAGCAAAAAAAATTCATGACAGTTGATGTACCCTTTGAAGTCTTCGATGGCCAGTCATAAACACACAACAATGGACTTGCATTCCGCGACAGTATGATTCCAGAGCCAAACTAGGGAATCCACCACCAGAAAAGTCTCACCACGTGACGCGTGTTTGTGCCCCACCTGTGCCATACGGGGTTTTCTATACAGACAACGACTATAATTTGTCTACATTTTATCTGTACCTATTTTCTAGAGTAGCAGAGTACAGACAAGAATCAAACAAAGCCTGTAATAAACTTGTCAAAAAATTGCAGACAGATCAGCATATCAACGGTAGATAAAAGAGTTTAGGCAGCTTAGACTTTCTATGTTTTATGTTAAACACAAAGTTAAACACAGACCTTTTACACTTTCAGAACACTTAGAAAAAGGAGGGGGAAAGAATACCTGCTTAGAGGGGGCAGACTTACCTGGAGGGGGGAGACTTACCTGGAGGAGGGAGACCTACTTGGAGGGGGAGATCTCACTTTAAAGGGAGACTTTACATTGGAGGGAGACTTTTGAGAGAGACTTTGGAAGGAGAAAAAGAAGGAGGGAGCGAGAGAAGGAAGGGGTAAGAGGAGGAAGGATTTTCAAGGCTAGGAATTATAGACAGAGTCTGGATATCAGCTTGAGTCAGAGAAAACCCTAAAAATCCGGAAAATCCAATGAAAACCAGAGAATCTAGCTCAGAAGGATGCAGACGATCAACTAAATCACAGAAAGAAAAAAAATGCTAAAATCACCTGTTTACAGAAAGTAACTGTAGGAAGTACAGTCTGTGGTCTGTCAAACAAAAAACCCTCTGTAAAGGTGCAGCAGGCATTTCTACCTTCGTACATAAGAGTCATCACGAAGGTAGCTGACCAAGAAGACATCGTGAGCGCAGGAATAATCAAGGGTTCATCAGCTCCGTAACTAGGCAGAGCGAGGCAGCAGCAGAATTTTATAAACATTCCAGGCTACGACGCCGCATCTAGACTGTTGGTTCCCAATAGCGCACACCTATTTTTAGGCGAGCCCCTTTTTTTCCTCACCACCCTTAGTGCCAAGCGCTCGTTTAAGACCCCAGCAAGACCCGCTGCAATATTTCCATGGCTACTTCATCTTCAACATCACTCTCTCTCTCTTCTCTTGATCTCGCGAGATATGTTCGGCTTTTTAAAAACGTGCCTCTACTGGATCATTTCAATCGCCGTCGGTCTCTTCTCCATTTTCTTCGTTATCGGCATGGCAGCACAATGGAGGGAACGCTCGACTGGTCCGCAGCTGAGGGGCTTTGACCCTCAAGATGCTGAAGAGACGGTTCGTACGTATAATATCATGTGATATCCGCTACTTCTCGTTCTAGAAAACTGACAATTCTGTAGCTGCGGGACCGGCATATGAGATATTGACTCTCAATATCTTCCTAGCTGCCGCCACATCAGGTATCATGCCTGGTGGGAACAGAACGGAGTTCCCAGTCTTCCCTCACTCGGAAATGCCTTTTTTGGCACAGAAGTATGAAGAATGGGCTCCTGAACCGTTCAATAAATTGCCTGCACCACAGGGCATATTTGGTCCTGCGAGCCCTGTCTCTCCGGCACCAATGATACGTTGGATGCATATCCTAGGAGGGTTGGACGACATCGTAGCTATGGCTTTCAGTGGGCAGATGTTTTCTACAAATGTTGAACGGAGTTTCAAAGTTGTTAAGACGAAGGTTGGTTGTCTTCCAATGCTCTATTCAGCATAGGTTACTGACAGCTCAGGTCTGGCTTGGAATCGTACCCGTGACCGACGCACGATGGAGAGCGAAAGGTCTAGATGCAACGGACAATATCGAAGAAGCACTCGCGATCATCAATCAAGTTGTAGATGTATTCAAACATCTCGCCAAGCCCGAAGTTCAAGGCGACCTGCGAAACATCAACATCAAACTCTGGGCTGAAATCGATGTCTTCCAAGACGCGTGCAATGCCGTTCGCACCACGAAAGGCGAGCCTGCACCAGAATGGAGTCTCACCAAATTGTGGGAGACTTTTAATGAGTAAGAACCAAGTCTTTTTACCTGGTTTCACGATATTTATAAGTATGCAGACACCATTTCAAATATATGGAAGAACAAGCCCGCTCCTGGGCCTTCACCCACCTCAAAACCCTCCACAACATCTGGAAGAAAAAATTCCTCACCACCTTCCAATCCGGCCGCATCCTCAACGACACCCAAGCCACCGTTCGCATTGACCACTACGACATGATGATCATGCGCAAGATCCAAGAGCTCCAATTCGAAGCAGATCTCTACATCCGGTCCCGCACAGACGGCTTCATCACCGCAAGCCGAGAGATCAACCCTGCTTTGTCCAAAATCGACTCCCCGAAAGAACAGCTGAATGAGATTTATAGGAATATAGAAATTAGTAGAATTTCGGCAATGGAGGCCGCTTTCATGACGACGTCACAAGCCAGGACGCAGCACAGACATCGCGTGGCGCCGGTTCCGGCTTTCTTGGAAGAGCCAAGTTTGAACACGGATCGCGAATTTGCACATAAGGCATTACAGCCTGAGATTGAGAACCCCCCGGCTATGCGGATGGAGCGTTGGGTCAGAGAGCAGATGGATGAGAAGGTAGAGCGATTCGGATTCGTCATCTACAGATTAGCGTACGAAGGAAGTGATGGAGCGTGGAAGCAATTTTTGCGGAAGGTAGAAACTGGTATCGAAAGTGGACTGGAAGGATTGATTGGTGTTAATGGGATCAAATCTAAGATGACTCTGCATTGGATCGATGGTAGAGAGGGGAAAATCCCAGAAGGCGATATCAATGCAGCGAGAAAGTAAGTTTTTATGATCACATTCCGAGTACAGAGCACTGACAAGCACTAGGGATTTCAAGTCCATCTCCTCTCTCCCCAGTTTCCCCACCGGCCTCGCCCAAAGCAAATTCTTAGCCATCACCCCCGACTCCCTCTTCTCCTTCTCCGACGCTAGGGAAGGCGATCGCAAAGGCGACTACAGAGGCTTTCTCCAAGCGGTCGACGCGGATTTCGATCCTTCTAAAGAAGAACAAAACAGGAAAGCTAACCCCAAGGGATACGATGGCTCGTTTAAAATCATTGATCAGTTGGTCTGGACGGATCTTTTTGCAGTTTCTGTGGCGTGTCATGCGCAGACGATGCAAGATTATTGGGCATTGGCGGCGCAGCATCCGTGGGGTGTGTACGTGGGACCCACGACTGGTGTGAGGAGGAGACAGTGGAGGGAAATGAATGGTGGGTTGGGCTTTATGCTTGAGGCGAGTAAGAAAATTGCGGATGAGCGAGCTGGTAGGAATTGAGAGTTTGGTGAGAGTTTATGATCCCCATTGACGACTAGCTGATTTGTATATGGAGAAGAAATTTGATCCAATGCTATCTCTCCATGCAGAGTAACGAATTCGATTTAAAGTTCAGTTGTACTTTCGATCTCTAAACCCCCCAATAAGCTCCACAGTTCCATCCCCAGACTCCTCATACTTCTTCCTCGAAATCTCCGGATTCAACTGCAGCGTCTGCTTCGCCTTCACCCACTCCTCCATCGAAATCGGCTTATCAAACTTCGGCTTCACCTCCGCCTTCTGCAAAACAGGCGAATCCAGAATCGGATTCAAAATCGTATCATTATGCGGCCTCGCAAAGTACAACAACCCCGTCCTATCATACCCCCACTGATCCCTCGGCGGCGCCACAACGCGATGCACCGAACTCTTCAGCCACCCTCCCGTCAAATGCGATATCGTATCCGCCAGATTCACCGTGATCGTTCCCGGCTGCGCAGAAACATACGTCCACTTCCCATCATCGCCCAGGATCTGCAGTCCCGCAACCGGCTGCCGAAACAGCAGCGTCACGGTCCCCAGATCCGTATGTCCAGTCGACTGTCCATACCCACTCGCCTCATGCTCCTCGGGAGTCCGCTTATGATAAATCATATACCTGAAATGATCCTCGCTTTTCTTCTCATACGTATGCTGCTTTACCAAGTACTCCTCATCCGGCAGCTGCAAAATAATCGCAAAGAGTCGCAAGAGCGGCAAAACAACATTACTATGCAACGCCTTGGAAAACACCTCAATCTCATCTAGATGCGCCTGCACCAGATCCGGCAACTTATACCTCCCCTCGAAATCCTTGGTGAATTTTGGAATATTGAAAATCTCCACATTGTCCTTCGCAGCCGAGACTTTTCCCCGTCCAGGCCGCCTCCAGCCATTGTAATCAGCTTTCTCATAATCGATTTCATATTTCTTTTTCTCCGAGATGGGCAGAGAGAAGAAGTTCTTAGCGAGCGTGAACTGGTTGTCGATTTGCTGCTGGCTGAGGCCGAAGTTCTTGACGTAGAAGAAGCCCACGTGGTGGACGGCGTGGGAGAGTTGTGAGGCGAGATGCTCTTTACCGCCTGGTCGGTGGTAGTCTCCTAGATCGAGGGTGACTAGTTCGGCCCAGGGGAGGGACTCTTTGGTTTCTGGTGGGTGGGTGTAGGGTGTGAGGTTGGAGTAGTCGTATTTGTGGGTGTCTCCTAGGCCGAGTTGCCCGGCTTGGGTGCTGCTTTGAGTGGTTGTTGAAGACATTACTTGATGAATGCGGGGGATAGACGGGAGTTTAAGTTTCTGAGCTCTTTTTGGGATGCTCAAGACATATATATTCCTTGAAGTTGTCTGTTATCTTTGATGTTTGTCAGCTTTGTTGTCCCGCAATAGCTTCCCCGCATGTCGCCATCCTGTCAAACGTCGATCGTCAACAGTTGTCGTACTTCTAGCTGCCGCTCTTTCCGCTCAATCCCACTTCTTGACATGGATTCATCAGAAGTTGATATCCACTACAAGTTGTCGTTTCACAATCCTTGAGCTGTGTTGATAGGCCAAAGATACTACGATAAGCGATTTGTTAACTTCCCTACCCCGCGGTCTATGGTAAGGCTTATGCATGTATTGCGACAAAGATATGACCATTCCTTTTCTGGCTTATTAAATTGGATGTTGAACACTGGCAGGTGTGGGGTTGAAGCTTGGGCGTAGTGGCGTTGCTTCCGAGAAGCTTGTTGAGAAATACCGTCTTGGTACCCGACTACGGGCACTGGACGCTAGGTAGTGAGGCTTGGAAGCGAGCGATAATAGAAGTCAAGCCTTGATGCCTGAGAGGCAGGTTGCTGAATTTTCAGCATCTGTCGAGGAGGTCCAAACACTTGAGAACTTGATGCAACGATGCAATGGAGAGGAATGATTACTGACAACAGGGCTTAGTCTTCTCGGTCCCCGGTAAAGTATGAGGGTATATGCATAATGATGGAACCATTCTTCATTCATTATCGATCTCTGGTAATAGGGGCTGTCAAGAGGACTATTCCCCTCTATCATAAGCTCAATAACGTCGTCACCAACTCCCCCGGCGTCCCAAAGAAATCAAACATCACAATCCCCAACCGCTTCTCTTTCATCATCTTCAGGAATGGCACCAACCTCTGATTCACACCCCCAAGCGGCGTGTACTCCGTCCCATTCCCCGTCGCCATAATCCTCGGCGACACACTCGGCACCCCAGCATTAAACTCCGCACTTGCAAATGTCCAAAACAAACCATTTCTATCCCCACTCGACGCCTTCCTCAAATGTTCGGTCGTAGCATTAAACTTCGCCTGAATATTCGCCTCCGCACCCTCCCCGGCCAGCGCCCCAGTCTCATAGAAATCCTCAATATACGCCGTCAGGTTCCTCTCCTCATTATACACCAACTCAATATCCCGCCCATTATCACTCCATTTTCCTGCAGGAAAATACACACCAAACATCTTCTCCTCATACTCCCTCGGCAAAGCATCCAGTCCAAAACGTCTCAACAACGTGATCTTCCCCCTCGCTTGCCCCAGCGTCCCAAATACATTCTTCTTTTGCACGAAATACCTCTTCGCAGCATCACTCATCAACACGTCAAAGATCGCTCGCTGGACAGTTGCGTTGTTCCGCGCGTACCTAGTAGTGGAACTCTCATAGTTCAAGGACATCAACACCGCTTCACTAGGATGCTCATCCAACCACCTATAAAACCCAAACAGCACATCCTCCACCGTCGCCGTCTGACTCTGCAACGCCTGCGAATGCCAAAACACCAGAGTTGAATTCGTAACATCGAACGCAAACCTCAAATCGAACACCCGAATCCCTGCATCAAGCATGGAAATTATCGGGTCTTCTTGGCAGCGGAATACGGATGCTGGGTAGACGGGCTGCCCGCCGAGAGATGTGATGCCGGAGAGGAGCTCCTGGGTTGATTGGCTGTAGTTCCAAGTTTGGGTGTCGTGCGTGCCGGGGAGGGTCATGTGTGTGAGGGGCGTGGAGTCGGGTTGAGATTTCATCCAGGTGGAGAATTTGGAGGTTGTTTTGCGGTAGGGGCCGAAGATGGGGGAGGCGTCTTGGGAGACCTTCTGGAGAGCGAATTGCGTGAGGGGGTTTGAGGATTGGGACTCGACATTGCGTGGAGAGTTGGGAGTTGGTGAAGCTGAGGATAGGGGTGTGAGAGATGAGAGAAGGAAGACGGTGAGGTATGTGAAAAACATTATGACTGATGAGCGGTCAAAAGAAATGATCATCTAATGAGAAAGAACAAAAGACTCTTGATGCGAATGGCATCTCATGTATTTATACAATTGACAATGGAACGTGGTACTGTTCTGTGCATATGCAGTCGGGCAGTTTCCCACTTTTGAGTTACACGTGGGACAGAATCTTATGCGACTCGCTGAGATGTAGCTTCCCACTAGGTAAGCATGTACCTGATCTAACCGAATGAAGATCAAAACACCGATATTTGGTCGATTTCAGTATACTTTAGTGGAACCTGGAAACAAAAGCGTCAAAAAAATCTGTACAATGTCGAATCATACGAGATATACCTAAACGTGAACATGTTAATAAATGAATAGAGAATGGAGGGTTGAGGAAGAGGGTAAACTATAGGTACTGTTCAATGGTAAGAAACTCTGCCCACGCCAAAGGATTGGCCACCCTATGTTACATATTAGATACGACTTACTTACAAGTAAAACCCAATTAGAAGGTGATGCCTAAATACCAAAGCTCCCGCAAATATGAATCCGACCAAACAATCAAACAGCTCCTAATGCTCATACCCCAACCCCTTAACCAACCTCTCCGTACTCGTAACCAGCGCATACGAAATCAACATCCCCATCGCCGCACTATGCGTCTCCTCCGCCCCCCTCTTCTCCCCCGAGACCCAATCCACCATCCCATAACTCGCACACGCATCCCCCACAACCACCATCCTCAACCCCAAATCCGCACCATGTCTCGTCGTACTATTAACACATTCCGCTCCATCCATCCCAATCACCACAACCCTTCTATCATCTCCATAACTCTTAATCACTTCTGCAAGCTTGGTTTCAATAAATGGACTGCCTACGTGCTTAATGAATGTGGGCTCGCCTTCTTTGGGTGCTGCGCAGGCGTGAGGTGCGAATGTTGAGGGATATTTGGATGAGATGGGGTTATTTGGCTCAGTGGCATCGTGGTAGACGTGTAAGATGGGCCATGAATTTGAACGCCAGATATCAAGGAGGGAGGCTACGTTTTTGGTGAGATCTGGGGTGGATCTTGGTCCCCATTCTTCTGGACCTTCAACAAGACCATGCTGGATGTCGATGAGGAGGAGAATTGCAGGCTCGCTTGTGCTTGTTGACATGGTTGGTTTGTGTCACTGGAAAAGAATATCTTTGAAGGACAAGAAAGGGCGGGGTGCAAGCGAGAAGGAGTGACTTGAAGAAGGGGGTCTGTCACGTGTTTGGCGGGGTAATTTTTAACCGCAGTCGTGCTTTCTTACCTTTCATACTAGAGCGACATATCCTCCCTAATCAACAGCTCCAAGGGTCGCGAACTATGTAGATTCTGCATCTTGAAACGGTCAGAAATCCGCATCTGATTCCGTTTTCAGCTTCAACACACTTGCTCGTCCTGACAGATCGAAATCAGGACCCTTCACTCTCACAAGCTTCCGAAACTCCTCAACGCAATACAGTGTCGTACTGACGACGGAAAATATAGTCCATGTTCAAGAACCAAGATCCTCACGATAGTATCAAATATCAGATGTGATCTCGGCAAGCTGTCTTTCTTTCCTATGTTCATATGCAGATGCAAAATATATACAAGTTATCGAATAGAAGTTTCTGTCCATCGCCTCAATTGAAACGATGCACAAGGTACATGAACCTCAACCCAGCCTCTGGAGTATCCTCCGCCTCAGGGCTCTCCAAGCTTCCCGTTCAAACTGTGTAAACTCCAGTCGAGCTGGCAGTCGGCTTGGGTGGCAGCGTCTGGCTGATCGTCACTGCACCACTATACAAAGCTGGACCCGGAATGGTATAATTCGTGAACTTCGAGTACAGATCGAACAGAATACCTGGATCTGTTGGCTTCATGAAGGTTGTCGCCAACACACCATTGGCCAGCTTGTCAGATCCAGTGCCTGTTATGGCAAGGTTGAAGCACTGTGGATAATCTTGTGCTCCGTTCGACTGGCCGGCAGCATGCAATGCTATAATCTCATGACGAATAACATAGTTGCCAGTAGCGATATTGGCAGGTATGACGGAAGTCCAGCTGTTGTTGTTGGCGATCAGCTGGTCGGTAGCCCAGTATCCGTTTGTCATCGAAGTCGGGTTCAAGAGCCCAACGGCAGATACCTTCGTCCAGAGAAGCTTTGTCTTGTCCACTGTCTCGCACGGTCCATTGCAGTTCGCCAGATATTCGATGACCGGTCCTTTGTGAGAGGTTGGCCATGGTGTCCACTGGAACTCGATCTTCCCTCCAGCTTTGACTCGTGCAGCGGTCATTGCATTCGTGGCTCCAATGTGGCAGATCACGTCTGGCTTTGCGAATGTGTCTGGAGCGATGAATGCATTGGCGAGATTTCCGGGAGTCTTCCAGCCTACAGTGACAGGAGCAGGCGTGATGTACTGGTACGAAGGATTGTATCCATCATAGCTGGTCAACGATTAGTATTGTTCAACATCCAACTCTCTAAGAGTAAAGAGAATGACTTACTAAACCCCATCAGCAACAATCCCCGAAACCGTCCCATGCGCCACAACCGTCGACACCAACCCCAACAGCGAAAGCTTCGAGAACATATTTAATATTCTCGTGTTCCACAAGCACAGATATATAACCCAGGATGATCAACACTTCAAGTGAACAGCGAGATTTACTTGAGACGCAGTCTCGATTTTGCCCGGACAGTAACACAGAGATCGACTTTCTTCTCCCAGGAGCCAACACCGGCAATATATACTTATAGTGCCAAGCCGCTCCATCATCTGGTTCATGGAAGATATCCACGCGTCACCTCCCACTTCACCTCACCACCTCATCATCTTCCTTCCATTTCTTTCCAAACGGAAGTGTCCATCCCCCACCAAAAGTCAAAGCCATATGTACCTCTCGCATACTTCCCCCATCCCATGACCTGACTCACTCCTTGATATCTTGCAATTTAATCTATTCGGCTCCCTCAACCAGACACATCGTCCACCTATCACGTTGTTCAACCTTCAATTCCACGCATCGAGACTTCTCGGGAGCCCTCCGTCCGTGTGACGATCTGACGACTTCTGTTATAGTATAGATGAAGTAAGTGCCGGGGTCTGTGTTATGTACCCCAGCTTTTGACCGACTTTGTTTTTCCCGACGACCCGTCGGGAGTGAGTTATGGTTTTAGCCGCAACTCGTGGGGTAAATGAAGCTTTCCTGGCGTGACTTGGGACCAACATGCTATGATCGCGTGGAGATAACTCGGACTACAACTTTGTGGACAAGATTATACGGAGGATTTCTGGATGCATGTATTGATTGCTGGCGGAAATCCTCCATTTGATGTCCAGTCAGGAGGAGGAGAGAAGCATAACAGACTCTCGGCTTTCCCGGTGTGAAATCTTGTTTCTTTTGGACGAAACATTTCTGCAGGTGAATACAATCTTATCATCCTCCGGACCACTCCAGGCTCTTTCTCCCCACAACTGTCGATCAGCACCTGCATGTGCAGTACGGAACAACCACGTGATCCACCCCCTCACTACCAGCAGGCTTACAGGAGATAGGCTCGGAACGGGCGATCTGCTTCCGTAGCGAAGGAAGCTTAACTTAACATTAAATCTACGAAAGGTAATGTGCAAAATCCCTAGCAGAAATTAATTGTGCTTTGTGAATCATTACCTCCCTGAAAAAGCTGAAGTGCCGAGGGATCTATCTACGAATCTATTGAAGAAACAGTCGGTTCGGGGGCCTGTTATCCGCCAAGAAGCATTCTGTTTGGTGTATCGAAATTTTGGAGCTCATCATTGGTTCTCAGGTCTGAACTTTCACCTTTATAGTCATGTCTTATTAAATTCGCAGATAGGTATAGGTAGGTTTCTATCGAGCACGTGTTCCGAAGCTCACTTGCTGCAAGTGCCACTCCAGCAGAAGAAAAATGAGCCCGATCGCTGAGTCGTAGTAGAGAACCGTGTTTATCAACGTTCAAATCCGCATACTTTTAATCTCTTTGCTTTTTCCTTCTTTCATGCTTGCTACTCTATCTGAAGCAAGAAGTAACAAGGAAGTTCGATGAACAAGAGGCCCACACATGGTATCAAAGCTTCTGCGTTATGGCCTACATACACGAATACTTTCGTGAAGGATTATCGACAATCTGAAGTTAGATATTCCGTGCCCTCTCATTAATTGAGCAACGTCCCAGTTCTTGATTCGTGTTCGGTTTTCATTGCCCAACCATCAAGTCATGTTCATACGATATATCCTCACCCACTCACCATCTTCCATAAGCTCAGGACCTCTCTGTGACAGCCAAAGTCAAAATGCACAAAGTTCCATTTGATTACAGTCCTACTGGCGCAAAGCTCATCAGCATGTCGTGTTTCACATTCACCTCAACATCGCTCATCGCATGGCTTCCCAGAACCAGTCAAAGCGAGTCATCTGTCGCAGGTTGAAAAGACAGCCCATCCTTGTCTACGCTTCGAAACCATCGCAAGATCTCGTCCAATCTCAGCCAAGACCTCACAGAATGCGTTGGCAGCAATGCATAATGACGGAAAATTGATGTAATTGGGACCAGAGGTTTTTCCTTCTCACCGCATTTCGCAGTTGGTCAAAAATCAAGGAGCGATTTTGAAAACTGTGCTCTCTATATATACATGGACAGAAAGCACTCCGATTTAGCCGGCACTAGAAATATCAATACGGAGCCGACCTCTTTACGGAATCCTTGTGATCAGCCGTAATCTTATCAGCAGATCGAGCGAAGGAAACGTGAACTACCATGGCCTCCGAAAAGATCGCTTCTGTGAAGACAAGGACGGATAAAGTCGTACTAAATCGCAAATTCGCACCATGTTTGACGCTATTTACGGCCATCATCGCTTTCTCTTTATCACTTGTAGTACTCCTAGCAGCTGGTGACAACAACCTTCGAAGGTACGATTTACTCACTGTAAGTCTACTCCACATTTCTCTAGCTCATGTCTACATGCTCAGAATACATAGCTCAACACATCAACCCTCTTCCAAAATGCCATAAAAGTCTCAAACACAGGCTCAACAACCCGCCGCTCTCTCCCCCTCCTCGAAAATGACAGTATTCCACTTCCTCAAATGACTGGCCGAGCTATAGTACCAACACCAATTCAAGCTCGCCAACTCCCATCACCATCAGATATCGAATCGTTCTTCAGCTCTATCGGGGCAGGCTTCACGTCAGCTCTCAATCCAGCTACACCATCTGCAACAGGCACGGCCAGTTCTGGAGCCACAAGTACAAGTGGAGGTGGAAGTCAACTTCTGCAAGACCTCGAGAGTCTATTTCAGAACCTATTGGGTACTGCAACGGGAACTGCAGGACAGGAAATCGTCAACGTCGTAAATGGTCTTGTTTCTGAGGTGCTGGATGCCCTTGGTATTCAAGATTGGTATAGTCTGTATATGAGAGAGTTCTGTAGTGGGAGCTATACACCGAACTACAATTCAGCCAATGCAAAAAAGCATACAACTAAGTGTACCCCATTCGGTAAGCCATCACCCCTTTTAGTCTAGGCGTTCTCCAACACAGAGAAAAAGGAAGTATATATACTGATATTCATCTCAAAACCATAGACCAAGCCATCCCCTCCATCCCCACCACAAACTCCACCCTCCAACTCGGCACCACCATAATCGACTTCTCCGCTCTCAACCTCCCCGCCAAACTCTCCTCTGCAAAAAGCTCCATAACTTCCATCTTCACCGCCATCTTCGCAATCCAAGTAACCGGTATAGTCGCCTGCGGACTCCTCATCGTCCTCACACCCCTCCACATCTTCCTGTCTTTCTTCCAACGCTTTATTTTCCGCCTTCTCATCGCAGCACTCGCTGCCATCGCCACGATCTGTTTCGGCTTCATAGCTGGCATTGAGACGGGAATTATGGTTATTATTGATGTGCTTGTTGATGGGCTTGGTGAGGGATTGGGCATCGAGGCACAGAGCGGTGGAGCGTTCCTCGCATTGTTGTGGGTGAGATCTGTGTTTATGAGTGTGAGTACGTTGGTTTGGTTTGGAAAGTGGCATGGGGATCGGTATGTGAGGAGGGTGAAGACGGATTATGTTGTGGAGAGGCAGGTGGTGAAGGAGGCGAAATCGACGGATCGCTTGAGAGGGGCGAGGGGAGAGGGGGAGGAGGGATCGAGTGGGAGTGAGGTTGGGAGGGAAATATGAGGTTTAAATTTTCAGCTGGACTCAGTAGGCAATTCGTGCCTGTCTATTCTGATCTCTGATTTCCAGATTTACATGGTGACAACTGGATCCGCCATCGGCATCACGTCTCTTTTGGTCTTCTACTGCCAGTGTACACCGAAAGCCGTGAAAGGGGACGCTTCGAACAGAGACAGGGAGACGGTTCAAATTCAAGTCAAATTCGATAAATGATCAAGGTTCATCGTAATGTTTTCTGAGATTGTGGCTAAAGCTCGTCATAACCTCAAGTATCCCCTTTGTTTGCCAAGCGTTAGGCGAGGCCAATCCAGCTCCCTTTGGCTCTCCTCAGAACAGTATATACAAATATGCAATATTTACATCGAATTTCCGTTAAATCGTAGTCCTCATAGACACTGCTCTTACTCCAATCCATTACTGCGGAACTTGAATACGATCAATATCAGGGGCGTTGCCTTGTCCAGACAAGCTCTGGATCTTGATGGTGTTCGAGCTGCCACTGGTGAATCCACTCAACCGCACTTTGTAGGCAGGAAGAACATCTCCATACCAATCATAACCAGACAATGGGAACAGAACCGTCACACCGGCACCTCCGTTGACACTGATGCTTGCCGTTCGCACGTTGGGGACGCTCGAGCCAAGGTACTGCACCTCGCAGTTGATGTAATCGAACAGCACATCAACAGTTCCCTGAGAAGCCTTGACACCCGTGAAGGTCAAAGACGCAGTTGATCCATCCAAGAGATTGCCGACCTTCTTGCCACCAGAGCATCCAGCACAGTTTGCGATAGCTGCACCATTTGCAAGGGTTCCAGCCTCGGCTTCAATAGTTTGGTACGTTGGTGTCGTTGTCGAGGCCGATTGGATAGCAGAAAGTCTGTAGACCATCGATCCGTGAGCTGGAACATTCTGGCTTACCGATGTAACAGTTCCGAGGTTGGATCCAGCCCAGAGATCTCTGGCGCTGGCTGAGTTGATTCCAACAGCGCTCAATGGGACGGAGATGGTTCGTGCGGTGTTGGAGTGATCAACGATCAACAGGACCTTGCTACCGTCTGCAAGTGGGCCGAGGAAGATATCGTAGTTGTTAGAGAAACGCTGGACGAGCTTGACTGGCAGTCCAAGCGCATCCTGGTTCACGGCGATCAAATCCTGGTTTCCCAGAATGGCAGCAGTCTGTGCCGACATACTTGGGACAGGGGTAGAGATCATCAAAGCAGACTTGAAAGCTGCCCAGACGGCGAAATGAGTCTTCTGCTCATCGACAGTCATGCCTGGATTCCCCACCTCAAGCAAATCCATATCGGCGAATTTATTAGGACCGACGAGGTTCTTGAGAGCGGCGTGGATGGCTTGGTTGTAGATACGGAGAGTCTGTGACCATCCTTGCGCGATGTCGTCCGAGATTCGGAACGAGGTGGAAACTGCTGGTGCCCATGCAGTTGGACCTTGAAGAGTGTTTGTCGCTGTGTTCTGGTATGGAACACCCCATTGGCAGATGAGCATGTTGGGAATGCCTACGTTCTTCAAAGCGTTCCACATTGTTGCGTATCTGGAGGGGAAATCGGTACGTGGGTCCTTGGGAGCATTGTTGTTGGGGTCCACGAAGCAGTTGTCCACCTGTTTGGGAATATTTATTAACTTTGAATAGCACGAAAACAAGAAGGGTATTTGTGCTCACCTTAACATATGCCGTGTTCCACGCAGCGAACATGGCAGCATCTTGGGTCTCATAACCGAGTGATCCCGGTCGATGAGGGTTATAGTTGGTATCGCAAGAGTATACACCCTGATCCGTATACATGCTCCACTTGAATCCCAAACTAATTGCGAACTTACTCAATGGTGAGATACCATTGGGGAAGCGAGAGCTATCGTAGGTGATCGAGCCATTTGAGAGACGGTTAAATCCCTGCCATCCGCAATCGATTTGGAAGAATTTGTAACCCTTGCCGAGGAAACCCTTATCCGACATTGACTGGATTGTGTTGTGGATCATGGTCTCGTTGGGCGAGCAGGCCACATCATTGTAACTGTTGTAGCCCATGATTGGGGTTTGGGCATTGACGCTTCCGAGCAGCATGAAAGCTGCCGGTACTGCAACGCTGGATTTTGTTGACCAAAACATTGTGATGGATGTGGTAGAGATGGCGATGTGACAAGAGGTTGAGGATATACCAGAGAAAATAACAGTCGTCGCCGTCTCCTTTTATAAAATTCCTCAAGTACCCTTGTAGATCCAAACATTCTTTAGAGTATCTGCCAAAAAATATTATGGACGCGCACCAATTGCAATACGTATTATTGAGCTGTGGTCGCTCTTCGGCTTCGACATCATCGAGTGCACATGATGTATACAAAAGGTAAGTACCGTGACGCTCATTTACGCGCACCAGTTATCTCATGCCGCTTATGATGTGAAGTCTCCATACGCATCTCTTTCGAGTTGTGATCCGCATCTAACACGAGGTACCAAGGTATTTATGAGCCGATTTGTGGGGTACGCGGGGTATGCGGGGATGGGATCGTCGGATGTCAATACGTTTTCCGAATAGCTTCACTCCAAAAGGCCCAATCTAGCACTCTCCGCCGATCTTGATAGGGCCGCAAAAAGTATAGCGGGGGATCATCACATATTTGGCAGGTGGCCAAACCACACGGAATGTTGCCGTTTGGGGATTTCCCGGGGATTGGGAAGCTCGACAGCTGTCAAGAAAACATGGAATTGGAGCGCAAGTATTGATGCATGGGACGAAATGCGGAATACTATAACAATCATGGGGCTTGGCTCATGTCGCTGTCCCCGTTGATGTGCATATAAGCGCCTGGTGCGCATTGGCATTGTTTCGACTTTGCACGCCGGTGAGAATCATATTTTTCTCGAGGGCATTCGACAGAGAGACCTGGATCAAAAGCACGAAGAACAGAACATTGACTGAAGCTAAGCTAGATTCTGGGTACAAACAAGGCCGAGGCAGAGACAAGATTAGTGGAGCACTCCGAATACTTCTGAGCTAGCCTTTCAGTCCAGCGGACCATTCCTTCGAGTCCAGTGCTACATTATGGGAACACTTGTCAAGTATGTCAAGAAAAGCTGACTCCGGAACTTCAGACCATTCCCAACTGACTTAATGGTGCATGGGGCTCAACGCAGTACTATGAAGTGGTCACTTCAGGCACTGTAGGGAACAAATTTTAGACAATGATCTACAATCTGAAGCATGAACAAACCTAAGCAGTATTTCCCATATTCTCCTAAAATCCAACAATCTTACACTTGAAAATCGGATCAGTATCCCCAAACCCTGAGCCATTGCCCACTGAAGCACATCTGAGAAGCTCATTGTGCATTTCCTGCACCCACGGATCAGAGCCCTCCATCTCCAAAGTAGAAATAATATGGAGACGAGCACTCGGGTCTCTTCTCTTCTCACCTGTAACAAATTGTAAAACCTCTCCAGCCTCGCCTTCCTTTCAAGTCGCTGTGCCAAAATTCTTGCTTCAAACTCTGCTTTCCGTTGCTTGATATCCTCAACCCGCACATTGAGCATCTTCCTAGGATTTGGAATCCTCCTACCAACCGTTTTCTATTCCATATAACTGGCACCGGAAGCCTACTACCTTTTCTAGCCATCCAGGATGCCAAGAAATTCTGTGTAGGAGTCTCAATAAGCAGGTCTGAGCACTGTCCACAAGTTGCGTTATCAGCAGCTACCCATATTCTCTCCAAAGAGAAGCCCTTGGCGGGGTCAATTGAGTATTCGTGTTTGATGTTACCAAATATACTGTATCTCTCTGAGCACATCCATAATGTAGCATTGCAGCCGCACGCTTCGAATAGAATCTCAAATCGTATGCAAGGAGGAACTTTTCCTGCGAGATGAGACCAACATTCTGGAAGGTCTTCTGGTTTGTACGTTTGCCAAGTAAATTCCTCGGCTAGATCGCATTGAGACATTTTGAATTTGTTGAGGGATATAATCCGCTCTATTGATCAAATCGATTTGTATCCCTCCCGAAACTCTGTGATTATCGAAGGCTTTGTACGTTACCATAACCTAAACGCGGGGATTTTTGGTACAAAGTCGTTGTTTACCTTTGTTGAAACCCATGGTACTGTCGAATTTGCTCACATAATCTACTTAACTCCCATCATTTATGGCTTGTATAGGGCTTTGTCTTTAAAACACAACATGCTGTTTGGTCTCGCTTAGGTCAATGGGCATATGTGCTGGAATAAAGAATAGCTTGGCCTGACTTATTCTGAGTTTGTCGTGTAGTCAGTCTCCCTCTGACATGTGATGAGAAGTTGTCGCCTCTCTGAGACTGCAAATCCTTCTTTGATAGGTACTGCCAGAGTGTCACATGATGGCTCTCGTGTGGTAACCTTTTTCAATCCCTCTCCTCGCACTCTAGACCAATTCAACAGACACAACGATAAACCGGTCTATGGTTTTACCATTCCCCTTATCTGCTTTGGTGACTCTGTATTTGGATTCAGAAGTACGGATTCAGAGCCTTCGAGTCAATTGTCATAAGTGTCACGGGATCCGTTCTCAGTCGTTGCTAGCAAAGCTTAGGTAAAGAAAGGTCTGAGATGGAACTGTCGTGACAATCGGTGCTCCTGTGTTACAATAATCTCGAGATATATTAGAAGGTAACATCTCGTAGTAAGATTTCTACAAAGACCAAGATTTGTACCACCAAATCGTGGTCGTTGTTCCTACGAACCCCGGGATTCGCGCAACCCTTCCTCGGGCTGGACAGTTATGGCAGAATGAGATTAGGGACGTATCTAGATACCTCAACATGAGGATCGCAAGAATTTCGGAAGTAAAGTGCATGATGGTTCCACAGCGAGTTTCCTCGCTCAGTAACCTTTTCAGTACGCTTCAAGAACGGACCAAGTTCCTGTGTAATCCATGTTTAAAACTGTCCAGTGGAAACGTTAGGTAAGTCACCTTTCCGATTATACCTTTACCGTCGACGGGTGCTGTCTCACTACCAAGTTACTTTCTCGAGGTGTCACGGTGGCACCCTGAGTACCGTCAATTGTGCTACCACGACCAACCACAACAAAATAGGCAAGCCAAACTCGCTTTGGTGGCCACATCTGAGAAGTATTAAAAACACATGCATCCCTCTTTCAGCACAATTCCGGCGTTATATCAACCCCTTGTAGCCATGCTGATGCTAAAGGACCTCGTGCCGGCAATCTTGGCCCTATCTGCCACGGCTCTGAGCAGCCCCCTAACAGCCGAAGTGTCGCTGGACATCGACATTGGCCATGCGCCTAGATCCTCCAAGGCAAAGTACTTTTCTTCTTACTTTTCTTCTTCAATATAGTACCAGTCCTCTTTCACTAACACTCATTCCAGCGTCCAACTCTTCAATGACTACTTCTGGTCAGGCGACTCAGTGGAATACGACATTCAAGAAACGAACTGCAAGAATCTCGACAGAACTGTCAAATACAAGGTGCTATCAGCCTATGTTGACGACCGCAAAATCCATGGCTGCATGTTCTACACCGAAGACAATTGTATAGGCAGCAATCCGCTATTTCTCAAAGCTCAATCATACCCGCAGATTCCAGACGAAATTGGACTTGCTGCTTCGTTCAGATGCTGCCCTCTTAATCGAGGATCTTCTCTGGCACGAGAGAGATCTCGTAGTCAAGATCTGAACCACGTCAATGTGGACAAAAGCTTTTTCCATACAGAAAACCGACCAAATGGCCAACCAAACGGAACGTAAGTCCACCACCCCCCTCCTTTCCTCAACACTACCACTTCTCCCTCCAAGTCCCTCTTCGCTAACCACAACACCCTTCCAATCCAGCGTAAAACTCTATACCTACCCCAACTTCAAAGGCCAATACACCAAATTCCGCGTCTTCCCAAACCACTGCTACTTCCCACCTCGCAAGCTCCGCAACTCTGTCAAGTCCCTCATCATCTCAGATAAAATCGACTCCTGCACATTCTGGTCTGAGCCTGGCTGTAAGGGTGATCCGTATTGGCTTGGGGCGGGTAGGATCGAGGATCTGAAGAATGAAGGGAGTTCGTTTGTTAGTTTTGAGTGTTTGTTGGTTGGGGATGAGGATCCTGAGGGTGTGGTCGGGGATGGTGATGGGGATGGAGGGGATGAGGGGGGGAATGGAGAGGTAGACAGTCATGGGCTAGAGATGAGGCGAGGGTGGGATGGGCTGGGATGGAAAGATGATGGGAAGGGAGTAGATCTTTGACCCGGAGATGATTCACCATCGAAAAAAAATCATTACCAGTGGGCTGAGCAATAGACAAACGCATAGACAAGCATAAATGATCACCCTTCTCTCTCGAATGTCACCACGTGTTCCAAAAGCCTCCCCCTGCATCAAATGGTTAAGGTTAGTAATGCACCGCTTACCTCCCCAAAACGTACCTGCCTTTCACACTTCACACTTCAAACTTCCTTCCTTACCCATCACCCAAACCCAACACCCCTCGTCCTCTCCCTCACATCCAGCATCGTATTCTTCCACCAAGCAATGCTTCAATCTCCCCATTTATCTCTACAGATTCACCCTCCACCCCCAGGCCAACGCACGTAATACACCAGCTTGACCTAAATATCCCAGAATGATTCCTTCCTGAAGGATTCAATAATCTAGATGCAGAAAAAAAAAATACAGTGACTGCCTTATTTTACTTGTGGAAAAGGTGATTTCTAGGTAAACAGCCATCTCCCAGATGTCACTTGGCGCCTGCCTGCCTTACCAACCTCAGCCACAACACAACAAAGACCTACCTAGGAAACTATGAGACAGATGCCCTACCGAGCACCACCCTCCAAACCTCGCTTCGTATTAAATAAACAACATACCATCTATAAAGCCAAACGAACAGCTGTGAGCCATCTCAAATCGTAAAATATCTACAAATCATAATCCCTACACGCCCGCCCGCCTCCCTCCAAAAGACTTAACCTTTTCAGACTACACTCCATTCCATTGTTGTCCTACCTAGGTAGGTGCTGGCGACGGGCATGTAGGTACAGAATCTGATGAGCGAATGTAAGAAGGAATTCGAATGGATGGATTAGTATTAACTATGTGATTGATTAGACCAGATTTTTCTCTCCTCTCTTTTTCTCGGAATTATCTAAATTTGTTCGCAAATGAAAAGCCCTAGATCACACATATTTGACTCCGCGCCTGACATTACCTCACCACCTCATTCTCACTTCACCTCAAGCCTTGTTCTCCCCGTCCCCCTCCCCGTCTCCCTCCCCCTCCGCCCGATCCTGCTGCTCCGCCTTCTTCTCAATAACCCCCTCCTTTTTCTTCGCATCTTTCCTAAACCTCCCCACCAACCCCCCCAACCTCACCCCCAACCTCACCCCCAACCCCCTCCCACTCCCCTTCCTCACCCTAAAAAAATAATACAACCCCACCGCCGCCCCAACATTAAAAACCACAAACGCCCACCCAATCCCATAATCCCTCCAGCGCGTCGTATAGCTGATCGCCACCGACATCAAGAACTGATCCGCCACCTTCGCCGAGCAGAACTCGCAGTCGGACGTCGCGGACGGGTTGTAGATCTCGCCGCCTGACGCGGATGCGTAGGCGCTGAGGTAGGCGCCGCAGGTTAGAGAGGGGGGCGGTTGCATTGTGGCGACTTCGGTGGAGGAGCAACGGACGGGGCGGCCCGAGAGGCCGGTTGAGGCGATGGCTGAGACGAGGTCTTTGATACCTAGTCGTTAGCCTTTCCTTTCCTTGTAGATGACATGATATGATATGGTATGATATGATAGCATAGCGAGAAGAAAAAGAAGAAGAAGAAGAAGACGAAGGGGAGAAGAAGAACTTACAAGTCAGAGGCGAAACCCTATACATGAAGATCCAGAATCCGGGTAATGCAAACGGCGGCTGGAAAACACCGTTGAATGTCAAACACATCGAGAACATCAACGTCGCGATATTCCCCGCCGTCTCAGCATCAGGCAGCGCCGCAATCATCATATGCGCAAACGTGCTCGCAAACACAAAAAACTGCACCAGCAGCAACAAGATCAGACCCTGACGCTCCGAATCGGGAATCCCACCACGCGTATAGATCGGGTAGAAGTACGACGCGAAAACCAATATCCCAAGCAAGATCTGGTACGGAATCTCAACAATTATGTTCGCGATGAGGAACGCTTTCCAGCTATATGCCTTCGACGGCCTCTCGCGAACTTCATACAGATCCCGCTGCAGGATGAACCGAGGCATGATCTGCTGGACTAAAGTAGTGAAGATAGTAGTAATCATGAAGATCGAGAAGATGGCGTTCTGTAATCCCTGCTGGCTCCGATCGATATGGAAGAAGGAGAAGCCGATGAACAGCGCGGAGGCCACGCCGAGCAGGATCTTGGCGTAGATGTACTCGGGGGTGCGCCAGTACTGCTGGAAGACTCGGACGGTGACTTCGTACAGCTGGTTTGGGAACGGCATGGCGAATTCGCTGTGCGAGGTTGTGTCGTCGTCGTCGGAGGAGGAGGAGGAGCTGGTGCGTTGGGAGCCCATCTCGTTCTTGATGCGGGTGAGCTCTGTTTGGATGGCTTGGGCTTCGGAGCTGGATTTCCAGACTTCGTGCCAGTCTTTGGTGGATTTCCCGGTGGCGCCCGCGCCGACCATTGTCAACACTAGACGGTATCAGTATATTGGTTACCGACACACAGGGGAAATGGTCGACTTACTATACTCAGCAGGATTGTCGTCCTCGCCACACTTATCAGCTCCATGAGATTCAAAATAGTTCAGCAGCGTCTCGGAGTTATGTCCAATATCTCCAAAATAAACAGTCCTCCCACCCTTCGCCAAGAACAGCAACCTATCGAACTCCTGGAACAGAATCGCACTAGGTTGATGGATGGTAGCTAGAACAGCCTGACCGTTGTCCGCGAGCTTCCTCAAGAAAGCAACAATCGCCCATGAAGACTGCGAGTCAAGTCCTGAGGTAGGTTCATCCAAGAACAAGAGCAGAGCTGGTTTCGCGGCTAGCTCAACACCGATAGTGAGGAGTTTGCGTTGCTCGACATTCAGACCTTCGCCTGGCACACCGACGACAGCTTCAGCGAATTCTTGCATGTTGAGCATCTTGATGACGTCTTCGACGAACTCATATTTCTCTGCCTTGGACACAGTCTTCGGTTGACGGAGCATAGCCGAGAAGCGAAGAGCTTCACGAACTGTTGTGGTTTCCAAGTGGAGATCCTGAAAAATATCAGCATTAGAATGGTACCAGAGCATCACTGCAACAGAAGAACACACCTGTTGCTGAACATATCCCGTCTTGCGCTGGAACGACTCATCAAGAGGTCTACCCGAAACGAGCATATCACCAGTAACAACCCCCATCGAAACTCTCTGGGCGAGAACATCCAGCAGCGTAGTCTTCCCCGCACCCGAAACGCCCATAAGAGCCGTCAGCGTACCCGGCTTCACCCACCCGGAGACATTATCCAGCAACCTCCTCGGCTCCCCCTTGATCTTGATATCATAACAGACATCCCTCCAAGTAAACACATCCGTCTGAGGCGGCAGCGCAGCAACCTCCTCATCCGCCTCCTTCTGCTGCGACTCCTCGTCTTTCCCCTGCGCGCCAGGTCCAGCAGCTGGCATGGGAGCCTCCTCGTCGTGCTTGGCTGCTGCTTTCTCCGCGACCTCGAGGTGCTTTGGGACGTGGCCCCGGCGGAAGACGAGAACTTCCGCTTTGCTGTCGGTGGAGGAGTTTATTTCTGTGGCGACGAGGTAGACCACCAGGAAGAAAATCATGAAGGCGAACATGAAGCCTAGGTTACGCCAGATGTGCGAATATGAATACTGGAATTGAGCATCGAGGTAGTCGTCGCCTAGAACGGTGGTCTGTCCTGCAACGGCTCCTGCGGTGGCGCAGATGAATTGGTCGCCTGTCAGGGCGTATCCGGGACCGGATGGCACGAGTTGCGAGCAGGTGAATCTTTGGCCGTGGAGTTCGTTGACGAAGAGTCCTTCGAAGGCGTAGGCAACTGGGTTTATCCAGGAGAGCCATTTGAACCATGGGTGCATTAGAGGACGTGGGATGACGAAGCCGGTGTAGATGACAATGGCTAGAGTAGTGACTCCTGCGATGGCCAAGGCTTGAGAAACAGTCTTGGTGGATGCAGCGATGGAGCGATAGATTTGGGACATCTGAGAGGATTAGAAAGGTCTAACAACTGAAGGGTGCTTCTTACCGTCAAAATCGCTACAAAGTTAAACATGAAGAAGATGAAGAATTGAGATGGCTCCCTCCTCAACCCCGCCAAGAAATACAGAATAATGTTAAAGCACGTAGCAATCATAAACTTGACCGGAATATCCGCAACAATACCAGCCAGAGCTTCAGTAAATGGATGGTAGAAAGCATACGATGCCTGCTTCTCCACGATCGGACGTTGGCTGTACAGTGTATTGATTTCCGAGATGGCGATCAATGCATTGAGCAAGACAGCAAAGAACAGCACACCTCCTTTCTGGAAGAAACTGGCCGTATCGCTTCTCGTGCCGTAGAAAATCGAACCAATAATCAAGGCCATGACGATTTGTCCGATGATAGTAGTGACAGTTGAAGTTTTGTCGTTCCAGAGACGTTGATAGGCTCGTTGCGTACAGTATTTGACTTGCATGGGAATGCTGACCGTGTAAGGTGATTCCGGGCGCACATGGTTTGCTTGCATTCCCTTTCGGCTTGCCTATACATTGGTCAATACTTGTTCAAAGGAAAAATATCCGTCCGCTGGTTATCACAACTTACATTAAACTGCTCCAGCGTCACCCCACCCATCGGGAACTCCTCCTCATGATCCTCAGTCTCCCTCTTCAAATCCTTACACTGCCTCGACTCCTTCCAATACCTCTCAAACTCATCAGGCGTGCGAGGTACTTTGTTCTCAAACCCCTTCCTCGCCGTCCGCTCAGAGGGATTCGTCACCGAAGTCAAGAAATCCCCCGTCGTCTGTCGAGGCGGACACTCCCACCCCATATCAACGAAGTACTGCTTCGCCTCCTCGCAAGCACCATAATATATCTGTCGCCCCTCATACAGCACAACCGCCTTATCAAACTCATCATAGATGGCTTGCGAAGCCTGGTAGATAGCAACGAGATGGCAGGCCCCACTCAGATTAGCAGACATGCGAAGCGACCTCGTGAACTCCAGTGCCGTCGCCGCATCCAGCCCACGAGTCGCGTTGTCCCACGACGCAATCGGCGAGCCTGCCAAAGCCATCTCTGCAATACTCACGCGCTTCCTCTCTCCGCCCGAGACTCCGCGGACGAAGTCGTTGCCAACTTTCGTGTTGTAGGTGTGTGAGAGGCCGAAAATCGCCATCACGACTTTGGCCATGTGTTTGGCCCAGGACTCGCGGTCGACGCCTTCGATGAGTCTCTGCTGTGGTGTGCGGACGCGGGCGGCGAATTCGAGGGTCTCGCCAACGGTGAGGTGGGGGAAGTGCTTGTCGACTTCTTGGTTGTAGACGATTTCGCCTTTGAATTGCTTGATCATTTGCTTTTGGGGGATGCCTTTGGATTTTATTAGCACTGCAAACATCAAACCCAGATGACTATGCGTAAAAGACTACTCACCATTATAATGAACCAGAGATTGCTCCTTCATATCCAATCCCGTGAGTTCACCCATAAGCGACTTGAGAAGTGTGGAACAACCACTTCCAGGTCTGCCAAGCACAACAAGCATCTCTCCACTCTTCAAACAACCCTCGAAATCCTTCAAGATCGTCTTCTCTGCTCCCTTCCCAAAGAACTCTCCCAGCCGAAGAGGAGCAAGGAGTAGCGATCCGACATTCTTCTGCAGATTGATGGCTGATCCAGACCCACACACTCTCAGGTTCTTCCACACAATACCCGCACGGCGCTGAACGACATTATTCTGATCCATCAACCTCATCAACCTACAATCAATTCCCACCAACCAATTAGCAAAACCACACCAATTTTTTTGTTTAATTTTTTTTAAGAAAATCATAATTAATCACATAGAGAAACAAGGGAACCTACATCCTAGACCACTTATAAACATCAAACTCAGACGACCCCGGATCCAGCACCGCATCCCCAATACTCACCCCCGCCAGCGTATCCGGCCGCTCCAACTGCGGCGCCTCCAACAACGCCGCCGTATTCGTCCTCGACAGCGCACCCCTCCCACTAAACGTCGACGCGATCCTCTGCAGCTCCTGCCTATCCCTCGGCGTAACCGGCGCAAACTGCCTACGATCCCTCACCGACCGGCTCGTCTCGACTCGCTCCAGCTTCTCCTCGTCGATGTCCGTGGAGCTGTCATGGCGGAACTTGAATAATGTCTCTGGCTCTGGCTCTGGCTGCTCGATTTCATGCGCCGGGTACCCCGGGTGTTCTCCCTCGCCGTTTTGGTTTTGCGGGGGTTGGGGTCGGGGTCGCTCGATGTCGTGGTCGGGGTAGCCTGGGTGGGTGGAGGTGGTGGAGGTGGTGGTGGTGGTCTGACCGGACGATAAGATGTTTTCTGTTCGAATTGGCTGGAAGATGGGCTTTTCGCTGTCGGAAGCCATTGTTGATGTTGATGTTGATGTTGATGTTTTTTTTTTAGGAATGTGGTGCGGAGTAAGTAAGTAAGTAAACAGTAGATGGATATGTAAGGTACAGAAGGGGGGACGAGATAAGTGCCAGTGCCTGTGCCAGTGCCTGTCTCTCCCCGCGGGAATGCTACCGTGTAGGAAGCCAATCCAATCCAATTGAAAATTTGAGAATTCGGTCAGAGCAATAAGCAACGTAAGCAAGCAAGCAAGTAAGTAAGTAAAAGTTTCTTTACGCTTAAAATGAGGGGGTTTGGATGTGACTTTTGTACTCCTCGCTCTTGACATCAACGATAGGTAAGGTAGGTAGGTATCTGTTTGCAGTTTAGGTACTTTGCAGTTTAGGTACTCTAGTCTAGAACTTAGTAGTTGGCGCAACGCGCCATTGAGGTCATCGTCCACTTGTAAGACAGCTTCACAAGGCTAGGGAGTGAATAGTGTCAACTCAAAATTATTCCACATCCGTACGTGCCGGATGTAAAGAATTGCCGAGGACGAAGACGAAATCTGGATGATGTGAGGTCCAGGAAGTGCCATCCGGATAGATAGATATAAGGTTTTTTTGGGCGGCGCGAGGTTGAACTTGTCTCTCCTGTACTGTACCCCTCCACGGTCCCGTCGTACTGTAGCGAGGAGCTGGAGGCGTGACACTATGATATCCCTACTCCTGGCAAGTCATCCGAGGGCATCTGCGTTGTTTGATGATTGGTAGACTTCTCTACCTCCTCTTCTTCCTCCGTACGGCGTGTCACTCCCTATTGGCTACAGTGACTGATTCAGCGGGCTGCATCATCGATCGCAGACCTTGTCCTTGTGCCTGATCTGACATTTTCCTGCCCTAAGGTAATATCACGACCTCAACATTGGCATGGCTGCGCGCTGACAGTGATAAATGGATTCACCCTATGGTGCTGCCATTATGAACATCTGGATGAGGACGTGGTGCGCAGTGTATATTCCTATTCCGGAGGTGTTGGCTGGCACGTGAGAGCTCTCCCGATGCTCTGGGACGACACTCGGAGGGTTAGAAACACAAGAACAAGGTCAGTCGTGGATAAACTAATGATACCAAGTAAACTGTGCTGAGTAGAGTCCGTTCATTTCGTCGGTGCGAATACGATTCTGCATTGAAAACGAACGGCCGAATTGAAAACGTACAAAGGTTGGATGTTGATGACTGAGTATGCAGGGTCGTTCACATCCCGAGGAGTTTTACTGGGATACGCGGGAGCTGACTGATACGACAAGACTCGGCAGCCTAGGATTAAACTGCAGTGGTGATCGTGGTTGTGATAGTGCTGACGGCTGCTTCTCAAGTGTATTCTCCCTTCCCCATCGCCGTATTCTAAATTGCTCTGCCGCTATCAAAGCTCCCTCGCAATCACACCGTAAACTGGCACTCGCAAGGACAAGAAACATGCCACAAAATCCTACCAATATAAAACTCTGCAGTACACTGCTTAACCCCGACCTCTGCCAACAAAGCCTCTGTAACTCCTCCAATCCTCACCGCATTCCAGCCTTCTTGAAATCAAACACTCTCCTCCCTGTCCGTCTTGCCTCAACTTTCCGTCCAAATGTTCTTCCCTACCTGTCCTGTCCTGTCCTGTCCTGCCAGCACATCTCTGTAGATCCTCATCATCATCTCATCTCCATTATTATTCTCCGTAAATACCTAATCCCTACCTACTGTAGTAGTCTCGAGAAACTCACTCCTCCGCCGTGCCACGGAGGAATCGGAACCAAAACGTTGCGACACGCCGACTACCGAGACCATACCTACCCTGGCCGTGGTATATCTACCTAACCTGAAAATCCAGACTCCCCTCTATCCTCGCTTCACCTTCCAGACCCCCCAGACCCAGCAAACAAAACAAAACAAAACAAAACAAAAAACACCCGAGAACCCGAACCCGACAACTACCTTAAAAGGTAAATTACAGCCTGCCTGCCTGCAAACTATGACGTATAATCTAAACCTTTGCCGTCCACATACCCTATCCAAATCCCCTATCCACATCCATTGCTATGCTCGGCTCAGCCTCAGAATAACGCATTTCATACTCATACATATCACTTTGCCACTGGTGCAGTCTGTGGAGAGGAGGATTTTCGTCCGCCGGGTTTCGGTTCGCGCTTCGGGGTACGGGTGTGTTGTGTTTCCGCTCAGCTAAGGTAGTTAGTTATGTTGAGCTACTTTAGTGACGAGTGGTAACCTCGTAATAGGTTGGTAGGGAGGTAAGTTGGGTGCGTGCACACGTAACCTTGAAGGAAAGAATTATCATTATGTTTATCTTGTTCTTGAGTGCAGTTCTTGGATTCTTGGAAGGTTGAGAGATTGATTTTTGGAGCATGATTTGATCGTTGTCATGGTCGGTATTTTTCTAGATCCCCTCCGTCCCCACAGGTAGCTGTTCCGGCTGTCTCCTTTTGTGATGCGCGTCTTGGCCACTCTGGTATTTAGTTAACTGTCACTTTTTATATAGTCCTTGTTCATTGGGAAGAGAAAGTTTGATCACAATGTCTGTAGGTAATTCAGCTTGGAAGAGTTAATGTTGTATTGTGAGATTATCATCAGTGTTCATATCAAGAAGTCGGTGTGCCTTCCTCGTCTCGTGGAGGTCTCCATTGCCAAGGGACACCCAGACTGGACACTATCTATTTCGGGTCGGTTATTCGAATAATCCAGGAACTTGTATCGATGATATGCTTAAGAATAATTAGTCTGAAATATTTGCTATATGATCAGTATAATTCTCAGACGCAATAGCCATCAGTCGTCCCAAAACTGGAATTCGGAAAGCCACTAGCTAAGCTGCTAAGCATTATCGACAGCTCTCAAACTCCATCTTCATCTGGCCTGCTCCACAAACACATTCACGACTTTGTAACTGGAATAAATTGATCAGATTGTTCATTCTTTTTCGTAAAATGGGTTCGAAATATTGCAGTCTCCAAATATTCCTTCGATGTTGTGTGTTGTCAACGGAACAACGATGAGCATGCCCCACCATACCCCGCACTTACCTACCTGAAAAGCTCTCTGTACCTAACCAAGGTCACCACACTGAATTCCAGACTACTTTAGGGCACCATTCGCTAACCGAACAAACAGAAGAGAGATGGATCAGTGGACCTTTCTGTCACCAACGAGACTGTATACCTCGTCCTACAGCTATCTTATTCATACTATTCTTATATTCCCTTCTCACACCAGCAGAAACCTTTGCTGTCTCTCTTGCCATCGATCCCATCTCTGTAATCAGGCATTGACTGGTGGTGGGAAATGCTCCTTCAATGACGGCACTTGCTTTTAAACGTAGAAAAATGATGAGGAAGGTCATAATCGAGGAACGCGTGAAGAGATACATGCCCTCCTAATATCTTCCTATCAGCCCTTTCAGATACTAGGCTTTGTATAAAATAGTGTTAGTAGTCAGCCAACGGCTCGCTCCCGGTTCTTGAAACAGGGGGGCGCCGCTCGCTAAGCCAAGACTGAGGGTGACCATGGCACAACAATAAAGTAAACAATCAAAGGCTTTCACGCTGTGTAAGATCCAAGAAATTGTATATATGCTGTTCTCGAGAACCTACTGTTGATGGTTGGATAGAATGGAAGTGAACTACATGATTAGCTTGCATATACTTTTTAGTTCGTCCTTCCCCATTCGGTCGCGGCGCAAACCATCCTCAGCCGCAGCCCAGCCAATCCCGCCTCGCCCGCATCCCGTAATTGTGCAACCCTAACTCTTCTCATCTCACCTCATCTCAGCATCTCCTCATCAAGATCCATCTTATCAACATCAATCCAATCTACAGCTAAGCGCTGCCCAACCTCATTCCCAAGCGACCTGGGCTTATGAGCATGCAAATATGCCACGGCACAGTCTCCTCATCGCGTTCCTCTCTCTCCTGAGTCTCAGCTCAGCCCTACAATTCTGTCGCGTAGAAGGCACGAGAACAGATCTCTGTTTCGCGATAGCATCATCCAAGAACCAGACCACAAAGGAAAAAGATGTATCGCTTCATTTTTCAGCGGGGTTCGACCAGAGGAATGGATGGGTGGCGTTTGGGGTGGGGGAGAAGATGGCGGGTGCGCTGATGTTTGTCATGTATCCGGGGGATCAGGATGGTGGTGAGTTTTCTCAACACTTCCTGGCTGGTCGAAATTGAATATGAAAACTATGAAATTCACGAATCTTACTGACTTTTCTAGACGTCACATTGAGTGTCCGGACAACACCAGGGCATTTCCCCCCAATAGTGACCATGACATCCAAAGTCCCAGTCATCCATGTGACGCGCACGTGGGTCGATCCAGACGGCCTACACAATGCACAGATAATGTGTTACGACTGCGAGAGCTGGACATCAAGTGATTTAGACGTCGATTCTAGCAAGCAGTCGTGGATCTGGTCGTCGAATTTCATGCAGAATACTCGATCCGATGATCCGGAAATGATGCTGAATATGCATACCGATCGAGGTATTTCCCTCACCACAACACCTCACCTTTTCCCACGGCAAAGAGTCTTTCGGGATAAATTTACTGATTAATGTGAGTAGGCGTCACAACACTCAATATGGAATCCAGTTATGAAAAACACCCGGACGAACCAATCACCGCACAAGTCTCCTCCCAACGTATCACCATCAACGAACCCAAGAAGAAAAAAGACAAACACCACAAGCACAAAACCTTCAGCCTAGTATCCATCCACGGCTTCCTCCTCACCGTCAGCTTCATGTCTTTATCCGGTGGTATCCTCGCTATCCGAAGCGGGATGCCGAATTCCTTCAAAATGCATTGGGTTGTGCAGAGTGTGGCGGGAGGTGCGATAGTGTTGGGCTGTTTGATGGGGATTTGGTTGTCGATTTCGGTGAGTTTCGATACTTGTTTGTTTTATATGCTCTATGGAATCTGAACGTAGCTGATATCGGGAATTAAGCATGGTGGACACTTCAGCTCTTTCCACCAAATCATCGGCCTAGCTATTTTCCCCGGCATTATCGTCCAGGGTTTATTGGGATATTGGCATCATATCAACTACGTTAAACTAGGTCGCAGAACGGCCATCTCAAACCATCACGTCTGGGTTGGTCGTGCGGTTTTGGCGATTGGCAATATCAATGTCGGACTGTAAGTTATTTTGTCATCTTATCCAAGATATAATTTCCTACCTACCTCCCACCTCTTCACCTTCCCGTCTTGCCACTATATAAGTTTTGTTTTCACACACTCATATCTACTATTATCAGAGGTCTCAGACTCGGTCACGCAACCAGCACATCCTTCTACCTCTGGTTCGGCGCCCTCTGCCTCCAACTCGGCATCCTACTCCCCATGTGGTATTTCTGGTCCAAGGGCCTCACTATCATGGATGTGCTTAAGCGCGGCGGGCAAGCAAGGAAAGGTAGTGCGGATGTGGTGGCGGGAGAGGAGAGAGGAGTTGGAGGGGAGTATGCGAGTGTGGAGCAGGATCCGTTTATTGTTGATGGGGATGAGGATGAGAGTCCTTTGGAGGATGAGTTTGATGCGGCTGCTAAGGGGAAGAATTTGGAGATGAGGTGATGATGGGAGAATGGGAGAATGGATTATTGGGAAGAGCTGGGAATTTGGATTGGAGATTGAGGTTGATTTGGAAAGAAAGGTTGGGATTTGACGGGTCTAGAACGAGTTGATAATAACTAATGAGTAACGACTAACGAGTCTCCATTTACCTCTTGATACAGCACCGCTTGTAGGTATTTCTCACGGGAGGAGTCTATGGAGTCAAGCTTGACGAAGCCACTAATACCAACCATTGTAGTACTTCGTTCACCAGTGGGGATGGGGACATGCTGAGTTTGATTCAACGGATATTCAGGTAGAATATTGATGAAGGAGAAGTTCAGTAAATGGCCAATCTCTGAAATTCGAAGACACATCCCCTTCGTCAACACTGAAGTATCAGGGGTCCGGAACACGCTTATTTTCCTTTTCACCTGCAATCCTCATATCTAAAACAGTGATGCGTATGATTCTAATTACATTCTAAAATTTTCATCCTTCCATTTCCATCTATAGAAAAAGCCACCAACAATCCTCGTCCACCCGAACTAATTAGCAAGCACCGGCGTCTTCCCAATCCACTCCTCCCCCTTCACCTCATCCATCGCAACACCCACCACCCACTCCGCCACACTCCTCCTCCTCACACTCGGCATCCACCCACCACCCTCCCCCCTCTCCCCAAGAACCTTAACCTCCACTCCCTTCTCCCCACCATCCTCCCCCCCAGCCAGCATACACGGCCTCACCAACGTCCACCTCACCCCATCCTCCCTCCCCGCCCTCCTAACCAGCTCCTCCACCCCGCCATGATCCCCAAACCCCACCCTCATCCCACTCCAATTAACCACCATCCTCATCGGCCACCACAAACTAGGATTCGAATCCCCCACCCCAAACGCACTAACCGTTATCAACCTCCCAATCCCAAAATTCTTCATCTCTTCAAGTAACACGCGGTGTACATCCGTCATGAATGTAGGAGGGCTGACTTGTGCGGAGAAAGGAGAGTCGGACTTGCGGACGGAGGCGAGTGATACGATTACGAGGTTGGGGAGCGTGGGAGAGGAGGTTATAGCGTGCGAGATGGAAAGGGTGGAGGTGGGTGTCCCGGTTATGAGGGTTAGGCCGGGGGTTGGGGGGAGGGAGGAGGGGTTGCGGATCAGGGCTGTGATGGTGTGGTTTGAGGAGAGGGCGGTTTCGATTATGAGTTTGCCGGTTCGACCTGAGCCGCCGAGGATGAGGATGTGCATTTTGAGGTGATGGGTTTCTGGTTTGAGGATCAAAATTGATGTGGAGGAGATGTATGGCAGTCGATTTTATGTAGGATGATCCTTTGTTGATTAATTCCTCGATGCAACTATTGTGTTTTCGATGTACTTGGGTAAAAGTAGTGGTAGTAGAAGATCAAGATTCTGTCGCAGGTGATGAAGATGTTGTTGTGTCTGACCCTTTCTATTTTTCCGTTCTGATGTTTGTGATCTCAACTTCTTCTTTCTTAGGCACCGGACATGAAAGACTTATATATCACATAAATCCCTACTCTATTACAAACCTATCAAACCTAGCCGCCTCTTTTAATCAATCTCATTCGCAGTTTCGTATGTCGATGATTAAGCTGCTCGGTTAGTGAGCATCGCTAGTAAGTCCGGGGGCCCAGCTGTCTTACTCCGGGGGCTCGGGCCCGGAGTTAGATACCGGGGTATAAGCGACATGCCCGGAGAATGTAAAAAGCCCCGGAAGGAAGAATTCAGCCTGCAGAATTGTTATGGAGCACACACCTTTCAACACAAGCCTAAAATTGACCTTAGATACACAGCCCCCGCCGTGCAAAGCCACTCCGGATACCAGAACGAGCTACAAAGTCGCTTACATTTCCGACCAAGTCCATGCACAAGAAGTGATAGAGCACCCCAACAGCTTCACAACTTCACAACTCCTCCTCCTCCTCCTCATCACCACCACTTCTATCCCACCCCCATCCTTTGCCCAAGTCCCAGATTCTTCCAAGCATCGGTCCCTTCTCCAACACCAACACCACCATTCCCACCCCCTCTTACCCCCAAATCCCCACCATCCAACTCCTCAAACCCAATCAAATTCGAACACTCCTTCAACGGACTTCCAGGCGGACTCTGATCACCACCCAGTCCCTCAACACTCTTCCGCCTTATACTCCTTATATGACTCAACTGGTACCCCGCCTCTCCTAAACCATCACTATCTATACCTATAGGACCGAGATTTTCACGCTCTCCACCACCATCATCCCTCGAAATCGTAAAAGCGACATCTCGTTCTTCTGCAGCTGTGTGATTGTCTGTGGAGATGGCTAGGCCAGTTGGGATTTTGTGAGTTTGACTGTATGAGGCGGGTCTCGAGCCTGAGATAGGGTCGAATTTAGCCCATGGGTTTGCACCTTCTTCAGACTCATAATCCACATCTGCGTCGGTCATGATTGTATCTCCGTCCTCATCGTGATCGTCGTTCCACTGACCCACGCCAGCCAGAAACACCTCATTCTTATTCTCCTCTCCAAGTTCCACCTCGAGCTCGAACTCTCCTGGAACAGAAGATAGCTTTCTCCTCTTTTTACTCCCAGTCTGGTCCTCATGATTATCCACATCCTCATTTACATCCACATCCAAATGTGGACTCTCATCCAATCTCTCCTCGTAAGCAGGAACATCTACCTCCCCCGCCGTTCCCCATTCCCTCTCCATCCACTCCTCATCCAACTTCCCCAATCTCCTCTCATTATGGCACTGAGAAGGGAAATCGCAATCAAGCCAGCAGTTTTTACGTTCATTTCCATCGTCCCATCGAGTGTTTCCGGCCGGTTCCCCCTCTCCACTTCGTCCTCTGCTTCGGCCTCTCTCATCAGGATTGTGCATATAGCCACTCTCCCTTGCCCTGTCTCTCAAATCCCCCTTCCTATCCCCAACCTCAACCTCATCCCTAGCACCCCTCCCCCACCTCCCCATCGTCACCTCCTCAGCCCCAACACCCCTCTGAGCATATAACCTCCACACCTCCCTCCTCCTCCTGCACACACCCCACGCCTTCCACCCCTCGTAGTCGAATTCAGCTCTACACCCCCTTTTCTTATTTCTACCCCTCTTCTTTCCCTTCTTGTCTCTTCTCTTGCCTCTCCTCCTCTTCGCTTTCTCCTCGCTGCCTCCCCTTCCGCTTCTTTTCTCACCCCCATTTCCATTTTCACCACCATCCCCATTACCATCCTGTCCTGTAGGGGTCAAAACAGGCGTCCTACCCTCCGCACAGAAAAAATGCCCATCCTCTAAACACCTCCTCGTAACACCAAGTCTGTAGACTGAGCCACAGAGATGGCATTGCCATATCCATGGGAAGGGGAAAGATGGAGGTGGAGGAGGTGGAGGTGGAGGGAGAGGGATGAGAATAGTATTCGTACTAGAGGGAACTAGTGGTTTGGAAGGTATGAGTGCGCGGAGGTGGAGGCGGGGTGGTGGTTTGGGCTCTGGTTTTGTGTATGGTCTCGAGGTGTTGGTGTGGGTTGTGTGAGAGGAGGAACACGAGGGTGCTATGTTTTGGTCGAGAGATGAGGCTGAGTTTGAGTCTGTATCTGAAGGTAGTGCTGCTGAGGGTAGGAGTGGTGAAGTAGGAGACGTAGAGGTAGGACAATCGTGGCTGGTGCTGTTCTGTAGGGGTTTTGGAGGTGATGGAAGACACCAGATTCGACTGACCATATTGTCATCGATATGTTATGCTGCTATTGTGATTATGAGATGCTGGGTGTGATGTGACGGGTAAACACCACTGGGAACTATCAGCTTCTGCTTTGCTTCTACAACCAGCAAATCGAGGTTGCGATCTCAGCTCAAGCAAACTTGCGGACGGTGGGCGGACAAAGGAAACCGAATGCCCTATTTAAGTAGTGTTTGAAATAGCTGGGCCGATGAGATACCTGCGACTGACTGGAGTGGACTGTTTAGCTGTAGCGCATCATACAAACTACAAATACAGAGTGGCTATCTACTAATAACCACCGAAAGGGCGAAGGAGACTGCGGCGGACTTGCATTGGATTCCCCAGAAGAATCTGCACTAGGAGGTTTTGTCTCCAAGCTAGTTGGAATACTCTGTCTTTGTTCCTCGGCAAGACGTTGAGTGAAAGAAAATGGATGGATGGATGAGGGTTGCGTCAGCAATCCGGAGATCAAATTGGGTATGTAGAGGACAAAGGAAATGCGATTCTTATGGTAGGATGATCCGGAGTAGAGGTCCAAAAAAAAATCATGAGCAAAACAAAATAAGCATATACTCAACCTGCGACTCACCACCTGAAAAGAAATTCCCGTGTGATATTGGTACAACTGCCCATACTGCTTAAAGCTATCTCATCTCATCTCATCAAGACTACCAACAAGTCCTCACAGACTCGTATTGTCCTATTGAACATTTCATTAACCCCCATTGATAAGCATTCCATTCCAGCAGCATTTAAGCAAAAAAACATTGAAAAAGAGCCACAAAAGATAAAATATTCCCCATACACCTCCGGTATCTTTCCCAACCCACACACCCAAACAACAAAAAGAGAGTGGAAAAAGGATCCAAAAATCGTCCGTTCGTGCTTTGCCTAGCTTCGGAAACCCGGAAAATCGAATCGAGTCGGATCTATGCCTCGATAGCCTTCTTCTTCTTCTGCTCGACCTTCAACAGGAGCGCGCGGTTGATGTGTGGCAGAACACCTCCGAAGGCGATGGTGGCGCGGATAAGGGTATCGAGTTCCTCGTCACCGCGGATGGCGAGCTGGAGATGGCGGGGAGTAATGCGCTTGACCTTGAGATCCTTGGCGGCGTTCTGGGAACCATACTTCAGTATTTTATTGCGCGACTTGGACTGAGGCAGAAAGAAAATGGAGAAATGGGTAGATGACTCACTCCTGCGAGCTCGAGAACTTCAGCGGTCAGATACTCGAGGACTGCGGTAACGTAGACGGCTGCCTTGGCTCCAACCCGCATTTTGTTCTGGGTGTTGTTCTTTAAGAAACGCTTGACACGACCGCAAGGGAACTGTTAAAAATATCATGTTAGCATTTCTGATATCCTGCGCGCGTAGACTTCAATATCTCGATGTTTGGAGGTATTCGAGGTCTGGTTATGTGGGTGGCTGGGGTCGAGTATTTTATGTCTTGGGTTTGTTGATATGCCAGGCGCGTCGGAGATCGCAGGATGAAAAGTGTTTTTAAGGCAGATTTGAAGCTTCACGGAGCCGATACTTGATACAGCGCCTCGTTTATCCAAGTTTCCTCGTTTCCGTTCGTTTTGTTGTTGTTTATGTGGATGACGCGACACTGCGGGGTGAAGATATCGACGGATCCGCCATCGAACCAGACCTCGAAATTTCTCCAAACAACCTGCGATACCTCTGCAGACATCGAATAGAGCTTTGCGCAATACTAACCTGGAGTCCGGCCTTGCTGGAGTGGCTCTGCTGCTTCTTTCCGCTGTCGTGGCCGCTCTTCCCTCCGGAGCTCTTGCCGCCCGATGATTTTCCCTTTCCTCCGGCCATTGTTGATGCTTGTCAAGAAGTAATAGGTGAATTGTTTTGGTTTCGAGGGGTGAAAGTTGGATGTTTGTTGTTGGATGATGCGGCGACGAGGAGGATGTTTGGTGAGCAAACAGACTTGGTGTAGGCGCGTTGAAGAAGATATGCGCTAGCGCGGAGCCTGAGGATGCACAAGCGAGCCGCCGCTTGGGGGAATTCTAGCTGTGAGGGCGGATAGAGAGTGGTCTACCATCCCCAATTTTGACCCAAGGAATATAGAAAAGATATCGAATGATAGCGTAAGACTGGAGGAATGCGTACATACATCGAGAAAGAGGCAAAGAGATTTGGTGGTGGAGAGATTGAGAGATATGTGAAGGGCTCATCACTGTCTCGAAGGTTTGGGGCGGTGGTGGTACTGGCAACCTCCACCCCAACTCCAAAGAGATGGTGAGTAACTTACCTGTGAGGCATTCTGGAGCCATCCCCATGAAGATTGTGAGCAAGGAGAGTTGTTCGATATTGAAAGCGTGGTTGTTGGTAGAAGTTGTCGTTGTTCATGGCTGCAAGTCCAGGATATTTTGGCGGGTGCTGCCTCAGTCCTCCCACGTCACATGATGCCAAGGCGGATGCTTCTCCTGGGCTGATCCATTCTTCATTATCTTCCTCGTGGTGACCATCATACGGACCTGCGGTGTTGATGTTCGATATGCATTATTGAACACTTTGAATGCAATTCTTCTGTTTGTATGGAAATGGCCTTTCTGATTGGCTTGCTCTGGCATCTGAATTCTCATCTCTAATTCCCCAAACCTCAGCTTAAGTTCAAAGCCAACTAGGCCCGTCACTGCGCAAACGCAAGCACAACTTGTCATGAGGGAGGCCGTCGTTCGATAGCACACCACCCTTGGTGAAGCATTGTGAGTGGTTAAGATGACATGGAAGAAATATGTTCCAAAGAGTGAGTTAGATTGAATCTTGCTCTCGCATCAACAATGCACAAACATTACGCATTCACATATTCAATCGAAGAACCTCAAGCTTCATTCTTCGCCTCGTTTATTTCCTCTCTGATCCTCCTCGGCCATCGCTCGACGCTATCATTTGACTGTCCAGCCGATTGCTATTTGTCAATATAGATATCAGGCTTTCGGCCAGGCTGATTTCCAGGTTCGACACCTTGACAACAAATTCGTTTGCCAACAACCTGACTGTTTTGTCGTCTCCAACCCGCTTCCTTAGGGTGGGGAACGCCACCTTCCGAGCGTTTAAGACGACACAGAAAAGCTGAGTTATCTTCTCCTTGTCGACGAGCCTGAAGTCGAGCTTCATGATCGGTCAATTTAATCTGTTCTGACATCCTTTTCCAGTATCCGGGAGCCGCATCTGGAAGAATGCCATCCGCTGTCAACCCATTCCCAATGCCTGTACCTCCTGTGCCTTCTGGACACTTTTTGATCTTGAACGTCATCGTTGGCGTGCATTGTTGCTATGCCAAGTTCATGCTGGCTCAGAAGTGTCTGGAGGTGCCAGTGCCACTCCTCACAATGCTGCCATATAACCTTCCTCTCTACTTCGGATGGCGAAGGTTACCTCGGGTCCGTATATGTCGACTTTGGCGTCGGCTCACCGTTCTGCCGAGCCTCAGGTGCCAGTTACCACCTCCATCCAACCATAGTCCTTGATGTGTCGACAACCTTTACGATGCGAAAGTCTGTCAGGAGGAACTTGTCGCGTTGGTAGAGGACGGGCTGTTTTTAGAACGGAGCCTTAAGAATTTCTCCCCTCCAAAACCGCATCCGGATAGGCGTTTCCTTTGTTTCTCCACCCACTCTCAACCATCCCGAACCGCCATCGACAAACTACCACAATGCGGAACTCTGCTACTAGATTCCCCGTTTATCTTTATCTTTGTGGTTCCAAGCATGCCGGCAAACCGTCAATGCGACATCGCCTCGTTACCTCGATCATCAAGTACCGCCGCACATATGCCATCCGACAGCAAAATTTCCAGTAGCGATCGAGAGCCCAGCAAGACTTTTCACGAGCCTGACAAGATCATCAGTCTGGTTTCCGGAGCGTGGATACCAGTACCACGAACATATGATCCCGACACATACGATCCTGAAGGACAAATGCCATGGACGCCAGAACCAGAGCCATATGATCCCGAGACATACGCTACTTGGGGCCGGAAACATTTCGGCGACGACTGGTACGAACAGCGAAGGACTATGCTTCAGGAAAGGAATATTTATGGCCCCGATGCGGTCTACAGGCATCGCCAGAGAGATTTGAGGGTGATGGAACACAAGATCGAAGGGCGGCCTTTCCGGCCGCGCGGAGAGAAGCTTGACGAAGGCTGGCAGCGATTGTGGGCTCGACTGTCGAAGGATCTGCCATCGGTCGAGACACCCGGCACTCTTGCATCTTTCCAGCTAATCGACAGTGGCAGCAACGTCAGCAAGTATAGCACACATCCCTCTAACCCCGAGCTTAGTGTGCGTACCGCAGAGTCTGACGATCCAAGGAAACTACTGGAGCTGAACCGGAGACGTTTCCTTTGGGATCAAGAGTCATATCAATTCGAGAGAATTCTCCGAAAAGAAGCCCTTATAGACAAGGCAAGGAAACACCGCGAAGATGAGGAAGGCGACAGACGACGGGAGGAAGAGCTAGAGGAAATACAGAAGATTATATATTTACCAGGGACTTTGGTTAAGTCGGGGGAGTACGATGATCGAATGAGGAAATGGAATCTTCGAGGCAAGGGTTGGACACAGGAACAAATTGAGGCTGCAGATCGAGCTGACATTGCAGCTTGGAAATGGCAAATGGAAAACCCTCAACCAAAGGGACTAAGTATTTTCGGTCCACCGCTCACTCAAGAGGAAAAGAACAAATACAATGCCTGGTGCCAGAAGGAACGCGCTGCCAGGCTTCATATCTACGGAGGGCATCCACCAAGCGAATCCGGTACTACCGATGAGGCCGCATACGATACCTGGCGCCGAAATATCCACACCCGCGTCTCCAGGCAACGTGAAGAGGACCAACGTGAACAGGAACCGCGGGCAGACGCAACAGCCGATGCTTCAGCTCCCGAGAAAGCGACAAAGAACACGTCTCGCAAGACCCGTGGCGGAAGAATAATAATGGACATTGCACAGAGCCAAAGTGTTGCCAACCGAGACACCCGACCCCGACGAATCACACCGAGACTAAACCCAGGCTCAAACGCTGGTCGTCGGCCAAAACGAGCTAGAGCTATCGATGTACTTGTCAAGCCCGAAGAGAGCACAGCACAAATCCCACGGAAAACACGAAAACACCAACCCAAGGCATGCCAGAAGAGAGCTTCCGCTGAAGCCCACGATATCAACAGCCAAGTTCTGCAGTCAAAGCCCCACAACACAAAAAAACGAAAGGTATACAAGCAAGAGCGGAGAAGTCGAAGACTCGCCGGTAAATTACCTGAATATGGCATGCTACCAGAACGAGGTGCAACAGCGCCAACCTACGAACCTCCTTCTAACACATGCTAGCCGAATCCTTCAGGCCCTCGTAGCCGCGCATCGTATAAGAAGTCACTTGTACTGAAGGGCGCGAAGCCTCGAGGAATTTTGAAGTCTGAGCGCGAGGGGACGAATCGTGCAAAAAGGTCCAGGCAGCAATCGTAGGGCTGAGTACATGCAAGTTTGATGGTTTTTTGACACCGTTTTCCGTTTATAGCTTCCTAGGAACACTGCAGCCATTTAGCCGACATCTTGCGTCAGGTTATTGCAAATTGCTTTCGCCGATGAGTGGACTTCGCCACCCAGTGAAGGGCACCTAGCATATGATTTGCGGCTTCAAGTCCGGAGTCTGGACATGGCGCATGGGCTGCGAAGTTTGCCTCTATCGTCCTCAGAAAGCTTTCGCGATGGTCAGAAGCACATCCTGAAGGTTCAAAGGTTTCTGAGGACACTCGTAGACAAGGGCCGAAAGGGATGGCTCTTGGATGGCGAAAAGCCCTTCGATATCTCAAGGTGCGAATCCTTCCAGACTGCTTCACATCAACGTCTTGGTTTCGTCCCAAAAGCGATCTTAGCAAATGAATGGCTTCGCAAGTCCTGTAAAAGGTATCCGTCGAAGCGCTGTCAGGATCAACCTCTGTTTACAGGCTGTCGCTTAAGGGACTTTCCAACGTGCAGCAAGAACAAGGGCAATTCCGACATCAGCTTGCAACAAAAATTGTGCGGCGCTGAAGAATGAATGATTGGGCGTCAGGACATCCATTGTTGGCGTGACACATGCAGTCACATTCACGGGCACCCCCCAGACCTCAAAGAGCCAAGGAAAATGATATCAAGCGCTGTTGCTGAACGCCCGCCCTTGTAGTTCGCCCCAGTGGTCCAGTCGGAGTTGGCCCGTGAAGAAACGAGGGGCCTCGAACGAATACCCCGCTTTCTACGACTCAATGATAAGAACTTCTGTTGGCGGCGAAATAACCAACAAAGTCTGACCCCTGGTGAGGATTTTGCACCTGCCTGCGCCACATGCTCAGCAACAGCACGGAGCGGCCGCATTCCCATCCTCCCCCTGGTCCCTTGATTGAATTGCGGTGATTCTGCCTGTCCAGAAATTGGCCAGTGTAAGCTGCGCCCTTTGCAGCTGAATACCGTACCAGCCCGCAGAACCGTGCTGCGGAGCTCAAAATACAGTATTTTTGCGCCGTCTGGTGTCGTGACGAAGGGTTAGGTCAAACGAACTTTGAGCGGCGGACGGTTGGGGCCGCCCACACTCCACCATTAGAGAGGATGGCTGCCAGCCAAGTCCGTGTAATAGCCTTCCCAATCATTATTGCTCACAGGCATGTAGCATGGGGTGCATGCTGCATTTGGAATCCTCTGATGCATGTCAGGTATAACATGGGCTATTTGAAAATAAAATATTCTCCGCAGGCGTCAATGTCTTGTTCCCCGGCGTCCACTAGTCTCCTGGAAACTGTTTCTAGCGGGGTTGATGGCGCAATCTACGCGCTGCTGGGCTGGTAGCGGCTGAGAAATTCGTGGGGTCGAACCATATTTGTATTAAACTGATATGGGCTTTTGATTCTCAGCCTGATTACCAGCCAGTTTCTGGCACCAATGCTACTCTAATCCAACAAATGGATTGTTGGTGACAACAGCTGCCTCAGCGATACGCGCTGATATGAATGGAAGCGCTTTCTATTGGAGGGAAATAAATCAACAGAAAAGCCGCTCGTCTGCAGTGTAATCGCGATGTGTCTCGACCCGGGCCTGCTCTCACCCTTTGGTTGGCTCCTACTACCTGCCGCTGTACTGGGCGTGTTCGAGGATGTTGAGGTGACACATGGTAGTCTGCTTAGGCCCATGTCGACATTCTCGGAGTATTTAAGAACCACAAAGGTGCCTTTTGTCAACATGACAACATCAATACCACATTACTACAGTATTTATCATCAGCTTATCTTATCAACAAACCCTGATACTATATCCTTCCGTGTCACTTCAGTCACCAGAAACCATGCTCAACCAGATCGAAAATCTCTCTACGAACAATGCTGTGGCTCAACCGCCAGCGCCAGGGCTTGGAAAGTCCTCGAACAATCAGAGCATTTGCTCCAAGTGTGGTGTAGTCTACAAACAGGGTACCTCGCACACCTGCGCCAAGTACGTGCACTTAATGTTCTCCTTATCTGAACGTACATGCTCATGACAATTGTCAAATCTAGGTAGAACATCAAGCGAGGACTGCAACTACTCTTGATGGGCTAGTTGTGTTGGACGGGTTTGGTCTGCTTGGGGATATGCAGAACATTCGTTTGTTGTGGCATTTGATGTTGGAGGCATTGGAATGATTTGGAGCAGCGCATTCAACATGCTACAAATATATATCTTTGGATTGCTAGGCAGCAAACTTGATCTCAACCTTCTTTTTCTGCTAGACACTGGTCATTTCCCCCTTCATTTTGGCTTCCATCTCATTGAGATACTTCTTGGCCTCGTCACCATCAAATCCATAAGCTAATCGCACCATCTCGTACGTAAGTTCTTCCTCCATGCCTTGGAAAACACCGACTTTTTCGAGTAGGGCGTAGATTCTGGATGCAGCCCCGTCTAGCACATCGGCTATCGATTTCTGTAAGGGTCTTCCTTTACTCTCGAGTGCCTGCTCCGCATCTCGAAACTTCTGTTTGTACATTTTCCGTGCTGCAACTTGGCGGGACACGTTGCGGTGTGCTATGTGGTCTGGGTTTTGTAGAATGTAGTCGGTCTTCGCGTCGGCAGCGATGAGCGGAAAGGGCATCGGGTAATGAATGACCTCCCAAGGCGCCGCCTGAGCAAATTCCCAGTCGATTATGGCGAGGAAATTGAAGTCCTGGTCGACGAGAATATTCTGCGTTCCCATGTCCATATGGTCAAGGTGGAATGGCCCGCCACCACTTTTGAAGAGGGTTGTATTGTGCACGATGTCTTTAAACACGAAAGGACCCAGCCTTGTAAATGTGTTGCTGCCATCGTCAGCGACATCACTCCTGCAGGCTTGACGGAATCTGGCATCCGCAACAGCAGCGAAATAGTCCCAGGTTTCCGTAAAGGGGCCTTCATCTGAGAGGCCTTCTGCTACGGCTGTAGAGAGTTTGCCAATGATAGCACCAGTGTCTTTGGAGAAATGGGAGATTGAACCAATTTGTGGAAATGTGAAAGTTGCTAGCTCGGCCTGGACGGAAGTCCACTGGGTGATAATGTGCTCCTGCGTTGAGATCTACCCCAGCAGGATTAGGAAAACTAATGCAGAAGAATTATGAAGAGGGTCGCACCGGAAGCTCGCAAATATTAAATTGCACATCTTGCATAGTGTTGCCGTAAAACCCTTGGATGAGCATGTAGGCAGCGCCAACATTTGCTGCCCTTTGCGACACTGGACCTTCATATGCGTAGAGTTTGGGGAACGGGACACCCGTAACGTTCTCATGAAGGAACTTCATTTGCGCAACCTCACAATCGATCGAATACAACTCAGAATGCTCATTGGCGCTGTCACTGCTATCGGGATGCCTGGGGAGCCGCACGCGTGCAATGATGAGGCGGCCGTCGACCGCCAGCAGCTCGAAGCAGCACCAGAATTGCCCAGCAGAGAAAGCTTCACTGATCGAGACCGGTTGACCGATAATGAGTTGAGTATGCTCCACCAGAGAGGATTTGTTGATAATACTCATGAATCTCTCAAGACGTTCTTTCATGCCGTTATAATCCCAATCATCATAGGATGTCCAGCCTGCGCTAGGGGGGACATTTCTAGGTTTGACAGTCCCCATTATTGAACTATGAGGAGGCATTAGCGAATTCAGTGTGATGGTTCTCGAACAAGAGGGGAAGAGTGACACATTAGAAGGCCACCAGACCTTGAAAGCTCTCTGAACGTATTATAAAACCTTTTGATTTGTTGAATAGGACCAGAAGCAGCGGTCCAGGTGTAGACTGTCAGGATGACCAAAAGAGTTGGTTACGTCGTGGTGGCTTTTATGTAAATATATCTCAGGCACTAAGGCCACATGTCATGGTTCAACAGATCTGACTACACCCAATTGGTAAGTCACATGCTGTCATTGATAAAACGCACAAGGAGTCTTAGGAATTGTGCCATCCACCTTCTCAAACTGTCACCGCCGGCTTTGGGGGAGTTTTGTTATCTGTACACCGTATTAAATATCAACTATACAAACTTAATATCTTCTGCTTTGGTTGAATACACTTGGAAATAGCTATGTATAAATAAATATCACGGGACAAAAATAAGAGCGGAGAAGTAGATACATTTCCCGGCTAGATCCTTCTAATGACATCAAGAACTCTTAGAAGCTTCTATATTTCAAGTTAATCCAATAGTATGTTTACTTCATTAGCTTCTCTAATATGTGCTTATGCTGACGGGGTAAGTAAGGCGGGGTTGCCAAGAGGTTTTCTAGGTTCGTATGTATTCATCGTTATTCCCGCTATGAACAAAGTCCGGACATCAATAAATATGGATTGAATGGTAGCGGACAATTTTGCTACAGCTACGAAGTGTGATGTGCGTGGCAGGTGGGGGGATCGACGTCGCTAATGACCCGCATTTGTTTACATCGTCCTTACCCAAGTTCGCTTCGGGAGATGCCGTACGGAAGAGACTCATACCCATCGAGAAACGTTGAACCCCTTATGGCAGAGCAAACGCGATATACTGCCCAACCGCGTTGTTCAACTGGGTATCCCGAAACACTCCCGTAAACGACCAATACATTCCCCAATTCGTCACATTCGCCCTATCCAGCCTAACCCTCAAGTCCCCCGAATTATCAACATCAAAGCCACTGATTCCCATCAACACTGTAGGCACTGCCTTAACCTTCGTTTTCATCTCAGGGAACAACTCAACCCCTTTCATCCCCCTCTTCCTCGTCGAACTTCCCCTCAACCCACCACCAAGAACGCCGCTCCACACTCTTCCACTCTTCGGCGAATACGCTATCCAAGTGACGCCTACACCATACACCCGGCTCTCGTTCCACGTATTAACATTCAGCATGAACCCGGTAGTCGAAACGTGCGACGCCGTAACATTCACACACCACTTCGTACTACTGCTCATATCCAGCCTGTTCAACCAAACCACCACAACCGGTGGACAAACGTACTCTCTAAAGAACCTAATCCTGCAATACACGGTCCCAGGCAGCGGTTCGGGGTTCATATCAATCTGATGTGTCCCCCAATCCATGCCGAAGACCTGTGACGTCGTGCACGACAGTTTCAAATACGTCGCTCCGATCGAGTACTCGCTTGTGCCAGCCCACGCTGACGCTTTGGCAACCGTGCCTTTGTCTGCGGATGAGGAGGTCGAGAGTTCCAACCGAATGTCAGCGCTCTTCTTCTCCCAGATGTCCCAGAAGCCGAGGACGACAGTATCTGTGTAGTTGCGGGAGTTGGGGATCGATACAGATGGGACCCAGTGTGTAAGACCCAGGGTACCACCGGCGAGTATTTCGTGTTTAGTTGCCGGTTTTTGGCACGATATGTAGTAAGGGGGAGGGAGGCCTCTCGATGGTGATGGGTACTCACGGCTTCGAGGGCGGATGTCTTGTTCGGAATAGTTTGCGTGATGGGCTGTGTTTGAGGAGTTAGTCTTCCGTTGCTTTGATTAGATCTGTATCGGACTTCTCGTTTTGGAGTATGTTCAGAGTGAGCGGCAAACTTACTCCTCAATCCGCTTCCAGGGAGAGGAAGCTTCTTCCTCGCCATCCAGCCCTGTGGCGTCACTTTGGCATAGCTTAACGCCATGATCACTGTATGCGACGATCAATTTCCTGATATCTCGTTGATCAAGCAGCCGCAGAATCAATAACGGCAGTTGAGCAGACCTTCGCCATTCTTAAAGCGACCACATGCAAGCAAACAAACAGTTGAACCATCTAGCCAGTCCTCCAGCCACAGTTTCAAAATCAGAGTCGTTGCCTTCACTCCATGGAGTTTCCTCTCCTCCGGCTACCTCTTCCATCCATTCACATCTCCCATTCCATCACTTCTCGCCTCTCCATCTACCCTCCAACAGTACCAGCAAAATCAATAGCAACAGCAACACCATCCCGTCTCCTTCTCCCCATCCCGTGCCTCTCCTCCTCTTCTCATCCAGCCTCTCACCTGCGTCTCTACTCTACTCATTGGCCTTCCCTCCACACAATCAGTCTGCAAGGGATGAAATTTTGCTGCAGGACTGATTGGTGAGATCAATACATCGACCAATAAGCGATCGAACGGCTATTCTTAGCGACAACCAACATGCAACAAAAAGCATGCTCACCAACTTTGCATTCCACGATCGATTTCCACGGGCCGTTGGTAACTACTGGTGGCTTGGTTGAAGGATCTTGATACGAAGGTTGCACTACAGATGCTTGGGTAGTTGGGAAAATGATTAGTGTAGAGTGGAGAGCCTGGTTGGTTGGTTCGATGCTGTGTGGCTGCAGCCAAAGAAGAATGGTAGGAGAAATGTGGGGTTAAAAGTTGGAAATCGAAAGGTCTTTTAAGCATTCACTTTAGCTTTGTCCAGGTACTAGGTACTGGTGCTTCAGAAGATCCAGAAGGTCTGGGTCATGTGGGCCAAGATGCAGGGAGATGCGCGGACCTGAGAAGCTTTCCACTTAAATTTAGATACATCAAGAACAAGATCGAGGTCCAACTAGTTCAGTCAAGGCAGTAGGCGCAAAACTTTGGTGATGCCCCGTTTGCCCCGTTTTGAGGGGTTGCGGTTCATCCCTTACTTCGTAAGTCTGGCTGCGAAAGCCACTGATCAGGCTTTCAGATAGGTAGACTCGTCCAGTGTTTCAAATGGACCTGCACATAGGCAATCTGTTATTTCTACCAAAGTTCTCATTTCTCTGACTCTTTATCGCTCCCAGTGCAGAGATACACTTTCACGAGAATCATGACCGGGCCTTTGGGTGTTGGGATTTGGTGTGTAAACAATTTCATTTTCAGAGCGCGATAGATACCTTGCAATACAAAAATCAATCCAGATAAGAGAAAAGACAGAACATATCCTATTTACATTTCCCAGAACATCGTCCTCCCAGAAGACTTTCGCTAAACCAGCCCCCTTGCTTACGTGTTATAAACAGCAACATAGTCCACATACATTGGCCTACTATCCACCGTGGAAGCCACTGGCGTCGCACTCCCGTACCTGTTGTTCGGAAAGGCGCCTCCGATCGCCAGATTCAATAAGATGAAATGCCCCTGATGAACAGCCTGGTTCCAAGTTGAGGTCCCAACGGTACTTTCAGATACCGAATGAAACACGATGCCGTCTACGTACCAGCGTAGAACTTCTGGTGTTACGGTCCTGTCAACTTCGATGGTGTAGACGTGGAAATTGCCTTGGCATGGCGTATTGGGACATGCGCGATTGCCTGTGTAACCGCCCATGTCAGTACTCGTCCATGATGGATATCAAAACTTGAAGAAAGTGAACAAGAAAAACATCCACTCACCCGGAAGCCCATCCGTCTCCTTACACGGCCCCCCAGGGTTAACACCACAATGCAAGACCCCCCACACCGAATCAATACCATTGACATTCTCCATGATATCAAACTCTCCCACACTCGGCCAGTTCTGATAATTCCCACGATAACTCGCCCCTAGAGTCCAGAACGCAGGCCAGTACCCAATGGCTTCGGCGCCTTTGACGTCCGGCATGAGAATGCGCGCTTGGATGCGCATCTTGCCGCCTTCTTGGGCCATGAAGTTCGTGCGTTGGGTCTCGATTCGGGCGGAGGTCCATACCCCGGTGCTGCGGTCGCGGAGGGGAGTGATTTGCAGGACGCCGTCGCCGGTTAGCTGATCGGTTGGAGATGTTAGCTTCTGGTTTCTTCAAACTTTCTAAGGGTGAAATAAGTTTCCTGAGGCTGGGGCAGGTTGGAAGGGGGACGATATTGCGAAAGTGAGAGAGTGAAACTGAAATACAGAATATTTTTTTGCAATGACTGATGACTTACACGAAGATTATTCGGACTGCTGGTATATCTTTGAATCTCTCCTGTACCCCAGTTTGCCGGACCACCAGGATACGAAGTACCAGTGTCGATGATCCAGTTGCTCGTTGAAGGGAGGCTGTTGGCACCTCCGATGAAGTCTTCAGCCCAAGTGAGAGTGAAGCCAGAAATCGTTGGTGGTGCGGCGTTGATGGTAGAGAGGAGGGACAGGAGAATGGAAATCTTCTGAGTGGTGAACATTGTGGAGAGGGAGATGGGGCTGAGTTTGATGAAGAAGGAGAAGGAATGAAAGTTGAAGTTGGCTTTGGAGACTTGGAGGTGTTTCGAAAGCCTCCATACTGGAGGGAATTGGGTCTATCTTATAGAATTCATCGCCCAATATTCCCCTCCACCTCAGGACAATGCTAGGTGAAGAATGTAGCACGAAAGCAGATACATGCCCGGCCTTCTGAAGTGAGTTCAGATCCCACAATATTTCTTTTCGGGCCTTCAATTCATCTTCAATAACCCCATGATCGAAAGAAAATTGAAGGAGGTAACCCCCCTTTCCAAAGCTTCCTCTTCTCCACAGGTCTACAAAGGCAAAAGTGAAGCTATCGCGGTCTTACGCCGGCGTTCACTTTGTGCCTTCTGCTTTTGCACTAGGACCTGACTCCCGTTTTGTATATCCTCCGTTCCATGTGCCGGCATTTCTGGGACCTAAAACGATCAAGTGGATTGTGCGGGCCGATTTGATAGGCCCAAAGACCTTTCATTCGAGGAACAATTCGCTATCCCCGATATCCCCTCCTTTCCATTCATTCAGGGCTCCAAGCGCTGCCACTTTCTCGCTTGCGGGTAAATTCACACTGTGGGGGAAAGCCCTGTAATTTGGGGAAACCCTGCAAAATCGTCTGGGCCAGAAGTGCCTGGCGAGATTCTAGATCGCTGAACGACAAGCGAGTCATTCTTAGCGGGAGCCAGAGTATGTTTAGTATTATTCGAGGTGGGTTTCGGCTGCTAGCAATAGGTTATGGTGTAAGCTATGGAAACAACGCTGAGTCGTTTGTTGTAGCTGGCACGGGTACAATGAGAAGCTTGGAGTGCCATGACTCGTCTTTCTTGGGTGGTCCAGAGGAATGCTCTGGCGCCAGACCCAGACGCTGCAAAGCACAAATCTCAAGAGCAAAACCACTACGTCTGAAATCATAACTTTCGTCTATTGTAAAGCCTTATGGCTGAGAGCAATTCAACCATAGGTATGTGTCTCTCGAGGCTGGGCATTCATCAAAACTCCATAATGAAACTACCCCACCATTTTCCAGAATGAGAATATGGCCGCTAGTCTCTGTCGTAGACCCGGTAAATCTATGTGGTCTGAAAATAAAAAAGTTGAGTTCCATGAAGATGAAAAAGGGCCGATGGAGATCAGAGCGAGATTTGGAAGGACCTCTCTAGCCGAACGTTGAGATATGACCATCTTCGAAAGGAGGTTGACATCTCGGCTTCACCATGCCGGGGTGCCAACTCCAGTTGACGAGACAAAGCAAGTGAGCTTTGATACCTTTGTGATCAAACCCATGATTGGTTCATTGACCAATCTCCCCAGCCGAAGTCGAAATTCTGGAAGTCGAACTCATCCACTGACATCTATCGCAAGTCAGCATACATCCTCTGCCACTGCAATAGTTAACGTGCCGTATTGAAGTCGTTCGTGGCAGTCACTGCTCTGTTTTGAAGAACTACAGAGTTCCATTTATCTCCTGATGCTTTTGGCGTTGTGGTTTGCTTGATCAACGTCAGTAATCTCCACGCCACACACATCTTCCGGCTTCACTGACCTTTTCTGATCCCATCTGTTGAGTTTGCACACCAGGGAGAGCTCTTCTACATGCCGTAAGTACTCTCTCTGCGCCTCTTTGCATCACCTCTCTCATTTCCTCGATCGTGCCCTCAGCGCGAACACTCTGTAAGACAACACTCAGGGGAAGAATGTCTTTAAGATCGCTTCCAAAGTCCCCGAGCCTAGCTAGCAAACTGTGCAAAGTGTTCTCAACCGCGCGTGTTAGGCTATGTTTGGTCTGTGGAAATGACTCTTCGGGGTATGCGACATCGTTGGACGTTGGTGTGGGGGCTTGGTCAAACGACCGGATTTCGTGGCAGACAAGCAGCGCAGCTTGAATGATATCATTCTTGTACAGGATGTGGAACAGGTTGAGATAGTCTCTGGATTTGACGATACTAAGGTCTGCGATGGCAGGGTCCAGAGCATCGAGATGCGACAAAATTGCCAGTGAGCACCGCAGAGCTCCTTTTCGAGCCTCAGGAAATCGATGGACTTGTGGACTGAATACAATTGTTCGATATAAAGCCACCAAGGGACGACGGATCGACATGTCCAGCATTATGCTGATGAATAATCTATCGATTCGCTTGTTGTTGATGTTTGCACCACCCACATTCAAACCGCGGAATTGTGGAGGGAGAGAGCGAAGTGTCTTCTCTAACAGGTGGGCATGAGCGACAAGAGCCGGTGCATCCTGCTCCACATTCAGGTTGCCCCCGAGCCAGCTGGTGATATTTAGTCTGTCCTTCAATGATGCCGATAAAGCGATTTGTGGCAAAGCAGTCGTCCATGTCGTTTCTGATTTCCCCACTGGATAGTCAGTCATTGCTATTGTAAGTTCGCTGTCGTCGACGTTGACCAAGCCTCTGATGTTCCAGTTGGAAGACCTGACAGCTGCTGGCATGCCGGCAGCAAGAGAGAACTGCATATCAAGCTCCACAAGCGATGTCCACAGCTTCCTGCGCATCTCTTTATCCAGTTTTGACATCTCGGAGTATGTTTCAGGATCCTGGTGAAGTCCCATACTCATAGCCCGTCGAACAAGTGCCGCAGAATCCATCCAAAGATCATGGGTACTACAAAGATTTGCTTGCTGGGCCAGTAGAAGTAAAGTTCGAGTTTGAAGCGTATGAATGCAGGTGTTTGGCTTTCCGCGTAATCCATCCAACCATGTTCTAGCCATTTCGATGTTACGCACGATTTGCTCCTCGGTGAGCCGTCCTGTTGTAGACTGCTTGACTGCTGGATCATCTAATCGGCTGACAAGTGTTGTAGCCACCATAATCTGTGGCAGGACCCAGTCCCCTAGGTGTGAAGGGATACTTGGAGCGCCGGAAGCCTGGGCAGCGGCAACATCCTCGCACTCCTTTGAGAATGTTGGGATATGTAAGACACGCTGAACGGTTTCCCAGTTGAGAAATAGTTTGTTTTGAAGGAAGCCATAGAGCCACCCTTCAGGAACAGCCCTGAACATCTCAGTAATCAAGTGCTCTCTCTCAAAAGTCGTGAGAACAATCTTCGGCTGCTTGGGAAGTAGAGCTTTCTGGTATCCAGAAAGTTCTCGCATGATGTCTACCATGTCTGGATCTTTGAACCCATTGGTAATGAAGTTCTTAGGGTCTTCAAACTGATATAAAGTTAGCCATGAATGCTAAAAAAAATGAGAAACACTTACACGATCCATAATTCTCATCTTGTCTCCCGGGGACACATAACGTGACCTCTGACCTTTGATATCGAGTCTTCCTAACGTTGAAGAAGAGGCATACGAGTTCGCTATGGCTGAAGGCTGGGATTTCCCATCCGGATATCTGGTCGAGCTCGTGATATTAGGTGACTGCGGTCCGTGACCAGGTCCGCCCATCGCCTCGCCAATTCTCACCATCTTCTCCACCACACTCAGATTACCCCCAGTATCAAATCCTGAAGTCGTGTCTCCTCCTTTAGCTTTCTTCGCGGCAGGAACATCCTCTTCTTTGTCCCATGGTTCCCATCCATCCCGATATGAGCAATCGCTCCCACTCTTCCCTCCCTTCTTGCAACTCGCGCACGGAAACTCACGATCACATCTCAGTTTCTTGCTTCGACATCTCTCACAAGACTTGGTCGGTCTTGTTCGGGTCCGTTTAGATTGCCCCGCCGCACTCCCAGAAGCACTGCCATCCTTCCCGCGATCTGGGCTGGGGAGGCCATCACAACTAGGTGTATTCGGCGAATAGTTCGGTGGCTGAGAAGTCGGGTTGTAAGTATTGAAAGGTGGGTATGCATTTGGTGTGTGTCCAGTGTTATTGTTTGAACTTCCCGGCGTAGATGACTGAGCCGGAGATGGCTGCATCTGATACTCAGGCCGGAATTGAGATCGAAATTCAGCATGGGCAGAGCCATGGGTTGCTGCCGGTTGACTCGTAGACTGGCGATTGGATGCCATAGTCTGAGCGTAGAGTTCAGTGAGTATTTGGCCTACCTCGGTGTCTGGCATTTCTCGTAGCAGTCTAATTCTCGGCTTTGATGAAGAGATTCGGACCCAGCGGAGTCGTGGGCGTTTCCTTAAAGCGCCTGGTTTGAGGTCCGGAGAAGGCTTAGAAGCTATTGATGGATATTCAGGTCAAAATGAAGACTATTTTGTGTCGTAATGAGAACTGAGTTGGGAGACTCGATGCTCGGGGTGAGAAGTGAGATATTGATGCCCCGAAGCTTTCGGGTCTTCGGATGTCCGACGCGCGGACTGCCCACTCCGTGTTCACTTTTGGGTTACGTAAATTATGACACGTGATTTAACAGAAGATAATAACACATTAAGTAACTCTGTACGAGATCTTCCGGTTGGGCCTTAAATCACTTGTTTGGAAATGCAACTACTTCGAATATATCCTTATTTGCAATACTCACCATCGTTGTGTTGTGATTGATCGTTGAGGATGCATTTGTGAATACCGTTCTTGGCCGAGCTGAGCTGACGATGGGATGCAGGCAGATAAAAGTCTAATTTGTAAGGACGAGGGTAGCGATACTCTTCAGAATGTAAATTTCCATAAATGCATTGACATACATGTTGCTTATGATTGTCAAGAGCGGCCAGGCCATTTAGGTTCTGTGGGCTTGCGACTGATATAATAATAAGCGAGTTGAGCGTGCAAGCTGTGTTTACTCGACTCAGACCCCAGATTTCCTTGGTGATCCTCGGAACGCATAAAGAGAAGTTTAGCCCTGCTATCCAGCACTGATACTCTGATAAATTTGCTATCTTGGGAACAAAAACATCAGACTAGATTCTCAAGTTGTGCCACGTTTCGTCTCCAACCAGCACCCGAAAGTGGGCATTCTATCATGGATGCAGAAATAGCGACATCTGGATCCACGATTCGCTCATCACAACAAGACATTGAGAATTGCAATGGTAATTTATCAACCCATTGAACCGTTATATGGTAAAAGTGGGATTATCAAGGGTATAAGAACGGTTCTTGATGCCAAAGTCAGATTTATATGCCGCTGTGTTTTCCCCTAGTTTGATTGTCGTTTAGAAGATAAGCCATTAAAATAAACAAACTACTGATTCTGTGGAACCAACTCAATATTGTCCTCATAATGTGCGATATCAAAGTCCGACAAGTCGCAGTGATAGGCGCAGGACCTTCCGGAATTTCAGCTGTCCATGCGCTTGTACGAGAAAAGAGATTCGAGACAATTCGCGTCTTCGACAGACGAGATCGAATAGGAGGCACTTGGTGAGGACAGTCAAACTTCACGTCACTGACAAAAGCATTGCATAACTGACACGACCTTGGGTTTACGATGCTGAACCAGACGTGTTCCCAACAGCCTCACAAAATAATCCCCCTGGTCGTCAAATCCCATCAATAATTCCTGGTTTTGTACCACCATCGAAAGAAGACACTACGCGACGAACGGGAGTCTACAGTACACTTGACAGTAGTGTTGGCTCAGCAGTAATGGAATTCACGCATACTCCTTTCCCCAAGATATACTCTGCTGCATCTACAGAACGGTACGGCCACGGTAATCCAACACGTCCATATGCAGTGGTGGCCGGGTATCTCGAAGATCTCATTGCGTAAAGTCCATCTAGGTCGTAGCTGTCAATCCAAGTCTACAGTCACCAACCCCTGGCCGCTAAATGGTAGGTCTTATGAAAAGCATGCAAGGTTTCTATCAGCTTCGGATCTGGATCTCCAACCCATTTGATTATCTCAGCTTCTTTCAAACAGACAATTTTATTTGTATGTTATTGGTCTCACAATCTCCTCACTGGCATTCGTGATTTGAGAGCGGTATCTGAAATTGGAGGTACTCACCATATTCCTTGTGTATCGTCGCGTACGAAGCAGTGATGCAATGCTCCGAGATAAAGATCGTTCTAGATTTTAGTGTATGCAATGCCTGAACCTGGTTGAAGAAGACCAGATACTTCATCAAAGGTGAGTAGTAGCTCGGCCGGAGCGACAAGATGACTGATACTTTCGAACAGCAGAAAGATCACGTCAATTGCACCCTCACGTGCTTGAAAAATTTCAGACTCCAAAAGGTTCGCCGCTTCTCCCAGTCCCCGTTGGAGACGTCAAACTTGAGTATTTGAAACCTAATGAAGGTGCTTAAATAGGAAACTATATCAACCTGTGAGGCCATTTCAAAGTATCCTGATCGATGGTAATTGACTTTGGGCTATGTTTGAGTTCTCAATCAACAATGGAACAGTGGCGGCCAGTGTATTACAAAAAGTGTTGAGATGTCAGGCAAATTCTGTGAAGCAATGTGCAATGTACCGGAGTAGTACAAGAGTCACAGCATCACCATCGTTTCAGGGTACTCTTTCTTGAGCAGGAAGTGCAAACTTACAGGGACTTGCCTAAACAGAATTATCAAATACAGACGCACATCGGAAAGGTTGTGAATAGTATAGCATATGGCAATTATCGCCGTTTTACATGAGGAAATACACAGAATACGTGGTCATTGGTTCTTATAGTGTTTGGTTAATTCTTAGTCGAGAGGCAATTAAATTTGTCCACACCATGCTCAAAACCATCTGGCTGCATGTGCTTTCACTGCCTTGACACAAGCAGAACTAAACTTGAATCATAAATCTCATTCTCAAACTGTCCTGTTTCTTCGTCAAGTGCTTAGAACGGAATTTCTCGCTAGCGTGCTCAGTCGATGAGTCTTCAAGTGTCACGAGCCGAGTAACGCAGACCGTTAAAAGACATCGTGTACACCAGGATTGCAGACTGCCATTCTGTTGTCAGAATTCTCATACGAGAAGAACGGCATTTGTTACGAACAGTATCACAAAGATAGCGGTGAGGGCATGGCGGCATGGCCATTCGAAAATTTGGAAATGCGGTCTGGAGGAGTTGCGTTCTGATTGCCCTAACTGCGAGATATACTCATAAATCCTCGCTTCCTCGGCGTCTCAAGTACCAAGCTACTCTAACAACTTGAAACTCACCGGAGGTTATTGGACAGGGGACGTGACTTATCATATTTCCGTCAATCATTCCCCAAGATGCGCATCTGTCTCTTACAATCGTCCTATGATGACTGGCCGGAGGCCCCGTATGCTCAGGTAGACCACGTCACCAACAAAACAAATATCAATTGATCTGAAACTTTGCAGTACGATCCATTGGCCAGCCCAAGCCACTACATCTCCCTCGACGCACATGTCTTTGAGAATAGATTCATCTGCAAAGCCACAGCAAAGCAAGACATCAAGAGAGTTGTCGAGGAAAAGTTCGATGTGTACTGCAACTTCATGGTATGATATACTGTTGTCAACTGATCATTTGAATATTGCTAATCTCTCATTCCAGTGGGGTGGCGCAACCGGTCCAGTCGCAGGTGACGAAGAGTATGAACTTCTCGCTAAGACCGGCGTATTCATCATGATTCGATACCCACCCCTCTCCCTGCTCGACAAACTTCAATTCAACGACCTCTGCTCCAAAGACTCAAACCTACACCTTCCTAGCAACACGCCTGGGAAGTTTCCGAAAATATGCAAATACACGGACTCCTGCAGCTCCCACAATCTCCACGATTTGTGCCACAACGACAAAGAAGTGGAAGACAAAATCGTTTGGATGAAGAGTCTTGAGCCAACACGAGACGTCTTCACTCAGGACTACATATTTGGCGATGAGTGCTCAGCAATGGTCATCGAGCTCGGTAATGGAAACGTCATTGCGTTGACGCCACTCGAATACCTCTTCCCAAACACCAAAGACACCGAAGCCTTCCTCTCTTTCGAGAAAAAATTCGACGGTGTCGAGCAAGGAAAGGTCCTTTACGGCTTCGTGACCGACGAGCCTCGGCGCTCTAAAGTGCAAGCTGCTGCCATTGCAACTTTCAACGCCTGTCGAGACGGTCAGCCAGGGTGCTGGGCTAGTGTCGATATTCGATATGAGCGCAGCAGCGGGAAACCATACGTGATTGAAATCGGCAATTTGCCAGTCGTATTCTACCCTCCCCGGAATACCCTTGGCGACGATCTTGTCGTCGAGAAGACCTTTCCAGGAGGTCAGCCTGCACTTTTCGATCTCATGCTCCTCTCACGACACCAACAACTAGGCAAGGACTCGCCGCTGACAGAGCTGCATGGGACTGTTGAGGCGACAATTGATGCTTATGACAACTTCACCCGGAATACTGGCGTCACATATAATTCCATTCTAGACTGTCCGTATTACGCTCATCTCCGCGATATCTTCCTGCAAAAGTTTTCCTTTGAAGGACGAGAAGTCCTCGACTTAGGATGTGGAACCGGATGGTTCGGCCGAGCACTTTACGGGAGAGGTCAATCACCAGCTTCACTGACAGGTGTTGACATCTCAAAAGGGGGACTTAAATTTCGACAGCGTCGTCTGCTTCGAAACTTTCCAATTCCTGCACCCAGTGGAATTCAATGCCACCGTCGCGCGAATGTTCCAAATTGCATGCAAATCCGTCTCCTTCACAATCGCAGACCTTTCTGAGACGACGATCGAGAAACACCAGAGAGAGGTTGGCTTTAGACAGTTCAACTTGATGGAAACTGTCAGAAGATTCGGAACGCCGCCGGGCTGGAAACTGTTGATGAATGAGAAGCAGGTGTCGTATATATCGCCGACGACAGGAGAGGAGAATTCGGATCTGTGGTTGCATTTCGAGAGAGACGAGGAATGGGTTCCAACTGTTCCTAAGATTGATTTCGAGACCCATCTGTTTGTGGAATAATAAAACCTACTGGTAGAGGTGGTGACCCGAAAGTCAGTTGCGTCAAAGAATGAATATTGCTAAGTTATTTTCGCCTTCACTACGTGGGCTTTAATCCCTCAACTCTCAAATTCTGAGTGCATCAGTATACTCGACTTCAAGCTCCATGATACTGGATACACCTTCATCCCAATGTTGACATTTCAGTTCCCCCCACTACCTACCATCCCTCGCTTAACCCATGTCCACAAAAACATCCGCCAAGCACCTCCCCAGGTGTTTCGCCCCCAACACTCCTTTCAGCTCCAGCTCCAGCCCCATGTCAATACACCCACATCATCTAAACATCCATCCAATTATACAACGCTTCAATAACGAGCAAACACTCCTCATTGGCTATGCATTGTATTTCTGTCTGCTTACTGCGTTACACGCATAATGTCCTGAACTGCACCCCTGAATCTCATCGCCTCATGAAGCACACCGAGTATCAGTATCCACCACTCTCCAAGAGGGGTATATACCTCGTCGTACCCACTCATATTACCTCATCCATAATATCGACCCCAATTTCAAGCTCAATCACAAAACATATAATCCCATAATCCCACAACTCAACCCTCACATTCCCAAACTCATTCTTGCTCAAAACTCATATTTTATTCCACCCCCCAGGGAACCACACCCGTATTCAAATCCAAAAACACCGCACTCAACACTCCCACCCATCAACCACCATGCCCAAGCCACGACCCTCTCCCTCCTCAACCCACCGCCCCTCCTTCCTCTCCCGCCACAGCTCCCTCTCCTACTCCCCGGATAGCTGCGAAGTCACACCTCTAATACGAGGCAGCAGTCTCAGTGAAGACGAAGCACGACGCGCCTACCGCCGTGGGAAATTCGTCGGTCTGTTTCTCGCGTTGGGTTTTTTGATTGTTATGGGTGTGTTACTGGTTGTTTTTGATGTTTTTGTGCTCAAAGTCGGAAGGGGTGGTGATGGTGACGAACGCGGAGATGGAATGAGCGTTACGCTTCAAAATTCTGGGAAGAGTATGGCCGGTGAGTCCTGCATTGCTGTCGTCCTTCTGAATTTTAGCTTTTGGTTGCATGCTGTTCTAGTCATCTTTCTCACCCGTTTGCTCTACCACTTTGTTGATTTTCAATGAGACATGCAGTGCAGCTTAGCGAACGAAGTAAAAATTACAGTCGTTCAATCGTCTTGGAGCTTTGTCACGCCGACTTCATGTTCACTGTATTTCCCTGTGTCGTCGAAAAACAGAAGGAGAGCCAAGGACGAAGCAGAATGACATGTTTATCTTCCTTTTCTTGTCATGCCGTCTGAGACCAAGCGGGTCAGCTGCGTCAGTAGTTTCGACAACATCTGTGAAAAGGAAGAGTTTATAATGGTTCAACCAAGGAACAGAATTCAGGGCAGACAACTGGCTGACGCTCCTCACTTAAATAGCACCGGCAATGGGTTCAAGCTTCACTGCTTCTGGCAGTGTTTCTTACTTCATTTCTAGGATCAACAAGTCCGTCGGTCGCCTAACAGAGCGATAGCCAGAATAGAAAGCTGGTAGTCTGGTCATCGAGTGCCTGCTCGACCCCAGCTTTCTACCTAGTCTCAGTGGGTGATTACTTCAGGTCAATCATGGAAGAACCGGATTATGATACGATTGGTGAAAGGGGAGGAGTATGGATAGTCCAAATCGAAGGCGTGTGCTGTGGATAGATGCATCTTCTGCGTCCTAGAAGCGGATGATGGAGCAAGCATGGTGTAATAAATGTGAAAAGAGAAATTCCTCTGAGTAAAGGGTCGGATTTTGGTCCCGAAAACTGGGAGATATTAGTCCTCACTTCAGGTGCGTGGTATTACAGACGATTTCATTCTTAGGAGGTCAAAACAAGCGTATTATTCATCACGCTAAGGATCGACGACAAGGCGGAGGCCGGCGCTATCACAACTCACGCCCAACCTCCGAAGCTGGATGCTGAAACATCTGGCACAGAATAGAAGCTAGACATATATACAACTGAACTCAACATCATATTTTGCGTTATTCACCACTTTCTATAGCACAACAGTTCTTTTCTTGCAAAGAGAGCCAGCACCAGGCTTGTTCATCAAGTCCTTCAATGATTGGCACAAAAGTAAAGTGCTGCTCAAAGTCCTCCAAAACAATGTCTCCTTTTCCTAACATGTCAAATAGCGATTTTCTATCGATGCCTAAAAGAACCTTACATGATGCAAAGTACGAGTTCTGAAGTATGCCCAGCTCCCAATTATACCTGCAATTGCGACGCTGAGGCACAGAACGATAAACTTTGCAACATTTGCCGACAAATTGATTTCACGAAGATACTGTGTCACGAAAACCTCCCAAATCTGCAGAGAGCAAAAACTATTTCTTCACTACGACACATTGCAGGGTCAACTTGCCCCCTGTGCACTTTTCTCAGAAATTGTAGTACTGAAAGCGACCTGGCGGATGGCGACACGTTCAGCAAATACTGGTTGAAAGTGGGCCGTCTGGCTCCAATATTTGGTACAAAAGGGATCGCGGACGGACCAATTTTGCAAATGTATGTCCAAGATCGTTACAGCCAATCCGGGCTGCATGACGATTGCCGCCTCATTCTCCCCATTCATAACGACCCGGGTGTATCAGGCAGGCATATGAGGAGAGACAAGATCGATGTCAGCTTGATTCGGCAGTGGTTGGATACATGCGACGAGCTTCATGCTCCATGTAAAAACCAAGTCGACGATCTGGTTCCCGAGATGAAAGTTATAGACTGTCTCTCAAGAACTATCGTTCCTTACACTTCGCCGGAGGATGGCTATATTGCTCTCAGTTACGTTTGGGGCTCCGAGCCTCCGACACTCAATTTTCAAGGAAATGTACTTGATTCCCTTCCAAAAGTTGTCGAGGACGCAGTGGCACTTGTTCAACAAATAGGAGTGAGATACCTGTGGGTTGACCGGTACTGCATTCCCCAGCATGATGCTAGCGTAAAAGCTCTCCAAATCCAAAATATGGGTAGAATATACGGAGGCTCAACATTGACGATTATTGCAGCTGCCGGCGAAAGCCCCCATTACGGCCTCCCTGGCGTGAGCTCAACTTTGAAAACTCCTCAACCTGAAATCCGTGTAGACAATTATTGCTTGGCTGGGTTCTTACCACCCAGAAAAGAGGTCAAAAAGTCTATGTGGAACTCCAGAGGATGGACCTACCAAGAAGGAATTCTGTCAAAGCGTCGACTGGTGTTCACTGAAAGCCAGGTTTTGTTTCAATGCTTAGGGTCGCATTGTAGTGACAGCATATCCGTTCCTTTTCGTGCACTACATTCTAAAAGGAGTGTATTCTTTGAAAGTGTGGATTTCGGATATTTCTTTCCATCTGCGATCCAATTGAAAAACACCAGTTCGGTACTGTCTCAGATTGAACGATATCGCTACCGCAACCTTTCTGTTGATGCGGACGCTCTTGATGCAATCGCCGGGGTGTTCAAGATGTATGGAAGTACTAAACAACCAGTCAGATTTCTTTGCGGCCTTCATATTTTTTCGAAGGAGCTCCTGCGTACCGAGTCGAACACAGATATCCTAGTAAAGGCACTCTCTTGGCTAGCATGCGAATCATTGGTAAGACGACCACACTTCCCAAGCTGGTCATGGGTTGGTTGGAAGAATTTCACGAGCGCAGCATCAACAGCACGACTGAGGTTGGCTGCATACCCTTACACTTTCCAGTTTAAATTGTCGGAGACGCACCATGATCCGAGAAAGTTTGCTCACATTGAGGTAAAGGCCGAGTTAGAAAATGGGCAAATCCTGAAATGGGAATCTTCCCACCATCAGATATTGGATATATGCACCATGGGTAAATACCCAACTCATCTAAGGATTTCGGGCTGGGGATTCCGCGGGCAGATTATTCGGGACAGAACCAGTGGCTGGCGTTTTGCTTCCCCAACAGCTTACATCAACACCAGATATTCTGTTCATCTGCCTGACTTAGGATTCTGTGAGGAGGACTCAGCCACTCTTGACATCATTGCAATTCTTGTAGCAACTTCACGGCGCTCATTTATCGACTGTCTTATCTTCAGGATCCTCGAGGGTGCAAATGTACTTGAACGAATCCGCTATGACCGACGTTCTCTCACAGATGACGATACCTGCGAGTTTCTCGTTCACCCAGATGAGAAGAGGGCCTCTTTTGGGAATCTCCAGCTGGAATGGACCGAGATTCGCGTAGCTTGACCGAGTCCGTGCCATCTCGAGATTTTTAACGAAACATTGCATACACGCGCCGACAAGAGCCGAAATCAACTCCAGCCCTGTGATTCGAGCTACCTTGGGCATGCGTCGATGGCGTTCACGTGTAAACACTATTCTCGAACCGTTGAATTATGACACAGCGCACGAGTTCATTGTTCCTAGCGTAGAGCATAAAGGTATCTCACAGGATAATATAGCTTAGCATCTCGTCAGACAAACAAAACATGACGAGATTGGGAGTAGCGAACTTGGTAGCTGATAACTCGACTGGTGTCTAGTACAGTGGATTTAAAATCTGGAAGCCGTATCCTGACATCGAAGCACTGTTAATCTTAGTTTAATTTGTCTTCGGAGAGGTCTCGATACAATAAGACAGATGTTTAAAAAATGTTTCAGTAGCAAGGAACATAGCTATACAGTAGGTGTTTCCCTCACACCATATTTACACGCCAAACGCCTTCATCCAAGTCCGAAGTCCCAAAAGTCGCTAGGCAAAAGAAAAGCAAAACGCCACACGCTACACGCCATACTCGCTAGGTACCCATTGTTCATTCTCATTCTCATTCTCATTTATCACTCGTAATCTCATGATATCATATCCCATCCCATCAGCCACTATCTATTCAAGGCGGCTTTCAGACTTCACATAACAACACACTTCTCCTCCCTCTCCCTCCCTCCTCCTCCCTCCCCACCAATCACGCCCCCGACCCCACCACCAGCACCCCTCCCACCCCGTCCAGGAATCTGATCCACCAGCGTCGGCCTCCTCATCCCTCTCCCTCCTCCCGCACCCCCACCAGGACTCTGTCCCTGCCCCACCGCATTCGCCGAATAAGCACTCATCCTCCTTCCCCCAGGCCCATGCCCAGGATTCGGATTCGCACTCGGATGCGCTGGGTGTTCCGGCGGAGGATTATACGCTGATTGCGTAGCAGCCTGTTCGTAACTCGGCGGCGGGGCATCAATGCCCGCTTCGGGATCGACGGGTCGGCCACCAGTGTTGTTGCGACGTGGTGGAATAGTTGGACGGTTCTCTGCTGCTGGACCACCACCACCAACACCACTGCCTCTGCCGCGACCTCGAACAGAGCCGTTGCCACCACCTCGCTGGGTGACGGGGATGGAATTGTTGTTGGATGGTTGTTGGCCACGACCTTGTTGCTCGATGTATTGCTGCGAGAGTTCTGTTTCGCGGCGGCGGCGGGCGATTTCGATGCGTTCGCGTTCTTCCTCTTCTTCTTGAAGTTGCATGGCGAGGGCGAAATCGTGGTCTTCTTGTTCGGTGTTGGGTGTTTGAGGTGGCGGAGCGGATTGGTGGGACGATGTACTTAGGTTTTGGCGATGGCCAGTTTGGGTGCTCTCGCGACGGCCGCCCGTTACTGGTGTCCAGCTATCTCTTGGGACGGATGTTGATGGTGTGGGTGGTGCGCCGCCGACGAGTCTGAAGTCTCCGGAGAAGAACTCGGCGTTTTCGCCGTTGACGTCGATTAGTGATTCCCAGACGACTTCTTCGTGTCCGGCATAGCCCATGTCCGTGACTAGCTGCAGGAGTTGAAGAGTATCTGGATGGCGATAGAGTGTTGAGAAGTGGTCGTTTCGGAAGAGTATGGCCACTCCTCCTGGGGCGATAGATGTTGTGATGGTAGCTAAACCATTGGTAGTGAGTTGCGTAGCATTACTGGAAAAGAACGCTTTGATGGTGGCTATATCTTCCAGTCTTCCTTGCTCCTCGAAACTCAGTCCTTCTCTACTCAATTTGCTCTCGAGATCGGCTTCCTCAAACATCAAATTCTGAGCATCTTCATAAGAATTAGCCGACCGCTTGAGTGCTGCATAAGCCGGAGAATCTGGTTCGGCGAGCCATCCATGGATGAGTGGGACCGAGAACGTGCTGTACAACTTCATCTCTCTAGTCTCCTCGAAAGTACCTGGTAGTCCTTGTTCGCGCTCGCTAGGATGAACATGTGACATGGAATTACGGGGGTCATTTGATGCCTTGGATGGTGGATTTGGGAAGAATCGAGGATTCACATTCATGCCGGTATGCAGAGTGAGGAGGAACTTGTAAAGGTCGCTGACGTCCGGTAATTCTTGAGCAGCATCACCTCGTCGACCTGACATCAATTCATCGAACACAGCATCCAGTAGTAACCCTAAACTAACTTGTTCTCTTGACCGTAATGTCTCAACCAGGGCTGTTTCGACTTCGGCTGGCGTAGATAGCGTCAATGCATTGACTAAAGCGAGTAGTGGACATGGACCATTGGCATTCTGTACCAGGATTGGTGATACTCGAGGATTCTGTGCTGCATTTACATCATGCCAACTGATTTTCTTAATCTCGTAAGTTTCTCCTTTCTGTCTCCGGGCAGTCGGACTAGTCAAAGATGAAGTGCTCCCTCCAGTCGTGTTGGTATCTATTACAGGTCTAGGAGGTTGAGGCGGAGGTTGTTCCTGTGACCTTCTAGGTGGTAGTGCTGGTGCTTGTTCCTCAACATGACTATCCACAATATGTCCATCACCCCCAATAATCCCGCTCTCTTGTGCTCCGACTGGAATCTGCTCAGGAAATGGCCGAGGGATGGGCTCGTAACCTGGATCCGGACTGGATACATGATCAACAAGGTTCCATCCTTCACCTTGTTGATTTGATTCTGCTGGTACCAAAGTGTTAGACACGGGATGTTGCCCTAATGGATTACTTTGCTCATCCCAAGCATGTCGATCTTCACTCATTTGTTGAAGTGCCTTTGAATTGTCCGCTGGCATCTCGTGTAGTACGGGTGAGGGTTCATCCTCATCCCAGGCAGGCGATTCCGGCTCGTCTATATCAACTAGCACTGGTTGTGAAGTATCGACTGGAGGAACAGGAGGAGCTGCTCGAGCATTGTTTCCAGAATCTTCTCGTTGTATAAAGGGTAGAGGTTGATTCGTTGTATTAGCGGTTTCCTTCCCATTCAGGCCGGGCTGCCAAGGGTTTGTATTCGAGTCGGAGACGGAGAGGTTATCGAATTGCTGTGTAGGAGCTGTATCTGGCCAAAGTCAGTGATACTCACATTGAAACACGGATATACATACTAGTAGTTTGCTGGACCCGTCTCTCTTCAAATCCTCCCCAAGCTTCCGCACTACTCTCATTCCCATTCGAGCTTCCCGAATTCTGCTTCTTCAGATATGGATTTGTCACATTAGCAGCAGCCGGTCGTAACATTTCCTGCGAACTGTTCGGTGTATATCCTGGCGGTCCAACTCGTAACGACTCTGGGAGTCCTGCCCCAGCTTTTCTATTATCTGCCTCTCCACCCCAGGCCTTCTCGCTGTCAGATGGAGAATCGGTCTGCATCTGATTCCTGGCATCTCCAACCCTAAATGGCAGAGGCTCGTTGGTGGATATCGGCGTAACAGGGTATGGAGCGAGACCTGAGTCTGCGGGGAGTGGCTTTCGAGTCACCATTCTGGCGGTAGTAAGCATTTTGCAGGCTGATTTTCGTGATCTTTCTTGCGTACGTTACTAAAGAAATCTTCTACAACTCCTCCCTCGAACTTCTGCCTCGTTCTTGGACTGTTTCGAGTCGGAGCTATGGCGGGGCGGGAGTCAGCTTTAAGTTCATAAGATCCTTGGCTGGGCAGCGTTGAAAAGGAAATGCGCACAGGTTTGCAACCAGCGGATCAGAGCAAGATGGGCTTTCCGTCCCTGCCCAGAATGCGATTATTTTGTTATCTTTGCCTTGCAGAGTTGTCCCCAGTCGTGCATGCGGGGGCGGGATTCAATCTCGAGCTGGGACCAGGTAGGTGGTAGAAACAGAGTTGGTACCTGGAACGCAGTTGAACGATGCACGAGTCGAGTGTGCTGGTTTAGCTGGACCTTGCGAAAGTCTTGTAGAACAAAATGCTTCTTTTCCCGGGCAGAGGGATATTATTCGTAAGCTGCACTTGATGCCTTCCCGAGGATTTGTTTTGTTTCGCGGTGTTGATGCGTGTGGTGGCTGGGTGAGGGTCAAGCTGGGCGATCGTCGGCTTGAAGATATGAGGTCATCCCGAGCCCCGGGTGTGATAAGAGCATACCAAGATCAAGATCAAGAACAGGAAGAGGAATAGATGCGACTGCAATTGGGCTGAACCTCAAATTCTCGAGTCAACTGGTCACGAAGGGGAAGAAAATGAACCCAGTGGCCCCAATTCTCACGATCTCGATTTCAAGGAACTACGCCGCTCAGCAGCCAGCACAGCCACAGATTCAATACCTGGCTAAACCAAAACAGCATAGCTTATCCGCTGCTCCATGCCCTTGGACTCGCTCCAGCCACAATATACCTCCCGTAACCTAAACATAGACGATTCCTGTGGCGGATGAGAAGCGAAATATCCACCTCAGGGCACATTCTGTCCAGTGAGATTTGATGAAAATCCCCTTGAAAGCTTACGTGCGCAAGTGAAATCTTGGCTGGCGTGGTGTTGAAGGTCGGTTCGCATGTCATTCGTTATGTGCCTTTGCTGTGCTTGCTCGACTACGTTGTGTCTTACGCGGCCTTGGAGTACACTTCCATGTCTGCCTGATGCGATTTGCCAGAGGACAACAGAAGAGGCAGGCGGTATTCTCACTTCTGATAGTCACAATCATAGGTATAGAGAATGAAGCACAACCTGTCAAACCACGCGGAAAACTCTCTTCATGATTTATGTCTATTGAGATTCAGTTGTTGTTTACCTACTGTCTAAATGCTGAGCAAGGCCAGAACTAGGCGAGCTTGACAGCATGCAATGTCTGCTTTGTCACTTGGGAAAATAAGTACGCATCTAAAGAGGAGGAGTGGACTTGAATGCAGAGGACAGCGAAATCTTTGTATAAACGTATTGGATTTGAGGATGACCAGTCGTTCTGGAGGCATGGAGGTACTGATATTTTTTTTCTTTGGCGAAATAGAATAATGCTTCAAAGCTTTGATAGCTAATAGATTTTTGGGGACGAACTAGTGTAGAGGGGAGCAGTTGATGGATGAGTGAGCAAGTAATATGAGGTCCTGAAACAAGTATCGTGCTACCTAATTGCGAATTGATATTGGTTTGTTGTTGTTGTTTGATATTGAAAGCCATAGGTGCAAACCTCGCTACGGCAGCCCAAACAATCCACCACCGAAAGGCTGAAGATTTCGGCTCAAGAAAAATATTCGACGAGGCTGCCAACCCCTCAACACCATGTCTCGATAGCCCCAATCCTCACCGCAACCACGCACTCTCTACCTACTCTGGATTCTCCGATTCCAGACCATATCATGCATTCCCTCGTCGAACCTAACGCTTGGGTAGTTCTCCGCCTCCCATCAGATACTCTCAAAATCCTTCAAATAGCACCCAATACGTCCGTCCTCCATTCCCCTCCACCAATAAACCTACTAACACCATATAGTATCGTATCACTAGGGAAATACGGCACATTCTCCTCGAATCTCCTCCTCGGCAGACCTTACAACAAAACTTACGAGCTTCTCGACCGCGCCGCCGGACAAAAAGATTCAGATCTTCGCATCGTCCCCGCAGCAGAACTACACGCCGACACGGTAGCAGAGGAGCAAGCTGCTGCCAATTCGAGCAATGGCGCAGGTCAAGATGAGAATGTCACAATTGGAGGCGATGGAGTGGAGTTCCAGCTCGTGGGTGAGAATGGCGAGGTGATCATGCGGTCAAATCGAGAGACTATCGATGATGCTGCACAGCAGACTTTGACTATGGAGGAAATTGAGGAATTGAAGCGCGAAGGTACGGGTGCAGGGAAGGACTTGATTGCAAAACTCATGGCGAGTCACCTGGGTATTGAGCAGAAGACAGCGTTCAGTTTAGCGAAGTACAAGTTATTGAAGACGAAGAAGTATCTGAGGAGGTTTACGGTCCTGCCGGTGGATGTCCCGATGCTGATCAAGTGGGTGATGGAAGAGAAAGATGCAGGCAAGATTATGGAGATGAGAGAGGAGATGTGTGCATTGGTGGGAAGTTGGGCGAATGTGCATTTCTCGGAGGGGTTAGATGGTGTGATGGGAGGGAGATGGTTGGTTGTTGATGAGACGGGAGGATTACTGGTTGCTGCTCTGGCAGAAAGAATGGGGACATTAAATCCTCCATCAGATTCAACTCAGAAGACAGTGCAAGGAGACGACCAAGAAATCGAAGCAGAAGAAGAATCAACAAAACCAACTTACCACGACCCACCACTCGCAACCTCCAACACCATTACCCTCATTCACAACAACGCACAACCTAACCTCAGCCTCCTAAAATACTTCCACTACGATCCAACGACCTCAACACCAACACACCCCAACCACCCTCTAGCCACCCACCTCCACCCCATCTCCTGGCTTCAACTCATCGACCCCTCCCAAGACACCACCTACTCCACGCCCATCACACCCCTCTCACCCACCAGCCTTTCAAGTCTCAAATCCGGCAAACGAGGAACATACTACCGCAAACTCCGCCGCCACAACCGCGTGACCTCAATCGTAGACTCCACCCTCGCCGGCGGCTTCGACGGTCTAGTAGTCGCCAGCCACATGGACCCGATCTCTATCCTCCAACACACAATCCCTCTATTACGAGGCGGCGCACAAGTAGCTATCTACAGCCCCACGATCGAATCCCTCGTCAAACTCTCAGACGCATACAGCACGAGCAGACGTACGGCATTCATCCAATCACCACCTGAATCTTTCCTCTCTCTCTCATACATCGCCGCGGACGACTCACCGTCCACTCCTCAACCCACCTCAAACACTCCCCTCAAGCCTCAAATATCACAGACCCAAACCTCCTGGCCCGGCAACGCAGACTTCCCTCTAAACCCCACCCTCCTCCTAAACACAGCTGTACAATCCGCCCGCATCAGAGAATGGCAGGTCTTACCCGGACGCACGCATCCCGTTATGACAGGACGTGGTGGTGCAGAAGGGTATCTATTCACAGGCGTGAGGGTTATTCCTGCGCAGGGTCGGGTCGAGGCGAGAGGGAAGTTTGCAAAGAAGAAGGTCGATAAGGTGGTTGGGAAGGGGGAGAAGGGGGTGGTGGAGAATGGGACTGGAAATGGAAATTCGAAGGACGAGGTTAGGGAGGAGGTGCCGATGGATGTTGACATTGGGAAGAGAGCCAACGAGGGTGAGGAGGAAGAGATGAGCCCTCCGAAACGTGTGAAGCTGGATGCTCAGCTGGCGAGAGAGATATGATCACTCCATTGCGCACTTCGACAGTGTCACATCTCGCTTAATCGAGTTTCTGACATCCATCGACAGAAACAATGGCCGAGCTCAGATCAGATCAGATCAGATCAGGGTCACGCCGTCAGCCTGCTAGAGGCGTAGACGACGATGACAGGTTAGCTAGCTATGCTTTCAAACTCAGCACGCAGACACGAACCCATTCCCCAAGACTAGTCGACCTCCGCCTACTACGTTGTACCTACCATCTGTAAACCCAGCTTAGCTTACCTAGATCTATAAGGAGCTCAGACTAGGCGGGCAGAGAAGGAAAGCGAAGTCCTAGTCAGAATCTTCGAAGCAGATTAAGCACGAGAAAGAAAGAAGGAAAAGAAAAATGAGAAAAAAATATCCAATAAACCCAAAACAAATCGAGCTAGTAATGCCTACTTACCTAGCTTATCTATCTAGATAGGTAGTGCCAGAAACCAAAAGTGTGAGCTACGCTACTACGCAGCACTATGAAACGAACAAATGTGAACAAGCAGAGTCCCCTAGGAAATGATACAGATTGAACTAAATACGTTATCACTTTTTTTTTTGATTCCGCCGGAGATTTCAAAGCTGAACTTTCATGATGACCATGGGTGATCTATTGTGCATTTTCTTTTCTTTTCTTCTCGTTTCTTCTGAGTATTGCAGCTCCTTCATCAACTGCTCGTTCGCTTATTTACCTGGCGTTCCTGAAGCTTCCCAGCAAGCTCCATACAACGCACCTCATTTCACCAGGAGCTTCTCTACCAAGTACCCTCCCCCATCATCCGATCTCAAACTCACGCACCCAATGCCATTCATTCCCTAACCCTCTCGTTCGTCCTTACAAACTCTTCCCCATAAACTTCCTCTTCGCAAAGCTCAACCACCATTTACTCGGCCTATCGGTCCCATCCTCATATATCCTAGCCAGCAATCGAATCGCGAGTTCCTGTCGGACTTGAGAGAGGTATTGGCGAAGGGCTTCGGCTTCTTGGCGGTTGGTGGGAGGGTTGAACATCTATTAGAAAGGAGGTGTTAGATAGGTTATATTGGTGATGTAGGTGTTGGGATGGGAGTGTGGGGAAAGCAGGGGAAGTTGTGGGAAGGAAACGTACCTGGTTGAGAGGGAATCCTGGGTCGCCTGGGATGGAGAAGTTGGTGTCGAGTGCTATGTTCTGGACTTCCTTTTGTGCTTCTCTGTTTGAGGATAGTTAGCATATCTTCGTATCCAATATTCACGCATATCCATGGTCGGTATGTGTTTCTTTATGGCTGCTCCTGCAAACATGTCCCACGTCGTCTGTCCAATATGCCCAGTAGCGCGTGCCCAAACAAAGTAGACCTCCACACTGGATGCCTCTTTGCCAGATCCCAATACCTCGTCCACATCCCTCCATACACACCCACTCTATCCACCACGCCAGACCAGAGTAAAAGAATGCCAAACCAAAAGAGAGAACCAACCTACCTCCCACTCATGCCCGGCCTAATCTTTCCCAAACACTCACTAACCCACAAAATCCCATAAATCAGCAACCTATCCGCCGGGCCCTGGATCTCGAAATTCCGGAAAAACGTATTAGCCCGGAACAGACTCAATACCTCGTCCAGCGCATCATAGCTCTCGGAGTCGGGCTCAGGCGATAGGTGGGCGGGCAAGGAGGCATCGAGAGGTAAGGTGTAGGCTGGGCCGCGGACGCGTGTGCGGAGGGGGAGGAGAGGGAAGTTTCCGATGTTTGTTGAGGTTGGAGGGGAGGAGTCGGGGTTGAATATGCTGTTGTAGGCCTGTGGGAGGGGGAGTTAGTTGGGTGGTTGCTTGGGAGGAGGGGAGGGCGGCGGATGGTGGGGGATCGGGGAGTTTAGAGTAGGGAAAGTGGTTTGGACAGGGGGAAAGGAGTATATTTGAAGCTATGAAGGGTACATACCGGCATGATTGTGGATTGTGGTGTAGTTTTTCCGTGGAGAGAGAAGGGTGATGTTGATGGAGGGGCAGCTTCGGGTCGTCAATGAGCTCAGCCCACCTCACTCGGCTCGGGCCTTGTTCCATGCCTCGCATGTGAGGCATCAATGACTAAAGCAGTGATACAACCTAACTCCTGTCCACTGCTTTACTTTACTATACACAACTTCCCAATTTTTATTCCGATATATTTCTTTTTGTAGCATTATCAACTTCAGATACTTGCAGTACTTTCACTCTTAGGCCAATCCGTATCTTTACTTTGCCTTGAGCCATTATCTTCCTGTCAACAGGAATATGACTTTCTGTCTTTCACTTCTCTCTCATACAATGGGACTCTGTATGGACCGCTTCCGGCCCATTAAAGTACATCGGCGGAAAGATTTTCCTTTGTCTATCTACTATTGCTCTCTCTTCCTTCAACTACATACGCAGCTTTGCAACTCGCGCGGACACATATACGAGTGGGACTTCGCGAGCTGGTGAGGGGGTGGAAGATTCAAGACGAATTGGGAGACAAAGAACCGACGAATCCCGAGACTAACCCGGGACAGAATCGTATTCCGTTGAGCGTGAACAAGGGAAGAGCCTGTGACTGCGACGGGCAGGTTTCCTGGGCTCTAAGCTACTGTTGGTATATGAGACTTTACACCGGTAAGACTTGCAGTAATTCTAGACTACCGGCGGATTTCGTGGTAACTGCGCTTCAGATCAACTGGATCTTCTTAACTCTAGAATGATACCAACTCAAATCGTCGTCCGAGTCATCTGAAATAGTGTCAGTATGCAATTAGCCGACTCGGACGGGGAATTAAGAAACATACCTATTTCTAACGTGCTGTTACTCGAATGATGAGAAGGTGTCTCGTCTCTCCGCGGCAAATCTTCTTGAGCTGAGTCGTAGTCTGATCCATCATCATCATCGTCCTCCAACGTATCAGTGGTTGCTTGGACCAATCCAATCTGAATGGACGAGCTTGTGCCCGTGACTGAATCATACTGAGCCGCCTTCTTCGCATATCTACCATCGATTTGTTTCCTCAGCTCCATTCGAATGTTTAAGCTCATTTTACTCGTGGTTGATTCCCGGATCTTGCTGGCTACCGCAACCGGCACATGATCCTCAAGGATATCAGGCGTTCGCCAGGCTAGATACAATTTGTTGTGGCGAGCTGGTAGAACAAAGTTTCCCGGATGATTGAGAAGGTACTGGTAGCAATTAAAGCAGGCAGGTTTACTGCATCCAATGTATGGATCATCTCCTAGAAAATCGAACGGGTGCCAGTAAAACAGATCTGCAAGGAGTAACTCGGCATGAATTCGCGTTTTGAAACTGCATTCTTGCTGCATACGACGGAACAGATCACCATTGGACGTTCGCTCCAACATTTCGAGTGCTTCCTGATAATGGACTATGTCTTCTTGCTTTGTAAAGATTCTGCTGGCCAAGCCGTCCAATATGATAGAATCCGAAGATTGAAAATAGCACCTTGAAGGAGGCGACACACGAACCTCGATTTGAAAATCGTCTAGAATATCAGGGAATCTTAGAGCAGCCGAAACGATCGTTTTTGTGGCTTTTTGATGCTCGCCAAGTCTTCCAAGCAAATGACGGACATCGTCAAAGAATCTGCCATGGGACTTTCCGCTTGCGCTCAGTTGACTCAAAGTTTCGAACACCAAGCCTCTCCGTGCCTCAAAGCATTCTTTGACCAACTCCACTCTGTCCTTTGATATATGTGGTAGGCCACTAAGCACATTTTTGAGCACCTTTATTTCCCGTTGAGTTGGCTTGCCATCTATATTAGAGCATTAGATGGGATGAATTTATGCAAAAGAGAGAAATATGAAACGAGCTTACTGGTAGATCCTTCAAGTGCTTCCAGGCGCTCGATACAAAGAGACAAATCTCTTGATAGAGCATTCCAATAGTAATCAATCCTCTCCTTATTGAATGGAATAATTAACGCCAGTAGCTGTGTTTCAGTTGTTTTCTTGGACACTCCGAGTTCGACCTTCTTTAAATGCTCAAGAACCTTCCTCAAAAACAGAATAACCTTTTCCTTAACCGTTTCATTGGCAGCAAGCCAGAACACGACGCCTTGGTTAGTTCTCTGGAGCGCCAAAGCTGTGACCGTAGATCCGCCTTTTCTGAAATCACATATGTAGGCAAGCTTATCTACAAACGACCTGCGAAGCTCAGTCTCGTCTTGATCCAGCTCTCCATGATAGTTTTGTCGCTTCTTGTGCTCTCCTCTGATATTTTCGAGGACATATAGTAGGAGCGCCGACTCAAAGAATTGTCTCTCAACATTAGTCGATATCGGGACAGGCGTTGCTGCTGCCAACCGGAAAGTTTCAATTTCATAGTGAGATGCCGTTCTAACGATAGGACCAGCCTTGAAATTCAATACCTCTAGGGGTACAGGAGCAGTATCCACTGGTTCTGACACTCGTGCTTTCCCTTTATGTGAAGACGATGTTGTCGCTTCAGAGTGAGTTCCAATACGAGAGTCCTCCGTGTCGTTCTCGTTTTGGCTAGACGAATTTGTTATTACTGCATTCTGCGTTTTTGTCTGAGCTTCTACTTTAGCAGCTGGTGCTGCCGGCTTGGATACATTGTGCTGCGGTGGACCTTGAGGGATGTTTGCCTGTGTTGCCTTCTTGGGAGTAGCCTTTTTAGGCTTTGCAGGTTCTGCCGATACTTTGGGTCATCCCCCCGGGTCAGCCACAGAAACACATCGCTAATATGCCACTAGTTTGACACCAAGATGTGGCATGTGGAAAATCTGGGGAAGCTTCTCACCTCGGTTTCCCTTCTTCTTGGCTTTGGCTGGTGTTTGCTGAGGTAAAGGAGCTTGTGAAGCTGATGACGTCTTTGATGGCCCAGCTGTGGTAACGATTGAAGTCTTTTTTGCCATGTCGCCCACCTCGTGGTTCTTTATTTAACGAGGCGGAAAGAGTTCGGATCAATGAGTACAGTCGAGGTCGTCGACTAGTCAAATAATTATCCAGGACCAGAACTTGTGAGTTGTTGAAGTCGAGTGTAGGAGTAAGTTACTCTTAGATTCGATCCCATGGTGCGGGGTTGTGGTATTGTGTAACACAAACTTGGTATCGCTGCCCAATCACGGCCTGGTGGTCAGAAGGGATATGCCTCAAGTACTTGCTAATCCTTCCATATCATCTTGCACACGCCTCTGCTTCAGTACCACTAAGTGACATGAGGTAGTGTTATGGGCCACACAATTTGATACTAGCTTGTACAATTTGTATACGTTATATTTACAGATTGAGTAATCGAGATACGACTCCCGTGGCGGCAACAGGCCGTAAATAAAATACCAGGTGGCCACGCTGAGTCCTCTCTCGCTTATTCATAAATGGCATTCAGTGCGGCGGACAGATTACTCACCCTCGCTCTCTTGCGACTTGATATTGAGATTTGAACTTAATAGAAGCTCCGGATAATAGGCTTGAAACCCCGGAATTATTTATAGCAAAACAAAAAGTTACACCAATAGCAGCTTCGAACGCTCTTACTAGAATAGTCGACAGAGTGGCCAAACTGTACTCTTTTTCCATAATCTCATTGTGAAGCTCGTTTTCTCGGGACAGGACATCCCTTCGTTATTTTTTCTACGCCACATGCCCAGTGTGAGCAAGAATGTCGAGTCCATGGCTGAGCCACAGCAAGAAAGGCAAGCTTTGTTCTTTATCGTCCTAACCAGAAACTCCCAAAAGATCAATGCTTGATCCAAGCTGATACGACGATCTGGACAATGTTTACATATTGTTATTGCACCCACAATTAGAATGTTCCTCCATCGAGCCGTCCCAAGACTCCTCCACTCACAGTCAAATGAAAACTCCACTAAGTGGAGAGAAACCAGGAACACAAAATTCCGGACCCAGACAGACACGCCTGGAATCCAGATCGGAGAATAATAGAAAGAGAATGTGGATCTTTACAGCGCGGAGTACTTACAAGTAAATAAAAAAAGCGGATAACAAAAGTGGGAACCCACTGCGGCATTCTGTCCGCCCAGGCTTTGAGGCTCGGAGCGGGTCAGGGCGGAGGGGAGGAATTTGGAGACATGAGATGATCGTGCCGATGATGGGCCAGCTATGTGCCGGATTTGAATCGGTTTGTTGACTCCCTTGTTAATTTTTTTGGTTGGGAGGGAGACAGAGATGGGGAAGAGTGGAAGGCACCGGAATTAGGATTGATGATAACTGAGGAAAATGGTTAGCTAGTCAATGTACTGGCGAGAAGCTGGGACTTAGAAAGGACTGATTAGTAGTAAGTGGGTGCAGGGTAGATACTGAACACTGCGTAGTATTGCCCATTGTAAGGCGATTTGTGGATATTAACTTCGAACGGGAATGACTGTAGTGATTTTGAAGGATTTTTTCTTTCTTTCTTTCTTGTTATTACGGCCGAGAGTGTCTCAGGCCTATACAGTGGTACAGTGTATCTATCCATCTATGATCTATCCATCATCTTAGTAACTTTATCTCCCACGAGGCACATCATCAAAAGACGATGGCCATCAATCCGACTTTTCGAAGCACCATTATTATTATCCACTCCCTCAAACCTGCTCCTCACTCCCCTTCACAAGTACACCACTCTCGACATGCTCGGAATCAGTCAACTTCTTATCGGTCATTCCCATCTCCGCCGCATAGGTCGAGTGTGGCACCCACTTGGCGCTAGTTCTTGGAGTAGTCTCTTCCAACATACGATCAACCTGCTCGAGCGTCAAGCCCTTGGTCTCAGGGATGAGAACGTAGGCGTAGATGACGCAGAGGAAGCAGAGGGAACCCCAGAGGAAGAAGATCTTGGAGCCAAGGTCGACACCGCCACCGTCGGTGGAAGTCAGGTAAGGAGTAATGATGGCAATGATCTATAGGGAGAAAGTTAATTCATGTACTGTGATAAACAGGGGACTTTTAAGGAAGGGAGAACGTACGCAGTTCCACAGCCAGTTGGAAGCAGTGCTCAATCCAACACCTCTGGATCTAATTGGCAGGGGGAAGATCTCGCCAATAACAACCCAGGCACCGGGGCCCCAAGTAGTAGCGAAGAATGAAATGTAGATGCAGATGAATGCAATCTGGGCCTGAACCGAGGCAGTAGAATCGGTAGTCACACCCACGATAGCGACGATGAATTGGCAGATAACCATACCGATTGCACCCCAGATCATGATTGATCTTCTACCGAATCGCTCAATGATCCAGAATGAGAGGGGAGTAGAGCCAACGTTGACGAGGGTAGTGATCAGGGAGATCAAGAAGGGGTTCTTGATCGTACCGAGGGAGGTGAAAAATGTGGTTCCGTAGTAGAAGATGAAGTTGACTCCAGTCCACTGTTGCATCATCTGAATACTCGTTCCCAGGATGGTTCTGCGAAGGTTGGAGGCTGGGTTCATGAGTCCACCCTTGAAGCAGTTGGCCCACGATGAGAAGTAGCCATTTTGTGGGATGACAGACATCTCGTACTCGTGGTTGGCGATGATCTCAGTGAGTTCGGCTTGTACGAGCTCAGATCCAGAGGGCTGATCACGCAGTCTCTCGAGGACACGAGCGGCATCATCGAGGCGGCCCTTCATGACGAAGAAGCGAGGGGATTCTGGGAGCCAGAAAAGTCCGCCGGCAAGGATGAGAGCCCACGCCAATTGAAGTCCGACTGGGATGCGGTAAGAGCCGCTGTCGGTGCGGTGCTGGGTTGCGTAGTCCACACATGAGGCGAGAAGGAGGCCGATCGTGATGGCGAACTGGTAGCCTGTGGTTTGTTAGACGAAGTTGAAAGAAATATGTATCAAGACTTACCAGAGACAATAGCTCCTCGGACCTTCTTGGGAGCGATCTCAGACATGTACAGAATGATAATAGCAGAGACGAAACCGACTCCAAAGCCGGCAATCAGACGTCCAGCCACGAGGAGCCCAAGAGTGGTGGCGATGGTCTGAAGAATACATCCAATACCATAGATGAAGCATCCGAGAATAACAGTGAGTCTTCTTCCGATCCAGTCGGCTGAATCACCGGCAATGATGGCACCGAAGAAGGTTCCAGCGGAGAGAATCGAGACAATCAAGGTCTTGTCTGAGGTTGGAATGACGAAAGAAGCGAGTTCAGCAGCTGTTGCGTCCGCACCAGGAATCGCCTTGCCCGTCATCATATTGATAAAGTACGGCATAGCAAGCACTCCGCTGATATAACCCGAGTCGTAGCCAAAGAACACTCCTCCGAATGCTGCGAAGACGCACATCATGTAGGATTTCCATGTTACTGGAGCTTCGACACGACTAGCGTCAGCTGTGCCGACGAAGGCTGGACCACCCATTTTGCTGTTGATGACAAGGGTAGAATTGGCGAGGGTATTGTCGATAATTAACGAAGAAATTGAACCTGCTGGAGAAAAGGAAAAAGGTCAAAGTCTTCGCGGGGGGTGAGGACTTTATATTTACTTTCGCCTCCTTCCCCGAACCGAGACCACGTGACCGACTAATGCTCACCAATCTTCATTGTTTGTATGCATTCGGCCCTTTCAGAGCCCCATCAAACCCATCCACTCACGCATGCCCTGTATCTATCCATCTAAGCTCCGTCGGAAATCTCTCCATGCCCCTCACCCCTCAACTCCAGTCCACCACGCGGCCAGTCCAGAGTCTCCGACCCAACCAAAACAACAAAACAGTGGACATCCCACGCGACGCAACATCTGACAGTTCAGGGTTTCCCTCCGCTCTCATCGCCTTCCCCGTTCCCACGAGCAGGAAAAGACCCGCCAACTCGGTCAGACTGTGCAGTGTGGCCGAAAGGTGGTTCAGAGTTCAGTGTCATGTCATGTCCCTGCCCTCGCGGTGACGGTTTTTTGGCCGGGCTAGTCCTGTCAATGCGGATGATAAGCGGGTCTGGAGATGAGTGTGGAACGCTGTGAAGCTGGGACGCCGGGGCACGGGGCAAGTTTGGAAGTCACCTGAGAACTTTTGTTTTCATTTTCTGCTTTGAAGTGCAATTTAATCGTGTTTTTTTGTCTCCTGTTGGCGGTGGCCGCTGTTCTGCCGTGTTTATTCGGCTAGAAAAGGGGCAAAGTTACGAGCCGCAGCGTTGCTGATGTAAATTGAGACGTCATGGCGATTTTGCCCCCTGGCTCCAAGAGTTCTAAGAAAAGCTTGACTGTGAGTCTCTGACCCGAAAAACGATTCCTTGACTTTTTCTTGTCATCCTTGATTAACATCTCATGACGACTCGTGTCTCGTAAACAACTCACAACAGCTGGTGCTTTCTCACATGCCACTTCTCGAGGTTCATCCCACGTTTCGGTACGGCCGCTGTATCAAAACAGTGGAACTCGCCGTAGAGAAGGGCCGCGATGCGATAAAACTGGACTCGGGGAACTGGAGAGAGGAGGGAGGAGAGAGCTTACGAAGCCTGGCTGAGCCATCTGGAGACTCCTTCTGGAGAACCCATCTCGCATATTCTGAGTCATGTAGTCGGATAGAAATGGACTATGGAGACTGGAGGGCGGAGTAAAGTCGGACGGAAGTGGGCTCTGCTGTTGTGAGGACGTGTGTTAAGTGTATAAGGGCGATGACTTATAGATCAAATGCCAAATACTGTGGACCAGAGTGTTCTTTTAAGACATGACTAAAACAGTATTGATAAAATTGACTGATACAGTAAATAAAAGAACAAACTTGCTAGGCGCCGGTTGTGAGACGAGGCAAACTACGATTCGCCGGGTTGGGGTAGCAATGGGAATGCAACAAGGCCGGGTCCGAGATCCGAGTACCTCAAAGTCAATTCGTCCACAGTCACTCTCGTCGTACCTTAAAGATCCGCTCCCCAGTTCAAGAGCCTTTATTTCCAGGTCAAGTCATCTGGTCAAATTTTCCAACCTCCTAAAACATCTAGACACAAATGTTCTGGAGCTTCTGGAAGACTTTGACGCCCCTCTTTCACGAGAGTTTTCGCCCCCAGTTTCAGCACGGGACCCGAAAAAAGATATATTTGGGTCTGCCCGCCAACCTCGGCACCTACCCCGAGATGGACCTCCCTGTAACTTTGAAATGAGATTTCTCAACATCTTTTACAATTGAGAAGGGGAAAAGAACAAAATTCAATTCGATTTCTCCTGCCACCTTTAAAAACCGCGGACAGCCTGTGACTATGCTTCAGTCCCAGGCAGGTGTGTTGTAGCCGCTCCCTCCAGTCAAGTATTCTCTCCTCTTCTATCAGACTTCTCAACGCCAAAGGTAACACAAGGTTATCGAGAATGAGTTCCCGCAGCTTCTACCACAGTGGAAAAACGCTGCCATGGCTTTGATTCTCCCTCTCTCAAACAGTAGGAATTGAAATACAGCTGGTAATTGATATCACAGGACAAAAGGACATTCCCTGCTCCGAAGTCCGACGCGTCTGGCGTAACAGTCACATGACACCGCGAATGATGACGGGTCGCCCCTCAGAACTAACAACCCCCTTTCTCAATCTCCCCACTCTCGAGCTCGCAGACCTCTGAATTCAAGGGAAGATATCAAGGATATTGCATTTTCTTTTATATCTGCACAATTGAGCTACATTTGCACCCTCTCCAAATCAGCCCTCCTCATGGCAGGCACAAAACGCAAAGCAACCACCCAAGCAGAACCCCTCTCCTCCCCCTCTCGCCGCCAATCCGCACGCGCCAAAAAGGTGCAAGTTGTATACGCCGAATCCGACGCCGAAGACGTTGCAAGCGATGATGAGTTCGACGAAGCGGGCAATAAATCACAATCTGAATCAGAAGCCGAGTTGGACGAACCTTCGGAGGATGAACAAGATTCAGATGCAGATAGCGAGGTTGAAGCGAAGAAGAAGGGAAGGGGGAATAATAAGGCAAAAGGGACAGGTAAAGGGAAAGCAAAGGAAAGCGGATTGAATGGCTGGAAGAAGATTATCGGAAGTAATGGTGTGGAACAGATGGTGATTGATATACCAGGGAAGAAAGATCCGGGCGATACGCCGTATGCAGATGGAAGGATCCATCCTAATACACTGGAGTTTCTGATGGAGTTGAAGAGGAATAATAAGAGGGAGTGGTTAAAGTTCCACGATGCACCGTTTAGGTATGCATCTTTTGCTCGGTTCCCGAGATGTTGTGATGGCTGCTTGTTTACTGACAATATCCGTACAGACAAGCAGAGAAAGACTTCCAAACCTTCGTCGCAGAAGTCAGCAACATCATCTGCAAAATAGACTCGACCATCCCAGACCTCCCCGTAAAAGACATCATCTACCGTATCCACCGCGACATGCGCTTCACCCCCGACCCGACACCATACAAGCCCTACTTTTCTGTTTCATGGTCGCGAACCGGCAGGAAAGGTCCATATGCGCATTACTACCTTCATATTCAACCTGGCGAGGAGAGTTTCTGCGGTAAGCTAGCCATATCATCCCCATAAACCTGCCCCGAGTAGCAGAAGCTGGATGAGAAGGTGCTGATCAATGTGTTCGTCTTGTCTAGGCGGAGGATATTTCGGCTGTGATAGCGAAACTCTGGCTTGTATGCGAGAAGATATTGATACGCAGCCTCATCAGTTCAAGTCTATTCTTATGGGCGAGAAATTGAGAAAGACATTCTTCCCGGCTGTGAAGAAGGATGAGGGGAAGATTGTGGCTGCGTTTTGCAATATGAGTAACATGAATGCTTTGAAGAAGAAGCCGAAGGTATGTGTAATGCACTATTTGATTCTCATGTGGACAAGATACTCATTGATGTAGGACTTCGCCGCAGATCATAAGGATATCGAATTACTGAAGCTGCGGAACTTCATTTTGAGGAAGAAGATCTCGGATAAAGACGTGACGAGTAAAAACTTCCTGAACCTGGTTGGGAATATCGCCGAGGGGATGGAACCATTTGTAAGTTCTCCGGATGTATATGGAATCCATAACTGACATGTTGGTTCGTACAGATCACGTATTTGAATAACACCGTCATGCCGGATCCTGATAGCGATTGAATAACAAGCCAAATGAGATTCTGCAAGATATGATCGAACATTAACAATTCGCATTGTTCTTTTGCTGCTCTGCATGACCATGATTCTGCTCTTAACCTCTTTGCGATATTGTCCTTCCTCTAAGTCGCCACATCTAAACCTCGTTTAAAAGACCAGCCTTTAACAACCTATTCATACTTTCCTGCAGACAAAACACACAAACACCTCCTCTCTCGGACTTAACCCTTCTCCCCCGAAAAGCCACACATTCGGCCCCGGCCCTGAAAATACGGGGCAACTGCACATCAACCACACTAATGCACCTTGCTTACCCCAGACTTGATTGGCCAATCTTCATCCGAAGATCTGCCATTCAATTAGCAATGCTGGCCTCATAGCTCGAACCAATGAACGTTGTCAACGGAAGAGGACTTTTCAGCGAGAGTTTCGTCGTGGACCTGTGGATAGTACTTTATGATATAGGTAGTGAGCTGGATTCTAACGTCGGTGGTGATGAAGAATGGGGTCCACTGAGTGGACGGGGAGAATGGGAGAATGGGAGAGGGGAGAAGGGCGGCTTTAAGTGTTATCTCCAGTGGTGATGATGGACTTTTGCAGCAGGTTTGGCCTAGGAGAGAGGGTTTGCTTCGAGGAATGGTAGGTAGGCAAGGTATTTAAGAAGACTTGAGGACGACATCTCAAACCAAATCAAACCATTGGATTTTTATTTGGAGTTTTATTCACACCCACAACCCCTCATCCCAGTCCCACTACCAACACAAACCTCAATCCATAACCTTCTCCATATCACCACCAAAACCTGTTCCACCTAAGGAGATATCAAGCACCCACCCACCAATCGCAAAAATGGTCAAAACCCTCCCCTTCCGAAACATTCAAGTCCCCTCCCCAGGCTTCGGAGCCATGGGTCTGAGTTTCGGTCTGGGCACCAATATGAATTTCGAGGAAGCCGAGCCTGTTCTCCTTAAAGCTATTGAGCTGGGTTGTACGTTCTGGGATACTGCTGTGAGTTCTCTCGTTATATACTGTGTCGAGCGAGGCTTGAATAGTCAAGATGGAAGAGTAAAAAGACTGATGAATGAAATATAGGTGGTCTACGCAGCTGGAATTAACGAGAAGTTGCTGGGTGATTTTATTAGGAAGCATAATGTGAGGGATAAGGTGTTCGGTAAGTCCACATTGAACACTTCTAGTCTTCCCTCCATCAAGTACCTGGACAAGTTTTTCGTATACCGAATTCTTGCTGTGAGGCTACCTTGACTAACAACGTGTACCAGTTGCTTCCAAATGCGGCTTCAGCTGTTTCGAAGCCGAATCAAAAGTCACAAACTCCGCATCACACATCAAGACGTATATCGAAGGAACGATTGAGCGGTTGGGGTTCGCGCCTGATTTGTATTTTCTGCATCGGATTGATCCTAGTATGTTTCCTTTCTCTCTTAAGATCAATAAATCCTAAGTCTGTTGCAATTGCTGACCATCTTAAAGACACTCCACTCGAAGAGTCCATCCCAGCACTCGATGAGATTCGCAAAGCTGGCAAGACGAAGTATATCGGATTATCGGAATGTTCAGCCGCTACATTGCGAAAGGCGAATTCAAGTAAGTAATCCCTATAGGTCTTTCTCTCCAGATTCTCGTCACAAAGAGCAATACTGACATGCCAACCAAACAGTCGCCAAAATCGACGCCATCCAAGCAGAATACTCCGCCTTCGAGACCCTCCATGAAACAGATGGTCTTATCGACACTGCGCGCGAACTGGGAGTCGCATATGTAGCGTATAGTCCTCTTGGACATGGCTGGCTGGTCGATGATTTCAAGTTTAAATCTCCAGATGATTTCGCGCCTGATGATTTCAGACGAACCGGTTAGTCTTTCTTCCCTCCCACCACATCCCATTTCCCACTCCCCGCTCCCCCTTATCAAACCAAACCAAACCCCAACCATCACACCTCAACCCCTTCTCATCCCCCCCCCCCCCCCCCCCCCCCCCCCCCCCAAAAAAAACAATACTGACCCCTCATCTAGTCCCCAAATTTCAAGGCCAAAACTTCTACACCAACCTCGCAATCGTCGACTCCATCAAAGCCCTCGCCGCCAAGAAGGGCTGCACAACGGGCCAAATCGCACTCGCTTGGGTCGCCGCGCAAGGCATGATTGCTATTCCCGGGACGACGAAGCCGCATCGGCTGGTGGAGAATTTCCACAGTAGGGAGGTGGATCTGAGTGAGGAGGAGATGAGGGAGATGAGGAGGTTGGTGGATGATGCGAAACCGTCTGGGAATAGGTATTCGGAGATGCATCAGAAGATGGTGGGGCATTAGGTTGGGAGTGGGCGGGGGGGGACCCGTGAGAGGGAGGAGAGGATGGAGAGTAAGTTGGTAGGAATATTGTCTGATGAATCGAAGGGCTTCCGGGAAGAGAATACTGATTTCCTATACTGTTTGCGCTGCGGAACTTCTCAGTCTACACCTCACTGTGTTTGTGTTTCTTGCTTGTTCTGTCCGAGTTTGAACAGACCCCGCCACGAAGGGGAAGGTGCCATTAATTGCGTTCACTATACGGGGGAGAGGGAAGGCGAGGCATGCTGCTGAAACTGTATGAGCCCGGTTACAGGGTCATATGTCTCTGTTCCTGCACCGCATAACCGGAGGATGCTCTTGGATGGAGTCTCTCGGGAAAGGATGAACCCAGAGCAGGTCGATGGAGAGCTGAATCGGGTAAAGAATACCTAGCTCCGGGACTGTTTGGTGGTGGAACAGGACTTCAGGACGAGGAGGTTCTACTCTTTACCTTCCAAAGTATTTGAGCCTGAAATATTGTCCTTTGCCGACACACACTCCGCTCTCGCTAAGCAGTAGATCAAAGATCAGAAAGTTTATTTTCTTCCCCATTTACTATTATTGTTAGTCGTACCCTTGTATATATTGCTGTGTCAAGACTTCAGCCAAAAGCTTCTATCCAGGTTCTACCTCGCTTCCACTTTCTATATAGCATCTGTCGCTCTCTTATAACACATTTCCTTCCTAGAAGAGGAATGACAAAGAAGAAACTTTGACGATCTGAAGCATGATAACAAAAATGGAAAAATATTTATATTGTAATGCTGGATCACGTAGAGATTAGGAGTACCTGATATGCTTTTAGAGTACTCGGCTCCCTGTACAGAACCGTAAGGCGTTCATGATTTACCTTGCAAACCGTTCCATACGCGACTTTTCATGATTCGTCGTCATACACCGCACCATGATTGGTAACTGTTCTCATCCGAATATTTAAATCAGTTTTGATAGCCGATAACAGTCAACCAGTCAATCATCGGGCCTCACCTCACCCTAGAGTCGACATAGAGCCTCAGTAGCTCAAACCAGTCGAGCCGAAACAATAGAACACATTAGAGCTTGTTTCATTGTATGAACCGACATACAGAAGGCTCTCTTTGTGCAGCAGCAAAGATGGAATCGTGCTTTCCGGAACTTGTTATTTTTCTCCTTTTTCAAGTTAGCTCCAGCTATTTTCCCAGATATGAAATTTCTCAGCGTATCCAGTCGCCACCGCTGAATGCGGATTGTCGTTCTTAGCGATCATCAGAATACAATACCCAATGTCGCAAATTATTTTGTTTACATTTAAACTCTTCCTTTTGTAACATCTTTCTTCGGTGCACTTTGCTGTGACATGCTGTGCGGTGCTCTGCTGCTGTTCCCTGCAGTCTTGACTTAATTCCTACTGGGATCACGATAAGAGAGCTTGAAGTGCAAAGAGGAGAATCCAACAATTCCTCGTTCCTGATCTTCAGGAATATGTTCCTTCTGGCGTCTATCATCCGATGTTAACGGGAAGCACGACAATATTATTCGTCAAATCAAAAGATATCATCTCCAGATCGCCCTGAATTGAGTTTTGCCGTACCTTGACCTTGACCTAGCAGATCTGACAAGCAGCTAGCCGAGGCCCTGGAGATTCTCAGGAGTCAGGCTAGCAGGACACCACGGGCTGGCGGGGTAGCTCTTGATAGGTCAAAGCTCTCCTCTCTTCTCTTCTCTTCTCCTCTCAAAAGAACCTCACCCCTCCACGTTCCTGTCGGTGAAGCCGTCCATCTCACGGAAAGATGTGAAAAACTACCAAATCCTCCCACGTGTGTGTCCAAGAACATGCTTATCCATGGAAATATATATGCATCGTCTCCTTGGCTCGACGCCATTATTTTCAATTCCTCCACTGGATTCGTCCCTCAAAGGATGGGAGGTCTTGGTAAAGCTTCCATGCGGGTACACGAGATGTGATGTGATGGCGGCCGATGATCAGGTTCGTCAAGCTGCAGGAGATGGAAATATATAAACCTCGCATGCCTCTGGCCAGGAACCAGGAACAGTGTCTTCCCAGCCAGCTCTCACTCCAGGCACAATGCGCACCTCATTGATCCTCTCCGTCCTCTCATTCGGATTGACATCTGCAGCTCCAGCAGAAGTCTCCGTCTCCAAACGCCATGATTCCTTCAAGGTCCAAGTTGGAGATCGGCCATACTTCCTGATCGACGACATGGACGATGGCTCACTCAAGCGCAAACTCGAGTCCTGCAAGAATCAGGAGTCGAAGATCAGCAAGTTCGCGATTGGACATCGTGGTGCGCCGCTCATGTATCCTGAGCATACTGCAGAGTCATATCATGCTGCTGCCAGACAAGGAGCTGGGACTATCGAGTGTGATGTTGCTTTTACGAAGGATAAGAAATTGGTGTGCCGACATGATCAGTAGGCAGTACCTCATATCCAATTGAATTCTGCTAATGTCCTGTCCTTCAGCTGCGACTTACACACCACAACAAATATCCTCACATTCCCTTCCCTAGCAGCAAAATGCACCACACCATTCACACCCTACGACCCAGCTACAGGCAAAGCCGCCTCAGTCAAATGCTGCACAACCGACATCACCCTCGCAGAATTCAAAACCCTCTGCGGCAAAATGGACGGCTTCAACCCCAACGGCACCACCATCGCCAGCTACATGGACGGCACACCCCCCTACCGAACCGACCTCTACTCCACCTGCGGCACGCTCCTCACGCACAAAGAAAGCATCAAGCTCATCGACTCCTACAACCGCGACTTCACACCCGAATGCAAGACCCCCGCCGTCAAGATGCCCTTCAACGGCTACACCCAGGAGAACTTCGCCCAGGACATCATCAATGAGTACAAATCCGCCGGCATCCACCCCAGCCGCGTCTGGCCGCAATCTTTCCTCCCAGCAGACGTTTTCTACTGGATCAAAGCGGAGCCCAAATTCGGCAAGCAGGCCGTCTACCTCGATGAGCGCGTCGACACTCCAGAGGGCTATGCGAACGCCACTGCGTCGCTCCCTGCGCTCGCGAAAGCAGGCGTGAGGATCATGGCGCCGGCGTTCTTCGCCATGACGAAGCTGGATGCGAATAAGAAGATTGTGCCGTCCGAGTATGCCGTTGCGGCGAAGAAGGCGGGCATGGAGCTTATTGGGTGGAGCTTTGAGAGGAGTGGGTTTCTGAAGAGTGGTGGGGGTTATTATTATGGGTATGTGAATGGGGTTATTAATAATGATGGGGATATGTATACGGTGCTGGATGTGCTGGCGAAGGATGTGAAGATCTTGAAGATGTTTAGTGATTGGCCGGCTACGGTTGTGTATTATGCGAATTGTATGGGCTTGCCATAGGGGTGACCATGTAATGAGATGGCATGAACTCATGGTGGGGATTGGTGGTAATGAAGTTCAAAGTTTGAAAATAAAACTCTCAGAGAATGAAATATCGGCTTTGAACGACATCGAGTATTGCAACGCAGCACCAATAGCAACCGAGCCCCCGACGCAGTTCCCACGACACCCTTCATCCTTATCGTCAAATACTCTAGTCTAGCTATCAGCTGCAGAAAATGGTAGCCCATTTAGCGAAGTGAGGTGCCTAGCTGCTTGAATATCGTATTGTTCTTATCGAAAACCCCTGTAAATATGACTTAAAAATGACTAGGTAGAAGACCAAGGTACCACTCGAGCATTTTGAAAGTTTTTCCAAACAAGCGGATTTTTTTTTTCTTTAATCACCGTGTGTTCTGACCGAAAATGAAGTTTTTTCTCCCTTCAACTTTTGATGTTCCAATCGGCCACTATTTTTTTTTTCTGCATCCGATAAGTCTAGTAGTGAGCAATGTGCTGTGCATATCTGATCTAGCAGCTAGGCCTTACTTCCTAGGTAGATTTCCCCTATCTACTCGTGCCTTATTATTAACTTTTTAAGAACCTTTCTAACCCCCCTGAGGTTCTCGCTACCCCTTGTACGTATCCTGCAGTAGGCAGCATGGTCCCCTGAAGATACAGTGAAGAGAGAGGTCTTAAGGTTTTGTGAAGGTTAACTAAACTCTTGAAGAAATCAAAACCTGTTCCTACTGACTCGATCAAATAATGTTGACAGGCTTGCCAGAGACTTTGTTCGGGCAGGTTCATCTGAACATCTCGCAACTGGAGTCAGTATTCCATTGTTTTTCAGCGTGCTAAGCGAAAGAATCAACTCTAAGGTTGCAAGTCCGTAAACAGTTGACAAGTCAAATTACAACCAGCGAACGAGTCATGCGGTCGATAAACTCAATCCACACAGTCCAATATTCTCGCCACAGCCTAGAGAAATCCAGATCCTCACCAACATGTCACTGCCACTCCCTAGTCCCTCCCCTTGGTACTTGGCTGAAGCAAATCATTAGATAACCGACCCAGCCGAACCCAGATGCGAGGCTCGTCAACCTCGTCAACCTCGTCACCGAACCCAAGCCCAAGCCCCCTCGGTCATCCCATCCCATCTCGAACCAGTTCCTTTCCTTTCATGCAGCCCAGTCGAGCCAGTCCATCGGGCCCTACCTACGCACTCACCCTCACCCAACAGCACCGCGAACCGAATCCTCACAAAATACCTCGGATCGACGAGGCATTCCGCCTCCCGCCAAGCCCTACCCCACACTAAAGCCAAGTGTCCGTCACTGGGCGCGCCGCTTGGCGGCATCTCCCTCGCTCGCGGTCGCTGAGCCCTGTGTGGTTGAAGTGATGGAGCACATGCCTCTTAGAGGAAAGTATGACGGACAAGGCGAGATGCACGCAGCGTAGATGTCATGTGTGCGCTGGGGGGACATCCTGGATGGGGTGCCTTCTCCGGCCTTGGTATTGGGTGGTGTGTTTCTGGGGGAGCCTGGGGAGGACTTGGCCTCTTTCCGGGGCCTGGGCGGGACTGGGGGGAATGATGGGGGATTGGGGTATGGGGAATCGGGGATGGGGAGGAGGAGTATTAAGATGGGGGGGATCTGCTGTTTAATTTTGAGGTTCATTTTTTCTTTTCAGGATTGGAGATCTGGAAAGGTTTTGTTGCATACATATTTTTCCTTCTCATCGAACGAACTTTACATTTGGTTGTTGAACTGGGTATTTACGAGACATCGCTTGTCTACTAACCCTTTTGTTTTCCTCTCTCTCCTCGCCAAGCTCCAAAAAGCCACTGACGAAACCCCTCAACCCGATAACTCTCAATCATGGCATCCAACAACTGGGACGGCAAACAAGTCGCCGACGACAGAGGACACCTGCAAAGCTCTACGTACGTGCCACCAAACGATGGCAAGGAAGTCTACGACAACAGCCACCTCGAAAATGCGCCGTATCCAAGCCCATCTGAGATGAAGGGGTCGACTGGCTTGGATAGCGACGATGAAGTCCTCTCGAGGTGGTCGGTCGAGGAGCAGAGTCGTATTCTAAGGAAGGTGGATGTGAGGTTGATTCCGATCTGTGGGTTGATGTATTGCGTTTCGCTGTTGGATCGGACGAATCTTTCGAATGCTGCGATTGCGGGGTGAGTGGTTCTTTTTCTTTTTTTTTCTTCAATTGAAACTCACTTTACTGTCAAATAACTAACCAGTGCTACAGTATGAATGTTGAGTTGATGATCACGAAAGTCAATGGCGTGGATCGCTATGTGAGTACCGATCTCAATTGGCATTCAAAGCAGATACTAACCATCTCCAGTCCGTCATCACTCTCATGTTCTTCATCACCTACACCATCTTCCAACCTCCTGCCACTCTGCTCTGCCGAAAATTCGGCCCACGTGTATTCCTCTCCACCATCACTCTACTCTGGGGTGGTGTCATGATCGGATTCGGCTTCGTCCAAGACTGGACTCATCTCGTTGGACTCAGAGCAGTCCTTGGTGTCCTAGAGGTATGTCACCAAATATTTCCCAAACATTTTCTCTTGAATTGGGCTTAGCACTGATCTCGAAAAATAGGCCGGATTCTTCCCAGGTGTCGTCTACCTAATGTCAACATGGTATAAGCGCTACGAGATGGGCAAACGCTACGCTGGTTTCTACCTGATTGGATGCGTTGCTTCTGCTTTTGGTGGTATTCTGGCTTTCGGTCTCATGCAGATGGAGGGTATCGCAGGTTTCGGTGGATGGCGCTGGATTTTTATCATTGAAGGAATTGTATGTTTTACCCAACCCTCTACACCCTTCTTCATTCTCCATTCCAGTGTCAACTAACAATTTCCACAGCTCACCTGCGTCGTCGCCGGCCTCGGCTACATATTCCTGCTCTCCTTCCCAGATAACTCCAACTCGCGCTCCCTCCGCTTCCTGTCCCCAGAAGAGCAAAAGTGCATCATCATGCGCGTTAACGCCGACCGAGGTGACGCCGAGCTCACGAAATTCCAATGGAAGAGATGGGCTGCGTCAGGAAAGGATTGGAAGATTTGGGCGTATGCTTTGATTTTCGGATCTATCACTACCGTTTCTTACGCTCTCGCGTATTTCCTGCCCATCATTCTGAATTTGGGACTTGGTTTCGATACCGGGACTTCGCAGTGTTTGATTGCTCCCCCTTATGCTTTTGCAGGTATCATGGTAAGTTTCTAGTCACAGAGTCCTTGAGCGCTGTCTTGAGATGAGGTTACTGACTTTGTTCGCAGATGGTCGCCACAGGCTGGTGGGGAGACCGCTACCGCATGCGCGGCCCCATGCTCGTCTTCAACGCCATCCTCGCCATCATCGGCCTCGCCATCGTCGGCTTCCACTCCAACTCCAAGGTCCGCTACTTCGGCGTCTTCCTCGCCACCGCTGGCGCAAACGCAAACGTCCCCGTCTGCATGGCTTACCAGGCCAACAACATCCGCGGGCAATGGAAGCGAGCTTTCTGCTCTGCTACGCTCGTTGGGTTCGGCTCCCTAGGTGGTATTGTGGGAAGCACGGTGTTTAGAAGTGAGGATCGTCCGGGCTATGTTCCGGGTATTAGTGTGGCTATTGGGAGTCAGGTCATTATCTGTATTGCTGTTGCGGCGCTTACGCTGGATTTTATGAGACAGAATGGGAAGGCGGATAGGGGGGAGAAGGTGTTGGAGGAGGGGGATGCGAGCTTCAGATATACCTACTAGGGTATTACACTTCTGGAATGCTTGCCAGATTGCTTGGTTGATGCCATTCTGAAAGCATAAGGATGCCAATTTAGGAAATCAATTCATGGCCTAAATGTTGAATTTCGAACCCTTCAATCACTTGACTACAATTATTTACATCCTGACCAACCTATCACCAATTTTCATGCCCATTTCCCTCCGCTCAATCACGATTCTCAGCTTATGGAGATCAGCTTAGCACCCACTAGTCTTGACTCCAGAAGCAACACAATACGTTCCATCCGCCCCACTCCCCGTCTTCTTCGGCTCATCCCCATTACTATTCCCCGTATACTTATAGCACACATCCGTCCCCAGCACACAAGAATTCGAGATCGTCACCTTATCCCCATAGTTGGTGTTCACGCCCGCCACCACCCCGCCATTCGAAACATGGATGTTGGTAAACGTCGACGTCCGCTTGTACTGCGTGCCGCAGTTCCCGCAGGACCGGTACAGCTTGCCGAATGTGTCGGCGTAGAAGTTCTTCACTGCGACGGTGCCGCCGCCGTTGTGTTGCAGGATCTTGTCTGACGCGGATTTGGCCCCGCCACCGTTGACGTAGGATGTTCCGGAGGATTGCTTGAATGTTGCGGCGTCCTATCAACAGTAGTTCATGTTAGAAGTGTTTCTTGTTTTGGTTGTCTTGGCCGTTTGGGAAGGGAGAAAGGGGCCGGAATGTGGAAACTTACCTCGCAGACATCCAACCACCAGACGTTGTTCAAAGTACAAGTGCCCAGGCAGTGAACTCCCTCTCCGTTGTTGGGCCCAATGATGACATTTGAAAGGACTGCACCATCCTTGAGCACAAATACAGCATCGGCATCTCCTCCTTCAGCTTGCTCATTGCAAGTTGACTCTGTTTGCGGGTGGTCCAAGGTCAGCTGAACGATCTCCTGTATGGGTCTCTAGTAGGGGAGAGTGAGACTCACTGCTTCGATCAAACTTCTTCATGCCACCATCGAATGTCTGGCCAGCAGCAATAGTCGATGCTGCAGCTAGGGCAGAGCTTCCGGTCGAAGCTGGGAACTTGGTCTGGAGGTTGGTGTTTGTAGCTCGAACTTCGAGGACGGCGGCTTCGGCGAGGGCCAATGCCACTGAGGCGAGTAGGATCTTGGAAAAGAGCATGCTGGGAAGGATTTTTGAACCGAGTTGACTATGTTCTGAGGATACTGCGAAGGGTGCCGTGAGAAGTTTCTGAGGCCAGAAGCCCTATCCTTTATACCAAAATGGCTTGTATACATGTCCATATTAACAAGCCCGTTAACGCGATCCATTGAACGGATTAATTGAAATCCACGCACAAATGAATCCATATGGAACCTATTCATCCTCCCCGCTCCGCCCTCGACTGAGTCCGCCAGTTTCCAGCCAGCATCCGACCTGAGTAGAGGACCCTAGCAAGACCTGTCATCACCCACGATCCCTGAATAATCTGGGGAAACAAGAACTCTCCTGACAATGACAACCTCTCAAGTCAAAGCACAAGGTCGCACCCGCATCTTGGCAAAAAGGTTGCCATTATGCTTGTTTTACCTGCTGCAGGTAAGCTCGAAGTTCAGGGTCAGGTCAGGGCACACGCGTTCGATCGTCTCTCTCTTCATGTTTCCGTCTTGGCAGGACACTGAGGACATTTGTTCCGAGCCCAGGCCCCTTACCCTCCCCTCATTATTGTTATGGTCTCTCTCTCCCCAGATTATGAAAGATTTAATTTCCGCCAATTGTGGGGGATGTTCTTGGCCATCTGATCAGTGCTCAGTTCTTTTGGGGAATAGACGACATTGGCTGAGATGTTTTGATTGGTGGATTGCCAAGCTTGAAACGAGCCCGTAAGCGAGGAGAAATTTGGTGGGTGGCTGGGTGGTTGGTAGTCACTTGGGCTTCGATGGTGAGGTTTCGTGTTAATTGGGACCGAATGCTGTGGAATATTTGGACTCGGTCAAATACTTGGTGTTATTGAGAGCTAAGATATTTCAGGCTGAGAAGTAAGTGGTAGGAGTTCTTCGTGCTCAGGAATGTGAGAGATAGAGGGCGGTTCGCGCTCATGTTGTACAATAATCTGACGACAAAGAATCACTGTGGAGAATAATACTGTACGGAGCCTCACGCTGCTTAGAAGTCAAAATTATGGTAGGGACGGATTGGATGAAAGAATCTGTTCGATGCAACTTGTTGAATTCTTGGCGTCGCCTTCAAGTGAGGACGCTTTGGCCGTGAACTTATCTCAAGGTTATATCAGCCTCACCCGCAATTCCATATCATTTAGCAGTTGTTTAATATAGTTTTAATTGAGAGTATAAATAATGAGCGTAAGTCGTACGCAGGCTTACTTATGCTTGGCGATGGTTCCATCCATTCTTGCCAACCGTTGCAAATGGTCTCATCGATGTTCGATTAAGCTTACGCAGCGTAAACAAACAACCCTCCTTAGACATCTTTGAGGCCATTTCTTCATTTGGAGGGACTTTAAAGCCGATTGAAAATTATTGTATCCTTGTCGGCGGTGCTATTCCATGAAAATAGAGACTCGCTTAATTCAGGGGCTCGCAACAGATTCTAAAGTCTACATATACTCGACCACCAATCATTTGAGGACGTTCCTTTCACACAGTAATGAGAGCCTCAAGCCACACAGCCAGACGAAATTTCCGAAGTATCGAGAGGCATTACAAATTGTTCCTACCATTCCCAGCAGTAAGTTCTCCCTGAATCGTATCGACGACACTCCCTTTCTTGACAAATGCTTCATCCACAATCTCGTTGTCTAAATGCTGCAAAATATGGACTGCCTCCCGGGCGAAGGTCTTGAAACGTTTGCTGTCATATCTCTCACTGCTCTTATCTGTTCGCATTTGCGCCAGCTCCGCGTCGATTCGAGCCTTGAGGTTCTCGAGCTGGTAGTCCTCGACCTGAGTGTAGATATCAACAAGATTTGAAATCGGGCGGATGGTAGTCAAGCGGGTATCGTCTCGAACGAGGGGATCCTTGGGTCTGAAACTAGTGATGGATGTGATCCTCTCTTGAGATCCGTAGGCTCGAAGAGCTTGATGCTCGATGTACCGGCCTTGCAGCACAACCGCGGAGCCCTAGAAATATTGTAAGCGAGCATTCATTGGAAGTGTGGCTACAAACCTTGCAAGGTCCTCGGACTAGTTTAATTTCTCCGGATCCAGTTCTCAAAGCTGTCTCTCCTCCTATCATGCCAGTCGTATCGCTCATCATGAGTACACACACGAACGGGTAGCTGTCCTTGTGCCACCCAACGACTGGAACGTCATCCACTGGTGTCGCACCGCTATTGTTCTCCTCTTTGACTCTCGAGGGGAGTGATATGTTGATGTTTGCGATCTCGTAGTCAATGGCAACGACCAGGTCGATACCTGCAATCTGCGATATGAGTTCCAAGGTTCTTGGATGCTTCCAAGCAGCCTCGGTGAACTTCGCGTGTCAAATTTTGGATAAGCATCACCTCTTTAAGTATCATGATCGACTACTTACTTTGACGCATATCCACGGACAGACATCGGTATGAGATCCGATGTCATGCTGTAGTTGTTCATCACCTCGTCTGTAAACACCTCCGCTCTCATGATGTCGATTGCTTCCGAAGTAAATAATGGAAATGGCTCCGAAACGGCCACCGGAGAAATTCCGTTGGTCATTGAGAGTCCAATGTCGTCCATCGACAGCGTCTTGACATTTTCGTGATGTACTAAGTGTTTCTCAGGGTCGAATTTGGGGGACTCAAGTACCGCATTGAGGGGACTCGGGGTGTATTGTACCCCGGCGTATATGGCTGTTGGTAGATTCGCGGGGACTACTGAAACGACGTCTGCCATACTAATAGTTGGGAAGGAATGGTCGATATTGAGCGTTGTAAAAAACCTTGACAGTGTAAAATGTGTCTTCCTTAGTAGTGCCAGTTGAAGCTGTGGGGAAGTCCCAAAGCACTCATGTACCGCAAATATATATCGTTGAGAGTTGCTGCTGCGCTTATTCGTGTGACGTCTCTGCATTCATTACCGCTTCCAAGAATACTTCGTATCAAACGATAGTCTGCAAAACCCGGGGCGGTAGCACGCATGCCCCTGACTTGGGAAGCCTTCGCGACGCGTTATCAAGTTTATGGTGCTCGACCTTAAATTGGCATGAATTCACGAGTCTACACTACTCTATACATTAAACTCCTTTCACGATTTTGAGACAAGTCATCGTGTGATCCTATTGGAATCTGGCTCGTTATCATCCGTGGTACTTTTCCCAAGTTGGATTGAAAGCCCTGGGAGTCGCCAGATAAGAGTAGATTTCACAAGGGTTGTTTTGTCATAAGTCCTTCTAGGCCCAAAGAAGTATCCCGGTCGCCAGTTCTAGACTCCGCCCCTGATTTGGACGGCGTCTTTCGTTGACGGTCTATTCCTGAAAGGAATCGTTCTGTGTGCACTGCAATACATTGCCATCAATTTCCAAACACAAGAACCCCCGATACAGTCCAAGTGAGGTTACCGAATATGTACATTGGCCCATTGGATCCTGGGAAAATTGGAATGAAGACAGCGCTTCGCGAAATGAAGCCTGCGACTCCGGTGTCAGTATCCAATTTTGAGACTCTGATACCCATCTTTGATGTCACTCAATGAAGCATCCAGGATGACAAGTATATGGTGATGGTATCAAGGTGAAGATGCCTTATCCAGAAGAACAGCTGTGTTTGCTCTATGTGATGGTAATGTAGTCTATAAAAGGAAAGTGGCTGCTGTTGAATGACATCGAATCATTTATCTAGCAGATTTTAAAGCTATGGATCAAATGCCTTGATTTGGGATAGTATGGTTGATAGTTTCGGGTATTTTGCATCATGCTGTCACTAGCTCACCATCCTACGCGGCCAGTCTTTGCTGACATGTGGGGTCTATCAGCACCAAACAGCTGCCTAGCTAGGCTCGCTAGGTACGAAAAGGGACATCTAACGCTGATAGGAGTTGACATTATAATCTATCTAAGTGAAGTCGAATCAGTACACATGTTCATCCCGTGAAAAAATATATGATTCAAACTTCCATGCAGATAGATATCTTTATTTGTAGCTGCGGTTCTCGCGAGTTTTTCCACACCCAACATGAGCTCCAATTTTTCTCGCTTGTCAACTGGCGGACTTGCTTATCCCCAAGTTTCTGCCCATACCTCAAAAGTTCAGGCCCAATTCCCAGACTCCAATCTAACCTGGTCTTGAGGACCATTATCCTCGCTCTCATCAGAGCTCTCCTCCTCGTCATCCTCAATCATGCTTCTCCCTAGCTCCTCCGGACCCAGAAATGTGATGAAAATAACATACACAAAAACACATGCCGTAAAGATCCTCATCACGACACTGTAATCATAAACATGAATAACTTCTCCATGCTCCAGCTTATCAGGCAACGAATGCCGTTCACCAATCGTTGTCTCGATTGTATTTGAAGCAGCAGATATGAGGTTTCCCAATTGGTATGATGTGCCCACCACAAAAGTCCTAATTGCTGGCGGTGACAGCTCGATAAGGTGGATTGGAACAATTCCCCATGCTCCTTGTACGAAGAATTGTAGGAAGAAGAATGCTGCGTAGATACCAGGCCCAGAAGTTGAAGTGTACGGGTAGAGGAGAGAGCCACCTAGGATGCACATAACGATGATGGAGACGCGGCGTCCGAAAATCTGGCTGCAGTAGCCGATTATGGCACCCCCAGTTATCGCACCGATATTAGCTATTACAATCACACGCGTGATCTTGGTAGCTGAGAAATCATATTTGTTCTTGAGCATCAGAGCAACGATATCTTGCGTGCCATGGGACTAGGATGTTTATTAGCATGTTTACGACGTCTTGAGATTTGATGTTCGCTCAGAGTGATAGCCGTACTTACCATGTAGTTGAATCCAGCCATAAACAACACCAAATAGATCAATCGTGGCCAATGCATTCTTACCGCTATTTTCACTTCTGCGACTGCACCTCTAGCAGTTGCTTTCTCGTTGCGCGAGTGAAGCCGCTTGCTGTACGCATCCGTTTCGGGTAGACATAATCGAAATATGATGAGCAGAACAGGTGGCCCAGCTCCAAACCAAAACAGTGGCCTCCAACCATGCGGCGTCTTATCATCGAACGCTTTCCAGAATACTGTCGCCAGCAAATACCCGAAAGGGCAACCGCTCTGGTACACGCCTGACATAAGTCCTCTTGCTTCCTCTGGACAGTCCTCGAGGGCTGTTGCAGCTGCATTTCCATACTGTAAGGACGCCATGATTAGTTCAAGCGATTAGAATAGAGACGATCTTTTCGCAGAAAACAATCTCAGAGTTCTGGAGACAGCAAAGTCTTCAGTAACTAAGAGGACTTACAATGCCACCCATAGCAATACCAAACATTGCCCGTACAGCCAAAAATTGTCGGTAGGTGTTACAGAATCCAGTCGCAAGTTCGAAGATTATCAACAGAACGCAATTGACCACGAATGGCCACCTACGACCATATCTATCCGAAAGAAAGCCGAATATTGCAGCACCCAGCGGTCGGAACATTAACACCAGAGTAACTGCCACTGAGATCTCGGAGGACTTTTTGTTGAACGTGTCCGCAAGCTCGGGGTAGGTGAGGGTGACAGTATGAAAATCAAACGCGTCCCAAGTCCAAGCAAAGAATCCAACCTTGGGAGAGCTTAACATCTGCATTATGGGCTGGATTGGATGTGCAGTATGACTTACCAAGAAGAAGAGCCATTGGAAGAGCGATAACTCTCGCAGGAGAGCAAGTGGATTTGGAGTTGGATTTAGTTGAGGCTTCAAGGTCGGAAGTCTTGTTGCTAGGTGTTCTCGAGTTCTGATCGGCATGTTGATGGAAAGCAACTGGACTCTCAGGAACGTACCGTGGTCGATTCAAGGATTTTCATCAAGAAGGGGTTCACAGAGACGAGGGGACTTCGCTCGATATACCTTCTCTTCCCAGCCTGCTCATCCTGAACTAGTAATTGCGAGTAGGGTGTGAATCATGTCCAGCTGGAGGTTCCCGGTCTGATTGGCACGTGTCACATTGTGAATAAAGGACTGCCACTCAAAGCGGCATTAACTGTAAAATGGAGTATGAACGTTAGTTCTGACTAAATCCCTGCGCTAGTCACGTTTAAATAGCGATATCTCTATAACGCGATATACTATTAATATGATTTTTTAACTAAGAGATATAGAATAACTTGAAATAATTAATTCTAAAGGTTATAATTATATGATATATTAAAAAGTAGTTATATATAGCTTTATTAATATAGAAGTAATACTTAGTAGTTTATAAAGATACTTATACACGTGATTATTTAATAAGCTATTAAATAGGAGTAATGTAGTGTAAGTAAGCTGTTATAATAGTAAGTGACTTTATAAATAACTCCCTCTAATAAGCCAGTCTTATATACTTAATAGCTTTATACTCTAGCGATAGAATAATTTGAAATCTATATTAAAAGAAAGCTGAGTCTTAGATATATATAAAGATAATTTTCTTATTACTATATATAAAGGAACTTAGGTATTATATTTAGTTTAGAGGAATCTACTCTGAGTTAAGGATATCTTCACTTTAGCGAGTTATAGTTGTAAATTCAGTTATTTACTACTTCACTAGCGCTAAGGCAGCAGCTTCACCGCTTTTATAATTATATAAAGGCCTTCCTCCTACTTTCCAACCTTCTTTCTTTCCTCCTTTAATAACACCTTAACCTTATAGTTAACCTTAACCTTTACTTCCACCTGTACTTACATCTTTATCTCCCTCTCTTATTATAAATTTAAACCTTTAGTACTCCCTTTTATATTATCTCTTACTCTTACTATTATTTAAATAATATTCCTACGCGTTTAGTACTTACCTTTACTATTAAACTTATTAAACTCTAACCTGTTTTAAGAATCTTTATAACTAAGCACCTTTACCTTCCTTACGTTACTTAAGCTAACCTGCTTTTAGTTTACTATTATCTTTAACTTTAACTCTAACTTTAACTTTAACTTCAAGAATATCTATAAGTAAGCTCTTTTACCTTTAGTACTTTTACTTTTTACTTCTTATAGTTTATCTCTCTCTTAGCTTATATCTCTTCTACTTAGCTTTTCTAAGCTAGTTAGTTAATAGTTCTCCTCTTTATCTGCTTAGGCTTTTATACTGGATAGAGGTATTAATAGATCTTCTTTAATACTTAATTCTCTTACTGCTCTTTAGTAAATAGTTAACTCTACTATCAGAAGCCTTATGTTATTATGTCCTAAAGGTAATATAAAAAGATACTATGCTCTATATATTAACATCGAGCTACTTTGTCTTTCTCGCGGTCTTTTTATATTACTAAAAGGTAAGTAAAAGAGTAAAAGCCTCTTAGGAATATTCCTATTCAGCTCTATTAAGCTATAAACTACTAATTTAATAGCCTTAGCCTACTTAGGAAGTTCTCTCTTACTTTACTTATTAATTAAACTAACTACTATCTAATTCAGAATTACCTCATTAATTCGATCGTTTAAGGCCACCTCGCCGGCTCTATAACTCTATAACTTAAGGGAAGGATAGGATATACCTTAAGAGGCTGGGAAATACTTTAGGAGGATAGGAAATACCTTAGGAGGATAGGAAATACCTTAGGAGGCTAGGAAATACCTTAGGAAGCTGGGAAATACCTTAGCTACAGTTATTTCAGGAAGTACTCTCTTGCTTTATCTTCTGACTAAGCTAACTACTATTTAAAGTAAGTCTTTCCTTGATCTAAGGCCACTTCGCTAGCTCTATAACTCAGCGTAATTAACTTAACTATAGCTACTTCGCGTAGTAATCTCTTACCTTAACCTAAGACTAAGCTAACTACTCTTATAAGTTTACCTCTCTTATTAACTTAAGACTACTTCGCCGGCTCTATTGTTCTATAACTTAAGGCTACTTCGCCGGCTTTATAACTATATAATACAAAGGAGAGAGGTTAATAAGGGGAGGAGGGCAATTACTTTAGCTATAGTCGTTCCGGGAAGTACTCTCTTATATTACCTCCTAATTAAGCTGACTACTGTTTAAAGCAGGTCTTTCCTGATCTAAGGCTACTTCGCCGGCTCCCTTTAACGCGCTAACGACTCATAAGGCTTATTTATAATAACGCTGGAGGTATTATCTCTTATTATTCTTTTATAAGGCACTACAGGTAACCTTAACCTCCTACTACTATAAAGGGGTTACCTAATCTTATAGAAGAGTATTAATAGCCTCTTTCGTTATTACTTACTAGCCTTGTGAGCTTTATTTATCTAGCTAAGTATTGTTATTTGCTTTTAACTTATATTAAGAATAGCTAATAAGCCTTAGATAGGGTTAGCTTATATAATAGGCTTACGCTAGGAATTAACTAAGTTAGGCTAATTGCACTATAAGATATATTGCTGTAATATAACTGCCTATTGCAACTTCGCCTTTACTATTACCTTCGCTATTGCTATCGCCTTCGCTATCGCCTTTATTATCTTTATTTGTTATTATAGTTATATACTAACCTTTTAACTTACTGACCTTTTAACTTTAAATAGCTTTAAGGGGCAGCTAAGGAGCCTAGTTACTTAGTAAAAGAGTAGGCCCTTACTCTTCTATAGACTATTAACACTCGACTTTAACTTCGACTATATAGACTAGTTCTATTAATAGCCTAAGTAGTTAGGTGGACTAGTCCTATCTAAGGCTGAATATACTTAAGGCTTTACTAATATACTTAAGTACTTATTAATTCTTTAGTAACTCTAATATGATAGCTACGTTAAGCTTACTCTCCTTAGGGAGTAAGTGATCTTATCGAAGTCGTGGTAAAGGAAAGCTACTATGGTAGTCTAAACAAGTAGAGCTCTACGCCCTTTTTTCTAGTAACTCTAATATAATAGCTATGTTAAGCTTACTCTCTTTAGGGAGTAAGTGATCCTATCGAAGTTATGATAAGGGAGGGCTACTATAGTAGTCTAAATAAGTAGAGCTCTACGCCCCTTTAGTGCTCTATTAGAACTATTAGAAAGGTATTAATTAAGTTTAGTATTAGCTAAGACTATATTTAAATCAGATAGTTATAACTATAATCCTAATACTAGCCTTAGTATATTAGTTTTAATAATACCTGCTGCTCCCTTCTTTACGAATTAGTTCTTTAAAAGGGCTTCTTTCCTATTATAGATTAGTTCCTTGAGAAGGCTTCCTTATAAAGAGAGGGGAATTAAGTAGTTAATTAGATATCTATTATATCAGGTACCTTTAGACTACTATTATGATACTTACTTAATCGATTAAACTAATCTATATTATAAAAAGCGCTCTATAAGTATAATTAAAGTCTCTATCTTATAAGAAAAAGTTAAGATACTAAGTAAAACGCTACAAGTTAAATAAAGACTTAAAGAGTAACCCTCTAAAAGACTTCACGCGCGAGATAGCTATATATAATAGGCTAATAGTAAAGTCCTTCTTATTAAAGTTTATAACTACCTTTAATAAAGTAAGGCCTTAACTCTTATAAACTATCATTACCTAGCCTAACTAAATAGTAAACTATATTTTACTATAGCTCTGCCCTTTCTATATGAATTCCCTTATAACCTTAAAGATTAGTATATATCCTATTTCTTAAAAGGTTAGGCTATTATAGTCATCTATCTCTATAAAGAGAGTAAATAGACGATCTTGTTACGGACCCCTTAGCGCTACGGTTCAGTTGGCACCTATATACTAATAATACTATCAGTAATACTATAGAGGCATTAGTACTAACAAAGGAGCAGTACTATTAATAGGGTAGTACTAACCAGGGAATAATACAGGATAGCAAGTAGTACTACTATATACTTACGCTTTAGTAGTAATAGTTACTTAGATCATAGTAGACAATAAGTTATATAATAGATCCCTGGATCCTTAGATCCCCTTATAAGAGAATAGATCTAAGGATCTAAGGATCTAGTATCTTAAGGGATCTAAGGAGAATAAAAGTTCTATATAAGACTAGTATATCTGCTATTAGATAAGAGCTTCATGCTTAACTTTAAATAGTATTCTAATACTTAGTAACTATCTTCCCGTCTACGTAATACACCTACCTCTCGATTATCAGAGATTAACTGCAGCCTTCTGTATTTATAGCGAGTAAATACCGGACTATTACAGATCTTTAAATAAATCTATGCCTTTAGCCTAAATAATATCCCTAAGGCTTCCTATAAAACTATTCACTAGACCTTTTCTAGTCTAGAGGTTATCTTATAGTATAATCTGAGCTTTAATAGTAAAAGGTAACTTAATAGCTAAGTTTTCTATATTATCTATAGGTGTATTCTTAACTTATAGACCTATATAAAGGGCGGATATCTTCTTAATCGGCTCTCTAAGATCTCTAAGCTATATAAAGTTGTAATCTCGTATCTCTATTTATATAGTATAAATATAAAAGGTATTATTAAACGATACTCTCTCCTCAGTAAACAGGTTATTAGTAACGCAACAAAGTAAGAACTTCCACTCTTCCTTTCTAAGCTAGCTACTTCGTAATTAATTAAGCGTATTCTTAAAAGTCCAGGCCTCTTTATCCTCTCCCTCTTACTGTATAACCCTTAAAACCTATACTATAGTTTTAAATAACTAATATACTATATAACCCTACTAGTATATATCTTTCTATAACTTCTAGCCTTTCTCTCCTTAATATAATAATAAAAACAGCGATAGTCCAGTGACTAGAGGTAATTAGAAAAAGTCACTAGTAAAGATAATATTTATACCCCTAAATAACATATCTCTATCTGGAAATATCTCAGTTAAACACTACTTAATCTAAGTTAAGAGCTTAAAATTAAGTATAGACTTTTTATCTATAATCAGGTATTAAACGTAGCGGAACTTTACTTATAACTATAAGATAGTAGCACAAGACAACAGCTAGAACACCTTATTAATAAGGAGATAAAATAAGCTATAGATAGTGATACCTCTGATATTATATGTAATAACGCTAGTTAAAGTAATATAAAGTATAGGATTCTCTCTACTAGCGTA